AGGTGCAGAGCCAGGCGGAGGTTAATTGAGAAATAGCACAGGCAGAACAGGAAGAGATCCATACGGGAGCAGACAGTAACATAACAGTAAAGTGTGCAGGGTAGACTAGGACGTAGCTCGAGGAGCTACCTAGTGTGTAAGGACCAGATAGCACGATGGTCCTATATAGCGTGTATTATCACGTTCTCAGCAGGCAGATATACCAGGTACCAGTCTAGATCCAGTTGTAAAGGTTATACGTTTGCAGGTGTATTGCCCTGTTGGTCAGGCAAGGATACGATGATTCGGAGAGAAAGAAGGAAGATAATATTCAGGGATCGCTATGGAATCAGGGCCTATTCGGTGATGGTTCAAGACTGATTCTTGGAGAATCAGTCGGAGCGGGGAAAGCCCCTTTTGTGCAGAAGCCTCAGGCAGGGTCACCTGATCCCCATGACCGATCCTCAGAACTCGGGACTCGTATGGTTCTGTCAACTGCCGAGTCCCCGAGTTATCCTTTACACCAGTGCTGAGATAATTGAATTGGAGGGCCGCGGGCGGACTATGACACGGGCTCACAAAATGACACCGAGTGTCATGTAGTTGGGTCATATGATCGTGTCACGTGTTCGGTACATCACGTGTTTAGCGTGTCACGTGTCATGGAATGTTGAAATCACGTGTATGGGTCACGGGATGTCACGTGTATAGCGTACCCTGCCATGGGTGCCTGAGCTGGATGCCTGAAAGAAGTCAAGATGAACTGAGGATCAAGTGAGAGGGCACGGGACTGGAAGGGTAGATCTATTTGTTGGTTCTCTCTCTCTCCTTCTTTCTCCTTTCCTCATGCTTAGTATTTTCGACCAATGCACTTCTTGATTTCAGGAACCTGGTAGACGTCACACCGAGTACACACACAAGGGCCCGAACAACATGAACTTGTGAGTCTCCAACAGATGCAAGCCTAGACGTACGTTCTGATATGTTTCCATACATATTGTTTGAAAACCACAGCATTATTGTTGAGGCTACTAGACCGAGGGGAAAGAGAGCAGAGACTTGATTCGACTAAGCTGAGGAAGGAAGGAAGAAGCAAGACTACTGAAGGGCAACTGAGAGCTAGAAACACGGGATCATGTGCCCAGCCCTAAGGCCACATGACTCACGACAATTATATATGAAGATTCCTCGCAAGCCCCTATCCCTATGACATTACTCGATAGGGGCATAAAAGCTCAACTTACTGTGAGGATCATACTTGTGCTTGAGTCCACTCAGGCGTTCTTGACGCCAGTTCTCACTCCCGTACATCTGCTTCGATGTCTCCGAGCCGTAGGCATAGTTGACGTATGCGCGGAAGTCATCCCGACCAGTCGCTGCGGAAAGGACGTTGCGAAGCTCGTTGCCAAGATCAGCAGCCTTGCGCTCCAGTTCTTCACCAGCAGGGGCGTAGTTGATCATTGGAGCGGCAAGGAGGTTCTCCGAGCGGAAGGCAAAGGCAGTGGAATCAGCGTGGATGGCATGGACGCCTTCGGCTGAGTAGCCCTCGAACATGAAGATGGAATTGTTGAACGGGGAAGAGCCGCTCACGGCGGGAGCGTAGATATCCCAGGCCTTTTTCTGAGCGGGAACGTTGTACTCTTCGAGGTAGATCGGGAAGCGAGGATTGGCGAAGCCGAGCTTCTGGCAGGGAGGGGACTCGACAGCAATGCTCGTCCAGTTGGCGAGGTCTTTGTATGTGCCTGACTGGGGCTTGCTGGAGATAGGCCCGATGTCGTGGAAGGCCTTGGTGTAAGTAGACTCGACGGCCTCGACCCCTTCTTGGATGATATAGAAGACGATGACGGGGCTGTTGGGGTCAGAGCCGTCATTCATCCAGTAGGACCAGTTGATGACACCGGCAGGTTGGGTGCCGTTTTTGACGAGGTAGTCATTGGCGGCTTGGTAAACTGCCTCGACCTTGTCTCCGCTGAATGTGATGGTTTCAATGGCCCACTGAGTATGCTCGATATCGTAGATCTTGGATGTCACTTCAGTGACAATGCCGAAGTTGTGGCCTGCGCCCTTCATTGCCCACCACAGCTCAGAGTCGGCATTGATAGTGGTCAAATTGCCATCCGCAAGGACAACATTCATCGAGACAAACTGATCAGCGACAAGTCCATGATGACCCTGGAGCCAACCATGTCCACCGCCGAGTGCAGGCCCCAGATAGCTGACGCACTCGCAGGTTCCAGTCACGGTCTGCTTTCCAGCTGCCCACAAGTCATCGGTGACCTGTTTGGACATGACACCACCGCCAATGGTTGCCGTCTTGCCATCTTCCCTCACTTTGACGCTGCGCAACTTGCTCAGAGAGATGCCAATTCCGTGATGCATTTTGCCCAAGGAAACTAGGGCGCCATGGACTCCATTGTATGCGAGAAAGGGGACGTTCTTCTTGTTGGCATATTTGACCTTGAATCCGATTGAAGTTAGTTCATGGTCTGTTGTACCAAGTCATTTGTCGCTGAAGGAAGACATTCAAGGTTTCAGTGGGAAGACTTACCGTCCTGGCGACATCTTTCTCTGTCCCAGGAACGACAACCACATTTACCTGAGGCTCCTCGAGAACAGACCAGCGGGTGGTGACATTTGCAAAGCCACTCGAACCTGGATAATAGACCTCGGCAGTGGGGGAGAGGCTTTTTGCAAAGGCCTTCATGTCCACATCATTGGTAGGACAGTTTCCCTGCAGAGCGCTACCCACCACGGTGGAAGCGAACGCAGTAATTGCAGTGATCGACCAGAGAGAAACCATTTTCCAAGGCTCAACCCAAGAGATTATCGCACTGTCCGGGAAATCAAATGTGCGAACGACAGGAGAAGAAAGGAATCCAGAATTGCCGAGGTGGATAGCCCCCTGCGTATCTTGCAACGCTCGAATAGAAGGCGACTAGGCTGCTTTCGACCTCAAAGGTGCGAGGTCCGAAACACCCAAAATATGTTGTGTGCCGACGGGGGGCTCATCCTAACCCTTTGCACGAACACCAATATCTGGACAATTTATTCCAAACCTCCATTCGTGCGCCCGCATGTCCATCATCGTCCGAGATCCGAGCCGGAGATCCAACTCGGCTGATTCTGGGTCCACGTCGGTGGGGCGATTTGGGGGCCGACAAGAGGACTTGGGTTCATCAAGCGAGATGGGGTGCCTCTCAGCGCACAATTGAGTCGGTTCAATGCGGATTGGAGGATTGCACTCATATCATACCGAGCCAGAGTGAAGTTCTGACTTGATCACGTCCAGGTTTCGGCCACAGGTTTCGGTCAATTCGTGTGGAGATTGCCAAGTGGAGGGGCCATGACAACGGCCCCGAGCTGAGACCCGAGAACAGATTGTCAAAGGGTGGAGTGTGTCCACTTTTCGCGCTGAGATCTCGCGGTGAATCCGATTGAATCCTGCGGGTAACTGGAGGTGTGCAGTGCTGGACTCGCTGCTTCCAGTACTTCAGTCGTGAGAAGTAAGAGTGCAGGTTCCAATGTGGTGCTGGCGCTCGGAGTCAGAGGTAAGGGGATTGACATTGATCCAGCCTGGCTTGCGCTGTTTGCAGTGTCACGTTGCCTCTGGAAAACAGCAACGAGATCTTGAAGGCTCGGAAATACTTCAGAGAAACGCCTGGAACCGCGGGAGCAAGCAGGGAATTCCATCTGCCATCGATCAACCTCTTCACAGAGAACCTCTCTCGCAGATCCCACCCCACAAGCACTGCCAAGAGTACGGCCTTTGGTGTACGGGCGCAGGGTGCCACTGCCGATGCTGCAAGAAAGGAAGTCGTGGAACCAGAGACCTGAAGCTTCGTAGAAAGTCATGTTCGCGTGAACAATGCTCAGGACGTGGTCACGATCCAGAGCTGTGAGCTTGGAACTTATTCGACTGGATGATCATCTGATCGATGTAATGGGTCAATGTGTGATGATCGAAGCAGAGCCCAGGGGTTCGCTCCATACTTTTCATTCTGTTGAGAACAACCCTCGGCACTTTCAGTTGACGACTTTGATCGAGTGAAGGTGTCGTGACGGGTGGATGCACGAACCCCTGAGCTGCGACGAACACGAACATTCACCATCATGATTGACGACAAGTCATGTTTCATGAGTCTGGTGCTGGGTGGTGAATAGCTCTCTCTCTCTGTGTCTGTCTCTCTCTGTCATGGACAAGCCGGTAGTTTCTCCAACAATGATTCGCGAGACTGAGACGCTCTAGACTGCCTGATGACTATGCTCAAGAGCAGAAGATCGGTTTCCAGCAAAGCAACATGTGCTCTTGGCAGAAGAAGGTACAGGGAAAGCTGATGGCCCAACGTGAAGTGGTGACTCCGCGAGACGCCTCGCCTGGGCGACAACTCGAATACTGCCAACATGATGAATGATCATATGAGCACTTGAGGTATGAAACAGCACGATGGATTGCATAGAAGACACAGAATGTATACGAGAGAAATTGCGGGAAGTTAAGGAAGAAATTAGCACTGCCTTTGCAGAGTTGGACAAGGTGTAGAGAAGCCTTGCAATTGTGGTGCGCAGCCTGTGACAACATGGTGGTCTTTGGACTATATGGAGAGCATATCTGACAGTGTCCCAGTCATGAACTGGGGCAAAGCCCAACAGGTCAGAACAGGAAACAGAACCATGGCCATTCTCAGTGGAACTTGTCCCTGGTTTACGCTCTTGGTCACTTCAACCCCTGTCGTCATCGTGATAGTCGTATGATCGAGTGAAGGATAGGAAAACATGCAAACGAGCTGCTGGGAGGAGACAGGTATGGCTGCGTGGGGCGATGTTGGGCCTTGGAAAGCACACGTAAGACTGTAACTGAACTTCTAGCAAAGAGTCCCTTGTGCAGGGCTCAGGGGTTGACCACGTTAAGACATCAATCATATTCGAAGTTCCATTTCACTGTAGACACTGTACGGTCTTGGTATCTCAAAGTCAGATGTGTATTGTAAAGTCCTGGTGAAGTCTGTGTATAGAATCTCAACCTACTTCCTGGCAACGACGACGACTCCCCTGACAGCGCCCCGTGCCCACCACCCAAACACCCAACCTGCAACCTTGTACTTCTTCACCGCCAACCCATAATCACGCCCCGTCTGGACTCTTTCTCCCATGAACCTGGCCAAGGGTTCGAACACAAACCTGCTGATGTCCTTCATCTCAATGCTTTCTCGACTATACCCGGCCCCAACAAGCATATTCACATACTCACCCTCGGTGACGAAGTTCCCAAACGGGGCATTGGTCCCCAAGCAGATGATTCGCAAAAGTAATTTCTCCCACCAGCGAGCATCTTCGCGGATGAGGAGGTCAAAGGCCATAAATGAGAAGTTCAGGTTCGCTGCATGGGAAAGAAGAGGAGCTCTTGAGGGTCGGAAGTGGTACAATGAGTCTAGGGCTAAGAGCCAACTAGTTTCATCCCTCAAATCCCGTGATGAACCATTCGCTATCGTTGATAGCTCTGCCGGCCATTCTGATGGGACAGATGCATCCGCGCAGAATACCTTTGCCGGCACCGATGTGTTTCTAACCTGTTGCATTCGGCGTTGTGCAAGATCGGCTTGAGCCGGTTCAAGTGATATTCCGACGTACGATGCTAGCAGCGGAAGTGAGTAGGATCGGGAGTTTACTGAACGGTGCCGAAGGTTTGGCTGCGAGTCTGTGACTTCAGACTTTGTCTGACGGCCAAGGGTTTTGAGAAGATGCAGTGACTGATCACCGCAGCCACAGCCGACATCCAGGATTCTGATTGACTTTGTCTCATGCGAGAGTGCAGTCATTAGAACTTGATCTAGAAGTGCTTCACATGCTTCTGGAAAATCATCCGTGTGCTGCCATATGGTTAGCACCCAGGCTGATGTTTGAATTGCGTCGACCTACCTCCCAATATCCCATGTTCATCCACATTGTCTGTGGCGGGAGCTGTATGTTGAGAACAGCATGGTCCAGACCATATAACTTGGGAGTGGGATTGCGCAGCGCGCGTTTTAGAAAGTCTAGCATTGAGACTTAGGCCGCAGCTCAAGTTGCGGTGTCTCGAATCTGAGAGCCAGATCTCCAGATGTTGTCCTACTTGCAACGGAGTGACCTGAGCGCGAAGGACAGGTTCTTGGGATTCTCGCGGTGCATGTAAAGGCGGTGGCAGAATCACAGTCATCGAGAACTTCGCCGGTGAGACCTCCGTGGTTGACACCAGAACACCTTGCGGCATTGGAACGACGCCTTGTTCTCCGCACTTCATTGCGTACCTCGTAGACCTCGGAAACTCATAGATAGATGCGATCTGATCTACATAGTCTCGTTTCACAATGCCGATCATCCCCAGGATCCAATGAGGGTTTCACTCTGCAGTTCCCAAGTGATGGCTTGTGTCATGAACGATGCAAGCTCCTCACCGGGTCCGACGAGTACATGAGTCGAATCAAACCCTGGGACCATGTAACAGTGCTGGGTTGGGCGAAGTACTTGGGATTTTGACTGGCAAACCTCGAGAGCGTCCAGTTCTTCATGTATCAGACTTCCCATCTCCTTTCTACCTTTTGCAACACCAACACATGCAATCATTCTCTACCTCGGGTCTCCGAGTCTAATTTCACCTGATGCCATGCCGTCGTCTCATGAATCAAAGCACGACTTCCGGGTCAGATGCCAGCAAGACAGTGAGCTATGCAAGGAAATTTTAGAGAGGTACAAGACCAACGACAGGTACTTTCGAATTGAAGGCTGGTGTGAAGTGCTCTCCCTAGCTCCCTCAAAAAAGGGGGGATACGCTCAAGTTTCCGCCAATGGAATCAACAAATTTGCGGTCCTTGAAGAACTTGTGATCTGGGCAAAGGGCCAACAAGTCAAAAAAGGGCAAGATGCGTCTCACCTATGCCACAATAAGCTCTGCTGCAACCTTGATCACATCATTGCCGAGGCGAAATCCGAAAACCAATCCCGCAAGAACTGTCTGGTATGGATACCATGTCCTCATTGCCCCTTGAAGATATTCACCTGCCAGCATACCCCTTCTTGCATCGAATTCTGTCCGGGCTTCAATGACCATAAAGAGTTCCTCTGCAGTGGCATATGTACGAGGTATGAAAGAACACCTCAATGATGTTTCGTCACTGTGCATCTTGTTTCATGAATCTCAAGTCAGGCATCCAAATGGCATACTGTAACGGCGGACGATTCCGCTAAAATGACTGCCTATCGAAGATGCAGACTAAAAGAATGAATGGGGTTACAGAAGCAGATTTGATTTCCGTCTGTTAAACTGACTCCAAGATGGTTTCGTCGATGGTCTCGTCCGTCTTGCGGACAATCAATTCGGGGATCGCATGACACGATTACAACATTGACGATAGATAGCCTGCCAAGCAGGATCTTTCCCAGAGCTTTGTTAAGTGGCAAGCCGAGTGTCCCGCCTTCCTATCGTTGTTGTGGTGATTCCAATGCTGACTTCGGGATGGCTTCATCTGCCACTGTACGCCATCCTCCAGGTAGTTCACGAATATCTGATTTCCGACGTCGTGCTAATGCTCAAGTGCTCGGCAGGGAGTCACGCCAGCGGCTATCACTTTACCCTTGCCCCGGTGGCCAGGTGTTCAATCAATGATAGTGTCTTGAACAGCAATCCTCTAGATTTCATCAGTCTTACCCTCTAAATGAGGGCTCGGTCTTGAAGACCTGGTCCTGGAAAGAGAACCTCCCCTCCGGCTCGGAACACAGTCTGTGGATTGTCTATCTAATGTCCATGGTCAATTCCGTTCAATCTCGGGTAGCAGTTCTCACTTCCTTGGACTGCGGTTGATGCCAGCGTGAACGTTCAATTGTTTCGGAGCTCATCACCATGCAGACCGAGGTTACAGGTTCGCCTGATCCATTGGCCCTATGTAAGTGCTACATGTATCGATGTGGGTTGACTTGCGAGGCATACCTACATGTACATGCATCGAGCAGATCAATCGGTTTATTTGGCGGTTGATGTGACCTGCAGCAATCCAAGCGGCTGATAAGATCATTCCAGCTGCGCTGTTCGAGCTGCACTGAGCAGACTGCCAGCTCAGCACTTGAAGTGATGTGAAGAGAGCCAAGCGCCAAGAAAAAAAAAAGTCTGTCGTCATCCTTATCCGATGTCCACCCCACACTTCGCAACTTCCCCTTCACATCCACCATGTCGCGCAATATCTCCTACGGTCGTGGGGGCGCAGGTAAGAGCATTCAATCGTTACAAGACATCTGCTAACATTGCCAGGGAACATCACTCGACAACAAAGCGCTCCCTCCCCCCGGGATCTCGTCACACCCACCATCAAGCAAGAAGTGTACACCACCGGCCGCGGCGGCTCCGGGAATATGGTCCAGAACGACCCGGACCGACCGGAGATTGCGCGCGAGAGTCAAGATGTGGAATCGCCGCCGCTGCGCGCGCAGCAGATCCCCCACCACACCGGCCGAGGTATCACCGACCCCCTTGCGCGTGCGGATCGTGGCTAATCTCTCATCAGGTGGCGCGGCCAATGCCTACATCCCGACGGTCGAGGAAGAGGAACACGAGAAGCGAATTCAGGAGCAGGAGGCCGAGCTGATGCGGGTGCGTACCCTGTCGAAGGAACGCGTCAAGGAGATCGAACACGAGCGACAAGAGTTGCGCAGGGACTCGCCAGCTTCCTAATGGCCATCCAGAGGCCAGGGGAAGTAATCACTGCAGGCAGTGGTCGAGTGCGGTTCTCGTCCGCAACGGTATGGGTATTTCGTTTCTTTTCTTTCTTGGTCAAACTGTGTTCGACTCCCGCGCGCACTGGGAAACGGGAACGGCGTTGGGTACGGGTGGCTCGGTCTGTCGCTGCACTTGGCACTTTTTTTCTTTTCTCTCTCTCTCAGGGGCAAATACACATGTTCTCAATTGAATATACAGCCCGTCTATGCTAATTACGTCGGTTCATATCTCATTAGATGCAACGCTCAAATAGAAAATCCCCCAAAGCAACCTCATGGAGACATAAAACACCCCGTCGCGTCCACCGGCCAGCCAATATGCGCCTTCCACTCGGGTGGCACCGAGTCTCCGATTTGCGACAAGATCCGAGTCCCCCAATCCCCCATCCACCACGAATCTCGCAGGTGATGCAGCACCACCGCATAATGGGCGAGAATCACCAGCGCGAACGGCCGACGGGCGTCCAGCAGTTCCAAGAATCCCTCGGGCACTCGGAAGCACCAACAAAACGCAAATACCTTGGGTTCGCCGCCTTTCATCAGCCGTTCCAGCGCGTGACTCAGGTGCTCGATCGCCGACTCGTAGAGAGACTCCTCGTGGGTCGGATCCTGCAAGGCCTCGAGGGCGTTTTGCCGACGTAGCGACAACACGACGAGCCGGGACATGTCGGGCATCGTGGGCCGGGGATCTTCCGGTTTGATCAGCGGGTTGAGCTCGCCGGTGGTGACGCGCTCCAGGATGGGCATGATGATGCTGACCAGCCAGCGGGTCAGCTGGAGGACTTCCAAAAACTCCTCCAGACGGTCGGGCGGGTCATCCTCGTCCACCAGACAGTAACCGAACGCGAACGCGATCATCACACAGCACAGGGCGAAGGTCACATTGGGATCGGCCTCCGGGTCGAGGGGCGTGGACAAGGCGGCGAGTGCGTGCGACTGGTGCGCCCGGGCGGTCTCGAGGTATTGCCAACGGCGGGCTGAGACGGTTGTGGAGGCCAGATGCAGCGCCGAGAGAGCGAGAAGGCCTTGCCGGAGCGGTGGATGGCGGAGGGAGAGGGTCGGGATGGTGGTTTGCCAGATCGTTTCGGAAGCTGGGTTGCGGGCCATTGTTTTGTAGGTTGAGGTGCACCATTGCATCATCAGCTCGAGGTCTTGGAGATAGCTTTCTTCCCGGAGATCGACCGGAAGGGTCGCCGGCGATGTCGTAGAAACAGACGAGGTGTTGGACCTCACCGACCGGTGTTTGCTTTCCAGTCGTGTGAGTCGGGGTCGTGAATACTGGCTGAGCATTTTGTGGTCCACGCAGTGGATGCACGTCGGGCTCTGATACTGCGAACGTTAGCCCTGATTTCAGATCCGTGTCCGACTGTGCGATCTAGCATTCCCGGTCTTCCACGTTCCAGAGGGTCCTACTTTGATTCTTCGGCCGGTTTGCATGTCGCCCTGGCGTCGCTTCGCCCGAATGGAGGTTTGCATCTGTCCAGGGGTCGGGGGGAGTGCAGGTCAATTTGAATCCATGTTGCGATCGCGAGTTAAAGAACCTCCAGACGATCAGAAGTGCCCATGGCCAGAAGGGGGAAAAGAAAATGCAGCGACAGGAGGCGTTCGTCTCCCAATGCGGTAAATGCACAGGTGGCTCGTGCTGATGACGTTCCACTTGCCAAGACCCTGACTCGCGCTCCTCTTTGCGCATCACGAACTCTCTACCTTTATTCTCTGCGCCAAGCTCGCGACATCTGGCTAACCGTATCAGGTCAATGCAGCCTGTTCGGCTCCATGTTGCAATGCTGAACTGGCAAACTCACAGAGCCTGACTCGTCCCTTGGGGTGCACCTGGGCAGGGCTTTCGGCTGACCTTCGTATGAGTGGACCCCGGGATTTGTCTCGGCCTTTGTCCTGTTTGGTCCGTTGCAATCGATCTGGGGGACTCATCGGATTGACCAACCTGCCCGGGTAAATGCCAAACTACAGAAAGGGGGCCGAGGAGAGAACAGACAACAATAGCAACTCCTGATCATGCGAGCCATAGACGCAATCTCAACACGGCAGGAGTTCCATCAACGGTGTGGTTTTCCACGATGCCTCTACGGAGTACAGTAATCGGGGCATGAGCGAGTCATCTCAGAGATCCCAGGTTGACAGGAAACAGTCAAGGAGGCCTATGGGACGGACACATGAGATCTGAGTTGGCCCCCTGCCAGGTGCTCAGGAGAATGGCGGTCTGCTCGGGACCCCGGCCTGACGGTATCGTGATCGCAACGCATCACGAAGGCAACTCGGTATTGTGGACCGTGAACCATGCCCAGGTGCTTCATTCCTGGTAGTTGTAGATATCCGACATGATTATTTGTACGTAGTGGAGCTGAATCTTGGAACTAGCACCTACTCCTAGGCGATTGCCACTGTGGTCCACGTCGCCAACTTGGAATGATCCGACCTCGGGAAGCGGATGATATATATTCGGCTTCGAGGTGGCGCCGGAGCCACCTTCTTGCTTGGACCTCGGAGCTCATGACATCTCCAACTTGGAAGGTTGAAGGCTAATTTCCTCCGAGCCTGGAATTTTGGAAGTCTCTTCGCTGTCCACATCAACTGCCGGCACTTGGTCAATCCATGAATGCCCCTCAAAGGTTCCAAGGTTGGTGCTTTGTTTGCGATCGCGACAGAATGAAAGAACATTCACCAGCGACAAGATCAGAACCGTACATGGTCAATGAGCACTCTCCTCAGACTATGCCCTTGAATTAGGTTGGGAGGAATCCTTTGTACTCTGAGCACAAAGACTGGACAACGCCATTGATGTTTGCACCCGTGGACTCTGGGCGCAGCAGCGTTCAGGAGAAGTATAAAGCCTCGCTACTGGACCATGAGGAGGCTACAGATCAAACAACGACGAACTAAATCAGCGGCAAGTATGCCGTACGAATCCTTCGATCTTCAGCAACCCAGCGTCTTCAAGCGTGGCCCGCATAACTTCGCCGATCCGCCTAACTTGGCGGATTATGTATGGGTCACCGTTGGGCTTCCTGTGGAGTGGATATTGGAAAAGACCTCGGATGCCATGATCATGGGTTATTATCAGAGAACCATCACTAACCATTTAGCCAACAAGCGGTTTCCGTGTGCCGTGAGCATCGACAAAGTGGCCCGACATAGCCACGGAAGACGATGTATCTCCTTGCCGACCCGGATGGGCGACAAATCTCCGGCCGATATTCTGCGCCAAGGTGCAGCCCTTGCAGGCTGGTGGATGGGCCACATCGAAGCAGGCCGAGTCTCCCTGGACAAACAGTTGATCTTTAGAGCCAAGGATTGGGCTCCGTTTGGTACACTGATCTGGGACATTCCAGCGGAATGGAAGAAGCCAGATTTTGCGTAAGTGATCGTAGGACCTGCGAAGCTTGGAACTTGGAAGCTCGAGGATCACGTAGTGAGAACTGAACTAACGCTGTGGCAGAGGGAATCGCAAGACCAAGGTGGGTGTACGAGGGTTACTCTTGAATGCTAACCTTGGAATTGAGATGAAGATAGCTTGAATCATAACAATCATAGACCATTGCAGACCCCAAAAGACCACTCATGCAGATCATACTGTGTGTACCTCTTCTACAAATGCGTAGGGATCGCAGTGAGCCCCGTACCTAGGTAATCACACGAACAGTACGGACTTCCACAGGTCCGTCGTATCATTTCTAAGGTAACTGTATTCTGTGTTCTACGAGGGTGGTTCGTGGCTTGCATAACAGACATTCAACCGTATCCACGGGTTGTACTCTCGAAAGCCATGGGGCCAGTCTGATTCTGATCCCTCGCCCGTTGGAGATTGGCCTACAGATCGTCTCGGACCACCGAGCTGTATCGAGAGACATACTGGAACAGACTGGAGCCAATGGGATGATGAAAGGTCATTCCGAATATGTTGCAATGCCCCTGTTACCCAAGCCGCTCAAAATATTGTAACAAAATGTAAACACCGACCCGGAGAAGAAAGAAAGACACCGGATAGGCGAGTGGGCCCTCATGCCCAACTGTATTGATATGTTGAAGAACTTACTCCAGCCTCGCGGGGGGAGAAGCTCAGGCGATGAAGTTGCGGCGCTTGCGGTTGTAGGCACGCTGGTCCTTCAGCCACTGTCGGTATCCTTGCACACTGCCAATCTTCTCGCCGTAATAATCGGGGACCGGGTTCGAGATCGAGTTGGTGGAGGGGTCGACGCGGAACCGGCGGATGCGATCAAAGAACTCCTTCTCTTTCTGCGGAGTCCCAAGATTAGTACGTGCTGACCCAGGGAGGCTTCTGAATGTCCGATCCTTACCGTGTTCACAGAAGGCTTGTACTTCCTGTAGACCAAGCCCCACACTCCATTGCCGAGAACAGGACCAACCAGCCATCCAGCAGCACCACATGCAGCGGTGGCCAGACCGAGCACCACGAACGGATCCAGGCCCATCACGGCACCACCCAGGGCCTCAAGGTCCTGGCCAGAGATAATCTGAGCTCCAACGGCGGTACTGGCGAAAGAAGTGGCGATCGAAGAAGCGAGAGAGTAGCGGCGGCGCGAAGCGCGAAGCTTGAAGAACGAATTCCAGTCGAGCTTGACTTCGTCGGAGGGGGCAGTGGTGGATTGTGCGCGAAGTCCGGTGGGGAGAGAGGAGGCCTGAGCCTGGGGGCGAGAGTGTGAATCCAAAGTGACGGGGCTTGAACGAGCTGCCGTGGAGCTGAGGCGCGTGAGCTGCTTGGAAGCCATCTGGGGAGTGGCTTGGATGGGACGAAGAGCACCGATGAGGGACGGCGCAGGGGCGCTCAGCCGGGTTAAGGACATGGCTGTGCGTGCAGACATGTTGGGTGTGTGAGAATGTGTGTTGGAGATAAGATGGGTTCAATTGAGGTTCTGCCGGCGAGAGGACTGAGGTCACGGAATTGCGGGTGGCTACGTCACGTGTCGGACTGTCCACCTCCAGCGCTGCAGCTCTGGAGGTCAATGACCTCGGGATCAACGCACATCGTCGCAACGATGCAACTAGTCTTTAAGTCGGACTGTTCAGCGTGCTCTGTGATCTCTAGACAGAATAATTGGGTATTAGTCACGAGGGTATTGCAATAATACTAGGTAGACATGGCTTCGGAGATCGAAAGTCTTGCCGGCAATCCTCATGGCTAGTCATCAGGCGATCTTGTCCTAGGGTGAAGTGTTTCGGTCTCGATGATCACGACGGTGAATATTCGTATTGCAGCTCAGGGGCTCGTGCATCCGCCGTTGCGACATCTTCACTCGATCGAGATCGTCAGGTGAAAGGCCCGAGGGTTGCCAGGTGTTCTTAACAGAGAGTAGATTATGGAGCGAACTCCTGAAATCTCCTTCGATTCCCCAGGGCTCACACGTTGACTTATTGCAACCTTGGAAGGATCAGATGATCATCCAGTCGAAGAGCTTTCAAGCACACGGCTCTACTCCGTAGATTGTGAATACATCCATTCTGAGCGCTGTCCACGCGAACATGACTTTATTCGAAGCTTCAAGCCTGGGTTCTACGCTTGTCTTTCTTGCAGCATCGGCAGTTGGCACCCTGCGACCGTGTACCAGAGGCCGCACTCTTAGTACTGTTTGTGGAGTAACATCCCTCAGATGTTCTCTATGAAGATGTTGATCGATGGCAGAGAAAGCTCCCCGCTTGCTCTCGTTCTCCTTGGCGTTTTTCTAAGGATTCCTTACCCCCCAAGGATCTCGTTGCTTATTCTCAAAAGCGATGTGAGACAGCAAACAGCGCAAGCCAAGCTGGATCAATGTTCATACCTACCCCTGACTCCGAGCACCAATACCACACCGGAACCTGCACTCGTCCTTTGCACACCCGAGGAACTTGAGGCAGCGAGTCCAGCGAGTCCAGCGTTGGCTAATACATATGCTAGAAAATCCGTCCATACTTCATACATAACATAGCGAAAGTCTCGTATCGAGCATTTATGCAATTGAGATCGACATCCATATCTTCCAAGTTGACTTTAACACACGTCATGCAACAAAGATATCTTCATCTCTGTTTGGGATCTACGACCCACCAATACCTAGGTAGTATTACAGAGACATTTCGCCAAACTTTCCAAGGTTTGCTTTTGAGTGTGAAGATTTTGGCTAGATGACCGATCGAAGAAGGGAATACATATAAGCAAGGCAAGACAGGTAGATGTTCTACCTAGGTATTTTAAAGCGCCTGCTCGCCAGATAAATGAACCTGCTTACTCGAATTGCCATGGTCACAATTTAGACGCTCAAGGTTGTTGACAGTCAAGACAGTCCATATGTGGTCTGATCCAAGCGCTTTCTCGTAGCCAGTGAGCGCCCGTGTGAACATCTTCTCAGCCTGATCCAGCTTGCCTTGGTTATAATATAGATTCCCGAGGTCACCAACAGTGAAAAGAGTCGATATGTGGTTTGGCCCTAGTGCTTTCTCGTAGCCATTGAGTGCCCGCGTGCAAAATTCCGCAGCGGCAGCAAACTGGGTCTGAGCTGCAAGCAAAAGTGAGACACGAACTATCTTAGCTAGTTGGTCAGACGTACTAGGTAGCATCAGATATCACAATGGTTTTGAGGAACTGCTGTTGCACTAGTCGGGTTGCATGACCAGCTGAGCGTGAAAAAGTGATACGACCATAGAAATCGATATCAAACCCACTGATGGTCGCATCAACGCAATTGAGAGCATACCAGTAGTATGTAACATCAATGGTCCTATCAAGGGCGGCCAATGTCCAATCATGCACACAGTTGTGCATGCTCCATGATCTTGATCCCGGGTTAGCTTCGAGGAAGTAAAAGTCTGTCAAGGTTTTCATTACTCCTTGAACTGAATGATCGTTCTTGAGCAATATATAGAGCCACGTGGGCGGTTCTTCTGTGAGTCCCTTGCGAAACCCCTTGTACCCAAGCCTCTGTTTACCGAACCAGGATCTCAATTTCTTAAGTCGTTTAGGAGATACCTCGGTAAGTCCGTCGTGAAAAAGCCCGTACCCAAAGGTTCTGATTGTTGAAGTACGCCAACAATTGCAGGAATTTTGCCGCATTTGGGTCATCGGCTTTCAGGCGAGCGTATGAGATGTCCCATGTGGTGTAAAGTGTGCATTCGCGATACTCTTGGATTTTCGTGGGGCCAATAGTCCAGCGTTTCTCGTATTCTTGTAGATAGTCTTCAAAGGAAAACAGACTTTGCTGAAGATATGTTCCAGCAGTCGCTAAAGCGAGCGGAAGACCGTCAAGTCGCTCTGCGAGCTTTTTGGCGTAAGGATCTTGTAAGGGTCATCAATTGGCTCCTTAATCGCAAACGGGTGTCATACCTGACTAGGCATTGTCTCTCTTTGAGCGGGTTTGCAGGATCGTGAGACTATCTCCGATATCCCGGAGAGGCTTTACATGCATAGCCCCCCCCCCCCCCCCCCCCGACCTCATCTTGACACCGGGTGGTGACCAATATTGGCCCATGAGATGCTGGTGGAAAATAGACATTGATATCAAACTGGTCCGGATCATCATAGTTATCGAAGATCAACAACCACCTGGTATTCAAGGGATCTGAAAGCCAACTGTGCACGCGCCCAATCACATCTTTCCCCAAAATCTGGGGATCTTCAACCTCAAAAACGAGGCGGAGGATCAATTGGAAACTTTTCACAAGTCCGGCCTCAGACGCTGCATTCAACCAGAAAACCGATGTATAAGATCCGGATCGCGACTCTGCATGAGCAATAGCAAGCTGGGTTTTGCCGATGCCACCCTTTCCCCCCAGAACTAAACGCTGTTGCTTTTAGATACCGTGAGCGGGCTGCAAAATCTCTGCAATTTGCTCAAGCTCAGAGCCACGACCGACGAAAAGTCCTGGGGCGATGTAGGGGGCTTGGCCAATTTGGACACCAACGGGTCCACGAAACCCGAACTCCTCTTTCTGTTTCAACTGAACTACATCTAGCCGTTAGCAGATTTCTTTTTGTGCATTGAATCAACCCTTGCAGGTCGACATGTGGAAAGAAACAAGGAATCAAATCAAGTGAGCTTAATCGAGACAAATGATAACACAACACAAAAATATCTATTGTTGAGCACTGGCTGAATAGAACTTTGTCCCAGTGTCTTGCTGGCACACAATAACGACTTAACAACTGATTCTTACCAAAGTTTTGGGTTTCAGCATTGTACTGCATTCCATCGCCGTTGACAGCATACAAGTTCCCACTGCCACGCTGGACATTGTTTGTTTGTGGCCCACCCCGGTACTAAAATTCATAGTCGAGTTCTCATTGTCTGGCCCGGTGGTAACAGAATTCGTCTCATTGGTGATAGCTTCAAGCTCGGAATTCTGGCTCTGGTTGGCAGACTTGACAGCGTCGTGGTTGATAAGGAGCTGAACGTCTTCAGCAAGACCCAGCATAAGCTCTTCGACCTTGTTCCCTTTGCCGAGTCTGCGGAGAACTTTCAGATATCGTTTTTCTCTAGTGTCGTTTTCACCGGGTACGATCTTCTCGAATATTTCATCCAAGTTCCTTGCTTTCGTGCGGCAAACGTAAAGGCTCACCTCCAAAGCTTCGCAAACGTCTTCGGGAATGGAGTCTTTTCGCGGTTCGAGATTATCTTTGCATGCCGCGAGGGTATGAAAAATGACTGGGAGTCGACGTCGAACCACTTTGAATGCCTCGGATAATTTGATGTCTTTCTGGGCACTATCGCAGATTTTGATGGAAGAGTCGACAAGTGTAATGACTGGAGAGATGGTACCGATCAATCCAGCCATTTCTGGGGGATATGGCGACAAAGAGTCGCGCTTGTCTGATTATCTCGGACTGTCAAACGTGGTATCCTCGAAGCACAAGGAGTATGATCAAAGAAGGAGGAGGGGTGGAGATTCCTGACCAAGAACTGCATGGTTCATTATAGACAGATTGATCGTCCCCCTCTGATTAGTACTAGGATTCTCGGGCTCTTCGACGGACACACGCGTCGATCGATGATTCCTTGAACGTAATCACTTGTGCATTAGCTTATTCCAGAGACTGCTGCGAGCGTCAATCGATTTGGAGGCGGCAACACTTGATTCTTGCGCGTTCAGCGGCTAAGGCTTCCTGAAACATTGCCAGTAAGTACGTAAGTCTCGCATCGTGGGCAGATTGCATCACGCTCCAATAGAGAATTTCGCAGCACGCTGCAGACTGATTAAAGCATCGGAGTGGTGATGGTATAGATTGCATCGGGCAGGGGGCGATTGGCATTGAAGTTACCACTGTCACCCGTACGGCTGTTTCGTCTCCAGGGTGTTTTACGCAGTCAGCTTATGATACGCAGTTACAATACATTTCGAGAATTTGGAGCACGCTAAAGCTAATCTGGTCTAACTCATTGCCAAATACGGGCTGAGAACGAATATTACAGTACAGCATACACCAGTGAAACTGGCACCAAGAACGCCTGAGTAGACTTGAGTTTACAAGTATGAACCATGCAGTTCTCTATCGAGTAATGGTATATGATAGGGGTTTGATATGAATCTACATCTGTAATGCTGTGCTTTCAAATAATATGTATGCCCAGGTGGAAACATATGAGAATGCATGCTCGGGCTTCCAATTGTTACCCAGGTGGAGATTTACAAGTCTATGTTGTTTGAGCTCTAGTATGTACTCGGTCTCACTGTGTGAGCCCGTACCATAGTATGCGGTCCTCCTATTCTCATTTTTTGAGCGCTGGAACCTAGACAAGTACCATCAAAGGTTCCCTCGCCGACAGTCAAACGAAATAGATCACATACAAACCCCAAAAGCTTGTGCTCTATGTCCAATAAATGCATCGTGGATAAGTGTACCTCATCCCGAGCTCGCCGCCTAGTTATCTGCAGTGAGATTGAAAATCTCGAGCTATTTTTTTCATGAGCGCTGAATGGCCAGAGGTATCAGTGCCAGTGGCTGAATGGAAACACCAAATTGAATGCAATACTGCCCGGGCCATGAAACTGGTATTTACAGGCCTTCCTTGCGTTTGATATCGCCTGGACGCGACTCTAGCTTCATGGGGTGGCCAAAGCCATTGATGCGCCCGACGAGCCATTTGAGTGTGACGGTGCTCAGTGCCATGATGACAGCACTCAGGGTGAAGAGGCCAATGCGACCTTTGATGGAAAGGACTTCGAAAATCGGATAGGGGTACCTAGAGATAACTCAGCAGTGTTCATGTCCACAGGTCGTCAGATGAGGCATGTGTACCATCCATTCGCGGCAAAGCACTGCTCAACCCAGAACCAGTATCCAAATGCAATGGTCACCGATATCATCAGGGCGGGGACAATCGTGATGGTCCATGGCGGAGATAGGAATAGTAGATCAATCATCATCACCACCGATGGAGTCGCATGGAATGCGAGATCTATGAGGTCAGCGTTGGATTGGGAATCTGCTCACGTCCTGGGGCGTACCGGCGTGAAGCGGGATGATCACATTCTCGGGGATGACCAGCTTCTCATCGATCTGGTCGTCGGATTAGTGTGTGAAAGATTTTGGGTTCCAATGGAGACTTGTACCAAGCGAAGACCCCAATACAGAACGCTGATAAGAACCTCAAGCGGTGTGCTGCAGACCGATAGGATGTTCTTGACCAGGAAGAGTCGGCGAGACAGTGTAATATCCGCCGAGAGACCGACCAGGAACGTGAGGGTAGATAGCGTGAGGCCAATCACCGTGAGGTATTGAAAGTGCCACCCATAGGCTTCGTTGCTGTGTGGACCGTGTCAGTGGGCCACCGTCAGCATCGGATGGAGACTAACGCTTGTCTCGGGTTATCGTGCATGCTGCATGTCTTTTAGTAACCCCTTTAGGCAGTCCGGAAGAGAAGTCCTACTGTTTGAAGGCCCAGAAAAAGCTTGACAGTCCCACCAACTGGAACGCGATCCGTCAGTGCCTGAAACGGGGAATGGCCACAACCACGGTACTTACATGCACCAGTGCGGAGAGACTCCGCGAGGGACTCGCTAGTCGCTGGAGTGGGTGCCTCTGGATCAACGAGCCCGCCATATTGAGAATGTCCGAAGCGCTCCAATGGTGACGAGGAAAGGTCACTCCCGTCAAAGCGCGGCCTCCGCGGCCAATGAAGCGCCATCGGCGATGACGTCTGGCACACGTGACGACGGGGAAACTCGGCTTACCGCGGGCAATCCCGGCAACCCGCGGCATGCCGCTCTGGGGAAGCGGAGTATTGATAATGCGGCTGACACATCCTCTTATCGGGCTTCCCCACACTTTGGGCCTTCCAGAAACATTCGCGACCTTTCGCTTTTCTTGACCTGTTCGCCTCTCATTGTCCAATTCGAATCCAAGGATCGTCCGCATTGCATCGCGCGGAACCTGGCTGCAGAGCAGTGGCATTCATACCCCTTGGCACATCTCCCTCCCACACCTCGATGTGCTTGTATACTAGGTGTGGGTGCTTGGTCGATTATCGCTTTATTGCTACGTGGGGTCAAAGTGGCTCAAAACGCAGAAAGCGCGATCAATTGTGACGGGTTGAGGGCGTGAGTCTCAACTAGACGTTTGAGACCGCAGAAGCTGGATGATAAGATAGCGAATCGTGACTCTTTGCAAGTGTCCGACGTGTTCTATCTGGGGGACATTGGACCGTGAGCAAACTTGTGGGGACGTGCAATGCCTCGTCCGAGAAGACCTGGTGCGCCAGAACCCAAGCGTCGAAGCCGTAAAGGATGTTGGTGAGTGAGACAATCACCGAGATCATGTTGACGACTGACCGAGCTAGGCCATGCAAAGCAAGGAAAGTGAAATGGTAGGATGTGTCGACTCTAGCAGCCCCCAAATTCAACGCTGACGCCCTTTCAGCGGAGAAGAGAAACCAGCTTGCCTGAACTGCCAAAGACAGGGTGAGCTTTGTGACTATAGCGTGCGGTTGAACTGGGGAGGAAGGACGAAGCGTCCATCCGTGGACTCTCCAAGCTCGCAGTCTAGTGGCTATGGAGGTGCAAGCGGCATCATCAACTTCTCCAGCTCATTCCCGGTGAATACAGCGAGTCCGACCTCATTTCCAACACCGACGAGCAATTCAGCGGATGGCTGTGCACACACTCGAGCTGGGGATACGGCATCCCCAGGAGCGATATCGCCAAGTACACCGGCTCCAACAGGGCTCTTCGATTCTTCGAGACCTGGCTCTGAGGGAATCACTTCACCGAGCCAGGTTGACGGTGGATTGTCGACCAGCTGGGAGCAATCTCCTCAATTGATTCCTATCTCTGAGTCTGTACCGCAGTTTCAACTTGGACAGTCGACTTTTGATACGTCATTCCCGACTTCCATCGAAGCAGGACTTGGTCTCAGATCACTCTCGGCATTTGCGTTTCACTCAAACCCAGTGTCTCAACCTGTGTCCTTCATGCGCCACTCGGTCGATGGCACTCATGGCCACTCAGAGTCTAGCATGTTTGACCAGGCCAAGGAAAACATCATGCACCCTTCGCATGAAGGAAACAACTCGCATCTCACTTTGGGGTCCGTGCCGAGCAGGACTGGAACTTTCCGCAGCCCTGGTGATGCCGATGCACTGCATTCTCTGCTTTTCGGCGCACACGGCAAGTCAGCGGGGCAAAGCAATGTAGCAGATTCTCCAGGGCTAGGTACAGCGCCAACAGCGCTAGAGTCCGCTCACGACTACTCCGGATTGGTCGACCATCAAATTCTACCTGACAGTACGCAGGCGACCGATGAGACGTCTCAAGAATTTTCCCTTGCTGAGAACAAATGGCACACTTATCTGAATAGTGTCACCGACAACTATGGCCTGGACTCGGGACGTTCAGATCATGATCTCTCCTTCAACAACGACCATGCAGCCATTGACATCAATTATGCTTTGGACTTGATTAGCTCTCGGCGCAGTCAGGATGCACCGCAGTCGACAACCACGCAACCGGTTCCAGGGGCTGAGGGCCAGGTCCAATTCTGCAGTGGCTACTATGCCTCCCCTGTGCCCATCAATATCCCAAGATACCTATCTCCCCTGCCACCTTCGCTTCTGGAAAACCCCATCAACTTGATGTATTTCCACCATTTCCTAAATCACACTGCGCGAATGCTTGTTCCTCACAACTGTGACAACAACCCATTCATCTCGGTTTTGCCGTCAAGTAAGTGATCCTTTTTTGGGGAACTGTGTCCTTACTGACCCAAAAGTGGCCATTGGCGATTCGAATCTTTTGAACTTGCTGCTTGCGTATTCTGCTAGCCACCGCGCACGATATCTCGGCCATCCCGAACCAGCCAATCGAATTGCTCACTGGGTTAGCCAGGTGTTTCCGACCCTGCGTATTGCGTTGGAATCTTCTCATGAAGACATCACAGATAGCCATCTTGCCACGGCTATCATGCTTCTCTCATTGAAGATTGTGTCCCCGGGTACTTTTGAGGCCCCTATCACCTGGAAGAGTCATCTCAAGCTTGCTCGTGACCTTTTCCTCGCACGGAGCGACTCTATGGCGCAGCCAGGAAACCGAATCGGCGCCTTCTTTTCCCGCTGGTTAGGCTACCTTGACACTATGGGATCCTTGTCGTGTCGCCAAGCTGGTCCTCCTCTAACAATCTACAGCTCTATCCTGGCTGCCTGCTCGTCTTCTGATGGCTACGATGAGTATGCCGTTGATTGCTTCACGGGATTTTCCCCTCGGACTGGTGTATTTTTGATCCGCCTTGCGAGCTTGGTTCAGCAGTGCGATAACCAGCGGTTCGATGAGATGGGCCATTTCCAACATGACTGGCATGCCTCTGCAGACATGGTTTTGGAAGCTCAGTCGGTGCTCGGTGAAATCGATGGGATCAGCGAACGTGCTCACGCCAACCCGGAGCACCACCATGGCATCGAGTCCTCAGATATGATGGCCATTGAAGAAGCATTCCGTTTCGCTGGCTTACTGCATCTTCACCGGCGCGTGTTGGGTTCGTCGCCGGATTCGTTCCCCGTGAAGGAGGTATTGCGCAAGTTGGTCGATGCCCTTGGCCGGATGCGCCCTGGTGCTGCCACCGAGGTCTGCTCGCTGTTTCCTCTTTTTACGGCTGGTTGCGAGTCGAAAGATCCAACGCAGCGATCCAAGCTTTTAGATCGGTTCCTGGTGTTGGAGCGTTCAGGCATGAAGCAGGTAGGTGGTCTCTTGTGCTCGTTTCCGCTCTGATACTTAACCTTAGTAGATCCAAAATGCCCGCCAGCTCGTACAGTGCTGTTGGGAAAGAAAACTACCCTGGGTGGCCCTGGCTGGGGGGCAGTTTCTGGGATAGCCAGGCCTTCTATCTTGTAGACAACCTATCTTGTTTTACAATCATGCATGGGTTGTCTACTAGGTAGTACTTTGTCGGACTTAGAACCACCAGAAATGTGCAGAATATGTAGACTTTCAGTTCTCCCTTCAATATGTTCCATGCCATGACCCCTGCCTAAATCACTTCCCGAGTCCCCGCATGTCCACCTCGGCACATCCAACTCGGCGCTCTTTTCCCCGAGATCAACATTCTTGGCTTAATCCCCCGAGAGTCTGTTCACTTGCCCTGCTTCGGAGTTTCATCTTTCTGGCGAAGTTTAGCCGTGAAGACCAATGAGCGCTGTTTCCCCGCAAAAGTGCAGCCCAACTCCCCCACATTCGTCACAATCGGCATGTCGGTGCGTTGATCGGCCGAGATGTGAGGTCGGCGAGATGTTCTGACGACCTTTCCCTTGCGTCTTGCATGGTCCCTTCGGTTATCATTGGACCGCAAGGCCTGGGAAGATCCCTCAGCTTTCATTAATGCCTCTCTATGGGCTCATTGATCTCATAGAATGCATGTGAGCTTCAAAGTATAAGTATCCCCCTCATGCTGGCATATTGATCGACAGACTCTTGATTTCTAACTTGGAAGCTGCCATGTACCTCGCTACACTGCTTCTTGGGCCTCTCACGGTTGCCGCATCTCTCGTGCCATACGATAAATATATCTTAGCCCCAAAGACCCGAGACTTAGTTCCGACCTCCATTCATAATGTCAACGGCTCAGTGACCAACGCCATCTCTTTGACTCGCCCGTCGGGAAATGCCACCTTCCATGGGGTTTCATCGGTCACGTATGATTTCGGGATCAATGTGGCCGGCCTGGTCTCCTTGGATGTCGGGAGTGCCTCGTCTTCTGCTGCCTTCTTGGGTGTCACTTTCTCCGAGTCAAGCCTGTGGGTCAATGAGCTAGCCAGTGACGCCACTGGCGACTCTGGCTTGGATACGCCACTCTGGTTCCCAGTGGGCAAGGGACCAGGAGAGTACAAGCCGGAGGAGAAGCACATTCGGGGTGGGTTCCGCTACCTCACGATAGTGAGCAACACGACTGCCACTGTTCAGGTCAATGGAGTCCGAGTCAACTACACCGCAGCTCCTGACCAAGATCTTCGTGCCTACACTGGCTACTTCCACTCCGACGATGAGTTGATCAACAAGATCTGGTATGCGGGTGCCTACACTAATCAGATTTGCACGATCGACCCCAAGCAAGGCAATTCGCTGGTGCACTTGATGGACGACAGCTCAACTGAGATTGAATTGCCGGAAACCGCCACCTGGTGGAACAACTATACCATTACAAACGGGAGCAGCACAATCACCGACGGTGCAAAGCGCGATCGTCTCGTGTGGCCCGGTGATATGTCAATTGCTCTGGAATCCATTGCTGTCAGTACCGGTGACCTGTACAGTGTTCGCACTGCTCTAGAGTCTCTTTTTGTCCTGCAGAAGGCTGATGGCCGTCTGCCCTATGCTGGAAAACCATTCTTCGACGCTGCAAGTTACACTTACCACCTGCACAGTTTGATCGGTGCTTCCTATCTGTATCGCTTCTCGGGCGACAAGAAATGGCTTACGCAACACTGGTCCCAGTATAAGCGCGGTGTGCAGTGGGCCATCTCGAGCGTGGATAGCACAGGTCTCGCGAATATCACCGCTAAAAGTGACTGGTTGCGGTTTGGAATGGGAGGCCACGTATGTGCAGACATCTTCGAGGTAGATTGCATGCTAACCAGTCCTGCAGAACGTCGAAGCAAACGCCATTTTATACTACGTCCTTCAAGACGCCCAGACGCTTGCAGGCGAGCTCCGGGACACATCTTCCGCTGCCAAATGGAAGCGCATCGCAGAAAAAATCAAGATCGCCGCCAACAAGAAACTTTGGGACGACGAGAACGGACTTTACACTGACAACCAGACGACAACTCTTCATCCCCAAGATGGAAACGCATGGGCTATCAAAGCAAACCTTACAGATTCGGCCAAGCGAAGCACCATCGTGTCCAACGCCTTGAAGGCACGATGGGGCAAGTATGGCGCACCAGCACCCGAGGCTGGTAAAACAGTCTCGCCATTCATCAGCGGCTTTGAGCTGCAAGCCCACTTCCTAGCTAACAAGCCCAACTCGGCCTTGGATTTGATTCGCCTCCAGTGGGGCTTCATGCTGAACGATCCCCGAATGACTCAGTCGACTTTCATTGAAGGCTATTCAACGGACGGGTCTCTCCATTATGCTCCTTACTCTAATGATCCTCGAGTCTCCCATGCTCATGGATGGTCTACGGGCCCAACATATGCCCTGACTGCATATGCGGCTGGCATTCAGCTCATTGGAGCCAGTGGCTCTACATGGAGCTTTACACCGCAGCCAGGGAACTTGACCTTTATCGATGCGGGCTTCACAACCTCACTTGGGAAGTTCGCGGCCAAATTCCGTACATCTGGTGGCAAGTTTGTCCAACTGTCTTTCGCCGCTCCATCTAACACTACCGGGAGTGTGTCCTTGCCGGGGACCAAAGGCACATTGGTGTCTAAGAGGGGCAAACGGGTTGTACTATCTAATGGCTCAGCTACTGGCTTGAGTGGGGGTACTTGGGAGTTACACGTTTAAAAGAGTCTAGCTGAGAACTCCACAAATCAACTTGCGTTGTGTTTCTAAAGCAGACAGCTTGAGATCTAAAACATTGTTCAAGTGATATTTCCGAGTGCTTCAAGTTTTCAAGGAGGAAAATTCGAGTATATCATCTTGCGGCATTTTGGATCATAGAATGATGTGACGAAGGAAATGGCAATGTTTACACGGACTAGACACTAGAAACTACATCCATGATGGATGTAAACAATGTCAGGCGTGCCAGGCGAAAGCTTAGTAATGTTGGAATGAAATGATATTGTACAAAGTGAGAGTATGTAGCTAGGTAGTAGAGAAGTTCTATCTTCGAGGATATGTTCAAGAGAAAGTAATGATAAGCCCGATCAGCCAATTCAAGCCCTCTTGGTCTTAGCCTTCGAGCTCCTGACACGGAAGAGGTAGTAGAGGGAGATGGCAGCAAAGATGTTAAACACGAAATAGCACCAGAAGATACCATAGTTCCTCCAGCGGTCTTCCCAATGAATTTGGCGAGCAGCGAGGTACTGATCAGCCGAGCTGATGGAGCAGTACTCACAGTTGGAAGTAGCATCCCAATTGGAAAGCTTGCCCGCAGCGGTTTCGAGGTACTTGGACATATACTGGCCACAGGTTTGACCGGAGGGAGGATCAAAGATACTCATCTCGGCAGCATTGCATTCGACCTTTCGGTTGTGAAGTGCCGTTGCGCCGATTCCACCAATGTAGTAGGTGAATGGTGAGACACGATACATGAAGATCCAGAAGCCAGGAAGGTCATCGGGAGGCTGCATGACACCGTTGAAGATGAATGAAAGACCGAACATGAGAGTGGCAAGCATGGCTGCAACGGTGGGCTCTGGAATTGCGCAAACAACCAGCTGTGCCATACTGGCGGCATAGATGTAGAATTGAACAATGAAAAGCATGATCAGGGCGCGACGCTCGCCATCTTGCTCGGCGCCAATGACGGACCAGTAGAAGCAGGCCCAAGCGCAAATACCGAGGATGACTTGGAAAGGAATTTCCACGAGCATCTGAGAGAGGATGAAGACCTTCCAGGAGTAAATTCGAGATGGGCGCTCACGAACTTCATACAAAGAGCGCTGGACAACGAACTTGGGCATGATTTGATTGACCAAAGTGTTGAAGATCGTGCACAGGAGGAAGACACTGAAAAGAACGTTTTGGAAACCTTGCTGAGTGCTGTCGGATTTCCAAAACGAGAATCCAATGAAGAGACCAGAGACAATACCCAAGATGAACTTGGAAAAGATGTATTCTGGCTGGCGGTAGTATTGTTGGAAGACACGAGCGAGCACATGGTACAGCTGGCTGTGCAGTGGCATGGCAAACTCGGCATTGTCATCGTCCAGCTCCTCAAGAGCAGAATGGTGTACAGATTCTTTGCGGGAATGAAGTTTCTGTAACTCAGCTTCGACCTCTTGAGATTCAGGACTCTTGTTCCAAACATCGACCCAGTCAACGGAAGATGAATCACCGGCAGCCATCTCGAGCATGTACTCCGCTGGGTTTTCAAGCGGAGCACATGGACGAGCGCCATTGTGTTCAAAGTAGTTCAGCAGTTGAGAGGACCCGGTTCCGATGTCTCCAAAGTAAACGGTCTTTCCACCCTTGGCCAGGAAAAGCAGACGGTCAAATGTTTGGAACAACTGGGCACTGGGCTGATGAATAGTCGCGAGAACAGCTTGCCCGTGATCAGCCAACCTTCTGAGGAACTGGCAGATCGTCCAAGAGCTCTGAGAGTCCAAACCACTGGTTGGTTCGTCGAGAAAGATAAGTAGAGTGGGCTTGGCCGCAAGTTCGACTCCAATGCTAAGCAACTTCCGTTGCTCCACATTCAATCCCTCTCCAAGATTTCCCACCACGGCTTCGGCAAAGTCTTCCATGCCAAGGACCTCGATGACCTGTTCCACGTAGTCGTACTTCTCCTGCTTCGAAACCTTGGCGGGCTGGCGAAGCATTGCACTGAAACGCAAAGCCTCCCTGACCGTGGTGGTGTCCAAGTGCAGATCTTGCTGCTGCACGTAACCAGTCCGACGAGGGAAGTTCGGTGCAAGATCCTTCCCGTTCACGAAGATATCACCCGAGACCACTCCAATGGAGACTCTCTGTGCAAGGACATCCAGGAGCGTGGTCTTTCCGGCACCGGACACACCCATCAATGCAGTCAGGCTGCCCGGTTTGACCCAACCATTGACATTGTCCAATAGTCGTCTGGTGCCCTCTTTCACGGGAATGTCATAGTTGAGCCCGTTCCAAGAAAGGATGTCGTTTTGTTCGGGAAGACGAATAGTCTCACTTGTGGTGTCGTTGGTAGCCTGCACCTCAAGCTTGTTGACTTCCTCCTCGCCCAGTTCAATGGTGTGGCCCTTTTGAAGATACTGAGGTGCATGTCCAGGGCGGAAAACCAGAGCCTCGGCCTTGGATTTGTCGTTGGTGATGAACTCAGTAGCGACGAGGTAAAGAGTATTGAGCGCGATTAGAAAGGCAATCAGGATCCCATAGTTTCTCCACATATGCGAGTGCTGGTAATGATAGTTCTGCTCAATGAAGTCATCCCCGGAAACAGTTTGTTGGCCTGCAACTGCACCGACGGTGGAGCAGATGAACGATGTGCCGGTTCCGTAGCTTGGAATGAATGAAGAGCAGTCGAAAGTCCGACCGTGGAACTCATTGGCAACGAGAGATTCGAACGTGTAGTAGATGGGGTTGATCCAGCGAATCCAAGAAAGCCACGGATGCATGTATGGCTGCGGCAGGGTGAAACCGGTGTACACCACAATACACAGTACTAGAACACCGGCAATCGCCATAGCTTGTCCCACACTCTTGGTCAACGCTCCCACGCTGCGGAACAGACCCGACATGGACAGGACAGCGGTGAGCAAAAACAGGTAATGGATGAAGAATGCTCCGGGCTCGCGTCGCAGTTTGGCCATGAAATACAGTACAATTGTGAAGACTGAAATTCGGACCAACTTGATTGGCAAATCGATGACCAGACTGGCTAATGCCTCGGTGAAAGGATGGACAAATGCATAACCCGCTTGTTTTTCAACCACGGGCCGTTGGGCATAGAGCATGAGGATTTCGTTGATCGTGAGAAGAGCGTTCATGAGCACAGCAAAGTACATTACTGCACCCTTTTGGAAGAAGTAGCTGGAGGTGTCGGGGGTTTGGTAGAAAATGGATCCAATGATTAGAGAGAGAACAATCTGCACAATGACGGGTGAAAGAGCCGTTGGCAGATCTTGAAGCATGCGCTGGTAGGCTCGATGCATGCAGAGTCGCACCTGCATCGGAATAGAGAGAAGGTAGGGGCTGCGAGCTCGAGTGTGGCGAGCCTGCTGCTCTTCGTGGCTGTCTTGGAGTCGTTTGGCGTCGCTGCCATTTGGAGGGTGTTGACTCTCGAAGTCAGAAATCTCCTTGTTCAGCAGTTGATACTCAGGGCTTTTCTTCCAGTATTCGGCAAACTCCTTGGCTGTACGAGGCACGTTGCCCTCCATGCCGGGCAAGGCTCGGCGCTCGGCTGGGTTGGTGATGGCTGTCAAAAAGTCACCACTGACTTGACGCTCGGGTCGTTCCCATCCCATGTCTTGAAAGTAGCCCACTGCACGCTCCCTGGGTCCGTAGTAAATCTGGTACCCTTCATACAGCAGAACGACCTTGTCGAAAAGGTCATACATCGATTGTGAGGCCTGGTAGGCGGCAATGGCGTGGCACGATGAGCCCATGTCGGCCGAGAGACGAAGGGATCGGACGAACTTGAGCGCAGATGCAGCATCCAGACCACGGGTACTGTTGTCCCATGCCCCAATGCGGCAGCGGGCCAGGAACATCTCCGCGATACTGACTCGCTTTCTCTCGCCTCCACTGACTCCGCGGACAAATTCACTGCCCACCTTGGTGTTGTAGGTGTGTGACAATCCGAAGATTGAGAGCACCACTTGCGTGATGGTCTTGACGTACTCATCGCGAGAGACGCCTTCGAGGCGTTGGTGCGGTGCGCGAGCATGGGCAGCAAACTCCAGGGTTTGGCCAACGGTCAAGTGGGGGAAGTGCAGGTCGACTTCCTTGTTGTAGGCGACTTCACCTCGGTGGTGCTTGATCATGTGGTCGAAACCAACTCCTTCGTAATGGAGGGTACTCTCTGGTTCGAGGGTCAGGCCGCCCAGATGGCCGGTGATGGTTTTCATGAATGTCGTACAGCCACTGCCCGGTCGACCGAGGACCAGGAGAAGCTCTCCCCCTTGGAGAAGTCCATCGAAGCTGTGCAGGATTTGTCTCGGGGGCGTTGAACGGCCCGACAGCGCGTTTGCTGCGGCTCGGAAAGGAACCCTCAGGCTGGAGGTCAGGGTTTCTTGATATTGCAGGGCGGATCCAGAGCCACTGACACAGAGGTTGGAGAAGACAACTCCCTGGTGTGGAACATCGATACCTGCATCATTGACCTGGTCCAATACCACTTGTGCCCATTGGCGATGATCGAACTGCGGGTTGGTGGGATCGAGATGCGGCGGGGTCCCATCTTTGTGGCTTGCTGCTTTTGAGATCTGTTGGCCAAGCTTGCTGGAGGCAATCCGTGCGAGTGTCTGTTGCTCCCTTTCTTCTATCACGGTGGCTGTCCGCTCCATCGGGGCGAACTCAGCCTGGTCTTTCTCCATGTTGAGAAAGCACTGGACGTGTCACTGCAGGGTTGCAAAGTGCGAAACCAGGCATTTTAATGGAAATCGGGGACGGAGCGACAAGTGGAGAGGGATCGATGTGAATATCGGGACTAACACGTCCCGATGTATAAATCGGTGGAGCGGGCTCCGTCTTGCCGACGCGGACTTAGGCCTTAGCCCTCGGACATTTGCAATCTCCAAGGCCATCGTCCGTCAGATGCAGTGCTGCATTGCGCGGCTCGTTTTCTCATGAGTCACCCTCCATTCTCGCCCGATTTCCTCAATCCAGAGCATCAGCGAGTGGGTGCGTTCATGCGACTATTTTCATCGTCCTGCCGATCTCATTTCCCCTTTCTCCACATGATCGGGAAGCAGGATTTTTCTCCCAAGTCGAGCCCAAGGGTAAATGTGCTGTTTGCGCATGCAGTGTCAATGTCCCGTTTAGGGCTTTCAGGCTTCATATATGTACTCCGTAGCGAGGTGCGAAGACGCAGGACGGAGTCTATTTGCTCCGGTCATGGTCACGTGGTGGATCTGATAACCTTGGAGCACGTGATACTCCATGTCCTCCAGGGCTGAGACTGTGCCCTCATAGATGGGTTTAGTTCCAAAGGATTGCATTTGCGAAAAATCCACAGGACTACATGAATCTTACAGCTCGCAGTCGCGGTGAACTTGATATGGGTATTTAATTGGGATCTCGATTGTAAGATTAACATGCGGGCGGAGTACCTAGTCTAGGTAGCTTATGGTGATTAAGTGCTAGCAGACATGCATCCATGGATACGACTAAACATACACAGGTCTCATAGAGCATATGACATTGATCAGAGCGGTATCGAACCAGGATTAATGACGAGCAGGCAGAAGCTTGCGAGAGCGACCATCGGGCATGATATCGCCAGAGTCACTATCGCTCTCGCTCTCGCTGTCACTCTCACTGTCTGAATCAGAACCGTCGCTATCATTCTCGGATCCGCTACTGACGGACGCGCGAACGGAGCGAGACCGGGAAGACGGGCCAGCCTCTGCGGCGGTGGGTGCTGGGGTTCGAGCCTTAGCAGCAAGTTCCTCCTTCTGGTCAAGAAGTAATTTCTTCAGGAGAGATGAACCTCCTTGGGATGCAGGCTGGGGGGATGCCGACCCTGCAGAGGTGGTCATTATAGAAGCTGCGCGAGAAGTAGTCGATGGCGCAGGTGACTTCGAATTTGGCTTGGCAGACGCTGCTCGTGTAGAAGTTCCCTGTTCAGTGGCCGTTTTGCCAGACACAGGCTTGGGAGGTGTTGGCTTTGCAGGGGTTGGCTTCGAGGCTTCTTCCTTCGATTCAGCCGACCTCAATTTTTCACGCATCTCATCTAACTCGGCTCGAAGGCCCCGTCGATCCACGATCTTCACTTTAGGCATCCGTTTCAGCTTGCGTAGCATGAGGTTCACAATCGATTCGACGTTCGCAGGAAGTGAGCCACGGTTAAGCTTTTCGTTAAGACGAGCTTGTTCCTGATTTTCCAGCTTTCTGACAGCTGCCTCCTCTAGCCTCTTCTGGATTTCACTCTTTTGGGACTCCTGTGTTGCTTTCAAGTCGTAATTGGATGTTTCTGATGGGTAAACAGCGTCGATCGAGCTTCTAGAGGGTGTAATTTGGTTGTGTTTGGCGGTGAGGGAACTGGGTGAAACATGCTTGGACAAGTCGTCAGCACGAGCTTGCGATTCCTTTTGTGAGGTGGGGTTTCCAGCAGGCATTCTCGTGATCCCGAGTCCTAATCCGCGTTCCATATGTTGACCAGGGGATCGCCGTTGCATCTCCTTTGCCCAGTTTGCTCGACGCTGTGGGCTACAGAAAGATGGTGGCGGCGGGATGCGCTGACTCCTGACTGGTGAATGCACAGCTGGCGAGGCGGGAGACTTCGGTTCGCAGGGTGACACCTTGACGATCTGAACATCGCCATCTGGAGATGCGCTCATGGGTCGTGTCGACGGGTGAGTTTGCTTCACACGAGCTTCCTTGTTCGAAACAGAGTTTTCGGAGCTCTGTTTGCGCTTCATGGGGATAGAGTCGTTACGGTCCGCCAAGGTCGGCGGTTTTGAGCTATGACTGGGCGATGCCAGAACATTTGGGTTCTCGGCCTCTGGAGACTTCGATCCAGAATCTTGTCTCACCGATTGGGAAGCAGGTTTCACACGAGCTTCCCTTGTTGGAGAAGGTTCGTCGATGCTGAATTTGCGCTTCCGAGAGGCGGCGGTATTCGTTGATGGCCGCGAGCCATTGGATGCGTCAGTCATCGAGACATCGCCGTCGGCATTAGGCTTGTCCTGGCCCTTATCCTCATTCTCAGTGGACTTGGCAGGGTGAGGCTCCTGGGGCTGCGAGATATCCAAGTTTCCTCCAGCTGAGGCTTGCCGTTGACTAGGCTGATTTTCATCGGCCTTCGGCTCTAACGTGTTCTCCGCATTGTAGTTTGACTTGTCGGAGTCTGAATCTGAGTCGTCCTCGGTTGAGTCGCCGAGGTCAAATGGTTGCGGTTGCGACAGTGATGGGTGTGGAAGTAATACTGCAGGAGAGGATTCCGAGTTGGACGACTTTCGCTCATACGGCAAAAGCGAAATGATTCGGGTGCCTGGCGTGGCAGCCCGCCGTTTGGACAAGGGAAGGCCTTCAGGATCTGCCGTCTGCGGCTGAGTCTGTGGGTATGTCCAGGGAGGAAGCGAGGATGGAGGTGTTTCGCCTAGCTCTTCGCTACCGCCTCGAGGTGGAGGTGTACCGGCGATCGAGATTTCGGTGTTCGCAAGGCGCGCGAGGTCGTCGTGATCGTACTCCACTGAAGACAGAGGGTAATTGCGTTGGTAGTGTTCGACATTATTGGCAGGTAGTGGCTTGCTCTGGGAGTCCTTCGGCGGAGAGGGTTTATGGGGGAGGGACCAAATGTCTTTGCTGGGGGTGTCGTCTTCATCCTCCTCGTGGATCGGGGAGATTCGGCGTGCTCCCACTTCTCGCTTTTGCTTGGATTCTCGGCGGCGTTGGAAGGCTATAGCGGCCGCATCCCAGTCTTGTACCACGGAGGGGAATCGCTCTGGGGCTGCCTCCGCGGGTTTCTGAATGACGCGGACCGAGCCCTCTTGGTCGAGCCCGTCGGCGCGCGCTTTTCCATGATTCACCCATACGTCGGCAACGGTGAGCTCGGGGTAAAGTTCGGCGTCCACTTTCTTATCGTCGAGGATTGTCTTAATCGCCAGGGGCCTGTTGATCTCGTCGTCAGCGCATGCAATTCGGTGAAACGCGGAAACCACTCACTCAAGATCCGGGTGCAGATAGCGCCATTTCTCTTGAATTAGGCCTACCAGGCCACCCAATGTCACTCTTTCGGGGTCTTCGATTGGAAGCAGGAAGATGCCTGGCTTCTTGGCGGTGACAGAGGTTGCGTGAACCTGCTGCCGAGGGAAGATCTTCACGGTCAGGCGGATAAACACCATGGCCGTTTCTTGAGCTCGGAGGAAATTGCAAAAGAGGCTTATGGCATTTCAGTGAGAGTAGCCCTGGAGAAAAGTGAGAGTGAACAGAAAGGAAAAAAACAACGCTGCGCAAAAACAAAGAGATGCAAGAAGAGGCAGAGAAAAAAGAAAAGTCGACCCGCTTTCTCCACATCTTTATACTGGGCGTTTACTCTGCACTGTCATTGTCCCCATTGTACGTTCTATTGTCGTTTCTACTGTCATGTCAAAGAGACAACGCGATTCATTTCATTTGTAGCCCACTAATCAAGGGATGTCGGCACTTTTCTCCTCCGGCCGCTCTCCCCATCCTGGGGGTAGCGCCTGAACCTCGTAGTTCCAGCCAAAGGTATCTTCCACGTCTCCAGACTGAATGCCGCGAAGGGTCCGCAGCAGGTTCACACAGACCTCTCCACCCTGATTGTGCTCTCCGCGGCTGTAGGTGAACTTGTCTCCGCGCGACCGCATCGTGATGCTCCCCACGGGAACCAACGCCGCCGCAGTCCCTGCAGCGATAACCTCCTCGAATTCCGGTAGCTCCTCGTAGGCGACGCGTCTCTTCTCAACGCGATATCCGAGAGAGCGCGCAATCTCCAACACGGACGCCGCAGTGACCGAATCAATCGCATTGCGACTGTCGGGCTGAACCACCGTGACAGTGTCACCTTCACGCTTGACTCCAATGAAAGCGGACGTAGAGAACTCATCAATCTCACTGCGTGTAGCACTATCCAGATGCAGCGTGATGCCGAATCCTTCCCCACGCGCGCGATCACTGTGTCGCAACACAGGCGCATAGTTTCCCCCAACCTTGGCATTGCCCGTTCCAAATGGCGCGCAGCGATCAAAGTCCTCCAGAATCAACGCATCCACCGCATTGGCTCCATGGTACACGCCCGTCGGCATCGCAAACACCGCAAGCGTATATTCATCAGGCGGACTCAACCCTAGCTGCGCCGAGGATCCAAACAACACAGGACGGATGTACATGGCGGCTCCGGAGCTGTGCGGGGGCACATACTCAGCATTGAGACCGACGGCGAGGCGAACACACTCGACGAAGACATCCTCCGGAACGGGGGGCATGGAAACCACCTCAGCGGAGTGCTGCATGCGCAGCGCATTGCGATCGGGGCGGAAGATGGTGATCTTGGTGTTGTCTCGGTTTCGGAAGGCCTTCAATCCTTCATAGACTTGCTGGCCGTAGTTGAAGCCGGGGGCCATGCCATGGATTGGGAGGAAGGGAGAGGCCACGAACTTGGGCGTGGACCATTTGGCGCCTTCGCTGTAGGAAAAGTGTGCTTCGACGTGGCCATTGCCTATCAGTGTTAGTTATGGGACGTCCATGGAATCCAAATCACATACCATCTCGGACTTTGAAGCCCAGATTGGCCCAGTCGAGATCAATGGGTGGTGGTGGGAACATATTGTGGGGTTGTCGATCCGGGAACTCCCCCGCGGTCAGCAAAGGTCTTTATATGCTGACTGTTGGGCTCTCGGGCTGCCTTTGCCACTCGAATGCCTTTCCATTGGACCCTTGTCCTTAGTCTTCGTGCATTGATTTCACTCTCAGCCCCCACGATGTAAAAGAAGCAAATGGGACAATCTGCAGGGGCAGTAGAGTACAGAATTTGTGTATGGATTCCTTCCACAACTTGGAATTGGAGGCTACATTCAGCGTTTAGATTTCACATGTTCTAATAGGCGAGACTGCCCAGGGTGTCAATGAGATTGATGTACCTAGTATACCTAGGTCTTGCGGTACGAGGTAGATGAGATGGCTATTCCTGCGGAACAAAATACCTCTGGAACCGATCAATCCGGGTCAGTCCCAGCTCAAGGATCACCTCATGACAGCTCATCAACAAGCTGGGGAACTTGACAGCCCAGAACATCAAGTATCCTTCTGGCAATCCGCCAATACTGGCCTTCAGGGTCTCCGGCATATCATTGTAATGATTGCGCTTGTTGCGAAGAGCACGGAGGAGGTCCAGCATGCGCGATCCAGTGTACTTGCGCTGTTTCCCGAGACTGTCTTTAAATTCCCGCGATAAAACGCGCAGGAAGTCCATCTCCGGGCCCATGACTTCCCGCGCCACTGACTCGAGACAGAGCAGGGCGTCGGATGGAGGGTCCCGGCACTCGAACTCGAAGTGGTCAGACACGTCACAGAGGAAGTTGAGCCGGTCTGACGGGGTCCAGAAGAACGGATGCATCAGGACAGCACTGGCGTCAGGTCGCTGCCGGGGATTGAGGGAGAGCATGGAGCGGATGAGATCCTTGGCTTCAAAGGCGTAGTCTCCGAGCGTGTTCAGCTCTTGGAGATCAAAGTGCCCCTTCACAATGTTGGCCTCGCGCATGAACTTGCCGTTCTTGTCAAAAGGATGACTGCCATAGGTCAAGACATAGTAGAAGACGCACCCCAGGGAGAAGATGTCGATGGCTCGAGTGGCACGGCGGTTGGTCTGCGGATCAACGACAGCAGGTTCCGAGGTTTCGGTATGCTGAGATGCCAGTGACATGGGGCCATCATCGTCGACGAGGAGCTCGGGGGCTCGCCAGCCTGAAGTGCCAGCGGCATGGGCGGTAGTGGCGCGGAACGAGCTTTGGTTGTCGTCCAGCTTTTTACACAAGCCAAAGTCCGAGATGAGAAGTCGGAGAGATTTGGAGATTGATCGACCACGAGGCATGGCAACCAGGATATTCTGCGGCTTGAGATCACGATGCACGATTTTCAGAGAGTGCAAGTAGCGGACGCCCTGTGTGATCTGACGCAGAACATCTGGCAGGTCCAACCCGCTCTGGACTAACTCGGGGTAACTCCTAGGTCGCTCGATGACGTCTTGCAAAGAGGCTGGACAGAGTTCAAGGCCAATGTACAAGAAACCAGTGGCTTGCTCTCGGCAGAAGTACCGGATGACATTGTGGTGGTCGTCGCTCTCTTGCAAAAGACCAACCTCGTGGGATGCAATGTCATAGAACTCCATCAGCATGCGCTTGACCGCCACGTCTCTGCCATCGAAAGAGCCTTGGTAGACAACGGTTCCATGGCTTCCATGTCCCAGAACGGTATTGGTGAACACTTGCAGTCTGCCGATGCGAACGACGCCATCCAGTTCCTGGATTTCATTCGACACCGTTCGCACCATCTGGACATCGGGTTCGAGTCGGGGCTGCGGAGCCATGTTGGCGACCTGCTCAACGATCTGCTCCGCGTCGGGACTGTCACCTTCGCTGCCAGGCTTCTTGCGGCGACGGTGAGACTTGCCGCCTCGCGATCCACGAGCGCGTGGCTTCTTCTTTGGCTTCCCGGGCTCGTCACCCTCTTCATCGTCGGGACCGCGGGATGGTTCGCGAATTTGGACCCGCGGGGTGGAGTTTGGCGCTGAGAGCTGCTCTTGGGAGGCGCGAGGGGTTGACTCGCCTTCTGGCATCGACTCGTTCAGATCGATGTCCACGGTGACATTTGGGACTTGCTGGTTTGAAGTAGAGCGTTTGAGGCTAGAAGCACCGCCAACAACAGGGGTGGAGGGGGCAGACAGGGATGGCTTGTCGTTGGAATTGATGATGTTCTTGATATCAAGCTTCTGCTTGGCCAAGTCTCGAAGGTGATGCGAGTTGAAGTAGATGAATGTGCATATGAACAGTAGAATCAACGTCACAACAATGTCTAATGCATTATCCCAGCTCTTGCGGATGATAGCGCTGTTTCGCAGGGCAGGAGGCAGGGCCAGTTCAGAGGGGCTGCGGAGAAGATCCCGAGGGGTATCGTTGGAGAGCTCGGAGGTCGAAGAACCCGCAATCCTAGCGATGGGCGATCGAATGATTCGAGGCCGAGTGAGCGAATGGACACCCGCGAGCGCGTTCCTTTGCTGAACTGGAGTAAGGCTCATCAAGGCTTGTCCACGGCGGAGGAAATCCTTCTCGTAGCATTGGGCCATTGGTGCCCGGCCTGTTGTGAGTGGGTATGTCTCTTCTGAAAAGGCGTACCATCCACCAGCGTCGGTGCAGTCAATGTACACACGTTTATCGCGCTCGTCGCCAAGAGATCCGTAATCCGGGTCTGGGGGCTGAAGGGGCTGGGACAGCAGAACAAGCGGGGTGGAGGCATCTGGGGCATCCTTGTGGGTAGGACGCACGACGTCGAAGACTCGGGCGACGGGGGATGTGAATCGCTGGGTGTAACGAGGCCGGTCCATGCGGGAGTGGTCGAATCCGAGCACGACGCCATCATGCATGCTGTAAATGTGGCTTTCGTCCATCGTTCGGTAGTATTGACTCTGAAGATCTATGTCGCGATTATTGGGTGCCCATTCCGAATACTTCAGTGTGCAAATCGGGTCCCCCGTTTCGGTGTTTTGGATGGCGACCGCGTACTCCACTCGACCAAGCACCAAGGTTCCGGAGGTTGTCTCGCACTGCTCGGGGTCCAGGTCTTCGCCATCTACCTTGCGACATTCAGGACCTGTAGTGATCGGACCATGCGAGCTGAACACGCGCAAAATACTGCCTGTCCGAGCGTCAATGGTGTAAAGAGTGGTCTCTTTCCTCGCCGTGTAGGTCACCGCGGGGTCAGTGCCCGAGTAAGGAGTTTCATCCACCAGTTGTTTAACAGTCAAGCCCAGCTTCTGCAGTCCAGAGTCCGGACCGGGGCTGTAGACGTACAAGCTGCCATCCTGGCTGGGCTCGACGATCCACAGGAAATCATCTTCGGGCTCGGTGTCATCAAAACTGGAACGATTCGCGCGGTGGTAGGTACTTTCGACAACCGGGCTGCTGGGGACCTCGAGGGCCCAGCGAGCGGCGCCGGTTTTGCGATCTCGGGCGTGAATGGTTCCGTCGACGGTCGCCAGCAGGACAAAATCCTCAACCTCCCAGTCCTGCAAGGACCGCGCGTGAAGCTGCGAAGCCAGACCAGCATTGGTGCTGGCCTGGACAGGAGGGGCTCGAACGGCACGGCCGGAGCCTGCCAGAGCCAGAGTAGCAAGGGCGCTCGCATCGATGGGTTTCACGATGGGTGGTGTGGCCACATGGGCATTGTGGATGGATTCGGGTGCTAGGGGCACCGAGACTCGGGTGGAATCATCTGGATGCTGCTGCGGAGCGACCAGCGATGGGAGGAGGAGAAGGGCGACACTGGCGGGGAGGGTCGACCGGGCGCCTGGCAGCCGCCACCGCATTGTGGTACAATCAGCGCAAAGGATGAGAAGGTCGGGGCGAAGAGAGGAGGATGGAAGGTCGGAAAGAATCAATGGAATCCAGAATGTGGAGCGAAGTGACAATCCGGGTAGCGGATCATCCCCCACAGTGGACTATCAGGAAAAAATGCAATAGACGAAATGCAAGAAAAATAGACGAAAAAGAAAAGGACGTCTGCTCTGGTGTCACTCGCAGGAGAGTTGCAGAAGTTGAGAGGTGAAAGGCGAAAGGGGAACTGTGTGTATTACGCGTGTACTGTACAGTGACCAGCCTCCGCCGCCTCCACACGGCGTATCAGGAGGTACCGGTACTTTGGTCTAGAGTCAGAAGCTTCTAGACCAATGGGGCAGATGTTGCGAGGGCATTGCGAGGGCAGTGACAATTCAATGCATACGAAGACTAGTATATTCGGAGTCTGAAACCGAGAAAAGCAGGTCCAATTCACCAGAGAAAAGATAAACCATCCAACGCCGCAAACCCCAATCCTCCACAAAGTATCGAGGAAAGACAGAAAAATTAAGTGAAAAAGGGACACAAGAAGAAGGATAGATACAGGGAAATGGCCCAAGACCAGAAAGAAACTATAACACAAGAGGGATCACGTATGATTCCAAGAGAGAACGAGAACTGATTTAACCACCGCGGATCATCCAAGTCACGGCCACGGCCCAGCCGGTCACGAAGATGAAGGTCAAGACACCGGCACCCGCTTTGTCGCCCGTGCCAATGGTATTGAGGACAGGGACCTTATTTGCCGAGGAATTAGTGCCGGCGTTCGGGTTACTCTTGGAAGTGCCGCCGGAGTCAGCGGTGAAGGGGGCCTTATTCTTGAAGGGCACCAGATTGGCCGACAGCACACCCAGCACGGCCATCTGCTGCTCGAGACCGGAACTTTTGTCCCACTCGGCTTGCTTGGTCCAGCGAATGCCACACTTCACCCCGTCGTCGCCGCCCGAGCATTGCTTGGCTGCGGCTTCGGCGGAGGCCTTCAGCTGGGGGAAGACCATGTCGTAGGTGCCCGGAACGATGGTGGTCATGACGCCGATCCAGTTGGAGAAGTAAGACTTGAACGTGATTTGGTTTCGATCGCAATTGCCGAGGGGCTCGCAGGTAATGTCCGAGAGGATGAGATTGCCGCCGCTGGTCGGGAAGAACTGCTGGGAGGTCTTGTACAGCCCCTCGACGCCCTCCTTCCACTTCGTCTCGGTACCATTGGTCTAGGAAATAGGTTAGTATGGAAGCCGGCACGATCGGAGAGGCAGAAAGCAAGACATACGTAGTTGTGCATGTACGCAGCACCGCTGATGTAGGTGGCATAGTTGTAGGTCCACTGGAAATCACCATGATCGGTACACTGGGTCCCGCAGGTGGTGGAATCGGCAATGTTCCAGTTCTTCTGCTTGAGGAGGGGGGTGGTGGCACTCCAATCCCAGATGCGCTCGGCCCACTCGGCATAGGTTTTGTTTCCGGTGTAGAGGGCGAGCCGGGCGGAGAGCTGGAACAATCCGCCGTTGGAGATGGCATTCTTGGTCAGATAGCCGTTCTGGTAGGGCCAGATCTGCCAGCGCATACCACCATGACAGCTGCTGGTGTCCCAGCGGGGGTATTGGGTGTTGAACACGCCCTGTGCCAGCGAGACCCACGAGGGCTCGCCGTCTTTCTCGGGGTAGTTGAATTCCGCGGCGGTGATGGCGGCGAGGCCCCAGAAGACTTGGTCGTCGTTTCCGAGGTACTGACTGTAGTTGGAGGGGAAGAAATCGTCGTCGCCCTTCTGGAAGTACATGCCCTCCTGCACGGCGGCATTGAATTGTGTGTCGCCGGTCACCCACCAGTACAGGATCAGGGTCATGAACATGGAACCACCTTCCCACCACGTTCCGTCCATTTTACCGGGGATGTTGGCGGTGGCTCGACCATTGTAGTAGTCCATCATTGTCGTGGCGACGGTTTTGGCGGCGCTTTTGAGAGAGGCTGCGACCAGCCGACGTCAGTCCCGTGAGCGCGATTGAGGGGGAGCACCATACCTTCATCAGTGACAGTTAAATCAATCGCCAGCGCACCCTGGGCCGCCAGAGTGCCACCCAGGAGCGTGGCTAACCACTTGGAAAGAATCATGGTGGAAATCGGAGGGCATATGCTGAAGAGAGAAAGTTGGGGGGAAGGGTGTAACCGGTAGCAGTCCCGTTGCAGCGGCACCGTGCTGTCTCCGTCTAAGAATGTCCGGCTCGGGACGGAGTTGAGTGAAAGACAAGAATTGAATCTCCGTACGGAGTACAGTAGACACTATTAGTTCGCGCCTAAATCCAGACCCCTTACTATGGAGCCCTGGGTATTTTACGCCTGCAGCGGATGAAACATTGCCGCTGAGACATCCCTTGACCTTCGATGTTGTGTATCGCGAGTCTCATCACTGATACCTTTACTGTCTATTCCTGTTTATTCTATACTCCGCATGGACAGAAGAAAAAACTGGGTAGGCCGATCATCCAATTCGACCGATTTGCCGATCAGGACGAGACCCATAGAATACGAACACGAGAGAGAAGCATTGGACAAGACTCTTGGAGCTGCTTATTCCTCTTGGCTGTGTATTTAATACATACAATACATATAATACAATACACAACTCTGCTGCCTGTCTCGACACCAGATCTCTCAGGCACCCTTTAATTACCCTTTCGGGATCTATACTCTCTGAAGAGAACAGTCAGAGGTAACATTTGGAATCAATTGAACACCAACACTTTTCCATGATGGCAACAAGCACCTTCCAGTGCTGAGGGAATACAGTTTGAATTCAAAGTCTACCTAGGTATGTGCTGATCTGAGAATGTGTCAAAGCTATATATTAAACCTGATAGCAGTCCAGATCCTCAGTTTATCTTCCCGTCCAAGTCGGAGTATCTGTCCAAGGTTACTGGGGTCTTGAAACGAAGCTTCTTATCGACCCCATTGGTCTTCTCAATATCTGCCGGCTCCAACTCAAAAGCAATCTCAAAGTTCTGTTGGATTCGCTCAGCGGACTTGGATTTGGGGATTTATGGATGACGGACCGGCCGTTAATACCCCAGACTGAAGGATTATCGACTAGTAGTTAGTTCGACAGATCATCTCGGAAGGGGCACACATAGCCAAAGCGACTTGGAAGTCTTGCCGTACTTTTTACCGATGTCGACCACGGTCTTATCATTCACCAGCTGGCCATGTTGCTCCCGGGGCATTGTCTGCTGTAGCATCGCTCTGGATATACTAGGAAAATGATATCGCTTTTTGTACTGGTGCAAGTGTTCGGTGAAAATGGTGTTTAGAATGGCGAGTACGCCTCTTGATGCCTCAACTTGGAAGCTTTATCATGCTCAGGTGGCCGCGAGTGGCCCTTGATGTAACCGCAGTCTCGGATATCTAAACATGATCTGAACGTCTTCCGGCCGGTAAAAGAAGAAATGCCAACTTGGATGAATATGCGGAAGCCAACCCTTACTAGTCCATATATCTACTGTACTCCAGGTGTAGTCCAGTCTGCTACTATATTGATGCTGTGCAATGCCAAATGCGGACCTCGGGACTCGCCACCATCAGATGGGGTAGAATTGTGGATTCGGGTTAAATGCGTTGGGGCCGCTAGTCGCACCCTTCACCATCCCCGTACTATATCTATACAGAGTCCCAGTGGATATCTGTCCCAAATTGCAATTGAATATGACTGTCGGCGGCTGTTTTTGCGGTCGCGTACGAGTCAAGCTGAACGCACAGCCTCTGACCTCGGTGAGTAGACCCGGGAGACTCGCAGGGCCAAGCTCATGGGTTTAGGGACTCTGCTACTGTGACGATTGTCGCAAACTCACTGGATCCCCGTTCAGCTATAGCGTTATAGTCCACACGACCGACCTGGAGATTACGGGAACCCCCAAAGTCGTGGCCAAAGAAGCCGATAGCGGGAACGACATTCAGAATTATTTTTGTCCTGACTGTGGTAAGACCTCAGATGCCCCGTGCAAGTCGATGGCTGACGGAGATAGGGACGCCACTGTACGGGCACAAGATCACGAATGGAGAACCCGACGGGATCACCGTCATTCGGGCGGGGATTTTCGACGATCCTTCATTTTTGCGACGGAAGCCCGACGCGGAGATTTTCACCGGGCGACGACCCCAGTGGCTTAGCCCCGTGGAGGGTGCTGCGCAGTTCAGTGGCATGTTGCCCATGCCGGAGTCGGGGTGACGGACCTAGACAGCCGATGTTCCCAGGTCAATATACAGTCGCTACTTGGATAAGACGAATTTGGCTTGGGGCACCGTCTGGTTAAGACGATATTTCTCGGCTAAGTTAGGGTTCGACGACAAATAGGGGCACTCACCACTCACCATCGATTCCTTTCTTAATGTATATTTATCGCTATAACCAGGTGCTCTATGAGCCATTCAAATCCAAATGTCTGAGGATCGCCCCAAGATTGTTCGCCACCCGATACCAAATCACTAAAAAATCGCTCTGAGGAAGCACCGCCAAAAGTTACCTTATGCTACACAACAGCAGCTCGGAGAGTGGTTTTACAAGACTTACGATCATCGGATATCCATTTCTACCGTATCGGAGATTCTCTCCTCCAAATACCGGTATCTCGATGACGATCCGACCGAGCATGTCGTGAAAGCGAAGCGGTGTCGTACGGCAAAGTGGCCAGATCTCGAAGCAGCAGTTGCAGATTCGATCGCCCAGGCCGAGCACCAGCAACAGACTCCAATAACTTACGAGGGCGTTCGCAAAAGAGCAAGCTTTTTCTGGAATCAGCTACCCAACTACCGAGGCCAAGCCATGCCGGGATTCAGCAATGGCTGGCTCTCAGCGTTCCAACGCCGCGCACCGATTCGGAATCCGCAGCGATCGAAGGAAGATGGAAAAACCCTGGAATCCGCAAGAAAAGCGATGATTCCCATTCGACAAGCCCTGCAGGTATACCATCCAAAGGATGTCTTCAATTGTGATGAAACTTCGTTATATTGGAAACAAACTCCTGATCAGAACGTTTCAACTCCGAATTTGCCGGGGGAAAAACAGCAAAGAGCTAGACTTTCAGCATTGTTTTGCTGTAATTCTGATGGATCGGAGAAATTGATCCCTTGGTTTATTCTTACAGCTCGAACCCCTCGCGCTTTCACTGCTGCTCATATCAATATCAACAATCTCAACCTTCAATGGAGATGCAATGTGAATGCATGCATGATTGACAAGATCTTCGAGGAATGGCTTCGATGGTTTGACAGCCAGATGGTTGATCGGAAGGTGGTTCTGTTGATGGATTCTTTTTCTGCACATGAATCTGCAGTTCGGACTATCAATGATAGCTCTACTCCATTACAAAATACCCTGATCATCTGGCTTCCTTCTCATTCAACAAATGCAACAAGCCAGTTTCAACCCTTGGATCATGGGATCATCAAAACCTGGAAAGCACACTGGAAACGCCAATGGATCCAGTATATGGTGGCTGAACATGATCAAGGTCATGACCCTGTCGAATCGATGAATGTGCCCAAAGCATTACGATGGGCAATCCGGGCCTGGGAACTTGACATCTCTGCCCAAAGCATTCGTAATTGCTTTGGTAAAGCATTGTTTGAAAAGGATTCCGATCAGGCCCAGGCTGAGCAGCAGCTAATGGATGAGATTCGTGTTGATTTCAATGCGCTGAGGCCTCATATTACCAATCCGATGAGCATTGAGAATTTCCTGAATCCTATGGATGAGGTTGTCCAAGATGATCTTGACACCCTCGATGATATTGTGCTATCCCAATTTCCCGGTCATCCCGAATTTGATGACGATTCCGAATCAATGCCGGAAGTGCCGTTGATTCGAATAGATGAGGCTATCAAAGCACTGGAAATGCTTCTTTTATATGAACAGCAGCAGGCTGAGGGCGACAAAGCGGTGATCTCTAGCCTTCTTAAGCATGAGAGGGTGATTCAGGCAAGAAAATCAGCTTCTCGGAACCAGGCAGATATAAGGAGGTTTTTTGGTTGATATTTGTATGTGAACTGGATAATAGAGAATTCAAATTCGTTTAATGGATTTTGGCCGATCAGACAGTAGTATAACAGCGAATTAGCTGTACTACCCCAGACCCCGTACTCCAAGCTTTCGGGCTCCACCTGCCCGGCTTTGTGTCCGACCTGGTCTATCCCCGACTCCGTACGAAGTACGGAGTATGACTGCCAGATTTAATACTTACTGCAAGTCGCATCGGCAGATCACTCTACCTGTCCTACTGCTAGTACTCTGCACTCTGCACTGCACTCTGCACTGTACGCAGAAATCGAACCCCCGCTGATCCCGCCGATCAGATCCAAACTATTACCACCCCTGCACCCAAAGACACAGGATGTAACCATGATTGGCCCGGCGCACGCATGGAGAGAAGGGCCTAGCAACATAAGCTGTCGAATTTATAAGCCCAGTAGTCGCGAGCCCCTCTTTTCGCTCTTTCGCTGCGACAATTCCATTCAGTGCGCTTGTCCGGGCAACATTGTACAGGATGGCCTTGACAGACGAGAAACCGACCGGGTCGCAAATTTCGGACCCGGAACGCGATTTGGATCTCAAGAGCTCGATCGTCGCGGGGTTTGAGGACCCAGACGAAGGACTGAGCGAGGAAGAACGTGCTGCGATCGTGCGTGATCCCTCTATCCCTTCGTAGTTGATGCAGCGTGGAAGCATCGTGCAGCATAAAAGCATCGTGCGACAAAGGTTAATTCAACGGCAATGACTGACTGCAGCAGGATCGAAAACTGCTGTGGAAACTCGATATTCGACTGGTGCCCTGGCTGAGTCTGCTCTACCTGGTCTCATTTCTGGATCGGTAAGAACTTGAAAGACCTCATCCCGATCCGATGCACAAGCTCACCTAGCGTCAGGACCAACATCGGCAATGCAAAACTCGTCGGGCTGCAAGAAGACCTGGGCATGTCAAACGCCCAGTTCAATGCCACGCTCACCATCTTCTTCGTCTCGTACTCGATCTTCGAACCCGCCACCAACGTCCTGCTCAAGCGCCTGCGCCCGAGCATCTTCATTCCACTGATCATGATGTCATGGGTATGATCTGCTCCGTCGCGACTTCGTACAACAGCTAACCCGGCCAGGGAATCTGCATGACATTGATGGGCATAGTCCACAACTACGCCGGCCTCATGGCCGTGCGCTGGTTCCTGGGCCTCTCGGAAGCGGGACTCTTCCCCGGCGTGGGCTACTTCCTCTCGTGCTGGTATAAACGGTCCGAATTCGGAGTGCGCATGGCTATCTTCTTCTCCGCCGCCGCTCTCGCTGGGTCCTTTGGAGGTCTCCTCGCTGCGGCGATTGCAAAAATGCATGGCGTGGGCGGACTGGCGGGGTGGTCGTGGATTTTCATCCTGGAAGGCCTGTTGACCTTCCTGATTGGCGTGGCCTCGTTCTGGTGTGTTTATGACTTCCCAGACCAGGCGCGCTTCCTCTCCAGTGACGATCGCAAGCGGGTACTGCGACGGTTGGCGTTGGATCAGCAGTCGAGTGCTGAGCATGAGGAGTTCAAGATGGACTACTTTTGGGCCAGTGTGAAGGATTGGAAGACCTATACTGGGGCCGTGATTTATATGGGAGCGGATGGTGCGCTCTATGCGTTCTCACTCTTTGTGCCGACCATCATCAGTGAACTAGTGAGTGATGCCGATGGATGTGAGATACCGAGCTAACATTCGCCAGGGTAAATGCTTTGCCCATGATATTGTGTTGCCATGTAAAAGTGAGATTGACTGACTGTTTCTTTTGCAGGCTACAGTTCCATTCGAGCTCAGTTGCTCAGTGTTCCCCCTTATGCAGCAGCAGCAATCTTGACCGTGACGGTGGGCTTTATTGCGGATCGTACCCGTCAGCGAGGGCTGTGCAACATTGCCGTTTCGCTCCTCGGCATGGTCGGATTCTCCATGTTACTGGGCTGCGAGTCTGCCGGGGGACGCTACGCCGGAGTGTTCCTCGGCGCCATGGGCATCTACCCAGCCATCGCAAACACCATCTCTTGGACGAGTAACAATACCGAAGGTGAGTTTCGGACGTCGCCTACATACGTGGAATAATTCATATTGATTCGCTCTCTAGGCGTGTACAAGCGCGGTGTCTCTCTGGGCTTCATTATCGGCTGGGGTAACCTCAACGGCATTGTGTCCTCCAACATCTACCGCGAGGACGACAAGCCGCGATACTACCCCGGCCATGGCGTCGTGCTCGGCTACCTGGTTCTGTTCCTATTTGGCGGGTCTGTGGTGCAGTATCTGCTGCTGCGCCGCGAGAATGGCAAACGTCGCCGTGGCGAGCGCGACGCCTGGGTGGAGGGATTGGATCAAAGTCAAATCGACCTGCTGGGCGACAAACGCCCGGATTTCATTTACACGCTGTAGATAGCGAGGTTGAATGCAACATGTGGAGAGAGACTGATCCCGCGTTTTTCACGTTCCGTAGGTAGAGCGTAGACGTCGCAAGCTGCAACCCCTCAGACACCCTTCTCATACCGGTTGATAATCTCCTGGCCCTTCTTGGGCCCCTTGACCACATGTCGACTCGCCCAGCTCAGTACCTGGCCCGTCGTCGGCTCAATTCGGAACGCGTACGCCGTCCGGTACATGTCGTTGATACAGAGGTGGTTGCCCCGCGCGTTCAGCACAGAGGTCTCATTCCCAGCGTCCGACGCCTGTACCAGGGGCGGCACCGGCGAGGCCACGAACTCGCCGGGATCCTTCTGCGCGGCCGATTTCTCCTCTGGCACCAGTGTATCGACATCGAAATCAAAGTCGTGGAACAGGTAGTCGGCCTCTTCCGGGCCGGACGCGACCTTCACGAACCACACGCTGATGCGGTCGCTGTCCTGGCCCAGACGCCAGATGTACTTCTTCGACCAGCGCAGGCCGGGCTGCATGGGGATGCCGACATTGGTGGGCATGTCCCCTTCTTCGCAGTAGAGCCAGTCCCCCGCGGAGGGTTGGGCGGTGAAGGTGGCTGTGCCGCGTAGCTCGCCATTGAGATCGAGGGGATTGTCGCTTCGCAGAGTGCGTGTGAGTGACCAGCGGGTATTGCTGAGGGAGGTGAGGAGAGTGGAGAGGAGTTGTCGTGAGGGCATGTTGGGTTGAGTTGCGGAGGGGAACTCTCGTCAGGTCCCGAGGTCGTACTCCGCATCCAAGTGGGGATCACTCCTTTCTCTACTATACTACTACTACTACTACTACTACTACTACTAGTATACTAGTAGTATACATAGTACTCGTGGTCTGGATACTAGTACATACATTCCTAGTTTATTCTCTATGTCATGTCCTTCGTACCCCTCTATACTAAATACCCCGAAGCGACCGGCTAAAATGTCTCGCTATACTAGCCTGGAGGCGCATGCAGGTCAGCCGCTACTGTATCCCGTGCCAGGAACAGTCTGCGTTGGTAAGTGTACTGTATTCTGTACTCATATGTACTCTACTACAGTACTGTACAGTAGGATAATGGCATAGTGAAGCCTTTGACATGCCGATCGAAGTGGGCCCGTGTCTGGGGTTGATGAAGAACGAAATGAGCATGACTCCAAGGTACTGGATGAGTACAGGATAGTACGGAGTACGTAGGAGTACAGTACTCTGTTACTCATAGAGTCCCTTGCAGTCGATCTATATCCTGTCCATTCAATAATTGCCGTATAATGATGCAGAGGACGAAGTATACGAAGGGAACATCCCTACCGGATTGAGGCTGTCAGAATGCCGGTTGCGGAAGAGAAGTATAGAGTGGCCTCCATGCTGTAGAGTTGTATCCCGAGTATACTACAATACTACAATACTTCGAAAGAAAGAAAGAAGAAGAAACGAAAAAGAATAAAAAGAGCGTCGGGCCCAATAGGGCGGAAAAAGAAAAAATACTGAAACCAGCGGGACCCCCAATTTCCTACTTCCGCTCTTCACTCTTCACACACACCATGCTGCGCCGGTCAATCCTGCTCTTGACATTCGCCCTCACTGCCCTGTCGGCCAGCATCCTACCCTCCGCCGCCTCCAGTTCATTTCCACAATGCGGTCTCACCTGCTCCGCGCTGACCAACGCCCAAACCTCCTGTGAATCCGGCACCTCCGATTCCTGGGCCTCGTGCTTCTGCCAGTCCTCCCTCTTAACCGGCCTCAAATCCTCCGGCAGTGTCTGCGCATCCTGCAGTTCCGACGACCAAGCCACCCTCTCCACCTGGTACAACAACTACTGCAAGTCCGGCGGGACCTCCGCGAGCACGACCAGCGCAACCTCCGCGACAGCGTCCTCCACCGCCACAGCGACCGGCACCGCCTCCAAAGCGAACGCAAATAGCTCGACCACGGAAGAAAAGAAGTCATGGTAGGTGCGATCGCCCCTCATGACAGATCATTCGCTAACAGAAACAGGTGGAGCACTCACTACCAATGGGTGATTATGCTGATCGTCCTGGTGATCGGCTTCAGCATCATTGGCGCGGTAGGCGTGTGGTTCAAACGCCGCTATGATGCCAAACGACCAAATCTGTACCACGGCGGCAGCACCGGCGCGCTGAGTACCGCGTCTCCGCCACGCGATGCAGCCTGGGGTCCCACGGAGCCGGTGATGCCCGGCCTGCCGAGCGGGTCGGTCACCAGCTCTCGGTCGACAGTGGCCAAGTCCAGTACGCCTGTTCCATCCCGGTCAAAGCTGTCCAAGATGGAGCGCTACGGGGACATGGAGACGAGACAGGTCTAAGCTGGAAATTCTGGTGTTATCTGAATGCATTTATAGGTGTTGCTGATTTGATTCTAATTTGATTCTTGATCTTGATACGGGTTCGCCTAGAGGTTACTAGGTATGCTGGCTTGCCCTTGGTCCTGCGTGGCGTGTTGGCTTGATTTCCGATCGCCTTTTGTTCAATATGCTTGTTTTAATGATTCTGCACTTTCTTATTTTCTTGGACCCGGCCATTGACCGAGGAGTACATAGCTCAATGCGTGCGCGCTTTTCATGATTCCATTTATTTATACATTGTGATTCACTAGTCCGGTATAGGTCAGGAGATGCTGATACTCACGATCTTGATATCGACCTCGGGCTTCTCTTTATGAGTTCGGCAGTTCTCGATCTTGTGTATAATGTCCAATCCCTGCACGGCACGCCCAAACACAGTGTGCTTGTTGTCAAGCCACGGCGTTTTCTCCGTAGTGATGAAGAACTGACTGCCGTTGGTGTTGGGTCCGGCATTAGCCATCGACAGCGTGTACGGACGGTCATGCTTGAGCACGGAGAACTCATCCGCGAACTCCCCACCCCAGATGGACTCGCCGCCGGTTCCATCGCCTTGCGGGTCACCACCCTGGATCATGAATTTACGGATCACACGGTGGAAGATCGTGTTGTTGTAGTAGCCCTGGCGGGAGTGCGTGACGAAGTTCTCCACAGCACGCGGCGCAGCGGACGGATACAGACGCAAGTGGATATCACCGTACGTGGTGTGGAGAACCGCCGCAGTGCCTGTCTCGGCCGCCTTAGTGGGGGCAGCCCCTGTGTTGGATGTTGACTCGGTGGGCTTCTCGTTCTGGACGTCGCGAGTCGATTTGGAAATGTCCGTCTCGTTGTTGAACATGTAGAAACGAACTTTGGCGAAACCGGTGGTGAAAAGGATGGGGTCGCGTTCCTCCGCTTCCTGGAGCAGAGGGTTGCTACTAGCTGCCATGGAGACGGTGACAACGCCCTTGCGCTGCGGTTGACCCTGGTAGAGTGCGAGATTGAGCGCACGGAATGGGTCGTCGCGGCCATAGACGCGGACGACGCGATTGGTGTAGGTGTTGATGCACTTGACGCCATAGAGAGAGCCGTAGAGGATGAAGTGGCCTGATTCATCAAAGGAGACATTCACCTTATTGCGGGTGGCATCGCCCTCGATTTCCCGCTCCACACCCAGACGCCGTCCAAATTCTACCTCGTCGAGTGCGTAAGGCGCTGTTCCAGCCTGCTGCATCTCTGTAATGGTGGTTATCGACTCGTCGTATGTGCGGTAGAGCTTTCCTGAGGCGAAATCGAAGACGCGGACCTGCCGGTCTGGGAAGGAGACTGTAGCGAAATGCTCCCCGGAGGGGGAGATGGTGATCGCCGTTGGTACTGACTTGGCTTTCTTGAAAGCGAAAAGGTTGGTCGAGGATTTCAACTCGAAGACATTATCGGGTTTCTCAAAGGATCCATCTCCAGCTCTCCAGTATTCAATCATTCCTGTCTCATCTGCCGACACAACGCAATCGAATACGCTGTTGAATGCAAGTGACACCACGGGGCTGCGGTGGATTGATTTCAAAGTATGCAATGGTTGGGGATTCTCGCCACGCCCATCAAATACCTGGATCGTGTTGCTGGACTCGTCTGTCACGCTGAGAAGTGGAAGTGATGCGCCGCGCGGATGGACCCAGCACACGCATCGAGGAACGAATTCCAAGGTATACATCGACAAGAGATCTGTTTTCGTTAGCAAGGCTCAAGCGCAAACCAGGGGCCAACCCACCAAATGTGATGACATCGAAAATCTTCACTGTCTTGTCTGCTCCTGCTGTCGCGAAACTGCGACCATCGGCGCTGACAGTGGCACTCCGGATCTCGCCTGGGTGGGCACGGAACTCCTTCACGAACTCGATTCCCTCTGCCATCTTCTTCCAGAACTTGACAAATCCATCGACGGAGCTAGTAATAACGAAATCCGTGAAGGGCGCGACGGTCACAAAGGACAATTGATCCTTGTGCATGAGTGACTTGGAGTATTTCGCGGAAAGCGGGAGCGCATTGACGAAGACCTTCTCAAACGGAAGCTTGCGCCGTTTCTTTTGAGGCGCAACCTCAGACGGGAGCGCAGGACCGAAGTCATCGTCAGAGTCGTCGTCGCCTAGAGTTCCATACAATTAGTACCCATTTGGGACGGAGGAAGCGGTCTGGGCAGATCCCAGCATGCGAACGACTCACTGTTCTCGGCTTCGACCTCAGAGTGAGGCCGCTTGGTCGCGGGAGGGGGTGCGACTTCTCCAGAGTCCGCCATAGTCACAATCGAGGGTTCAAGGGACAATTGCAGCGAGGGCAGAGTCGAGAGACGATAGAAACGTCGAGAGGCATCTCGGGCGGTGACGCCTCACAGCCAATCAGAAGCTCGGGCCAATCGTGCGGCGGATTTTCTCCTTTCCCTCCCCCCACTGTTGACAGGAGAAGTTGATTCAACCTTTCCAGCGAGACATTTGATCTTTGGTCGATTGCCTTATTACGCTGGTCATCATGGTATGATCTGCTCCTGCAATCCTGTCCAGGTGGAGATATACAGGAGCGTGTGGGCTAACTTCTACCCCTCATAGGCAACTTTCGGCAATCCCACACAGATCTTTGGCGACGATGTCATTGAGGAGAAGGGCGAGAACGCCCGTCTTTCCGCCTTCGTCGGTGCTATCGCCGTCGGAGACCTTGTGAAGAGCACTCTCGGTCCCAAGGGAATGGACAAGATCCTCCAATCTGCGTACGTTGGGAGCTACAAATATCGATGGTGTATGTGCTATGACATCGGCAATGCTGACACACCGTTCCTTGCAGTTCTACAGGAGAGATTCTCGTGACGAACGACGGTGCTACGATTCTCAAGTCCATCGCCTTGGACAACGCCGCGGCCAAGGTTCTGGTCAACATTTCCAAGGTCCAGGACGACGAAGTCGGTGATGGAACCACTTCAGTCACCGTTCTGGCCGCCGAGCTGCTGCGCGAGGCCGAGCAGCTCGTTGCCAAGAAGATTCACCCCCAGACTATCATCGAAGGATACCGGATAGCGAGCAAGGCCGCTCTTGCCGCTCTCGAGGCCTCTGCGGTCGACCGCAGCCAGGACCCCGAGGCTTTCCGCAAGGACTTGCACTCCATCGCCCGCACAACACTCAGCTCGAAGGTGCTGGCACAAGACCGGGACCACTTCGCCCGGTTAGCCTGTGAGGCCGTCCTCCGTCTCAAGGGCTCTACCGACCTTTCCCACATCCAGATCATCAAGAAGGCCGGTGGAAAGCTGAACGACTCGTACCTCGATGAGGGTTTCATTATGGATAAGAAGATCGGTGTGAACCAGCCCAAGCGATTGGAGAACGCCAAGATCCTGGTCGCCAACACCGCGATGGACACAGACAAGGTCAAGATCTTCGGCGCACGCGTCAAGGTCGAGTCCACTGGCAAGCTGGCCGAGCTTGAGAAGGCCGAGCGTGAGAAGATGCGCCAAAAGGTCGAGCGCATCAAGTCTCACGGTATCAACTGCTTCGTGAACCGTCAGCTCATCTACAACTGGCCCGAGCAGCTGTTCACCGAGGCCGGTATCATGACCATCGAGCACGCCGACTTCGACGGTATTGAGCGTCTGGCTCTTGTGACTGGCGGTGAGATCGCCTCCACCTTTGACCACCCCGATCAGGTCAAGCTCGGTGGATGTGACACCATTGAGGAGGTGATCATTGGCGAGGATACTCTGATCAAGTTCTCCGGCGTGGCCGCCGGTCAGGCCTGTACCATTGTGCTGCGCGGTGCCACCGAGCAGCTCCTCGATGAGGCCGAGCGCTCTCTCCACGACGCCCTGGCCGTCCTCTCACAGACCGTCAAGGACCCCCGCGTCACACTGGGTGGTGGATCCGCTGAGATGGTGATGTCCAAGGCCGTCGAACAGGCTGCCCAGAACACCACCGGCAAGAAGCAACTTGCTGTCGACTCTTTCGCCCACGCCCTCAAGCAACTCCCCACCATTCTGGCCGACAACGCCGGTCTGGACTCCAGCGATCTGGTCACCCGTCTCCGCCAGGCCATCAACAACGGCATGACCAGCTCCGGTCTGGATCTCCTCACGCCCGGCGGTGGTATCGCGGATATGCGCGATCTCGGCGTTGTGGAGGCCTATAAGTTGAAGAAGGCAGTTGTGTCATCTGCCTCGGAAGCTGCTGAGGTATGTAACCATGTTCTCTTTCTGAAATTCGTACTAACATCTCTTAGCTGCTTTTGCGAGTGGACAACATTATCCGATCCGCTCCCCGCCAGCGCACCCGGATGTAATGGACATGATTGTGATGCCATGGTTGACGATTCATCTCTGTACTCTTTGGATGGAACTAAAAATATGTGCAATAGAAGTTCAACTCAGTACATGATATCCAATTTCGTTTGCTGTAACCCTAGGTGTCTTTTGAAGAGGTGAGATACCGAGACGTGTAGAGTCAGGGCGAGTTGAAGTTACTCGTCAACATTTGACGATCGCAAATAGCATAACAACACATAACTGAGACAAAAACAGAGTACAGCACACCCCGAAAACATATGGCCAGTGACCGTGGCCTGCTGTATCCGCATCCATGAGCGCTTCATGAATCTGTGAAATTGTCTCCAAAGCCCCCGCGCCGCCGTTCGCCGACTCCGGCTGCTTGGCTCTATATGAAGATGTTCGGACTCCCACTCCAGCAGTGTTTCGTAATTCCAAAGAGTGCGAGGATGGGCTGGGCCCAACACTCGTCGTTGCTTGACCGCGCACTCCAGAAGCAGATCGATGGCTTGGGTGTGCTGGCCCATGGAGTAGTACCAGGTGTAAGCCACGTTGGACATGCTCTGTAGAGTATCAGGGTGATCGACGCCCAAATTTGCTTTGCGAGCATCCATCACATGTATCTCGAGCTGTTCTGCTTCTTCCAAACGACCCTGTTTCCGGAATGTAGATGCCAGGTCGCACATACTGGCCAGGGTGTCAGGGTGTTCTGTACCGAGTCTCGTTCTTTGAGCCTCTAGAACTTGTGCTTGGAGCTGTTCTGCTTCTCCCAACCGACTCTGTTCCCCGAATATCATTGCCAAAATTGTCATACACCTTAGGGTATCAGGGTGGTCCACACCGAGTCTCGTTCTTTGAATTCCTAGAACCTGGGTTTGGAGTTGCTCTGCTTCTTCCCACCGATCCTGTTCAGAGAATGTAATTGCTCGATCGCGCAAACTTTGCAGAGTATCAGGGTGGTCTATACCGAGTGTTATTCTTCGGTTCTCTAGAACCTGCGCTTCGAGTTGTTGTGATTCTCTCTGCCGACCCTGACTATGGAATATCCTTGCCAGACTGTCCATACTATCCAGGGTGTCAGGGTATTCTGTACCGAATGTCGTTCTTTGAGTCTCTAGAGCTTGTGCTTGGAGTTGCTCTGCTTCTCCCCGCCGGCCCTGTTTCCCGAATGTTCTTGCCAGGTCGCCCATACTTTTCAGGGTGTCAGGGTGGTCCACACCGAGTCTCGTTCTTTGAATTTCTAGAACCTGGGTTTGGAGTTGCTCTGCTTCACTCCACTGGCCTTGTTTCCCGAATGTTCTTGCCAGGTCGCCCATACTTTTCAGGATGTCAGGGTGGTCCACACTGAGTATTGCTCTTCGAGTCTTTAGAACCTGCGCTTCGAGTTGTTCTGATTCTTCGAACCGACCCTGTTCATAGAAGGTTATTGCCAGATCGCGCATACTTTGCAGAGTATCAGGGTGGTCTATACTGAGTCTCGTTCTTCGAGTCTCTAGAACCTGCGCTTGGAGCTGCTCTGATTCTTCCAACCGACCCTGAACACAGAATGTCACTGCCAGACTGCTCATGCTGGCCAGGGTGTCAGGGTGTTCTGTACCGAGTCTCGCTCTTTGAGTCTCTAGAACTTGTGCTTGGAGCTTTTCTGCTTCCTTCAACTGCCCATTCACTCGGTATATGTATCCTAGCCGCGCAGTGCCATTGAGATATGCCTCGGAATCCGCGCCGCCAATCTTTATCATTGCTTCCCTTGAGAAAATTGCCAAATCTACTGCATCAGAAGAATTGCCATAAAATTCTGCATATAAAGCTCCTTTCCGAAGGAGTACGACCCAATCCATGAGCGACAATCGCGATTTCGGTTGATGCAAGACAGCCGACCGAAGATGTGGAAATAGTGACCGGCATCTCTCCCAGTTTTCGTAAGAAAGCGTCGGTTACTGGTCATTGAGATTTCTGACAAAAGATTCTTTCCACTGCTCCTCTCTGCCGTAGGTCTTCAACCAGGTGCGTACCGTCAGCTGCACTAGTCGATGCATCGTGAAGGCTTTCTTTCCATCAGAGGCAATGAAAGAATAGTCCCTGAGAGTAGCAATATCACTCTCGAAATCATCAATGCATTGGGATGAATCGTCGACATCCTGATGCTTTTTTTCCACAGCTCGCACATGGAGAAGATCCTCTGGGATTCCTTGGCGGTCGAAAAAGCTCATGAGGGACAGCAAATCAGCCGCAGTGTGTCTGCTCTGTAGAATGTGGTCGAAAGATATTTGCCAAGTCCGAATAATGGAGTTCTTGGCCTCGTAGTCTCGGTACATGCCATGGCCTTCATCACTCAGGAGCTCGATAGCGCGATGATCACTTTCCCGGAGCTTTGCTAGGTATTGCGACGGCGAACAACGGGGTGAACGATGGGTAATGTAGCTGGCCGCCTGCATCATGGCGAGTGGCATGAAGTCCAATTCCTCCACTAGCTGGATCAAATCCTCTTTCTCTGGAGCAGGATCCATCTTATTTCGCATGAGATCTACCGCCTCGTCTTTGTTCATTGGTTGCACCTCAATCAGGTGCTTCCTGGAGCCGGCGATTTCCAGTGCCACCTTTCGGTCTCGGGTAGTGACGATGATAGAGCTACCCGAGCTTTCAAGGAGGTATCTTAGCGGTGGCTGCGTTGTGGTAGTCGTTGACGGTTGGCGCAGGAGTTCGTCGTTATCGAGATTGTCCAGCACCAATACCCATTTCCCCAGCTTTCCATCCTGTAACCAGTGCCCAAAGAGTTCGAAGATGTTCACGTTACGGTCTTTTCGCCCGGGAATCTTGGTGCGTTCGGCAATGTCGCGGAGACTTTGCTCGCAGCGGGCCGCATTGCTCGCATGCACCCAGAACACCCAGGTGTCCGAGGAGAGCTGTCGGACTTGATGACAGTATTCGGCGGCAAGGCGGGTTTTTCTTTACTCCAGTTAGCCAACTCGTTTTTCCTCAACACCTAGGATGTCTTACCCTACACCCCCGAGACCAAAGAGAACGGTTCTGGATCCGGGGCCCGACGATTGCTCTATCCGATGCAGGAGATCATCGCGACTCACAAAGTCCGGGTCGGGTGGAATAGGTACAATGAACAGAGGGTCAGGTCGAAGTTCCGGTTTGTCTGAAGCCGTTAGACCGGAGCTGTCAAGGCGCAAAGAGACTCACCTGGGGCCGCGTAGATCGACCCGTGATTAATTCCCACCTGAATCCCATCGTTTTCGCCGCCGTATGATATTGTCGCCATGATAAGGCAGGCCGAACAACAAAGTGGAACTCGTCTGATCTGGAGTCATTGGCTGTAAGATGGCTATTGCATGTTGCGCTCTCAAGACAGCAGGTCAGCTTGCCTTGTCGCCTTCAAAGTGGCTGAGCGGGGAGTTGAGAACGCAGCAGACAAGTCGCCTGGGCAATGCTGGCGCGCGAAGGGGTGCTCCTCCGATCGTCCAGTTAAAGTCGAGATGTTACCGCCCCCAATGCTGGGCTACGCAGAGGGCTCTAGTGCGGTGAGGCTGACGGGCCTCCCCTGACCTCGGGATCGATGTGAAAATGTGAGAATCATCAGTGCAAGACGTATGGTTTGAGTCCAGATCCAGCTTCATTTTGCGTATCCTATGAAGACACTGGCTGTGCCAACACTGAGAATGCCCCTGTGCGTCTCGAGTGGCTCAGGTAGAATACAGTAGCAAAATGCAATTTGGGAAATTATCAAAGATGAATGTTGAGAATGGGAAATTCGGCTTTGCGATGGGCAGTTCGTGAAGGCGTTGAAGTGCCTGACCAGTGACCTTCGAGTTGCTGGCACTTTCTCTCTTTCATTTTTCTTCGCTGACGCGAACCCTTGGACAGACTAACAAATACTTCGCTCTATGTTTCTATCAACTATTCGGTCGCATTAACATCGTATTGACTGCCTTTTGATCACTGCACTCGGACAGGAATGTGTCCGTCTTCAAGCAAATCGCTCCATCGGCTCTTATAAACGCGCCCATCTTTCATGACACCCAGAACATGCTCTTCAGGTCGGTCAAAGACAGTCACATCCTCGAGTGGGTTCTTGTTCAAAACGACAACGTCAGCATGGAAACCATCCTTGATCTGCCCGAGCTCATTCTCAGATCCCATCATCTTGGCGGGATTGATGGTCGCACTACGCAGGATCTCCAAGGGAGTTAAGACCTGCGCCCGCAAAGCAAACTCGTGCGTTTGCGCAGAGCCTAGCGGGCCCAGCAGATCGGAGCCATAACACATCGTGACCCCCGCTTCAGAGGCAACTCGAAGGGCCTCGAGGCCGGATTTGAGAACGATCGAGTTTTTGACCTGAGACTCAATAGGCAGGTAGTTCTTCCATCGCTCCGATGCCATCTGGGCATATGCGATGAGCGTCGGGGTCAGGTACACCCCCTTCTCGGCCATGAGCGCGGCCGTGGGGGGATCAACAAAGTTACCATGCTCGATCCCACGCACGCCATTGTCAATACAATGCCGGACGGCTTTGACCGTGTATGCATGCGCGGTCACGAAGGTGCCGGCATTACCGGCGCATTCCACCATCGCCTGAATCTCCGCCGAGGTGAATTGGAGATGCTCCAGTTTGTCGGTGGGAGAAGCCACTCCACCCGACCCCATGATCTTAATGAAGTCGGCGCCGCAGCGGATTTCCTCGCGCACCGCAGCCATGCACTCAGGGACCCCATTGCACATGCGACCAAGATGGTTGTTGCTGTGAGTGCCGCCGCAACACTCGGTGGGCTCGTGCGACCCGCGAAGATCACCGTGGCCGCCGAATTGAGACAATGCGTGGCCGGAGATGAAGACCCGCGGGCCGGGAAAGACACCATCCTCGATGGCCTCCTTCAGGGCGAGCTGGGCACCGCCGCAGTCGCGAATGCTGGTGAAGCCGCGGTGGAGCATCTGAGATGCAGTGTATGGCTGTCGTAGAAGATGCACATCGTTGGGATTGCCGAAGGCTTTCGAGAGGTCTTCGAAGCCGGGGACTGCACATAGGTGGACGTGGGCGTCGAATAGGCCGGGACTCAGGTATTTGCCTTGACAATCCACTGTCTTTAATTCGGCTGACGTGGCTGGTGCAGATGATTCGGGGCCAACATAGGTGATCCGCCCCTCGGTCGTGATGAGCGTTGAGTTCTCTTGAATTGTGCCCGATACAACATCGACAATGTTGGCGTTCGTGAATTTGTACCCATTGGGCGCCGCGCGGGTCCACGGCTTGATATCTGAGCCACGGGATGAGGCCATGGTGAGATGATGAAGTAGAAGATGTTTACTGGTGGTCTGACAGTATTTGAATCACAATCCCAAGGTCGCACCGAAGGACAAAGGCGAAGTAGTCGCTGCGGGGGTCTTATCTCGACTCGCTTCGACTGCCGACAGCTGAGGGATGATCTTCACCGCATTAGTTGGATTAGTTGGAGATTGTACTTTCATCGATGAGGGGAAACGGTGTTGTCTCCGGCAGTGGGTCGAACTATCTCTGGGAATTCTTGCAGTCGGTGTCTTCAAGTCAATCCTGAACAATCGACTGTATCAAGGGGCAAAACCGACCTCATGGACGTCAACAAGGATGCTGCGAGCAATGGGCCCGATCGAGCAAAGGGCGAGCTGGTCGAGCTTCCGCATGCTTCCTATACTCCAGATGAAGAAAAGGCTGTCCTGCGCAAGATTGATATGGTCATCTTGCCGTTTGTGAGCAATTCGCCCGTCCATTGCAGCTCCATCGCTGACCTACATCCTGATGTGTTTCGTCTTCTTTCTGCAGTATCTTGACAAGCAAAGTCTGAGCTATGCCGGGGTCTTTGGTCTGATCGAAGATCTGGACATGACCAGCTCCCAGTATTCCTGGTCGAGCTCGATCTTCTATGTTGGGCAACTGGTCTCTGAATATCCATTCATCTATCTGATGAGTCGACTTCCTTTGACAAAATTTGTAGGGGCTACCGTGTAAGTCGCATATCTATGCAAACACTCCGTCGAACTCTTCATTTACAGACTTTCTGCTATAGGATTGTCTGGGGCATCATCTGCATGTGCTTGGCGGCACCGCAGAGCTTCGCCGGGTTTGCCGCAGTGCGATTCCTACTCGGATTCAGCGAAGGCGCCGTCTCACCGGCATTTGTTACCATCACCAGTATCTGGTACCGAAACAAAGAGCACAATCTTCGCACTGCGCTGTGGATCTCTATGAACGGCCTTGCGCAAGTCCTCGGCTGCTTTCTGATGTATGGCATTGGCACAAGCAATTTCCTGACCATTGCTCCCTGGCGCGTGCTATTCATCATCTGCGGTGCGATGACCGTGGCGGCCGGTGTTGCATTCTTTTTTCTGATGCCCAATGGACCGAAAGATGCGTGGTTCTTGAATGCTCGGGAAAGAGAAGTTCTCTCCCTCCGCATGGCACAAGACAGGGATGGCGGAGACAAAGCATCCTTCTCTTTGGTCCAGCTGAAGGAGACACTCATGGATCCCAAAGCGTGGGTTATCTTCTGGTTTGGTGTCTTGGTCTGTATGCAGTCGCCTGTTTTGACCTTTGCATCACTTGTCATCAAGTCGATCGGATACACCAAGCTCGAGACCATGCTTTACACAGCGCCGTCTGGAGCTGTGCAGATTGTTCTACTTTGGATTGGAGCAGGCTTAGTCCATATATTTCCAAACCAGCGAACATTGATCGTCTTAGCGCTCATCATCCCCCCTCTCATTGGAACTGTTTTCCTAATGAAGTTGGATGTCGCAGCTCAATGGGGTCTTATCGTTGCGTCGTGGCTGGTATGGCCTTCCCTTACGTATGGCGAGTCCTTACTGACACCGTTCCAGGCCTCCTGCATCACTGCATCAATGACGATTCTTCTCTCCCTGGCAGCGTCGAACTTCAAAGGAAACACCAAACGCGCTGTTGTCAACGGTATGTTTTTTATTGGCTACTGTGCCGCCTGCATTGCTTCGCCTCAGCTCTGGACACACAGTCCTCGTTATACGGAAGGTGTGATCACTTCAATTGTGACTTGGTGTTTACTTTTCGTCACGGTGATTTTCTTCCGCTTCTTGTGCATTGGGGATAACAAGCAGCGTGATACACAAGCAACAAGCCATGAGTCATTTGTCGACAACCACTTGGAACTTGATGAAAATGGTTTGCCCGAGTCGGATGTGACCGATAAACAGGACCGGAATTTCCGATATGTTTGGTAGTGAGATGGGAATATTGTGGGCGCCTTTCTTCGAAATTTTGACACGCCAGCTTGCGGGAATCTTGTATTCATGTCGCTCTATAATATGCTTGCTTGATTAGAAAGTTTTTACTTCATTGCGTACCTAGTACTAGGTAAACAACACATGCTCGAATTGGTCTCTGGGCTGCAACTATTGACCCTTAGAGCTGCTGCTCAATTCAATCCCCCCACGTAGTTGCGAGCCTTTGCAAATCCGATGGTCCCATCAGCCACATTGTGATCAATGTATATTCCATGGAAAAATGCTAGGATTTGTCAGAAATAGTAATACGAATCTCTCAACTGGAATACTCACGTTGGCCCACTACCCATAACCCGGCGGGAACTGCACTCGTCCCAGAGATGGTCGCAGTGCAATTGTGATTTCCATTGTTGGCCTTCGCCCACTGATCAGGTTGGATATCAAAAACAGAAGCCTTGTGACTGATTGACTTGGAGTTTTCTATTGTGGGAGCAGTGAGATTTGACTCGGATGGAATGCTTAAGCCCAGAGACGGTGGCTGGTCGCAAGGAAAGTATCCCGTCACGGTGGTGATTTCCTCAGACTGCTGCACATAGTATTGGATGTTCATCCTCCTGAACAACGATGTGGCTTCATCAACGCCACTGGTACGATGTTAGAATGTGCCAGCTATTTTGTCGAGCAAGAAGCAACTTACATGATGATTGTTCCAGTCCCCGAGTCAAGAAGAACAGTGATATCTTTCTCGAGCACCTTGCCATCAAAAGCGAGATCAGCGGAAATAGACCACTCCTGTAGAATGGAGGTGGTGGTAAGCTCTCCCTCGAAGAGCGATTTGTCCAGTCTTCCAAGCACTTGAGTTCCTTGATCACGCCCGAGTACCAAACCAAATCGGCACTCCGGTACTTGATGTTGGGCGCACAACGTATGAAAGAAGGATGATCCCTCTTCAAAAGTTGCAGGGTCTCCGAGCCCAAGTATTCCATCAGCGGGTATTAAGTTGCTTTCACCCGCTTCCTTGCGAGCTGATCCAAAGATCTGATGCGTCTCGAACGTGCCAAACTTGACAGTGTCGTTGAATAGGGTGCCTTTGACCTTGGTGATGGTAAGCAATCTGCACTGATTTTCAATTCCTTTCTGGTATGCTCACTATCCCTGTTCCCGACCCATCACTATTCGTTGACTTGAAAGTGACGTTGAAGTCCTTCTCGGTGGAGGAGTCCGGACTGGGCTTGTAAACACCATCGTTCAATACGATACCCCCGAAGCCTGTGTCGATCAACAATGTCAAGTTTTTTGAGCTTCCCACATCGAATGAGCCAAACCAGAAATTCTGATTTCGGACGAGTTAATATCCGGTCATAACATTGAAACACGGATGACCTGGATTACATTGGATGGGAATAGTGTCTCTCTGCTGGGTTGATCCTGGGAGGCTGGGTGTGCGCGGGGCTCGAGGTTGATGCGAGAAGGTACCTGGAACGGTGAGGCTGCTGAAAGAGGAAGCCCGATGGCAAACAGGAAGAACGGCGTAATCAGCATCGGGAATATACTCGTGTAACCAGTGTTCGATAAAGACTAATAGACAAAACACATTTCATGTAGTGACAGGAGAAGGCCCCTTAAGTTCTCAAAATAGCCTTATGTACGGAGTAGTACATATGGGCGATTCAAACGCAATAATCCTGCACGGCAATTCTCGCATATTTTTCCCTCCCGAGGTCTCGGAACCTGCAGAACAGGCAAATGATCTGAACTGTTGGGGATCGACGTGACACAACTTTTCAGATCTCAGCCTCAGCTGCGAGATCTACTCCGTGGTACTAGTCATATGCAAGGGCTTGCGGAGTATAACCTCGGGGTCCATGGAAAGGGAACCATGGAAAGGCGAACATGGCCGATCAAGCTTCTTTGGAAGGTTTGCGTTAACGTTCACTGGTCCCGAGGTTCCTTCGTGTGCACTAAGCAGATGTGGTTAGTGCCACTTTGAGCCCCGGTTGACTAGGTCCGTTCCGCGGTTGCCTCATTCACACAAGATGGGCACCCGAGTCTCCCGAGGGCGATCCCGCAAAGGCTGCTTGACCTGCAAGTAGGTGGATGGACCACGCTTCGATCGATGCTAACCGGCATACTATAGAATTCGGAGGGTCAAATGTGACGAGGGAAAACCCACCTGCCAGAGATGCCTCTCCACCGGTCGACAATGTGACTATGTGGCCGACTCACCGAAAGTTCATCTCCAGATTGTCCCCGTCAACAGGGTGGAGACCAAATTGTGGAAAGTCCCACAGGCGAACCGGATACCCGAATCCGACTATCGATCGCTGGAGTTCTTCCAGCTTCACACCACCCTCTGCTTCGGCAAGGACACCGGACTCCATCTGCTACAGGCGGCTTACCATGAGCCCATCATTCGGACCATCGCCACGGCAATCGGCTCGCTGCATCGCTCGTTCGTGCACAATGAGCGAGGCGCGACGCGCGACGTGACGCGGTTCACGTTTCAACATTATAACAAAGCGATTCGACAGCTCCTCGCGATCGACCCTCAAACCTCTCTGCAATCTAGTGACATGTTCCTGGTTGCATGTATATTATTCTACTGTTTTGAGTGTCTTCAGGGCCACTACAGCGTGGCAGTCCAACATGCGACCTCCGGCCTGAAAATCATCAAGCAGCAGCAGTTGATGGCGACGGGTCGCAATATCCCGAGATACATGCCCCGAGAGACGGTGACGGTACTCTTTGCCATCTTGGAGAATCAGATCCTCGAAATTCAAGGCGAGACCTCCCACGCCGAGGAGATGCGACCGGCACTCTTCTCATCATTTAGCACACCCACATTCGACCCTTCTCATCCACCAACGAATATAGAGGATTTGAGAGCCTGTTTTGAATTGCTCTATAACAGGCTCACACGGTTCCTGTCTGTTTGCGAGATGCTGGAAGAAGAATTCAATGATTCAACTTTTGAATTTGTCGCGCAAATCCAGTACCTGGAGGAAGAGCACCTTCAAGTCCGCGCGGACCTTGGGGCATGGATCGATACCTTCGAAGCCTGGCTGGATGCCGGCGGCACGGAGGTTGTCTCGGAGCCGCACAGTATCGCGATCTTGAAGATCTGGAAGACGACGATCTCGATCATGTTGGGGTTAGAATGGCCAACGACAGAGCTCTCCTGGGACGAACATCTTGACAAGTTCTCCCTGTGCCTTTCACTAATTTCAGACCTCCTGGGTGTCACTTACCCAGATCAAGAGCACTCCAATTCGGCTTCGCCGCATCAGACCCCAACAAATAACGCGACAGCACTTCCTCTCCTGCGTCCACGGCCTTCCAAGACGCTGGCCTCAACATTCTCCATGTCTCTAGGAATAGTGACACCACTCTATATGTGCGCAACCCGATGTCGTGACTCCACTATCCGCCATCGGGCGATCGACCTACTTTCGACTTGCCATCGCAGAGAAGGACTCTGGGACTCCGAGCTCGTGGGGCGTATCGCTCGACGGATTGTGAGTATCGAAGAAGATGCGGCTGGGATACTACCGGGTACACTCTACACGCCGGCCGATATTGGGATTATCGCACGTGTTCGGTCCTTAAATCCTCAGTATGGACAGGAAAGGGAGATCAAGATCCGATATAATCGGGAAGGTGATTGCGCTGCTCCCATCGAAGAGATTTTTACATGGTAATAGATCGGGACTTTGATTGGGATGCTCATTCATGTGTTAGAATCACACTGAATTGTGCGTACTGTAGATATGCAATGGGACAAATAGAATAGGTGCGTCTACGCCAGTCTAAAATCAGTAGATCAGAGGGAAACTTAGCAGTTAGTGTCATGTGATTCGGTCACATGTTCAAGTGGAACCCCAGAGCTCCAATGATAAAGCCCGTTATGCAAACATTCGACGTGTGGAGAGCCTACCTCCAAACGGTACCATCCTCTCCAACCTTGGAAGCAAGACAGAGATTTGGAGAAGAGACATGCACTCCGTTTCTCCATCTTTGGGGGATATCTGCCATACTCGGAGAATAAATGATGATTCTTGGCCCCCAAACAAGCGACACCAGGCACCGCACGATGACGGTACACCAACGCCTTTTAATCCCAATGGCTTGAGTATACAAGTACCTGTAAATGTGACGTGGGGGCTGAAGAAGCCCAAAAGCTATTTGTGGGACTGACTGCGCGCACATGGGTTTCAAGATCGACGTATGTGGCTTTTAGTAGTGTACTAACTCATTTAGAGTGCTCGGCGTGGCAGAGTCAAGGAAGCCTTGTGGGCTGATTGGGTGAGGCGTGGTAGGAACAGCGAATGGAATATGAATGAATTATGAGATATCATATTTTTTATAGTCTATTCTAATCATTGAGTGCAGAAATTCTTCCTAGTACGAGTAAGAGTCCAAGGACTCGGGGATAACTCAAGGATATATTTCATTTATAGATACACTCCAGAGAGCTTTTGCTGATAGTTGACAGAACTGCTCAGTGGGTTTAACTACCTAGGTATCTATAGATCAAATTCAAACCGCATGGGATAGATTTTGTAAATGTATACTGTGTAAAAAAGACCATGGCTATCGACTGTACCCCGCAGCAGTTGGCCCCCATATTCTGCAGAGTCGGGCTCCACTGTGCCTTGCATCCACCTTTCGGGGACTCTTCAACGCTTCATTCAGGTTTCATAAAGTGGGTCCTCAGAGCCTCTGATTTTGCCGAGGTACTTCAACTGGGCATTGGAGGTTGCATAACATGGCACTCTGCAGTTCGGAATAGCCCTATGAGTTACTTAATCGGAGTATTCGCTCGAGAATTTGGCTATTTACCATCGAGCTCGATTTCAGTTTGGTGTCAAGAACCCAGGAATAAACCCCTTGCGTTCCAAGGTTGGTCATTTTTTGCCCCCAACCTCTAAAGTACTATATTGAAGCCATATCTAGTAATGAGTTTCGGCTTCGGCCCACCGCGGAGGGGCGATTTGGGGACCCTTCTTCGGCCGGATATTCGGGATCGAACCTAGATACTCTGTCTACATTGCACAAATCGATAATGTTGCAAAAATGAGGCATAAACTTGATCTCTATAGGTAATTGGAAAATGCCTAACCAGATTGGGAAAATATGATCGATATCAGGTATCTACACAAAGCGTTGAGTCGAAGTTAGAGATGTACGACCGTTGAACACACCAAAAAAGCCATGCACATTTGCACGGATGTTTCTAAAATATCCATCGATGCAATTGCTAGCTGTTGGTCCTTGGCTTGCGTTATCGCTATTCTAACTTCAATCCTCTCCAAGCCTCGAATGTGGAGATGTCAAACAACAGCCCCCAAATTGTAATTTACAATGCTCGGCTCCCGGACAATCCGAAGTAAGCTCTATAACGAGTAGGGGTAGTGCAGCAAGGTGTTAAGGAACACCAGCTCGGTTTCGGGAACTGTTACAGATAACACTGTCGATCTTTGTCTACAAGTAAGTCCTGAATTGTGGGGGCCGCAGATCATAGCCCCCAAGTAGTACCATGCTTGGCTTCTGGGGCCCAATTCTGCCAGTGAACAGGACTGAGGGGAAAATTGCCAGCTCGATTTCGGGAACTGGTACTCAATTGGGTCTCCATAGATCCAGCCACTGCGACAACCACACGATGAGGGTCCTTCACAGAAGCCGAATTTGGACCCCAAGTTGCATCCTGGATAGCTCGTCAGGGCCAAGAATATGTCAGATTTGCCTTGCACCATCGCATTCTGAACATATAAAAAGGCATCGCTCTTCGAGTCTTTTGAAGATTATCCAGAGGCACTCGAGAAGTCAATCATCTACCTGAACTTCTTCTATTCCTGTTTATTTGGGATTTCCATTCATATTCTTACCAGTATGCAGTCTACTGTTGCTCTTTGGAAGGCTCTTGCTAATGAGGAATAGATTATTTTCATCCCTTGAACACGGAAGTGTCAATATCGCAATCATGTTGAAGGGCGTCTCGGATAACTTTGGAGCCTTCCTGGTCTCTCTGCTTTCAGTTCAGACTGTTGCCTCGGCGCTGGCTGTTGACCTCAATCAAACCGTGGACGGGAGCAACTCGTCCGAAGAGAATGCCCTTGTTGCGCGGACTCCCGATCGTTACACCATCATCTACAAATGGGGCACTGAGAATGCTGCCAGCATCTCAGCCGGTGGAACCATGGGTATCATGTTGACTGGATTCGCTGCTCTTTTCACCAACTGGTACCGCAACACCCCGGATGCCCAGAAGGTCTGTGGAAAGTCCCAGCTCACCGATGTCACCGACGACGACGGAATCGAGTATGTATACTACGCATACTCGTACACCACCGGCGACAACTGTGACAGCACCCAGCGCGCAAAGACTGTCACCAACAAGCTTTCCGATGCATTTGATGAGCTGCATGCCGATGGTTCCAGTGCAACCTGTCTTGACTTGGACCACCACGGCACCTGGCACGGTGTGCTCGGTCTGGCTACCAAGGAATCCGGCCAGGACCCCCGGGAATTCTGCAGCGGCCACCATGCAGGTGCCAAGCGCGATGAGTTTCTCCAAATCAAGGCTGCGCCCGCCCCGGCTCTCATCACCGGAAGCACCCCCAAGAGAGATGCATCAGGACTTGTGAAGCGAACCTCCATCTCTGTCAGCGAGTCGAACCTCCAGAAGGGCGACGTCTTCTTCAGCGACCCCAACCAGTCTCAGGCCGTTATTGCCGAGATTGCCACCGCTATGTACAAGCAGAGCAAGGCTAACAGCTGCGCCGGTGTTGAGGGTACCCACGTTGACAACCAAGGTGTGAGCTACACTTACTACTACTACGCCTCTGGACGCAACTGTGACACCACCGCTGAGATCAAGACCATGGTCACTGCTCTCGATGACGCCTGGGATGGTCTCGGTGGCTACACTGCTCTGTGCATGACCATGCGTCACGGTGGTGGTACCTGGCGAGGACACCTGGGTATCTCTGCCCAGCAAGGTACTTTCCGTGCCACCCACATGTGCTAAACGTCTCGATGTCATCGAGACGTGAGAACCTGCTCATGAGGCTATAGTTGGCTATATCCTGTATCCCAGCTTCCAAAGTTGGAATGTTGATTTCCTCGCGCATGTATTTACTTTGAGTCAATCATATTCTGCTCCTTACATTCCTTTCACTCCCGTAGACCATACCCTACTTAATAGTAGTCCAGGCCCAGAAGACACTCGGGAGGCTGATGAGATTGATAGCAGGGATCAATGGGAAATAATGTATGATTGAATGATGGATGATATGAACATCCATGGGTACAAAGGTTTCCAGATGAATCTCGGTTTCAATGGTCTGCAGTCAAAGCCTGTATCTCCTGTCATCTTGTATTCCTCCAGAACTGAAGAGATTGGATATGTTGTGAGCCCACCAGGGTGTACCTAGGTACCAGTGCACCTCCATCCTTTGGCCATGACTATTATCACATCGGATATTTTTTTTTTTCCTATTTCCCCCCTCTTTTTCTGTTTCTTTTGGCCTGGAAATAATGACAAAATGCCTTTGAGAATTTGCGATCACTTTATAATTCAATGTAATCTCTTTGGTGAGCATTGTCGCATACCGCAACAGGCGCCAACGTGAACTAGAAAACCCCTTGGAGGCCTGGGAGGGATGGAATGTATGGAATAGAGTTGTCGATCTCAGTCCGAGGTCTTCACTGTCTGTCGCGGGCACTTTTCATCGGTATATTTGACCTCAATGCACAGTCAGATTGCAGAGAAGCTAGGATGTGGGGATTCCACATCGAGATGAACCAACATCTGTACAACATGAACATGCCGTTCGATTCGAATATTTGCCTGGCTTGGCGTGGCCTCTTCCGGGATAGTAATGGGCACGTGAGAACGCGATGACTTCCACTCGTCTCCCCGCACTTTCCTCTTCATCATGGCACCTCAACCCCCCCAGACGGTGCTGAAGCCCTCGAGGGACCAGACCCTGCGTTTCCGCGAAGATGGCACGTTCCACATTGGCGTGTTTGAGGACTTGCATTTCGCCGAAGGTACGTCGATCGGTCGCGGCAGGACTCGAAACTAAGCGGTCGCAGATGCGGAGAAGGACAAAAAGTCGAAAGAGGTGATGTCCTACATTCTGTCAGAGGAAGACATTGATTTCGTCGTGATCAACGGCGATCTAGTCTCCGGGGAACGGACCCACAAAGCGGATTCCAAGAAATACATTGCGGATGTCGTCTCCCCACTCGTCGAGGGCGGCTACCGCTGGGCATCGACCTACGGTAACCATGACAGCGAGGTGAACCTCAACCCCAAAGAGGACATGTACGAGGCCGAGAAGAAATTCACCAATAGTCTGACGCGGAGCGCCATTTCCGGGGACGAAGCTGGAATCACAAACTACTATTTACCCGTGTTCTCCCACGGGGACAAGAACACCAGCACGCCAGCGCTCCTCCTGTGGTTCTTTGATTCCAAGGGGGGCCACTATTATCAGCAAGAAGGGAAAGAGGGTCCCTCCGTTAAGAGGCCAAGTTGGATCGATGAATCTGTACGATTCTTGCGACTTGCGTTTCGATAGGGCCTAACAGCGTACAGGTTGTCGAATGGTTCACAGAGACGAACAGCAAGTTGCTCAAAGAGTACGGCAAAGTCGTGCCGTCGCTCGCATTCTACCATATCCCCGCCCATGCAATGCTGGTAGCGCAAGAGAGAGGTCGCCTAGACCCTCGCCGCACACCAGGCGCCAATCGCGAGCGCGTCAACCCGCAAGGAACGGGCGATTGGACATATGACAGCCAGGATGTCAAGTTTATGGAAGCCCTCCTCAACACCGATGGATTGATCGCGGGCTTCAGTGGGCACGACCACCAAAACGATTGGTATGAGCTTCCCTTTATGCGTGTGCTGGATTCCGTGTTGACAATGCCAGGTGCTTCAAATGGGATGGCTCCCTGGTGGACCATGATCTAGCTGGAAATGGGCTCAACATGTGCTATGGTCGCCATACGGGCTATGGAGGCTACGGCGACTTGACTCGTGGTGGACGGCAGATTCTTCTCCATGAGAGTAATCTGGCCGAAGACACGCAGACTTGGATTCGTTTGGAGGACGGACTAGTTCAAGCGAATGTTACGCTGAACAAGACCTATGGTCAGGATCCATATAGTGTTGTTACAAATGTTGGGCAGCTCAGTATTCGCAGCGATTCGTCCCTGCTTCCGTTCTCTTGGCTGTGGGTTCCGGTCATGATGCTGTGGCGGTGGAATGCTTGAGTTTTTAAAATTGGATGTCGGCGTTTGGGGAACTAGTGCCCGGGTGGCTAATATGATTTGCATTGGATGTGATATGAAATCGTTTATCAAGTTCCACTCGAGTCTACTCGACAATTGGGCCGCTGAGTACCTAGGTACTCCGTAGATCTAGGGGATTGACAAATGCCGTAGGAGCATGGTACCCACCTAGGCACATGTCTTGCACATGGGAACTGATGTCGCAACTTTTATGTCTCCGGCAATTCCTAGAGTGGCTATGGCTGTTCAGGAGATTGAACCTCCCTGCTTCAGAGCTCTTCAATTATCATATTCATCTCATATAGTCTTGCATTATGGATTATGTCTAGATTAATCTATACTCGCATAATTATCCGCATACTATGGTCGTAACATCAATTCCCTCACAGGTAAATGTAGCAGAAAGGCCCAGAGACCGTACTCATAAGGTCACGCATGGCCATAGGTCCAGCACCAGCATGGCCGATGTCAATCACCGTATCAAGAGTAGTGTTGGCCGACTCGGGCTGGTTCAAGAAAGTGCCCGTGCCAGAGATGGCGTTGCCGCGCTTCTTCAAGTCCAAGTTCTGCCAGATCCACCAAGTGCGATCGATCATACCGTGGTGGTGCCAGAAGGCCGGGTCACCGGGACTGACGAAGACATCGCGGGCCGGATCACCACCCATCGAGTAGTGACCGCCGCCGTGCACACCGATCGAGCCACTGCCGGGAACACCCTGCATGTTCATCTGGAAGTCCCAGATGTCATGGTTGCTCAGGATGAGGTTCACGGTCGAGGTGAAGTTGGCGTAGTCGTGGAGAATTGCGGTGGTCAGGTCACGGTTGAGACAGCGCGGGTTGTAGGCCAGGGGGTTGGCGGCAGCGCTGGTGTTGCCGCCGGGCAGCATCAACGCGGCGGGGCCCAGGTTGACCTTGTAGTCCTTGAAGGGACCGCTGGTCACGCACCCGCCGCCCGTGCCGGTGGGCAAGTGAATGATGGGGTAGTCGCCCAGGGTGAGCTGGATGTCACCGGTCGTCTCGACCTTGGCGCCGTTACCGGACATCGAGGTGTCGCTGCCATCGAAGACTTGAGACTTCTCAATATCATGCGCATCCGCGCCCCAGTTCCAGTACCTGTGATGGTGTTAGTAGTTGCGCGTAAGTCCACGGTATTTTACACGTACGGGTAGTCGCCGGTGTAGCCACACTCGTTGCGCAACGCTTGCTCAAAGTTCCAGATGAAGTATCTGTGCCACGCCAGGAAGGTTCCCGTGTAGTGAATCTGCAGGGTCTGGTTGATGTGCGTCGCGACGAAATCATCGTAACGGGTCCGCGCGCCAGGGGCGATGTCGGCGGGTGTGCGCGACGGCAACTGCTGCAGACAGACCACCGATTTGATGTAGGACTTCTTCTGCTTGGCCGAGAAGGTCCTCCAGTCGCGACGAATGCGCAGATTGTGAAGCGAACATTGTCCCCGCTTCTCAATGTCTGCATCACTAGAGACCGTGTCGGTGGTGGTGTTGTAGGCCACCTGGGCGAGTTGGTCCAATTGGGCCTCCGCGACCGGGAATGAAGTGGACGCCGCCGTGGGAATGGCAGGTGAGCCCACTACCTGCGACGCGGGCATAGCCCAGGCCTGTGCGAGCAGGGCTGCCACTGCAACAGCTGAAAAAGCAACCATGATGTGGGAATTAAGTTGAGGAAAAAGCTGGGCGTCAGATCGATGCGGACATGATTGTCGGGTTATAAAGTCTCTCTGCCTCTATATTAGGCTCTGAGCAAATCCAATCGGAGAGCGAGAAGACATCTCCTAATCTCCCTCTAGTCGACGCTGTATCCACTTGGACAAGAATAAAGTGGACTCGAGAATCCTTCGCCACTCGGGCCACCGGCTTCAGACCCTGGAGATCGTCGATCTGAGACTTAATGGCTGCACTCAATTGGTATGTTTTCTACAGTCCAGGATAAGGGTAAAAGAAGACAAAAAGAAGAAAAGAAGCAAAGAAGCAATCCCTGTCGTATTTCGTGTTGCCAGACCAGTGCTGCGCCAAGGGATTAGCGCGTCGAAATCTTCCTCGAGTCAAGTCGGATGCCCTGGCTAAAAGGGACGGGACAAATAGATCCAAGCCTCGTCCGAACATCTGATCGCTTTATGTTACCCCATTGATGATGTTTCACTTGGCTCTGCGATTCCCCTGAGCGCTCAAGCCCCATGGCGCACTATAAGGCCGAGGCGATCGGAACAAAGGATTGTTTCATCTGCACCGCGAACGCCACATGAAAATCAAGGGCGAGGTCCGTGGTGGCCCTGGAAATGCACCCCGATGCAGGTCGAGGAACCGAAAAAGAAGAGACCGGTGGAGAGCATCGCGGAATTCTCAAAAATGAAGCAACTCAGAACCGCGCAAACCCTAATAGAGTGATCGGCAGTGATTCGCCCGTCAAATCATCACATTCCGGTAGCGTAACGGCGTAGGCGAATTTCGAGATGCAGTTTGGGCCGAGGAAGTCATACTTTTGAGCATTTGGCAGCGAATCTACATAATCCCAGCCTTCCTCAGGTATTCTATGTTCAATGACTCGACGCCATGTCGGAACCCATAGCTGTTGGCCTGCGCGATGACAATCAAGGACCCCGGATTTTGATCGCGACGGCGATCACAACGGCGGCCGCGCTGATCGTCGTTTGTGCCAGATTCTACGTTCGCATCTTCCTCATCCGAAATGTCGGCTGGGATGACTATGTCATGGGATTGACCATGCTCTTGTCGGCCGCTGGATTTGCCATTACAGTCCCGGAAGTGAAATACGGCGCTGGCAGACATGTAGTCTTTGTCGGCGAAACAGCATCGACGGCGATGCATCTGAACTTTGCAACCCAGGCAATCTATCTCTGGGCCATTGGCACTGTGAAGATATCGATTGGCCTGTTCTTGCTTCGTTTTGCAGGAAGGAAGGGCTACAAGTGGTTTATCTGGATTGTCATGGTAGCGATGATGCTGTATACCGCGATCTGCTTCTTGACGCTAGTCTTTCAGTGTAAAGACATTCGAACCAATTGGGACCCAACGGTGAAATCTGAGTGTTTCTCGCCGAAGCAGCTTTTGATCCTCAGCTATACAAACACCGGTGAGAAGATGATAAGATCAGCTCTGCTGTTAAATCCAGGCTAACAACCACAGCACTGAACATCCTCACCGATCTAATCTTCTCCATTTTACCCATTTTCATGCTTCGGTGCGTCTTCCTATGTCAATATCTGGCTTATGACTGACTGTTGCTAGTCATCTTCAAGTGAATCGCCGAGTGAAAGCGTCCTTGATCTGTATTTTGGGTCTAGGAGTCTTGTAAGTACTGCTGAACCATGTCGCTCACTTCCCACTGACTGTTTCAGTGCATGTGCCGCCGCCTTCGTCAAATTATCGATTCTTCCCAGCTATGGTCGCACCAGCGACTTCCTCTGGGACTATTCAAACCTCACAATCTGGGTGGTGTACGTGGAACTCCCAGCCCATTCCTAATCCATGCTAATCTTTACAGCACGGAATGCAATACGGGTATAGTGGCAGGCAGCCTCCCAACGCTGAAACCCCTATTCAAGAAGGTCCTCGGCTCATACGCCTCCCAATCTAAAACGGCTCGGGATTATTTCAACTCTAAGCGAAGCAAGCTGCGCTCGGGCTCACGATCGGACGGCACACCACTGCAATCTCTGGGGCATAAGACAAATCGGAGTGTCATTACACACCATACTCCTACAAAGAATCTATACCCCAACCTCGACTCGCCGCCAAGCACGCCTAGCGAGGGTGGAACCCGCACGAGTAATTCCAGCGAGGAACGCATTCTACCCATTCAGGGGGAGATCCTCTGCACAACCGAGGTGATGGTCTCTCATGCGCAGGACCAACCCTTCCCGGGCCCGCCGGCACCTACGCTGGGGAGAATGAGGTCGTTCAGAGGGATGGGGCCGTGTGCCGATGATCGCGTATAATGTGTTATATTCTAATGGGTGGATTCTTATATATTCGGCGCATATTTAGATTGGATTTCGAACGAAATTGAATGATTTAAAACAAGCCACCTTGCATTTCAATATAGTTGTCGACCTTTTCAGCCTGCAAGCTCATTTGGCGATTGTGCCAGGCTTTGCCGGCAACACACAACCTTGGGGGTAGGGGTTCTTGCTTTTGAAATCATCACAAACCTCTTCCATGGTGACAAACTCCACTCCTTCATGGCTTTTGAAGTATTCAATTAAGCTATGTGGTCATTAGAACATTTTCCTTTGATCTCGCAATTGCCACTTACCGCTCGTGCATAAGTAGCACATGAGGCCGGCCCGACACATCAGGATGAATCGATATAGGAAAGACGAATTCGTCATATTCCCGATAAAAGTAGTCGAAGTGGTCCCTCCAGATATCCTCCACATCCCTGGGGTTGACAAAACCATGGCTATTAGGAGCAGATTTGATGAACATCATAGGTGGTAGGTCATCAATATACCAATTGCCTGGGATTTCAACGAGCCCAGTCTGTTTCCCATGCACCAAAGGTTTCATCCACTCCTCTGCCCTTTTGGTGTAGTCAATCTTCGTCCATTGGTCCCCAGTGCGAAGATAGTAGGACTGGCAGTCGTGGTGACTGAGACTGTGATCGTATTCCAGGCCGTAGTCAAGGAGCAACTGGGCTCCTTCTTCGGATGTTTCCCACCTATATTGAATAAGAAACACTCCAAGCAAGGTGTGAGATATTTATAGCTCGGACTTACCAAGGAGCAACACTTCCGCGAGGCGGCTTGCCCGCGAAATCCGTCAACAGCCGAAAAGTCTTGTCAAGAACATCACGCTGCTGCTCAATAGTCATTTCGGCAGGATTCTCATGAGTGTAGCCATGGAGGCCAATCTCGTGCCCAGCGTCGCGCACAGCCGCCATATCTTCTGGGAATGATTCCAGCGTGTGACCTGGGATGAACCAGGTTGTTTTGATATTGTACTTGTCGAAGAGTTTCAACATGCGCTGAGTTCCAATAGTAGCACCCCAAATACCTGCAACTATGTGAGTATATGATATTGTGATGGCATGTCTCACTGACCTCGGCTGATATCATTGGGTGAATCTTCACCTCCATATGATCCAAGCCAGCCTGCGACGGCATCGGCATCCACTCCATAGGTGATGAGAACACGCTTTTTGACCATTGTGAGAAGTATGAGGCACAATATCCGATCTGCGACTTGAAATGACTTGAATCTTTGTCACAAAGAAAGAAGATAAAGAGATGTTGAATACCCCGGCTTACTTTATAGACCTTGGTCGTACGCGGGGCACGATATAACCGATTCCCCGCGCTGATTGCCCAGATAGCATGTATTCATTCTGATAAGCTCTGTTGATCGCCGTCGGAGAAAGTCATATAGCCCCCAGATCGTCTTATCTTGGGTTGGGGTCGATATCTGGCGAGATGCTCAGGACTTCGAGCGAGAGATAGATACGCCTTGGCGACAGTTCGAGGCCCCATTTGCAGCTGAAATGACAGAATGGCATGACCTTGGAGGTTATTTAAAGCTCACAATCGGAATTGCAGAGAATTAGAGTCGAAATATCGACGTAGAAAAGGAATGGTCGACATTTCACTTGATTGACTGCTGATACTTGGATATGTCCAGGTGACTCATTACTTTTCGCCAAGGCCACCAAAAGCATTACCTAGGTAATAATGTGCATCTTCTCGATTGTCTACAGATGAACTTATAGCCGACTCTGCTCGGGACAACTCACCGATGTTCCCGAGATGGGGATATGTGGAGGTGGTGGAGCCCAACATCTGGAGGTGTGTCCCTTGGCATTTTGGAGTCGTCTAGGAATGCAAATTCCGACAAGTTCAAAAACCACAAATCCCATTGGCGCGTCATGACAAATGTGAAAAGTCTGCCCAAGTGCGTTGGGTTTAGTAACATTGGCACTTGTACTCCGTAGCTCGCGATTCAACCAGTAGGCAAACCGAAAGTCACTCACTCTGTCTGTATTATACCACTCGGTCGTTGATGACCGTTCAAGATAGCAGCTCGAGTGACTGAATTTGCACATCGGACACAGCGGTCTCCATTGTCTCAGCCGGGGTGATTGAGTGGTGATGGACATCACGCCATTGAGTACGTTGAGCCGCCAGCTTAATTCCACCACTGACTCAAGGAAGATTCAGGACCGCAAAAGCAGAAACGCGTTTCACGGGCTTGTGAAGCATGTCGGTCGCGAAAAGTGAAGTGCAATGGCGAGGATCCATGTGAAACGTGCTGGCAAAATTGCACTGCGTGCTCATACCGCGACTATATTCGGAAGCGAAACAAACGATCAGAGCAAAGTAACGAATCCTCCCCGGATCACCCGGAAGAGATCCCTGTACGGAAGAGAGATCGCTCGACAGCTACACCTGCAAGATACTGCCCTCGCGAATACCGAAAACAACTCGAGATCCGCGCCGGCATCGGTGTTGCAAACAGTAAAACAGGATCATTCCAATTCTATGGTAAATTTCTACATCTGGTGTCGTGTGGAGATGTGAGATGCTCCAATTGCTTGAGCTGACCCAGTCTGTACAGGACCTTCTTCTCACTTCTGTTTCATTCAACGCCTCTACCAACGCATGAAGCGCCAAACCCACACCGCACTACTAGGCCAATCGAAGAGCGCAATACCAGACGGACTAGAGAAATGGGGAATAGAACGCTTTATGTTCGCCACCGGTTCAGACACGCTACACCCATTGAAATGCACAACCGAGACTTTTTTCTCGAAAGAAGCTGGTCACCGATTCATCGACGCTTACTTTTCCATCATTCACCCCCATATGCCATTTCTGCATCGAAATTCTATCGAGAAGCACTGGGAGAGCTTCTGGGATGCACCCGACCCGAATCGTGAGATCAAATGGAAAGGTGTTGTATACATGGTCATATCACTGGGAGCGCGGACTATCTCCCGCATAGATGGTGGCAGTGTGGAAGCGTTAGATAAATGGGCAGAGTACTTCTGGGCCCGGTCTAATAACATGGATGCCCTGTTTCAAGAGCCGAGTCTGAAAGGGATACATCTTTTGCTCCTGAAGGTAAGAGACCATCCAAGACTCTTCTAATATCCTCATCAGTACTGACCATATTATGGGCAACAGGCAATGTACGCATTTCATGCAATGAGGGTCAATGATGCGTATCTTTATCTTGGCCATGCGGCTCGCACTGTGCTTGCACTGGGACTCAACCAAAGCCAAGTCGTAAATGGCTGTGGGGAGAATATGCATCGTCTTCGCATCACCTTCTGGACGGTATATTACTACGAGCGCTTATGTGCATTCTATACAGGTCGACCGTCAGGGTTTTCCAATAACCATATTGATGTCGCGCTGCCTGAAGACCTCACATTCGCTGGGCCAACACCAGTCGATAGCAACGTGAATTACTCCTGCCCTGAGATCAATGGCGCTTTTCTACGAGCGATGTCGCAGATTGGGAAGTTTATTGAAGTGATCTCAAGTAAAGTCTTTTCACTTGCCAATCTGCAAGGCCTCTACAACAATATCCAGGTGGATGTGACGCTCAACGAGTGCGAAAGGGCTTTGAGCGAGATTTCGCACAAGCTTCCGCATTACCTCCAATTCTACAACCGAAACCGCGTTATAGGCCATGGGTGGCAGGAGATCCAATGCACACATCTCGGCCTGGCATTCCATCTTATCAGAATGATGATGCATCGTCCTGCTCTAGTATCTTCAACCTTTGATTCCCAACCCGAGGCGTATGACGGCACCTCAGACCAGGTTACCTCGATACAAAGGTCCATCGATATATCCATCGAGTCGGCAAAAGAGATGATCGAAATTGCCAGCGTTGCCATCTTTCAGCGTGTCCGGGAAATCCGGAATGATGCGTCCGTCGCTAACTACATCGTCTCAGCCTGTGTGACCCTTCTCTACAACGTAACCAGCTCATCCGTCACTTCGTTGTATGCGCGAATGATCTTTGAGTCCGTTGAACGCGGAATCAACTGTCTGGATCAAATGGAACACCTGGGTCCTACTACCGGGAAAGCGCTGAGTGTGGACCTCATGAAGTGTGCAAAGGATGCCCTCGTCCTTTCAGCTAGTAGCGAGGATCTAGAAGGAGACTTGGTGAATAGTTTCCCATGGTTAAAGTAAGTTCGACAAGTCAACCCTGTTGGAAACTTGGAAAGGCTGACCATGACTCCAGCGACATTTTCACTCCATCCGAGCCAGATCAACCTGCAGCGTCCCTCGATCGCCCCATAGACTTCTTCCATGAGCTTCCTGGACCAGCGCAGCATGATATATCACGCAATGTCGATGGATTCCTTTCGGCAAGTATTTCTGGCGTCAACCATACCTACTGGCTGAATGGGGAATTTAGTGGATTGGACTATTTAAATCCTCTCGACTAGATGTGTTTAATAGAATTAATATTTATAATCCCGGACGTCATTTCATTGCAACATAATGCAGGGGACTAATTCCTAGGTAGCCCTATTTCCGAGCGATCTCGGGTTTGGAGTGTTCATTGCCCAGCCCTGGTGGGCAATGATCTCCAACCGGTGCCCAGGTGGGTCTGCGAATGGCACAGAATTATATCCGAGCCGGCTCGGGACTGGAAATCGACAGGCGAATTGCTCAGCACCTTCTTTTGCCAGTATGGTATTGGGCATGGATGTGGATCGGGGATCGAGATTTTAATTATATGTCTAACAGGGGTTGGTATTTAAAGATCTGACGCCGGGGCTGTAGCATGGCTTCTAGAAATCAAACGATAACTGCTCACCGGCGAGCCTGCATTGTCTGGTCACTCAGGACCTTTTGATAAGAATATCCCGACATCTTTTGGGAAGCCCTCAGTTTGCGATTTCCCAATAGCGAGTGGCTTCCGGCATCATGGTGAGTTCTCTTTCCCTATGATTCAACCGATCTACACACAGACAACTAACCCTCTGAAAGGATACATCTGACTTGCCCACTGCTGAAGGTGCCAGTCCAGTCTACCGATCCGAGGGTCGATCGTTGGGTCTTGTCTATGAAAATGTCAAGGTCATTGGAGTGGCCCCTGGGGCCAATGGAATTCCAACGCTGCCAGCCCTTCTGGGAACAATTCTGCAATGGCCAGTGGACACTGTCGCCCGACTGTGCGGGAGAAAGAACATTGCCACCCGTGAAATCCTTCATGAAGCTTGCGGAGCTCTTTTCCCAGGCGAGACCATGCTTGCCCTCGGCAGACCTGGAGCCGGAACATCCACGTTGCTTCAAGTCTTGGCCAACAGCCATGAATCCTTCCAGGAAGTCCAAGGGCAGCTCCAGTATGCCGGTATATCCAGCGAGGACATGGCGCGCTGGTACCGATCTGAAACGGTGTATGCCAGTGAAGACGATATTCACTTTGCCACATTACCCGTCAAAGACACAATGGGATTCGCATACCGTCTGAGAAAACCCGCTACCGACTCCAGATCGGACTCGCAATTCGCAATTGATATGACAGATGCTTCACTCAAGTCCGTTGGCATTGGCCACACTGCCAACACCATTGTTGGAGACTCTTTCGTGCGGGGAGTCTCTGGAGGAGAGCGAAAGCGAGTCACGCTACTCGAATCTCTCTCTGTCAACTCCGCTGTCGCCTCGTGGGACAATCCCACGCGTGGATTGGATAGCTCATCGGCCAGAGAGTTCGTCCAGTTGATCAGCTCCATTTCCAAGAAGACCGGCATGGTGAATGTGGCTGCCATGTATCAAGTGTCTGAATCGATTTACGAATGCTTTGACAAAGTGACTGTCCTCTATGATGGCTGGACAATCTTCTGTGGCAAAGCATCCGATGCGAAAGAATACTTCATTCGCCTTGGATATGAATGCCGACCCCGTCAAACTACGGCAGACTTTCTGACTTCGGTCACCTCCCCGGCCGAGCGGTTGATTGCACAGGGCCGCGTCGGCATGGTGCCTACCGATCCCCAGGCTTTGGCAGTGGCATTTCGCGAAAGCCCGGAGTTCCATCAACTGCAAGAAGAAATCCAGCGATATAGGAACGAGATCGCCAAAGATACAGCGCTCATGATGAACTTCCGTGACGATGTGAAGCAGACTCGATCCCAGCTAGTTCCACGATCAGCAATTGCACCAAGCACTTTCTGGAAACAGATATGGACAGCGATGCTTCGACACTACCAGCTGATTTGGGGTGACAAGCGGACGCTTTTCACACTCATTGCGTTCAATGTTGTGAATGCCGTGATCAATGGATCTGTTTACTACATGGCTCCAAAAGACTCTGCCGGGTCTTATGAGAAGAGCTCTGCTTTGTTCTTTTCGCTCATCTACTTTTTCCTCAACGCCATGGCCGAGGCCACTTCAACTATCCGCTCACGGTCAGTCCTTTTGAAGCAGGTCCAATATGGCTTCATTCATCCGAGCGCTTTTGTTATTGCACAAACAATCGCCGAGATTCCGATATCGTTCTTCCATTGTCTGGTGTTTTCATGCTGTTACTATTGGCAAATTGGACTGCAGCAAACTGCCTCTGCCTTTTGGATCTTTGTCTTGCTTGTCTTCGTCCATTATTCGGCTGTGCAGAGTCTGTTCAGAATGCTGGGTGCTTGGGCCCCCAATGTCTCTCTCGCGTTGATGATGGCTGGAAGTGCAATCCCTGTGGGCCTGAGCTACTCTGGATTCGGTCCAACTCTTCCAACACAGCATCGATGGGGATCATGGCTTCGACGTGCATCACCTTCTCCGTGGGCTCTGGAAGCATTGATTGCAAATGAGTTCGCAGGCATTACATTGACATGTTCCGACGCCGATATGGTTCCAAATGGCTCGGGATACACCGATCTCCAGTACCAAACGTGCAGTATCACAGGCAGTGAAAGGGGTCACCAATCAGTCCCTGGGCCTGTCTATTTGGACCAACACTTTGGATTCACAAGAGCGCATCTTTGGCGAGACTTCGGTATCATTCTGGTCATGTGGTTCTTGTATACCGTCATTGGCAGCATCGGGTTACGGATCATGACCAGGGAGTCAGGCGGCTCTCGGGGTCGCGTTTTCAAGAAAACCAAGCAGCGCGACATTGAGAATGACACCAAGTCATCCGCTTCGTCTTCTACCGCCATGTCTGCGTCTGCGTCTGTTTCTGGCGATCGCCAGGCGAATGCCTCCAACACCTTCACCTTCGACAACGTCAGCTACTTCGTGTCTCTTGACAGAAAGGAAAAGCAGTTGCTGAACAGCGTTAGTGGCTATGCCAAATCAGGCCAGCTGACAGCGCTGATGGGTGCCTCTGGAGCTGGAAAGACGACACTTCTGGATACTCTATCCCAGCGGAAGAGCGAGGGACGGGTCGAGGGACAAATGACTCTCAACGGAAAGCCGCTCGAAGCATCATTCGCACGAAGCTGTGGCTTTGTCATGCAGCAAGACGTTCACGAGCCAAACAGTACGGTCACGGAGGCTCTCCTCTTTTCAGCTCACATGCGACAGCCAATGCATGTATCCGCAGAGGAAAAGGCAGCATATGTTGCGCACATCATCCACCTCTTAGACTTGGAGCCCATTGCCAATGCATTGATCGGGCAAGCGGGCGATGGACAATTGAGTGTCGAAGAGCGCAAACGGGTGACGATTGGCGTCGAGCTCGCAGCCCGGCCAAGCTCCCTTTTGTTCCTGGACGAGCCAACGTCTGGACTCGATAGTCAGGCAGCATTTGCTCTGGTTGAATTCCTTCAAAGAATTGCCGCCGAGGATATTCCTATCATTTGTACCATTCATCAGCCATCCGGTGTTCTCTTTGATATGTTCGACCATGTCTTGCTGCTCGCGCCTGGTGGTAAAACCGTTTACTTTGGTGAGACTGGACCAAACTCGTCCCAAGTCGTGGAATATTTCAGCCGACACGGTGTCACCATTGATGAAAACGTGAATCCAGCCGAGTTCATTCTCTCTGTCGTCACTGAAAAGGGCGAGGGTGCTCGAGATTGGCCCGCTTTGTGGAACAACTCCCCTGAGTGCCAGACGCTGGCTGCTACTATTCAAAATAACAATCTCCCGCTGACTGAAGATGCGAAGGCATCTCCGGACAAAGACATAGCCCCAACAGGAAATGCAAATGCTCAGTATGCATTGCCGCTATGGGCGCAGACGGTGGCAGTCACCAAAAGGCATTGGATCTCCGTCTGGCGAGATGGCAATTACAACTTCAGCAAAGTGGCCAAGTCTCTCTTCGTCGAGATCTTCTTATCCTTCACCTTCTTCAAGGCCGGGAACACACTCCAGGGTTTACAAAACAGCATGGTGGCCATTCTTCTTCTCGCCTGGGTTGTCCCGAGCGTTTGCGCCGACATCCAAGACATGTGGTTCCGGAAATGGGACATCTTCACAGCCCGCGAGAAGAACGGTATCTACGATTGGAAGGCTCTGGTCACTGCCCTGGTGGCTGTCGAGCTACCCTGGCAACTCGGCACATACAGTTTGATCTTCCTAGTGAGCTATTGGACTGTCGGATTCCCCAATGAAACCTCCATCGCCGGCTTCAACTACTTCATGTGGCTGCTACTGGCTATTTTCGGCACGAGCTACTCGCAACTACTGGCTGCTATGTTTTCCAATACGACCATGGGAAGCTACGCCAACTCATTATTCTGGGTAATTCTCATGGTCTTTTCAGGCGTCTTGACTCCTCACTCCAACATGAACACGTTCTATCGTCCATGGATCTTCTGGGCAGACCCGATGCGCTACTTCTTCGGAGCCACGGTGGGCACCTCCCTGCACAACGTCTCGGTGGTCTGTGAGCCGAGTGAGCTCACAATTTTCGATCCTCCCACTGATCAGACTTGTGGCTCATATGCGCAAAAATTCCTCGAAACGAGCTCGGGGTATCTTCTCAACGCCAACGCCACTCAGAGCTGCGAGTATTGTCAGTACTCGGTTGGCGACAATTACCTGGCTACTTTGGATTATGCCTACAGCGAGCATTGGTGGAATTGGGCGGTTTTCCTCGGCTTCTGTATCACTAATCTTCTGTTGCTGCTTCCTATCATGTGGTGGACGAAGGGCCGTCTTCAGCGCCGTGTTTGATAGAATCTTGGCATCATCGGATGCCTCTCGCTAAAAGGCACACCATCGATTTGGTCAGTTTGGAGCTGATGTGAAATTGGAAGTTCCGACTCTCGCGAGTCTTGCCCAGTGGGTCTCAAGGTCATATTCAACCTTGGAAACCCATAGGCATAATTGGTGCTTATCGGGAGCGCCTGAAATAGTATACCATGTAGGAGTTTCTTCTTTCTGGCTTTCTTGGCTATCTTGGCTATCCCACTGTTGTCCAGGTGGATAACGCATATATTTTATGATAAGAATGCCCAATTGAAGAGGTCTTGGGAGGGAAGAGAAGGAAGCAAGGGAGCTAAAAGCAAGCGTTTCTCAACTGTTCGTGGCCCATTTGACAAGAAATGAGATATCATTCACCTCTTTCCAAAGAAGTAATCGAAAGGAAGGTAGATCAAGACAAAGAGTAGTATATACTTGATGGAATGATCAAATAGCAAGGACGCAAAGACGGTCCTCGAGACAGGATAATTAACCTGTGAGCTGGCTAGACCAGCCTCGTTGTCTCTGATCTCAAGATGACTGATGGATTTCCATTCATCTTCACCGACAGGTCCATTGATTTGGAGCGCTTGCGACCGCGTGAGATTGCCAATTATTATCCGCGTAGTTGGACCCTTGGGCGTTGAGATACCAATTCGATCCAACTCGTTGGAATCTATAACTACCGGTTCACCTTTGACTTGCCAGTAAGCATGTTTAAAAATATAGCACAGGTCAGATTGAAAGATGCTCACCTTGCAGAGGCTTATGTTGTATCAGACTCGCAATTTTCAAGCCCCATTCATCTCCAAGCAGTGTCTTGATTGTCCGATCCAAATTGCTAATTTCAGCCGTGTTGGCGACAATATTGTTTTGGCCATCACGCGACAGGCCAACACCGGCAACCTGGATATGTATAAGGAGATTTGTCTTCGCGGTATTTATTCGTTTAAGGATGCTGTCAAGATCGGCTTCATCTTTAGATCCGCTGCTGAGCTGATGGGCGATTTGACGAGGCAAAGACTTGTCTCCTGGATCTAATCGCCTGAGCAGCGTAAGAAGCTCCTGTGACAAATCCTTTATTTTGACCAACTCGGATACCACCGCCGCCGTCTGGAGACATTCTTCCTGGCGAATAACTTGTATCACACTCTCAATGCCCTGCAGCTCTTCATTATGCCTGTCTATCACGCTTTTCTGTGCTCGTTGGCGCGAGTAAGCAACCCTGAGTCGACTGACGATGCCGATCGATGTTTCTAGCAAGGCCAAGATGGCAGTCGTGGTAGACAGAGGGTCCTGATATGTTGTTAGTAAGCGTTTCGAGTCAAAAGCTTCATTGGCTCATTGTTTCCTCACCATACTAGCTGCCAAAAGTGGTTGTATTGTAGATAAAAGCGGGAAGAGTGATCCGTGAGGTAAAAGAATACTGTGGGGATCTGAGGAACAAACTCAGCCTCACCACCCAGCTGGGCAGCTGAAAAGAACAACCAATCACTTCTATTGCAGTCTCTTTCCTGGCTTATGATGGCCCTCTTCGTGAACCTGCATCCAAGTGGAGACAGGAACCCGCATGAGCGGGTAACGATTGGATGACGGTGAAATCGCTCGACAAGGCGCAGACTCTGGCCCCATGTGATGTGATGTATGCGCTTTGAGATCTCTGAAATTTGTCTCATTTCATGCAGCTCCCCCACCTTCACCTCTGACACGTCATCCAGGCACTAGGGTGGTTGGGAGCGAGAACCACCAAGCCTGGGCCTCACACATCAAAATGATTCCTTCCCTATACACTACATGAGTTCATGAGAGCCCAGCTTGCGAGAGATTTCTGGCTTCGCCTCTCTTCCTTACAAGTGACAACATGGCTAGTTCTGTTCATTCCACTGTGAGCGGCAACACTGCAAACCCTTTCTCTACCCAAATCAACGTCAACGTCATCAGCAGCGGTAGTAAGTAGCGCAGTGCTTTTCAAGTATCATCCTCTGACCCCGTGCTAGCCAAAAAGTCCATCAACGAAAATATCAAGGAAGCTATTGTTGCAAGACTTGGCTCTAGCTCCCGCAAAAAAACTCCGTATGAGGGAACCTGCGAATGGCTGTGGAAGATCCGACACTTTCAATCCTGGGTCAGCGATGAGCCAGAAAGTCGCGGTCTCCTCTGGGTCTGCGGTGGCCCTGGTAAAGGAAAGACTCATCTTGCTACACACTTGGTGACCCGACTGAGGACTGGCTCTGTGATGACCGAACTGGGAGGGGCCCTATCGACAAGCGCCTTGGGAAATGACTGTATAGTCCTGAGCTACTTTTGCGATGCGAGTAATGTCCTTCAATCTACAGAGCTTGCAGTGGTGCTCGGTCTATTGAATCAGCTGTTGGAGTTGAAAGATTCTGAGGAGTTTTATAAGATCATTTCTCCCAGATTCTCTGGTAGGGGCCAGGATCTTTTCAGTGGCTCCTACATTCAAGATCTCTGGGATTGTCTTGAGCAGATTATCCGAGTGATCGTCCCAAAACGACCGATCTACATCGTGCTAGATGGACTGGATGAGTGCGACAGACCTTCTCAAGCCCGTCTCTCGAGCCAAATGAGAAGTATATGCCACGAAGGCCGACAAGATGAGAAGAATCCGCTCAGGGTAGTCATATTCAGCCGTCCCTTGGATCCGTCGCTTCCTCCAATGGATCCGACAATTGATCTGAATGTCGTTGAGAATCGTCAGGGGACCAACGCAGATATTTCTATTTTCGTGGAAAACAAATGCCGGCTGCAGCGGGATAAGGATCGATTTTGCAAGCTCTTAACAGACCGATCCGAAGGTACTTTTCTGTGGGTTGCGTTGGCTATCTCCCTTCTGGATGAAGTGTCGGTTCAACAGAAAATAGTCGACGAAGATTCCGCATTCCTTGACAAGCTACTCCCGGTTGGATTGCCTGGAATGTACGACAGAATCCTCTTCAACATTGCTGACAGTCTGCACGGAAAAGCTCATTATCAAGATATGATGAAAATCTTCCGCTGTCTGACTGTTTCACAACGTCCGCTCACCAGGGAAGAAATTGGCACCCTGACGGAAATGAACGAATACATAGTGAATGAGGCCCTTTCTGCCTTTGGTAATATTCTTTCGACGACAGGCGGAGTCTCAGATCAAGAAGCAATCGAGCTCATCCATCTCTCACTAAGACAGTACCTTTTTTTGGGATCCTCAAGACTAATACTCGAGAGGTTTTGCTGGTCAGTCTGGCCTTTTCTATCTTCTGCCTCAGTTTTGCTACGGAGGGGCCTATCTCAGTCATGGGCTTTGGACTATGTCGCCTTTGCGACAGTATGTTTTCATTGTCAAGGGCTCCTTCGTCGGCATCCTACACTCGGCTTCGGCGTACTCTCTTTCATAATCTTTCAACTCTTATTCCAGAGACACAGATCCTCATTTTTGATGGATCTATCTGGCAGAGCCCTTGGGCGATTGATGGCCAAATTTCTCATGGCCATGTTCTGTGTTAAGCAAGAAGAGACACACTTCTACTTATTTGAAAGATGCATTGCAGTAATGAGTGACGTAAAGAAGGGTCTGAAGCGAGACATTCATGACGCCGAGTCTCCATCACATCTGCAAAACCAACTGGAGATAAAGAAGAGATGGCGTCGGGTTCAATATCCAAGTCGCCATTGGGTCGCCCATCTCAAAGAAAGCAAAGCCAAGTCATCTGCAATAGACAAAGTAGACGTTTTTCTCAAGCAGCACTTTCTCCATTGGTTGGAGACCATGGCCCACTTGGGTGTTGTTTCTGGGGCTCTAGGAGACCTTGATATTATCAAGAACATCGCGCGAGTGAGTGAGAGTCATTGGAAAGATTCGTTACGTTCGGTCACTAATGATTCGAGGGTAGTTTAACGCAAGGTCTGAACTTTCCAAGTTTCTGTATGATGCGCGGCGATTCCTTCTCAAGAACAGACATATGGCCGAAATTGCACCGCTTCAGCTCTACTACGCGGGACTGATATTTGCTCCGTCCAATTCAATCATACGGCAGCATTTCAAAAACGAGATACGTTGGTTATGCCCGTTACCCAAAGTGGATGGGAACTGGAGTGAAGATTTGCAGACCCTAGAGGGTCATTCCGATTGGATCCGATCAATAGCCTTCTCTCCAGATGGTCAAACTATAGCCTCAGGCTCAAGTGACTATACTATCAAGCTCTGGGATTCCCAAACGGGCCAAGAGCTACGAACTCTACAAGGTCATTCCGATTGGATCCAATCAATAGCCTTCTCCCCAGATGGTCAAACTATAGCCTCAGGCTCAAGTGACCATACTATCAAGCTCTGGGATGCTCTAACGGGCCAAGAGCTACGAACTCTACAAGGTCATTCTGATTATGTCCAATCAGTAGCCTTCTCCCCAGATGGTCAAACTATAGCCTCGGGCTCAGATGACAAGACCATCAAAGTCTGGGATACTCGAACGGACCAGGAGCTACGAACTTTACAAGGTCATTCCGATTGGATCCAATCAATAGCCTTCTCTCCAGATGGTCAAACTATAGCCTCAGGCTCAGGTGACTATACTATCAAGCTCTGGGATTCCCAAACGGGCCAAGAGACACGAACTCTACAAGGTCATTCTGGTTCTGTCCAATCAATAGCCTTCTCCCCAGATGGTCAAACTATAGCCTCAGGCTCAAGTGACCATACTATCAAGCTCTGGGATGCTCTAACGGGCCAAGAGCTACGAACTCTACAAGGTCATTCTGATTCTGTCCAATCAGTAGCCTTCTCCCCAGATGGTCAAACTATAGCCTCGGGCTCAGATGACAAGACCATCAAAGTCTGGGATACTCGAACGGACCAGGAGCTACGAACTTTACAAGGTCATTCTGACTGGGTCAGCTCAGTAGCCTTCTCCCCAGATGGTCAAACTATAGCCTCAGGCTCAAGTGACAATACTATCAAGCTCTGGGATACTCGAACAGGCCAAGACCAAGAGCTAAAAACCCTACATGACCACTCTGCTTCAGTCCAATTAGTGGCCTTCTCTCCAGACAGTCATACTATAGCCTCAGGCTCAAGTGACTATACTATCAAAGTCTGGGATGCTCGAACAGGCGAAGAGCTACGAGCCCTCAAGGGTCACTCTGATCGGATCAAATGCATAGCCTTCTGTCCAGACAGCTCAACTATAGTCTCAGGCTCAAGAGATAAAACTATCAAAGTCTGGGATACTCAAACAGGCCAAGAAACACAGACCCTACTGGGGCATCACATGCCACGGACCGTGGTCTTCTCTCCAGATGGTCAGATTATAGCCTCGGGCTCACATGGCCACATCATCACACTCTGGGATGCTCAAACGGGCCAGAGGCTAGGATCCCTAACCGGCCATCCAGATTTTGCTAGCTCGGTTGTTTTTTCAAACCCACAGAACCCAATTCCCCAACTTTTCATAAAAGATGAGTGGGTCTACTTCCACAACCAAATGCTGTTATGGCTCCCTTTCGAGTACCGCCGCTTCCATTGTCTAGCTACACACGGTAGCACAATAGTCCTCGGATACAGAGATGGGAGAGTTGTCATCTTTGGGTTCGATGTGGAATAGTACTTACATTACTTTTGATTTGAAGAGACTTTTTTTTTGCTTTTCTTTTATTACCTTAACATGTTAACCTATCAAAGTGAAAGATCACGTTCAGGAATCGAATGGGCACCGACCAGGAGGGGACTCTTGCATTACGCACTAAATCAAGTGCGAATCTCTGTGCACTACAGAATCGACTCTTTGAGATGCTCTCTGCTGATGGTCCGAATGCGATCTCCATTGTCTTGGGGATCGTTTGTGTATAGACTGCACATGCAAGTAAATTTCATAATCATGCTTTACAGAGGCTGTAGGCTCGGCCAGTAACGCTCACCTGGAACTATGTCCTTCCTCTACTATCATCACTGTCAAGACACCTATGTATTTCATTGCTGTTCAATGTTCATGAAGCCTATATGGATCAATGGGTTGATATATTACCACCGCGATAGTACATTACACTGGATGCATTTAAACATTGGGAAAAGAACCAGCTCTAGTGTACGTCAATTAGATGATTGTCCACCGATGTTTCTTCCAAGTTTCCATTGCTCCTAGCACACAGCCGTTTCGGCGGATGTGTGGAGGTGAGGTTGACCTCCAAAGCACCTCCACTGATCTCGGGACCCTCTGGATTAATTTAGGGCATGTCTTAATGAAGATTGCCGACTTAATATAAGAAAAATGCTAAAATCAAATACCCGTATCCCTCCTAGGTAGTCAATATCCGAAGACTCACTTCCTACACCCCTGAGCTACTGGAAGGCCATACCGGTTATCCCATAGCCAATTGAATTGGCTTACGGGGCTTTTCTAGCCCAGATATAGAGGGAACCTTAGAATCGTTGTCTCATAGCGACCACTCCCGAGTCTGTCAATCCGTAGCGTAATGGAGTGCTGTTGGAGACCTAGCTACTTTCGAACCAAATAATCATAAACGCATGTTCAATCGGCCTTATCAGGTTCCTATCTTCACATGGACCTACTCCGGGGCTAATTTGGCCCAAAGTACAGACTTAAATTTGGGATCGGCGATTCAAACTGACCGGGCCGGCCCTATTGATCTGCAGGCCACATGCGACTAACTCCTCGAGTTACAGGTCTGTCACATTGGCGTGGATGATCGTCAGAAGTGATATGCTAAGTGCAATCCTGCACACTAGGCCCTTTTGCACAAACCGAATCAATGTTCCACGGTCTGAAAGTCCTCCTTCCACCAAGGTGCTGCCGATCTTTTTTACCTCTGCATGGTTTATCATTGCCGTACGGTTAAGCAGGGCAATCTTTGTATGCATTTCAAATGATCAATTGCGCGAAATGAGAAGCCCGAATGTCTCATATAATTGCCCAGGTGGGTTCAATGGCTTATCATACGATGAACAGCACTTAAGACTATAATCTATTTTGACTTTGTCTAAGCACATAGCGACCTGCGACAGACATCGTTGTCATCACATTGGGACACTAAATCCTGAAGGATCTGGTAACGTTGCATCGAAGTATTCGATTCTCCTGAAATCGCGTTATAAATTGGGCCCTACTTCCAACAGTTGTAGACCATCACACAATCTCCCACTCAACCGAAAATGAAACTCAGTCTTTTCGTCCTTTTGACCACCGCTGCGATGGGCCTGGCAGCCACTTGCTCAGGCGCAAAGCAATGCCAATGCCTTTTCGAAGATGGCTCCCACTGCTGTGCATATGGATCCGTGAGACATACACCACTCTCTGCAACGAGGGCCGCTAACTCGATTTCCAGAACGCTCAAACCGGTGACGACTATGATTGTACGAGGCTGTGTGCAGGTGCCAGTCGCCTACTGCAGAGTGGTGAAGACACCCCGACGAAGTGCAATGCAGGGGGTAAATTCTCATGCGCCTCCATCTTCACGATCCAAGGTCGCACGCCTTGTTACAACAATGCTCAGGTGTGTATATTCCAAGGCTTGGGGGGATGCTGTTAATGCGAACTATTACTTATTATCATTTAGTGAGCTTTCGAGTTTGAGAATTCCTTTGGTCATCAATGGTTAATTCGCCCGGAATACTCGCTTTTGGGTGGGGGGTTGATACTAGAACCTTGAATGATATAGAATTTTTTGGGCGACAATTATCGTCGAGGTGAATTATATTTCCCGTAGAATATGAAATACCAATCAATACTCAATTTTAACAAATCAATGATATCAAAGCGACCAGTCCTTACATCCAGGCGCACCCAGGCACAGCCGCGCCTCTTCCAGCAACTGCCTTCTCTCCAAACTTCTCAACGTACCACACCCGTCCCCATCGCGCATGGGGCAGCATATTCGCCACGGCATTGATGACAAAGACAACGGCCGGCAAGGGCAGGGGCACAGCAAGTTTCCCAGCGACCCACGCAGCGGGAACCAACCAAGGCGCAAGTCGTAGTGGAGGAGTCATGGCCGCAGCAGGCGCAGGTGGCAGGTCAGAAAGCGGGACTACGGAAGTCCCGGCCAGTGCAAAGCCGAGCCACTCGAGCCACTCAAAGACATAATGCGGATACAGGATGTAGCGGAAGACCCCTTGGGCAGGGGGGATGACATATACTTTGTGATATTTATTGGGACCTGCGTCATCGGTTTTCTTGGTTCGCTTTTCGGCTTCTTCTCGCCGGAGTCGAAAGAGCATTCTTTCAGAGTAGATGTTGCCGGCCATGCCGATTGCGAACAGAATGACCCCGATGGTAGGGATTAGGTCCACTGTGGCGGAGCGGGAGGCACTTCGATAGAGTGGAATCGTGGGAATAGTGTATCCCCGCAGCCAGCCTGCGAGACATGAAGAATTGAACCAGTTGAAGAGCATGGCAGAGGACATGATGAAGAGGTGGATTGGGGACATGCTCGGTGCCGCAAAAAAGGGGGAGATGATTGCACGGTTGAAGTAGTGGATGCAATACATTGATGCAACCATGATATTTGAAGCTGGGAGGTCACCGATTGAGGGCGAGTAGATGGATGGAAGCATCAGGTTGTAGATCAAGTTGATGGGCCCGAGGATCTCCATAGCGCACCAGGCAATACGGCCCGGAAAATTGAACATTGAATTAGTGGATGTCTTTCCAGCAGGGTGCCATGAGAGAAACCACACGACAATGGAGATCTGCAATCTGTTAGGCCACTTCTCCAGCCTGCAGGGGATGCCATACCACCGGGAAGTACTGGAAGTAGCCGAGAATGACAGCGTAGACACCAGGAGCGGGAGGCACCAGGTCACTCCTGGAAGGGACGGACTCCCAGACAGCAGCAAGGACGTCCATGATGAGCGATGCAGAGAAGAAGAAGAAGAAGAGAAGAAGAGAAGAGCGTCGCAAAGTAAACAGAAAGCTTAAAACCGGTGACGTAAAGGCGGTGGCACTTGGACAAACATTCTTGTCTTTTTCCTTTCTTTCTCTTTTTCTGTTTCTTATTCTTCTTTCATCGCCTTTTTTCTCCTCTAGATTGCTCTCTGCAAACACACAGGGCAGATCAGTTGGCTGTTTCTTGTGGGACACCCCCTGAAATTCACTATTGACACACCTGAAGCAAACGCGCCGAATGTGGTACGTTTGACTGTCGAGACACACCTCGCACAGGCTCGATTGTCACGTAGAGATCGTCCTACAGCATAGACTGGGGCCAGGTAGCCGGCATCTGGACAATGACAGCGAAATGGGCACCTCGCCTGCTGTTGTGGGGTTGTTGTCATTCAGTAGCGAAGAACCTGACCATTGGACTAGAAACAAACAAGTGTTCCACGGAGCATGAGATTCCTCTTGGTAATTTCCAGGGCCCCATCATCAAGGGACGATGTTGGTCATGGTGGGTGATCTACGGAGGACAGGGCGGCCGCATTAGTGCTTAGTGCTAAGACCTGCAGGTAAGATCTTTACTCTGTCTTTCTGTCTTTACAGGGCAGACAGCCTCGGACTAAGTAGGTTACGCAGAGTGAAATCACAGGTCACACTGAGCGACGATTGACACCGAGTATTGTATTCTATACCTAAATGCCGATGTAGGTGCGCTTCCAAATGGCAGTTAGGTAGATGTGTCCATCTGTTCGGTCTGCTGGTGTACCATTTCCTTGCGTTTGCCAGCCAATTTCTCGGTCTTGAAAGCCTCAATCTTAGCTTTGAGATCGGTATCTGGAGAGGTCAGCGGTTGAACTGGGAGGCAGCGAATGTAGGTCAGTCTTACCAACTACAACGTCCTCCATCTTTAATGGAACACGGTTGAAAGGGTCGTGAGGGTCGCTCAGAAGATGTGAGCGAATCGTCGCGCGGTCAATCGAGATCCGTGAGCCGGGAAGAATGACGGGATCTTCCATCAGGGTATACATAAGGGGATCTATAGTTGTGAGTAAAAGGCCGAAATAGGGATCGTCGAGCAACCTACCAAGGAACTCGTCGGGAATCTCGCCGAGGTCTTCCTCCGCCTGGTCATCAGCCTCCTTAGCAGCCACCACCTTCTTCTGAAGGTGAGCCCAGCGGCGGAGCTGCTCGGGGGACTTCAATGACCATTTCCGGATGATATCCGCGGCTTTCTCGAAGTTGGCCGGTTTGTACGATCGACCGTCGCGAGCAACGGCCAGAATAAAGTTCTCTTTGCCCGTCAGGTTGAGATAGACATCTACGATCTCACTCAGAAGGGCACGAGGGTTGAAACCATACTCCTGCAGGTTTTCAACGCGCAGGCTAGAACTCTTGGTTCCAACCATTGCATCGAGATTGTAGTCCAGCATGTCTGCGAGACGCTGGACAATCTCAGGCATGGTAAAGGAGTCGGCGAGCGCATCAGTGAAAAGCTTCAACATAGCCACCGTCTCGTTGGTCAGCTGCATGTAGCTCTTTGCGTTTCGCTGCGCTGATGCGAGGTGCTCTTGACGCTGCTGACGGGTGGCAGCGTCCATGGTGTGCCCTTGGGTGTTGAGCTCGGTCTGTGTGCTGTGAATGGTCTTGAAAGCACCAAAAGATTCGTCAAGAACGTATGTCACGTCGTTCAACAGAAGGTTGACGAATCGAACGAAGAAGTCCAAGTTCTGGTTTGCTTGGTTGGACAGCTTCTCGCGATAGAGGGTATTGGGCCAGATGCACTTGATGATCTGGAAGATCTCATAACGGATGTTGAACTTATCGTAGAACTGCGTGTGCGCTCCGGTGAACTCGGCCTCGATGTAGAACTTCATGACTGAGTGAAGGAGATGTTCGTTGGCAAATGGCATCGAGTTCAGCAGGTCTACTAGCACGCCGCTGGCGCCTCCAGGGCGTTTCCAGGTGCCGCGGAACAGGATTGATACCAGGCCTGCCTTCAGGTAGGGGTTCTTAATGTACGCAGAGCTCTCAAGGAATGTGATGCACAGCATGACCAGCTCATCTCCCTGGGTGGCAGTAATGATTTGTGGCATGCACCACATGATGAACTTGAAGTTGCTGACAATGTCGTCCAAGAAATACTCAGGTAGGCACTTGAACACCTCTGGCTGAGTCTCTGGGAGGGGCAGCTTGACCTGTTCCTTGGGGAAGTTCTTGCCGGATACGACTCTGAGCAGCCAGACAGTAACGTATCGCATGAACAGCATAGAGCGTGCCTGCCACTGGTCATCGAACAACACACCCTGAAGACTGTACTTCAGGGCAATCCCCAGATCGAGCTTGTCCTTGTACTTCTTGAGTGCTTGATCAAAAGTCCGTAGTTGAACAGGGTTGTTCAACCAGCGGTGCCGCTCAAGTTCGAATTTAGTAATTGTAGACTCCATCTGTCGCACATCTTTTTCAAGTTGCTCCAGTTTGGACGTCAAGGATTCACTGCCATAGTGATGCGCGGCAACGGTCAGGAAGAAAATTTCAGTGATAAAGTTGGAGGTTCCATCCACTTTCTTGGAGTAGAAAGCATCGGAAGCGTGCTGGTCGGCATTAATCTTGGTCTCGTCTCGCATGTCTACTCGGGAGTTCCGGTGCAAATAATCCGCATCAATCCTGTCAATCTTAGTGAAAGCCGCATCCATGAACGGCTCGCAGAGCTGATCAAGACAGGTTGTGATGTTGAACATAAAGCCGTCGGATGATACTTGTTCAGGGTCGACCTGCATTGCGCGTCGTTTGTGGTTGATGTTCATAGCCGCAGCAAACCAATCCAATACCCGATCGCGAGCCTCTTTCGAGGCGCGAATCAGGTGGTTCACGACATCAAGAAGGTCGGAGCTAATCAACTGCTGTGTCATCCGGAGTGACCGCTGGGCATTGGAGATGTATCCCTGGTCGCGGGTTTTGGGGCTGGAGAAATAGGACATGGTAACGTTGGCCTGGAGGGGGGACAGGCGGAACCAAGGGCCCAGAAGAGTGACCTTCTCGAACTGAGCAGGATCCGTTGAATGATTGAAGAACTCTGATTCTGTGATCGCAGCCGCAATTGATCCATGACGAACCAGATTTCGCAGAGCCTGATATAATTGTTAACTGCTGTCCACTGTATATGTATGAGAGATGGGTGACATACGATAGCGTAGGGTTTATAGTCATCATTGACGTCCTTTGTGGCAAGCTGCGTACTAAGCTGCTCAACGGCAGATATGAAGGCGGGCTTTATCGTGTCGTCTTCGTCAAATCGACGAACAGCCTCATGCATGAACTCGAAGTCGATTCCTCTGTCGTCCTCCGGGTCCACGAGTAGATAGGATGCCAACGACGACTCCGGAGACCATTCACTCCTATTCGATCTGTCAATTCTTGTCCACGTATGTCGCTATGGTCCTAACTCACCCAAACATCTCAGGCATTGTGATGGCAAAGATACAGTAGCTCATGCACAGGCGCCGAGCCTCGACCAAAACCTGATACTTTGGGTCATCATCCCCGGTCCGTCTCAGCCCTTTCGACAGCTTGGTGATGCGTTTCCAGCACGGCAGCAAGTAGTCTAGGGGTCGTTGTCTCTCGGCCATCGTCGCAGCTTCCAGCAAGGCCTGGTCCAGGGCCGACACCTGGATGCGCAGGTCTTGGCCCTCATTCTGGAGTTCGTTTCGCAAGCCGGGCAAGTATGTGCGCTTGCCGTGGATATCCCGCTGGCCTTCCTCCTTGAGAGTCAGTCTGAATACGGCGCTCAGCGTCCGATCTTCAAAGGTCTCAATCGTCTCGATCTTCTGTGGCGGGGGAGTACTTGGGGCGGATGGAGGGGCGGATGGGGCCGCGGATCGTGGTCGCTCTGGTGTCGAGGCAGCGGGTGTGATCTTTATCCGTTTCCCTTCTGACTGCTGCGAGGGCGGCGCATTGTGAAAATTTAAGGGCGACTGTGCGGACAACGGTGACTGTGCTGGAGAAGTATGGGCCGAACTCTGTGCTGACTCGGAGCCTCCGTCCCCCGATGTCTGGATGGGGTTGGAGAGCTTTGCTAGGCGCTTGTTGCGAATCTGGACGGTGTCAGTTTTCAAATCGCGGGGAACCAGACGATCGTTCATCGGGAACAACAATCCACTGACCTTATCCGCGTCGGAGAGTGTATCCGACATCTTGCCTTTTAGTTCAACAGCCGGGTGTTGGCCAGTCGATCCAGAATATCAGTATTTTGAGCGTGTGGGAATCATAGGCGTGAAAGTGGAACAGGTCCTCGAGGCCAAAGTGGGGACAATGGAGAGAGAGTCCAGGGTATACTAGGGTGAGTTGGAGCTGACGATTCTGTGATCGGCGAGATTCCTTCGACTTTGTTCTTTGACGATGATTTTGACTAAGCGGGAAAAAGTTGGGTGTACCTCCAGGGTACTTCTTCAACACGCGCTGTTACCGCGGGGAGCCATGTACCTGAAAAGTCTTCCCGAGCAACTATGCCCTAGTGAACCCCAGTGACAGTTGCTTTGATCTTGCACTTCTTTCAGAGGTATTCAACTGTATTCCAAGGTTTTCTATCTACTAGGCAGGTATACCTAGGTAATATGTGATCTAGTTGAATGCAATACATCAGTGTATAAACACACCCGCTTCGGTCTTATATATCGCGGAGGCGGATAAGGTGCATACCCCCGGGCTTAAGATAGAATAACAGAGTCTCGGAAACCCTGGAGGAACCGACTTGGGAATAAAGTGAATTGGAGCTCTCAGATAAAGTGCAATGTACAGATGGAAGTGCAACTCCCACAAACGCCGCCAATTGCGGGAATGATAATAATATTAGAGCGGTTTCAATGCAAGCTCCAGTTGATGCCATAGCAGGATGCGATCTAAATCCACTGTTTTCACCCTTAAAACCTCCCCTTCGTCTTCAACGAGTCCAATTGCCGACAAGCGGGCATCTCCATTGCGCGAGCCTTTTTCATCTTCTCGACATCGGGGAAAATCCAGCCTTGCGCATCTTGCAGTCGTCGCTCGCGCTCATGTGCTTCGGCGTCGCATTTATTCCGTAAGGTTCTCACGTGGTCTATTTCCACTTTCGTGTCGAGTTCACGGAAGTTTCGCGCGCTGTAATTATCCACGTCGAGCGGGTTGACAAAGTAGTTCAGGTTGAGCTTGGGGGTTGTACGACCCATGGTATGCGGGGAAACGGGGGTATCAAATCGGTAAGAGGGACCGGATGAGGTCGAGGAGCCAGAGAAGAGAGAGGAGAGGAGCGGCAGAACGAAGAGGATAATAAGCGGCAGCAGTTGACGGAGCAGGCTGCGGCCATCTAACTGGGCCTCCTGCGCGGCGGCGCCTGTGGGACGAGGTCGACGGCGCGGTGCCGCACCTCCGAATTGGTGAACGCGGAAACCTGGGCCTCCGCCCATATTGAACACAAATCCAGGACCACCTGTGCGAGGGCAGCGTTAGTACACCGGTCCCGTTGCGGGCGCGCATAGTAGAATGTCTCAACGTACCTCCCATCCCGCCAAATCCTCCATTGAAGAATCGGTTGAACATCTCCTCGGCGGAGATCTCCTCGTCGAATCTAGCACCTCCGCCGGGGAAGCCGCCGCCGCCGAACCCGCTGAAGGGGGACGCGCCGCTTGACGCACTGGGGCCCGGTTGGAACCTGCTGTCCGGGTCGCCGCCGAACCGGTCATACTTCGACTTCTTGTCCTCGTCCGAGAGGATCTGGAAAGCACGGGAGACCACTATTGCGTGTGAGTGCCGTTGCAACGTACAGATCGCCGTTTGATTCCAACTTACTCTTGAACGCCTCATCGGCACCCTCATATCCATTCTTATCGGGATGCGTCAACAAACTTTGTTTGCGATACGCCTTCTTAATTTCATTGTCTGTCGAAGATTTCTCGACGAGCAGAATCTCGTAGAACGCAGTGGGTTGACATTTTCTGATTCGAAGAACGGCTGCCTTCTGATCGTCTGTATATTTGCGATCCTGGTTCCCCTGCTTGTGGTCGCGAGCATCCGAAGGCATCGCGAGTAGGTGAATCGAGAGATTCGGGTCTGGGAGTAGCGCTCAGGGTGTCAAGAACAGAGGGGATGTTGGGGGATTCTGGGCGTAGGGTGGCGTGGTACGGCGGAGCGAGGATATCCCCGATGACCAGGGACAGAAATGTCAAAGAGAAAAAGACCTGGCACAAGTGAATGTCGGCCTTAAGTGAAGCAGATGGGCGACAAGTGTGACTCGGTGGGCTCAAATTGGGGGAAAAGCGTGGTCTTAGGTGTCTTTGCCAAGCGTCGGAACATCAGTTGCGCTTAGACATCGCGATAAGTTACATAACTTCCTTGGATCTCACCTGGGCAGCCTGCCATTGTCTCGCTTTTCGTTTCTGCGATTGGTAAGTCCCGCTTTGTTTCTGCAGGCCTTTCACGCAAATCGATTGACATTGCTGCAGTGATCACGACCCTTGCCCAAGCTCCAATTCCCGACCACCTTCACTACCCCACACACAATCACCATGGCGGACGATTCCAGTGTCGAGGACACCAAGCAGACGCTGATCCAGCGCTTCCGCGCATGGGGTGGTATGTTCTCCGAGCAGCCTGGGAGCAGCCGAAGCCGGCGTTGCTCTCACACGAGCACTCACTGACGTCGACCTAGAAAACTCGTTCCCACCCACGCTGCTCGCCTCGTTGATTGCAGCCCAGCACATGAAGCCATTCCAGTTCTTCCCCATGCTGTTCCCTCCTGCCCTGCTCTTCACGAGCTATGCCAATCTGCAGGGGTTCAAGACCGACACTGCTGGTATTAGCGCGGCTTGGTCGGGACTGTACCTGCTACTGGCAGCTCGCCGGCGCCAACCCTTCATGAAGAAATTCGGTGTCCGGGGTGTTGTTCGCGGTGCGACAATGAGTCTGGCCTTGGTCAACATGATTGGTGGTGGCTTGGCTTACACCCTCGGAAAGAGGGAAGAGGAGGAGGAATGATGGGAACGATACGAGTGAGTCGGTGTTGGCTACTCTGCTCTGATCTGTAAGATAATAAAAAGTTGGTTTGTACGTTTGTTCAGGACATGGCGTCGGTGGTATATTCGCGCATTTCATACGTTATCATGTATTCGACAATCAGTAGAATCGCTGGATAGGAATCTACGCGGAGAATATATGTCTACACTTTGCTGTTTCCAGAATATGGATGTTCCGACAGAAGGAAGTCTCGCACCTGGTCTGGGACCAGACGATTCAGATCATCCAGATCGGATGTTAGAGCTTCCCGGGCCAAAGTTGAGCTCACGGGCTGCTCGGATGGAGGTCGACCTGGAACTAGTTGGATGCGCTGTGCCCACTCGCGCTGCGCCCCCTCGGCATCCCGATCACCTCGCGCCAGAGCCTCCATCCAGCCGAGCTGCTCTTCCGGACCACCCCACTCATCGCTTGGTCGCATTGTCACACGCAGACGATGTTTTGACAAGAAAGGCTCCAATGGCGTGAGTGTATGTGTTGGGGGGTAATATTTCGCATTGAAGATCCGAATCAACGTATCATAGCCTGTCAGATGGACCTGCTCCAGCGCAACCGGGTATGAATCCGAATGTTCAATGGCGGCAGCCTTATCGACGAAATATGGCTTCCGGGTCACACCGATATCGACAAGGGGAAGATTCTCCACGGCATGGGTCAGACCCGTTGCGGCGAAGGCTGGTGACTCCGCCAGGCGGGCGCGGAGATCGCGCGCGAAGAGGTCCATCATCGCGAGCCGGTCCTCGAAGGACGCCGGCTTGGAGGGTTTGTCTGCATTTTGGGTGGCTAAAAGAAGTAGCAGGCGGGGACGAGGCTTGGGATTCTCCAGGAGTGCGGTGCTGGCGATGCGGAGGTGGGCACGAGTGGGGGGATTGAAGGAGGAATCTAAGACATAGAGTGTCTCCGATTCCGCGGAGTGATCGGGTGGAACTGTAGCCAAGACCTCAAAGTCCTTTGTCGAAGAGAGAAACCTTTTCAGCAGCGAAGCATACTGGGTCCGCAGGGCTTGAAATGAGGCCATCATGCAGCTGGTTTACTGACCGTCCCGAGGGAACACCGCGATAAGATAGAGCATCACCGCCTTTCAGGGCTTCCAGGGCAGTTTCTCTCCCTGAATGTCCCAGACACACTAGGCTTCATCAATGGTTCATGAACTCCTGGGAAAATTTGGCCCGGTCGTTTCATCGAAAGCTTCTCCGTGTTCAAGGACCCTGTGCAAGTGTTCCGGGACATCCACCCCTATATAGGTCTAGCCCTTCGCCATGGCCCAGCGAAATGACTCAAAATCCTGACGGAATACTCAGGACGAGATTGGGAAATGAGGCCAACAAGACGACAAGGGGTCGTGCACCCGTGCCGTCACTTTGATCTCAATATGATAGCCCCACCATGGCATTGATCGCACACGGCAAATTCTAGAATGCCCATGGCCAGGGCCATCACCCGCGAAATGAGAGTCCGAATCGTCGGTGGCGGTGTTCAATGTGAAACCATCGGCTGTCAGGGATACACCAATACCGGTATCGCCCCAATACCGACTGAAACGGGGCCGTTTGTTGCCGTCTATCTAGGAGGCGAATGGCTTCGGTTTCCACATGCTGTGCCGCACGAGCTGATTTTTCGCATGTATCCAGCCGTCTGGACGGAGTCCGGAATACGGAATGCAGACGCCTCCAGCGGTGGCTTTAAGAATAGGGGGAATGGCGCCTTCAACGCCTTCTCGGCTGGAGATCGTGAGATTAAAGGTCAATATACAATTCGCACGGGCTGATTGATTGGCTCTTGGCTGGGGATGTGACTGCGCGAGGCCAATGAGACACTGGTGCCTGAGACAGTGGGTACTGCGCACGTAGCGAGTACTCCACTCGGCCCAGCAACCGTTACCAGTGGAGGGGTATCTGATACCTGCGAGGTACACTGACTCCAGCGTATAGATCCGGTATTCTCACGTTTCATTTCGAATTCTGAGTTGAGATTAGCTGTTTAATCTAACGAAATGAATTAATATTATCCCCCGGCCCTCCTCTTCTCTTCTTTTCATACTTCAAGCTTGCAGTGCGACTTGTGTTTTTTTGCTCTCTGAGAGAAGCCTTCACGTTCCTTTCTTGCGAATTGACTTCGCTCTTTCTTCGCAACTCACACTCTTTTGAATTCGCTTCTTCTCTCGCTCTCTTTGCAACTCACAACTCACCGTCTTTACCAAGTTCATCATGGTTGTTATCAACAAGGTCTCCATCGCCCTTGTGGCTGCTCTGGCCGCAATGGGTCAGGCTACCCACGAGGGTCTCCACGCACGTCGTGTTCACCAGGTGCGCTCGGTCAGCGCCGTCGAGGAGTCGACTTCCACCGTCCTCGTGGTGCCTACTCCCGTTGCACCTGCCCCCGAGGAGCCCGCGCCCCCTGCTGAAACTCCCTCCGTGGAGCCCTCCGTGCAGCCCTCTGTCGTTCCCTCTGTGGCCTCTACTTCTTCTGTGGCGCCTGTTGTTCCCACTTCGGTCCCCAGTGCTCCTTCTGAGGTTCCCAGCGTTGTTCCCAGCGCTGTCCCCAGTGCCTCCTCTGTGGCTCCCGTGGCTTCCAGCTCTGCCCCCAGCTCGGCTGCTAGCATCGTTGCCAGCTCTTCCGTGGCCAGCGTGATTCCTAGCGCTTCTTCCGTCGCTTCCAGCGCCCCCGCTAGCTCTGCCGCTGGGGCTGACAGCACCTCTTCCGCTGTTATCTCGCCTTCCGCTAGCATTCTGCCTGCTTCTTCCACCAAGCCTGTGGTCACCCGCACTCCCATTGGTGTCAAGCCTTCCGGCACACCTTCCGGCACTCCTTCTGGACGTCCTTCCGGTATCTCCTCGGCCAGCCTGAGCGGCACCGCCGCTCCCAGCCAGGATGCCGTGACCACCAGCGCCGAGGTCGTGACCTACACTGTCACCGCTGGTGCTTCCTCCAGCGTTGTTACCACCACTATCTACCGTACTTACACCCTGGAGCACACCGTTACCGCCGTATGTGACATCTGATATATCGTGAATTGGAATACAAAGCTAACCTCTACACAGACCCAGACTGGTTCCGGTGCTCAGGCTAGCGTCACTAAGCCTGGCCAGGTTGGTGACAACCAAACCAAGCCTGCCGAGGACACCACCGAGACTACTACCAGCACCCTCCACTCCACCAAGACCGAGACTGTCACCCTTGTTGAGGTTCCCACCTCCTCCGGCTCTGCTGGCTCTGGCTCTGGCTCCGGCTCTGGCAACGGCGCTGGTAGCGATTCTGGTGCTTGCACCCCCGTCACCGTCACTGCTACCGTCACCGAGACCGTTACTGCTGTATGTCTGCCTGATAACTCGTTGTAAAATTGCAAACTAACATGGACTTCTTGCTCCAGGGCTCTACCGAGACTTCTGCTCCCGTCAACCACCAGGGAGGTGGTGACGACAGCGACAATGGCGAAGCCCAGAGCTCCTCGGCTCAGACCATTGCTCCTCTGCCCACCAGTGTGACCACCCGCATTCCTGCCCCCGGTGCCCACTCACACACCCCCCACACCCGTACTCCCACTCCCTCCAGCAGCTTTGTGACCCGCACCCCCTCTGCTTCCGCCAGCGTGAAGCCTTTCCCCAGCGGCCCTGCTCCTAGCGGCACCCCCAGCGGCAAGCCCGTCTGGCGCCGTCACCTCTAAGCAACATGCTCAAGTGAGAGGCACCCTCCCAAGTGGTGAGCTACGAGCCTGATGACGATCCGAGAGAAAGTTCCGATTTCCTTCTACTCGCGCTGAAGCGCGCTGGTTCTGTACCTATTTCTGCCAAGTTCTGGTACAAACATTTTCGATTTCACTTCTTATTTACGCTCCCATTTTTGCCATGTTTCCCGCAATTCTATTCTTCCGCTGGTCTTGACGTGGGGTGTGGACAGTTCATTGGCCTGATTATTTCGCAATCAGTCTCAACGGGGCTGTCCCACCTGGTCTGTCATTTCCTTGCGTCCCATTTCTACCCAATGTGAAGTTGATCCATTCATACGACATTGTACTCGGAACATTCTCTTCGTGTCGCCTTAGGTGATGCTTTCCTTTCGGGAAGAACCTCTCTTTTGTGCAAAATCATCGATCCTAACCGCTTTCTTGGTCGTATTCTGCCTTATTTCCATTCTGATACAGGCAGGAAGTCGATAGGACATAAGTTGTATTTCCTTCACTTCCTGCCACCCTTTCAATTAATTTGAGCATTCTGTCCGCAGACCCCTTGTCCCATCTGCGCAGGTAACCTTGGAAAAGCTATCCACTCTCCTCCGTTGGACACGGGTCAAGAGCACTACTAGTTTCCAGTAGAAAAAGCTTGGCCTGCTTTTCGGTCAATGTCCGAGAATCAATACATTTAGGTAAATGATGTGGACCCGAGCTATGAGGTACTAAATATCATCTAAAGCCCTGGGCCCATCCCGTACGAGGAGTTCTCGCATCGCCTGCCACTCAACCCACGCCACACCTTGCAATAAACAATCTGCCAGATCATCTAGTTTCCCAATATCGACAGCCTCGACTGGCAGAGGGTCTGGTGTTGATGTTCCTTTGGAAGCTCGCGTCTTCTTTGGTTTTGGCTGTCCCTGCCATTTCCTCATATACTCATTTACAATGCCCTCCAAGGCAGGTGATGCGGATGGCTCTGCCAGCAGAATCTTATCCACAGAGGAACTCCCCAGTAACAGCTGCTGCTGTTTTCCAATGGGTCTGGAGTCCATCGAAGGTTCACCCCGTGCAGCGGAAATCCAGCTTCCAACAACATCGATCTTCGCCTTTTTAACTTCTCGAGCCTTGAGCCTCTCTTTCTCTGCGGCAGACTGGTCTAGCCAATATCTTACTACCCTCCTTGGCTCGACGCCCTGTACGGTGATCACGTCTCCCCTTTCCATGCGAAGTGCATGCAAAACGGCATATAGCATTCCTTCAAAGACACCGACGCGCAGCGTCCATTCCTGAACAGCACTTGCACCACCTGAGCGGAAGCGCTGGCGCTCAATGAGGATATGAGTTGGTTGGTAGGCGGTTAAGAGAGATTTGATGAGATTGTAGGCAGTGGCGGCATACAGGTCTGGCGAAAAAGACTCCACCTCCTTAGATTTCGATGTCGATTTAGACTTAGATCCCTTTGCAGACTTATCTGAAGCGTCCGACTTGGAAATCGACGAATATTCCGTCTGCAAGGGATTTTCAGCACCAGCGAGATTCAAACTCGCGATCTCAGACACAGCCAGTCGATGCCAGGCTGTTAACACCGGCATCTGTGGGTTTGCGTGATCGGTCCCATGCGAGCGGGGGAGGTGCAGATGCGCAAAAGCCAGGTTCTGGATGCCCATGTCGATGCTGAGAATGCTCCATGGTTTCGCATGTAGTTTGGACGAGCTGTTCTGGGTTGAGCCTTTGGAATGATTGTTTGTCGATCCACAGTCGACATTTCGATGGCGATCCTGGCCCTGACTGGCATTGCTGGGGATGGAACCAGTGGGATTTGCAACACTGTCCCCGTCCAACTGTAACCCTAACTGTGCAGCAATGCGTTCAACGAGGAGACCTTTGGTCCCAGACGATTGGATGCCCGTTGCTCGCGCTATGCGCTGCAATTGGGTTGCTTTCAAGCCTGTGAGCCAATGGGGGGACCGAAGCACTGCAGAAGGACGCATTGGGAAGCGTGTTTGCCCAGGGCTGCACGGTTGATCTTATGGACTCGCCGATTTCGGATTTCGAGTTGGGATCTGCAACTTCGTTTCGTGAAGGGATGCGCACGGGCCATGGACGTTTTCGAACTATACGATTGTGGACTACGGAGTACTTCGTACGAACAAGGAGTGAGGAGTGCAGTTCGAGATTGTGATGCATCTGCTATAAGTAAATTATGCCTCTATTTCCCAACACCGAGAAGTCAAACGCCCTTGGGCTCAGAAACGCCACTATTAACCACAAAAGTCCCCCCTGAAAGCAAATGCATGGCGCTGAATAGCAGAACATTTGCAAAAGCAAAAAAAAAAAAAAAAAAAAAAAAAGTAGACGCGTAATACCCATCAAAACAGTGTCGCAGAGTAGAAAAATTAATACCCAAAAATCAAAGCAAGGCCGGCTCCAACTCCGCTGTTGCAATCTCATCACGGAGGTACAACAGCGGCGCCCAAACACGCCAATGCAAAACACCCATGTGAGCCAGACGCATGCCGATACGCTCAATGTCCAGCTGCTGCGGGGTCAAGGCCTGCGCAGAGGCCGAGCCAGTCCCAACCGGAACCGCGGACGGCGACACCCGCTGCGACTCGCAGATCGCCAACGGTGACAGGGGCAGGTAGCGTTTCGCCGCCGCCAAGGTGGCCGACAGGACTTTTTCACGCATGCCATCCTGGAAATAGGCAAATAGATTGGACTCGTTGGTGAGGTGCCATTCCAGGGCCTCCTCGATGGGCACAATGACCTCATCGGCGACGACTGCATCAAGCTGCAACGCGGCGCAGGCAAACCGGGCGATTTCCAGTGCGATGCAGCGCATGTTCTGGGTCCAGCGCTTTCCGCCACGGTGGTCGGGATTGTCGTCGTTGTTGTCGGGGTTGCCGGCAATGCGATTTTCCAGATCCATGCTGTCTTCCATGAGCGACCAGATCCGCGATCGGAAGGTGGAGTAGGTTTCTTCGGGCGCAGAAAGATACCGCTTGTGCTTGTTCACGTAGGATTCGAAAATATACCAGGCGATATCGAGGTTGATGAGGTTTTGGACGGTGGAGCGGAGTTGCCAGAGGCGTTCGGAGTCGAAGAGGAAGGTCTCGGGGAAATCAGTCGGGGGTGCGAACTGAAGGAGCTGGTCGGAAATGCCGCGGAAGAGAGCTTCGAGGGGTTTGAGAGTTTCGTTGGCTTCGGCTGGGGCCTTTTGGTCTTCGGCGTCTTCTTTTTGGGCCTGGGACCGAACGGAGAGGTACCAATCGCGCGCCGACTCGGCCTGGAAGCTGCCTCGATTCATTTTACTCTTGAAGTACTCTTGAAGGAAAGGAACTGTATCCTCGATTAAGAGAACACGGAACGCTCGGATTTGGTGGTTGGCGACATCCTGGAACATGAAATGTGAGTTTGATGCATAGATAGAGGGCATTGGGACGGAAGCATACCAGTTTCATGGCTTCCAGTATAGCGAACAACGTTTGAAGACCATTTACAATCTCCTTCGGGTCCTGTGATTGGGAGCCCTTTTTGATTTGCTCGACCATGCAATCGGCCCATTCGTCGCGCATGGGAGCACAATGTGTTTTTAACAACGCTGCAAGCCATGTTGCCAGCGTCAGCATGTCGAACACGCCTTTTCGTATTTGCTGCATGAGTAGCGGAACTTCCAGGTTCTGCATGACGGTAGGGTGGTCTCGTTCCGGCACGAGGGTTTTGATGACATCCTGTAATGTCTCGAACAAGGCGGGCAAGCGAGGGTCGAAGGTCCGTCGAGCTCCAGCACTGGCACCCACATCCTCGATGTCAGTGTCTGCCAGTGCGGCGCGGAACGAGTAGATTGCAATCTCCGAGGCCAATGAGTCCCAATAATCCGCGGCTTCCTTTCTCTTCCGTTTGCCTTTTTCCCCATCCAGATCCGGCTTGAAGTGCAGGTCGCGGTCGAAATTGGCATCCATGCGGAGATTAATATTACCCATGATACAGGGTAGATCGAGCTCGCTGAGGGTCTTCTTGGTGACCGGTGGGGATCTCCGCGCTTTGCGGAGTAGTCGCTGATCGCGGGAGCTTAGCCCCAGCATTTGGGGAATCCCGATGGCCTCGGGGGAGGGTGAAGGCTCCCGCGGCCGAGTCACGGAGGGTTTTTGCGACCCATGAGGGTAGGAGAATGGTGACTGGCGCCGCCGGAGTGGATTCATCGAATTGCGGTCATCGTGGGTTTGCGCATCCCGCCCCTCGTTCTTGTGATACTCTTTTGAACGACCGGCACCGTACTCGAGCGGCCTTTCGCCCTCGTCCTTCCGGGCTTCTTTGCCCTGTAGATCCATGACGAGTCCAACTTTGCCTGGACTCAGATAAAAGAAGACGGATGATGTGCCACTCACGAAGCCCCCTGTTTGCCTCAGGCAGGCAGCCAATCCGCAGTCACCGAAAAGTGATGCAAGTGAGCTGTCGACTGCGGTGGAGCCGATTCGCCTCGTGGGCTACAGACCGGTGAAAAGCGAGCGATTAAGCGATTAATTAGATCGAAATGCAAAGTGCGAAAGGCGAAAGGCGAAAATGGGAAAATATCCAATCCAATCGATGAGCGGAACAAAGAGGTTCGAAAAGAGGTATAGCCTCAGGGCAAACACGCCCAGTGCAGATCGCGAATCAAGGAAAAGAAAAAGGAGGAAAATAAAAAAAGCATTGGTAAAACGACCGGGATGAACTGATATACCTCAGTGTCTCCAGATCTACCGGATTCGGGTGGACGCAACCGCACATCTCACATTCCAGTGCTGCTACCCGCGAGCAGTCACCATCTGCCGAGATCTGGGAACTTGGAAGTCCATTCCTCCAGGGCTGATCCCAGGCCATCTCGATCTTTCGAAAAAAAAGGGGGATCCGCCTCACTTTGAGCTTTGAAACCAGCACTGGCCACGTGAGGTGTTCTCCTTTCTCGGACTTGCAGGTTGCAGATTCCCGCGAAGCCCTCGGATCTCTCTCGGCGAGATCGGAATGTTCTGAGTCTGACACGGATGTTGAAGTTGAGTTCCTTTCGCGTTGGGCTTGGGACTTCCAAGGTTTGGCCTTGGTGCTTGATGCCTGATGCCTTGGTGCCTGACAACCCGGGCATCCAGACAACCCTAACACATCGTCAACTCCATACCTAAGTAGTCTCAATAGCAACCTTGGAATACACTCCAATTGAGAAACTCAATTCCATCCTGTGCTCATCTCTCATGGATCATGACGAGCATCAAGAGGGGTTATTGGCTATTGAGCCCTTAATCTCCCGAACACCCGAACACCCGAACCTCTTTGATACAGCCTTATTCACACCCATATCCGGCATCAGCTACCGCCCGCTCAATAACCAAGTGGCCAACATGTTTCGCATGAAAAATCTCATAAAAGGATTATGGATTCCACGTGGAATGGAGTATATCTTCGTCCTGGGTTGTAATTCTACAGCCTTCAATCTCGGAGAATATCGATTTACCGAATCAGATTGTCCCCAGGCCAAAGTTCAATCATGAACATCCCTGCACTACTCTATTTCTTCAATTTGTTATGGACCGCGCCGAGCGTCGTTCTTTCGCGAGGAGTGGGCACGAAGGCGGCTCAGTTCAAAGTACATTCCCTGCCGGGCATTGCTTCGTTGCCATCAAGCTGGGCGGGTCGAATCCCTGTCCCAGGGGCCAAGGCCGGCAATGAGATCTTCTTCTGGCTCTTTGAGACAGAGCAGCCAGCGTATGAGGACAACTTGATCAGTAAGTTCTTCCGAATTTGATAGAGTGGTCTACTGACGTTGTACAGTATGGTTCAACGGCGGCCCAGGCTGCTCGTCATTGATAGGATTGGCAACAGGCAATGGTCCATTTTCGTTCGATGGGAACTCGACAAATCTCGTTCGCAATCCCCATTCATGGACACAATTGGGCAATGTCCTTTATGTCGATCAACCCGTCGGCACGGGCCTGTCCACCGCCAGCTCTCCCTATCCTGTACGAGACAACGGCCAGGTCACCGAGAACTTTGCAGCTTGGCTGCATGGATTCTTCGATTACTTCCCACACTTGAAATCCAAACAGATTCATCTGATGGGCGAGTCCTATGCCGGCATCTACATTCCCTACATTGCATCCCAACTTGTCAACAGCTCTGCGTCGCTGAACATTGCCTCGATGTCCCTGGGGGATGGTTCATGGGGAAACGCAGCAGCCATGTCATCAGTTGCCATAGGAAGATACATCAGATCAAAATCGACATTGCTCGACGTCCCAGACGAAATCCTCTCCGTCTTCGAGGAGGCCGACGAAAGCTGCGGGTTCAACGGTGTGCTAGCCGAGTCCGCCATCTACCCGCCCCAGGGCACCTTTGCCATACCAGGAAATCCAGAGTTCTTCAACCTCAAACGGCGACGCCGGGACTTGACAAACGCCCTGACAGCCGCCTGTGACATAGGACCAACAACCCCAGAAGAAGTCCGAACCTCAATCTTCAACTCGACGTGCTACGGCCCCTGTGCAACCTTCTCCACGGCGATGGACTACATGACCGCCAAGTCCGCCAACAGCTCCACCCACGGCTGCTACGACGTCTATGACATATCCCACGATTGCAGTTCCATCTCCCCACTGCCGCTACTAGCAGAATATTTCAGTCGCACCGACGTCCAGGCTGCCCTGCACGTCCCACACAATGGACCCTACAGCGCCTGCAACTCGACCATCCTTGGCACTCTCCTTGCTGCGCCTTCCCCGGTGCCGCCGGAGTACTTTATCATGCCAGATCTGGTGACGAACCATAACATCTCTCTCCACCTGTTCTCCGGGGAGTGGGATATGTTGATCAATCATCTTGGCGCGGAGCTGTCACTGCAGAATATGACGTGGCGTGGCGCACAGGGCTTTGCAAAGCCGCCAAACCAGTTGTTCTATGCCGACGATGCAGCACCCTCGACGACTGAGAACGCTATTCATGCACCTGCCACGACTATGGTGGCCGCTACTAGCACAGCGAAGGCGGCTGGAACGTGGGCCGCGGAGCGTGGGGTGTCGTACCATCTTTTCCGCGAGGCAGGACACAGCGTGTTTGTGAACAAGCCACGTGAGATGTATTCGTACGTGAGAGACGTGGTTGTTGCTCCCAGAGCGGGTTGAAAGATGAACATATAGCGTTGGGGATGATCGTTTACAATGTGTTTGGGCTAGGAGTGACTTGGCAATGGATTGCACCCAGGGGTCATACTATAGTTGTTGGATAGTAATGGAAATTGATCATTCTCGAGATACACAAGTGTAGAGCCGATTGAAATCATCAATAGCCGAATCCAAGTCGATACTAGAGGAACAAATCTGCCGAATCTATTAATCTCAGAGCTCAGTAAGCTTGCCTTGGTGCCTTGATGGGGTGAACAGAAGGTCAAGGCTTCCAAGGTTTCAAGAAGTCAATTGTATCAAGAGAACATAAGAGCCAAGAGATATGACTTTTTGTTCCTTCATAACATATCTTGATTTTCTGTTCTATTTCTTAGCAGTCAATGTTCGGTTTAATCCAATTAGCTTCAACGGGCAGATCATTTAGGTAGAAAGCCACTCTTGTTTCAATTTACTCACTATCTATACATCACAATCCAAGATTCTTGTGAAATTGGAAGCTCTTGTCCTCCACAAGCATCGAAAGCTAACTGATTTCCTCATCTATAAATTATACGCACTCTCCACAATCGCCGAGGGTAGACCCTTTTGCATTCGTGTACGAAAACATGAACCGGGATACTAAGTATCACCGCTTCAGGAAGCGATCAGCTCTCGGAATCTGGGATTGTTGATCACTCCGCTCTCAAGTACCTAACCTTGGAAGCAACCTATTCTCCAGGGCTTCCAATGGCCCTGTTATCGGGGCTCGAGAATAAACAACATACCTAGCACTCACGCTGGTGGATCAAGTTATTACCTATACTACTTTCGATATGTACAACCTTGGAAGTGATTCGAGTCATTTTAAACTGAAACCCCTTCTTTCTAACAACGCATTCGCAAGTGTCACAGAAAATGGCAGAAACGGCGCGCGATAGAAGGGCGAAAAGTTCGCGACCTCGAAATCACCCTAGCTAGCAATGAGTTACGCACTCGGCTCCTCAAACACCTGGGTCCAGGGTGCCGCCACCCCAAAGTTCGGAGTGCCATCAGCATTGCTCCCCACCGGCTGCACCATTGTATACCGACTATCATCACACGCACCTGCGCCATTGGTCGTCGCATGGAAGGCCGTCCACACCTCTGTTCCATCCGGACTCTGGAAGAAGCTATTATGTCCCGTGCCGTAGTTCCCATTGCTCGAGGCCAAGAGACATCCATTCGATTTCGTCCACGCCTTCGCCTGGGTCGGGTTCGTGGTGCCATCCCAGGTCAGACTGGCGAGACAGTAGTATTGTGTCCAGCAGTAGGAGGCAGAGTATACGATCCGTGTCTGGCCGTTGGTGTATAATGCTGCAGGGCCTTCTTGCACGGGGGTGCCGTGTGTTTCGAAGGCTTCAGTTGGTTGCGAGATGACGGTGATATCTCCGGTTACGGAGATGAAGTCGTTGCCCAGCTTTTGCATGCAGAGTGACTGGTAGGTGACGCCGTGGAAGCAGGAGAAGACGAGGAAGTTGCCGTAGTCGTTGAAGCGGACAATAGTCGCGTCGATGCCCCATTCTGTTGTGAGCTGGGCGCCGTAGGACCAGGAGTCCCAGGGTGTGCTGCCTCCTACACCTCAGTTAATCATCTCATTCTCTTCTCTTAATATCAAACAATGAGTTTGACGGTGGGGCCATACCAGCTAGAACGTGCGATCTCTGCCCGTCCAGGTCATCCGCTGTGCCGGCCGTGTAGTAAATGTACCATTTACCCCCGAGATAGTGCAGTTCCGGGGCCCAATTATTGCAGCATCGCGAGGCGACGTCGGTCGAGTAGACGACTTTAGTCTCGCCTTCCTTTAGTCCCTCGATGCTGGTCGCCCGGGTGATTTGGACGTCCGTCCATGTCGTCGTCAGAAGGTAGTAGTATCCGCCCGTGTAGACGAGACTGGGATCACTGCCTCCGGGGTTTCGGATGGGATTGGTGAATGCGGAGACCACAGCCCCGAAGGAGACAATTGTCTTAAGTATGGAGGTGAAGCGCACCATTGTCGCGATCCCGGCTCTCGATGCTGGATTGGTTCACCACCAATTCCTCACCTTATATACCTTTCTTCATCTCCTTCCAAGACAGCCTAGTCCTTACCTAGCTGCAGTGACGACGCTGGGCAGAAGGCGCTGAGCCCCGTTGGAAAGTGACAATTCGCATTCATCCGTCCTCATGGGCCTTGGCGTCGGCTGAAGCAGCCACTGGTCTCGGATTCCCCAGACCCTCGTCTGCTCCTCAATTAATCCACCACTCAGTTCGGTTTTCTGTGGCTGAGAGGTATTTCGGCCCCGCATCATTCCTTATTCCTGCAGAGGAGCTAGTTCGATAATGTGTATTCTCCGGAGAGATGCTCAGTGATGGTCGGACTCAGGGCCCAAAACTCCAGGCCAAGTCCGGCGGCACGCTCTACAGTCTGCGGGGCTATGTTTTGACATCTGAATATACTCAATGAACAACTTTACCTAGCCACTGCTAAAGCTATTCTCAATATTCATATTACCTAGGTAGTGATCAGGATTGAATATGTACCTAGGTAGATATGAGAGTATTCATTCCATATGAAGCCTATTTGATATGCCCTCGGTTCTCTCAATCAAAACCAACCCGCTAATGCATAAAGGAACAGATTGTATCGGACCACCAGACCTCGGGAGACAACAGTAGCCCGCGCAAAAGTATCCTCCCACATCGAGGATTCTCTCGTCCGTTCCCTTTGAACCTTGGAAAGAGACCAACCCGCTAAATTAGGGAAACCAAAGAAAACACAATACAGATCGAGTGTCGGACTGCCAAGACACGGGGGTGTTCAAGAAACCACCCCCAGTCTCATAGATGGCTGTGCGAGACTCTGCTCATAGAAATCATAAAATGCAAAACGAGCACAAAGGCGGATCATGACTCATGGAGAAGCTGGTACTCGGGGGAAAGTATTTTAAAGTCGTCTAGCGACGGAAGAAAGGTGCCTGGTTCGACGAGAGGAGAGAGTCAGCCCGTTGGAAGACATCTCCCTCGAAGAACTTGTCACTGTAAGCACTGGCTGGTGTGGATGGCACCGTCGCCTGCGCAGCGGGGCCAAGGGCCGCACTCAGAGGGGTGGCAGGAACCGTGATGGATTGCGGGGTTATGGTGCCACCGTGCGGGAAATGAGAGTTGATAATGGCGGAGGCGGAGGCAGATGGGTGGTGCTGCATGTGTGGGTTCTGCAGTGGAGGTCCGTAGATGGAGCCGGGAGGGGGGTGGCGGTCCGGATCGGCGAGATACGCCCAGGGGGAGGCCTCAATCAAGCGGCCTGCTTCTCGGCTGGCTTTTTGGACAGGCCGGAGGAGGATGATGACGTCGGAGGGGAGCAGTTGCATGCTTCTCGCCTCTCGCATTTCATTCACGAGATCAATGAAGGAGTGCATGAATGATTTGCATAGTTGCCAGAACTCGCGTTGGTTGCGAAGTCCACCGCCAGGCTCTTTGATTTTCATGCTAGAGAGACGTTGGCCCAGGAGGTCGGATAATTCTTGGCAGACTTGAGCTCGGCGGATGAGGTTGCTCCAGAGCACTTGAAGGCCCTCCGAGTTGCGTGACTGCTGGGCAGCTTCCAGACATCGTATGAATTGCCGGCGGGCCAGAGGGAGAGCGCCATAAGCCGCAGTATGCGTAGAGACAAGCTGATGGAAGATTCGTTCGAAGATCCGCTCTTCCTCGTTTTCATCAAGCCCAGTCACGATGTTGACCCGAGGAGCCCCAGAAATTGGGATCGGGGGGAAGGTTTCGCCCGAGCGGGGGGTAGCTAGAGCGTGCGACAAGTTACTGTTCATGTTTGACCTGCTGCTAGAGCGACTGCGCGAGTATGGCGTGGAGAATCCGGGGGAATTGGTGCCATTTGGAGTGGATGTAGTCATGGTCATGGGGTATTGGGGGTGCCGAATCGTGGTATCACTCCGCATTCTTCGTGTCGGCGGCGCTGGGTCCCTGGTTGGGGTGACCAGTGGTACTTGAGATCGATCTGGGATAGAGGGGAGGGGATTGCTGGGGCCGGCGAGGCGTTTCGTGGCAGAGGCGCGCTTGTCAAAGAATTGGAGCGGAGCCTGGAGGATCGCACAGGCATTCCGAAGCTCGACCAAACTTCCATAGATCATCAGCATCAGTGAGCGTACATAGTGCGGATCGCCATTTGAAACGATCTTGGAAGCGCTGTTCCGTAGCTGTGTGCCGACATGGGTGTATGCAGATATGCACTTTTCACACTCGCGCCTCACTGTGTCCGTGACTATTGGGAGTGACTCCGGGTCGTGGATTAGCGACGTTGACGCCTTTTCAAGGACATCATTGAGATGATCCACGTGAGAGGTGGCATTGTAAAAGACAAGTTCGAGACTGTGACGCCGTGTATCTTCCAGCTTTATCACATTGATCAGTGTGTCGATATGCGAGTGAACCTGGAATAGCGCGAACAAGATTCCCTTTGCGCTTCTGATGATGGGACCATCCGATGCACGCTCCCCCTTGTGTTCAGGAAGGCTAGACATCCGGTTGACCCATCCTTCTCTGGGACGTCGACGCTCCCTGGGGCTGCTGGGATTTGGGGAACGGTTTTCACTCGCGGTATTTGGCGTTGGAGGCTGGCGGGGCCGCAAGACAGAGCCGTGGCTGAGACCTCGCAAATGGCTGTTTCGATACGGGCGTGTTTCATCCAACGTACCCAAATCAGTGTTCTTGCGGGTGATCAGCCCCATCCGCTTACTCCGCGCAGCCGATGATCCTTGGATGATTCCCTCGCTATTGCTCCGATTGCGCTCATTCACATTGTAGGGCACCATCCCAGGCCTCTGGAGCCCAGGCATGTGGTAAGTAGCACCTTGCCCCGAGGCCATTCGGAAATGCGATTTGGCTGGGACGAGGGGTCGGGAGATCGAAGGAGATCGAGAGGAGGTAGCTGAGCCATCACCAGTGCTGGGGATGACCGGGAATCGGCCACTCAGATTCCGCTTGGACGGGATTGGTGTTGGCAGAGGTTTCGCTTCAAAACTCCCGTCACTGCGACAAATATCAGCATCTGCTTCCTTTCGTCCAAACAGTTTCGTCCAAACAGCAAACTTACCTTGCATCAGTATGCAGCTCGGGCTCAGGCGTTGTCACATTCTGTCGTGATTTCAGGAAGAACTTCTTCAACTTCGTGGTGGCTGCAACTTCCTTCTCATTATCAGTCATCCCAGACGGAGTCATTTCATTCTCCGTTTCTTCCAAGATGTCACGGAGGGGCTGGCGGAGGGGATTCCCAGCACATTTGAAAATCTGAAGCTTATGCATCTCTGATAGACCAACTGGAAGATCGCTGAGACGGTTTTGCATCACCGAGAGGACTCGCAACGACTTGAGCTTGCTGATTTCATTCGGCAGCTCTTTGATTTTGTTGCGACTCAGATCGAGGATCTCAAGCAAAGGAAGTTTGTAAACCTAGAAAGGTCAGCGGCGCAAACGCACGTTGGGGTGAAACTATCGTGAAGCGTACTCCTTTGGGGAATTCCCGGAAACTATTTGCCCGTATATTAAGGTAGCGTAAGTGGGAGCACTCCGCAAAGCGATAGGGAATGTGGAAGAGCTGGTTGTTGGACAGAGACAAACTTCGCGATGATCAGTATAAGCCTGGCGACGACGACATTCTTGAAAGGCTGAATGGACCGAAAACGAGCAGCCCTCCGGGTTGAACTCACCGTTCAACTTCATCTTTGATCAAGTCTACAACTGGTTCAGGGATACGAATGATATTCGAATGACCGAGATCAATGGTAAGTTTGGGCTTGACCACGTCCGTAACAGCCTCGCTGCCTGCCAGCGAACGCTTGGTATCTTGTATTCCACTCTCTACTGCATTTCGTGCCAGTTCAATCGTTTCTTCGGGGGAGAGCGGTTTCGATCCAGCCGGCTTGGTAGCGTTTGCCGGTGCGTCTCCCAGCGCCGTGTCTGGTCGATTTTCGCTCTCCTCTGGAGATTGAGCATCATCGTGGGTAACATTCTGCGTCAGCGGCAGATAATCATTCGAATCAGATGTTCCAGCCTCCATCTCGTCTTCGTCTGTTTCACTGCGATATAAGCGCGGCCCGCGCACTATCTCGTCCGGTCGAGTCATCGCAGATGTCATGGTCGATCACAGCCCAAAGGTTATCGATCCGACAATCCCAAGGTAACAGCTTTGTCCAAGGGCCGATACGCCCGCTCATTCAACAAGTTATACCGACACAGCGAACCCTAACACATGAGAGTACTCGTAGCGCCCGCGCATGGCATTGTTGGGTGACTGGGGTTGAGTTCCGATGATCTCGCCGACAGGTTGTACAGATTGGTTTATACGGAGTAGAGGCGATGGCCGAAGGGACGTCGTCGTGGCGTAGGCGAAGGAGCACAGGAATTGAACCGAGCTCGCGCTGTCGGGACTGGTGAAGCAAGGCAGGGAGATTGTGCAACGGAGACGAGGGACAATCGCGAACACGAAAGGAACCCGGAATGCGAGGGAAGAACAGTTCTGCAAGGAATCAGAATGAAAAGAATCCCAGCGAAAGGAAGAAGTGAGGCTGGAGATGTTCTGATTGGATGAAACACGTCCAAACACTGCGGCGCCGCGATGTCTGTTCTCGCCCTTCGGAGTTCAGCCTTTTCTTTACTGCACTGTTACTGCGACGACTAGGGATACTACTTATATTTTACTTCTATGTTTTGATCCTCTTCAATTCCAATCAACTGCTACAACTACATGGAAATCGTCCAATAAATGACCAAGAATGCATGTGCTATCGCGTTAATAGAGCTAGGAAAGTCCACCATCATGTAGAACGGTGGGAATAATATACATAGATCAATAAAAGAGGCTGGAAAAGTAGAGCCCCGGGCGGAAAGAGGAAATGCTGTGGTATCAATCAACCCCGGACTCAAGCAGCGCAGGTCCCTACAGGGAGGACTCAGCCTCGTCAGCCTCAGTCTCTGTGACTGATTTCTCTTCGGCCAGCTCTGGAGCACCGGAGAGCGCGGCCTGGCGCTGGTCCTGCACCTGTGCGGTGGCCCGGGCCCATTCCACCCACTTGTCGTATTGTACATCCTCCAACTTCATACCAATGTCCAGGAATGATGGTCCGAACTCTGCGCCATATGCCTGGGCTTCTTCCGCTGCAACGCGGCGCTCAACATCCTCTCTCAATCGGAGGCGGTAGAATTCTCGGCGAGCAATGTCGTAAGCATTGCTCTTGGTCATGTCTGGGACGTTGTTTAGGAGCCACAGTTGTCGCTGAACCACACTAGAGAGGGGTAGAGTATTAGCAGGGAAGAATCACTTCTTGAAGCCGGCTTATAGCCGCGATGAGAAACATACCTTTCACCATCTAACCGCTTTCCTGGTTGTTGAATCTGGCTCCAATCGTAATGTTCAAAGTCCTTGCCAGTAGTCTCCAAGAGCAGACGGGGGCGGGCAAGTTCCCAAGGGTGGTCGCGGAAGAACTCAGTACGCAATTGATCTTCTTCATATTTGAGCTCGACCGGCTGGAAGAGTCGACTGGCTTTCTTGGGGGCTCGGCGCTTCTCTTGGACTTGGAAAACGACCTGCGGCTTCGAAGACCCAGCAACGGTCTTCATCCGCTGCTGAACGAGCTGGTGCTGAGGAGGACGGGTACGGATGAGGGCTTCAGCAGGAGGGATCTCGCCAATCACTTCGACCCATTGGGGCAGTTTGCTGGTCTTTCCACTGGCGAATTGACCAAGGGCGGTCTTTCGCACCCGGAGGGCTGTGAGGTTGATTTTTCCCATGGCGAAGCACAACCGACAGCGAGAGCTTCAAGGGAATAATTGAACGCGACGGTGAATCAAACCGAGAGGAAGAGAGTAGCGCTGGGGGACGTGATGCGGGAGCGAAAAAGATGGGATTGGCAAAGCGCGGCTCCGATTGGCCGACGACGGACTCCGCCAGGCCAGAAAGTGCAGCCGTTCGTCTTCAGAAAAACACTCCTCTCTCCCCCGTCGTGGTTCCTCTCCCTTTCTGCTTGCCTGTCTTTTGCGCTTGGAGATCGATAGTGTTCGATCGTGCCAGTGGCAAAAGGCCCTTCTTTGGATGCGCAGGGCCTCTCCAATGCCACGATGTCTGTCATCTCATGCCTCATCCAAATAGGTCCCTCAGCTCGCCGGGCCTGCGAGATCACCCAAAGCAGGCCTTGGACGGGCTTCCCTCCACTCGAGAACCCTCAATGCCTCCATCGACCTCCCCTCCCCACAGAAACTCCGCCCGAAGGCTCTGTCCCCGCCGTCCTCGCCCATCCGTCGCGTCAATAGCAGATATTTTTGTCGGCTCGTTGGTCCTCGCAAGCTTCTGCAATGAGCACTCACCAAGCCGTCGAGGGATCTCTACGGCGTCATGGTCCCCTTCAGATCGTAATTTACACAGATTTCGAACCCAAGGGGCGCCTGGTCGCCGGCAGCCATCCCGACAACCGCCAGAATATTCAAGACCAAGTTTGAATCCGTCGCAACCTCAAAGATGGATCAGCCATGGTCTGGCGCGCACCAAGGACGAGGAGACTGAGGAGAGCAGCACTCATTCCCATTCACAAAGGGAGGCGGAGGCGGATGACGACTATATACCCTTGTCGCCGGCGCCGAGCGCAGGCACCGAAACCCAAAAGCAACCCCAACGATTTAATTTCACCTATACACATGATATCGACCACAGGATACATCGATCCAATCATACGGCACTAGACTTCGACACGGCGGACCTCCCTCGCCAATCGTTTCCGTCATGGCGGCACCCGGAGAAAGACAAGCGCATTTCCACCGCCAAACTCTACCAGCGAACATTGACCGGTTACAATTGGCAGGAGGCAGTGACCGCGGTAGCTCCACGCCCTCGTTTCTTCAAAGCAAAAGAAGCTACGTCACACGACCAAACGGAGATTGACTCAGTCGCGGAGCTTGTCAGAACACTATGGGGAGAATCAAACCCCTCCACACAGTATTTGTTCAGGCTGTACAGAGAGCTTCCGTCGCCGGGAATGGCTTATTTGTCGCAACGCACACGTGGTGCGCTTTTGCGTATGTTCGCGCAACCTCGGGATCGACGATGGGTTGATGCCCGTCGATACTTGGCGTTGGTGGATGACATGGTTGCAGCTCGACTGCCTCTCTCACTTTCACTTTGGTCTTCTGCCATCCATCTTGCAGGTCGGGGAAATGGCAAGGTCATGAGACGAGATCTTATCAGAGCTGTTGGTATGTGGCAAAGGATGGAGCATGTCGCAGGAGTGAAGGCAGACGAGGTGGTATTCAATATCCTTTTCGACGTCGCAATCAAAGCCGGCGCATTCCAGGTTGCTGAGCGCCTGGAGGAAGAGATGACCGGGCGTGGCATGGGCTTTTCAAGATGCGGGAAAGTCTCCAAAATTTACTATTTTGGACTGATGCGAGATGCAGACGGTATCCGGAATGCCTTCAACGAGTTTATAGATTCCGGAGAACTGGTTGATACTGTCGTGATGAACTGCCTTATTGCCTCGTTTCTCCGAGCCGGCGAGACCCAAACGGCAGAACAGCTCTATGCTCGCATGCTGGAGCAGCACCAAACCAGGAGCACCGAGTTGACATTGTCGAATCGCACGGAGTCAGCCGTTGATGCCCCAAATCTAGGCTTTGACATGCCTCAGTATCGACAGAGAGCTCGCAACTTGGGCCGAGTGTTGAAGAAGTCAGCAGCACTCAAAGAAAAGTTCCCCGAGTACCATCGTGTTCTGCAAAGTTCTCTCCCAATGAGACCCGACACACGCACGTTTCACATTCTTCTTCGACATTATGCGATCAATTCCGGTCACCTTGATAGCTTCATGGCTGTCATGCGGGACATGGAAAAGGTCTTCTCGGTCCCACCACGTGCGATCATCTATCTGTTCCTTTTCGAGGGCTTTTCTCTGCATGGCCGAAGAAAGAAGCAATGGAGTGCCGAAAACCTCCGTCTGACATGGCATGCCTACATCCGGGCTTTGCGAGATTCACACGCAAGACTCCGCGGCTTGTATCTCAACAACCACAAGATGACGTGGGAAAACCCGCTTGCTAAAAGCGTGGCCACCGAGATCGTTGATGATGGAGTCGAAGTTACCGACGCCCCAAATGGACTTTACATGTCTCTGCCCTCAGCAGACGCCGAAGTGAAAGCCGAACAGAACATGGATGAATCAACCAAGAACGCAGGCGATGCGCCTGCATCTCCCGATGATGAAAGCATCAGTGCCCAATTGGATGACGCATATGAGGCATCCAGTATCGATGAACTCGACCCTGAAGAAGTCTTTGCTCCCCCTCCAGAATTTCCAGAGGCCGAAGAGACGCCCTGGGATCCAGAGAAACGAATTGAAAATGGTGTCTTCGTTGGGCGCCGGATGATCATCAACATCCTGCAAGCCTTTGGCACATGCTGTGGCCCTAAAGAGGTCCTAGAGGTTTGGTTGCAACTCGAGCGACTGTGGCATCCAAATCAACGTACGGCAAACGATGTCCTGATTGTCAAGGAGGAGCTTGACAGACAGATGTCCAGAGGTCCGCATCATTATCGCTAAATCAAAGCGACGGGGGAAACAACCCACATTTGTACATTATTTTAAATAGAACTGCCACATACCGACCCAGTTTTCAGCGTGTCGTTGGTGCCAATGTATCATTTCACATCAATCCAGCCCTGTCGACCTCCATAGGTAGCCGTATAGTCCCCTCAATCCCAAATAGGAAGTCAAATGTCCACGTGACAGCGCGTTCCACAACCTTGGAACGCGGGTGAAGGCGTCGGATGTGCACTTTCGCCATACCACTTGGACAGCTTGACTATGAAGGAGAATGTCTCGAGCGTCGATCGCCACGCGCCAAATGGCTAACATGGGATGGCTGCTGAAGAATACGTTTCGAAAGACTGATTTTCGGTACGTTCGTTCTCTCCCAATAAGGGCCAGTATACTTAGCTCTCTAGTCCACTGCAACGAGAAGTGATCCTTGCTGTGATTCAAGGTCATGATGTATTTCTTCAAGCGTCAACCTCTTTTGGCAAGAGTTTGTGTTATCAATTGCCGGCCGTTCTCAATGAATGGGGGAGTGAGTTTTCTCTGCCTTCGACTACAGAACTACCTAGTACAGATGGACAATGCTAATGTGAACAAAGTGACTATCGTTGTCTGTCCGCTCCTTTCCCTTATGGTAAGTGGGCCTGGGTTCTTCGCATATCCATCTAATATCGAGTAGACAGATCAAGTGAACACCTTGAAGGCCATGGGTGTGGCAGTCGCAACGATCAATTCCAATACCACTCATGATGAGAGGCAATGGATCATGGAAGACATGCTATGTGGCCATCCCACTATAAGAATCCTATATGTGACGCCCGAGTTACTACAAACGGAAAACTTCCGTCGTCGCTTGCTCATTGTCCACAGACAAGGCCAGCTCATTCGGGTTGCCATTGACGAAGCCCATTGTATCAGTGAATGGGGCCATGATTTCCGTACCGCATATAAGGAACTGGGCTGGCTCAGAGAGAACCTGGTCAATCCAAATATCCCCATCACTGCAGTGACGGCGACAGCCACGCCTCACGTCCGCGACGATATCATACGCATCCTTGGGCTGGATCTCAGTGACCTCAAACTCTTCAACACCCCCTCAGACCGACCAAACATCCATTACGAAGTTCGATATCGTCCAGATTTCGCCAGTGACAATGCCGAGGCGGAAAACAGCCAGCTTCTGAACTTGCATAATTATCTCAAAGCTATTCGACTACGGCGTGAGGCACGACTAGGCGCTGAGCAGAGGTCTCAACTCCCGCCTATATCAGGCATTGTGTACGTTGGAACGCGTGCGATGGCCGAGCATCTCGCCGTCAGGCTGTCTTCTGACGAGACAGTCAATGCGATTGCATACCATGCTGGCGTCGAAGCAAACAAGCGATCTCAGATCCAATCAACCTGGAAATCGTCCCGGGCTTTCGAGACAGCCCAAGGGAAACCACCACCTACGTTTTCAATCATCGTCGCAACAAATGCCTTTGGCATGGGCATCGATAATCCTGATGTCCGCTTCGTGGTCCATTGGACTCCACCCCGAAGCTTCGAGAGCTTCGTCCAAGAATCAGGTCGCGCGGGCCGAGACGGCTGTGCCGCCACGTCTCTCGTTTACTACGGCATCCAGGAGAGAAACTATATCGAAAATCTCATCCATCGTGACACCGAGTCCCATCGCGGGAATAAGGTTCCTGAGAATCGAGAAGCCAAGCTTGAAAGTTTTGGCAAGGTTATCAGATATTGTGAGAGTATCTCAAGATGCAGACACGAACTCATCAAGGAATTCTTTGGGGATTTCGAGCTCGAGGAGATGGGATCTCAAAGGCCCGCAAGGCAAGAGGTGCCCGTTAGCCTCTCACCTTGTGACTTTGCATGCGATTTCTGCAAAGAAGGACGGGGTGGGCTAGCCAAGCGACGGGATAAAATGGCATCTGAAACACAGATGTCTCTGCTGTACGCGGATTATGACTGAGGCTGTTCGCGTCTCCGATTATACTGCAGGGTTTGAATGGACAACCTGGGCACCCTATTCGCTGTGCAATGTCAAAGAGACGATGTTCTGCTTCCTAGTGTCAATACTGAAAGAGATTAAATTCCACATTTACCATAGGGTCAAGCGATCTCAAGCATCCGAGTCGCGATGCTCGATGCTCGATGAAATACTTAGACAATCACAAGGGCAATCTTCTGAGAATCCACTGACAATAAGTGAGCCTAGTCTTATCCACACAATGATCAGATTTACCGTATGGAAGTACGAGGTAAGAGCACACAGCTAGAAACTTTCTTTAGCAGACAAATATCCCAAAGAGATCCCTTAAGCCAGATCTCTGTATTTCCTCCTTTAGTAAACGTTGAGACAGAGCTTTTGTTCCCCATTGAAATGAAGACGATCAAGGGGAGCCGCAAGTAAGCTGGACATACATGGTGTTATGCCGCTGTGGCAATCCCCTTCTTACAGACCAGGGGGAGGAGGCACCTATGCGAAGATCGATTAGTCTAGCACTGGTGTCATGTTCGAATGGAGAGCTTACTGCGCTGTAGCCGCTAGCACCTGGAGGGCCAGGGGGTGGAGATCCCGAGCCAGGAGGAGGAGGAGGGGCAGCCTCCGCAGCGGGGCCAGCAGGGGGGGCTGCGCCATCGGCTTGTTGCTGCTGAGCAGCAGCCATCTGCTGGTAATATTGATAGTACGCCACATAGTTCTGGTATCCACCGTAGGCCGCATATGGGTCCGAAGTACCGTAGTACTGCGCGTATTGTGCGCTGTAATCATTGGCGGATTGGGCGGCGGCCCCGGGAGAGGCCTGGCCAGAAGGACTGGCAGAGGAGCCGTTATGTTGCTGCTGGCGGTTGTTATAGCCACCATATCCGCTTCCTTGGTAGCGGTCTCCTCGATCACCTCCACGGTTGCCGTATCCACCGTAGTGATGCTGTGGCGGGTTCTCCTTGAATCTCTGATACTGCTCCCTCACGTTATTGAGCAGATCTTCGCAAAGTTCCTTGGTCTTTTGGAGCTCAGTTGTATCGCGGGCTCTGTTCGTGGCAGTCAGCAAAGGTTTATAGGAAAGGGAGACCCAAGGGTTACTTACGCAATATGAAGATACATTGGCTCGTCACTTTCTAAGCCGGTGTTACCTTCGAAATAGCCAGAGCCGCGGCCCTTGATCTGCACGCGGGAATGATTCTGTTGCTGGATGTGCTTCACATAAGCACCGCCCTGCCCAACGACCTGAGCACGCAAGTTGAAACCGGGGATTGGCTCAAGATCAATCGCAAGTCGGTCATCCGGCCATTTGCGCTGCACTCGGTTAGTTAACTTATTTCATAGGGTGAATTTAAGGGTTCATACACGGCCATATTCATCTCGCTCGACTTGCTGCTCTGGTTCCCTGCGACGGAACCGGCGCTCGTCAACCAGGTTCGGCAGTTCCTTCTGCATCAGCTCATTTATCATGGCAACTGCCTTCTCCAGTCCATCCTTGTTGGTGCTTGTGACATGGAGGTAGAGAGGAGGGCTCTGGATCCATAAGGTTAGTAGTTGGAGATGCCACCATAGTGAGGTTTTCTTACCGCAGCGGTAGCCATGTTCTTATCGGGGTAGTAATTGCCTCGGGTGGTAACATCTTGAAAGAAAAAAGTGAGTCAATTGGCCATCGACGGAGTTTGGGAATAGGGTGAGGGGGATGTACCGGCGCCAGTCTCATCCTGAATCTATAAGTCACGCAGTGGAGGTCAGCAGATGCAACAGAGGGCGAAAGGAGTGCTGGATTGGTGAAGCGTAAGCTTCATCTGGCTCAACGCCAAGAGGATCAAGGGATCATCCTGCTAGAGGGACATGGGTGGGTCAGGTGTAGATAACGGGGAATGTTTACCATTTTCTGGGTTGACCCCTTCGTCAGGGTGTAGCGGTTGCGCAAGTCATTGATTTCAATATCCTTGATGTAATCACCGTCGGCGACGTAGATCTCAGCGTTCAGCTTGGCTGATCCCTCCGCGGTAGAGGGCGCATTTTCGGTATTCGCGGCGGGGCTTTCGTTCTATCAAAACAAATTAGACATGGATGGCAACAAGCGGAGAAGTCGCCGCGGACTTACCGAGCGAATTGGAGGCACATCAACGTGCTGGATTCCCTTCTTAGCCTGAAGCTGCGCATTTATTTTGGCTGCGGCGGCGGCTGGAAAGTCCGTCAGTTAGCACGATTCCAGGTCCTGTTGATGCGACTTGACAACACATACCTGCGGCGGCGGCGGGATCAGATACAGCTTGCTTCGGAGGAGCATCTGCGCCAGGGCTGTGGCTCAAGGGGCGACTCAAAGGGCTGCGAGTGCGAGCGGAGTCGGACTGTCGGTTCGAAGGGGATCGCGAGCGTCGGTCGAAACGGGATCGTCGGGGCTCCGCTTCAGTTTGGTCAAAGCGAGAACGCTTTGCTTGGGGATCGTCTTCCGCCATGGTTGTTCTGAGAGTGAAGCAAGAAAGTGTGGAATTGTGAAGAGGAAGAGCTCAAAAAAAAAGGTCCAGATTCCCCGGAACCAGTCTGGGACGCGGAGACCAAGCGGAACTTCAAAACCAAAACCCCCACCGAATTTTGGGGGCGGCAGTGGCAAAAGTGGTATGGTTCGATAGCGCTGAGTTGGGAGAGCAGGTTTGATTTAGTATATAGCTCTTTTTCGAGTCTTTGGGGCCGCAGTTGTGCAATAGAGAAAGAGGAAAAAGTGAAGGTCACGTGTATGAGGTCACGTGTAAGTTGTAGATATCCTTGGCTGGCACTAGTCCCTACTAGGATTAGTGGATGTGAGTCAGCAGGAGACCGCCGAGGTCGGCCGACCAAAAAGAATATCCCGGGGCGAACACCTGCGGTGATTCATCGCACAACTCCTTCATACAACCACTCCCAATGGCTTTCAGGCGCCCATTGACGCTACCCACAGGGTCAGCGTCGCTGCTGTCTTCAGTCGCTGCGTCCACGCGGTCCCGTACAGCTGCTGCGCTCCCTCGTTTCACCGCCGTGCGTGCATCATCGAGCTCAACCTCAGCTCTTGCCTACAAGGCCCTGCATCGTCGATCTCCCCTGCCTTTGCCAGTCTCCGATGCCTCTCCTCAGTGGGATGCCCCCACTGCTGTCTCATCTATTCTCTACGAGACTCCTGTGACCCCCACCAACCCTCCCAAGCGTCACATCCTGAACTGCCTCGTTCAGAACGAGCCCGGTGTGCTGTCCCGTGTGTCCGGAATCCTGGCCGCCCGTGGATTCAACATTGACAGTCTGGTGGTCTGCAACACTGAGGTCGAGGACCTTTCGCGCATGACCATCGTGCTGCAAGGTCAGGACGGCGTCGTCGAGCAGGCTCGCCGCCAATTGGATGACCTCGTCCCCGTCTGGGCTGTGCTGGACTACACTGACTCCGCTCTTGTCCAGCGTGAGCTGCTCCTCGCCAAGGTCTCTATCCTTGGTCCTGAGTTCTTTGAGGAGCTTCTCCAGCACCACCGCGAGATCACCACTTCGCCTGACTCCCTGGCCCACCAGGAACACCATGACCACTCTGTCCAGCAGTACCACCCTCGCCACCTTCCCCAGAGTCAAGCCCTGCGCCACAAGCATGAGCACTTGGACGCTATCACCCGCCTGACTCACCAGTTCGGTGGTAAGATCCTGGATATCAGCACCAACAACTGCATTGTCGAGGTGTAAGTGCCCCCCTTCCCTACGTAATAACAATTGACTCATAATTCTCTCAGCTCTGCCAAGCCCAACCGTATCGACTCCTTCCTCAAGTTGATTGGTCCCTTCGGTATCCTTGAGTCCACCCGCACCGGTCTGATGGCTCTGCCCCGTTCGCCCCTGGGTGAGGTCAGCGAGGAGATCGAGAAGGATGCTGCCGACGTTGTCGATGCCAGCACCCTTCCTCCCGGCTAAAAAGCCTTGAGCGCCTTATTCAAAAACATACATACCCGAATCGGATCGAGTGGTTTCTTGGCTTTATGTTTTTCTACCTTTCCTATGGAGTTGATCGACTTGGAAACAAACGGCTAAGCCTTTGTATGTAAAATGACACAAATATTGATTTTCTGGAGTCTCCGGAACTTTGTACAATCCAAGTATTCTGCTGGGAAGTGAGAAACCATAAATTGTATTCCCTTGCCATCATGCCACCATGCCCAGGTGGGCACGAGCATACGCAATACTTACCTAGGTAGGTACCTAGGTACCTCCCGAGGTCAGTGGAAGAACAGCATGATAGTCGCCATAATGTAATATCAATGAATCTGAATCTTGGAACTGAATCTTGGAACTCGCAATCTGAAGCCAAGGTGTACAAGTGGAAATACTAACCCGAAAATATATTTTGAAACACCTCTCTACCTAGTTAAGACTGCAGCACATTCCCCACTAGAATCGAACTTTGGCCGCAATTCCCTTCCCATGATAAAGAATGACATCCACGTAGTTTTGAATCCGAATCCCAACATTGGCAATGGCATCCATCTCCAACGACTGGCCCAGTGCTTTTCGCAAAGCATCGTATCCAACACCACCCATGTTGAGATCGACAGGGAGACGAGGGGACTGAGATATGCCCGGGGGAACTTTGAAAGGATCGTGGCTGTTGATCCGACCAATAGGCTCTTTCTGCTCGTAATATGCCGTGGCATCGATGGAAGTTATAACAACATCTGTTTCTGTGAGGGGTGAAGCGAGCGTGAACTGTGCTGCTGAGGACCAAAGGTAGAACTAGGATCGATGCTATTAGCGGACTTCCTGTTGACTAAAGAGCTTGAATGAGATATCAGTACCGTTGCATCTTGGATAAAGTGCGGCTTGCTCTCATCGCCGCTCCCCGGAGAAGCTGGAGAGTTTATTTGAGGAACTGGGACGGTGATGTTCAGAACTGAGAGGGCTTCGCCTAGATGCGGGAGGCTTGGGATCGTTTCCCGATGGGTTTTTAGGGCCACCGTCGTGTTGAGACCTGTGTTATGAGTTAATAAGACTTCAGGGGTGTCATTAAACCCAATACTGACCCGATATATATGATGAGAGCAGAGTCCGTCCAGCCTCAACTCCATTCGGCCCACTTGAGGCCAAAGGGCACCAATGCAAGCCAACGGGCACGTAGGTGTTGTTGCCGGGAATTATTGACAGGTTCTGAGCGACGATATGAGCGACGGCCGTGTCATTATACAGTACAAGCAAGTCAATGAATGGAACCGTGGCCGTGTATTGGGTCGGGTTGGTGAAATTCACCAACGTAGAGACCACCATGGAGGATGTAGTTGTGTCTTCTAGCTGCAGTGATACCACACGCGGGTTCACTTGGCCAAGTTGATTTCCGACGGAAGCTATGGCATTGTTAATGACGAAATATTCCTTGATTTGTACTATAATCTAGCTCATGAAAACATACTCTTCACTGGAAATTTCCCTTCTGCGGGAATGCCTCGCACAGCAAAGCGACCCAGGGCCGTGGAGACCTTTGTATCTACGGTGGCGGCAACGCGAAGTTCGACCCCTTTGCTTCCAAACAGCATGGCTTGGATAACCTCGGCCAGGAGGCCATCGTCAGTGACCTCCAATGGGGCATCTTTCATTGCGAACTCCACAAGGAGAGCAGAAGAGCCATCTTGGTCCTCAACAATCGTAGAGTTGGCGTCTTGCCACTTGCTGATATTCAAAACACCAAATCTCTCATCTTTGTAAAAGACGTCTGCGAGGGCGCGAACCTGTGGAACCTCGACCTGGAAGTTCATCTCTTCCGGCAAAGCAATAAGAACCTTGACCAACGCAGAGACAGTGGGTTGCGCCTCTGGGGAGTCGGGATCCGCAAATGGGTCCGGAAGAGAGAAATGAGTATCAGACATGGTGAAGTTCTTCACCAGATTATCCAATGCGCGGCCGGTGAATGGTAAAGGCACAGTCACACTGCGTAGCAAATCGACCATCCAGGCCGGGGTGTCTGGAGATGGTGCGTCAGAACCACGGACATATATTGTGGTTTCAAGCCCTTGCATGAAGCTCGAAACCAGAATGTCCAGAGGTGAATCCCTTTTACCGGGGCAGCTAGAGGTCAATTCCTCTGGCAATTGCTTGATGATGGCCTCCACACCAGCCATGGTTGGCTGCAAGGGACCAGATTGCACGTGTATCTGACTGGTCTTCGAATTGGCGACCAAGATATAGGGATCTCCAGGTGAACAATTTGGAACCAGGACATCAAATCCTAGAGCAGGGATAGTGAGATCGACCGGCGACTCAATGAGGGCTTCCGCGAGGATATCAGCAGCCATGGCCCCAGCGTTGGTATCATGGACATTCAGCTTAAGGATCGCGACCTCCGGCAAGGCGGGGAAATCTTCTTCTGATGAAAGGTCAGCTATGGTTACAAGTTTAGGGAAAGCCCAATTTACCTTCGAAGATGACGTTGTGTGTCAAGACTTGAGTTCCCAAAGCAATCAAGCCCGATTTGAGTGAAATCGAAGCTTTTCCTTTGACACTCAGGCGACCCAACCGCCCTTCGATCCAATCAAGGGCAACTGCGTGAATTCCTCTGATATCCCCGGCCTCGAGGTCGGTAAGAAAATCGACGGTAGTATGGTGACCGTTCCGAATGTTGAATTTAATGGTAGGGAGTGCGGCGGTCCCGACGAGAACGTTGCCGTACTCCGGCAAATACACTTCGACGTTCGATGGACTCGTCTCAATTTCCCTCGCAATCCAGGTGGCCAACCGACCAATGCCTCGGACCGATTTGTTTTTGACCCGGTTTGAGTCCATCACAAAGTCCCCTTGAACCCGAGCTCTCACGCCATCTGGCGTGGTTGAATCAATCGAGATGGATTTGGGTGTGAATACAGCAGCTTGCTGTCCATATTCCTGCACTGCTGCAGGGGCAGCAAAGGCAACCACGAGTATTGTCAAGACAGCAAGCGTCAGAGTGACGAGGGAAATGACGGTCGGCCAGGGGACTCGACTTCTATTCTTATATGTGCCTCCTTCGGACGGTGCCCGTGATGAAATTGAAGGCGTTCGTGAAGCTCTTTGCTCGGTGCCATATAGTGTCAATCCGTCTTCACGACGATGTAACAAGGGGGTCGACTCTGATGAAAGTTCGTAAGACGGTCTGGGTTCTTCCGCCGAATGTTGAGTCACATCATCAGCTGTTACAGTCCGGGATGACGTGTGGTTGGAACCAGCCTCGCTGGAAGATGATCGCGAATACCGTTGCTCGGAGCTATAGACCGTCAAATTATCTTGACTCTGTGAGAATTGACTAGACATATTTGTTGACACTGATGACAGTCTTGAAGACGGCGTCGGTCGTTCGGTGGCTGGCTGATCACCCAATAGCGGCCGGTGGGCGTGATCGGCGATGGCTGTTTGAAATGTATCGGTGGATGACATCCCGCCCGACGAGCACCGTGACATTCGGTGCCCAGTGTTACTCGTGATTGATCTTCCTTGGGTGGTGCGGGCCGTATGCGCGGAAATGATCGTTGAGTTTGATGATTGATATGACGGCCCGGGCTCGTTCGACGATCTCTCGGACCTGTGGCCGTCCGTTTCCAGGAAAGGCTGATACCTCTCAGACATCACGGCCTGCTCTTAATGATACGAATGGATGTAGACTTGGATCAGCTCTGGAGATGACGGGAAGTTAAGATGAGATGAAAAGGGCAAGACGCAGGGGGAGCGATCTATGACGATAAGCCCGAAGATAAACTAAACCCAAGTGCGGAGAGATCGCCCCGTGGATGCCTCACCCATAAGGCACCATATTCAGGCACCAAGGCATCACCGCCTATCTAAAGTCACTTGAGTCATCCATCGGATTGCCCACTTTATAATCTTCCTTACTTTTCCCACTCCCATCGCTTTCAATCGCTCCCAATCCCACCAAAATATTCTCACCCACCATGGCTAGTGGTCTCACAGCTGCGGCCCGCTATGGCACCCAAAGTGTAACTCAATTGGCCGGCTCTACTTCTTTGCGTCAAACACTCCAGGCTAATGGACTTCGACGATTTGCCCACCAGACATCTTCCACTCCTCCCACCTCTCCTTTCGCCCCCCGTCACCTTCTCTCCATTGCAGACCTGACTCCCACGGAATTCGCCACATTGGTCCGCAATGCTACGTCGCACAAGCGCGCCATCAAATCCGGGGCCATTCCCGAAAGCCTCATCGGCTCCCTTTCCGGAAAGACCGTGGCCATGATGTTCAACAAGCGCAGCACCCGCACCCGTGTCTCCACGGAAGCCGCCGCTGTCCAGATGGGCGGTCACCCCATGTTCCTCGGTAAGGAGGACATCCAGCTCGGCGTCAACGAGTCGCTCTACGATACCTCCGTTGTGATTTCCTCCATGGTCTCTTGCATCGTCGCGCGTGTCGCCAAGCACTCCGACGTTGCGGATCTGGCCAAGCACTCCACCGTGCCTGTGATCAATGCCCTCTGCGACTCCTTCCACCCCCTCCAGATCATCGCCGACTTTGTTACCATCTACGAGGCCTTCCCCCCTCAGGCGCACAAGCTCTCCGGTCTCGGCCTCGAGGGTCTTAAGATCGCCTGGGTTGGCGATGCCAACAACGTTCTGTTCGATCTCGCTATCGGTGCCACCAAGATGGGTGTCGACATGGCCGTCGCCACCCCTAAGGGCTACGAGATCCCCGCGGACATGATTGACATCATCCAGCGCGCTGGTGAGGGTGTTCCCAATGCTGGCAAGCTCACTCAGACCAATGTCCCCGAGGAAGCCGTCCAGAACGCCGACATCCTGGTCACCGATACCTGGGTGTCCATGGGCCAGGAAGAGGAGTCCAAGAAGCGCATGAAGGCCTTTGAGGGCTTCCAGATTACTGCTGATCTTGCCAAGCGCGGTGGTGCCAAGGAGGGCTGGAAGTTCATGCACTGCCTGCCCCGTCACCCCGAGGAGGTGAGTGACGAGGTGTTCTACAGCCCGCGCTCCCTGGTGTTCCCCGAGGCCGAGAACCGCCTGTGGGCGGCTATTGCGGCTCTTGAGGGCTTCGTCGTGAACAAGGGCAAGATCGAGTAAATTGCCAGTGCTTGTATATATAATATCGAAAAATCAAAAGTACCTTGCAATGACGAAATAAGCTCATAGTAACTGACCAATCACACGCTGATTATTCATTCTCGGCAGTTGTCAGCCTCCGGTTCCGGATTAGATAAGACTTCCGATGGCCGCGGGGTCGTCGGAAGGGACAATTAGCCACTTCCGATGTACGCAGTGCTTGTACGGAGTATGCATGTACCCGGCGACATCGCAGATCACTGTTCCCGAATCTGCGAGGCTGTAGATGTCTGATTGCTTGATGTCATACTAGTATTAGTCTCAATACATAAACTACCGACTACGTACAACTGACCATGTTGTACTTGACTGTTTCGAACTTATGTACAGATGCCACAGATCGGGAGAATCTGAAACTCCGACAGTCAATGGAGCCTGTAGGCTGTAGAGGGTATAGTATACCTACTATACTCTATAGTAGTCCGGGGCTACTCAACGGGGTCTCAAGGCGCGGGAAATCCGGAGTAAAGGCCTCGGAAGTTGGCTGAATGTCCCCACTCTTTACTCCACGTCCGACGACATCTCCAACCTGGCGACTGATCGGATAGGTGAATGCTGCAGGGGAAATCCGATGGCCAAACATACATATACCATGTTCGACGCGGGGGCCATTACTTTCTCACACACTTCATATATCCTTCTTATACATAGTTTCCCTCGCCATGGGCTTTGAAGACAAGCGAGTCGCCATTGTTGGCGGTGGCCTGGGAGGCATGGCATTTCTGAATGCTGCACTCTACACAGGACTCAAGAATGTGCAACTATACGAGCAAGCACCGCAGTTTGGTGAAGTTGGCGCCGGCGTCAACATTACCTCCAATGCCAACCGTGTCCTCGATGCCTTCGGTCTGCAAGAAAGCATGATGCGCAAGTCATCCCGCAAACTTCCTTGCTACATGGAATACCACAACTACAAGACCGGAGACTATGTCGGCGAGATCGGCGAGTTTTCCGAGCCTCATGCCCGTCTCCTGCACCGCGCACACTTGCTAGACTCTCTCAAGGAGCGAGTTCCCCAATCAAGCCTCAATCTAGGAAAGCATCTCGCCTCCGTGGATCGCAACACCGCAGCGGGTGCTGCGCCGTACACCCTTCACTTCGAAGATGGAAGTACAGCCGAAGCAGACATCGTCATCGGCTGTGACGGGATCAAGTCGAACGTGCGCCGCGACATGGGTCTGGGCGATGACCCCAACTATTCGGGCCAAGTGGTGTACCGCGGCTTCGTCGATTATAAGGATCTCCCACAAGAGACGGCGCAGCTGCTGCGCAAGACCGTGAACTTCCGTGGCCCCCAGCGCCATGTCCTGATCTTGCCCATCGGCAACCAGGAAACGGGGACTGATCGGGCCGCCGTGATTGGATTCATGTCCGAGCCCATTGAGGCCTGGGACTCAGAGAGCTGGATGTCCCGCTCTGATATTGATAGTTTGCAGGAGCATGTGCGCGACTGGTGCCCGCAGGTGCAGGACATCATTGCGGGTCTCCGCAAGAGCTCAGAGGATGGCAAGATGCTCAAGCAAGCATTGTATGTGCGGGATCCGATTGCCAAGTGGTATGAGATGAAGGATGGACAAAAGGATGCAGGTATCATCCTGCTGGGTGACTCTGCCCACTCGACTCTTCCTCATCAAGGTATGATCTGATCTGCGACCTTCATGGTTTGGACACTAACCGTTCGCAGGCCAAGGAACATGTATGGCTATCGAGTCTGGGATTGCCCTTGCCACTATTCTCCGCCACTGGAAGACCCAAGACCTTCAGGCTGCATTCCAATTCTACCAAGACCTGCGCAAGCCCCGGACAGATCGTGTCACGGAAACGAGTTACGAGGCTGGGCGGCTGGCGAGTGCCGACAGTCCCGATCAGATGACTGACAACTTCAACCCCGAGGCTTTGACCGAGCGCATGCGGTGGATTATGGAGTACAATGTGTTGGAAGATCTGCGCATAAAGGGAGAAGGGATTTTGGACTTCCACGAGTCGCACCTGTGAACGATTTGTTTTGTCCGTGCCTAGGTACATCTGTATATATTGCACTGTAGCATGAAATGTCTTTACACCGTACTTTGAGGTCAGACCACTCTCGTATGATAGATCATTCCACTGAGTAAATGTAAAATAAATTTGAGAGAAGAAAACAAGCCGGCGCTCGGCCGCTTTCACATGTTAGTCGGGACCGCCTCCGCATTTCACCTCTCCGATCCTCCAGGGCTCCTTTTCCCTTCACCTACACCATGGAGGTAAGCATACAAGACGAGACAACTGGGACCTCATTTAACAAAGGGATACAGTTTACATCCACTTCGGGGGGCTTTCGCTCCAGGAGATCATATCCCAACCTGAACCACGTCTCTCTGGCACCTTTGACCCCACGATTCCCCATCGACGACGACACAGAAGCAGACTACTTCAACCACCACGACAATGAATCATATCTATCCAGCATCTCCGTCCCGAGCACACCCCCAATTCTCTCCCACTCCCGCAGCAACTCCCGCACCCGCCACCACACACGCAGTAAAAGCTCAACCCTAGCCCCATTAAGCGACACCAACCTCCAAAGCCGCCATCTCAGCCACCCCCTCCACCACCGAAACCCAAACAGCATATCCGTAGCCCCAGGCCGCCCCCGCCCGCCACCAATCTCCACCCCCAAGTCCAAATCCGACGCAGAATGGATGCTCCGCGCCGGCATCGCGCTGGCCTCATCCACGCGCGAAGAAAAGGGCCAAAGCTGGCTGCACAAGCGCGAAAGCTCCACGAGCCTCGTGTCCGAGCACTTCGATGAACCGCGTCACCACCGACGGACGAAGTCAGGTCCGTCGCGCAAGACTCGCTCAGGGGCCTCGACGCCGTTCCGGTCCCGCGCAGCCAGTAGACGGGGGAGTCGGGCTGGATTGGCCATGACTACGCTTCCGACTACGTCATCGTCTCCGGCAGAGCGATTCTCGACAGGTACGGGAGCTAGTAGTCCCGAGCGGGGCGGGGCTCTAGTGCCGGATTTTGTGGACGAGCGGATCCGCGCCGAGATGGCGACGCTGGGTGGGTTGGATGGGGATTGGGAGGGGTCTGAGTCTGGGTCTGGGTCTGAGGATTCGGATGAAATGCCTGATTTCGATGAGGCGGATTTGCAGCAGTTGACGCGGGAGCGGGGATTCGGGCTCGGGTCTTGGATTGATCGGCTGGTTGAATGGACTTTGTTTGGGGTTGATGACTGGCCTGTTGTTCCGCCTGCTGGATCTGGGGATTCGCGGATTGGATCTGCGGATACGACTACGACTGTTACGTTTGAGGAGCCTGTGGAGTGGGATAGGGATGTGGATACGCTTTCGCTGGTTGAGGAGGTGGATTCTGATGGGAGTGTTTCTCACGATGAGATTTCGTCGGATGAAGCCCCTGAGAAACCGGGGCTGCAGGGTGGGTGGGAAGATGCTGGGTGGTTGTTCCGTGTTGTCAAGCGAGCATTGGTATGAATTACGATTTGCATGAGATGGCGAGATGGCTCGGCTGTCTGTACATGTGTTCCTTTATTTGATCTGTCTTTTACTCAATAGCTTAATACTCACAAGAATGTTCATGAACATGGGCTTCACCATGTCCAATGTGTCTGGCCTCGACTTAAATTTTTTTTTTTTTCACAATTGTGGAGAATTTCGAGGTTCTGTGAGCGGTTGTATATTCTCGAAGTCACCGAGGCCGATGTCAATCCTTGGAAGCTGTCGATCTAGCAACATGACTTCAATGCCAGACTCGCAGTATCTTCCAAGGTTGCCCCTCAAGGTCCCAGGGCTCGATACCTACTACCTATGTATGTCCACGGGTAGGTATAAACATAAAGGATACTTGTGTAGTTGGGGACCTTGGAAAAATATAGTTGATATTCTCTCTTGAGTAAATTATTTGAATTCCAATGCAACAAGCTACTGTAAATGAATTCGCCCTCAAGAATGCACAACACAGAACATGTTGTAGATGGCAGGACCGTGCCCGACGATGGCTCGCTGTTTTCCCACGGGAAAGACTCAAATTTGCCGCCAATATTCGGAAAAACCGAAACACAAAGAGGCTTCAAGGCCTCTGAATACACGAATTTTGCAGTAGACAGAACGACAAGAACAAGACTGAGAATGGGAAATCCCAGCACAGAACAGGGAAGAAACAGCCAGGAGAAAATGATAATGAAAAATGACGAAGGACAGGAATGTAAGCGAGCTCGCGGCGCCGATAAATATGAACGAAAGGATCAGAGGTTGGATGCAGTACAGATGGAAATTGCCAAGCCTCAATGGGCTGGTAAAGAATGACTGAGAATTGAGAGCACGTAAACAAATGACAAAGGACAAGAAAATTTGGGGGAAATAGTACTAGTACTTCAGGGCCGTTGAGATGGAACAAACGGATATAGGAATATGCATTCCCCAAGAGTAACAGCCAAGAGAAGATAAAAATTGGAAGAAAATAGAAAAAAAGCTGTCAAGTTGTTCGCCTTGAGTAATATAACGCCATCTGAGACCATGTCGATTCTAAGGTCATGCAGCAGGTATTCGTGATCGTGACATACGTCGAAGTTGTGCGGTCGAAGGGGGTATGGTCCGCGTCGGTCTCAAGCGTGAGCCGGCATGAATATGAGACGTGAGGCCGGCACGCATGGTGGGGATGTGTAGTGGTCGTTCATAATGAGGTCGGAGTGGGTTCTTCACCAGGGTCCAACCTTAACGGGGGTTCCCAGCCCATAGGTACCGGAGAAGAGCTGATCTCTGATTGAGCCCATGTCGCCGTTAGGTCCGTGGGAAGGCGTATCGGAGCCTCCCATCCAGCCCAAGCTCTGGCCGAGTTCGTTGACGGCTCCCTGGAGCTTGCCACCGGAGGTTTGGTTGTGCTTGGCCAATTTCTGGTCCCAGCCTCCATATTGCAGCTGGATACCACCGCCACGCTTCGCCGCTTCGCGGATCACCAGGATCCATGCCTTGCACATCTCGTCGTAGGCGGCGTCTCGTTCGATGTTGTTCTGCGGCGTGCTCCAGCGAGGCAGAGCGTGGATGATATCGGTCGCACCGTCCAGGTAGCTCAAAGAAGTGGATGCTTGAGTCTCGTTGGGAGGAAGGAAGTTCGGGGTGAAGTCACTCAGAGCGTCGAGGAGGTTGGTGAGTGGCTGCCGAACTCGGTTGTAGGCGTAGTCGGATTCGGTGTTGCCACCCAACGGGAAGGAAGACTGGAGAGTAGCCTGGTAGTTGCGAAGGACCTGGAGAGTCGAAGACACATTTGGGCGTGGAGATGTGTGGACGACCTCGTCGACCAGCTGAGGGTGGCGCTCACACATGGTCCGCACGACGGTCCGCAAGGCATCGGTGTCGAGGGTCTCCAAGAGACGGGGCAGAGCTAGTGGTCGACCAGAGACATTTGGCCGGGAGCGTTTGATGTTGCGGTAGTTGTTGGGGAGTTGGCGAGGTGTAAAAGCTGGGGAGTTGGTGGGCGAAGCGGACATGCGTCCGTCATGGTCATTATAGTCGTCATCGGCTTTCCGTTTACGGTTTGAGTAGGAAGACGAGGGTGTAGACACTGGCTTTGTTAGTTTGACGTTCACCATGAGCTTGCCCTGAGCCGAGCGACCAAGACTCCAGACTGTGGCGACCAGAAAAAAGGGATGTCTTACTCATACAGGGAGAGAAGCGGTTTTCGTAGAAATGAGGAGGAACAGGAGGTGTGGCCACCAGACTGTTCATGATGACAGCTGGATGGCAAGTCAAGTGTATGGGAGTCCACAGGACTCAAAAACCCGAAAGAATGAAAGAGCAGAGCAAGGTGTTCGAGAAGTGATGCTCAAAGGGTTGAAGTGGGGAGAGAAAGGTAGAGAAGCAGAGAAGCGGTGGAGAAAAAAAGTAGGCGTTGCGGGCGGCAACGCACTCCCTCTGTGCAAGTTTGTAACAGGGGATTTGGTTAACGGGGTATTTTAATATTTTTAACAAGTTGAAAGAAACTGGGCTCTTTGAGAATTTTTTTATGAAACGTTAGACTGGGTTCTCTGTTTTCGGGGGTCGACAATGTGCCCGCATCATCTATTGATCTACGGAGTCCCCCGGACACTACTATGTAACGATCCTAAAGAAACTTCAAACCATTTATGTTGTCATAACGATGCTTTTGAATAAAACAGGGGGATATCGTATCTACAAGTACAGAGACTGGGCAGCAACAATGTCACGACGGACCTTGGTAAGGGCCTCCTCGAACTTGCTCTCCAAATCCTCGCTGCCCATCACCTTGGCAGCTTGCGCCATCTGTCGCAAACACTCTTCCAACCGGCGGAAGACACGGATCAAGCTTCCCTCGTAGACATCGGTCATTCCACTGCGACGAGTTAGTGTATGCAAAGGGTGGGGAGATCGGAAGAGATACTTACCAGATGTCGGCAAAGGACCGGCCTTGAGTCCATGCAAAGACCACGTCCATCAGTTCCCAGTGGAAGCTTTGGACATATTCGTCTTCATTCACAGCCATCTTGGATTCCTGGGACACCTTGGCGATCATGCGGGCTTGCGAATGGATCTCCTTCAAGGGCTTCGACAGTTCCTCCTTTTCCAATGGAGGGGCTTCCTTGACTTTCTCTTCAAAGACGAAGCAACTCATAACAGCAGCGACTTGCTCCGGGGTCAGGTCGTTGAAGAAACCGTTGAACAGAAGCTCGCTGAGCATGAGCTCGTCACCGGTGCTGATTTCACAAGCGACACGGGCCTTCAGCAGTACGACCTCGGCGTCGTCAATGAATCCGAGACGACGCAGCACACGCTTACGGTTCTTCAGCTCATCGAGCAGCAGAACGGACTGGATATCGTCGATCTCCTTCTTCTGAGCCTTGATTTTCGAGCCGAGTTCCAACTTCTCGGCATATTGCTCCCACAGCTCGGCCAACCGAGGTGAGTTGTGCAGAGGGTTACTCAGGAGACGGGACTCGAGGACCTCGATTTTCTGTAAACAGTTAGAGCTGTGTCCATCATCTGGAGCGACTGGATCGATTCTTACCCGTAGCAACTTCTTAAAGCTATCGTCTTTAATACCCATGTCTTCTATCGGGTCAAGAAGTGGAAGACCATCTGGGAAACGTCTTTTCACTTCGGCAACGTTGGCCATGACGCCCTTCCGGGCGTCCTTGCCTGTAATATCGTTGGGGAGTCGGAGGCGAGCATGAGAGAGTTCTCTGACGCAGTTCAAAGTCACAGGGATAACCTCTTGGCGAGATTCCTCGCCTTCTTGCGCAGGGCGAATGGCAGAGGGGATGTCCTGGAAAGATTTGGTACCGACGGAAGGTCCCTGCGCAAGGTTTACCAAGACATCGATGACGTGAGTTTGGTGGTCCGTTAGCTTCTGGGTATCGTGTTTTCCCTGTGCCCGCTTCTTTGTAGTGACCACTACACCCCAGCCGTAGTCGGCATCCTGATACTTAAGATGGACCAGTCGTCCAGTCTGGAGGAACGCCAAAGCATAGTTAGGGTGTGAGGTAACGTGCTGGACATCATCCGCAAATCCATCGAGTTGCTTGCGCAGATCGTAGTATTCACGAACGGTGCCTTCATCAGCGATATTCATGTTTTGGCGCTTTTCCTCCAGCTCCTGAAGACTCTTCTCCAACCCGCCAAGGCTCCCGAGGTTTTGGAATTGCTTGAAGCACTGGCTGAGCATATACTCAGGGGAAATACCCTCGACACGCATCAGGTTGAGAATCATGTTGTAGCCTAGATGGAATGCGGAGTTGAGCTTATCCTGCTCACCGCGAACGATTTCCTTCGCAACCGCAGGGTCCATCTCCTCGCCGATCATCATGATCACGATACCTCGCTCGTCAAGACCACGACGACCAGCACGACCGGACATCTGGATGAACTCAGAGGGAGTAACCCAACGCTGACTGGTTCCATCAAATTTGCGAACACTCGTGAACACTACAGTCTTTGCGGGCATGTTCAAGCCAATGGAGAAAGTCTCGGTTGCAAACAAGACCTTGATGAGACCCTCTTGGAATAGAATCTCAATGGTTTCCTTCAGAATTGGAAGTAAACCTGAGTGGTGAATGCCGATACCACGTCGCAGAAGTGGATGAATGTTGTCGATCTGGGGCAGTTTGCGGTCTTCCGGCGAGAGCATTTCGAGGGCACTCTCGAAGACCTTGCTCACCATTTCCTTCTCGGAGTCATCGTTGAATGCCATTTTGACCATCTGCAACGCATTGGCCTCACACTCCCGCTTGCTGAAACTGAAAACAATGACGGGATTGTAGCTCTTCATCATGATCATTCTGACAATCTTGAAGATATCCGATGGGCCCTTGTTGCCTCCCTTGTTCACCTGTCCATCCTTTCCTTTGCCCTTGCGCTTAGCGTTGGGATCGGCTGAGTCCGCACCAGCCTTGTCCGCAATAGCACTCATGGCAGTTTGGAAGTTCTGCTCACGGAAAACACCCTTCTCGTCGACGATGAGGTGCATTCCCTCCCCACCAGCGGGGAAGAAGTAGTTCTGAAGTGGAGTCGGACGGTAGTTCGTGTAAACGACGTGGCAAGGCTGGTTGTGCATTTTGACGATCCATTGCGCAAACTGCATGGCGTTTGGAATGGTAGCGGACAGGAACACATACCGGACCTTATCAGGCAACAAAATGATGGTCTCTTCCCACACCACACCGCGATTGGCGTCTCGCATGTAGTGAATTTCGTCGAAAATAACCCATTGGACTTCGCGCATGATCTCAGAGCCGCGGTACAACATGGAGCGAAGAATCTCCGTGGTCATAACAAGACAGGTAGCAGTAGGATTAATTGTCACATCACCGGTCATGAGTCCAACATCACCGAATTCGGCAGCAAATTCTCGGTATTTCTGGTTACTGAGCGCTTTGATCGGACTGGTGTAGATGACACGCTGGTTCTGCTTCAAACTTTGCGCAATGGCGTATTCTGCGACAACGGTCTTTCCGGCACTAGTATGGGCGGAAACAAGCACACTCTCATGACGTTGAATTGAAGAGACCGCCAGCTGCTGGAAAGGATCGAGCGGGAAGGGCCATGTCTTCGCTGGTTCCGCAGGTGGCTTGTGCTGGTCGATTGGCACGTAAGGGTAATCCACGGGAAATGCGACTTGATGGCGGACTTGGTGAGACACCGTCACAGTTTCGCCAGATCCAGACGCATCCTGTGCTTGCTTGAACTGGACCTCTTGTTCGGCTTCGAAAGAATCAGCAAGTACTGGTTCCGATACATCCTCCAAACGAAGCCGCTTCGCATCGGGCTGATCCTGGTTCGAGGTTGTTGGGGGAGCGGAATCGACATCCTCCGATTTCGCGGAGGGCGCATCTGGCATGGATTCGTCCTCGATCGGTTCAGTCTGGGCGTCTTCGGTTTTCTTCACGTCGCCATTCACCTGCCGTTTCTTGCTTCTGTCTTTTCTAGCGCGTCTGGGTGTACCCTCAGTCGGCCGGGCCGACTGAGGTTTGTCGTCAAAGACATCGAAAAGCTCATCCATCTCCGCGGTTGGGATTGAAAAATCAACCACAGGAAAAGAATGAGCAGCGTATAGCGAATCTCGATCTGCACTTTTTTTGAGAAATTTGAAAGTTCCTGATGGGGTAAGCGGTGGGGAGATCCCATCAGTGGACGCTAACCTGATCTGGACAAGCACCAGCACACGTGACCCTCGATCATCCCATTCCGCACCTCGCGATGTTCGCTTTGGCTTCGTCCGTCCCTTTCCGAACGTCCATTCTCTCCCCTCCGTCTTCCAAGGTAGGTGTCTCTGACCGCAATTGCTGAAGTCTAGTTCGCCGGTATTCATTGTCACTTTTAGATGTACACCTCCGCTGTCCGGGCCCGTATGGCCACCTCCTTTGCTGCCCGTCGTGGTTTCTCCACCACTCGCACCCAGCTCGGTAGCCCCTACCACTACGCCGAGGGTCCTCGCACCAACATCCCCTTCAACCCTCTCACCAAGTTCTTCTTCCTCCGCTACTGGGGATTCATGAGTGAGTGATCTTCAATGGACTTATGCGCATGGCCATGACTGACTTGGACATCTTTCAGTCGCTGGATTCGGTGCTCCCTTCGCCATTGCTGGTAAGTCTCACCCTACGACCCCTCGAATCGAATTCGCTCTAATCTCCGACAGTCTGGCAAACCTGCAAGACCAAATAAATTGCCTAATACACTGTGTCTTCGCAGACAGCGTTGGGCGATTGGGTCGAAGTTTGGACTGGCTTTTACACAGCTGGATATCATGTACAAAGCTAGAGAGTATTATTGACAATTGGTTCCTCCGAACAAGTCCATCGTAGTGGTGTAGAGGCGACAAGACGTAGTTCGCCAGACGTTGAAATATGGATGAAGTCATTGGCTGAGCGGCTGTGGAAAATCAAAAAATCTCTGGGTCAAGCGCGGTTCATATCAGTCACTACTCCGTCCTCTCGCCGAACGTATCAAGCACTTGTCCTCGGGTATTGGACTTTCTCTTGTTTTCGAATACTTGCCAAAGTCCCGTACCTGGCACTTTTTATCGATTGATGGTGGGGTAACGAACGCTGTGTAAAAAAAGTTACCCGTTCCTGAAAGATGCGCAACCTGAGAAATGTGCGCCTCGTCGAGACGCAGATTGAAGGCGACCTTCCTCTGACTGCCACGACATGGGACACTGCGTCAGACTCAGTGGTGTGCACCTTTGGTCCCGCTGAGAACAACCCAATCATAGAAGTGCGGCGGAAGCGCCCCGAGGTCATTGCAACTGACCCTCTCTCGCCTGAAGCACTGGAATGTATTGCATCCTGGGATGCACCATGTCCTCTCCCAGATCTGGCGTGTGATCATGTGCTTTCTCTGCACTTTTTCGCCGACAGCTTGACTACCTGTCTGGTTTTGGAAGGCGGAGATATCGTCGTCGTTCGCGAAGAGCCTCTCCCCAACGAGGACAAAATTGAGATTGTCGGCTCAGTGGACGTGGGAATCACCGCTGCAGCATGGTCTCCTGATGAGGAGATGTTGGTCCTTACTACCAGAGCCCAGACATTCTTGTACATGACCAGAGACTTCGAGAATGTGGCCGATGTCACTCTCACCCCCAAAGACATGCAAAGTTCGCAGCATGTGTCCGTTGGATGGGGTAAGAAAGAGACACAGTTCCACGGAAAGCGAGCCAAGGCTCTTCGAGACCCGACTGTGCCAGAGAAGATTGATCAAGGAATCTTGAGCAGCAACGACAATGGCAACACTACCATCAGCTGGCGTGGAGACGGTGCCTATGTTGCAGTGAGCACTGTTGAAGCTGGGGCTCGTCGTGTGATCAGAGTATACTCCAGAGAGGGTACCCTAGACAGCGTGAGTGAGCCTGTCGATGGGCTGGAAGGTGCCTTGAGTTGGCGTCCCTCTGGAAGTCTCATTGCAGGAATTCAACGACTCGAGAACCGAGTTGATGTTGTATTCTTTGAGCGGAATGGACTTCGCCATGGCGAGTTCTCCCTCCGCCTGACTGAGGCTGAGATGAACTCTTGGGCTTCTAGCATCGACCTTGCTTGGAACGTGGATTCGACTGTACTTGCTGTGAAGTTCCAGGATCGTGTGCAGTTCTGGACAACAGGCAACTACCATTGGTATTTGAAACAAGAAATTCCCATTTCAATTGACTCGAGCTCTCCTCTCTCTTACTCCCTCGAATGGCACCAAGAGAAGGCATTGCGCTTAGTCGCCGGCTCCCCAGGTATGCTCAATCCTCACAGTGGAAAGAGAGGAACCAAAGAGCTAATTGCGTCAGGTTCGATAATGGATTTGGAGTACGTTTTTGATATTACTCATGGATCTACCTCCATTCCAGACGATGTTGGCGCTACTGCGGTCATTGATGGAAGTAAGTACTACAAAGCAACCGAAATGAGGATGCCACTGACTGTCACCCCCAGAGAACCTCAAATTGACCCCACTGCGTCTCGCCGGTGTTCCCCCTCCCATGGCACACAATGAACTTGCCTTGGATTCCAATGCCATCGATGTTGCATTTAGCAAATCGGGTACTCGAATTGCTGTGCTCATGAACAACAGATTCTCCATCTATCTCTGGTCTCTGAAAACCCGACCAGTTCCAATTCCGATCCTTGAGTCGAGCTACCCCTTATCTGATGCCATAGCAAGTCGTCCTCGCCAAATTGCGTTTTTGGATGAGAATGAGGTATATGTTCTCAAGGATGACGGGCCAAACTCCAGTCATATCGAGCGTACTCATTTGGAGACTCGGGTCACAGAGTTAGCATATCAATCCGCAGATTCTGAACAATTGGCGTCAATATTCGCCGGCATTGGGCACCAAGCTTTGTGGCTTTCACACACCCTTCAGCCATCTCGCCCTGCGACCTATTCGAGCATAGAACCTTCACTGGAGGGCGTCAGTGTCGCTCCCTGGGCGGAAAGCCCCAATGTTGACACTCGTTGGGCTCGGGCCGTCTCTATCTCTGATGAGGAGGTATGCTGAACAATACTCCACCCGCCGATGTTATCACTGACTTTTGCAGCGCATTTTGATCACTATGACGAGAACGGGTGGCTTGTACGCAAACAAGAGAGTTCTTGCGCGCAATTGCACATCTTTCCTGGTGACTCCATCTCATCTCCTGTTCACAACTTCTCAACACCTACTGAAGTTTGTTCATCTCAATCACGTGGATGGTAAGATCAGTTCTCTCGGCAGTTCGTGGGCTATCTAACAATACATGCAGAGATGGAGGTCCCTGATGACACTCCTGAGACCGATGAACGCTGCAGAAGCATTGAGCGTGGCTCCAAGCTTGTTTCCGTCATACCCTCAGTCTTTGCGGTGGTTCTCCAAGCTCCCCGGGGAAATATTGAGACTATCTATCCCCGTGCGCTGGTCCTGGCTGGAATTCGTACATTCATCGACCAAAAGAAATACCGATCTGCATTCCTTGCATGCCGCAGCCAGATGGTTGACCTTAATATCCTTCATGATTATGCCCCCGAGCAGTTCATGGAGAACATCGGTTTGTTCGTCGACCAAGTGAAAAAGATTGACTATATTGACGACTTCATTTCACGCCTGTCGTATGTGAACACTCCATTGACAGAAGAAATTTTACTAATACTCGCATAGTGAGGATGATGTCTCCCAAACGCTATACAAAGATACACTCAAAATCTCTCAAACTGTATCCGCGGCCGTAGCGCAGCCAGACGGCCAAGCCGCCGCTCCGGCATTGAATTTGGGCAAGAAAGAAAGCAAGATCAACAAGATCTGCGATGCTTTCTTGGTGACTCTTCAGCCACGCATTGATACTAACTTGCAGAATCTGATCACGGCCCATGTCTGCAAGTCTCCCCCCGACATGGAGGCCGGCCTTGCCCTCGCAGCAGGTCTGAGAAGTATGAGCATACCTCTTCCAGCCCATGAAAAGAAACCCAGCTAATCACCTAACAGCTCAAAATCCCGAACAAGCTGAGGACGCCATTGAGCACATGTGTTTCTTGACGGATGCACACAGACTCTACTCCCATGCGTTGGGTGTGTATGATCTGGAGTTGACTCTACTCGTTGCTCAACAGGCTCAAATGGTAAGATTGACAAGTACGCATCCCATGGTCATCATTAACAACCACCCAGGATCCTCGTGAATACCTTCCATTCCTGCGTAAACTGCAGCAGCTGCCTGAAGTTCGACGTCAATTTGAAATCGACAACCATCTCACTCGCTTCACCAAGGCTTTGAATCATCTGTATGCTCTCAATGCTCATGATGAGATTCGGGCATATGTCGTCAAGCACGTCTTGTACAAGGAGGCCCTAGAACTTTACAAGTACCAAAATGAGCAACAACGGGAAGTCACAGAGCTTTATGCAGACTATCTCCAGGATCAGTCCAAGTACAAGGACGCTGCGATTGGTAAGAGGCTTCTCCATCCCCCCAGGTCTGGAATCTCGCTAACCTTGGCAACAGCTTACGAGTCTCTTGAACTCTACGAAAGCGCCTACAAGTGCTACAACCTAGCCCACAAGTGGCGCGAGTCGCTCTACTGTGCCATGCTGGCATCTCTTCCACAGGAGGAGCTTACTGACCACATTGACGCCCTCATCAATACCCTTGTTGACGAGAACAAGGATTACGTCTCAGCAGCAACCATTTACGCTGATCACCTGCAAGACTACATCACCGCTGCACGCCTTCTTTGTCGTGGATCCAAATTCGCCGATGCCGCTCGTCTTCTCACCCTGCACGGCAAGCAGAACATGGTCACTGAGATTGTCGACTCAGGTCTCGCAGAAGCTATGGGTAACATGACTGACCTGCTTGCGGACTGCAGATCTCAGCTCAATGCCCAAGTCCCACGATTGCGCGAACTGCGTCAGCTTCGCGCAGCCGACCCACTCGCCTTCTACGGTGGAGATCCTACCGGCGGCGAGGGCGGCGTCGACATCCCAGACAACGTCTCACTTGCTCCCACAGACGCATCTACTCTTGCTGGCCGCTCTATGTTCACCCGCTACACCGGCAACACCGGTAAGACCGGCAAGACAGGAATGAGCCGGCATACTTCCAAGACCCGCCGTCGTGAAGAGCGCAAGCGGGCTCGGGGTAAGAAGGGCACCGTTTACGAAGAGGAGTATCTGGTCAACAGTATCCGCCGACTCATCGAGCGAGTCAACTCGAGCATCCCCGAGGCTGAGACTCTTGTCGATGCGTTGCTGCGCCGCAACATGCGTGAGCGGGCAGCTGCCATTGAGAAAGCACTGCAGGAAGTCCTCACTATGGGTGCTGAGTGCCGAGACGAAGTTTTCGAGGTTCCCCCTCCCAAACCGAAGAATGAAGACGAGGAAGACGAGAATGCTGAGGCCATGCCATCTGCTACTGGAGGAGCTAACGTCCTCGCGGAAAGCATCGCTATCGTTGAGGGAGGTGGGACTGCTCGTGTCAAGGAGGTCCCTGTCGTCAAGGAGATGAGAAAGTCATCTCTTATTGCCTGAGCTGGTAACCGTCACTGGCTCAATATGACCATTTATATATCCACAATCATGAAATTCTTTGTAGAAAGGAAAAAAAGTTGTTTCTGTTCCAAGGCATACCTAGTAGCATCCATTTCATACCTACTCTACCTAGGTATCCACCAAGACCTCGGGCCCTCGGGATCAAAGCCTCCAGGGTTGACCGCCAGGAGTTTACACAACCTTGGGAGCTTTGACTCGTTAAAATTCTCACGCGCCTCATGTCGTCCACGGGTCTCACCCGTGGACTTTTGCCAGGACCAATTATGATTTGAATCTGACTGGTCCTGTTCTATGTGTTCTTACCTAGGTATAGCCGGGAAAGAATGAAGCAAAAGGAGAATAGTCCTGACGACCTGGGGAGTGGCAAATCGGCGCAGCCAAAAAGAGTCCTGGCTGTAACTAGATACTCCTGAGACAAGAGCCCTACTAAATTTAGGTGGACAGGAGTCTCACATTAAAACCTTGAAAGCAGGCGTGACTGTCTTTCAATCTCCGGGGCATTTCCAACGACTCGGGAATACATAGGTACATACCTACATCTGTAGGTAGAGGTGATATCGGGGTAGAGTGACACTGAACATCAATATTGTCACTATTGCACAAGGACGTTACATGAATCTGCTGTGTCCCTTTGAATAGAAAACGCTCGAGGCAATGCGGGGATTCCCTTGAGTCGAAATATAAGAAATGAAGGTGCCTTCTCATCACCATCAACACTCTTAGAAAGAGGATCAAGGACACATTTGTCTGTCAAAATGTGAGCAGCTTAGTTGTCTCTTTATGCACCCAACTGACAGGAGCCCCTTATAGTCCTGACCATGCATCTTCGCATTGCGACCTATGTCACTCTAGCCTTGGGCGTACTCTCAACAGCCCAGCAAGCACCACCGGCATCACGTCGAGCCATCAAATGTGTCTGCAGCGGCACTCCAGAGAATTCTCGCTCAGCATGTCGTTCGAGTGGGGGCGTTTTTAGTGAGGGAGGCTGTGGTTTTACCGGTTGCTGCGTGTATGCAGGGCCTGAACAGACTAGCTTTATTGAGATCTGCCAGGCACTTGGGTATGGCTTCAGGCGCTGCGATGATTGTGTTGCATGCTGAGAATGTTGGATATTCCTGAACGGCCAAGTTTTGTCCTTGGTCGATCCTGCTGCGATTGGATTGTATGCCATGTCAGTTGCGAGTCGAATGTTTGATGAAATGGTTCATTATTTGATCGCGCTGCGATGATATTATTATGTTCTAAATCCCAAAAAAGATACAGTGAAGATAGTCTCTGTATCAAATGTTGCAAGCTCAAGGTAAATTGACCTGATGCAAAAAAATGAACCGGTGGGGTATCTTCGAGGCTAGAAAGCCTGCCACCAGGACCCAATATAGCTATGCTCGTTGCTCTTTTCAATGTTCTTAGAGGGTGCTGAGGATCTCGCCGGTCTCACTGACCAGGTGATCCTCAACGGAGACAGGTCCCTCGCCCACACCAGTCAAGATGACACGGCTCACGCCGTCCTTCAGAACCTCAACAGCGCGAGGGTCAATCTTCTCCAAAGAGACACCAGGGGCTGTGATACTAGCAAGTCTCTCGTAGAACACACCGTCCCAGCCCTCGGAGCTGGAGCCGAGAATGGCCTTGACGGTACCCGCAACAAGCTCAGAGTCCTTTTCTTCGTAGTAGATGACAGCGTTGGGACCGGCATCAAAGGTGTAGGCAGCAACAGTGCGACCAACGGCGTTGTTGATATCGTGCACAAGACGGACAGCGGCGCGAGAAACATCGTTCATGTAGAAGATAGGGGGCCACGAGTCGAGGCAAGTGGCGTGGAAAGTGTTTGAATCACGCATGGTGATTTCAGCAAAGTCATGGAAGTTGCGGGCCTGAATGGCAGTCTCAATAGCAGTCATGCGCTGGGGGACCACATTCTGGGCACGCTCGGCGAAGAGGGCCGAGGTAGCCACGGTGGTCTGCATACCCTCAGTGCTGGGGACGTCCTTCTTCTCAGCACTGACGACAAGGACAAGAGCCCGCATCTCAGGCCAGTGGGATGCAGGAGCAACTTCCTCAGCCAAGCTGTCGCTGCCATCGGCAAGCTCGCCTGTGCGCCAGGCGACGTATCCGCCCATTAGAGAGCGACAGGCAGATCCGGAACCCTGGCGGGCAATGCGACTCAGCTCCTTGGGGGACTGGGGCAGCTGGTAGAGGTCGGCAACGGCGCGGACTAGGGCAGCGAAGCCCGCAGCGGAACTGGCCAGACCCGCAGCAGTGGGGAAGTTGTTCTCAGACACAATTCGGAGAGGGTGAGCGGAGAGCTTAGGGAGCGAAGAGTCGGCATCCTCAAGAGCCTTGCGCAGCGCACGAAGGTTGGAGATACATGCGAGTGTACGCTTGGAGGACTGGATGTCCTGGGGCTTGCCATTCAGGTTCAGAGTGTCCGCAGTTGGGTACTCAGCAGAGCAGGAGGCAGTGGTCAAGGTTCGGAGGGAGCGTTGAGAGAGAGTGACGGAGAGAGAGGAGTTGGTTGGGAGGTTGAGAGTAGTGTCACGCTTGCCCCAGTATCTGAAGTAGGTCAATCAGAAAAGGAACTTGCTGGGCAACAAAGCAATGAGGGGCATGGGATTTACTTGATAACAGCAATGTTGACGGGGGCAGTGGTGGTAGCCCGGTAAACGGACTGGTTGGATGCAGATGCCATTTTAGCTGCAGGTCAAGAAAGACAGATCAATATTTAATTTTTTTAAAAAAATATCCAGACAGCAATGGAAGGCAAAAGGGGAAATTGGCCTGGGAATCGTTGATATTGTTCCCAGGCGGTGAGAGGGCAAAAGATTAGTCTCTGTTGACGCGCCGATCTCTCTCTTCCAGTCATTGACCCCCAATTATTCAACAATGGGAGCCGCGGCCAGTACCCCTTCTGCTCCTCCTGCAGAGCAACCTGCAGCAACATGTCCCGTTGACCACAAGACTCGCGAAATTTGGCTGCAACAGAACGGCAAGGCGCCTCATCCTCCGAACTCCGACACACCCGAACAGACACAACCAAGCAAGTCGCAACGTCCACTGTCGACTGATCGCGAAGTGAGCACTATTCCTCGCGCAGGTGATTTCAGTGCAGAGGGTGCCTGTCCCGAAGCCAACAAAGGCGCCCCATCCCCATACGCTGCGTCGCATGGCACCCCATCAAATGCCGAAGCCGAGACTGGCCACGACAAGGCCAGTGGAAACTGGATCTATCCTTCCGAGAAACAGTTCTTTGAAGCTCTCATGCGCAAGGGCAACACACCCGGATCTACCGAAACCGCCACTGAACTCGCGACGTCGGTAGCCTCCATCATCCCAATCCACAACGCCGTCAACGAGCGCGCATGGGACCAGATTCTTGACTGGGAAAAGAAGGGCCCTTCATCGGACCCAGGAAGCAAGAAGTGCGGAGGACCTAAGCTCTACTCCTTCCGGGGTCTGGGAGTCGATCCCCAGTACCTGAGCCCGCGTGCGCGGATCAATGGATGGCTCGGCTACCAGCACCCATTCGATCGACACGATTGGGTTGTGGAGCGTTGCGGGGGAGAGAGAGTTGAATATGTCATTGATTTCTATCAAGGCAAACCATCGGGTCATGGTACTTCTGGCTTGGCAGCCAATGCTGGCCCTGGTAAACTCAGCTTCTTCCTCGACGTGAGACCCAAGTTGAACTCTTACGAGGGCTGGAGGCTGAGGTTCAACCGCTTCACGGGCCTTTGAGGCTCTGTTAATATGGATTATAGGGCACACCTACTTTTGAACTGCACATAAAAGGCGACAACGGAGCATGGCCAGGAATTTGGGACCCAATTGGGTGTATTTTGCATGTATAACACTCTTCTGTACAATATAAAGCTAGAGGATCGAGAGATAGCCATGAATTAATGTTCTCCAATCCCCAGGAAGTCAAAGTTGCCAAGTGGATACGTAAAAAGTCAGAAGCAGGAGGGTACAGGCAAGAGAATAGAGCGATGCTTCACTAATGACGTGAAATAGGGCAGGAGGGATATCGTTCGCATACATGACATGAGAAGAGACAAGGCTGTGCTAGGTGAAGAAACACGACAGATAAGAGCAAAGGGAGCCATTTACCCGAGGACGATTGCAAGTACAATGATAAGGAGGATCACAGCAAGAATCACGAAGAGGCAGCATGCCCTGTTTCGTGCGTTCTTCTGATATCTGCTGGCACTGCGCAATTCGACATTGGCGCCTCGGGTGTCTTGAGTGACGTTCTCCACGTTCTCGCTGATGATGTCCAATTGGCCTCCCTGCTCTGTGACGATATGCGCGACATCGCGGAAGAGCTCATTCAACTCCCCAACACTCTGTTCGATGTTTCGGATCTCTGTCTCGCGCTCAATAATCAGCGACTCTTGGAAATCCACTTCGCCTTGGTTAGCCATGCGATGTTGCTCTTCCAACTCCTGCTCTTGTAGCAGTAAATCATTGTCTGTTGCTGGTTGTCCCTCCTCCTCGACTGCAGTACGTGCGGCCGCGGCTGAAGCGCGCTGTTTCTCAATTGCACGACGCTGGATTATTTGGAACTCTTCCAAGGTGCTCCTGAACTCGTTCGATATCTTCTGTTGGGTCCACTTCTGGGAGGGCTGCAATGAGGACCGGTCAGTAAGAAATCGCAGATGAATATATAATCAGGCTTGCCATACGTTGACGTCCTCCCATGTTTGTAGTTCCTTAATTCCTTCGCCCACATCTCTAAACCCTGTACGGGACTCTTGGAGGTAATTATGAACCCGCTCGCGCACACGCTCGGTGTCTCGCTTGGTTCCGAGTAGGCTGATTTGGCTGGATAGACGAGTAATATTCGCAGTCAATTCAAATAAGTGGTCTGAAAGCTGGACGGCCAGGCGGTCGAAGTCCGGATCGTCACGGTACTGCGGGTCTTCATCCCTGCGCATAGTGGTAGGCTGGGACTCCAGCGAGTCGAGGCGGTCATAAGACATCTTGCGTGTGTTCAAAACGTCGAAGATGAGTGCTAAGGTAAAATCAAACGCAAAGTCAAGAGGAGCGGAGTTATCTGCAGGTCCTCGGTGCCTGCGACTAGGCGGATGATTGGACTGCAGACCGCCCTCACATGACGTTATTTACCAACGCGCCATTCCAAATTGAGACTAGCCTGTGTGGCTGGAACAACATCGCTGCCACATCTGTCACATGACATGGTGTGGCTGGTGTGTTTTGATGCCTCAAAATATTCCTGGGTGGACCTAGCCGTCGACTGATTCTGTCCGACAAAGCCCACCACCTACTTTCAGCCGTGACCCTTCGTCGACACTGTCGCTGGCTTGCCATCGACATTCTACAGCTTCCGAAGCTTTCTTTTAGAACAGTTCATCTGATCATGCTCTAATCCTTCACATCATTTGTTCACGAGCGCATCCCACCCCCAAGCCTGCACCATGGCTGCACCTCAAACTCGACCGTATAGGCGAATCCTCACCTCGGCTCTACACCGAAGATTTGTTCATGCGTCCGCGCTTTCACTCCTGGTGAGCTACATCATCGCAATTGCGATCGGGGAGAAGTCATCATGTAAGTGTCTCCAAAAACCCTCGAATTGGCTGTCGAGGGTCGGCGCGTTGCCCCCGCTTACGCTGGGGGAACCCAAGAATTGACACACTAACTCTGATCGTCCACCAGTGTTCTGGTCATGGTTCCCAATTGGTAGCTGCGGTGTTCGAACCGCCCTAATCTTTATCTCGTCACTCGCCATCTTTGTCCTGCGCGTTGGTCAAATGCACATCGGTCCGAGGACAGCGAGCTCCTCATTGGGGATCTTCAAGTCATTTTCCATCAAAAACTTCCAAGTTGCGCAAACCTTCGGCTGGTACATTTTCTCCGCTTGGTGGTTCACCTTGATCTACGTTTGGTCGTCTTCACCCAGTGCCAATCTCCAACTCGTTAAAATGGGCAAGCCACATGAACGCCCCACCCTGAACGAACGGCCGATCTACCTCCACTCATTCCACATCGTTCTCGCATGCGTCCAGGCAATCTGTCACCTTTACTACGACTACGACCGTGTCCCTGTGCCCATCGCTGAACGGAGCACAAAGACGAATGATAAGCGTACTCATCCAGTGCAACAGACCTCCAAGTATCTTCAGGGCGCTTTGCCGCAGCAATTGGCAGATGGGGCTTTCCGTGCTATCACTGTTGCAGCTGCAACACTGGTGGTCTACCCTATGTTTTTCCGACAGGCCGCTTGGGGCTGGTCTTTGTACATGGCCAAACTGTTCTGGAGCTTCCAAAGGTCGGCAGCTGAGCCCTCGAGCTTCGTTCCCACGATTTTCCCATACTTCTTCTTCCGAACTCTGCTCCCGGGCCTTCTCCTTGTCATGTCCTGGCAATGTTCCAACCTCTTTTATTCCGTTTTTATCGGCAAGGAGCCACTCAAGCGGGGCCAACCACTTACTTCAGATGCCAAGGATCCCAACGGCAGTCTTTTGAACGGACTCAGTGCCAAGAAGGAGGTAGTGAAGACTTTCGCGCTCTGGGAACTTGGGTTGATCAGTCAGGGCATGCCTGATCGCCGGAAGACAATCTTCAACGAAATTGATCGCGCGAATGGATCAGCATGGTCACAAGTCCTTGCTTCTATCACTGAAGTCATCCAGGGTGTGAGCATTCGCATCGAAGAAAGCAAGAACCCTGCCCTTGCCGCGAAGCCAGTGCCAGAGACTGATAAGCCGGAGCCTGTCCTCCACAACCTCCCACGGTTGACCGACCCGATCAAAGACGAAAACATCTTCACCACTGCCCCCAAGGCCACCTCTCGCCAGGACCGTTTTGGTGATGCATTTAGCTCAACCGCCAGGTCCCTCGGTGGGTCAGAAGACTGGACACCGACTGCGCGAGCCCGAGTCCGTGATGTCTTTGATCGAGCATCCTCGGCCGTTCTCAGCCCTGAACAGAAGCAGAAATATCTCGCCTCTACTCAGAAGCTCAAGCTTCTAACGGGAGGCCCCTCGACGACCTACAAACCTGAGGACGTTAATCCTGTTCTAGTGCAGTTCCTTCGCTCCCCCATCGGCCAGCCCTTCCGGCAGACTTATGCCCAGCGCCTGTGTGCCATCGTATTTGGAACACCTGAGTCTTCTTTGTGCGCTATCGTGGACGCTGTCGAGTGTCTGACCCGCCTACTCATTGCCAGTCTGGCAGAGGATACCTTTGGTAAGGTTCAGGCTGATCTGCCAGCTGCAGTCCGCCTTCTTACGCAGACCATTCTCTCAGTGGATGCATTTGCCCACCACGGAGGCCTTGACGCGCATTGGACCGATGTCAATTTCCCATCATCAAGCGATCCCCAGGCTCAAGAGCAAGCTCGCAGGATCCCGGATGTCGAGATTCTGCTGACTACGCTTCGCGGCAATCTCAATGACCTCCTGACGGCCTTCAAACCGTACCTACGGGATATTGGAGTGGCCGGCAAGGATCTGAGACTCGCCAAGGAGGCAGTTGGTATTGAATCAGAGGAGCTGCCGTTATGATTTCCTTTGCTTCAAGCTCTTTAATGCTCAGTATATTTCATGATCTCTTCCATCTGTTCGTGTATTGTTTTTGGTAGTGTCCATCGGGGTTGGTCTCGGTTGACGAGTGCATGGTCAGGCGTTCTTTCAGATAGGTGTCTGGTGTTGGCTGGAATTTTGAATGCAGGTCTAGTGAATCAATACCTTGTCAATAGGACTGTCGAATACTGAAATACCGAGATCTTGTAGATGGAAGTATAGGTCACATGACACATGTCTTACCCGTGGACCGACTCCACAACTTACACTTGAACTTGGACGCAAATCAAAGCAACTAGGTGGCATTTGCAGCATTGAATGCTATCCAAGTCCAACTCTTTGCATCATGTCATTGACCAATGTCTATCATGTGCGCCGTGTCGCAGAGACCTCCGCTAAGGCATGCATGATCTGCTACAAACCATCGACCACTGTGATGATTACCCCAGATAACAAGGTATGCGACACTACGTCTAATTGTGGGATGCATTTCATCACTCGTATTACCATGTGTTATGAGAGGCAAGTTCCGTACATATGAAATTGCTAACCTGCTCATCAGGATTTCTTCTACGTGTGCCCCGCACATCTCCAAGACCGTCATTTCTGTTCTCCAATTATCGACACAGAGGGCCAAGCAAAACGCCAGAAAGAAGAAGCGATGGCCAAAGAAATAGAAAAGGTAAAAAAGGAGTATGAAGAGAAACAACGTCGGAAAAAAGAGCAGAAGGCCTCAAGCAAGGATGAAGACGAGAAAGATAAGGACAAAGACGAGTCGAAGGACAAAAGCAAGGATACCCCCGAGACCAACAAAACTGACGAGAAAGAAAGAGACGATAAGGTAAGTCTCTTCGTTTTGCGCTACTCAAGTTGGGTGTATCGGAACATTGGGCTAACTTGATAGATTGCTTCTATTCGGAAGGATACTAGCACAGAGGCCAAGCCGGATGAATCCCCTCGTGTGTTCTCTTTGCACAAGTATGTACTCAGGACACCATCGTGACTGTTGTTCTCTAACCATGATATAGGAATTTCTACCAAATGCGCATTGATCGACTACGGAACATAGAAATGGCCAAGCGAAACCAGGAAAGAATGAAGAATCCTTCACTATTTCCTTCTGTGCCATCAGGGAATCCTTGACAACCCTGATCTTTGCCTCACCTGGCTTCTATATCTAGAGCCATTCTCTAAGGTCTGTATAGTCCATCAATATCTTTCTCGAGCACTCTGCTATGTCGCCATCCCAAATGTAATGAAGTATGGTGGATGGAAGAGCAGCCAAGCGGTCTCGAGGGATCATTGAAACCCTTTCCAGTTGTCAATATAGCGTTGCCCATCAAAAGCATTGAATACCGACACATTTAAGTTCTCAACCTAGGCTGCAATCTTTCTTGGCTACATGCCTAAGTACCTAGGTATGACTCCAGTCTATATTTGGATTCGCAAGCCCCTGGGCATCAGTCTAACATAGGTACTGTAATAGACCGCGCATATCGTATGACCTTTTTTACCTAGGTATTTTGGTATCCTCGCAAGATAGGGAATCATAAGCCATTACTCGGCCCCCGTGTGAGACTGGGGCGATGCTCATGAGCCATTGAGCAGGTTACGATAGCAGCCAGAGTCGTTAGTACCTAATTAATGGCGACACGAGGCTGGCTCTCACCGCACAGGCCTCTGCAGCCTACAAGCGTACTATATACCAAGCTGCAGTATACTATTCATGATCCCAGATCCCCGAGACCCGACGCGTATCATAGTATAGGTTGCACGATCGGCGATAGAGTTCCAAGGTTGGGCACATCTGTGTGGCCTCATGAGCTTTCATTGCTTCTCAGATCTACTTTTCATTGCTGTCTGATGCCGTGGCTGGAGGTATACTCTCAATATGGATGCCTGCGTGGGGGCGGAGCTGTCGTGTAATGGCCTCTTCGTCATTATCAACAGGCAGTATAGTCCACGGGTGTATCCACATGAGTCGTGCATGTGAAAAGTAGTCGTCACGACAAACCAGGCATCCAGTATGAGGGACAGGCACCCTTCATGTTGGCTATCTCACATCCTAAATCTATAATTGGATTGGATACCTAATGCCAATGTCGTTGGATACTGTAGTAGAACGCTGCCTAACGGGTCTCGAGGTTAGCTACTCCGTACTCCGTCGAGGTTCCACACTAAGGCGCCTGGGGTAGATTAGACTGAAACTATCTGCCTTAGATGCATATAGGAGGTCTCTAGCGCCACGCCGTTTGTGTAGGGCAGAAGAGGGGTTATATTTATACTCGTACAATTTAGCTCTGTCTATTTGATCGTTTGATACGTTGGCCATAAGGCTTACAGGTCTGTGCCCAGTCATCCATGCAGGCTACCTCGATGACTCTTGACGATGGACACGAGAGTCGACGGTGATGTGCTCTTCTACCTAGTAGAGGACATCCCAACGCCGGTGTTCCAACGAGAGTGCTGAGACCTCGGGACAGTTGTGCCATCTAGGCTTGGTTAAAACACTGACTGAGCTCCTGGGACAATACTACATAGGGCAGCCCACTGCCGGTCAATAAGACATAGCCTAATCCCAGACAATCCTGAAACAAAGTTAAAATGCCGGCGATCGACGCAAGGCGATCCCAAATGAAAAATGTAACGGGAATGGAATACCTTCTCTCAGCCCAGATAGGAACTCCACCCGGTAGCTGCAAGGCAGTGCACTGCCCCACCCCCACTGGGAAGGGGGCCGCCAATCACGTCGAGAGGACAATATACTATATAGTATGATCCGTTTGTTCTTCCAAGTTGTGGAGTCTACAGTACTGTATAAGAGTAGAGCCCATTGATGTTGGGAGATTGTAACAAAGATTTGGAGAACAGATACTCATAGTTCGACAGCGCTCTTCAGGATATAGGTAAATACCGAAATACAAAACCAGAACCACGTCCATACTGGTAATACCAATACACATCCCCAGCCAACCGGGAAGGGCAGGAAACAGACCCGCTTTGCACAGCCTCCTTCTGCTAAAACCTTGGTCGGGAAATGAAAAAAGTCATAACTCACAGCGGGGCCTTGAGTTTGCTATAGCCTGCCTGTTTACCTGTTTAGGATGTATTTCACTCTCATGTCTTATGTGCAGCCCTGTAAGCTGGACCTGTCGGAAATATGCATTCGAAACAGACCCATTGCGCTGTAATACCCTATCTCGTGAAGTTTATGCATGGGTTTATTGAGTCCACGTGAGAGGGGAATTAAGGGCGTCTGTCATCCAGATCGACAGGGACAGTCCATTTGCTGCCTAATGTCTCAATTCAAGGTATCGGCACGGAGTAATCTCAACCTAGGTTCGGCGGGTTTAGAAGGCTTGGGCGTCAAAGCAACCTCTCGACCAGAAACCCACAGCAAAGGCGGGTTTCGATGGACACCGATACTCATCGGTCCAATGCACGTGGCCCTCCTAGGCCAGGTACGACAGATTTGCCGCATGGGAGACACTTGGCGATATGGCTGTGCATGCCAGGTGGACTTCCATGGGTCCTTCAGGTCCGGTGAATGGCGCCCCCTGTAACGAGAAATGATAATCCGGAAAAGCTGGCACCTGATGATCTGGAATGGAAAAGGCAACGCAGGAGCCCTACCCCGTAGGCTCCGGCATGATGCGGCGAAATGCAAGCTGAGACATCAAGCTTTCATAAATCGTAAAACTATTTACGGACGCAGGGGGATCTTATAGATTCCCCCGACCAGCCGAGTCATTGGCTTCTGGCGCCCGCATGCCCGGAGGAAGGCGGATGGCAGGGTTGGCTCGTGGGCCCCGAGCCATGTTGACCTGGTTGGCGATATCAACCCGAGCTTTGGTCAGGCCGATGGCGGGTATGACCCAGCCACCGCAGCTGCACCGCAGGCCTTGCCATGCGAATTTGCCGACGTTGGACCCGCAAACAGGATTGGGGCAAGTGAGACGCCCAGACAACGGGGCATCATCGGGGTGCGCTCCGTAAGTGGCATCCGCATCAGCGTGGTCCTCGGAGGGGAAGAGACTCGGACGCATCCAAGTCAGGGGGTGAAGGAATAAGTGACCGCACTCGGCGCTTGCCGATGTCTTGGCGGTGTCTTTCTTTTCCTCTTCATGTGGAATGACGAACGCGTTGGTTGCCAATTTGTATCTAGAGCGTGCCGGATCAGTCGTGATCTCCGGAGCCTGACTCCTGTGTTTGGGGCTGTGAAACTGACCTGCATTTGCGGCATCTGTACTCGACTACTGGACCTGTAGCATTCTGGGAGCGCATGGGCTCCTCGTCTTCGAACCGCACTGACTTCAGCTCTGGGGCACGGCCACAGGCCACACTGTCTTCGACCTCACGACGGTAGAGCCAGCGCTTGTATGCTGGGTGATCTGTGACATCATCCGGACAGCCCATTTCATGGTACACTTCCAGCTGTTGCATGAAGCCCTCATTAGGTTCACAGAGTGGCCGGCTTTCACGCACCAGCTCAAGGGCAGATTGCGGTGTGAGAGCTGCCGGCTGCAGGTGGAGCAGGTAGGCGATGCAGATGGTAGCGGAGCGGGACTTTCCCATAGCACTGGATCGTCACATCAGCCACTGCATATCCTTCCGTGTCAAGCGATCCAGGCGCCACGACCAAACAACCCAGATCCAGTGGTCCAGCAGACATGAAGCTCCAGCGCGTAGATCACGAAAGACACGTAATGACGTAGGAGGCCTGAAACCACTGTGCATCGATTGATCGCAAAGCCGATGGAAAAACCTGAAACGAGAACTCGTGTTGACTTACCAGTGCACAAGCACGCCTCTACCGCTGTCTAGACCGGACTGGATAAACTTGATAGCGGCAGGGAAATGTTCCAATAAATTTTCATCGTCGACATCATCGACTCCTATGGAAAGATGCTGATACGGCTCAAAAGTCTCCTGCTTTTCGGCCTCGTTCAGATGCAACACGGACAGGACATGGGAGATGTCTGCCCGCGCCAAAGCTGCTTTGTTCTTGAGGCTGAATATACTACAAGTGGTCAGCATCCATCAAAGCATCGAGCTGGCGGTTTCAGATCCGAGATTCCAGCCTCTAGTATTGCGATAAGACCGACCCTCCGATGTAGATATTGTGGCCTTTTATCTGATTCATCGCCATCTTGGAATGTCGAGATATCTCACTGCGAGTCCCGAGGCAAAGGCGGAGGTCGAGCCTCGGCGCCTGTCAAACGTCGAAACGACGAAAAAAGAAAGTAGGGCAAGGGCCGGTGGGGGCATGTGACTAGATGCCTCAGGCACAATTCCCGTTTCGGATCTAAATCTCAGAAACCAATCGATTCAAGTGACCGGGGGACACGATCGCGTGCAATTTCTAGATTATTCCGGTCAGCCAAGCACATGCAATTTATGCGTTTTCATCTGGAGATCCATTCAAGTGTCTACAGTACTAGTACGTTGGAATCCGACTACTAGTGCTAGTACTGCATGCTAGTACACCGTACAATGTAGCACCTGCAATCCGGTTTCAAGATAGATCGCCAGATGAATCTGAGTGTCTGGTTCTCCCAACTGGTGACACTGCAGTTGGGAATGATCAGTCTAGATCGTCGATTTTCAACAGCGGGGTTGACTGGAATTGGACATAACTGGGTCTTCTGCAGTCCCAGGGTAGACCCCGTAAAGCAAATTAAAGACAAGTCTAGCCGAGCGGCGTACGGAGTACACAGCGCGATTTATTCCCGATGCAGCTCCAGCACTCCCTCAGGATTTGATTTGCCATTCCTGCAAGGGGCCATCACAGGTCGAGCAAGCTAGCGTAAGAACAAGAGCATGCCCCATACAGTGTTTGAGGGGGTACGGAGTACGGAGTAGAGACATGGGGATAGCACCCTGTAATGGGCTGACTCGCGTCGCGTCATTTTATTGACTGCTCGCTGTGACATGCCCTGCAGCCTTCTAAGGCTTAAGGCTGGCTGCGCCCCAGACCTGAAATCCCTCGGACTGTCAGCGAGACTACGTAACCTCATTTCCAATGACGCCTCTTCGTGAGTGGCTTTGTTGCCTGTGACAATCACTGCTGGAATGGAAGTGCAGAACACACGCGCCATGGTATTTGCTGGATGGACATGATTTGCCGTTGATTGCCTAAATGGGTCAAGGGCGTCTGCTGGAACACCACCCGAGGGCTTGACGTCGACGATCGGGAAACTTGCAAACCTTACTGGGCTAGCCTTGGTATACGAATATTGCGACGCGATTGCCAAGATCACTGCCACTCGGCTGCGAGTGAGTTTCCGCTATGTGGGCATCATACCATGTCTGAATTTTGGGAGTCGTACTGTATACTGTAGATACTGTAGACTACTACAGAGAATCCCGTGCTCGGATCAGGAGATCTGATATCATTGGGAAGATGAAGTCATACTAATATTGGATTATGTACGGTAGTATAGTAGAGTTTAGGGTTAAAGGCAGAGTTCATCTCATTGAAACCCCATAATTACCGAACCATTCTAACTAGTCTCGCCTACTGGGAACCGAAATATCGGACATGATTCATGGGAAACAAGAAATCCTCGTTTCTCGAAGCTGCCCCGGTGTCCACAGGGTGGGTCCTCCGTAGACTACTTTTCCCCCTTGGCGGTTGTTCTAACGTTCATGCTTCCTGTCCGAGGGCTCCCCGACCGGCGCGGAGGGGACGGGGATTAGTGACGCCAGCGCGGTCCCGAGGCGTGACCGCGAGCTAGAATGTTTGAACATCCCAAGGTTTCCCAACCCCTGCACCCAAATGACAGACGGGCATTGTGGCAGTGCATGCAATGCTAGGCGCCAAGTGGAGTACGCTAGCAAATCAGTGGGGACACGTCCAACGACTCAGCATTGTCCGCGTTTTTTGCTGTGGAGGCAAAAGAATGTTCTGACTGTAGCGCCCGATGCCTCCGACAGATCTTGGTATTGGTATTGACAGAGTGCAGATGGAGAAAAGGGGTGTTACGATCCACCGCGTGTGCGGGAAATATTAAGCCTAAATGCCAAGCCCTCCAAGCCCCGGTGTATCTTGTCACTGGCTGTAACTCGACTCAAAGCCCTGCCAATCTATACCTTATTCTTACAGGTACCCCTCTCGTCTCTTTGCAACCATTTCGTAGCCTTTGTGGCTTCTGGGAGCCCCGAGCCGTTCTGGTGAAATGGGGCAGGACCGTCGCATGCCAATGAGAAACAATGTGATTATGCGAGATTCCCCAGATTGAGACGAGCCGCGAGCCAAACCTTCCCAGATTGGAATGACTGCTCCCTAGGTATAGAGCACACGATGCCCTGGGTCGCATTTGGGAGACTCAGATACGAGCTCCACCAAAACCAGAGCACGGTACACAGAGCATGAAGCGTATCGATGGGGCTAGGCCATGTGGTTTGCCCCTTTCGCCTTACCGGGCTCTCCATGTCTTTCATTTGGAGCCTCTACCGTAAAGCGCCGGTCCGTCCAGATAGATGTCGGGCGCTCACCTTGGCTGATGCCAGTACAGTACTAAGTACTATAGTACATAGTACACACTGTGTGAGTGTACTGTGCTTAGCAACTCAGATATGCGGTAGTTGAGAGAGTATAAGTGTATAGTTATAGTACTCGTAGTATAGTCCACGGGTGTCTACCAGTACAACTGAGTATTGATGTACTGTCACGGTACCATACCATACATACATATACCAGTCCGAGACCCTCTTCTGTTTCATTCTTTTTTCCTATTTTCCCTTTTCTTTTTGCCTCTTTGCCTCTGATTAGTTGGACCTCTCCATCGCTTTCTCTTCTCTCTCCCTTGGGCGAGGATGAGATCACCCAAATTGCCCCCCTCTCGCTCTGAATTGGTTGGATCCAATCGCTTGCACCGCCTGGATTTCTTGCCGCTTTTCACTTCTTTCTTTCAGCTCTTCTGTAGCTGAGCTTCAATTCTATTTCCCCGGGGTGGAGTCTCTTTATTGGCTTTTCGTGATCGCACTGATTTCATACATCTCCCGTCTTCCCATCCCCCCCAGCTGCAACGATGTGCGCGCGCGTCTGAACCGAAGTGGCCAAGTTCCATGGGACACAGAACCCGACTCTCCGTGTGTGACTCTTGCGGGCATCGTTTCATCTTATGAGGCGAATCGCCGACGGGTCCCGAGGTAGGTGGCCTCAGCCCTATTACAGCCCCCCCGGGTTTATTACCTCCATGTTCGCCATCTGACTTGTGCAGACTTACACTGCATCGCGGCTTGTCGCACATGAAGTATAGAGCTGTTCTGAGAACTCTCCATCGCGAAGCTGGATAACGGCCCGCTTAACAATAGCTGGTTTCACGGCCGACGTTTGCACCCAACTGGATTGGGTTATTGCTGCAACCAAATCCTGATTTTGACCTGCTTATCTTTTTTCCCTCGCGCAAGTTTGTGGTCGCGCTGTTCGAAGGCTCCCCGTCGACTCTAGCCGGGGTTTCATGTGGACCATCTTTCCGTCCGGGTTCTAGTTCTAGAATGAAACATCGGGTTCCCTCGAGCCTTCAAGATTGCAGAAACAGACGCCGTTTCTCCGGAAGGTCTACTCACGCTATGCCCGAGCTGTCATTCTCATCGCACGGCCCGTTACCTATAGCTTCCAGAGGTATCATGAACACTGCACCACCGCCACTTCCGCCCCCTGCTAGAATCCACGATCTGGAGATCGGATACGATGCAGGCTGGCAGCACGCGAATTCGCAATCTTCGACTTCGCTCCCACCCATCAACCCGGGCTCAAGCCTGCTGGGAGGCCACCGACGGCCCGAAGCAGCTTCCCAGGGTGATCCAATGCAGATTGATGAAACCGAGGGGCGTCCAAGCGGCGCACCCGTGTCGCGAAGCCCCGAAACACAGATCACCATTGATCCCCCACCGCCTGTCACCGACGGATTTCCAAATTCGATCCCCAATCCCGCGGGCTCAATGTATGCGCCCATCGCGCGAACGCTGCAGAAAATTGGAGCATTGCGCCCCCTGCCTGGTATTGATATTTGATTGCTAACTGCGTGATAGTTTGAGTGGCGAGCGCGACTTCTCATTACGAAGCGTCAAGGACTCATCAAATGCTTATGATCAACATCTACTGTCAAAAATCGGCAAGCCTCAGATCGCGAAACCGATCTCTCCGAGAGGATCCATCAGTTTTGGGGCTGAAAATCGGAACTCACTATCTGCTCTCGCAGTTCCAACACGAAGCCCGGGGACTTTACCATCACCAGGGCCATCCGAGGGGCCAAATCTCGATGTGAAATGGTACAACAGCCCCCAGTCGGGCACTGTTTCACCCAGAACCAGAGTTGGATGGAGGGACTATGGCGAAGGTCGGAGCCCAAGCGTGGAGAGCAACGCACCCTCATCAGCACTCGATTACGACCAAGGATCTTTGCGGGACATCAGCCGACGTCGGTGTCGTGGAGCAACTCCCTCGCGAGAGGACAGCATCAGTTTGCCCAGTCGATCAAATCGCGGAAGCTATGATCATGGAGTGTTCTCGGATATTGAGGGCGAGTTCTCGGCGGATGAGCCGGCGCCACCGCGGCAGTTCATCCTTCGAGAACCCACTCCGCCATATCAGGAAACAAGACATGGTATGAAGAGACGGGCATCCTCACCACCACGCGAGCCAATCAGCGAGGATAAACATGCTCTGCATGTGGCCACGAGCAACGGGGATCTATCGCAGAGAAGACTGAGCGGCCACTCATTCACGAACAACCTGTCCGTCAACCCGAATTACCCGACAAGCCAACGGACACTATCTGCAGCCTCGTCTCTGAGCATTCGAACATCAGGATCTTATTCATCAACACTGTCTATTGGTGGGAGTAGCATGACGAGTCTCTCTCCGTACGACCGGCCATCTCCGGGTGGCTTTTCTCCGAGCTCCGATCTTGATACATTCCACGAAAAGTCCATCCTGAATCCCAGCTCCCCTGGAGCGCTGGTACAGCCCGCCCTTCCCAGAGGGCTACCTGGTCCTGCGTCTTTAGAGCCACCAGCAACAGATGCCACGGGAAAACTCACGGTACCAACAACCATCGTGAGCATACCAAAGCCCGCTACGTCCAAAATCGGTGGATTGTTCATTTGCGATTGTTGTCCCAAGAAACCTAAGAAGTTTGACAACTCCGAAGATCTACGGTTAGTTCAAATACCACCTTTTGAAGATTCGCCCGAACTAACTTAAAGACAGTTCGCACGAAATGGAAAAACAATACGCATGCGCTTACTGCAACAACCGCTTCAAAAACAAAAACGAGGCCGAGCGACACCAGAACTCTCTTCATCTCCGACGCCATTCCTGGTCTTGTGCCGCGCTGGTGAATTTCCAATCCGCATTTCACGCGTCTGGCGCACCGAATTGCCAATCTAGTGCCGGATCATCGCACGACACCTGCGGCTATTGCGGCGAGGAATTCCCCAACTTCCCACAGCCAGATTGGGATCGCCGGTTCGATCACTTGACAACGGTCCACAAATTCGGCGAGTGCAACAACGCTAAGAAATTCTTCCGCGCCGATCACTTCCGCCAGCACCTTAAGCACAGCCATGCTGGTACCAGTGGGAAGTGGACCAATATCCTGGAGAATGCCTGTATGAAGGAAGAGCAACCCCCAGAGCCTCTGGATCGAAGTGGCAATGGTTCCAAGAGTCTGACGTCAAATGCTATCTCTGAAGTTCTCAGTGAGCAATAACATTCAACTCACGGGGCTTCGCTTGAGCCTCTGGTGCATCATGGCTGTACTCAACAACCGGCTTTATGTTGCTGATTGTGGTCTGGTAAATTCATTTATCCATCTCATCCTCCACTCAACTCTCACTCTCATCTCATTGTCCATCACCACGAAACAACCTCAACAACTACATCTTCGGCATCAGTCACCAAAAAAAAAGCGAAACCCAACACCTGTTCGACAACTCGAAGTTGATCAACATACATCCAAAAGCCGAAGGCAAACCCGGAATCATGATATCCACGAACATTTTGAAATTAAGTTCTCTCCCAATGGAAGAGGAGAGAACGGGAGTCCACGTCGGGTTAAGGGGGTCTTTGTATTGAATCTTGAACACCTCTGTGTATACCCCGGTTGCATTGCAATGACATGGAAAGGTTTTGTCGATTCTCATTGTCATTTTTTACATGGAGTCAAGTCGGTTTCATCACCTTCCAGGTTCGACTCGGAGGGACTGGATATCTGCGCCTCTATTTTTGTTCTGCCTCTTGTTTTACATATATTCCCTGCCTTGTTTTATACCTATGGGTGGATCTGGGGCGAATGGAGGGCGTTGCATATAGATTTTACATGGTAGTTTAGTGGAGAAATTCGTTAACCCCTGAATCATATCCTGTATCAATCATACTAGGTAGCAGCAGCCTATTATCGATTGACCACTCAAGAACTCTGGATATTAAAAAAGTCAATGAAAGAAAGACAGAAACTTCTTTATTAATGCAGTACAAAGTGGTTTGTTTCAACCAGGTGTTGGAAGCATCTTAAATAACAAACAAACCACAACCAAAGTGCCCAAATCTACTCGGTAACACTGTCCTTAATACTCCTCAGAGCACTCATTTTATGAGCCGGATCAATAGCAGCAGCATTCTGTGCTCTTCTGCGCGCATCAGTCCAGAGCATGAACTCACCATACCCCTTAGGCATAACCTGGACATCCTTCTCAACAAGGAAAGTATAGTTGAACATTCCAGTAGACTTCTTAGTCCCATGCTCAACATCACGAACCTTAGAATCAACGCGAACCTGCACCTTCGTGTACTTAGTGCTATCGCCCTCGCGCTCCTCAGGCTCCGTATACGAAACCGTCGCACGCAGGTAAAGCACGCTGCCGACGGGAACCGGGTTCTCAAAAGTACTAGGGTCCAGAGCGACGAAGTTCGGTCGAGCATGTGCAAAGGAGGCGGCGCAGCAGAATGCCAGCTCGAAAGTCTGTTTGAGCAGGAAACCACCGAAGATCATGAAGTTGTGGCGGTTGCGATCTTGGGGCTGCATGATCATGGCGGATTTGAGGACGGTGTCACTCATGAACACTTGGTTTTTGGGACGGGTGGTGGCGATTTGGGGGTCTGAGTTTGAACGGTTGGTTTGGGGATTCGTTTGGGTGTGGCCTGGACTTACTGAGGTAGGACATTTCTTTTGTCCACATTGAGTGGATCAGATTACTCTCCTCGTCATCGGGTGCTTTTTGCAGGAGACTGCGGGTGCGAAGGGCTTTCTTGGCCTTGGAGTTTTCTTCTCCCTTCAGATAGAGGCGCTTCTCTTCTTCCGACTCCACGATCAGAGGAGGTACTGGGACGGGTCTGGTGGGATTGTTAGATCATATAGTTGATCATTCGGCAAGACACGACTCACAGTTTTGTGATGGGGTCTAGCGAGACCATCGTGAAAGCACAGGTGATCAGGACATCTTCAGGCTTGGCTTCGACGCCTTCTGGGCGTGCCTTGGTGACCTGGAGAGAAATCTCCATACTTGATCGACCGGTGGCATATGTGCATTGGCCGCTCAACTCCAGGTCACAGATTTCCATGAGTGGATTCTCAATGGTGATTCGGTCACAAGCTGCAGTGACGGTTGAGACACCATCACCGGTATGGCGAGCGGCCACCACGCCGGAAAAGGCGTCCAGGTCCATCAGCAATGACCCTAATCTGGTTTGACATGTCAGTGACGTGTTTCCCAGTCGATGATAGGAGAATTACCTGATGTGTCCATCCGCGTTGAGGTAAGAATCTAGAAGCCATTTATCCTGGGCCAGAGGAAGGACCTGCAAGGGAGTCAGACATGAAACAATACACTTTCTGCTTTTCCTTTTTCTTGAAGAGCAGAAGATGTCCATACCGCACTGTAGAAGCTGTCTGACATCCTCTTCGGCGTGAGATCACGCTTGATGGTCTGTTGGCCACTTTGCCGAGGATCAATCTTCTCTGCCTCGCGTCTCTGGCTCAAGGCATCAATCCATGGCGTTTTGACCCGCATGGGCATCCATGTAGCTCTGGATGCCGCCTGGTTCGGGGTGGAATGGAAGTCCTGTACATTGATACAAGACCGCTGGGCTGCAATTGCAGTTCGTGCCGGCAATGCGGAACTTAATGAGCGCTGACGCGCTGACCTGAGAGCGAGCATTGTGTCAAGAGTACTTGAAAGGGAATCTAAGAAATTCCGACTTTAAAGATGACGCTGTCCCGAGGGTTTCCCGATGTGGTTGGTCGGCGGGGATTCTCGGCTGCCGACGAAAATTACTGCCGAGATGTGTCACCGCTCCCGATGTCTCCTTTACTTCGCTCGCAATGGCGATAGAAGACTCTTAAACGCTTGGAGTTGAAAGTTCGGAAGTAGAGAGTTGACCTGAGCTCATGCCAAGCTATCATGTCTGCACTCCGCAGCCGAAAATCCCATGTTGGGCGTCAAGTCACCATGAACCGATGTCTCGGGATATCTCGATAGTCTGGAGACTCTCGTCTTGGGGGAGTAAATAGTATTTCAAAAGAATATCTTTCTGTCGAAAACCTAGGCAGCGTAGCATAGAGCTGCCTAGGTATTTCCGAAGCTCTTAGGTCGCATACTGTGAACGACCTCGGGAGCCTCCAGGCTGTAGATTGGCATTGATCGAATACAACATTGCCACCAATTTCCAATATTGTTTTCTGGAATGCACCTGGATACAAGAACTTGGTAATCATTCCAAGTTCAAACCTGCATTTGAGCTCCAGAGAGCCAGTTTCATGGTTAGACGGTTATCCATGGATAGAGAGAAGTGACTAGGGTATGCACCAAGGCGCTAGCCTTGCTTAACACGAATAACCACGCAGATCATCTACCAAATGCATCGTCACCTTGGAAGCTTCGGACCGAAGTCAGGCCATCCGAGGGCGACAGATCTCTCGTCCGAGAGCGGCTGCCCAGGTGGTCAAAATGAAGTCATCGATAAGATACCGAAGTATATAAGTGACGAAGACATCGAGTTGAGAGCAGACATATCTCAATTGTCCAACATGAGTGACCCTACCAACCCTCATATCAAAGAGCGAACTACGCCCCAATGGGGCCTGTATCAGCGCGAGAACTTTTGGAAACAGAATGAAGGGAAGACCCCTTTGTTCAACACAGGTAGTCTCTCCAATCCATACATCATCTCCCAATCTAACATCAGACAGACCCACGCAAGATGGAAGAGAGAGCCAAAGAGAAGCTCAGCGAAGGTGGATGGTACGTATACATCCTCCAACTCCAAGCACACGCCTAATCCAAGCATCCAGGTACTATGCCTCCTCGAATGCCGGCATGTCCAACACCCATCTCGTGAACCGACAAGCATTCTACCGACACCGTCTGATTCCCAATCAACTAATCGACACCAACAACCGAGACACCACAACAACCATCTTCGGACACAAGGTCTCAGCCCCAATCGGCTTTGCCCCAATCGGTATCAACAAGATCTACCACCCATCCGGCGAAGCCGCCGTCTCCAAAGTCGCCGGCGAGCTCAATCTCCCCTACTGCCTCTCCACAGCAGGCAGCACCTCGATCGAGAAAGTCGCCGAAGCCAATGGTTCCGGCCCACGCTTCTTCCAACTCTACATGCCCCACGACGACGAGCTGACCATCTCGCTACTAACGCGAGCATGGCAAAGCGGGTTCGACGCCCTGATCCTCACAACAGATACATGGCAACTTGGGTGGCGACACGACGACGTAGCCTCGTCGAACTATGCCTTCTACCGCGGATTCGGGGCGGACCTCGGTCTGACGGATCCTGTGTTCCGGGAACGGTGTCGGGCTGAGGGCCTTGATCCTGACGTTGATGTTGTGCCTGCTAGTGCGAAGTGGATTGATTCCGTTTGGCATGGGCGGGCGTGGTCGTGGGAGAAGATCCCGTGGTTGATGGAGACTTGGAGGGCGATTAGTGGGGGGAGGCCATTTGCGATTAAGGGGATTCAGTCGGTGAGGGATGCGAGGAAGTGTGTTGAGCTTGGGGTGGATGGGATTGTTGTGAGTAATCATGCCGGACGGCAGGTTGATGGGGCTGTTGCGAGTTTGGATGCATTGGAGAGGATTGCGGAGGATGTTGGTGACAGGATCTTTGTGATGTTTGATTCTGGGGTGAGGGGGGCGAGTGATGTTGTGAAGGCGTTGGCGCTGGGTGCGAAGTTTGTGTTTATTGGCAGGCTTTGGATCTGGGGACTGAGTATTCATGGTGAGGATGGTGTTCGACATGTTATGAAGTCGTTGCTGGCGGACTTGGATATTCTGATGGGTGTTGCTGGGTTTAATGGGGTTGGGGACTTTGATAAAACTATTCTCGGTGAGTCTTCCAAGGTTATACTTGATACTTCTGAACTCGTTGCTGATCTGAGATGCAGAGTCGGACCCGAAGAACTACTCGCTCATTCCGCAGAAGACACTGTAGATACACGCATTGGGAAACAAGATAGTCAATGGTCTTCTATTGATATGGAGTATAGATCTGTTGATTGCCAATGTGGCACTGACAAAACAATCCAAGTGTTTGTCTATGTTGAAAGTGTATTGAAGTTTGCAGTTGAGCCAAGCTAGATTGTGTATGTTTCTCAGCATGTAACGAGGGATATGTGCAGCGGAACGAAAGCAAGACGGTTCAAGTGCCGCCAACATATGCTGCAGTGGGTGATCTGCACCCGGTGTATAGACAGAAATGAAGAGATGTGCATGAACGATCGATGTGCACGGATATGAAGCATTAATACATGGAGCAAGATATGATTGCCAGTCAAAGTCGCTAAGAAATGAAGAAAAGCGCTAAAGGACACTTCAAATAATCAAGGCGCAGAGGGCGACCGGAAGCATAGACCAGCTGATGCTGCGGATGTGGGAAGCCGAACTGACAGCCATAGTGGGCACGGTGGAGGGTGCGGTGGTGCCGGTGGCATCGGATGTAGCAGTGCCAGTGACTGGGGGTGCAGTGAAGGTGCCATTTCCTGTGGCCGTGGTGGTGGAGGAGTTCGAGGATTGAGAAGCGGAGGCGAGCTGACCGAATCCAATTTTGTTGTTGTCGAAATCGAACACGGTGTACACGTTTTTCAAGAAGACATCGCCCACAAGCCAGTTGGCGCCGTTGGATGCATAGCCGACAATGGTCGAGATGCAGTAGTCTGAGCCCTCTGAAACGGCGCTGCCGACGTAGTCTTTGGCGGAAATCGAATACTTGACGCCTGAAAATTCGAATTGGATGGTTGCGGTGGAGTTACAGGGAATAATGTAGTTGTTGGGATTGCCCGACTGTTGCGAGGCGTGAGGGACAAGATCAAAGAGAGTCGCGGCGTCCGATGGGGGAATCAGGAGGTACGTCGTGCCGGTGTCGATGGTGGCGGACTTTCCCGTAAAGTTGCAGCTCTTGCCATTGACATAGGCATCGTCGACGGGGATACTCCAGATGTCGGCATCCGTGCTGGTGTAGGAGATCGTTCCGTCGTATTTGGTGGTGTCCACGCCCCCAAAGTTGACCTCTCCGTCCTTTGCATCGTCTGCCGCTCGCGAGAGACTGAATCCGACCAGATTCGACTTGAGAAGCTTCTTCTTTGCAACCATATCCATGAACGAGGGAAGACTCCATCCATTCGTGTGTGATCGACCGAGGCCTAGGATTCCGTCGAAAGGATAGCTCTCAAATGTCTTGGAGGCGTAATTGGCCTGACCAAACTCCTGTTCCACTTCGAGACCTGCGAGCGAGAGAACATCCGTGCCCAATTTTCCGGTTACATTCCCACTTCCATAGCCGAGACTGAACGTCGAGTCCTCGGTGGAATAACTGGTTGATTTGGAGCGATCGAACGTGTGGTGTCGGGTACACACTTCCTCTGTGCATTCGGAGTCAAAGACCCAGGTGTTGGGAGCGCCGGTATCCAGTGCCATCCACATCTCGGTCTTCTCGGAGCCCACTAGCACGGAGCAAAAATACGAGTAGTCCGTGCCATCCTGGTCCAGCGGTGCACTGTTCTTCAATTTCGGTGTGTAGGCTTCGACAATCTTGTAAGTATGATCGCGGCGCACCGGGACCTTCTTCAGGTTGAGGGTCGGAATGTTGTCGTCATCGGTCTTGGCCTCGATCAAACTCCAGGGCATAAAGCGACGCTCGAGGGTGTCCGTGTCACGCAATTCCACCCGTAATTCCCACGGGTAGAAGGCCTGTACGCCTGTAATGGCACTGACGATCAGCCATGAGAGATGCATCGTCCCGGCGGGGTTTAGTTGCGAATGGTATGATCCTGCATTGAACCGAGGAGAGGAATTGGCGGATTTGCTGCCGTTCCTTATGAATTCTGCTGTGCGTGGTCCCTACTCTGTATAGTAGTACAGAACAAAATGTAGCGAGTGAATTAAAATGCAATATAAAAAAAGAAGCGAAGACGTGAGGGGGGAAAGTGGCGGAAGTGAAGAAAATCCCCCTGACAAGTGAACGAAGTACTACCACCCCAGGGCTAAACCACTTCGGGGAGCTTGACTCTCCACTAGCAGAGGAACTATTCTCCACTTGACCCTCGTTCGAGTCCAGATCGACCTGTTCGTCGGGACTAGTTGCCCACTAGCCGCTCTGGTATCCTTGATTTGGGCTTCTATTTTAGTTCTGCCAATTGCAAATTGCGAGTATCAGTACGGAGTACTAACATATGTGTATGCTTCAATTCATTTTCTGAAACATCTGGATCGACTGCAAATCTATCTTGGGGGCAAATTTGGGAAAAGGAGAGATTTTCCATGTCTCCGTAGTATCGGCGAAACCTAGAAATCCCCTGTCCACACCGGAGCTGAAAACGTTAATACCACTCGACTAGGATGAACTACATACTTACTCCGTACAGTAATACTGTATGTACACAGGATGTGCAACTGTGGTGGAAATGCGACCGAGCATGACGGTCTAGACTAACTCCACTTGAGTCGAGACTGGATCTGCAGTTCGATCTGTCACAACTGCACATATGTACACTGCTTCTGAGCAGTCCGATCATAATGGTCCAGGAAGTACATAAACCCATCGTTTACCAGGCCTTGCATCGGCTCAAGCTCCCAATTCCCACTCCGCATGGACTGCGAACAAATTGTCTCGTTCCGCGGCATTGGCTTTGGAGCCGTTGACAAAAGTACAGCGCAGCTACAGCCCTGATCTACGAATCAATTATCTTCTCCAGGGCCCTATTCCGCCCTTTGACAGATGAAACTTGCCAAGATGCCACTATAGAAGATCCGCATATGTACGGAGTACGCCGTACACTGATCCAGATCACACTATCAGACATGTCTAGTGCCAGGTGGGCCTACTCCCAGGCATAGCAATGACTTGGGCCGTTGCAGTCAGCCTTGCACGAACTCTCCTCGGTGCCCAGATGATCAAATTGGTTCGAAAAATGGTACTCTTCACCAAGCCTTCCCAATCATTGACCCCAAGTTGCCAATGAGCCCGCGAACTGGCATCGCTGAGCATAATCCCGCCCGAATACTCCGTGCCTATCTCGGATACGAACCTAGGTGATCTTGAGCCATACGTTGATAGTGGGATAGAGTGAGAGCTCTTAGGAGACCAGTCTTGAAATGGTGATGTTCACATCACGATTCTCCGAAACGTGAGCAGCCGCTCGTCAGGTACTGTAGCCAAATTGGAGAACTCTCGGTCCGCGACCAAATCGTCAGTTTTGAGCGTGCCGACAGGGAGTCCTTTGCGGGTGAGCCCAACGTCTGCATGATCCCATACTCGTTGCGATATGTCCTTCGATGACATCTTGATTTTCCTGAAACGGTCGCCGGGCGACGTTCCAAGACTGTCGGTCGGTATTCTCTCTTTTGGAGCCATCTGAGCGTTTGAACCTCCGAAGAAAGCGAGAGACCTTCGAACTGTAAGGTGAAGGAGTAAAGAAGAAATCGATGTTACATTGTGTGAACTTTTTGTGCAGTGCTTTCAAACCTCGAGCTACCCCGTACATTTGACAGGGACTGTCAGCCTCTGCGATTGTGATCGGTCATCAGCGAAGATTGGAGCGTCATACTCGTGGCGCGTAAGCCGCCTTCCACGACACTGTCCAGCTCAATCGAAAATTCTGTGAAGTCCACATTTCGGCCCTCTTCGTAGTTTGTTTCTCTGGGACTCGTCGCTCTCCCTTGATGGCGCGGAAGTATTTCTTGGGTGCTCGCGTCTACAAGAGCCCACTTAATGATCCCGCGGGTGTCTCAAGGTCTTTGTTGCACATCACAATGCGGGAAGCCAGCAATGGGTAGTCTGACACGTCCCTCGGGTTAACGAACTTCTGGAGTTTCGGCATTGATTCGCTGTTGTGATGTGTGATTGGGGTCGAGTGAAAGGTCTAGCCCATTCACGATCCTGGAAGTTCGAATGTTATCATTCTCTTGCTCGGACCTGTTATTCCAGACGCTGGAGGAGAGGGCTTCATGTTGGAGCTTGTGCGCTTTTGCTAGCCAGTGGCAGATTTGACTCGCAGGCCTCTACCCCAGACGCTCCCTGCACAGAGGTTTCACCTGAGTCGCCTTCACTCGGCCCTTTACCTGCATCCGTTTCGTTTTCACCTCTTTTGGAAATTTGAAGTCTCCCGGTCACTTGTCAGGCTCGCTTGTTGGTTGAGATTTCATCTTCAGTTCAAGAATGGAGCACTCACGCAGAGATGGGATATTCAACAAGGCGTCATTGGCCAATGCCCGAATCATTCCCTCTTATCTGCTAAGAACCGCATCACTTCTCTGTTGAGCTTGCCTCACTTCTTCAGCTGTATCATATTAGTCACTGCCCAGGTGAAAGTGAGCGAGATGAGGCTGGGTTGCTGGCTGCTGCCGTTGTTAGGGAAATCAAGCCTTTGCTTGCGAACACGGAGAGCAAGGATCCTCCAGGGCTTTCTTGGTAGAAGTGAGAAACTTACCCTGGCTGAGATTCATTCGGGTCTCAGTCATGTTGGGAGTCATTGCAGCCCCTGACATAGATCTTCATCTGAACATCCTGCACGAACTTGGTTTGACCTTTTTCTCCATCCCGACAAAGCATTCCTCGATTTCCCGACATTGTCATGCCAGGACAATAGGTGGATAACTTCACCCTGACAACAACCTGATCAGAGATGAGCGCCTCGAGGCCATCTCGGGGCTATTCTTCGCACTTGCCAATATCTCGAGACCTATCTCGGTATGACAGGAGCGACGTGGAATTCCATCCGTACATATGTACGCCAGCCACAGTTCCCACAGGAACCCAACCGTCAGGCTCCCAAAAAAACCCCCATGTCAGCCGTCATTCTGAGAAGACTTTCAACAAGCAAGCCCGGCTACTGGACCCTACGGCGGAAGAGATGTTCACGTTCGAAATCCTGCAGAGCGAATTCCGACGGCCCCACAGAAGCTCGACGGGCCATAATCTGGACAATGACACCGCGTTATTTTCAATTTTCCTGCCCATCATCACACGTGCTGTGATGCACCGTCTTGTCAAGCAGTGGGAGATGTTACGGGGGCCTCCCTTCAGTGCAAGACATAGATCTTGGGATGGCTGACACATACGACACCTTACACCACCTTACACGAGCTTTTCGTTGACATTGACGCATCTAAGACTCCGGGTCTCGGAGCAATCGTCTGCTCTGCCATACGGATGGCAATTTGAGGATGTCCCCGTGCCACCAGAGTCCTCCAGGGCTCTCTGCTACGACCGATCTGCTTCTTCTTCTACCTGCTTTCACTTTCAAACCCTTCTTTCAAGGTTGTGGCCCGTTACAAGCTAGTGATATGTTTACCCGGCTATAATTTATGATGATCTGGCTTTCTTCCATAAACTACTCTAGAGACCCTAGAAACAAGCTAGCTCATACCCCCGAGGTCGAAGCTCGACAGAGTAATGCGAGACCCGACTGCAACAATGCGACTTGTGCTACCTGTATGTATGTATGTATGTACATAGGTCGGAGTATGTATACGGAGTAGGTATCATTGGGTTATCGCAAGAATCAGCAAATAGACATTCCAGGTCCCAACAGCTGGGGGGAAATGCTCAGCCACAATGACAGCATTCCAACGCCTTCATACGATGCCTCATTTCGATCAGAGCACATAACTAATACATAATGTACGGAGTACGGAGTAGACCCGGCCGTGTCCCTTACAGAACCACGATGATCAGCCATCAGCCACAGCTCTATGGGCCTAGTGGCAAAAGTAGTTCTGAACAATAAAAGCCACAATGACGCATAACCTACAAGGTCCCAGCAAGAAAAACGATTGATAAATGAATCAGATAATGACCCCAGACATCCCCGAAACAGCCCGAACGGCCCCCGATCTCCCCCTTCCGAGCTCCGTAGTGTCAAATGTCGGAACAGGTGCAAAAGAGATTAACCCGGGGAAGCGAGACTCGTCATGTCCGTTTATTTAGGGTATAGCTCGGCGTTTTTGCGGACTATATGCCGAATGTGTTTTGCCGACAACATCCATGGCCCATGGGTGTTAATGCGAACTACATAGTAGGAATGAAAGCGCTTCCAAGGGGATTTTAACAGACTCAATGCTAAGGGTACATTGAATTGGATCTTTTTTTTTGCCAATATTTGAATCTCTTGGAAAAGACCTATGACTCATTGCAATTTGTATGTACGCGAAACCGCGATTTTCGCCGTGCCGAGGCACTAGATTGCCGCCTTCATGATCTACGAGCAGATCTCCGTAGTCCCCGGGTTAGCCTCCGACGCAGACAAATGCTCCGAGGTCACCAGATCAAGGTGAAACGGTGCCGTTATGCATTTGTTATTGGGACCTGCATGTGAACTCACAGGTCTTGCATGGATGATTTCATATGATCCGACTGTTTATTTCAGACCTCGGGAGGCCGAAATGCTTGGTTTAATTCGGACATTGTACAAACTTATGCCAAGTGGTAGAATGTAGAAGATCAAAGGGATTGAAAGTGGTCCATTGGCAAGCATCAGCTTTGCATCGCAGTAAATAATAGAATAGAACAGCCGACAGGCTCAAGGAGGAATTATCACTCCTGGTAAAATAGTACATCAAAACGCTAGGAAAACAAACAAAATTCTCATCATAAGCCCGTCAACAGGCAGGAATTACTTCCGGAGAGTCTCCTTGGGACCCATCACATCATCCAGGAAGCCAGCCCAAAGTTCTTTAAAAGCACCAGGTTGGGCACTGCCGTTCTGACTGCGCTGGATCTCCTCGCCCACGCGGGAGCGGCCCACGGCTTCAGTCAATGAGAAGGGGTCCAGGTCAACGGCATGGTTGTCGACGACCTCGCTCATCGCGCTGGCAGCGACGTCGGCGCCGTCACCGGCGACGGTGTAGATCAGTGGCTTCATGGGTGGGGTAGAGGGGGATGCATGTCCCCGGATTGAAGGAAGCTCGGGAAGGACCGGGACCTGGATGCCGCGGTGCAGAGGGGCGGCGTCGAGGTCCGCCATCGTGGGCATGTAGACGAAGTCGACAGTGGAGGAGTCATTGAGGGCCTTGGAGGAGCGGGAGGTGTTGAATTGGCGGGTTGAGGGAGAGCTGGGAGGATGTTAGATTGGGTTCTCTTGGCTGGATCTCTCCTAATGTATGAGAGTATTAAGTGTATGAGTGACTTACTCTGAGAAGGCACTGCCGTTGATTCGGCGCATGGCGATGCTCAAAGCACGGGATTGAAGGATGTCATGGGTGGACATGGTCTTCTCGGCTGTGTTGGCTGGTTGAGCAGATTGCACGCCGGTGATGTGTAGGTTGCGGCGAGCAGGAGTGGCTGCAGGCTTAGAGACGGCGCGAAGCGCGCGAAGAGATGAACGAGGAGCAGACATAGTGTGATGTGTGGTGTGTGATGTGGTGTGGGTGTGCGTGTGTAGTGTATACGGAGTAGTAGTGTATGTTGGGAATGCAGAGTAACGAAGGGCCCAGGGAGTACAGGACTTTATAGTTGAGAGTCGTTGAGCTAATGAGGCCACTTCTTGGCGGTCTGGACCCGTTATCGATAGTCCGGAGTAGTCGACGTCAACAGTCGCTCCTTTTCTCTTTTTGCTGTCTTTTCGTTCTGGAAATGGATATTTTCAAATGAAACGTCGAGATAAGCCTTTTTGCCACCAGTTAATGAGATATCCCTCTTTTATACCTGCCAGACAGGAGCTCAACAATTCCTCGTTCGGAGATCTACGGCGTAAGTACCGGGTACCCAGCCGTCGGGACTGGGAGCTACCCCGTACCCACCAGAACACGGAGTGACAAGATGTACCCGGTACATCACTTTCCCCTGTACTCCGTGCTTCGTACACCTCAGCATGAGAGCGTTGTCTTCCCCTCCTGGTGATCTTTACCCTATCTTGTCGATCCTCCAATTGAGTCTGGATTATCCACGCCATTATTGGATCTATGGATGTTTCCCGAAACGCTTACCAGTCATGTTGAGCTTTCCTACATATTCTCCTAGGGAAACTCCTGCAGCACATTGCAGAACATACTCCGTCCTATTCGACCGGTGCTCACTCCCCGAAACTCATATTACCAACCCTCCCCCTATGATTCGAAGGCGTCGATCTGCAATCCCATGACCAAGTGGATCGTATCTAGTCAATCCCCACTAAGTGGAGCGGTGAGTCCGGAGTTGCGTCCGCCTTCCGATCTGTTGATTTCCAAGGTTTCTACAGTACACAGAGTACTCGGTAGACGGAATACTATCTACAGACAATATGATACATACGTATGCATGCACTGGATACGTGTTCGTCTGTAAACCGTTGAGTGCAACCCCGCAATGAGATCAGCAGATCGACTCTGTAGTATGCCTCAATAAAGGTCTGAAGGGCAGGGCTGTGCCCATCAAGCTTGGCATTCTATTCTCCTGAATTCCTCTGCAGAATCCAGGGGTGGAGGAACTTGGAATCTGGCTTTGGGTACTTTGTACTTTGTACTTCGTACTCCGTACTCTCTATCTGAACTCGGGGCCCGGTGTGGACTAGTAATTGCCTCATGGTTAATGGAGGGGTAGCATCCATGTAAGATACCTAGTAAACATGCATCTGCATGGAGCTTAGTACTTTTATATGTATCTGCCTACTACCTTCCAAGATTCGACAGATTCACTGAAAATCTCACATGCTATGCGATCCGCCACACCCTTCCAAGGTTAGGCCCCTACCTAGGTATCTCAAGGTGCTTAGAGCTTGGAGTCCGCCCGTCCTTTGGCTATGGCCCGAGCGTATGGATGGGAGCGGGATGCGGGAACCAGGTGGTCAACATCCCCGGTGTGCACGAGGTCGGGCGACGCCTCCGCCAGGGATGTGATGCCAACATTGCGCATGGAAGTCTCCAGCTCATCTTGCATGACTGCAATCGCGTTAGCACAAGTCAAAACGGATCCACCAATCGGCTTACTATCAATCAGATGCTCGACGCCCTCTTGGCCATAATTGGTAGCAAAAAGCATACTCCGGCCCATGCCAACAGCAGTCGCCCCAAGGCAAACAGCCTTCAGCATATCAGTGCCGCGCCGAATCCCACTATCGACATAGACCTCCATATGCTCGAAGACCTCGGGACACCGGCGGTGGATCTCAAGCAGGGTGATGATGGACGGGGGACTGGTATCCAAATTACGACCGCCGTGATTACTGAGCATGATCCCATCGATGCCCGCCTTCAGGGCGAGCAAGGCATCGTCCGCGGACATCACACCTTTCAAACACACCGGCTTGTGCGTGTGCTGTTTCACCCATTTCAAATCCTCCCAGGTCAGCCCGGGGTCAATGAATCCCGCCATGACGCGGCCCAGCCCGCCACCCTTCTTGTCATTCTGAGCTTTCGACGGCGCCATCGGCACAGACAGACTCTCGTCGGCCTTGACGCGCTCATCCGCCTCGCGCTTACCGGGCGATGCAGCGTCCACGGTCACGAAGATCGCCTTGATATTCGGGTTGGCGGAACATTGGCGCAGTAATGCGGCCGACTTGGCCCGGTCTCTGTTGACATATAATTGGAAGAAGAAATCCGCCGAGGGTGCTGCGGTGCGCAGCTCCTCCATCGTGTACGATGAGTTATTCGAAATCTTACCGGTCAGCTCGAAACTCGGTGAATACGGGGAGTACTAACACCTTGCATTATTCCCTTGCTCGCACAAGCTTTGGCGATGGCGCACTCTCCGTCCGGGTGGATGAGTTTCGCCATCGCTGCCGGGCTGACGAACAGCGGAAGACTATAACTTCCACCGAGCATGTTCGTTCGTGTATCGACGGATCGGACGTTTCTCAGTACACGCGGCCGGAACCATATCCGGTCGAAGCAGGATTTATTCGCATCGCGCGTGAGTAGATCGGTAGCTGCACTAGAGTAGAATGCCCAGGTTTTGTTGGTGGCAGTCTTAGACGCCACGACTTCGAAGTCATGCGAATTGATCAGAGTGTGCAAGGGGGCCTTCTCGTTCTCGAGTACCACTTTGGGATTCTGCTCTGGCGGCTTGGCCCATTCGGCGTCTATTGTAGATTCATCCAGAACGCCTTTCAACTTCTCTGCGTCGAGGTTGTTCTTCATCACGCTTGGGGCGTGAACTTCTGAGTAGGCTTTCGTCGCATCACTGCCTGCGTATTTCAAGATAACTGCGAATGCGTTAATTCATCATACCGATCAGGCTGCTCAGATGCGTACTATTTGATCCGCCAGGGTGTTCCTCCAAAAAGTCGGTCACATCCCATACTTGGTTGTTCACTACCACCCAACAGTCCTCGGACGTTTTATGCTCTGAGATCTGCTGGGCAGATAGGACCTTCGAATCTGCCATTTTCGTATTGTGTAGTAATGCTGCACAATGGCTCGGCGGCTGGTCACAGAACTAGGTGTCCAAGACTGAAAGGCCCAAGTCGTCAGTGGTCACCGCAAGTTAAATACTCCAGGGTCCCGGGCCGCAACGCTTCGGTATTGTCCCCGGACTTACCCCGGGCTTGGCTCAAAGCTTCCACTCGACTGGGTTGGCTGCGTATACCTAGGGATGAAGTGGTTTCCTAGTGCTGGAAAATAACAAGTTTCAGACAGACTCATTGGATCATATCTGTGCCCACGGGGTTCAGGGAGCACATCCTTGAAAACAAAATATCCAAACAAGAGCCTTCATTGCTGTGACACCTCTCAAACATGAATGCAACATGAATCGGCGGCGCACCGACTGGGCAAACGGATTTCTCTCCGGGGATCGATTGATGCCAGGAACCTAAGGCAGAGACACCAGCCACGGGACTCAGCCCTAGTGTGGCTCACGAACACAAATGAATCACCGTTGGACCTTCTCAAGTTGGAATCAGTTCAACATTTCAAAAGCACGAGCGTTTGAATACTCTCATGCAGGCACTGTCAGTCCTAAACAGTGTTTCGAAGTTTTCAAGTCGATTTACGTCAACTGTGAGGACGGCAGCGATCGATAGATCCCCTCTGGGTTGGTGTCGCGTCTCAAAACATAGATAGCCACATACCACCAAGGCTGTCTATGAATACAGAATCCAAGCTGACCTTGCCAGTACTAAGTAAAAAATACAACAAAGACTGGGTGTCATCCGTGTATTCGATTTCTACACAAAGTCGCAAAGCTAGCTCACTGGGACGACAACCCCCCACATCAAACATGGCTGAATCTGAATCTAAAACCCTCCGATATGTTGATGTGCGTTCTCTCAATCTACCGCGAGGATGAAAATTTCAGCCCAGAAGCTGATCAAATTCAGATTGGAATCAACCTGAGCGACCCTATGTTCCGCGGTGAATACCACGGCAAAAAGTCCCACGAAGATGACGTGGACGACGTTATCCAGCGTGCCAAAGATGTAGGATGCACCAAGTTCATGGTCACAGGCTCCGACCTGGAAGAATCGAAACACGCTGTTGATATCGCCAGCAGATACCGTGAGTAAACCCCCAACATCCCGAAGCACTCGGTTAACAATCCGCACAGCCGGATTCTGCTACTCCACCGTCGGCGTGCATCCATGCCAGGCCAAGCTCTTCGATGAATATCCAGGCGGTCCGACAAAGATGCTCGAGGAGCTTCGCGTCCTAGCGATAGAATCCCAGCAAGCCGGGCACGCCGTCGCATTCGGCGAGATAGGACTAGACTACGACCGACTATTCCTAAGTGCCAAGGAGCCACAGCTGAAATACTTCGAAGCCCAACTCGACCTAGCCGTTGAGATTCAAATGCCACTCTTCCTTCACTCGCGTGCTGCAAGTGAGGATTTCGAGCGCCTTCTCGCGCCACGACTTGCGAAGCTTCCTAAGCGCGGTCTTGTGCACAGTTTCACCGGCACGATGGAGGAGATGAATCGGATGGTTGCGCTGGGTCTCGACGTTGGTGTCAACGGGTGTAGTATGAAGACTGAGGAGAATTTGGAAGTTGTCAAAGCTATTCCGTTGGATAGACTTCAGATTGAAACTGATGGGCCTTGGGTATGTGTTTTGCTCTTGGTTGGTATTTAATTTGGCTAATTGTTCAGTGCGAAATTCGTCCTTCTCATGCATCCGCGAAGCATTTGGATGGCGCGCCGGAGTTGCCTAAGGCTGTTAAGAAGGAGAAGTGGGCGAAGGGCTGTATGGTCAAGGGTCGAAATGAGCCCATTGCGATCGCACGTGTGGCTCATGTTATTGCTAGTGTGAAGGGTATTACCGTGGAGGAGGTTTGCGAAGCGTAAGAGACCAAGCTTGGTTCCCTGGATTTTGCTAATATTCTAATTCTATGACAGTGCTTGGAATAACTCCATCAAAATGTTCGGCTTGGGTGAACCCCAGGTTTAATAGATGTGGAGTTGTTTATTGCTAGGAGCAAACCCTGTGGTATATTTGGTCATGGTGCACAGCGCATTATCGAGGCCTGGAGATATTGACGGTCCAGAGCCCAATTCAAATTTTGCTTAAAGCGTATTAAACCCATGAATGTAAGTGCCTTGATTCTTGGATATGTTATATTACAGCCAAATTTGCATATGATTGCCTTAAACTTCATCCATCATGATGAGATCTTCGTCCCCGGTTTGTATATTCTCCAGGGGGTATGAATATGTCACATAGGCCTCTTCGCAACTTGGATCCCGGTAATCCGAGAGGAGCATGTTGTCGTCGTCACTCAAGACGGTTTGAGAGGAAGCAGCGGCCGAGAACAAAGTATCAAGGGAACTTTGGGTCGAATCACAGATATCCGTGAAGCTGGTCTCGCTGTCGTTGTCTAGCAGGTGATCTTCAGACTCACCTTGAGAGTGTGGCTCGCTCAAAATGCTTGCGGGTGTCTTTTCCTCTCCTTCAACTGAATTGACTTGGCGGTCTATGAAAGTTCCAGGTAACATGTCATCAAAACCTTGGCTCATGAGCATTGGGGGTATGTTATTCTCTGTTATATGAGTCATTCTGTTGAGATTTGTTGGAAGCAAGAATGAGCTCCGTGTTGGGATCTTTAGCTTGCTTGTGTTTTGTTGGGCGATATCCCAAAGCTTCGAATGGATTGCAGTCTTCAGATTTGTTGCTTGGGAATCGACCCCATGAGGGCGTTTGATTGGATAGTCAGAAGAGTCAGGGATAGAGTGTGTGAGCTTGGTAGGGAGGAAGATACTCTGACTTCCTTGAAGCATGATAGAAATCGCTTTGTTGATTATGGGCATAGCAACACCCCGTTGGTTGATTGCCTTGAATGGGCTCAGTATGTTACATGTAGCTGCTTAGAAGATTTGGACTTACCTCTCGGTATCCTGGTTTGAATACCACAGGGGCAATCTCTGCAAGGCTGGTAAGGGAGGCTCCTTCCAAGATAAAAATCTCTGAGTCTCTTGGTCTTTTCGATGTCATCAGTCTCTCCATCCCAATCTCAAACAGTCGTTGTAAAGCACCATGAGAAGTCGACGGCTCGACTTTTGGCGTGTGATGGATTTGAGGCTCAGTGTGGCGAGGCAATGCTTCGTGTAGCGTTTCTTCGAGCCAAACGAAGTCACAATCTGTGCTTGGGAGCCTTGGTTCCGCCATTTCTTGAAGCTCAAGCTCCAAGTTGAATGGCGAAACAGACGAACAGCCTCTCTGATTGAAGACGAATCCAGAGACCAAAGAGTGTGAGGGCCGAGGGATATCCTCTTCGTAGAAGCAATATTCTAGAGAGATGTCAACCGAAGCCAACGTCGCCGTTGGTGTCTCTCGAGGTGGGGATATTTCTGGGGGGTTGGCCATTGAAGAAGGAAGACCCCAGTGCTTCTTGCGATCTTGCACAATATGTTGTTTGCGTAGGCCAATATTAAAGTGGTACGTCCCAGGGACATCGATCTCGCCAACAGCTGTCGTGCCGAGTACAGCGGAGAATCCGAGTTCCGACCAAAGCTGGATGACAAAATCAGCATTAAAGCCCTGTGTTGTAACAGCTCATTCTGAAATCTTGCCTTTAGTCTGCAAAGCTTGTCTTTCAATCCCGCGGCCAAGATGTCGATTGCGTTCCTCAACTTCCAATCGCAGCAAAGGAAAAAACGTAGCTCCATCTCTGGGGCCCCTGTTATCCAAACATCCTTCAGATCCGGGGGATGAATCACGTCCCTCAAATGTATTGTCCTGTCTTGACACTGTAACTGGCACAGATTGGCTCTGGCGAAGAGGTGGAGCTGCAGTCGTGAATCTCGGACTCGGAGGGTAGCTTGACCCAAGTCAAGCTGAGCCATTGCAAGATGGTTTCATCGCTAGGCCATGGATTCACAGCTTGGGATTCATGATTGAGGAACAGTCAAATTCTGCGAGGCATCACGGAGCACGAACCTTAAACGGGGATCTGAGGCACATGACTTCAGCCCTACAAAAGACGTCACTTCCAGGATTGGCAATTCCTTCAGACAGAAGAGTTACAACCCAATGATGGAGACCATAGCACCACTAAATCTGCGAAGATAATCCTACCTACTTTGTTTCTCTCAGCCAACCAATGCAGTCCCGGAAAGTGTCCACGGGTTCTTTTGTTACAGCTAGTCATCCCACTTCCAAGCCCTGGAGGCTAGCACCTTGGCGCTTGCATTGGTATATCAAACCTTGCATGAATACAAGCCAGGCGACTGTGCTTCTCGCTAAAACCTGAGATAGGATAATCTATGAACAAATGATTGGGGTCATCTGTAAGTGTGACCATTCATGGTGGCAGTAGACTCTGCCTATACCTCCAGGAGCCACCTATTTATCCGATTTAAATCAAACATTCACTCACTAGGCTTAACGATGGCCTTCCATCCATTTTATTTCATTCTAAAGTGCTGTTTAATATAAGGGAAATACTAGGTATCCGCTTATCCATATCCTTTTTCCGTACATATAGTACTAACTGTGGAATATTTCAAGATACTGGGAGATCTAGTATATTTTACCACTACTTTCAAGTAGTCTGTCTAGCTAGATAACTTTGGTGGTGAACTTCACTTCTTCGTCAAGACATGCTTGTCCATGACTGACTGACTATACTATATCCTTTGGGCTTGATCCCCCACCATATTTTTGTTATTCCATCAGATGTATCTAACTAAATTCCAGTGTCCCTTAGGCAGTGAAGTGGATACCTAGTTTATATACGTTTCGCTGAGGACGGGAGGATGGTGGAATGTCCACTTGTAGACCAATGCGGAGATCCACGGGCAGCTGCAACCGTGGAACCATGGAACAGGGGAAGCCTTATCGCCTTATCGGATCAAAGCAATCTTATCGATAAGGATCACGTGTGGCCCCATCCGGGTGGCCTGAAGGTAAACGGCATTTGACAACTTCCAACTACTCACGCTCAGCGATGCCAGGGGAGGAGAAGTCAGAGGACCAGTGGCCTACTGATGGTCCAGATCAGCATGAAGCACAGTTTCCACTGTTGGCTGCAAACGATGAACCGGACTCAGCATTCCAGCCGGAGCCCGTGCCGCCGCCGATCCCCTCACGCAACGCGACAAACGCCAAACGCCACTCCTCAATCTCCCAGCCGGCACCCGATGGACAGCGCCGCACACCCCGTACCATGAACCGCGTCCGCTTTGATTTGGAAGAAGATCGTGAGAGCTTTGAGCGACATTCCATTGATCGTGCCCTGAGTCCAGATGACGACTTATGGGTCGAAGCCGAAGACTATGAGCTGGGCACCCGGGGATCGGGAACACATCACAATGGACAATCAATTCCTCTTCTCACGAACATTGAAGCACCTAGTGTGACTCTGGCCACATCGGACGACTTTTTCCCCGAAGACCACCTGGAAGATGCGCGGCCCCGGAGTGGCATGAAGATGGCGTTTATGAACATGGCCAACAGCATCATCGGGGCTGGAATCATTGGTCAGCCTTACGCGCTGCGCCAAGCCGGCATGACCATGGGAATCTTACTCTTGACGGCCTTGACAGTCACGGTGGACTGGACCATTCGGTTGATTGTGATCAACTCCAAATTGAGTGGCGCAGACTCCTTCCAAGCGACCATGCAATACTGCTTTGGAAAAAGTGGTCTGATTGCAATTTCGATTGCGCAGTGGGCATTTGCATTTGGCGGCATGGTTGCATTCTGCATCATTGTCGGTGATACGATCCCGCATGTGTTGAGCGCTTTGTTCCCATCTCTTCGGGACATGTCCTTCTTGTGGCTACTCACAGATCGTCGGGCTGTGATTGTCATCTTCGTCTTGGGGGTTTCCTATCCTCTTTCATTGTACAGAGATATTGCCAAGGTTTGATTATCTTACTCGACAAATACGCGCGAGGCTAACTCAGAGCTAGCTGGCCAAGGCATCTGCATTAGCACTAGTCAGCATGATCGTCATTGTGGTAACGGTCATCACTCAGGGTTTCCGGGTTCCACCTGAAGCACGCGGGGAGATCAAAAGTCATCTCATATTCAACGTCGGCTTTTTCCAGGCTGTGGGTGTTATCTCATTCGGTAAGATTGGCCGCCGTTCTTGACGACAACCAGAATATTACTAACGTGCTGCAGCTTTTGTTTGCCGTAGGTCAATGTCCGTGGGGTGCCATTTACGTCACTAACTTCCACAGATCACAACAGTCTTCTCATCTATGGCTCCCTCAAAAGGCCCACCCTTGATCGCTTTACCCGAGTCACCCATTACTCGACAGGAGTATCTTTAGTCATGTGTCTTGCTATGGGCATTGCAGGCTTCTTATCCTTCGGGTCGAAGACTCAGGGCAACGTACTGAATAACTTCCCATCCAACAATATTGTCGTCAACATAGCCCGGTTGTACGAGCTTCCCCCCTGCCCGTGAAATAGGGCTTCTTGCTAACTGTGACTAGCTGTTTTGGCCTCAACATGCTCACCACACTCCCGCTCGAGGCATTCGTTTGTCGCTCTGTCATGACCACTTATTACTTCCCCGATGAACCCTACAACCCTGTCCGGCACATCCTCTTCACGACCGCACTGGTGGTCACCTCCATGGCACTGTCATTGATAACGTGCGACCTGGGAAGCGTCTTTGAACTCATCGGAGCTACTAGTGCTGCGGCACTGGCCTACATATTTCCCCCGCTGTGCTACATCAAGCTTAGCAGTACTTCACGACGAGAAAAGATCCCTGCCTACCTATGTGTCTGCTTTGGTCTGGTTGTCATGGGCGTGAGTGTAGTTCAAGCCATGGCGAAGATCATTCGGAGTGAGTTATCCCCGTCTACTCGAGTCCTGTTATCCCGCGACATACTAATGAACCCCCCCCCCCCCTCGCAGATGATGGTGAATCCCATTCTTGCAGTGGGGTTTAGAAGGTTCTGTTGAAGGATATAGATTTCCTGGCACTCGAAGATGCAAATAACCCATGTACATATGCATAGTGCAAATACAGTCATTCCAGTCTGGACCTTTTAGGGCTCGCTCTGGTCACACCTGTAGCGACAAAGCGCCATTTTGGGAAGGTTCGTTCGTGTGGGAAGGAGTGATTTTCAAAAGGTTTGGCGATTGTTGACATCTGTGTTTTCATCACGTCCGCGTTCAGCTGGCATTTGTCCTCTTTCCTTCTCTCTCTCCCTTTGGGCTCATTCCGCCCACCCCCCCTCGCTTTGCTCTTCAGCTTGGTATCCATCACACCGATCGAGTTCTTGACCTGCTGTGACCTTTCGGAGTCACAGCGATCAGACCAACTCTGTCGGTGCAAGGCACTTGTTTGAGCTTTGAGCTCTTCAAGGGTCTTCTTTCTCTTCTGTGACGCGTCTGCGCCTGTATCATCTTCTTTCGAGAGACTCGCTCTCACGGTCCCAACTCTATCCACATCGCCGCTTTGAAATTGACTTGACCAGCAGCCGCCAACGTGCCATCGAGTCAGCTCATATTTTCCTTTCCTTCGCTCTAGGCCTTCCGTTGTCTCAGGCAACACCCACTAGATTCTTCACATCAACAAAGCGAGAATAACACCAATCTCACTAAACCCTCGGTCGGACTTCGAAAGCTCGGCCATGTCTCAAGACGAGGACGCGGCCGCGGCCGAGCGAGGGCGTATGCTCCAAGCTATGATGCTTGTAAGTCATTCTCGTCACTTTCATTCTTCTCTTGATCAAATTCTAATTCACTCCAACAGGCCGACTTAGGCACAGCTCGTCGCAATGAATGTACGACCGTCGACAACAAACGGGCGCACTTCCAAGCAAGCACACTTGAGTCCCAACGATGGATTCATGTTGAAGGAAGTGAGGCGCAGCGTCAGTTTAAAATTGACGAAGAACAGTTAAACAAATGGAATAGTAAGTTTTGGAGATCAATGCTTTCGTTATACCATGGCATTGACTTTTATCACCAGCCTTACACGAGACTCTTGGAGACACCACTCACATGGAAGCTCTTCCCGACATTGCTGCTGGGCAGTCCCACCGTGCTTCTTTGAATGCTGCTATGAGAGCACTGGAGAATCAATCCGTCGGACACCAAGTTCCTGGCTTTTTTGGTCGTGGTAGTGGTCGCGGTGTCCGTGGTGGTGACATTGCCGGATCTCGAGGACGTGGCTTCTTGCCTCCTCGCAACAACACAACAACCATGGTGGCGATCTCGAAGCCTGGTCGCCCTGGTCCTGTCCAGCGCTCGGCCACGGCATCGTACGGATTGGATCCTGCTTTGAACATCAACAATGACCCCAGTCAGAACGACTCACGCCCTCCAAGGGGTCCAAGAGGTCCAAGAGGTCCAAGGGGACCTCGGAGACAGATGAGCGTCCAGGGACTTCCATCTTCCCTCCAGCTTCAGCAGCTTCCCCCGCCACAGCGATTGCACAATCAGAAGCAGCAGCAGAAGCAGCAGCCAAAGCAGCAGCAGCCACAGCGACCCTCTCGGCAGCAAACGCATCCGGCTGTTAACTTCTCCAGCATGATGGCGGACCCTGCGAACTTCATGACTTCGTATCGACGAACATCTGAGATGCCACCTGCCAGTCAAGAAACTAAGGCATCTCAGGGACCTACGATCCCAGGCTCTCCCAGTGTCAAGCCTGGCAAAAACACACCGAAGTCAGAAGCTCCCGCAGCTCCAGCTGTAGTTCCTAAGCCACCGATCCAACCTGGCAGAGCAAGGGCCCAGTCTGTCATTTCTGAGTCATCTGTTCTTGGAATGATGGGGTCCTATCGAGTAGAGACGCCCACCCCAGCTCCCAAGGTGACTGGCGCCAGCAAAGTCCTTACGCTCAGGTCGAGTAAATCCAATACTTCAGCTGTGCGCCCCAATGCTGTTCCGCCTGCAGATGTCGAGCCTGCCAGTAAGGAGATCCAATGGAGTCTCTCCCCCGGTGAATATCCGCGAACCAGTCGGCCTATTGTGCCCGTGGCACAGAAATTGACAGCCAAGATTGCCGGGGAAGGCAAACAATCTGTTGCTCGTACTCCAAAACAGACAAAGACCCCTGGCGATTCACTGGCAGCTCCTGTGAAGTCATCCGCTTCCAAGAAGGTCACTTCAAATGTATCAGCCGCGGCCGTTGGGCAAGCAAAGAAGGCTGAAGCCGTTGACCTCACCCCCCAGCAATCAAAGGCTCCAAGCGGCTCGCTCCTGGATACCGCCAACTCTCCAATCTCAACCAACATACTTCAAACCACGCCTGCTCATTCTCTGGTCATGGCCAAAGAAAATATTATCGATTTGACAGACAATGAACAGAAGGACGACAAGCCGGTCGTTCCAAGCACCCCTAAGCTACAGACTGGGAAGAAGGACGACAAGCTGGTCGTTCCAAGCACCCCCAAACTACGAACTAAAAAGAAGGCCAAACCCGCGGAGCCCAAGGAGACTCAACCAGCCTCTCTTCTGGATACGGATAATCAACCAATCAGTGAAGACGCACTTGAGATTCCTGTCCACACTATGACCCCGGCTGTTCAGACAGTGGCCGTGGAAAGTCCGGGTGCCAGTGACTTGCTCGGCCTGGAGATTCAGGCTGAGGATTCACCAAAATCCATCGATGGAGTCATCGCTCTGACGAGTCAGTTAGCCATCTCTCGAGAGGAATTCGACCGAATCCTCGACGAGCGCGTGAATAAGGAAGTCGAGACCCGAGTTGAGCATGCACTCAAACTCCTCAAATGCCCAAGCAGGAATATTGCGCGCTATTCAGACTGGCTTGATCAGGCCGACGCAGCGGAAGCTACTGTCGTTCGAGAAGCACTGCGCAAGGACAGCTTTACCAGGCACCGTTCGCCACCCCGCAATGATATGCTAAGCGATTCGTCCCCAGAGCCATCTCCAATACCTAAAGAAAGGACCTCTAGTTCACCCGAAGTCGTGACTGAAGGTTTTGCGATTCATTTAACTAATACCAAACGTTCTGCGGACAGCGCATTTTCCGTCGATGACACTTCCACTAAGGTATCTTCGGCTCTTGCTGTGGCTTTTGGCCACGATGTTCCTTTGGCTAGCAACCCTTCTACTCAAGGTACTTCAACTCAGGCATCTTCAACTCTTGCCGAAGTGGCCTCTCGGCACCCTGGGTTACCTCCTATTCCCGCAAAAGAAGCTCCCGAAACAGCTTCTGGTCTCCCCATGGTATCTCCTGTTCCTGTTCGGGCAGCTCCCATTTCTGCCAAAGGGGTTTCCAGCTCTGCTGCAATTCCTGCCCATAAACCCGCCCCTAAGCCAAAGCAACAGGGTCTCCTTGATTCCGTCTACGCAAGCATGCCAGCGTTACCTGTGCCGCGCCCTCGAATTTTCAGCGGTAATATTCGGAAGCCAAAGGATCTTCGAGCCGCTGGAGTACAGGTTGTCGGACCGGCCCCATATGATCCCAAGAAGAAGGCTAAGCACGGTGCATTGGGCCCTCAGCCCGGCCCCTCTGAAAACACCTTGTTTGCTGGTTCGGCCGAGGCTGAGGCTGCAAACCGTGTTAAGGTGATTGGGGTGCAGCCTTACAACCCCGCCAATCGTCAAAAGTGATTCGTTGTGTTTTGAGATATTCCAGAAATTACTTACATGTCTGTCCCTGGTTACTTGTCCTGTGATCTGCCGGCTTTTAGTGATAATATGTAATATTAATGTTGATTTATTGTACTACGTCTTTGCCTTGTAGAACACGTACTTTGCTCTGCTCAATGAGCCAGGCCTAATTCATTCCTTGATGATGCCCTAGACGCCTTCCTCTACCTAGGTACTGCTTGGCCCAAAAGGCAACGGTATCATTTGCCCTACTTTGCTCCCCCTGCAAGCCCGACAATACTGGTTGGCGGCTTGTTTATGGAAGGGGCCGTGGCTACTGAGAACGAAACCTAGCACAAGGATACCTAGGTATGAACAAACGATGTCCGACGCCGAGAGCTTCCAAGGGCAACATGTTACAGAGACCAAGGTACAATCCATATTTGATCTACGGTAAGCTGTCTAGTGATAACAGCGCTGAGCTCCATCTTGATCCAGCCTGAGAAATAACAAAACAAACACGGCGACAGCCATCAAGAATAAGTAGGTATCAGAATGAGTCTGCAGTTTCGTGGTCCAGATCCCGTGGACCATTGACACTTGACTCCGAAACGCCTTCCATATCTTCCCCGTAGTTAAGAGACCGAAAGAAAATAAAGGCTGTGATGATGTGTTGAAAGCCGAAATGATAGCAAAATGCAGAGTAATACTTCGTCTTAGACGAAGGGTCGGATAGAATTCGTTACTGGGAGGGTCCCTTAGGCCCCGAAAAAGATCCCATGTTTCCGTTCACGACACGGGGCCGTTTTGGATCGTTGATGCCGGGTACTGGCGCCCCCGGAGCACCTTTGGAATCATTGTGATTGGAATCGGCTAAAGGTGGGCGTTTGCCATTGATGTTCTGTGCGGGCGGAACACCAGGACGGTTCGTGGTTACCGGGTTGGAAACGCTTCTTTTGTCGGGATTAGGTCGGGTCAGAGGTCGATATGATGAGACTGATGGGCCTCTGTTGATGGGGCTACCGGCTCCGGCACCGGCACCGGGAGCGCCAACTCTGCGCTGAAGGTCTGCGGTAGGGTTGACGAAGTCCCGAGAGTTGGAGTTGGGTGCGGGAGAGGCGGTTGATAGCATAGGTCTGGATATGGGGATGCTCTTGGTGTGATCTACACCTGCTGTCTTGCGGATGGATGGGCTCTCTGCGTGGGGGTCGAATTGAGGAGCCCCCGCAGGAACCGCGTTGGGGTTATCGCGCAGTAGATCGACGGCCCTGGCAGAAAAGAATCCTGCAGATGGTGTGCCGGTTGGTGGGTTCATTTCTTGGTTTGCCAGCAGGCTTTCCTTTTTGGCCGCAATTTGTGCCATTTTATTTACAGGGTTCGGCGGGTTAGCTGGTTTCTGTGGTGGGACTGATACTCGAGAATTTGAAACATTCGGTGATTGGCCTTGTCCGGGAATTGGCCGGCCTTGTGCTGCAGCTGAAGCCATGGCTACGGGGTTTGGTCGTCCAGCTGCACCTGTGGGGTTCCATCGCTCGGGCTTCGAGGGTGTGACAATCGATGAGTTGACCGTCGGCCTCACAGATGGTGGTCCTGTCTGCACTGGCGGGGGTTTTGATATAGGAGCTTGTCGTTGTGGCTCCGTGTCTATCACCATCTCGTCAGGGTTGCCGGTCTCAGCTACCCCAAAATCGGCTTCGTCAAAAAAGTCACCTGAGTACCGTTAGCCAGATTCGGGATTGCGTCCCTCTCATTGACATACTCCCGAATTCTCCCTCGACATCGAATGACCCTAGGCTCGCGGGCGGATTCCCTCTCGCTTGCTGTATCGGTTGAGGAAGAGAGATTTCCTCGTCTTCGGGCACAGGTGGAGGTGGAGGTGGTTGCTTTTTGGCCGGCGCGAAATCCGGATGGCGATGCAATTCTTCAACGTCCCATTTGCCCTGTTTCAATTTTCAGCATGATACTCGGGCCTGCAGGTGCTGGGAGTCTCACTGGTGCCGCCTTGACCTTGGTAACCTTTGCAACGTAGTCCTTGTCGTAGATACAGTTGCCCAGAACATTGCCGAAATTTCTCAGAGCGCGTTTTAATGCATCCGTTGTGCCTTCTTTTTTGGCCTTCTCGAATGCCGCAGCCTTGCCCTTGCAATTCTCGATATGTCCGTAGCCAATATCCTAGAGGTCACAGTCAGTACAATTCTGCGAATTCTGCGTGTTGGGCCGCTTCTCACTTCGTGAAATGTCCCGTCTCGAAGTGTGACTCTCATGATCACCGAAAGCCCCAAGCTGATCCTGCCGGTATTTTGGTTCTCCTCGACCTGATTGATGCGCGTCAGTGGATTCCTTCAGTATGCAAAAGGCCTGCAGCAAACGCACAAAGTCAATCTGGATGGTTTGGATCGAACTAGACCATCCATTGAATCCAAACACCTCGTTCGCCAAGTTGATACATTTATCCGCAGAGAGATAATGTACTTTCTGCCCCGCAGCTCCTGGGCGCGCGGAGATATACTCGGGCCCCAATTTTTTGTCTAGACGGGCTTGCAGTGTCGCGATCTCTTGTGCGGTGTACTCGTTTATTCGGCGCTGGGGTTCCTCGAATGGATTCGCTGTAGTTGTTGTAGAGTTTGGCATCACGATGGATCCCGCACCGCCGCGGTGTTGATCGCCAACGCTGGGAGTCTGACTGTCAGTTGCCTGTTTCGGTCGATTGTGGGTGATATGGTGGGCATTAGATCTCACGCTGGCATATTTCAGGAAGACTCTGTCGGGTTCGAGATGGGAGTCTTGATGTCGTGTCAAGCGCGTAGGCAACCGGACGCGGTACATCACGACATCACATGATGATAATTTGATAAGATAAGGATATAATTTCCAGTTTGGGAAGTAAACAGAATGAACGCCCGTGGACTACGAGTACGGTGTGAGAATTGCTGAGCCCTTGAAATGGGCCCCTGGGATTCATTCACGATGGGTAATTTCCTGGTCTCTAGGCCATGCATAGTCTCGTCTCATATCTCGTTCGTAGCAAAATCATTCATCAGTGCTTCCTTGTGGCATTAATCATTGGACAATGAGACTGGCACTAGGCACAAGTCCCAGCTCCTTCAAGGTCTCTCCAAAGAACTCGGCACTGAAAATCTTCTTGGGGAAGTTCTGGGTGAAGCTTTGGACTTCGAGTCCATCCTGCTCCTTCAGGGCAGCTGCAACCTCGAACAATGTAGTGTCAACGGGAAGTGTTTTCATGATGTTGCCCTGGGGCGATTGGAAACGTAGACGGGTCTCAGTGTAAGCGGATGCAGGCTTAGATGGTGCTGGCGCCTGAGCTGCAGCGGGCTGTGGGGGCGCCACGCCAGCTCGCTCGGCGCGCTGCTGCTCGGCCTTGAGGCGCCGCTCTTCCTTATCCGCCTCAATCTTCGCCTTGATGCGCTTCTTAGCGTCAATTTCATCCTGCTTCTCTTGCTTCTTTTTCGCGGCTTCCTTCAGCTGCTGTTTCCGCTGGAGGTCCTCCTTGGCGTCCTGGGTCTCTTTGGTGCTCTTTCGTCGGATTTCCTAGGTTAATTTGTTAGCATGACCTTCGACGCAGACTACAAGTCCTAGAATCCGGATGCGTACTTCGTTTCTCTTCTTGTCGACCTTATCCTGTTCAGATTGTCCCGCACGTTTCGCCGCGAGCTTCTGTCGCAGTTCCGCCAGCTTGTCCTTCTTCTCCTCCTCGGTCAAGGGGGCGATCTCCTCCGTGGACTCGGAGAAATCGACATGTTCCGTCTTCGATGCGTGATATTCGGCCTGTGACTGGCCTCGGAATTTCTTGCCACAGTCATTGCACACCAAGCTTCGTGGTGCTTCACCGGGCTGCAGTGCGGGGCCCTCTTCTTGAGCCTGGGCCTGAACCTCCTCCAACGACTTATCTTGGTTATCTTCAAGCCACTGCAATGCACCTTGCACTAATAATTGGTCAGGTTATCTGGTTCACCGGGACTTTGGAAATTGCCAATACTCACAACCGCCCGGTTTTGTGACTGCGATCTGAGAACGCTCCGGGTCGAAGCCCATCTCAATGAGCTGGTCCAAGTCCGATGCCATAATTGGAGTGGATGGAGTAATGGAATAGTCTGCAGTAATGGACTATAATAATGGTAAGAAAGGTGAAGAGTTTCGAGTCGCGAAAAGCCGGTGACGTATCAGAAAGGCGGCGTGTCGAAAAGGTGGCATATCCCAACCTTGGAAGGCGGCGAGTGATAAGGCCCACTCCTTTCCCCGGCTTTCTATGCGACAATCAACATCACATTCACGTTTGTTAGGACAAAATCACATTGAGGTTGGCAATTTCTATTGCTTTTAGCCTATGTCGATATAAAACATCATTGTCTGACTGATCTCCCAGCTCCCAGAGCCGATATACACAAGAGTGTCCCTTCTAGACCAAATTTTGGATACAATCACGCCAACCACAGGCATGAATATGCAATATAAAGTGAACATCTAGTTTGGTCAGGTTGAAATCACATAGCTCATTGTATTCGCCGTGAATACCGCAGGCTGATCCTGATACTTCCTCTTCCAAAGTTAGACATGGTATGTGGCGAGGACAACATGCACTACAACCTTGAACTACTCATACGTTCAATCATGCGCACTGCCCTGAAGCAGGGTAAAGCCTCGAGAGGCTGGTCCTCCCTTGGGCATTGCCTTGATTTTTCTTCTTGCATCCTACCCAATATCCATCGTGTTAGTACTGTACTCCGTACAGTTGCAAACTTGACCGAGTGGGATAGATGCTGCTCATGTCTGTATCCAGTTATATTAGGATCGGCAGTAGGGTTAGTTTTTTTTTTTAGTTTCTTTTTTTTTTATAGAAATGCCGACTCAAACAAGCACATACCTGAGCATGAGCCGCCCCTAAGATATGGGTGAAAACTCTGCCCGCGAGCTCACAGAGGATGGCAAACAAGCCCCAGTTGGGACGAAAACTAGGATCTATAGGATCTGATCTGTAGAATTGGAAAAGTGGGATGACCCCACCGAAGCACATGCGGATCAAACAGACTGAACTTGGGTGTCTGAAGGTGTGCAGACAGGCTGATAGGACCACAGCCAGCTTGTAGACAGTGAGGGAAGTAAGACCTCCAGCAGGACAAGTAAATTCACCCAACATCTCAAGTCAAAGAGCGAAGCAGAAGTGAGAAGATCGAGAACCTCGGAGTGACATCACCTGACTGGTGACTAAGCATCCCCAAAGTAGAGGCCGTGGACTCCTGAAGTGTTGCGGCCTTGTTTGGACCTGATAATCTCCGGACTTGCACGTCGCAAATCGCACACACCCCTTTTGCTTCACCGCACTCTTTGCTATCCTCTCTTCTTCGTTTCTTCTGACCCTGTGCGCCATGACTATCCAAATTGAGCCCTCGGAGCTGGGCTTCAAGCGTGAGTGCCACATGTCTCTACGGTTCCTCTCGAAGCTCACACCATCACCATAGGTCCTTTCAATCATGAGGTGTGCCAGGTCCTCCGCTTGAGTAACCCCAACCAGGAGACTGTGGTCTTCAAGGTATGTCCCACCAGCGTTTGTCGCAGACTGCATGACCTAACCTTCGATCCTCGGTATTAGGTCAAAACCACCGCTCCCAAGCAGTACGTCCCCACGCTTCCCTGCGCGATTTCAACCCCATTTGCGGTGGACTGACCATGTGATAGCTACTGTGTGCGCCCCAACTCCGGCCACATCGAACCGGGCCAGACCGTTGAAGTTCAGGGTATGTTGATATATTGGATCGCACAAAGAGAGAGAGACGCTAACCATCCGTGGCAGTGTTGCTTCAGGCGATGAAAGAAGAGCCCGCGGAAGGTGCCAAGTGCAAGGACAAGTTCCTGGTCCAGGCTGTGCCTGTCTCTCGGGGCCAAGAGGGTGCCACCGTTTCCCAGATCGTATGTGGAACCGAATCGCGAATGTCAACAAAACATGCTAACTTCCTGACTCAGTTCGACCAAACTGCCAAGAGCGACGTTGTTGAGCGCAAGATCCGGGTCGTCTTCATCGCAACAGATGCCTCTTCGGAGAAGGCCAACGAATCGGTACGTCTTGCGACAATACTCATACAGTACATCTGAGCTAACTATTCCCAGCTCCACGACGAAGAGCCCCAGGCTCAGAACTCCCCCGGCGGTGGTAACTTCCAGACCCCTGCCCCCAAGAAGACGCAGCCCGATGAAGCCTCCCCAATCCCCGCACCCGATTTCTCCGAGAAAGCCAACTACGATTCCGCCCAGCGCGAACCCGCCTCCGTCATCTCGACCGCCCGATCTGCCGTTGCCAATGCCCTCCCTTCAAGTGACGAACTGAAGTCCCAGCTTGCCGAAGCCAACGTGACAATCCAGCGCCTGAAAGACCGCATCGCCGAGCAAGGCCTCCGGCAACGCAAGACCGCTACCGAGGCTGGCTCCGCTCCCCCCGCTGCGATGCAGCAGTCACATGCGCAGACGCAGAGCGGAGTGTCGATCCAGATTGTTGCAGCACTCTGTCTGCTGAGCTTCTTGATCGCCTACTTCTTCTTCTGAGCTGGTCTTATCGCTTTTTAACGGTCTAATATGGCTGCGTGATTCGCACGCCTCCGGTTTAACGTCGCTGACGCCCCCCAAATTCCCATCTACTCTCTGAAGAGCATGCCTTTTCCTATTTGTTCTTGCATCAGCCTTTTCTGCGCTTTGATTTCCTTCCTGATATCGATATCTTGTCGCTCCCCCCTTGCGAATCTCTCGAGGCTTGGTCCCTCTGTCTGTTCTCCGCCAGTTGCTTTCCTATGTTTCCCCTTCCCTTCCTGTCTTGTCTAATCCCATTTCATGGCGGACCCAGCGTCTTGATTAGGTTCTTTTTGTTCCATAAATGATTCTCGAACTTCCGAGATAATTCATGTCCTCGTTAGATTGATCAGTCCTATGCCCTAGCTGACCATAGCTTCCTCCCAATGTATGGCTATTATCGACACTCCTAGACATACCCTCGCGGTTCCGTTCGGCAATTTCTAGCTCTATATCCAGCTGTAGTGGACGTTCCCCACGTCCTGGCTGCGTAGACTTGTGGATAGGAAAGTGACAGATTGAGCTTTTTTGAATGAAAAGAAATATTTATTTGAACATTTTGAACTGATACCTACGTAAACTCCGCCCATGGTGTATGATTGAACCGCTGAAACCACCACCGAAGAGATACAAGACCTAGCACTGAATCTCACTCTCCTTCCAACCATCACCCTCTTCGCCCGCCGGACCCGCCGACGCAGCCGAGATTCCTTCACCACCACGCCCAGTTCCCTGGGATGCAGTCTTATCGTCCTTCTTTCCACCGCCGACGACACGGCCGCCCTGCTCGCGCTTCACACGGCACCAGGGTCCAACATTCTTATCAAGAATGAATGTGTAAATAACCCAGACCCAGCTGCGGTGGCAAGGAAGCGGCTCGTAGAAGTCACTAGCAATCTCATGCAGCTTGTGCAACTTAGTCCACGGGATAGCGGGGAAGTCATGGTGCTCATTATGCAAACCAACATTGTAAGTAAGGATGTTGAGCGGACCATAGTAAGAGTAAGTCTCTGGGGGAGGCAGAGAGTCCAGAGGACTGGGCTTCTTGGTCTTTGTGCCGTTCTTCAGCTCAGTCAGGGACTCGGTGCCTCCATTCTCGACCTTCGAGAAGAAGTAGTGCTCTGCGATGAAGTGGCCTGCACAGGGGTGCAGGGATCCTGCGAGGAATGAACTCATCAGGAAGTAGAAGACTGGCTGGTAGGTACCGCACAGTTTGGAGAAGCCATAGTCGAAGGCCAGTTCCACGCTCACGTTGATCAGGTGGATGTAAGTGAACGGGGGGCTGTAGATGAACATTGGGCGCAATGCGTAGAAGAGGATCTGGAAGGTGCAGAAGAAGGTTTTGCCCAGGAGGGAATTGAGGAGGAAGGCTTCGACTGCGGTGGGCATATCGGTGTCGAGGCCGTTCACGCCGAGGGATTTGTGATGCGTCAGATGGTACGGCTAAAAAACTCGCTGTTAGTGAATGTCTTCCCCTCTCTCATCCGGGTATAAGAAACGCACTCTGAAGGCAGCACTGTATGGCAGACCGATGGGGAGATTGGCAAAGATGGCCAGCAAGCGATTGGCGAACGCAGACCGGAAAGCCAAGTTGTGGGAGATCTCATGGATGGCGAGGAACAGGTTCTGGTTGCAGGTTGCACCGATCACGTATGCTGTTGCCAGGAATCGCCAGTCGAGCATTGAGGTATTGCGGAGGAGGTAGGCGCAGGTGAGTTGCAGCGAGACGACACCGAGGACAACCCATTTTGTGAGGGGTTCAGGGCCACATAGCTTGGTAACCTGTGATTTTGGCGGCCCAGGATTAGCATTGGAGTTGTACATAGTCATGCTGATCCGCGACCTGCATCCAGGGATCTCCGCAAGGCCTCCGCACGAGGCATTGCTTCATCCCTACTTCGGGGGAAGCTCAGCAAACACGGTGGCATACCTCTGGGTGAGCTTTGATGATTGCTTGCCGTCTGGAGCGATGCGGCTCTTCAGTATAGGTCCAGAAGAAGTGGTCGTCGACCAGGGCCTCTGGTGGCTGAATCCTTGTTGACTGTTCGTTTTTGGAGGCTTCCTCTGTAGATGCCTTTGCAGCGGACACCCGAAGGTGTGGCGCCGATGTTTCCACGACTGCGGACATACTGTGAAGGAGATGATATGGTCAAACACCGTCTCCCAAGGACAGAAGTCAATTTAAAAAGTCGGGAACCGGTTGTTCCACGTGGGGCGACGCGGAATACTTATGTCTTGGCGTTCCTGTTCCTGTCCCTGTTTGCCACTCTACTAATTACTAATGGACATCATACTATTGTTTACATCGTAAATGTACTTTTGGTAGCTCATGTCTCTCATGTCTCATTGATCAGTAGTCGTCACCACGGCTGATGACTTCCTTAACGTTCGGGCGCAACACAATGGTCTGAAAAGGTTAGTAATTAGTCCTAGTAATGACAGAGGGATACAGACATGTTCGTATTGAGCGGTATATGATCCCTTAATATCACAAAGAGGGGGGTAGTCATTGACGATGCCGGCGGAGACAAGGTTGTTCAACTAGATAAATGTCAGCTTCTCGGTCAAAGATGGAGGCTCGTTGTAGACATACGCCCAATAGGTACTTGTCCTGGCCGAGACGGTCGAGGTAACGGCGACAGAAGGGAAGAGTGCCAAAGTTCTTGTTAATGACATTCAGCAAGTTCTTAGCGGAAGCAAGACGGAGGGGAACGTTGGGAGCGTCATTGTTGAGAGCGTAGTGCGAGGTTTCCATCTGATACTGTGTTAGCGTAGCTCTTGTGGCTGTATGGTCACGATATCCACTTACCTCCTCTCGGACGTATCCTTTTCCGGTACTTCCAAAGGTCTCAATGGCGAAGACTTCGCCTTCCTCCATCTTGGTCTGGTCGGTGCCTTTAACAATTGGCACACTCTTTCCACCGTGAATGACGTGCTGTTCAATGTTGTGACCGTTGAGGTTACGGATACACTTGACGGGGTGCATAGTGCCATTGAGCTCGACTTCGTAGCTCTCCATGGCTTCCTGGATAGCCGCACCAATATCGCTCATGCGGACGTCAATTCCAGCTTCCTATATGCTGGTTAATTTCGACTCAATCTGTAAGCGCCAAAGTACTTACCCGAATACCAGTGTTGGTAGCGTCCTTGACAGCCTCAAGGAGAGGGTCATATACAGGGTCGAAAGACATGGTGAAAGCGCTGTCAACGATGCGACCGTTGAGCTGGGCGCCGAAGTCGACCTTCATGACATCTCCCTGGTTCAGGACCATCTTGTTTCCGGCGTTCGGGGTATAATGCGCCGCGCAGTGGTTGATGCTCAGACCGCAAGGGAAACCCATGCCACCCTTGAGGTTGTCACCCTCCTCCAGGCCTGAGTGGCCTGTGAGCGCGCGCACTGAATCCTCGATGCCTTCCGCGATCTCTGTCAAGGTCTGGCCAGGCTTAATGTTCTTTTGGGCGTATTGGCGGACCTGGCGGTGGACTTCGGCACCCTGGCGGTATTCCGTGAGGAAGTCATTGTTCATGCGATCGAGGTAGCGCTTCTCCTCGTTGGTGGTGCGGTAGGCATTGTCGTTCACGTATTCGACGATCTCACCCTCGGGGTATTGACCATTGGGGAAGAGGTTGGAAACGGGCACTCTAGGGGGCTCGCTTTGAACCTTAGGACTGGCCTTCTTCTTCTTCTTGGGCTTTCTCTTCTTCTTCTTTTTGTCGGCTACATTGATTCGGTGGGTAGTTAGCGCCATCTAGATCTGCGGGGTATAACTCGGAGCGCGGGGCAAGTTTGCAGTGATAGTTGGTTTTGGGCCACATACCTCCAGCAGCACCAGCCTCTGGTGTGTCGTCCTGGGCGTCGTCCGAGTCGTCCTCGGCTTCGGCGGGGGGTGGGTTGGCTGGAGTGGCCTGGACGTTCACTGCTATCACATCAGTTCCGCTGTATAAGGTGATGCATGCAAAGATTTCTTACGGTCCAGCTGGTCCAATTTCTCTGTCGCCTGAGCTGCCATTTTGAAGTCGATCGGGGTGAAAGGCGAAAGAGGGGAATGTTATTCGGATGTCGGGGAAAGAATTTTGCTGATAAGAGATAAGGGTTGGAGATCGCCACCTGGGCACTTGTTGATACTACACGGTTCACGCTGTTGATTTTGGTGTTATTGACCATCTGGAAGATGAAATTGAGCATCAACTGACGCTCTTTCATTCCTTCACAGGGCAACCTTGGAATCCCACGAAACAGAGGTCTCTTGAGACCTCAGCTACTGTTCGGAGTATATCCATGGATGGGTTATACATGCGTGCGAGCTCAGCTCGCGCTTATACACTTATTCAAGGACAACATTGGAGACTCTAGACTCTCATCAAAGCGGCAGCAGTTAAGATAGGAAAGCAGATCAAGTACGTATAGGTAGAGTACATAGGACTCGCTTTCGCGTCCAAAGATGTGACGTGCCGTAAAGAACTGGGTGTAAACGCTAGTCCCCAAAGGGTTTAACCGATCATCTATCACTTTCTGATAGATCTCCCTTTCGTCTTCCTCACGGCCATTGAAATCCCAATCTTCAAAACTCCCGGCTGCCGCCCTTGGACAACCTCTCTCGACCATGTCTCTTGTGGATTTTCCGACCGAGCTGTTGGTGCAAGTTGTGTCATGTCTCGAATACGCGTCTGACCTCTGCGCGTTCTCGCAAACCCATCCACGCTTTCATCCTTTGGTCCAATCTAGCCTTGAACAGTTCCTGCAAAAAGAGTCGCCTCGTCATGCTTTGTTGCATGCTGCAAAAAAAGGCAATGGAGCCGCTGTGCGCAGATTATTGAAGCTGGGGGCCCTGTTTCCTGAGCATTTCAGTCCCAACCTCATGCAAGCTCCCGGGGACCCGATGGCATTGGCCGCCAAGAATGGACATGCAGACGTTGTGAAGATTCTCCTGGAGCATGGCCAAGATCCATGCGTAGTTAGTGGATGGTATGAAGATAAAGAAGAAGATACCTTTCCTTCATCCCGGTCCGAGGCAACCACGCGCGCTATTTGTGAGAACCCGATCATGCTGGCGGCCAGAAAGGGTCATGAGTCAGTTCTGAAGCTCTTCAAAGACCATGTGCCCAAAAAAGCATACCTTGATGTTGATGTCGGGACAGCCAGGCTACAAACCTGGGAAGACCCGTTGGTATGGGCAACCTTCAAACTGAACATTCCTATCATGAAGCTCCTGCTTGAGTACGATCCCGAGAGTGCCAATAAATGCAGTTCTCGTGGCAGTACCCCTTTCCATGCCCTCGCCTCGGCATCACCGACCAGTGCTCGTTTCGATGAAGCCTTTGAACTTTTGATTCACCACGGCGCGCTCTCTTGGTACTTACGGTGCTATGAGCGCTTATTTCGGTATGCAATTGAAAGAAAGAACACTCGATTCATTGAACTGAGCTGCAACTATCTGAAACTGAACATGCAGCAGCCATTCGACACCGCTTGGCTCCTCAAGATGTTCGAGGAAGCAGCCCGGACATGTCCCGAGATGGCTGCTGTGTTCCTAAGTTATATTGACACAGAGCAAGCTATGCTGTTCAACGACGAAGCACGAGCCATGCTTTTTGCCGGAGCTGCCGCTGGCGGCTTTGAGGATCTTCTCAGACGGCTGTTCGAGACCTATCGTCCTTTCCCACCACGAGAAGACTCATATCTACCCCTCATGGGTCTCGGTATTTTGTCGGGAAAGGTTGAGATTCTCAAGATACTACTCGCAAACGGGTTCGACATCATTATTGGGCCTATGTCGTCTCCGCGACCACCCCGGCCGATCGATCGCTATGGCCGTGAGATCGTTCTATCCCCAAAGCAAAATATACCGATAATTACGGCTCTTTTGAACCGCCACCACGAGCTTGTGGATTTTCTGGTTGAAAGTGGCGTTGATGGACCCCTTGCGGAACGAGAAGGACCACAGTTGCTTTTTGACTTGGCACTCGGCTTGGGGTATTCTGATCTTGCTCAAAAGCTATTTGACAGAGGGACGGCTCCACCAATGGAAGATATTGCATTTGAGGACCAAGGGAATTCGATCATTATGGCAATTGCTGGTGGCGAAGATTCCTTTGAAACGCTTTTGGGGAATGGTTTGACACTTGATCCATATTCTCAACTCCATGTAAATGCCTTCCTTTGGGTCGCTTCCCAAGCAAATGTTCCATTCCTCGAGAAGTTTTTGGACGCTGGGTTCAAAGCGGACATGGAACAACTAGAGTTTGACCATTCTTGTGTATCTCTCCACCATGAGGACGGGCTCACTTTGCCTCTTCTCTATGCGGCCCATGCAACGGACAGGGCCAAAGCTGAAGCTGCCGTTGATCTTCTGCTCAAGCGTGGAGCGTCGATCAATCAGCCAACTGGCATGGGCTCTTGCAGCGCGCTATATGCAACAGCCTCTGGTTCAATTCTCCTCGCCATGGAACCATTGGTCAACCGGGTCGAATACATTCTTCGGGACTGCACTGAGGACAAACATACTAGCCTGCGCAGAGAGGCACCGGATCCCGCGTATCGTCGACACTTGGGAGTCCAGGCCTTACAGCTCCTCTTGAACAAAGGAGCCAATCCCCTCTTTTGGAATCAGCATGGCCGATCACCGTTGTGTATAGCAACAGTTTCAAACGATATGGAGATGGTTCAAGCTTTGCTGAGCTCTTTCGATCAGCAAGATGTGCCGTTCAGTGCCATTGAGCCACATCTCCGTCTTGCCGCCTCTATCCGCACTATGCACCCAAGAGCCAGATACAGATACAACCCAAAGGTGTCTTCTCGCCGACGACTCGAAAGAGACCTCGAACTTGAGAACTTAGAGGAGGATCTCAAGGAGCGGATGATCGAGGAAAACCTTGGGAATTTCGGTGGAGAAGAAGAAGAAGAAGAAGAAGAAGAAGAAGAAGAAGAAGTTGATGATAACGATGGTGAACAAGATGAGAATGAGGGCGAGGACTCCTCAGAAGAGGACGAAGACGGAGTAGCCTGGGTCGATGACGAAAGCTGGCGAGACTTCGACGAAATGGAAGATGAGCTAACTGCCGAAATTGAGGAAAGAGCTTTCGCAGAAATGGATATGTATGCTGTTATCGAAGAGGCCAGGCTTGGAGAACCACGAGATATTGAAAAACGACGTCGAGAAGCTCAGCGAGAGCAGAAACGCCAGCTCCGGATCAATCGAGACACCGAAAGGCTCATATGGCGTTATTACTGGCGTCATGTATACCCCCCACCTGCATGATCAAATTGAGAGCACGGTCAATCTAACCAGACTTCGTTTCGCCCTTCGTCAAGGAGCCCTCGCTTTCCCATGTCATTGCTTTGCTCACCATTATCGAGTAGATAGAGATATCTTTCGCAACAGTTACGGTTACAAACAGCCCAATGTAGTGGATATACCTGACCTCATCCAAGACTTAACAACCATTGAAATATTTGTACTAGGGTGGGTGAATATCAATCACAGATACTTCAATGCCCGCTCTAAGTACCTGATTGTATCACCTCTGACTTCTTGAACAATGTCTGCCGCCTTCTCCTGCCTCTTGACCATCCCAACACCCGTCCCAGCCCAAATGCTCCCCATGTCTTGAACACTCAACCTCTCAGCATCAGGGCCATTCATCGCATTAGACAACCACGATCGGATCTTCCGTATATCAACCCCAGATGTATATTGTTGATAGACCTGATTCTTCAAACACCGTCCATCATAAGTCTTCGGCCAAAAGTTCGGGCCCCAAATCTCATCAAACACCCTCGATCTCGCCGTTACCTGCCCTCCATCCGATGCCTCGAATATCGCACTCCGATAAATGGCCGGAATGGCAGTTTCTTCAGCAGCAAGGAACCGAGTTCCCATCACTACTGCGGAAGCACCAAGACTCAATGCCGCCGCACAGCCTCTCCCGTCAACAATTCCACCCGCAGCGATCAAGGGAATATCAAAACCAAGCTCGGAAAGAGTATCCGTAACCTCTGGAATGAGAGACACAACACTAGCCCCGTCCTCATGCCCATGACCACCAGCATCGATACCCTGTAGAACAAGCGCATCAGGCCGACATGCTTGCGCCACCTCCACAGCGGCAGAGACACTTCCTAGCTGAATCCATATGCGCGTCTGTGGCGAGGCACGTCGAATACCCTCCGACCATTCTTTAAGCTCGTCCGCGCTAGCGAATGATAACCATGCAACAGCGGGTTTGTATTTTGCGAACAGGTCCAGCCAGGGTTTCATCGGTGTTCCGAAGACGATCACTCCAAGGCCAATTGGAAGAGTTTGTGATTCAATATTTGCTAGGGCCTTCTTTGTGAGTTCCAGTTCGTCTGTGAGGTCCTGGGGGTCATCCAGAAACCCTATCTGGCCGAGGCCACCGGCAGTGGTCACGGCGGTAGCCAGTTTGCTTTTGGCGATTCCGCTCATGGGAGCGTTGATGAGGAGAGGTTTTTGAATCCATGGAAGGTATTGTTTGAATGTATTGAAATGAGACATTGTGACTAGTGATATTCCAAGGTTGTAATTTGTGTAGATGAATAGAAGATGGAATGCGGGAAGTTATACCTCGATCAAAGGCCGTATTCGTAAGTTCAAAGGCCGAATCTCCAATGTCAATTGTTTCTTTCGCACGATTCCTAAAATTCTCTTCAATGTGTCAACGAGATTCAGCCTTGTTGCACCACTATGGTACACTCTGAGCCGTACGAAGTGAACATGAAGACTTTATCGAATATTTCATGGCCATCGCCGAGTGATATCTCCAGACTTGGATGAGAAACCGCACATAAGCTGGGAATGCCTTTTATTTGAGGCCTAGATTCCCTCCCACAAGTTGGACTTTGATCTATCTTGTCCGAGTTCGTGCTAGAGGAGCCAATCTTGCGTCCACGCTGTTGCCAGATTCAGCAGCTAAAATTCCACGGTATATTCATAGCTTCACACCGTTAATCAGATACTTTCCCAAAAAGGGGTTGTACTCAAGTCTACCTGTGTTTCAGAACTCATGAGTCCCTCGCTGATTGTCTATGCACCACAGCCGACTCAGGAATGAATGCCACAACTGGGCCATCAACACCGATCACTGAAGCAGCTCGATGACTGCTCTCAATAGCTTGCCAAAGGGCGACGGAACTGTCGAAACTGCTCTTTATGGTAATGATAGGCGGTCCACTGCGATGTGTCTACCCAGTGTGTGCCCAATAAATAGGCCACTTATGGGCTCTTTGCAGACATTTGACTCATTCGAGGTCCCACTTCATATAGGCTGCCATGCTAGCAGAGCTCATGTAGGTGGGACGATCCTAGGATCTGCGGATCCCAGGTCCGATATAGGCAGAGTGGAGGTGAGAGGAAGTGGTGGATAACGGGGAATTGAGGCCCGAGATGGCGCATCGTTATCTAATCTGATCATCAGTTGGGAACTTTGAGCACAGTGAGTAGAGTTCATCTGATGTTCGTAGTTTAGTGAGGACTGTAGTATGTAGTATAATTTCATTAAGAATTGAAAATTAAACTCATATACTAAAGTACCAAGTAGTAAGTAGTAGTGTTCATCTGGACTGATCGACCAAACTGGTGACGCCACCCCGATCTTCGTCTCGCACGTCGGACCGCATTCCACTCCTTTCCTCATTCACTCACCCCGCCGACGCGGGCCTCTACTTATACTCACTCTCAGACCCCTGTCAGCACCATATACCTAGGTACAACATACACATCATGCCTCGAGTACCTACCATCCGTCTGGCACCGACACCCACCCACCGGGTAGTGATCGTGACCACACCCCTCCGCCCACGAGCACAAGCACACACCCAACCACGCACACAACCCGTATTCCCCAAACGCACATTCACCAGTACACGAGCAACATTTGCCCGGGAGCAAAACTTCTACGAGATCCTCGATCTGCCCACGAGCGCCTCAGCCGCCGAAATCAAAAAGTAACCATCCACAACCCCCCCCCCCCCCCCCCCAATCTCAACCACACTAACAATTCCCAGACAATTCTACGCCCTCTCCATGCGACACCACCCAGACCGGAACCGCACAGACCCCAACGCAGGACAACGCTTCGCCCGGATCTCCGCAGCCTACAACGTCCTCGGCAACGCCTCCAAGCGCGCCGTCTACGACCGCGACCACGGCTTCCACCAGGTCCACGCCTCCGCCGCCCCAGGCCATACCCACGCCCACCCCATGGGCAGCCACAGCAGCTATGCCGGGTCGCGACCAGCCAGCGGCCTAAGCAAGCGGCGGTCAGCGTTCCACGGGCCGCCGCCCAGTTTCTACGAGCAGGGTGGGTATGGGGCGACGGGGCGACGGGGGGATGGGTTTGCGGCTGGTAAGACCGGGCCGACGAAGGATGCAGGATCGAGTCCGGGGCCGCGGTCGGATCCGGAGGATTGGGAGGGGTTTATTCGGAGGAATCCGTTGCATCATTTTAATGCGCGGGGGCATTTCCGGACGCAGGCGGCGGAGGATCGGAGGAGGAGGGAGAGGGCTGGGGCGTCTAGAGCGAGTGTTTCTGATGCTGAGTGGGCGGAGCCGCCGTCTGCTGTGCATGGGGTGTCGTTTGCGAGGTTTTGGTTCTCGTTGGGAGGGTTGGTGCTCGCTGGTGCTTCGGCGGGTTTGTGGCCTGATAGTGGACGGGATAATGGGAAGCGGAAGGGTTGAATATGTTAAGATTTATGTAGATAGGTTTACTAGTACATGCATTGCTGGTTGATGCACTATATTCTATTTCATTTGTACGTCCAATTGGCCAATGACCCAGACATCCTTCCAAGGTTATGATAACACCGATCAACAAAGGAAAAGTTGGATTTGATATACAAAGGTGACTTGACTACGACGGCACGCATCATAATTATTATAGATGAAAGATCCCCGCCACCGTAAACGTTCTAACACATCCGACAGACGAGCGAACTAGCAAGAAAGAAAAATTACAAAAGGTCCAGAAGAGGTCATATGTCATTTCTCAAGAGTCCGAATGGAAAGGTGACATTCAGACGCTTAAGCCTCGAAGGTGAAGCTGGCGCCGACCTTGTGGGCAGCCTGGTTAAGGTTCTGGGTGTCGAGGGAAGCACCGAGGCCGAGAGTGACACCGGGGCGGAGGAGAACGTTGTAGGCCAGAGCGGCGATACCACGGTCGTTGATCTTGGCCTAAATAGCAACAAAATGACGCGATTAGTCGTGATCTACACGCGGGGAGACATGGGCTCGAAATTACCTTGGCGAAGGAAGAGGGGTCAAGGCGGTACTTGCTGGCAACCTCGAGACCGACAGCGTTGCCGGAGGTGGAGTCCCAGGAAGCCTTGGCACCGGCCTCAACCTGAGCGTTGACGCGGTGGTAGTAGCTGGCGGAGAAGAGGGAGAGGTTGTTGCTGGCGGTGATGGCAGCGGAGTACTGGGCAACGCTGTAGCCGACGGCAGCGGAGTACTTGGTGATAGCGGCCTTGTTGACGTCGTAGCCACCCTCAGCACCGACGAGGAAGCCCTCGTGGCCGAGAACAGCGTCGAAGTTGGCGGTAGGGCCGTTCAGGAGGTCGAAGAAGGCACGGGCGTTCAGGTTGGGCTGCTTGAAGTACAGGTTGAGCTTGGCGCCCTTGGACTGCTTAGCGGGCTGGTACTGGGTGAGGATCTCAGCCTTGAGGCCCTTGGCGATGTTGTTGTCGAGCTCGAGCTTGGTGTCGAGGGCGTTGGAGGTGGTCCACGCCTGGGTGAGGGTGAGGCCTGGTCGGTGGGAGTATATTAGCCTTACACTGTGACGTGGGAAGGTCGAAAGAATAAACAGATTCAGCCCGCGCGCTAATGGGATCCGGCATCCATATTGCAAGGGTTTGGGAACCACGCGCGCGTCGGGATCCGGGGGATTTTTCAAGGGGTCTTTACCAGTGGGCGCGTCAACGTATTTGGCCTCGAGCTGTAGGCATATTCGATTAGTGGGTTGTAACGTGCTGCGACGGATGACATCGGACGAACCTGGCCAGCAATGGGACCCTCGTGGGCAGACTTTCCCTTGACGGTGAAGGTGACACCGTTGGGGGCCTTGGACTTAACCTCAAGGTTGGCTGGAGAGCTTCAATTAGCTATCGGAGCTTCACGGTCGGCATAACGCCACTCATAGGTGCACGAACCGGCAGCGGCGTGGTAGAAATCCTTGTTCAGGAGCTATTGGGATGCTGCATTAGCCATGTTTCCGGTAACCGAGTTTTGTGCCGGAAAAGCGTACATCGTTGGTCGCCTTGGCGATGTCAGAGAAAGCAGCGGGGGCAGACATGTTGACGGAAGAAGAAGTCTAACGGTTGAGAGATGGAGGAAAGAGTGGTACTGTGGAGAGATGAAGCAAAAGAAGAAGAAGAGTTGCGATGATGTTGGGACAAGGGGCTAGCGTGGTTCGTGGGTGCGCCATGATTGGCCGAGGGGCTGCCGGGAAAACCCGCGTTATGTAATCACCTTGCCCGCGGCCATTTAGCGACGTTCATGATTCTAATGACATTGTACCGATATACATCCCAGGGTATATTCAATCTATTGTGTACTATATCCCCGACAGAAAAATGCTAAAAACAAAGCTCAGATCTTTTGTATCGTTCCGCGACAACTTTTTACTCGGCCTGGTCGTACTTCTGGTTGTGGTAGGAGATGGCACTGTAGAGAAAGTTAGAGGGAGCTGGAAGAAGAGGAGCTAGAGTCATCACTTACCGGCCACTGGGGTCGGTCTGCTTGGACCAGGTGGGGGTCCAGCGCTCAACGGTACCGGCACAGTAGGGGGGGAAGTGCTCATCGAACATGGTGCGGTACCAGTATCTAAAAGTTTAGTTAGTCACTGATGGTCCATTTGAAAAGCAGGGGAAACATACGCCTCCTTGGTGTCGGGGACATCGGTGCCCCACTCGGGCTTGGGGTTCTTCATCATCTCGTCAGTGACCTGGCGCTCAGCCTCATCCTTGAGGCCGTCAATCCAGCTGTATCCGACACCGTCACTGAACTGCTCCTTCTGGCGCCAGAGGATCTTGTCGGGGAGGTAAGCAGCAGTCTCGGGCTCATCGGTGGTGTCGAAAGCCTTGCGCAGCATGTGCTTCTCGATGCGCTCCTTGGTGATCATCTTGTCCTGGGGGTCAACACCCATGCAGGTCTCGAGGAACTCCTTGTCAAGGAAGGGCACACGGGCCTCAAGACCCCAGGCGGAGGTGGACTTGTTGGCACGCAGGCAGTCAGCCAGGTGCAGGTTCTTGACACGGCGGACGGTCTCCTTGTGGAGCTCCTCCTTGTTGGGAGCAGCGTGGAAGTAAAGGTAACCACCGAAGATCTCGTCGGAGCCCTCACCACTGAGAACCATCTTGACACCCATGGCCTTGATCTTACGGGAGAGCAGGTACATGGGGGTGGAGGCACGGATAGTGGTCACATCGTAGGTCTCGAGGTGGTAGATCACGTCAGAGAGGGCGTCAAGGCCGTCCTGGACGGTGAAAGTGAAGGGGTGGTGCTTGGTTCCAAGGAAGCGGGCAACCTCAAGGGCAGCCTCGGTATCCGGGGCACCGGGGAGACCGATGGAGAAGGAGTGCAGTTGCTGGAAAGTGGTGACAGTGGACAGCTCGTTGTCATCATCAATGCCAACCAGCTCGCCGTCCTCGTTGGTCTGAGGGGCCTTGCGGGCAGCCTCGGCCATGCGCAGGGTCTCACGCTGGGCGATGGAGGCCACCAGACTGGAGTCCAGACCTCCGGACAGCAGGACACCGTAGGGAACCTCGGCCATCAGACGCTTGCGAACAGCCTTCTCCAGGCTGTGGCGGACGACCTTGTAGTCAACGGGGGTGGAGGGAACGTTGGCGGGGTCCCACCACTTAGGCTCGAAGTAGCGGGTCAGGGAGTCGGTCTTGGAGTCGTAGACATGGCCGGGGGGGAAGGCAATGATGTCGTCGCAGACGGGGTGCAGGCACTTGAGCTCGGAGGCAAAGTAGACAGCACCGGGGGTAGAAGAGGAACGACCAAGGTAGAAGCTAGTGATACCAATGGGGTCACGGGCAGCAATGACGCGGTCCTGCTTCTTGTCCCAGAGAACCCAAGAGAACATACCATCAAGGTGCTTGGGGGCATCGAGACCGTATTCCTCGTACTGATTTATCTTAGCGCTTGCACGTGGGTAGCTCGGAGAGCGCAATTGAAACATACCAGGGGGATGATGACTTCACAGTCAGAGTGAGTCTTGAAGTTGTACTTGTGGTGGAGGTTCTTGCGGAGGGTGCGGTGGTTGTAGATCTCGCCGTTGACGGCAAGGGCGAGGGAGCTGTCATCGTTGACCAGGGGCTGGGCACCGGAGTCTAGATGACTTCTTGTCAGCACATAGATCATCCATCATGGATTGATCATGTAGTCACTCACCAACACCGACAATGCTCAGACGCTCGTGGGCCAGAACTGGGATTGACGTTAGCTTGCAATGCCGAGACTGTTTTCATGGGATTGCCAACTCACTGGTGCTCTCGGCACAGAAGTTTCCGCCTGTCGAAGAACTGTTGTTAGTCCCGTGTACTCTCAACCACCCCGCGGGTTTGCGCTTCGGATTGTGACTCACTCCAATCGGGACCGCGGTGACGCACACTATGAGACCAGAGTTAGTGGGAGATTTCTCGATAGTTTTTTCAACTGCTGTGACAATTGAACCGAGGGGTGCAGTAGTACTTACGCCTTGGCCATGCGCAAAGCCGTGGGCTTGAACTGCTGGACATCGGGATGACTGGGACAGTTAGCAATTGAGTATCTAAGGGACCCCACTACCTAGGTAGCGGGGTACAGGGTGTAGCACGCACTGGTGACACGCGAAGATTCCACACATGATGGGCAATTGATGGTGGTATTGATCAATTGAAGGAGGAAGGGGAAGTGCAATTGACTATATACGGGGAAGACCCGGCGATTTTTTTCGGACGCACTTGGCGGGGCGAGGGGCGATGTCGGCAATCACTGACTCACCGATAAGATAACTTACATTAGCAACTTGCCAAAATCAGCGTTACATTCCCCTGACTCATGACTTCTACTTGCCCAGGTCAATTTCTTCTTCTTTTTCCCCTGTCTACTCCGGAGTAATCTCTTGGCTCCAGATGGCGCTGATGCAGATCGTGCATCTTGGCCTGTCGCATCACGTGACTCCCTTATACTTTGCCGTAGCCCTAGCCAAGCCCTTTGGTCCGGCTAACTCTCTGAATAAACGCATTTGATGACTATCTGTACTGGAAAGAGAATATAGATGAGCATGATCAAGGTTCTCTGACTATACATGCCTCTGGGTCTCGTTTGTAGCAGTATGAACCTCAGTGGGAGGTCATTCAGTCAAGAGTCATGCACTCAATCAGACAGAGTACTGTGACCCCACGGTGTAAGCAAATGACATACAATGCAGCTGACTTGTTATTTAGCTCCCGCTGCTTTGATTACACCAAACATTATCCGTCCATCTATACCTAGGTATGCACAACCGTGCACTCAGGTATTTTCCAAGGTCATGCCAGACATACTCACGCGGCCCCACCATAGTACCTAGGTAGGTATGTATACACCCTGTGGACCCGCGGTTAAAGGAGCCCTGGAGATCTCATTAAGCAGGCAGAACTTGCTGCTTGGTTTACGCCATGAGTTTCTATGAGCTCTAGAATAAATATCCTTCCATATTGTAGCAGGATTCACAGGATCCCGCATGCTGATTTCAGGATCGGCAAAAAAAGAAAGCTCCCATGCGGGGATTCGAACCCCGGTCTGCACGGTACACAAGAGGAGGAATCTCCTAATGAAAACGAGCGATGATAACCCCTACACCACATGGGACTGAGATGATAATTTAATGCATTCTTGAAATTATGATCCTGTATCTTGGCCACTGAAAAATAGCACCTATGGACTCAATACAGCATCATGCAGAGTACTTAGACCACATACCAGGAAGCATCTACCCAGGCAGTACATCTCAATTAATCAGATATAAAGCCCTTCAGAGTGAGAGCTACATCTTTCACCTCCCATAGAATCAACCATTTGAGTACAAAAACAAAATTATACACATCATCTGGCCAAGGTTGCCTAAGGCACCTAGGCAAAGAGAATATCTGACTAATACAGTCAGTCCCAAAACCAAAAATTGCAAAAAATGAGCTCCCATGCGGGGATTCGAACCCCGGTCTGCACGGTACATAAGAAAGATTTCTTAGTGAAAACGAGCGATGATAACCCCTACACCACATGGGAATGCGATGTAAATTCCTGCACTATTTGCATATATGAGCCAAGATAATGTGAAGCGCATAACTCTCGCCATCCAGCCAATGCCAGACACAGAGTGGAGTCGATATACTCCGTATCATCAAATGATCTATAGACAGAAATACAAGGACATAAGACAAGACTCCCTAATTTTAAGTAATAACCCAGGACAATAGTCTTCGATACTCTGTCAATGGGTTAGGTGGATGATGTGCGAGCGTACTAGTAAAGGGAAACTGAGCAGCCCCACAAGTCCGATCAACCTACTCCGTAGTGTGCCCAGGTGTACAGTCGATAAAATGCATAAGAGCAACCTTGGAAGTTCTCTGTTTTAAATTGAGAGCAGGGTCTTCTGCTTCAAGGTTCCATGTCTTTTGGGGGATGGTTGTCGATTGCAACCTAGTTTCTCTTCGTTATATATTTACCCGGGTGCCGAAGTATACATCAAAGGGACTCAATACCTAGTACTTCTCTATACCCAGCATGTCTAAAAATTCGGGTATGTCAATACCTAGTAGGTACCTAAATATGCTTTGACGAGCCAAGGTCTGAAAACCACCGTTGAATCTGTTGAATTCCTCCCAGATGCTGCGACTGTCCCGTCAGTCCTCGCCCAAAGCTTCTCCGCCACAAGTTTAGCAGATTGTCGAAATGCTCCAATAGTTGCCAAATTGTGGCAGTTGGAACTCAGTGTCTAGAAAGATGATGTTTCATTAACTAGCTAGCTTGCGCTCAAAGAGGGAGGCGCATGTGACATCTCCCCCGTACTCGTTAAGATCGTACGTCCTCGTAACGGAAAAAGTCAAGTAGCAAACATCAGAAACTGTGACGTAAAAGTCAAGTTGCGAACAATTTTTTGAGCCAGAGGGACGGCGAAGCGAAAAGAAAACTGGGCATCACGAATGATGCAACTGGGCCTCACGAATGAGACGTAGAAGTGGTATCTGAGTTGTCGGAGAACTCGTGCGCGAGATCAATAAGTAGTGTTCTGTAAAGGTCTAATTCGGGGGAGTCGCCAGTTTCGGCAGCGACTATATCCTGTAAGGCGTGAATCTGTTGATGCCATACGAGGGCGTCTGCCATGGCGTTGGCCTTTTCTGTGGTATGCACTGTGTTGAGAATGTTGCGTATGGCGGGGTTCAACGGAGCGCAGAAGCTGGCGAGCCAGGCGAGACACTGATTGGTGTCCGCAGTGGACTGTTCACCTAAAGCGATCGTTGCTAGGGCAGTGTCATTATCGCGGATCACAGCTGCTCGGGCTTCTAGACAGGCGATGGCCTGGTGCAACGTTGGGAAGGCAGGGCCGCCCTGTATGGCGATGATCCCTGCCGCAGTGTGGAAGTTCATGGAAATTTGAGATCGGGGGACGTGGGATATCGGTTGCGTTACCGCTGTGGTGCGCGAGGGCGTCGGGGCCGTCACTGACATTGTTGGAGCCGGCATAGGGTTAGCGGGTTGGAGGGTTGGAGTAGGATGAGTGACTTTCACCAATTTGGCCGGCTTGTCACGGGCGTTGTCAAAGGACAGTCGAGCACGCAGTCTTTGCACCGTAGGCCAGGAAAATAACGTAAAGAATTGCTCAAACTGCGTGGAGGGTCGAGAACCGGATGGCTTCGTTGTAGCTCTGATAAATGCAGTTTTTGACAAAGTTCTGTAGAAAAGAACCACACGAGGAGAAGGAAGCGACAGGAGAAGCTAAAACCGAAGGGATTACAGCTGTTTGCACTCATGCAAACCTTTGCCCCAAACCTGAAAGGGAGATGGAATACAAACCCATGAAGCTCCATGTCATAGGGGTGATTCGATCTCAGTACGAGTAGGATAATATCTGGGCCAAAGGTTTTCCGCAGAAAAAGACCCTAGTTCTTAAATGAGCATGAGACATATAGGCATTCAAAACATATTGCATTTCCTCATCCCATTTCTTTCTCCTTTGAAGTCGAGTCTGTTCGGAATGGGCCTGACCGATAGTCTCAACATACAATTTCACTCACCGGTCATCAGAAGATCAATCACAGGCATCGATATCCTTGTTGAAAGCCTAAGTGACGAGTCTATAATGCGTCAGGCAACGTCATACAATAAGTGCACCGGAAATCCCCAGTCTTAACTAGTGATCCGAGGATCTCCCTTACAGGAAGTAGTGCAGCACGGAATTGTAATTGGAGCCACACTCAAGCACAGTGCCCCTCCCCACGATAATCGTTACCGGATAGCATCTGCTAATGCAAATTGAATTCTGAGCTGCATACGAGTACTCCGTGCCAGAAAACTGAAATGTTAAGGACAGCAAGTCCGCCCGACTTGTACTGTAGCAGACTTGTCTCTACTACGCGATTTCCCCGCTCGGAAGTATCTTCCAGTCAGACGACAACAGAAAAATAACGGAACTTTGAACCAGTCGCGCTGGCAATGACCTGGTCGAAGCCGTTCTTGAGACTGCGAGATCAGCGACCGTGGCTGCTGCCACTGAGGTCTTCGCAGTCTTTTATCGTGACAACGATCTCCTTGTCTATGTTTACGGTGAATGACAGGATGTGTTCGAATGCAGACAAAAGGATGTTCAGCTAATGGGTGTGTATCTAGGATTTGTTTCTTTATGCGATGGTACTTACTGTTTCTTTACCGCCATTGCTGACACCTATCTGACTCGTCACAGATAGTCCCTGTGATGCCCGATGCCTTGGTCTTGCGGGCAGGAGTGGCATATGAAGACAGTATGAAGAGCCGGTAATTGTCTCAAAGCGTTCATCTCTAACTTCTGCCTTTACATAGGGGAGTTTTGGAACAGCGTTCTACTCATCTCGGAGGCCGTCTCGGCACTTACCTGTTGCCCCGTATTTGGATATATGATAGATACGTCTGGAACACGACAGGGACCATACGTATCGGGGCTTGTACTTCTGTTTGCGTCCATAGTGATATTCACAGCTTCACACTCGGTGGCCTGGTACATCGTTGCGAGGGTTCTCCAGGGAGCAGCAACAGCGATGGTATCGGTAGCCGGCCTTTCGATTGTGACAGACGCAGTGGACCGAGGGAGCCTTGGACAGATGTTTGGGTATATTGGCACTGCTATGACTCTCGGATTCATGTCTGGTCCAGTGTTAGGAGGAGTTGCCTACCAAGTTGGAGGTTTTTATGCAGTGTTCGGAATGGCCTTCGGAATTGTTGCTCTCGACCTGTTCTTACGGCTTGCCGTTGTCGAAAAGAGGATCGCTGAACGCTGGTTATGTTTCGCTGAGGGTGAATTGCCAACTCAGGAGAATGGCTATGTACCCGAGCAACCGCTATATGGAGCCACAGAAGATCTGAGCAACGAAGTTCAAGAACCACGGACCATTTTGGAAGCCTCAAAAGGTGCCTTCGCTTTGGGACGGCTCATAAGACAGCCGCGGATTATTATCAGTCTCTGGGCCGTCATAGTAGGAGCTCTTGTGGTTTCTGCCTTCGATGCGGTGCGAGACCAATCTTGGATGTTGCCATGGCCCATTTCGCTGACGGTTAACCTAGACACTTCCTATATTTGTTCAAAACACGTTCAATTGGAACGTCCTCGGAGCAGGATTGATTTTCCTCCCCGGCGCCTCGGCTGCAATTTTTCAACCATTCTTCGGTAAGCAGAGATGCTCTCCAGGGGCATGTTGCCACAATGCTTGGGACTGAGATATCATTCCAGGATTGTTGTCAGATCACCTTGGATCGCGAATTATCGCATTTTCCAGTTTCGTCATTCTGGCGCCGACTCTGTTCTGTCTACGCTTCGTCGAAGAAAAATCACCATCACATGTAGCCCTTCTTTGCGTGATATTAGTGTTTGTCGGAATGTGCATCGATCTCAGCGAGCCTGCCTTGCTCGTGGAAATACAACATGTCCTTGATGACATGGAGGCCAAAGATCCCGGCGTCTTCGGCGGAAAAGGCGCCGTAGCACAGGCTTTCGGGCTGGAAAATATGGCTCATTTTGGTGGTCTTGCACTTGGTCCTTTGGTGGGCGGCTTCGTCGAGTTTCGTTACGGGTGGAAAGTGATGACCCTTGGGCTTGCGGCCCTGTCGGCACTGACTGCAGTGCCCATGTTATGGCTCAGTGGCCACCTAGAAGATGATTCATGGACGGAATCTGCCGACGAAGAAATGGAGCGGGAGCCATTGCTGGGCGAGTAATTCATGTAGCACAGAAATGATTATTCTTTGCATTTCAGCCAAATCCGCTAGTGCATGTCACCCATAGAAGTCAGCTCACTGAGCTAGAGCCCCTGTATTTTCCCCGGAATCGTCATCCATGGGGATCGTAAGCCCTCGTGTTGCTTCCCTTCCCCTGACGATTATGGCAGGTTTATAATTGGAGGTCAGTGCACAGATGCAGATTATAGTCAGCTGCTCATGATTGGGGGGCTTTCATAGAGATGTGCGACGCAGGAAGCATAGCTCGACCACTGTGCGCAACTTGGGCGTGTCTTGGAAGCAGTCATATAGTCACACCGACCGGTAGCTGACCGACCAGAGTCATGAGGTCCAAGGCAGCCATTTTGGATCTTTAAAAAGAAAGAAACTTCCAGCTTCCGGAGAGTGATGCTGACACGGAGAGAGCTACCAACATGAAGCTGTTTGGGAGAATTCGCAATTCCCTGTCAACCATCTATACTGGGACATTGAGCCGGCTGCCATTTCACCACCCAAAAAGCAGCCATGAAAACACACTTCAACGAGGAAGTTACATCTTCCCAGCGGAGTCGGAGCGCCATGAGGCAACTATCATGGGATTCCCTTCACGATGCTCCCTACCCCCTGACCAGTATCATGCTGTCTGCAACGAATTGGTCCAGCTAGCGTTGACGATTGCCGAGTTTGAGCCAGTCCGCCTATATGTCCGACCCGAAGATATCCAATTGGCCGAGTCACTGGTCAAGGGCATTGACCCAAGCACGTCGGGAATAACCATCATCTCCTGTCCAATCAACCACTGCTGGGTCCGCGACACAGGCCCGGTCTACGTGCGTGACACGACAGGAGCGTTTCCGAACCGTCGTTTCGCAATCAACTTCCGATTCAACGAGTGGGGAGACAAGAAGCCTGAAAACGACGGAATCTGCTGGGGTCAACAGTGGCCCCTGATGAATGACCAAACCCTGAAGGAGAATACCGATTTCGCACGGTGGGTGATCGACCATGACCGTGAACCCGTCCCTGTTGAGCGCATCGATGCTCCGATTCGCGCCGAAGGGGGTGGTCTTGTCACGGACGGGGAGGGCACTCTCCTGATCACGGAAAGTAGTATTGTCTGCGAGGCACGGAATCCCGGGATGTCCAAAGCGGACATCGAGGTCGAATTGAAGCGGCTACTCGGGGTTGACAAGGTCATCTGGTTTCCCGGCCGGTGCAATGTTGATATTACCGACGTGCATATGGACGCTGAGGCACGGTTCGTGCGCCCTGGGGTGATCGCTTACTCCAAGCCTCACGCCCTTGCGATAGATTTGTGGCAAGAGCTGTCTACCGAGATCCGGGATATCCTGGGTCGCGAGACAGACGCGAAGGGTCGGCGTTTGCAGATTCACACCATTGAGGAGCCAGACCCACGCGGTCTGGTGGCATCAGACCAAGAGTTAGCAGCCAGTTATGTGAATTTCTATTTTGTCAACGGTGGGCTCATCATCCCGAAATTTGGCGATGAAGAGAGAGATCAGAAGGCGTTTGAGATGCTCCAGGAGTTGATGCCAGAACGGGTGGTCAGGCAGGTGTACTCTAGCGCCGTTCCCCTGACCGGCGGAGTGCTGCACTGCGTCACCCAACAGGTTCCGATTCTATAGCTCGACTCTCTTGTCTCTCTGGTCATCTTCAAAATCAGAGAATGTATGTGCAACAACTCCATCTCTTCCGACAGTTCCGACTCCGAGTAGAATAGTAATGACCTGGAATACGAGCACAAATCATGCAGGCCACTAGTACTTGCAAAGTGATCTGTGACCAAAAGCAAAAGTGCGTACGCTTACATTTTAGCGAGATCCTGGCACGATCGAGGACACAAATATCGAGATTCAAGACCCTAGCGTCCTAGCGTGATCTGCAGTGGAACTCCGCCGATCGAGCTGAGAACAGTGGGGGGATCATGGGTTCATTGGCTTCTACTGGTATAGCCCACTACGGAGTACTGCCCACTTCATACAGCCCATGTACGGCCCAGGTCCCTTTCGTGCTGCACACCGGAGTCGAGGCCATTGTGCCTGCATGAAAAAACCTGAATCGACTGATTCCATCACCTAACGGATTTTAACTAGCTGCAATTCATGGATCCATCTCAGCTAGTTCGCCATGAGGTACTAGTATTTCGACATTGATGATACTACGCTCACTCTACACAAGCTGTGGGCTGGGCTGTGCGCTAGTTGCACTACTTGGAAGTGTAGTCAGTGGAAGCGACATTGGTGTATGTGTACTCTGTACGTGTACGACGATATTGGCTGGGGTTCTTGCTGCGTACACGTATTTCTACGCTCCAGCTCGTCATTCACACTGACTCCACTATCCACACCTTCACACCAATGGCCCGATCACATTAAAACTTGACTCGAGATGTGCAGAAATGTCTCAATCGGCTGGCCTAGTCGCTCAATGGCGCAGGTTACTTATCCCATGCGTTCCTTCTTGGACATTATACGTGAGGACCGCAAAAGCATACATGTGCGTGTCAGAGAGACAGACCTCATTGGCTCAACTGTGGCTCAACTGGGGCTCTCAATGAGGTCTTTGTCCCGTGCAACTTGTTGCTTATGCCTCAGCGTGGAATCCAACGTAATGGATCGTTTCAATTGCGTATAAACTTGCTTTTTATTGGTCTTGGAGCTCATCACCCCGGGGGTGATGATCAAGGTCTGGGGCCTCTATAAACGCCCATTTCTTCGCTCAGGGCAGTACGCGATACATTTCATCTTTTAGAAACCGTATTGTACCATAGTCTCACTGGTCACTTCATGAATATGCTGTTTCAGTTGCAAAATTCCCCATCTACTTCAATCCTCCTCGACCGAGTCATTTCCTCAATAATGACACTGCTTCCTGCCCCCCGCCAGCCTTCTTATATCGACAAAGCCATTCACGTCCCTGGATACCGGGCTTCACCAGGCGATCTTATCGACTTTGCCATCGAGAGTCGCATTCAACGTATAGTGAAACGCTCAGCTGTCGGCGGCGATGACCCATTTTTCGTGGCGGATCTGGGCCAGGTCGTTCGACAAAATCGACGCTGGATCCAAAACATGCCTGGAATCAGGCCTTTCTACGGTATGCTTCCCTAGGATCGAGACTCGGAGATATCTGCACCGTAGTCAAAGTCCATATAATCCGTTTCCGAAACAAAAGGCTAAAATTTGACGTAGCGGTCAAATGCAACTGTGACCCCACGTCCCTCAAGGTTCTTGCAGATCTCGGTACAGGATTTGACTGTGCATCTATCGAGGAGATGCGGGCAGTGCTTAATCTCGGGGTAGATCCAGCCCGGATCTTATTCGCGAATCCATGCAAGGCCCCCGCCGCCGTGGCATTCGCAAGGGAGGTCGGCGTTTTAAGAACAACGTTCGATAACATCGATGAATTGGACACTATCAAGGCGCACATGCCGGAGGCTCAATTATTACTCCGCATATATGCTAATGACGAAGGCGCCTTCATATGCCTAGGGGAAAAGTTCGGTGCGCACCTGGACACGACCGAGGAGCTCCTCGCACGGGCGTGGGAGCTTGACCTGAATGTTGTTGGCGTTAGCTTTCATGTCGGTATGTGATTGGTATTGCGACTCTCATAACAATCCATTGACACTCGGATTTTTAGGAACTGGCGCTACTAATCCAGCATCATTTTGCAATGCCATCAAAGATGCACGTTCAGTGTTTCTGCAAGCTGAGCGTCTAGGATTTCACCCTAAGATTCTTGATATTGGTGGTGGCTTCCAGGATGACTGCTTTGAGTCTATGGCTCCAGTGATTCGGGATGCCATTCGGTCTGAGTTCCCGACTCATATCACAGTAATCGCAGAGCCTGGTCGATTCTATGCGCGCAGCGTGTATACTCTGGTCTGTCGGGTTATCTCTCGTCGACGCCAACTTGGGAGCGCAGCGGCATCTGGAATTCCGGATATGCTTTACCAGAACGATGGGATTTATGGAAATTTCATGAATGTCATTATGGAGAAGGAGGTCATGGTTCCGCATTTGTTGAGACCCAAGAAAAGCAAGACTGGACTCTCGTCGAAATATAGAACAGATGTGAACGAAAAAGGAAATGAGGCGACATCCCCATCGGCCTCCCATCGTTACTCTATTTGGGGGCCGACCTGTGATAGTACAGACTGTGTGGTACGAGAAGTATCCTTGGACAGCGAGGTCAAAATTGGAGATTGGTTCAAATATAAGAACATGGGAGGTGAGTGTTGCCAAGGTCTACAATCCCACTCAGGTACTAAACTAATCACTCGACATCCCCAGCTTACACGAGTACCACCGCCACCCAATTCAATGGCTTTAGCAGTGCGTGTGATGTGATCTATGTGAACAGTGAGGCGTTGCTTGATGTTTAGTGCCCAGGTGGGAAGTCCCATGATGTTCAGGGGTTCGACTTTTGGGTGGCGTTGAAGTATAAACTACCAATATACATGCTTTGATTCCAACTGCATCTCCAAGTAGAGATATGGCTCACGTACGCATGTCATACGACCTCGGAATGGCGCGAATATGCTGGGTAGCCATGGATCTGATGTCTCGAAGCAGTGGTGATCTTGAATCGCACCGTTCATGTATAAGAGTAAGCCAAGGTAAGCTTACAATGCTGATTAGTTTGGAGAAAATGAAACATGAATAGCCTGCATTCATTCAGCCTGAGCCAGCAGCCTCTTGCTTGTGTATACCGAAACCCATAACCATGACTAGATAGCAGGAAGCCTAAGCCCATCCAGAATGAACCAATTGCACGCTTGAATAACACACCATAAACATCAAAAGTTTTCCCATATCTCAGGTAGGATGAAAACAACAAAGAGGATATCAGTCATAAAGAAAGGAGACATAACAAAAAGTAAGATGCGATCGATGCCGATATATAAAGAGAAATCGAGTGCGAGAGAGCGTGTGAAGAAACGAAAGAACACACCGAGAAATAAGAGCAAGCTCCTATGAATATCAGGTCTTCTCCACCCCGGACATCGGGACGTCATCCTGGATGGCGTTTTCCGGGGGAATAGGCGGTTTCGCGTCTATTTCATAGGACTGGGTGTCGGGAGCCGACTCACCCTGCTTCTCTGAGACACCGGTGGAAGTTCCGCTCTGAGGTCGTTTCCGGCCCAGTCGTTCACACCAGTGCTCAGCACTGACCAATGTGTCGTTGACCACACCGCTGACCTGAGCCATCATGTCCAATCCCTCTTGTGCCAGAACCAAGATCCGGTGTGCACTGATTGTGGCATCGGACGAGGCAGCGGGCGAGTCTGGAGGTGGGTGGGATGTAGATGCCACCTGGAAACGGTGAGGGAGAGAGGTCAAGTGGCGGCGCACCAGGTGACGAGCATTCTCTGGCAGCGCACCTCCTGCGTATTTCGAGACAACATCCACAACCTGTTTCAAGGTTGAGAGGACGTCTGCTTTGACGGCCTGGATGCGCTGAATGAGAAGTGACGCATTCTCTTGGCGACTATCTCCCGCCTCCACATCCGCTTGCGACATGCTCTGCTGTCGAGCCTTTTGATTTTCCCACTCGGTCACAGCACCGTGGAGGGCTACAATGGATTTTCCCAGTCGCCCATTAGCCCATCGAAGCCAAGTAAGGCAGTATTGCAAGCTTCGTAGCGATTCATCGCTCATGGCGACTCCCAGGCCTGAAGTGGAAATGACGAGTCTGCTCTGCCATGTCGGTTCAGCCCGTCGCCCAGGCTTTTCTTCGTAGTGAGGCGACTTCATTTCATCGTAAGGAGGTAGCGACTCGGCCATTGAAAGATCAGACGGACTCCGTGCCCGCGTGGGCTGACCCGGGATATCCCCCTTCTCGACATCCACAGTCCTCGGCGATACATTTCCGTCCATCTTTCGTCGTTTGTTGGTTTGATTGGAATCCTCGTTCGTCGAATCCCGTCGCTGCAGCGCCCACCGGAGACCGCTCTCCACACCCGTCTTACGACCTACCGTGCCGACGGTATTTGCGACAGGTGAACCAATATTGCGCTCGATGAACTCTGCGCCAGACTTGAATCGCGGCGAGTATGATTTGGATGTGGCATAGGCCGAGACTGAGCCGTTGATGGCAGAGGAGATGAGCGGGTGAGACGATGTGAGCAGCGACAGGAGGGGCTCTGCTGGTGGGTCCGGCGAAGCGACGGGGAGGGATTGTCGTGATGTTCGAGGAGATTGTCCGAAATCTGTAGACCCAAATCAGTGGTCAGTCCGTCGCACAGTCCCAAAGCAGCTAGAACTGGCGATATTTTGAGACTCAGATCTACTACATACCGGAGCGTAGCCCCTCCAAGGCCTGCGCCGCCTCGAGGTCATCCATCGATAAGACACTGGTGGCTCGTCGAGATCGATCCATGGCATGCTGTGATATACTAGTAGAGAGCCGAGATGTCTCCATGCCCCAGGTGAACGAGTCGCTCACTTTCACGTGAAAAGGACTGTCCTTGCACTAGGCCTCGTTAGGAAGGACAGATGAGGTAATCCCAGGTACTCGCCTCCCCCATACATTACGCTATGACAGCGGATGTACCCTCCTTCACATGTCACTCTGTTAGCCGATAGAACTCGGCAATCGCAAATTTGGTCTTTGACCTGTTAGCTTCGGACATCCTCCGTTGCTACTTGTGTTACGGAGTACACTTGGACATATCAATGCCTTTGCCTACTATACTCCGTAGCCAGGCGGGGTAGTACGATGCCCGGAGTACGAGTACTTCCTCTCGAGGGCAGTCGGAAGTTGAATACGAGGCAACCTGGATCATGGCTCTCCACGTAGTGTTACGCCTTCATTTTGTACGTATGTACTCTACACGGAAGACTTTGGTCCGCTCTATCACATGGATGTCAGATGCCGATCCCGGGAGATCGTACAATCCTTTCGATTCGTGGAGTTTTTCCTGTTGGGCAAACCCAGAGTGTGATTTGAACGCCTTACAATTTGTTGGGCCGGTCTGAATACATGTGACGCCAGGAAATCTGGGGAGCGGCAAACTTATCGTATCTGCCGGTAGATCGTTTAGGCATTTAACCCCTTGCATGTGAATACGATGTACGAGTACGGTGTAAGTCTCATATAGTCATTATCGTGCACATAAACAAAGACATGGTACATCCAGGTCGTGTCAAAAGGACATCATAGCTTCAATGACATCGCCCCCTTCATATTCATCCAGGTCAGCATCAGCTTCAATCCCAGGAACTTCAGTAGTCGTGAGGTGGGAGACCATCTTCTGGTTCACCCGGTAGGTGGCAATGACTTCGTTGACCACCGGACGGGATGCCGAACAGGACGCCTTCATCTGGCATAAGATCTCGCCGAAAGCGTGAATGACGAAGGCCGTTCGAGGGTATCGTTGATAGGTGTATGACGCTAGTACTCGCAGCCACTCGGTGCGACTATTCTGCCAAGTATGGATGAGCGGGTGGCTGCCCTGTTCCGGTGGCGGAATGTCACTGGCGCTCTCGACAGCCTCGCGGGAGGTGAGCGAGTACCCTTCGCTGGAGGCGTTTCCTTCAATCCATTTATTATACAATCGCTCGATTGAGGTTTGGATTCCTTCCAGGGCAGTATGCAATTGCCTAGAGTCGATTTCTTCGGTCGCTGCTTTTTTCACGGCTTTCCATGGCTGAGTGAGATCTTTATCGAGATCTTCCTGGACCTCATGCTCGGGGAATGCGTCATTCAACCCCGACAGGATCCTGGTCTGCTCGGACGTCGCAACCGAGAATTTGAGGAAGTCGACAATATTAGTGACTTTAGGCTTGCGAGTTGAGCCAGGACGATAAGCCGGCAGACCACGAAGCTTGGGACTAAGCTTCTTTCTGAAAGCTTTCCATGCTTGCTCCGAAAGCTCAACACCGCCCTTGCGGGCATCCACCAGATGGCTTAACAGGCAGGCCATCTCTTTCGCATTGGCAGAGTCGATGGACTCATCGTACGCCAGCTTCTCGTGCTCCACTGTGCATCGGCCAAGGTTCGAGGTCGTAAGGTTGAAACTGAACGCACTCTGCAAAAAGTCCTCCGTTGTTTCCAACTCAGACATGGGCACAGAACGTTTGATAAGACCATAATGAGCAGGTGGGTATTCGGGTGGAAGAGAGGAGTTCTGGAAATTCTGCACGATCATCGGATCCCAGCAAACCCACGGCGTGTCACCATCATAGTCTCCACCAGACAACATATGGGCAAGTGGGACGTCGCCCTTCGTAGAAAACACGATGACATCTTTGAAATGGCGTAGGTCATGCTTCCAGACTGCTCGACGCCGTTGGATATCCGAAGGAACATGGGCAGGGAGTCGACCGACCAGAACATCCACGCCATCTAACAGATTGTCCTCGAATTGACCATTCGGGTCACGCCAATTACTCGAGAAGCCGAAATGCACTTCATCCGCTTCGAGCACGCCATATGGATCAGCGATACAGTAGGCGTATGTTGAAAGGGGAACTTCAATCTTGAGCTCTTCCACCTGCCGGGTGAGCAGCCAAGTGAGATATTTTCGAAGTTTGACACGGAGTGGATAGAAGTCTCGTGGGGCGAATCCAGCTTCTGAATATCTGATAATGGATTCCGCCTCATTCGCCGTCCATTCTTCCAAACGCCGCGCTTTACCAGTGGGATCATCCCCGGAAGGCCTCAGCTTTTGAAGCAAGGCACGACAGGAAACAGGGCTATTGGACTTGAGAACCTCAAGGAAGTCATCATACAGTTGCTGCACACCATTTCGAATCAATTGAGCGATGTACTCCTTCACCAGAACGCCTGCGCCATGCTGAAGGATCCCGAGGAGCTGGATATTCAAATCCACCGGGTGGAGCGGCTTAGCCCAATTCACAACCTCAAAAGTGAGCTTCTCCTCATCAAAAGGACCAAACCAGTCCTGTGGATGAGGATGAATCTTCAATTGCGAGTCAGATATTTGAATCCAAATGTCATCACCGTCTACCATCTCAGTGCCAATACTGGACTGATGGCGATCGACCATCCATAGACCTTTCGCGCCTGCAATTCTGCCTTGAAAGCAACTCGGCGTTGCGGTGGTGATTCCCAGACGATCACAGATCCTATTTGCAAGTGCCCTAGACATCAGAGCGCACCCGTCATTCATGACAGTGCGGCCAGCGGGATCTTTAAGACGAAGGACCTGACTCGGTTTCAGAGTGACTGTATCAAAGGTCTTGGATAAGCCCAGTGAGATTCGCTGGAAGAGCTTGCAATTACTTTGGTTTGCATTGGCAGCAGTTGGCATATGCCACTCCAGTAATCTTGCCACGCTCATCGGCGTAGGCTTTTCCCCGGATGATCGGGGAGCAGACACAGCCGGTACAAGCTTTCTAGACCAAAGTTCAAAATCTCCACCAGCAACAGCAAAGAAATCCACACGGAATCGAGGCTCAGTCTGGGTCTTCTTCTTACTCTTCACTTCCTCGACATAGAATGCGCGCCATGTGCGACCGAGACAAGAATGGTCATGACGAGTCAACCATGTGGCCATACAATCTTGAAGCAAGGAAGAATCAATATTCTGATGATGGGGCGGTCGAGAAGGAGCAGGGACTGTGATAGTCAAGAATCTATCAGATCCGAATCTTCGGTGAAAGCGACAAGTTCGCTCTGTCTTGAGGGGATTCAATTTCAATTTGAAGATACCAAACTCGGAATCATCGCACCAATCCATTTCTCCGGACAAGACCACGACCTCAGATTGCTTCTTCGATTTGAAATTGTCGATCGCAGAATCCCAGGCCCGGGCTGACGACTTCTCTGGAAGTGGACAGTTACCCCGTTGATTGTGCCCAGCAACCCAAGTCCAAAATCTGTCTTGGGTATCGTGAGGAACATGATCTCCGACAAGCATGCGGTCGAAAGGGACATCCCATGCACGGCCAATTCTCTCCAACTCATATCGGAACCTGAGAGGAATCTTTGCTGGAAATGAATCCTTTGAAAACGGGCCGTGGGCGAGTAATTCGCCAAGGATCTCTTGCTTAAGAGAGTCTTTTGTCTCAACGGGATCGTGATTGACCATCATTGATGTAGAAGCAGCGTGGAAGCTTCTTTCCATCTCCTCACTAGTCATCAAATCAACGACCGAGTCTGTATATGTTGATTGCGTATCCATTTCGGTGAATTCAGTCATGTCCGTATCGAACGATCGCTCCATACTATCATGAGACATGCCAGCCAAAGACGATGTGCGCGTAGAGAAGCTCGTGGTCACCGAGGGCGGCATCCTAGGCTCATCGTATTTTCGTTGGCTCGAAACCGCTGCCAGCTTATCCATCAGATGCGGCTTTCTGAACTCGCTTGAAGGCGAATCATCCTCCTGACAGGGTGGAGCAGCGACGGGACTCTGCTTTTGCATCCATTCCGAGATCTTGGTTTGTTTCAATGGTGAAAGTAATGTCTTCGGAGGCTTTGGACTAGTCTCTGCTGGCTGGGGGGCCTGGGGGCGTCTAATGGGCGATTGGAATGACCCTTGAGCCGACGCCGGCGAGGCGCTGACCGGTCCCCGGGCTGGAGAGTAGGGACCGGGCTGGGGTTTGGAAGGGACTTTAGGGATCCGACGGTCCCTCAGAGGAGTGTCCTGAATCTTTGGCGGCACTGGGAAAGTTCCCGAGTACTTTGGCGGAGCTCGACTGAACTCTTGACTCTTCCTCCGTGGGGGTTGATTGTGCTGGCCTCCATAAGAGCTCGATGTTCCAGAAAAACTGCGTGCCAGTGCCTTGGCGGGCGTCATTTGAGGCATCTGGAAACTTCCATCGCCATGCTTTCCCAGTGGCGACTGTCTCATTGCCAGCCCCGACTCCTTCGTTGGAGAATTCGGGGCTGTGTGGAACTCATCTTCATCGGTAATCCTTCGTTTTTTGAAAGATAAGCCTTTGACTTGTTCCAATGGATCGCCGGCTAACCTTTTCGCATCCTGACGGCCATGGCCTATGAGATATTGCTCATCTTCGATCAGCTTCAGCAGGTACTTTGTCCGTTCATCTCGCTGTTGGGGGGTGGGGGCGGGAAGCGGGGGAGCCCTCTGGTAACGGAGTTGCACTTCGGCTGTCCCGCGAACCCAATCCTCCAGGTCTGCCTTTAGGCTTTCATGGACAAATTTGCTATTGTAGAACAATGGCCGTAGGTGTTTAAACACCTGATAGGGCAAGGTGGTGTTATTCTCTCGACTAGAGGGTGACTGAATGCCCGGCAGGGGAATTTCCAACCCAAAAGTGCTATTGAGCTCAGTCACGTATTGCCGAAAGTCGGGTTTCTTGCGTTGAGGGGTAGTTGGGTTCATGGCGCACAGCCATCTACTCGACAAGAGAGTGAGAGCTGAGTAGAGAACATGGAGAAAAATGACCGGCAGATGCATGGATTCTGTCGGCGTCTCAGGGAAATGAAAGAACGGGTGCAGACCAATCTAGATACGTCGCTGGCGAGAAAAAGCAAAACGAAGACCAATTATCACAACTGCAGAGGCAATTGGCCTGTCTAAACGGTTGGTTGCTATGCAAAGAAACTGTTTACATGGCCCCTTTTGGCGTTTTCCACACCTGTCACTCACCCGCACACCATTTTCAGCTGGTTCCTGATGCCGATGCCCTGGGCTTCGGATACATGCATCATTCAAGGCTCTATCTGGTCGTTCAAAAAGGGCACAAAATGAAATCATGAGCACGGGGCTGCAGTCGAAGGAGCCTCACTTGGGTGATCATGCCCGGTTTTGTCCGTCCATAAATCCACGTCTTTTGGTTGAACATGCTTGCTGTGGACAGCAACCTTGTATCCAACCATGAGCAATATATACAAAGGGATGCTAATATAGGAAGCCACAAACGAACTGACATTGAACCTCCGCTCACCAGATTCGAAACTGAAAGAGTCAAACACAATAGTCACCGAGATAAACAAGCAAAGAACCAAGGCCACACAGGTGCCAGGCAGACCAAAACGAGCTCGGAAGGCCAGAGACTTATCCGGGACCCCTTGAGCTTTTCTCGCGCGCACAAACGAAATGTGGGTGACAAGAATTGAAAACCATGTCAGCAGGCCGAGCATTGTGACCATATCCACGAAATAGCCGAAAATAACCGTCGAATCTTGATTCACGTTGAGATATGCTAGAGTCGCAAGCAGCGAGCATATCCCCAAGGCGTATATGGGGACACCTCTGTGCGTGGTTCGAGACAAGAAGGCTGGGGCACGGTGCTTCAGGGAGAGATCACACATTGCTTTGGTTGCAAGATACAGGTCGTAGTTGGCGATGGACAGCACAAACGCCAGAATAAATGCATTCAATAGGTCTGGGAGAACGGAAATGCCGGCGAGATAAAGCGCCGCCACAAATGCAGATGCGGCAGCACCGTGGGACGCTCGGCTGTAGAAGGCCACAGATATAGAGTTCTGGGGAATGATCATTCCCAATAGCGTGATCGCCAGAAGATGGAAGACGAGAATCCGATAGAAGGTATTCCTGATAGCTCGAGAAGTTGCTTTCCGAACATTCGGGAAGTGACACATGCCGGATCGTTCACTTCCAATATATGCGAACGTCGCAGACGACATCGTTGAACAGGTGATAGAAAACTTGTCGATGAATCCGTCGCGTCGGTGAGAACCAAAGGCACCTGGGTATAGCCAGTAACGAAAGCCTTTCCGGTCATGGTCCGGTGCTCCCCCTAGCGCAATGATAATCGAGAGGATCATGAGGCCAAGCATGACAACAAGCTTGCATGAAGCCATGTAGAACTCGATGCGACTAGGCAGACGGTGATTGATGCAGTTGAGACTCACTATAATGGACAAAAAGATGGTGATCCAAATACCGGGGTTGACTTGCTCAGCATCGACCCAGTAAGAGACCACGAGAGCCGCGGCAGTAAGCTGATTGGGGGTGACGATGGCATACTTGAGCCAAAAGCTTGGTCAGTTAGCAAACCATCAAGGGAACCATGTCAAGCGTTGATGGCTTGACTTACATCCATCCGAGCGCGAACCCGAGCGCAGGGTCACAGAATCGCACAGCCTGGTCTGCAACGGTGTATGGCTTCGGTAACCAAGAACCCACCTCACCTAAGGCCGAGAGGACGAGGTAAACTGCAAGCCCAACGATAGTATATGAGATGATGATAGCGGCCGGCTACAATGGATTAGCGTCCGTCTCAACCTGGTGGAGGTGTGCTCACGCCGCTCCTAGGTTAACATCAGCGCGGCTCACTGTGAATCCATCGATCAAGATAGCCTCATCTGTTGGAGCAGCCTTACATTGATAATGCTCTGGAAGTCCCTACCATCAAGCCTGTTCCAATCGCTGACCCGACCGCTGCACGCGAGTTAGCGAGATCACAATACTCACCGTGCGAGGCATACTGATCATGCTAATCTGGCGGGGTGTTAATGACCCATAGATATCGGTAAACCCAAGGGCATGGTCAGATGTCGGAGGAGATACATGATCAATGCCGGGTTCACTGGGCAAGGGTCGTGGGCGTCCAGAGGACATAATGTATGTCACTTCCGGGAGGGTAATATATCTACCTAGGTAGCAGACAGTATCGCAAGTCAGAAGTAAGAGCCAAGAAGAACTGTGGAAGCAGATGATTCCCAAGTCAAGGCGGCAGTCGCCCGATTAGGCAGGCGTGAGAAGCAGGAGGTTGGGATAGGTCTTTCCAATGGGGATATATTTTCTATATGCAAAAAAGTCCATCGTGGGACAAGTAGAATGGCATATGAAACAAAAAAATAATAGTGGATAGAAGCGTTTCCCATGCCAACTCGATGATTGCCAAGATTGAGGCACCATAAAGCTGGCGAGGGTCTAAATTCCAAAGGCCAGATCAAAAAACGCCCAAAATTAGTCGCACCCAAAAGCACCATTCGGTTGCAACCTGAATCCCATGACCCCGTGGGGCCAGAGGGGGAGTGGAGATGTCATAAAGTCTTTAACGAAAATTACCAAGTGGCGGTTCGGGAACGACTGGCGTTTGGTCTGTAACGGTCGCTCCCTGAGGCGGAGGTGGAACATGAGATAGGAAAGGGGGTTCCGAACGATCCTTTCATCGCGACATGAGCGAGTCGCTGGACTCTGTGCGGGGGAATATGCGAGTGTAGAGGGAGTCGCTGGACTCGGTACGGGGGAAGTGCCGTTGGTGCTTCCGTGAGATCGTCCGATCGGTGTAAACACCCTTAGCAGAGCCCCGAATCACTTGCTCCAGATATTCGCGGAAGTCTGTGGGGTGGAAGTCGGGGTACAGATCCTGTGTGGTGTGGTAACCGAGGTACTTGGCGTAGTCGGGGTTGTTGTCGCCGCGGATTCCCCAGGAGAGCTGGTATTCGGCCAGGTACCGAGGAATGAACTTGATCGGGTCGAAGGGGTAGGTTTCACTGGCCTGTCGGGCCGCCACGACTCTGCTGCAAATGGTCTCCTCGGGGACCTGTGATCCGAAGAAAATCATTAGCCACCTTCATCTCGAATCCGAGTACCGGGGACACATACGTAGTTGCGATCGATCTTTTCTTCACTCAATTCCTCCATGAGCTCGTAAATCTTGTTTTGGGTGGACACCAGGTTGTAGGCGAGGATCTTCTTGTTCAAAGTGCGGTCGTCGGAAATAATCATGGCCATGTAGCGGCCGATGTCTCGCAAATCGGTCAATGCGGTGGGCATGTTACCATCACCAATAATCTCGTCGTTGCCGGAGGTCATGGCGTAGTCGACACGGCCGGAGGGGAGGCGGGGGTAGGCCAGCTGGTACCACCAGCCGACATCGACGATGGTGTAGGGAACCCACAACTGACGGATCTGGTTGTACACAATTTCCTTCTGTTCAAAGTGAAGATGACCGGTCAGTCCATTGGGTCTTTCATGTCTGCTGTCCATGGCGTTGTTCATACCTCATCGCGCAGCCACATGACACCGCCGGGCGGGCAGACGGTGATGAACCCACAAGGCACGAAACGCTTCACACCGGTCTTTTTGGCTGCCTTGGCGAGGGGAATCTGGTCCTGTTGTTCGGCGGGACCGACACAGCTGATGACCACATCAATTCCGGCGAGCGCCTCAACCAGCTGTTCCTCGGGGGCCTTCAAGTCGCATTTCCGAACCTGACATCCCCGATCCTGGAGGCGCGTGATGGCAGGCTTCTGGGCGGAGATTGGGCGCACCAGGGCAATAACTTCCTACAGTCGCCAAAGAGGATGGGTCAATACATTGCACAACTCGTTGATGCTGGGCCACGTACAAAGTCACCGGTATCCAGCAGGCCGTTAGCGATGGAACCTCCGGTTTCACCCGCAGCACCGACCAACAAAACCGTGGTCTTCGACATGTTGAACAGAGATAGAGATGAGATAAAATGGATGGAGGGGTGGATGGAGGGAGAGAGAGAGAGAAGCAGGGATTGGGTAACAGGTTTAGGACCTGACGACGTTATAAATTCCCTACCCACTTTCCCATCCGGTGGGTCGATTTTCCCCTCGTTTTGGTTTTGTGACATACTTGCTCTCATGACTTTTCTTGTTTTTTACTGTCTACAGTACTGTCTACAGTCTACTCTACTCTACTCTACTCCTATTCAAAGGCATTCTTATTGATATTCAGAGTACTTGTTGTGTTGTATTGTGTCTGCCCAGGTGGTTCGGGTCTTACGTCACATGGCTTCCCGTGCAATGGCTAATGATGATGTTTGCGGCTACTCGTATGTGCATCAAGACCTTCAGATCAGGAGAAAGGAGACAGCATGAAAGCTCAGACTAAAGCACAAGGTGCCATCAGCCAAGCCCTGGTCAGGCCCTTTTACAGCCCCTTGTTCCCCGTGCAGAATATTGGAAAACCCACGTCACAGATCCCGATCGAGCAGCTCACTGTCCTCCGGGCTGTACACATACATGTACTCCGTATACTACTCCGTATACTCTGTATAGTTGTACTCCGTACACACACAAAATCAATTCCTGGGCAGTGAGGGCAGTGACGAAATAGCTTAGTCAGGGTGGCGCCGTCACCAAAGTGGGAGTCATGGCCAATCACCAGCCAGAGCTGCCTATAAGAGCCCGTATAGTAAGCAATAGTATCGATTGCTTATTGCGGATACGGATAGTTGGGCTGAGAAGGCGTAAGCCACAACCGGGGGATCTTACTCGGTCTGGTGGTGACCTCGTTGCCTCCCGTCTCAACCTTGGAAGAGTACGGAGTACCATCACGGAGTGGAGTAAAGTGACTCGCATCGCGAGTTTGGGGATTCCTCTGCATGCGGTAACGAAAAGGGGCGATCTCCGGGCCGTCTGGTAATCATCGCGGGGAATGGAGGGCCCAAGCAAAGTGACGTTCTGGAACAGAAATCATGATCGTCGTTATGGGCGGTTAGCTGAAAAGGGCGCATGTGACCAGAATGGCTGGATAGCCTGCCCAGGTGGGCAGCCCTGGAGGATATTTCCAAGTTGGCTTCAATAATGCCTCATAGCAGGGTCGCACCATTCCAGCTGAGTACATAGGGGCTCCAGATCTACCTACATAGGTAGGTACTCCGTACAGAGTACGGATGTCGAGATGAGGGAACAAAGGAAGCCGTGGAAATAGCACTGGAATCCCAATATTCAGTACTCTGCACACATGGTCTGTTTCCTGTCAAACCCTGGAAACAATCAATTCAGGGGCTTGTCCAAAACTGGCATCCAATGGGTACTTTTTATACTTTGAAGTCTGAGCCTTGAACCTTTGGCCCGAGACTTTTCCATCCAATTGGTGAAACGCTATAGCTTGAATTCGAGAGTCGATGTCCTGTCGCCTAACTTGCTCATTTACAATCTCATCGGTGAGAATGTCTCGGCTATGCAAGTATACCGAAACAGTGCGTCCCGTATAATCTTCGACGCCATAAGTAAACTCCACGTCCCCTGGTAAGCAAGGGAGCCGGTTGCCTCGCCTGTGATCAGCTCCAGAGCCCGGCAGTTTGCGGCGACCTCGTCCAGTGCGGACTGGCAATATTTCCCATTGATACTTCTGTGCCTACGAATGAAGATTGCTATTCATAATACTCCAAGTTTCTTGGCTTGTTAGTTGCTATAGCTAAATGGACTCGACTTTGATGTGCCAACAACCATCCCAATATGAAACTTGCGTACGGATACGTGCATGGATTCAGCTCACCAGGATTGGCTTAAACTTCCAAGGTTGCTTGATACCTCGATATTTTCGACCATCAATAGACGTTGGCATGTTCTTCCAAGGTTAATTTCCGCTGCTATAAAGCAGCCGAGTAACAAGCAGGTCAACTTACAAGGTCCAAGGTTTAGCGGGCGATGGAAATACTATTCTCGATGCACATACACATCTCCTTCAGTCATCGCCATTACCTAGGTACCTACTGTCTACATACAGTATGAAACAATTAGCAGAAGAAGCTCCATGATATTGATAAAAATAAAAGCGATAATGGGTATCTGGCATAATGGCATAAAAAGCAAAGTCATACAGCAAAAGCACAAAGAAACACACAGAAACAAGGAAGCCCATCAACATTCTGCCTCCCCCCAAAGTTCCTCCAAAGCCTTGATATGGCCATTTGAGCGAGCAATCTCCGTTATCTCCTCCTCCGTCAGGGGCGCCTCAGATGGCGGATCATATCTGATAGTTCGGAAAGGCACGCCCCGAAAGGAAAACACAGCAGTCCGCTTCCTTTGTTCCCGCCTCTCATGTTGGATCCGAGCCCAGAGCCATCTGACATCCTGAAGGCGCCTTTCCCGCTCACTTTGACCTGCCTTCCATTCCTCGTATTGCTGGTCGAGCGAGTTTGTCGGATCCATCACCCAGCCCACTCCCCAGTCTGGGTCGAAAGGTTGTGTGTGTGTGGCATTGTCGGACGCGGCAGTTTCCCATTGCCAATGGCGTAGCTCGATGACATCCTCCTTGTCACGGCACATGGTCAGCATACTCTCAGTACGCATGATATGCCGGCGAATGTGGGTGTCCATCTGATAGTGTGCATATAGCACCATGGTCTCGCTGGCGACTTGGCCGGTCTCTTTCTCGAAATGCCGGATGATGGCGTCGACCATTTTGAAATAGCGGCGTTGTTGGGAGTATGTAATGTCCGACCAGAACGTGAGGGTTTGAGGCTGGATTGAACATGTATCGAGTGGAGATATCTCCTCAATTGGTGCAGCCTTGTCGGCAAAGTATGGTGGGTACTGGGTCACGATATACACGCCTTGGGCGATATCCTTTCGCATTTGGTTGATTGTGGTGCCTTGCTCTGTGGACTTCGTGCAGTAAAGTGCTTCCTGCAGAGCCTCGTTGCGCCGGGACTTGGATCCGTTAGCGAAATGAATACACAGTCGTTGGCGTTTGGCGGCATATTGTACAAGTTTTTCCTTCAGGGCCTCTGTCCATAGCTTTCTCCGGGCAGCACAGGGCTTGCTGATACGGTTGATCCTCTTCTGGTGGGAGATTGCCATGGTGATTGATTGTGCAATGAAGTCTGCGTAATGGCTTGGGGGATGTATGAGTGAGAATTCGTGATCAAACCCCGTGGTGAGAAGGATATGCGCCAACGGTGATGCCGTTGGGCATGGCTTTATACAATCCATCAAGGGCCTTTGTGCTGACATTGTCAATAAAGAAAGAGGAGAAATAGTAGAATCCATTGATTGTATTGTGGATCAGTGGAGACAATAAGAGCGGCTTAGTCTGTTTCCTATTGATTCGAGCTAACAAAGGGAGCCCTAGGAGAATAATGAATCCTCCACTGTTCAATAGAACACTTTAAAATTAGAGAACCAAAAGCCAGCCTGATGCGAGAAAGCATCAACTAATTATAATGCTTGATGTCTGAGCCCATATGACGTGGGGGTGAAGGTCATCTGGAGGTACGATTAAGCTCGAGGACGTGACTAGATCATCTCGAGGGCTGCCCAGTGCGCTGGCTTGAGATCATCGGATAAAGAATACATTCCCAGTCCCAGATCATATACCAACTGGTCATGATTTACCAAGGGGCTAGTTATTGGTTTCACGAAGTAGACAAACCCGGTTCCATGACATCTACGATTTTGCACATGCGTTCTAGTCTGCCAGCCTATTCATCATCTGAGAAAGTAAAGTGTGGGCATTGAAAAAGAAAGGGAAAACCAGGAATACTATCCCCATTGGTTAGATCAGGCTAACCTCGCTGGCGCCCTGTCTCACCCGTGGAAATGTCATTGTTGTGGTGTTCCATTGAGGGTGTCAGAACGCTGCCCAGGTGTGTATTCTGAACGCCAGTCTTCATGTCAAGACACTATCTTTTGCTCTTACCTATTTTGCTTCTTCTTTTTCTCTTTATCATTCCCTGAACGGCTACACCGATCCTTTCAAACTCCTGACCTCATGCGTCAGAGGCCTCTTGAGACCCAACTTACAACCATGGCCGAAGCATCACTCCTTTTCCCAATCTGTTGCCTCGCTCTCTCATTTCTTTTCATCGTCGTATTCTACAATGCGTCAGTCAAGGAGTGTGTCAGGACTTTCCATCATAACACGATCCTTCCCACGTATGGATGGATCAAACGCAACGCCAGCCAAACCAACGAGTCTATCGCACCCGAGCAGGCATATGAAGTGATCGACACCACCGAGAAACAGGAAGATCTCAGCGAAAAGCGCGATGAGCACCAACTCTCACCCGAGCGTCCGTGGTTTTTCCCACGATCGCAATCTCGATATCGTGAAGCCTCAAGTTCATCTTATGGCAGCCCACCTCCAGATGTCCACGACCATGAGCCCAACAGTTCCCCGGTGTCTCCGCTTTTGTCTCACTCAAACTCACCAGCACCAAGCGAAACTGGATCTGATATCGATGATGGCAGGTCTGACGATTCTTCAACCTACTCCGAATTCACCGTCGGGTCTGATGATGGCTGGGATAACGCCTCGGACGCCTCTGATGTTTCATTTGCTCCCGGAATACCAAGATTCAGCGTGTCCAACGATCCCTTTCGCCCTCCCGATGTTTGGCAGATTGAGTTCGAGGAAACTGTGGCTTCTGAAGACCGTCGCCGAATGGGAATGCTGGATCGAGCAGTTCACTGGACTGCGCAGGCTTCGTTTGCTATCGTTGCACCCCCGGCTGTTCTGGCGGCCATCGAAGAGCGGTATGACTGGTCCCGATACGTTGAAGGATAGCTGCAGCTGGCGTGGCTTGGCGAAATGGTGATGGGTTAACAAAGTTCTGTTTTTCTTTGCCCCCGATGAGTTTGCCTGTTGATGGGACTTGACTGTATTATTAGTTTGATATTTCATGCAATGAGGGAATCTCCCAGTGTTATCGAAGACACCTGTTTCTCGTCTGGCATAACACCTGACGTAGTGGCTTGTCACGGGACAAGCCAAGTCGAAGTCCATTGGACACGCGCCACGGGGTTTGTGATCTCTGCGTATTCATACATGCCCAGGTCTCAGACCTTCAATCTGTCCCGGAATGAAATCCCTGGGCTGTACGGAGTAGACTGGTGATAGGGCAGATTTTGAGGCTTGAGCTCCCGTCGGGTTGGCTCGGGCATGATTTAAAGATGCACGCCAGCTAGTTGGAAGGAGGGATTGGTGACGTTGGAATTATAAGTGTCGTTGGTTCGTCTAGATCATTTCATTCATTTATCATCCCCCTTACATAGTGATAATCTTGGAAGCTTGCGCTCAAATCCCACCCCATGCACCAAGATCAACACGTCGTTTTTGACACAGTGTTGACAGGAAAGTCTACGGCGCACAGTAGCCACCGTCGACAATAAGATCGGCCCCAGTTGTATAAGTCGAGGCATCAGAGGCTAAATAGAGATAGGCACCCTTCAATTCATGAGCCTGTCCTTCGCGGCCCATGGGGATCTTGTCACGCCAGATGTTTTTAGTCTCTTCGGGGACGAAGCTGGAGATTTCGGTGGCGATGTATCCCGGAGACACAGTGTTGGCACGGGCAAAGCGAACCCATTCAACCGACAGAGACTTGCCTGATCGGGTGTTAGTTCAAATCCAGTGAGTGTAATGACCCTCAAGACCTACAAAGATGGACCACAGCGGACTTTGCAGCATTGTAGGCAGCTTGCATTTGGGGGAAATTGACAATATGACCACTCATAGAAGCAGTAGCAACGAAACTTCCGTATGTGAAATTAGTGAGTTTGTTTCCATTGGCGTCGGTGCCCTCTTCTTTTTGACGGCGCCAGTGATCAGCAGCGGCCTTGGCGCAGTAGAAAGTGCCGTCGAGATCAATACCGACAGCATCACGGTAATGTTCAAGTGGGCCATCAACCATTGGACCCTTGGTCCAAGGGACACCGGCGTTGGCAATGAACACGTCCAGGCGACCGTTGAAGTCCATAACGACGTCGTTCACGGCTTTCTCGACGGCCTTTGCGTCGGTGACCTCGACTTGGTAAGCCTTGGCTACATGGAGATGGTGAGACGAAGTCAATGCAAGCAAATCAATTGAGTCGGCACATACTCTCAACGCCGTACTTCTTTGCAATCTCAGTCGCTCGTTCAGGGCATTTTGCATTGCTTCTGTACCACATTGCCACGTTGGCACCGGCCTCTGCCAGACCGTGAGCAACGGCTAGCCCGATTCCAGCGCCAGCCCCAGTCACAATAGCAGTCTTTCCCTTCAGGGAGAACATGCTCATCAAACTGGGGTGCTCTGGGGCAATGGTGTTGTTGCGAACGAAGAGACCATTACTGGAGACGGGGTTTCCTGCCATTATGATAACGATAGCTGCTTTTGTTGGTACCTAGGTAGAGAGTTGCGAGCAAGTACCTGGGTTGCACGGGACCCCTGTCTTTATATGCCCCCGAGGGGCAATCGGCAAGCTGGGGAAGAATACGGTGAGCAATGGATTGGCGGAGGAGGTCCATAGCTACTGAACCTTGGGGCTGCCGCATTGTCCGCGCCTTCATGGTGGCTACATGACGCTATGCCCCAGAATTCAGATGTGTCATATTCTCTAGAGCGATGTCAATTAGTTCATGTACTAATGGAATATCCCATTTACAGAGTACATAGTCGACGCAGGAAGCATCCATAGATCTCTAGGGAGTACAGATCGAATCTGTACTTAGTAGACTTCCAGGGTTGATTTCCTCTGCCTCTTCTGGGCCTCCCTTCTCTGTGTTGCTCACCTCTCTTCGCCTCATGCCCCCTGGGTAGATCTGAGCACATCCCTGACCAACCAGCCAGCCCAATTCGCCTGGGCACTCACTGATCATCCATGTGCCCTGATTCGCTCTCAAAGCATGCTGGTAAAACCATCGGCTTCGTCCTGCATGATAATTTTACGAAGGTTTGAATATAAGTGTAAGTATGGGGTAGGAAATGAGAGCGATCTAGCCAGTTGCAAGAAGAATGAACCTGATCCTGGAGGCTCCCACAACACCTGGGTACCTGGGCGGAATCAAGCAACGCCCTCGCGAACTGCCGAATGGGATATTGTCAAGAATATTCCAGGCATGTCATCGCGCCGAAATAATTTGCCGTGGTGGAAAGGCTTCCACGGAGCATCTGGAGCAAAAGATGAAATCTGAGGGTCGAAAGATTCGCCCGAGTGCAGATACTGTGAAGATGGTCATAGATTTGTAAACTTTTCTCTCATTCTGAGAGCATATAACCACCTATGTTAGCGCTGTCTGTCGGGGTCCAAGGAATTGTGGTGAGGTCTGGTTATAACGATTGTAATCAATCAGACGAAATGCAGGGGTTTCTTTGGTTTTTTCCCTTTGATATCCTGCATATTGAGCAGTGTTCTGGTGGTCACCACATTCTTGTGGATTTCCAATGCTCTGTTAACCAGTCTTCTTGTACTGTATGCAACCCCCATCACGACGGTGTTGTTCATTAAATAGGGTTCCAAATGGACACTGTCGCATGAAGCCCAAGTGCCGGTGCTTCGGGGGCGGTGGCCCCGGAGGGCGGTGAAGCTTCTCCCCCGCGGTCGGGGAACCTCCCCCCGGGCCTTGAGCTCGACTTCGTTCCTCTCCGACTCCACACCGATGCCGCGGAAGCCGAATTCAATGTTTCTTTACAGATCCCAGCTCACTGCCGTCCTGTCGGATCGATATCGGGTTCTGATCGCCATCTACAGTGGATAGCAAGTACCACTACAGTACTAGATCCATCCTGCGACAGGAAGTCTAAATAAGAGGACGATGGACTGTCTTCGGTTGCTGTATGGATAGGGCATTCAGTCCCCATTCCAACCACGAAACAGCGTCTCTCTGACGTGCCAGTGACCTCTATCGATGAACATGATTCGCCGAACAATCCATCGTCGATCCGGGATGGAAGGGGGTAGTGTGGTCGCTGGCATTCTTCCCACCTCTGATGGTGATGAGCGAACATTCCTCGGTTGGCATCAGCGTTCCCATAACAAATGTTTACCCCCTTGGAATACGGAAAAGCAACACGCTTCTCCGTGTCCTTTCGTCCTTGCGAACATCTGCTGAACGAAGTCTCCTGGGACGTGGAGATCAGTCTTGCTCACTGGCTCAAGAAACAGCTGTATGCATGCACGTCCAGAAGCCTTTGCTCTCACAGATCACGCGTTGAATGTTTGAACTTCCGATCCCTGTCCTTTATCCCAGCAAGCGCCCGGTGAGGCGCCAGCAAGGCAATCATGCCGGAGCTGAGCGCCATCGTTGCCATATCGGCCTCTTGTGCGGCTGTGGTCATCATCTTCTCAGTGGTGGGAATTCTGGTGTGGATAAGGCATCGCAAACGACGCCGTCTCATCACCTTGCTGGGGTTGAATCCGAAAAATGGACAAGTTGTTCGCGGGCTCCAATCATTCCCCATTGACACATTGACTGAATTGAGTCAAGCGGAAGGAAGTGTATTGTTGGCGCATGGGCAGCTTCCCTATGGAAAGCCAACTGAATGGGGTCAATTGACATCGCGCGAAAGTTTGCTTCGCCCAAAAAGCACGTTTGACTCCCCGTTTCCGCTCAGTGAGAAAGCCCAATCTCTCCGCCGCTCTCTTTCTCGCTCTCAATCAAGACGTTATTCAAGGTCTTCCCACAAAAGGCCGAGCTCCTTCGCGACTTCGGGCGCTTCTAGTCAACACCCAAGCCCCCCACCGAAAGGCTCGATATCCAGGGACGACGTACCACTGTCAGCAGTCGAAGGAATTCTTGAATTGTCAGCTGAGAGGACTCCAACCCAAACGCCTGAGCCACCAGAGAACGAACAAGACAAAGGATTCCATCTAGGGATGCAGCCTATTCCACCTGCTTGGCCTCTTCCGGGCCAAGGAAACCGCTCAGGTCCCTTTTCCGTATCTGATGACGACGATTCCCCCTGCACCTTCGATCCACCTTCTATGGTGTTTGAGGAATCTCCTCGACGTCTGCGAGGAATCAGTATTGCTAGTCAGACGGCAGGTACTATGCCGGGACATACAATCCCACCACCTCCTTTGACTGCATACCCTCCAGACAGATTCAGCTATGCGCGAAACGATTCTATTGCACGACTATCTTCAATGAGTTTGGACACCACAAACAGCTCGATCCTGGATGATGGTCGAAACGGCCCTCGGTCCGCTGAATCCGAATTCGCTTCACCTAGCTTCCCTTCTGGGGGCACCTTCGTTCCTTTCAGCGCCGCCGACGTCGGAGTCAAAGACGGCCGCCGAACTTTCATCACTACCAATACCTCGATTCCCCCAATGCACAACTTCCCTGTGCGCTCCTCATCAACCACTGAACCTCGCCACAAACCTGCATCCGTGTCTCCACGACGGAGTATGACAACCCGTCAGTACTCAGGTTCCTCATTTGATATGCCAAACATGCTCCCTCGTCGCACAGATTCCCTATCTTCATCCAACCCTCCATCCAGACATGGATCATTCCGGTCTGGAACTCCAGTGGGAAGAATGAACCACTCCGGATCCCAGCTTTCTCTTACGTCTCAAACCAGCTTCTTTTACAACCCTACGGTGTACGAGGATGACGAAACTGAGAATGACCCATTCTACGTGGGATCACCTGGAAGCGGTACTTTATTCCACCCAGTTGGGTCCCCAGGCCGGCAAGCCAACAGCGCCAAACCCCCAAGCCCAATGCAACGCAGCAGTTCCTCTTTGAGAATGCCTCCTCCCTCGGCACTCAAGAATGGCAACTCGGTGCGCAAGGGCCATCGCCGTCAGAACTGTGTTCGAATTTCGATCCATCCTCCAATGACCTTCGCCCCATCCACTGTCGAAGAGGAGCCCGAAGACTACGACAAGATGGAAGAACTGGACCTGCGTGAGAGTGCGATCAACGAGCCAAAGAAGATATTGCCAGTGTTGCCCCAGCACGCACTGGCCCCCCACAGCTCTTCACGCCGGGGTAAGTACGGTAGTCGAAATGGCAAACAACCGAGCTTTGGCTCTCTTGGTCCGTTGGTTGAGGAGCCGCAACCCGTCGGCCACGAAAGTCCTTCTCACAAGAGAACCAACGTGCTATCCACTTCGGCTGCAAACAAGCAGTCAGCCAGAGATCCTTCTTCTCTTCCCGAACTTGTCACCTCCATTCCTCAACATGGAAACCTCAATGCCGGTGGGCTTTCTCACACCCCCACCCCTGAGCGTGCAACTCCGCTGTGGGAGCTCCATGAAGCTCCATCGCCATCCCGTGAGAACTACCCAAGTGCTGGTGGTCCACGACGATCCGGAGTCAAAGGCCCACGTAACCAACCCCAAGCCCATGCACTGCAAAGCCAATCTACCCCAGTGTCTACCCCATCTACCGATACTTTCGCCAACAATCCTTTCGGTGATCCCAGCCGGCTACCTCTTATCACAAGCATCACTGGTACCGAGGGCAGCGACTGGCGCAAGTCCACGGATTCAGTCAACCGAGTGAAGGGAGATGCTCACGGGGCATTCCGCCGAAGTCACGACTCCATAAACGCCGTGGATAAAGGGCTTGGACCCATCGGCCCTTCGTCTGGAATCTACAATTTCCGCCGATCATCCTCGATGAGTAAAGAGGTCACTATCTTTGAAGACTCGGACCGCACTCCCACTAAGCCCAAGCTGCTCCCGCCGGTGGGCACATTAACCACGCCTGAGTCCTCACCAACTCACGGCGAAAACAAAATCCCTCGCTCATTGCAAGGCAACCAAGCTTTCCCTCCCCCAAACAATGCACCTCCCACCCCTACTTCGCCCTCACGAGGACTGGCTACTCCGACAAGCAAGAGCCTAGGAATCGGCATCGGCACAGCCACTCCCGGCAGTCTTTATGATGGCGATGGGTTCCTGCGTGAATGAATTGATCTTTTATTGTTCTCTTGACGAGTTCCTGATGGTTTTTGAAGCGAGCTTCTTTTGTTCTTTTCGTGTTGGATTGTATCTGATGCTGATCTCGGGCTTGTTCCCCTGGTTTTCTTTCTCTTCTGTTCCATGATTATCCCCTTTATCCCTTTATTGATTTCCCATCTGGCAATACTCCCCTTTGTTTCTTCTCAATGTATGTGTATGGTGTGTGCTCAAAACTTCGAGATAGGTAGCTGATCTTGTTACTTGAATCTAATGTTCCTGAATATCCTACTCCAAAAGTAACACGCAAGTTCGTAGTAGAAACCAGCGTAATCATAGGTGTCTAGGGGCGGCCTACATGGCAGCTTCCAAGGTTCCAAGGTTTTGTATTATGATGCGTAAGCTCCCACTCAATCTGTCTTCCGCCATTTTGTCTCGTCGTCTTCCTCTCCATTCTCTTCAGTGCCGTCCTCGCCCTCCCGAGCCCTCACAGTACCAGCACCAGGGCCAAGCGGGAACGAAGGGGGTTCACCCCCAGCAATCCAATTCCCATCCGCATCAAAGAACTGGTCCATGTTGTCTGCGGTAATCCAGCCCGAACTTCCATCAACAGGAGGCGGCATATCCCCATTCCCAAGCTGGAAGACACCCTCATGATCTTCCGCCGAGATAAACTGCGGCCCATCCTCCATATCGTCATCCTCATCGCCAGGCTCGACAGGGTCCGGGTGCAGATTCGAGCATGCCGAGACAGCCCCGTATAATTCCTGGGTGGGTGTTTCCGTCGCTTCTTCTCCATCAGTGGGCGTCTGCGCAGGCGCATCGGTAGCCAAAACCACCGTCAAAGTGATGCACTCCTCTTCATCATCGGCGGAAGGCGCAGTAGGCGTCGCGACCTGCATGTACAGACCCTGAACCTCGGCATCAGACTCGGCGCCCGGCACGCGCAGCCGTTGGAGAGCGTGTAGTGAAATCGAAGGGTAGGGAATTGAAACGCCGGCGGATGCAGCAGGTGAGAACAACAGGAATTTGCTGTAGGACACGACAGTCAGTAAATATTTATCGCAATAGATGCGCTTCCCTCCATATAGGAACAGAAACACTCTCTGAACTTACTCGGATGTCACCCAGACGTCTATGCCATCGATGGCAAGCTCCTTCTCGTCATCTTGTGTCGCGGAGCTGGCGGTGTTTTCGCCACGGAGCGCATTCAATTCTGGGGAGGCTAGTAGCTCTCGCTCGAGAATGACAATCTTGCAGCGCTGGCTGTGGTAGTGTAGCACCGCGGGGCCGGAGTAGAAAGAGCTCGGAGTGCGGGACTGGTGCTCTGCGATAGGGACGAATGAGGAGGTTTCGGGGGCGCTGCTGAGAGCTTCCATTTTGTTCCTGAGCTTTGAGCGGATTGAGATGGTTTGGGTTTGGTCTGTTGGTGGTCTAATTCCAACTTGGAAGGTTGCAGTGAAGTCGTGAGGTCGCGAGATCCAAAAAAGCGCGCGAGGAGCTTTTCGGGTGAAATCCGCCGCAACCAGTTGCTCCAGCTTTCCACTGTTGGTTTTTACTGTACGTGCAACTTATCTACCTAGATACGCGACCTGAATTAAGTAGACTTGGAGAGAAAATCACGAAAATCTGGTGGTTTGTATTTCAAAATGTTAATCGGTGATCGTCGCAGAGCAATATATATTCCACACATGGGCATCGCCCAAGCATTCATCTTCTTGCCAGGAAATACCTACTTACAACTTGGAACTTTGGAGTTTTAACTACAAATCGTTTTGGAAAGTATTGCCTCGGGCATTTTTGCAGTAATACCGATACAGTGAATAGATATGATGATATCTTATTCAAGATCCACGCTGCAATCGAGTGAATATCGCCATACCTCGACCATCCGTCCACGGTGTACCCAACTGGAATCACCCAAAGCAAGGGCGAGCAGGAATGCAGGACCAATCACAGCAGAAATTCGGACCCATCTCAATCCCAAAGGGAGCTGGCCTGGTCTCATTCAAGAACCAGAGCCCGAGTGCAATCAAATCGCCTACTTTGATGGTTTCACAACAGCCCGGAGCGAAGAAGCTGCACCAAGACAACGGCGGTGCATTGTGGGGTATTTGGACCCAAAGATCATTGTCAACAACATTGGAATGGGATGCCCGGGTGGTAGTCTCTCCTCAGGCCCCTGAGAAACCTGGCGCATCCGAGCACCAGGTAAAACATGAATGCCGGGGAGTTTCGCCCCATCATTTCACACCGAGCCCTCCAAACGCCCTATCAAGCTCCTCGCCCTCATCGTGCGGCTGAATAGCTGGCATCTGCGAAGAGCTCTGATCGGGAGAAGAGCTATCTAGAAGGCTCTGCGGTACACCTCCGGGTGGGGAGACAGCAGTTCGACTCGGTTGGAGCAACTTTTCCTCGCGATCCAGCCATCCAGGAGCTAGACGCCTCTTCTCAGCAAGCTCGCGTTGTTTGATTGACTCTTCCCAAGCCCTGATCGCCTGGTCGGCATCACTGCGGGTCTTGTTCAGGTGTGTTTCGAGGGAGTGACACGCGGCCAAGATGTCATCGGGGTGAGCTGCATGTTCTCCGCTGGAGGAAACGACATAGCGCGCTTTCTCCTCAGGATTACTTGGATCAACCGTGACCGAGGGTGGGAGGATCGAAGTTACGGATTTGTACGTGTAGGGTAATGTGACAGAGGTGGGGAGATTGATGAAGGGGGAGACCGTCAGCGGTATCTGGGCGAGAAGAGGGTGCGGGCCTAGTTCGTGTTAGCGATGTGAACAGGTTCGAGGGATAGCTCGACCAAATGCCTTACGATAGGAATCGTACATGATGGAGGTGTTGATGCGGAGTAGCGGAGATGGAGTGGGCGGAAACGTCATTTCGGCAGACTTCACCAGTTGGCGGGTAGTCACTGGCGTAATATTTTTCGAATCCATTCGTTTTTTCTATTCACAGTGGAGATTTTAAATTGATTTACAAAATTTATTCGAGGTTCGAATTGTAATCTTTAAACCCAAGTCTGGGCTTCATTCTGTATAGAAGGCTACCTGTTGACAATGAACGACACAAGCCCAACAGTGCTTGATAAAACCCCCAACATGATGGTCATAGTACTCCATCCGAGTCCAATTCGAGCCACACCAGCCATGAGAGGTCCGATAAATTGCCCAGTCGCGATTGCCATATTGCAGAAGGCAAAGCCGGTGCCCATTCCACTACTCTTGTCCGAGTCAACCCCATTTCTTACCTCGATCTGGCGCACCGATTCGGAGACTTCAGCCAGAATCTGCGCTTGACAGGTAGTCAAAAACAAGCCCACAAAGCAGATCAATACAACGAACAGGAGTTCTTGCTGTAGCGATTTTCCCTCAGTCCACTTGAGCCCTACCATCGGAAGCGAACATAGCACGAGTTCGAACGCAACGATCTTACGGCGGTCCCAGCCATGATCGGTGGTATATCGGGCTAGAGGAATGCTGAAGAAGCTAGGGAGCGTCAATCCCAGAAACACGAGCCCGGAGTTTGTGGGACTCCACTGGTAAGTTTCAATCGTATACAGGGGTAAAGTCTGATGTTGTCGCGTCAGGCATGCCCCAGAAAGGTTAGATCATTCACGTACCGTTTCGAAAACTGAGATAACAGATGAGATCGTAACCTCGACTAGCATCGCCGTTGCCAGGCGAGTATCGAGAAAGTTTCGAAGAGAAAGTGAGGCTCCGCGAGAGTGCGAAGCTGCAAGCAAGGGGCTCTCTTCGTCTGTCTGCGAGACAGCTGGAGCATCTGTTTCACGTGGAGATTCCACGACCGTGCTGCAGACTGATGTATTGTCTCTCTCAATGATCAAAACCCGTAGGATAATGTCAACTGCCAACATCGCTATCGGCAACCCAAATGCGCCGACAGAGCCAAAGTGATCATACCTGCAGGATGTCAAAATCGTCAGATTCCAATATTACAAACCACCCGGAGAGTGTGAGAACGTACAGCAAGCCACCAAACACAGGCCCCATCAACATCCCCCAGGTGAATGAAATAGATCCATATGCCATGAACTCTCCCGTGTTCTCGGGACGAGCTGTGTCTGCAATCATTGCTAGACCAAGGACCCCAATCACTGCCCCAGAGAGACCCTGGCACACCCTGGCAACAGTGAGAATGGACGGTGAACGCCCAAATGCGAATATCAACGTCGAGGCAGCAATCGTGATATACCCGAAAAGGAGAGGCGATCTTCGTGACCGAATGCGATCACTGACTAACCCAATTATTGCTAGATGACATTAATCGATCGCTCATATTGACGTGCGCGCATAATGAAGCTCACGAGATCCCACCAGAAGCGCTGCTCCATAGGCGGCCAGAAGTATGGATGTCCATTTTTGAACTAGAAACCAGTCAGATGAGCAAGATGGAAATGGGAAAGATAGTGCGATAGCTACCGTCTTCTTTCGAGATTTGACCCCCTTGGAGTAGTAGGTATGGAAGAATTGGAACAATCTAGTGAGTCCAAAATATTAACGCCAAACAGACAGATAACGGTTTCCAGGAAGATTACCATTCCATATATGAATGTATCGGTAAAGATTGCGAAACACATCACCACTAGAATGAATTTGTCCGAGGAACGGACTTTGTGGAGGTAATTAGACCCAAACATTTTGAGCAGTGTGGCCCCCAGACTTGGGGAAGAATTAAGAGGAAGATAAGTTTGGATTGAACACTGGGTCTGAATTTGATTAGGCGGACTTTTTTGCGGCTGCAGAGGGTGATAGCGGCCAAGTGTGGCTTCGGTTCTTTTCACCAGCAATCGGTATCAGAGCTAGCCTATTCACGTCTGAATTACTGTTGACAGAATATGAAAATGCCTTAAATACGGTAATTAGTTTGTTTGCTACGAGCTTGACAGGTTGTTTTGTCAAATGAGAGGACCATAAATCAAGATGACATCTGGCCGCTAAAACCATTCGTAACTCGAACAACGGGATTGAATTCCTGGTGAGGTTCCAATGGCGAAGAGATATACGAGAACGCCTTTGATTCACACGAAGTGCTCTTTTTTTCTTTTTTTCAAAAAAATAAGTTCTTTTGGACAGTAAAACCGATTGGTAGCCTATTATGGACTAGTTGAACTACTAGTAAAAATTCCAAATCCAATGAGTCGACTTTGACCCTATTCCCCTGTGTACATTCTATGCTGAAGTTGAGAATACATAGAATGTTTCATGCTTCCCCCTAGCCTTCTCAACAAAGTTGAGACCAGCATGAGATGACATCGACACCAGCTCGTCCTCTTCCCACTGCCTCATTCTCATGGAAATGTTATTTGTCTCTAGAACTTGATCTCCAAGCTCCGTCTGCTCTACCACTTGTAGTTCAAATTTCACATCTTTGACCTTATCTTGGATATCCCCGCGATGATTGAATTCTCGATACATGATGTTCGGGAATGTTTGACTTTTGATTTCCGTGATTCCTTCTGGCTGATGGAATGCAATTTCTTCGCTCTTTCGAAGGAGTGACCCATCGTATATGGAAACGTAGGCGCGCCCGGTACCAGGACGAAGCACCCGAGAGACTTGCTCCAGAAATTTCTCTGGCTGGCCCTTCTCGGACAAATGGCTGATGGATCCGATAGAGAAGATCAACAGATCAACCTTGTCGTACCCACTTTGAGCCATCACGCTCTCTAGATCAAGGGCAGACCCGAGAATCCAAGAGACATGCTCTTTGAAAAGAGAGTCGAGATTTTGGGCAGCTTTGTCCAACATGTGCTGGGCGTTGTCCACCCCTAGAACTTTGGTGTTGAAGAAATCATCCCCAATCACTGCTGCACTGTTTGAAAGACCTTGAATAACGCGCCCGGTACCAGTTCCGACGTCCATGATAATGAACGGCTCTCTGGGAGGCTTGAGGAGGGGCGACCGAAGCTCTTGATAGACCCTCCAGTAGAACGAGGCATCGTCTATTGAATCCGAATTTGGAGCCACCAGGTCGTAATAGTCGACAAGATACGGGGAACTGTAAAGGTCATTGAACTTTTCCGGATTCGCTGACATCTCGATGAAGGAATTGCACCGAAAAGGAATAATCTGTGTGATAGTGACGGGAATCTCTGATTATTTTGTGGAGAAGAGATACGCAGCAGCCAAGAGGGCTTGAACGTCAAATTATCATTCAGCTGTTCTTGCTCAAGAGATTCATTTGAGTATCACAAACAACAATGGTCATGAGATGAGTGCTGAATCATGCGAACCCAAGCCACATATGCATCAGGACACTTCCATGCTCTGATATTACATCTACTAAGGTTAGGACAGCCGATGTGATGACAGCGGCATGCGAAGATCACGGCTGGCTGAGGTGCATAAACCGCTGTCATCACAGCCCAAGGCTGTACATTAGCGCTTTTGGGATTGTTGTACAGTTCCCAGCCGCAAATTTTCATATTTCCAATATAACCGGCCCAAATGCAGGTTTGTGATAGAGTACTTGGGTGTGCGCACGGAAGCACTAGAACGAATACTTCAGTCATTGATTGAACTAGGATGCCCCGCACAGGCATCACAATTTTTCAATGTTGTGTGAGACTAAATTGAAACAGATTCAACATGATTGGTCATTTGCTCCTCATATGCTTGAAGATAAGATCAAAACGTGAGGAGGTATCCAGTCTTCCAGCAAAGGAGTCCCAGCAGAACTGCCGGAACAAGGGTGATACACGCCACCCACGTCGCGAGAAACCCTTTCAGTACAGCCCTGTCAGCCTGATCCGCTCCTTGGTTGAATTCATGTGCGTTGTTAACTCGTGGATAGGGAATCTTCGGAACAGGGACGCCGAGAAATTCACACAGTGGCCCCCACCCATCCCCCAGCTGTAGCTCGAGAAATCTCTCTGGGCTGACGCCCTTTCGCACACGGTCATTGTGGTCCATAAAGCGTCTCTTGGCAAAATCATTCGAATAGTCATTGTTGCAGATAGCCCTGTAAGCTGTCTTGACCATACGGAACTCAGGCCCCAACCAATTAGGCTCGACATATTGCATGATGTTTAGCATTGGCTTTCGAAGCCATGGAATTATAGTACTGTTGACGGACTTGAACCATGAGTCGGCAGAGCGGGAGGTGAGGATAATTTTGACATCTGGATAAAGTCGGTGGAAGTCGTCCCAGAATAGACATGCAGGAATGTCGAGAAGCGCGTCGTATTTACCCCGCAGACGATCAAAGTCTTCTCGATTATATAGATAAGCTGAGCCAAAGAATTTGCGGTTCATTGCATCTGTCCATTGGTTGTACATGAGCTTTGGATTGTCGATGGGCTCACACATATGCCATGGCGTATATCCCAATTCTTGCAAAGCGAGGTATAATGCTTCGATAGCACGATGAATGTTAGCGGAGCACAAAATTATGGAACTTAAACGCACAAGCAGTTCCAGTTCGTGAGAGACCAGCGACTACTAAACGCAATGGCTTCTGAGTCTGAATTGGGGAGGCTGGGGAACTCATAGATACTCGAGCTGGCGGGCAGCCGTCTGGTCTTGGGCAAGTTGGAAGCAAAATTCAAAAATAGAATGTCAATGAAACAAAGTAGAGGCAGAGTAGGAAAGAAGTTCGAATTTAACTGAGTCCGCCCAGCGGGATGAACTAGGTAGCCATGCAGCTGAAGTCCAGGAGTGGCGCTCTCGAAGTGCTCATTGAGCGATGATGGGGCTGACTTCGGAGCTCACGCTCAAATTCAAGATCGTAGGCAAATAATTTCCTTGCAATAATTTCTTTTCCTTTTCTCTTCTCCAAAAATATCAGTCAAGCACTATACACGCAGCAAATTTTCGGATCATGGAGCTACTCGAATGGTTTGGGATTTTGTTAGGACTTGTATGGGATGACCATGAGGCTTTCGGGTCTATGTTAATATCGCCTAGGCTTTGACATTCCACGCCTCGCTTGCATTCTACAATGTTTTCCTCCACCCGCTCCGAGGCTACGCAGGCCCCAAGCTCGATGCAGCCTCACAGCTCGTTTACGTCTACCACATGCTGAAAGGCGACAGCTGCAAGTATATTGCCAGTCTTCACGAGAAATACGGGGAGGTTGTCCGAACTGGTCCGAACGAAATCTCATACATGAGCGTCTCGGCAAACAGGACAATCTTTGGGACCAAGACGACGGAAGATATGGCCTTCGAGAAAAACCCGGCTGTCTATATCCAGGGATCTGGAGCTGCCTCGAACATTCTGTTTGCGAGTACTCGAGAGTATCCACGCTTCAAGAAACTGATGGCTCCTGCGTTCTCAGAGCAGGCCATCAAAGAGCAAGAGCCGATGATCCAGCAATACACCAGTCTCCTGATTCACTCCTTACGGCATAACCGATCAGGAGAAGCATACTACCCCGACAAAGATGGCATTGTGAACATGGGAGCATGGGTCAATTTTATCATTTTTGACATTCTTAGTTCCTTGTCCTTCGGAAAGCCCGTGGGATGTCTCCCGGCCGCTGATTATCACCCATGGGCATATGTGATCTTCGGGGCGATGAAACATTCCCACTTCGTGCAATGCGCCCATAGGCTCAAGCCATACCACCCGATTTTCCAAAAGCTCATCCCCGATGATATCAGTGCGCCATATGAAACTCACATGGAGAATGCTCGGAAGTACCTCAGAGAAAGGGAACAGGATAGGAACGTTTCCCGGGCAGACTTTGCATCCTTTATCTTGAAAGGGATGACAGAAGATGAACTTCTGGACAATATCAACATCTTGGCCACTGCAGGAAGTGAGACTACCGCGACTACCATTTCTTCGATCCTCTACTATCTCGTCCACAATCCGAAAAGTTATCACAAACTGGTTGATGAGATCAGGTCAACCTATGTCTTGGAGGAAGAGATCACATTCAATTCCGTCAACAGCCTTGGATATCTTAAAGCTGTCATCCAGGAGACTTTCCGAATCCACCCATCTGTCCCAGTTGGTTTGCATCGAATCACACCGAAGTCAGGCAGCCACATTGATGGGAAATGGGTGCCGGGAGGGGTATGATCTTCTTTTTTCATACACACTGATTTTGCAACAGTCATGAATTTTTCACCTGGCTGACTTGATGTTAGACGTGGGTATCAGTGGCACTCCTCGCAGCCTATAGGTCCCCGAGGTATTGGCGGCGCCCAGAGGAGTTCATTCCAGAGCGATGGCTCGGAGACCCCGAATTCGAATCAGACAATCGGCACATCTGGGCGCCATTCTCTATTGGACCGAGAAAGTGCGTTGGAATTAAGTACGTGTTTTCCCCAGCCCGAATATTCCCAAGGTGTGCTGATTGGCGGGCTCTCAGTTTGGCGTATCTGAACATCCGCCTGATCATTGCCCGGTTACTTTGGAACTTTGATCTTGAAGCATGCCCGGACAATATTGATCCGCATGAGATGAAAGAGTACGGGGTCTGGCAGGGTCTAGTTCCACTGAATCTGAAGATCCATGATCTACGCGCTGCCAAGTGACTGACGAGGAACGCCGAGGGTGTAATGCGAGTTTGTGATCTACATGCAGCACGGCCCGAGCCAACAAACATCTGAATGAGAACGGCACTAAGGCCTGGGGAGAGCAGAGCATCAAGGCTGACCCCGGGGTGGGTCTACAAGACCCACCGTTCGGCGTCAGATTTTAGGGGCCGTTTTAGGGGCACGCCAAGGAATATGTGGGCAGTGGCTGTGAACCAGATGAAATCTATAACTACATTATTGAAGTATATTGACCCTTGGAACCAATATGTCGCTCTTATATTCCAGGGTTTGACACTTGGTCTGACTGTTTCTTTTGTCTTGACATTATTTATGCATGATATCACACCAGGGCTTGCTGCAACTATTTCGGGCCGAATCATCGTCGACCCCGCCAGCTAGCCCAGTTGTCCATTGGTACTATATAAGTTGAAAGAGCTGATATCGCGCGCAAGTCCGATTGATTCGCTGTCATACCTAGTACCTAGGTATCATCTATGGATCATGTGGCTGGCTGTCTTTCGCGGACGTTTGGCGCAAGTGACATACGTTTACCAGTGCCTCTCTCCAGGCGCACCTAATCCGGAGGCTTGCAGACTCAATCTCACTGCACCAAAATCAAATATGTGTCGTCTATAAGTTACAAGGATTTGGTTTATCGGCTCTTGCCTAATCGGGGTTCAGTAGAGCTCATTTAGTTGATCGCAGTAGCTGAAAAGCAAAAAGCTCCATGACCTGCAACGTATGTTATGTGGCTTGCACAGAAAGCAGTCAAAAATCCCGAACACGATGTCCTCAGCTCAAATCATGTAAGTGATCGGTTCTGGGCTTTGGGGACTTGTGGAAGCCTTGGCAATACCCATCATTCTCAATATCAATCACAGTTTATTTGCTGTCGAATTCATCTTATTTTCTGGAAATTGAGATCATCCATATCATACTATGAGCTCCATGACCATGCGTATCACCATATTCGGGGCTACTGGCAACCAAGGAGGGTCCGTGGCTCGGTCCTTGCTGCAAAACCCCAAATTTCAAGTCCGGGGTATTACCCGAGACACTCAGTCAGAGGCCAGTATGGAGCTCGCTGCACAGGGCGCAGAGATCGCTCAGGGGAATGGGTTCGATTTCGATCAGATGGTGGCGGCTTTCCAGGACTCATGGGGCGCTTTTGTGAATATCAATTCTGATGATGAAGTACGTTGAGCTCTTTGGTACGGGTCACCTCTTGCTTATTTTCAAACTGTACAGGTTTTCCAGAATGCAGATGGTCCGACGGAATTCGACATGGGCAAAAACATTGTGGATGCCGCGGTCAAGGCAGGTGTCCAGTGTTTTGTATTCAGCTCAGGCCCCCCTTGCACCGAAATGACAAAGGGTGAAGTCCAAATGAAAGCAATGGACAGTGAGTACTACCTGAGGCCCCAAATTGAGCATCAACTAATTGAACGAAAAGTGAAATACAAGATAGAGCAGTATGCCAGAAGCCTGGACGCCTTCGAAACTTTTATTCCAATCGGCGCCGGTTGGTTTCTGGAAAACTTCCTCGGCAAGGAGGTGGCCCTTGTCTTTGGGGGTTTCCCTCACATTCCGGATAGTGACGGCTACTTGACTTTCCGCGTGCCTTTCTGGGGCGGAGAAGAAAAAGTTCCCTGGCTGAGCATCTCCGATGATTTTGGCGACATTGTCCAAGGCGTCTTCTTGGATCCGATTCGATGGAACGGGCATTTCGTACATGGAGTCAGCGACATTCGATCTTTCGAAGACCTTGTGGGAGATTTCAGTACTTCCACGGGCTTGAAGACAAGATTCGATCCTATTTTACCTGATTGGAAGTCTTTTGATACACACGGTATCCATCAACTGAACGACGTCAAACTCATGTTTGGGTTCACCCAGATTACCGGCGGGAGATATTTCGCCGAGCCTACGGAGAATGTCACAGCAGCCATATTGAAACGGGCGACAGCAGAGGCTCTAGGATTGCCCGAGGGAAAACAATCACTGGTGACCTGTAGCCAGTGGTTTGCAGCGCGTTTCCGCGACTGAGTTTACGAGTAGACGCAAGATACATTCAATGATGTTGATATGACCTTCGATTCGTAAATATTTACACAAAGATCCGGCTCGCCTCCTAAGCTTGATGATAGTTCATGCACCGACACACCCTAAAAAGGGCACTCCCGAGTCATAGTGCACTCTCTCCATGTTCGGTTATCCTGAGGGGAATCAACCTGGGCATGGATCGGCTTGAATGCCCAGAAGAAGATTTCTTGCTAGAATATGATAGAGCATAGTCCAAATAGAAAGTGGCTTGATTTCTACCAGAATTTTGACACTCTCAAGACCAGATATCAGGTTTGACAGAGCTTGATAGGTTGTCTCATTTCTTTTTATTTCAGACCATACAATCCAAAAGGGGCTTTCAACCCCGAAGGTTTTCATGGCGGTGCTGATGACTTTTGATTTGGCCTTAACACTGCACCTGAGCATGCCTGCTGGTCTGCATGCGGTATCCAGTCAGGACTAGACAAGATCCTTCCGTGCTTTTGCCACAGAAGTCCGCAGTGTGTGATGTTATAACAAGCTGACTCGACATTGAGCTAGTGAGGCGGGATTTATTGTGACAATGGCGAGCTGAACACACTCTTTGCACATATTTGCTCGCCACCAAGACCTATTGATGGGATGTGAATGAGCGAAAGAGTACCAAAAAAAGCTAAGTGTGATGAGCATCCAGGTGTCATTGGGCACGTATACCACCGTCACTAATTCAGCCAGCCCTTATGTGCTCCTTTATTGCATGGCAACTGACAGGAGCTCCTGTCCTGGCTGGCTTCCTTGGGGCATTGATAGAAATCACTGCATCGTGGCGTGCGGGAGACAAGTCAGCGTCAAGGACAGCCCTGGGAGATTCATCCCCACAGCCATTATATAGCCTGTAAAATTTGTAGACTATGTTAGTGCATCACGTCTTTCCACTCCATTTGACATCACTTTGCACAAATGCCATCGCACATATTATCCAACCCTGAGGAGTACGAGCTGGCGGTAGACCAAAACATTGGTCTCGGCCAGCTCTTTTACAACCAGATGGAGAGGAACCCTGCATCGACTGCTATCATTGATGGAAATGAAAAGATCAGCTATCAAGAACTGCATGCAAATGCACTTCTCATTGCCCAGAATCTTATAGAATATCAGATCAAGCTTGAGGAGCCGGTGGGAATCATTGTCCAACATGGCATCGCAGATGTGGTGGCCCAAATGGCGATCATATATGCCGGTGGAAGCTGTGTGCCAATGGATTCAACGTTGCCAGACATTCTGATACAGACCCGTCTGGAAAAGCTTCACACGAGATGCATACTGGTTGACGATTGCAACAAACATCGAAATCTCAACTTTCACCGTTTTGATGTCAGCAGGAAAACACCATTCAGATCCAAAGAATCATGGCTATCCTGGTTATCGAAGTCGGAGATTCCTCTACCGACTACCCTCGAGCACCGCACTCATTTGATCCATACTTCAGGAACAACCAGTGACCCTAAGGCGGTGCAAATTGTTGCCCGCTCTATTCTGCAAATCGTGTATCATGCACCCTTTGAAGCGATCGAGGAGACCGATACGGTAGCCCATGTCAACAATACCAGCTTTGACGTTGCATTGTTTGACATATGGGTGCCACTTTTGCGCGGTGCACGTATTGCAGTGTTGAGCAAAGCCATCCTTCTCAATCTGCCGGCGATGGCGGCTGCAATTGACCAAATGGGGATAACCATTATGGCCACTACCACCGCTTTGCTGAACCTTGCGGCCACGACATATCCACGTGCATTTGCGCAATTGAAAACGTGTTTCATTGGCGGCGAGGCGGCAAATGTGGCGGCGCTTGAGACAATTCTGACCCAAGAGCCACCCCGGCAGCTGATCAATGCCTATGGTCCCACCGAGTGTTGCATCTTTTGCTTGGCGCATAAAGTTACCCTTGACGACACCTCTAGCGGAGTCATCAGCATCGGGAAGCCGGTGGGCAGAACAGTCGCGCGTATCTGTGATGAGGCTGGCAAATCAGTCCCAGTTGGAGAAGAAGGGGAGCTTTGGATTGCTGGCGCAGGTGTGTCGCCCGGCTATGTGGGCCAAACCGAGAAGAATGCGGCGTGTTTCATTTCCCTTGCAGAAGATGAAAAGACACAACGATTCTATCGCACGGGTGACAGGGTAAGGCGAAGGATCAGCGATGGTCAGATCGATTATCTCGGACGCCAGGATCATCAGGTCAAGGTCCGTGGCTACCGTATTGAGCTTGAGGCAGTCGAAGCTGCAATGTTGAAGACTCGACAATTCTCCGAGGTTGCTGCACTGAAAGTCGAGGCCGGAGAGGGAGCTGGGTCAGTTCTCGTCGCTTTCGCAGTTCCGACTTCTTCACAGCCTAAGGCTGTTGTGAGTGCGACGAAGTCTCTCAAGGCAACACTGCCATCGTACATGGTACCTCAGATTGAACTCATTTCACAACTGCCACTCAACAGCCATGGCAAGGTCGACCGAAAGACTTTGTCTCAACTCTACCGCAAGCGTTGGGTAGATCAAACAGCCTCAAACATCCACAACGGTCACGCTCAAAAAGGGACAATTGAAGAACGACTGGCCAACATATGGAAGAATATATTGGGCAATTCATCTATACCTTTGGGTACAGAGACCGACTTTTTCGACCTTGGCGCTACGTCTTTGCAGGCCTCACTCCTGATCAGCCGTATTCGTGAAATTTTCAACGCAAGCATCTCCCTCCTGACGTTGTACGATAACTCTACACTTGAACGGTTGGCTATTGTGGTCGAGGAAGAGCTCGGCTGCAGTGGAGGAAAACACGAAACGATCCGTCATGAACAGTCGGTTTGGATCGAAGACACAAAAGTCGCCGATGATCTCGTTCCACCCTCAGGGCCAGTGGTGGATTGGCGCCGTGACACAGAAGGACGTGTGTTTTTCACCGGCGCTACAGGCTTTGTCGGTGCATTCATGGTGGCAGATCTCCTTCGCATGCGAGAGGTGCATCAAGTGGGATGTTTGGTGCGCGCTTCCGATGTGGCCTCGGGTTTCAAGCGTGTCAAGGGCACAATGATCAAATACGGCCAGTGGGAAGAGCGATTTGCCGAGAAACTGTTGGTGCTCTGTGGCTCACTGGAAGACATCTACCTAGGACTTGGGTACGAACGCTTTCATGAAATTGCCAAATGGGCAAGCGTGATCTTCCACTTGGGTGCTCGGGTCAACTACACACAACCGTATTCAATGCATCGCCCTGCAAATGTCGTCGGTACCAGGAACGTCCTGCGACTTGCAAGTACTGGGCAAAACAAGGCCCTACACTATGTCTCCAGCATTTCATGTTTCGGTCCAACCGGCCTCGTGACAGGCACGCAAACTATCGCCGAAGATGAACCTCTCTTGAAACATGTCGTGGCGCTCCCATACGACCATGGGTATGCGCAAAGCCAGTGGGTTGTGGAAGGACTTTTGAGACGAGTCATGGACCGCAACTTCCCTGTCGCCATCTACCGCCCAGGCTTTATCACAGGACACAGTCGCACAGGCGCCTGTAATTCAGATGACTTTTTCAGTCGATTGATACACTCTTGTGCCGAGATGGGATATTATCCGTTACTGCCCAATCAGCGCAAGGAATTCGTCCCGGTTGACTATGTCAATGCCACCATTCTTCATATTGCTGGATCACCGGCAGGTTCTTCTTTGGGTCACGCTTATCACATCGTACCTCCTAGTCGTGCCGTATCGATTGACATGAACGATGCAATGGAGTTGGTGAGTATGGCCTCGGGAGAGGACTCGGTGAGGGGATTACCCTACTCAGAGTGGGTTGAGTTGTTGAGCAAGAAGGTTCCAAAGCGGCTGCAGCCACTTCAGCCAATGTTGGCGGAAAGAGCCCAGGGGTCTCTGACTCGGTGGGAGATGTACGAGAACATGCCACTGTACGACACCACAAATACTGCCCGGGCTCTGGAAAGTTACCCAGGGGGTCTCCAGTTTCCGGCGTTGGATAGAACCCTGATGAGGAAGTATATTGAGTGCATTCTTGCTACCGGCTCCACGACTGAGTGACTAGGCATGATGCCTGATTCCAGGAAGTCAAGCTTCAGAGCAAGGTTGATGCAGTGATACTGACGAAAACTTTGGAACTTGGAAACTGCTTGATCCTCGTTCTGTCGGAGTCCCATATTGAAGCGATTGCTTCTGGTATGTTTCCACTACCATCAGATTACATACTGTGGTTCCCAAATAGCTCTAAACGATCTTGGCAATCCTTTTCATTATTCCATCTTGACCTAAGCTCTTATTATTCCAGTGATGTCTGGAAATCGTGACATTCCAAGGTTGAACTGGCGCATGAGAATAGTGCGGCCCGGTAGAAAGACTTGCTGAGGTCGAGCAATGCTAAAAATGCATCTCTGTTTGCACCTTTTTTATACCTTTTCATGACATCATTTTCGCTGTCGCTGCAGCACGATCATCAGTCATTAAGGGTCTCCGCGGATATGCAAACATCGTCATCAAAGGCAGGGTAGTAGCCCGTATCTATTTTGTTTTAGGCTCTTGGGCTTAGGCTTTTCAAGTTTTATGTAACGAATACTACCCCTAGCTTGAAATTTCCAATTTCTTTAGAGTAACCTGGTGCAGGCATCGAGTCGAGGTGGATTATAGTACGTATACCTAGTTATGTCCTTTTGTCGCCGCAAGAAGATATTCTCATTTTCTCCGAGGCCCTCCCGGACTGACATGGAGCAAAGGTATCACTTCAAAATTGGCAATCTCGCATTAATGGCCAGAAAGTGAGAGGAAACGGAACTTATCGGTTGAATCCCTCTCGATAATTTAGGCTTGGGTTTGCTGACGGGCCGTACAACACTGAGATATAATGACCTAGACATATATCCGAGTTGGTACCACACCCCAGGTGGCAGTCAGACCCAAATGGCTGGGCACTGGTTCTAGACTTCTCAGTCTTTAAGCTTATTCTAAGAGTCCATTTTCCGATATGCCAGATGAAGAACTCAATTCGAGTACTTGTGTAGAAATGGCTTTCGTGGGGTTGCTTTCAGCTAATGCCCAACTGCTCCTGTCGAATCATTTCCAATCAAGGGTGACATGAGACTTGATGTATCTTTCTCGTTTGAAAGTCAGGTAACTGGGGCAACCTAGTATCACCTGGCAGATAGAGCTCATGACCCTAGGGTGAAAAGTATTACCTTGGCGAAGATGGGGAAAACGGAGTCAGTAGATCTCAGTGAGAGTGCCCAAGAAACACATAAATATCTCCTATCTCGCAAGTGAATTCCTTTCTTGGCCAAGGCATCCATCGATACATACTTGAAGCATTCCAACCATATTTTCAACGTCCCTCAAACCCCTATCAAAATGCTTTCCCAGGTGCTTGTGACGATTGGTCTTTGCTTGGCTGGAGCCCAGGCTCAGCAGGCTGCCAATTGCCAGTATCAGTCATTGAAGTGCGGCTCGGTGCTTCTTGCTGCACCATACAGTAAGTTTTTCTGCTGCTCGGATGAGAACGCGATTCGAGAGATTGGCGAAAGCGAGACTGACTATTGGGGCTTGGTCTGAACAGGCTATACTGCCGAGCAGTTGACCGCTGCTGTGAATGACACCGTCTCGATCCCTGCCCTGACCACCGCTCAGTTGTCCGCAACACTGTTTCACTGTACCGACATTCTTGGAACAATCACCGGAAATGCTTACTGCTTCGCTGGCTGTGACACCAAGCCCGGTACTCGGAATGACCAGTGTGTCTTGTAAGTGGAAAGACATCGGACCTTCTGAATGTCGGTAACAATGAGACTGGCTGAGTGGCATTCCACTGTGGCGCTGGCTCGTTGATTTGGAGGAATTGCTCTCGATTCTCTGTTCATAGTATGAGCCTAGCACATACTCCCTCCGCGTCCTTTTTATAAGTTGGGCTTCCAGAACTGCTAGCCTACTAGGACCATCAGGCATTCATTCGTTGCTAGACAAGTTCTATGTTAATCTACATCCTTTATTGGAAGTTCCACTGCCAGCTCACAATTTGACTTATTCCTCGAGCACACTTAGAGACATCCACTCAGCACTTCCTTCAGTTACAAAAATTCCGATCATGGGTATAGACTCTAAACGGTACCTGCATGAGGGCCGACTTTCGATTCCCTGGCCGTGACGTGGGAGAGTACCTGAGGCTGATCCCCTTGGCATCTGGTTGAGATGGACACTATGTTGAAGCTAGGGAATTTGATAGTCATTTATCTAAGGTCCGGGGAAAGATTCATGGATGTTGAGGGTTTCCGATATCAATGAACCATTTTTGAGTATCCTAGGGATATGGGATAGAAGGGTGAATGCTGGAATAATAATGAGACAGTAAGGACCCTCAGACAACGATCGAATACACTCAACCCGTGAGTCTTAAACCAGGGGCTCCAGCATTTATGGCCCTTGAGGACCTCACATTTCAAAACTGGGCATAGGAAGCGTGGCCTATCATGTGTGGTTCAACAGTGGAGTCATGGTTGGAACAATGGCAGGTCCATTCATCATACATGTTGCACATGCTCCTCCAAAGCAGACGGTTTGACACTGCCTGTAACAGGAAACAGGGGCCTCAGTTGTCACAGTGACCGTTGTGACGTTTCCAGACAACTTGCACTGGTCATCCGAAGTAGCATCAGGGGTTGCCAGGCATCCCTCAATACAAAAACTGTTACCCACAATGCCGCCGTAGATGTCTTCACAGCGATAAATGACTTGGAACAGTTGAGCCACTGTGAGTTGAGGGATAGACGATGTTTGATTGACAGCGGCAGTCAATTCGGCAATCGAGTATCCTTGTTATAATTATCAGCTTTCAATGCCCTTGTCATTGGCCTTGTGTGAGGGATGAAAGATTTCGTCATCCGCCAGGGAGCCTTACCATATAGAGTGGCCAGGGTGGTGCCACATTTATCTGCTTGGTATATGCAAGGTCTAGCGAATGATTGAACTCCGACTGTAAAGCACAGCGAAGCTAGAGCCAAAGGGATTCTGTTCCATGCAATTTTGCACATTGTGTTTTGTATACATCAGTACTGCTGCGAGGATGAGCGGGGCCGCTATATTATAGAGCAGGTAGCGGAAACCACATATGTACAAGTCGCAGTGACATATTGATTGATTTTAACAAGTGGCCACATTTTTCCTCACATAGGTATATCGCAAGGCTGAGGCTACAACCTCTTGACATTGATATAAACGTCACATTGAGGAAATGCAACCCCCGGACACGATCAGGGGGCGTGGTGTCATTGTATCCCATTTTTGAAAGACTTTTTATTCAACCTTAATGGGATAATTCAGTCTGGTACAGGAGTGGGGGTGATTCCTCGGGGAAGTTCGAAGGTTTAATGTCCCAAACCGGTAATGGTGATACTGCAGGGGCACTCCTGGCAGAGAGACTATCTGGATGGGATTGTAGTATCGCAATAAGTCTGGCCCAATCTATCAGGGCCTTTCGTCGCTTCAGTACCTTATCAAGTCCCTGAGACGTGTTGGACAAGTGCTACCGCTGCTTTGCCATTGTCGCATTTCCATGGTTGCCGAACGCCAGTGAGCCTGTTGTCAGCCGGATGTTGTGTTTTCCCCGGAGTTTCAAAGAAGACACATATATCCGTTTGACAGCGTCAAGCCCAGTGAGTATGCTGGAGCTCAAGGCGACTGAAGAATTCTGTTCATGCAGATCATCCATCCTGCATACCTCAGATGTAGCGGTCTAGGCAAATCGGGCCTAGGGTGCCTCCATGATGCTGTAACTCAAGGTTTGAACGACCAGTAGGTCTTGAAGAGTTCCTTGAATATATGGAGCTAATGGCCGAGCCGAGCAGTGACAGGGGAAATTGGAAATGCGATGGATCTGATACGGGTGGCGTGGGGTAAAAGATTCAGGGATCGATGCCTCAGGCACCTGGTCAGGTGTGAGGCTCTGATGAGTCGAATTCTGGCGGAGTCAAAAGACTTGCTGAAGACAAGACGAAGAGAAAATCAAGGACAAAAGATCAAGAGTTGTACGATCGTGGGTGTGATCCACCGATCTAGCAGGACGGCCCAGAAGGCCGCTTATCCAATTTGTTTCTCTTTTTCCCAACTGCAACATTTCCACACACGACCAACCTCTTCCCCCCCTTCTGGGCTCCATCGTTCTATTTGGTTTTGTTGGGCCCTTGAACCCTAAGATTCTATCGACTCATCCTATCTTCGCCTCTTCACCCTGGGAGCTTCCCGCCCCCCGCTGAACTCACCCCGCTACGACCGCCGCGCGCTTCTCCTCTTCCCCTTTACTCCAACCTGAGAGGTACAATCCAACCGCCAAAATGGACCGAACTATTGCACGCGCGGTGACCGAAAAGAAGCCGGTCCCGGAGATCGACTTCACATTGCACACCATGGAGGACAACACGCAGGTGTCGACAATGGAGCGGGTAGTTAAGGGTAAGCATTGCCGCGGCCTCGGTCGCTTTCGCAAGCTGCGGTGCCCGATCACTAACAGGCGGTTTTTTCTTCCTTGCAGAGGTCCAAGCGCCCGCCCTCAGCTATCCTCCGGATGATATGTTTTGGTCGCCCGATGACCCGTCGAAACCCAATCTCCAGTACCTCAAGCAGCACCTCTATCGTGAAGGGCGTCTTTCGGAGGAACAGGCGCTATGGATCATTCACGCCGGTACGGAGGTTCTCAGGTCCGAGCCCAATCTACTCGAAATGGATGCGCCTATTACAGTGTGCGGTGATGTCCACGGCCAATACTATGATCTGATGAAGCTATTTGAGGTCGGTGGCGATCCCTCAGAAACAAGGTACTTGTTCTTGGGCGACTACGTCGACCGTGGTTATTTCAGTATCGAGGTGCGTCATACATCCTACGGCATTTAGTGGACTTCCCCTGACATTTTGACTCCACAGTGCGTGCTCTACCTGTGGGCATTGAAGATCTGGTACCCTGATTCGCTTTGGCTATTGCGGGGTAACCACGAATGCCGTCATTTGACAGACTACTTCACCTTCAAGCTGGAATGCAAGCACAAGTACAGCGAACGGATCTACGAGGCCTGTCTGGAGTCCTTCTGCTCGCTGCCGCTGGCGGCTGTGATGAACAAGCAATTCCTCTGCATTCACGGCGGTCTGAGCCCCGAACTGCATACCCTTGAAGATATCAAGGCTGTAAGTATCTAACTTTGCGTGTCTATGAGCGAAGAGCTGACATGGCAAATAGATCGACCGCTTCAGGGAGCCCCCAACACACGGGCTTATGTGCGATATTCTGTGGGCCGATCCTCTCGAAGAATTTGGACAAGAAAAGACTGGCGATTTCTTCATTCATAACAGCGTGCGTGGTTGCTCTTACTTCTTCTCTTATCCAGCAGCCTGTGCGTTTTTGGAGAAAAACAACTTGCTCTCCATCATCCGAGCACACGAGGCCCAAGATGCCGGGTACCGTATGTACAGAAAGACCCGGACGACTGGCTTCCCAAGTGTCATGACAATCTTCAGTGCGCCTAACTACTTGGACGTCTACAACAACAAGGCAGCTGTCCTCAAATATGAGAACAACGTCATGAACATCCGCCAATTCAACTGTACCCCACACCCATACTGGCTTCCAAACTTCATGGATGTCTTCACGTGGTCATTGCCATTCGTCGGTGAGAAGATCACTGACATGCTCATTGCCATTCTCAACACCTGCTCCAAGGAGGAGCTGGAGGACGAGACCCCTACATCTGTCTCTCCCGTTGAGACAAACAACACGATCGCCTCTCCACCGCCAACAGACCCCGAATCCAGCGAGTTCAAGCGACGTGCCATCAAAAACAAGATCCTTGCTATCGGTCGTCTCTCGCGTGTATTCCAGGTTCTCCGTGAGCAATCCGAGAGTGTCACTGAGCTGAAGACGGCGGCTGGCGGTCGTCTCCCTGCCGGAACTCTCATGCTTGGTGCCGAAGGTATCAAGCAAGCTATCCACAACTTCGAGGATGCTCGAAAAGTTGATATCCAGAACGAGCACTTGCCTCCTAGCCAGGAGGAGGTCATTGCCAAGAGTGAGGAGACTCGCCGTGTAGCCCTGGAACGGGCCGAGCATGAAGCCGCCAACGATGCTGGCCTTGCCACAGTTGCCCGCCGAATTAGCATGTAAGTGTTCCCCATGTTGGCCCGCATCCCCATCAGAAGCTAATTAAGACATCTCAGGTCTGCCGGTGCCGGCCGTCCTCGTCCCAGATCCCGGGATCCTCCCAACGATGCTTGAAAAGGCTGTAAATGTGCCTGACTTGCGATATTATGACACGACTTATCCATTCTTTATTTCTGTCCTCCAGCGCACACACACTCTTTGCCCCGACACGATTGACACGATACCCTATCTATCTACTTGATCCTACCTCTCTTCTCGTCTGGCGATAAACTTGTGAATCTACAACTAGCGATCAATAGGACAGTTCGGTGAAACATGGGTGCATTTCCCCGAACCTCGGGGTCCTCATTAGGAGATAGTAGGAGAGGCGTTTCAGATATAATTGAAATGTACAGCCTTTAAATACGAACGTGATATTGAACAACGCTTCTTGAAAATATTTATGCGTAGAATCCGTGAAGGCGGAGAATCTCCAACTGTAGAAAGTGCTGTCCAGTGATGAGTGCCAAGCCCTGCTCCCGCGTTCACTTCCGCCCAAGTTCACCTTTCTTGCGAGCATTGCCCACCAGACCTACGTCTCAATGGCTCCCAGACTGCGCAACGCGCTCGGTCTTTCACGTCCATTGGACGTCAGTGCCGTCTTTTACTGCCCCTCGTGCGCGATCTGGCGACGAACATTGTCGACGCGCAACCTTGACAAAGCCAACACTCTTCGTCGCAACGTCCGATCCCAAAACACAATCACAGCACCTGGTCCCCGGGGATTTACAAGTTCGACCGTCATTACTGCGAAGAGTGTTCCGCCGCGGTTCAAGGAGCTACATGCAGCCCTCGAAGGGGTCAAAGATGCTTCTTTGGAGCAAGTAAACCTCAGCCGTCTCCAACTCGCGCTACGGGGATTGGAAACCGAGGCGCCTCTAATCAGAGTAGCCGGTAAGTCGTGGCCATAGTGGATGGCGCAGGCTCTCTGGGGAGCTTTGCTTTCGACTCGCAGTTGAAATGGACTTGACACTTACTTTCATATCTGGAATATAGTCCTAGGTTTGAACGATGCGACCTCCGCCCGAAAACTTGTCAGGCTACTGCTTGCAGACCCATTGACACCGCGGGAAAACTGGGAAGACATTCTCGAGTCATACGATGCCGATACATCTCGAGGGCTGTTGATCAGGTAAGAAAGACTTGCGTCCGAGGAATCTTCACCGTTAGTCCTGACCAAATTGTCTATCTCTAGATACGGCGAAACTTCAGAATCCATTCCCAACGACCTACTACCGACGATATCAGTGCCGTCACCTATACTCAAGAAGGGCAACCTGGAACTTCTTGTCAGCACTCTTGGTTCCGAGGACGGTCAGGACGCTACTACCTTCAATGCCGATACTTTCCTAGTCCCCACAGTTACCATACAGACATCCCACTCAGGTCGGCATAACGTTGTTCGGTATCCTGTACACCGCACCATTGTGTGCGGAAGTGGCGTTGATGGATTGGTCTCGTACAGCACAATGATCGGGCGATCAAACTTGAAGAATGAGGTTTCTTCGATCCGGGGAGCCATTGATCTGGCCGTCGCGGATCAGAAGTCGGACAACGGACGCGTTTCGCTAGTTGATACCGATCGCGCTAATGTGGCACTAAACAAATTCCGCGAGTCCATTGACAATGCTCGAGAGTACGAACGTGGGTGGAATGGTAGTGGCATGCAACCACTTGTCGACTGGTTGGCAACTTCCTCTGATACATCGACTGGAAGCCCCATGAGCCCGACGCTGCTTCCTTTGGTCGAGTCTATCCTTGATTCAGCCGATGCCAGCGTGCTCGCCCGGGATGCCAAGGCCCTTCACGACCAAACAGCTGGCATAGCCCCCGAAGAGATGCGATCCAAGTTGGACCAAGGTATCACGACCTGGGCAGAGCGTGCACACTCCGAACTTCGAAGCTCCCTCGAAGAAGGCCTCGCTAGCCCACGCTGGCGCGGACTCGCGTGGTGGAAACTCTTCTGGCGCGTCGACGATGTCAGCATGATTACATCTGACATTCTAGATAAGCGATTCTTGCGTCGCGCCGAACAAGAGGTCATCTGGACCTCGGGCAAGTACCAGCAGGCCGGCCTGCTTGAGGAACGCTCATCTTCGAACACTGAAGACCTCGTTCCTGCGTCGTGGCCAACCCAGATTTCCGACCTTCGCACTAAACTTCTCACCACTACTGTTCCATCCCTCCAGTCTCTTGCTCAGAGCCTGGTTCTTTTCAGCGTCTCTACGACTACGTTGACCTCTGCTCTCTCCGCTCTGACTTACGTGGGCATTCCATCTGCCGGTGTATATGAGTCATGTACACTTGGAGCGGTTGGTCTGATCTACTCTATTCGTCGACAACAGAAGCGATGGGATGCCGCTCGAACCTTCTGGGAAGAGGAGGTGCGCGAGGAAGGACGTACCTCTCTATTGGAAACCGAGGCATCTCTTCGTGAGATTGTGCAGACTGGGGGCCGAGCCGTGGAAGATCTATCGGATCCTCGTCCGCGGGAGAGTGTCGCAAGAGCGAGGAAGGCCCTGGAGGGGCTTAAGGGCTAAATAACATTGCCTTCAAAGCTTTTGTATATCAATCACCAATCTAGAACAGACGAGAGTTCAACTCGGCTCTGATATGTATGATATTTTTTTGGGCCCTGGGGACATTTTCCGCCGACCACAACCCTAGTGGTGAACCACTTGGACTTCCAAGGTTGGCCTCCACCCTACTCCGTAGTCTGGAGATTTTTGAAACTTGACACTTGACATATCAAAATTGGTCTTTCTCATTCCATACAGAATATGCTCCAGTCTCCAGCGACATGTAGCATTTTTGATCTATAAGTAGAAATCCCGCCGGGGCCGTGAAACCTCCACGATGTTTCAGCTCAGCAGGAATCCGCGTCTCCTCAGTTCTGATCCAAGCGCAACACCCGAGAGACATAACGAATCACCGCAAGATCAACTCAGGCCCACGGCAGATCTCAATGGATGATCCACCAAAGCCCATCATTCGGACAAATGCTGGTGGGCCAGGGGATACCAAGCTTCACGCCCTCAGCGTGGGTGTTTCACCAGCTACGCAGAATGGGGCGATACATCGGGCTTTCTTCAGGGTTACAGACACGGGATCGATATCCTGGACTTGCTCAAACGCCTCTTGTTTGATGCAGCAACTGAATCGTATGCACGGCCCGTGGCATGTCCAGCCTGGAGGTCAGAATGGTGACCTGTATCAGCCTTGGGCAGACCCGATAGGCAGAGATATATATCCCAATCAAACAACCCAGTGCTCGACCTTGCAACACGGGCAGCCTGGAGACACAACCAACAGGAGAATCAGGAACATATCAGACAGGGGTTAAGATAAATTATGGGTCGTTTCAGACTGCGCCGCCCGCACCAATCCCAAGGCGTAGCGTGGGCCTCCACGAGACGATGGACGTTGTGCTAGCGGCTTAGTCCAGGAACGCGCTGTTCGTATCAGCGTCTCAGATACTTCCACTGCAGTCATTCCGGGAGACTACAGTTATCCACATCATCCACCCGATCTTGGCTTTCTTAAAGGAGGTCTGCCAATGCCCCTCCTTTTTTTCCCCCTCCGCCATGCCCCATGGCCACTCGGCTTAATTTCTTATGAACGCCTAATCGAAATTAAGAGGGACAGGGAGGGGCTTCACTTAGCCGTTGTTCTAATGGCTACGATCCTTCTAGTGTCTGGCTAGTATCCAAATTTTCAAGGGATTGGCCGACTCATTAAACTTAGGCCCCTCTGCGCATAATCTCGTAGGACTAAGGGGGCATTGGCATCTTAGTGAGCCCGATCCTTTTTGATCCGGTTTTTGAAGGACTTGATCCCCTCCATCTTCAACTCTCCTTTATCCCACTCCTTGGTTGTTGACCTTGTCTTGTGGTTGTTCTTTTATTCTCAGGGCCTGTCGCTCGTTCATACCAGCCCCCTTTTCGTTCATTCCTTATTTCTGTTTGATACCTACCTAGGTAGGTATACTCCGTACCGCTCTGATCTCCAGACTCCCAGTGAGTCTGCTCAACAGAACCGAGTGCATAAGTTTATGTGAGTCAAAATCCTTCCAAAAAAGCAAATCCCGCGGGTGGCTTATACATAGAATGATTCAGGGATCAATAGTGTGCAATTAAACCTTCACCAACGGCGATCCCTTGTGTTTATTGACGTCAGAACGCCTTAACCCGGTAAGTAACATACCTGCATGTCTTTTCTCCCAACTTCGATCATCCCTCGTACGGGAAAAGGGTGCCGGCAAGCAAGGGGCATTCCTCTAATTGCCCCATTGATCTGCTTGGCTCTCGAATTACAGAGTTCGATAGCCAATTGATTGGCCAATTCCAATCTCCGGTCTGCGACTTGCTTGAACCTGGTCTCAATGGCTGGACTTTGAAAAACAACGCGTGGGACGCCCCGGACTGACATATTGCTTAGCATCGTAGATACGCCAACTGTTGTCTTTCACTCTTTACCAACGCCTCACCGGTTGATTCGGTGCTTTTGGCAAACTCGCATTTCCAACTACCGCTCACTCATTTATCTTCGAGCCCGTCGACGCGGCTCCCCAATCGCATTATGCAGGACATTCGACTCAGCGCCATGTTGATGGCCTGCCTGACGCTCTTTCCATCCTCCGCGACTGCTTTCTGGCGTCTTCCTTGCCGTGGAAGAGCCGGTGCAGCCCGTCTTGACCCTATTGTCGACCCCGGCAAGGTCTCCGGCCACACCCACGTCGTTCACGGATCCGGAAGTAAGTGCAATTGAAACATTGCGCTGGCAGTCATGTTGACCATTAACAGGCTTTGGAATGAGTTCGGATCAAGCATCCCTCCAGGACTCTGATTGCACTTCATGCGCAGTCACACAGGACAAATCGGCCTACTGGACCCCTGCCCTCTACTTCATGCACACCAACGGCAGTGCCGAGATGGTCGAGGAGGTGGGAGGCATGCTTGCGTGAGTTTGACGCCGTTCTCACGGTATTAATCCGCTGACCCTGTTTAAATAGCTACTACCTTCTCTACGGAGAGAACGTGAAGGCCTTCCCTAAAGACTTCCGGATGCTGGCAGGTGATCCTTTCCAGCGCAACTTCACCTGGCCGGTCCCCGACCCTCCCAAGTCCTCATGGACTGGTGACCAGGCCTCGCAGGCTGCTTTGCGCCAAAAGGCAATCGGTTTCAACTGCTTGAACTACCAGACCACCGCCGAGGCCTCTCTCTACCGCCACCACTTGCCCGAGAAATCCTACCTTGATAAGCATTGCACCGACGGTATTCGAATTGAACTGATGTTCCCGTCTTGCTGGAACGGAAAGGACACTGACTCAGATGATCACGCCTCCCACGTTTTGTATCCATCTTTGGTCATGGACGGTACTTGCCCCAAGGGCTACGAGACTCGTTTGGTGTCGCTCTTCTACGAAACTATTTGGAACACCTACGCTTTCAAGGATGTCGATGGATACTTCGCGCTTGCCAACGGTGACCCCACCGGATTCGGATATCACGGTGATTTCATGCAGGCCTGGGATGATGGCGTGTTGCAGGAGGCTGTTGACAGCTGCACAAGTGAAACCGGTCTGATCGACGACTGCCAGATCTTCGACATCCAGACCCAGGAGAAGCAGCAACAATGTCAATTCGAGATGCCATCGGCTTTGGAGGACGAGGATGTCTTCATGTACCCTGACGGATTGCCCGGCGGCATGGCTATCCAGTGGGGCCCTGAATACGCCTCGATGGACATGGGCTCCGGCAACTCTGGACACTCCGGCCACCACCAGTCATCAACCACCACTGCATCTGGTCTCATTCCGACCCTCTCGATCCCCGCAATCCCAACCTTGTCTCTTGGTGCCGGTATCTCCATTGACCCCAACAGCCTGGTCGACAATCTCCATGCTAATAACACTGCCGCCGAGACCACCGCTGCTCCTACGACTACGTCCACTTCTACCCCTTCGCCAACCCCAACCCCGACCACCTCCATCATGGTTGACCCCGTCACTGAGGAGATTGTCTACATCCAGCGTGAAATCGTCGTGCTCGTCGATGGACAAGGAAACCCGCTATCGACCAGCACCGGCGACATTCGCACCGTCTCCTCGGCCACCACCACCGTGACCGAAACCTCCACAGCCGTCTCCTACGTCAAGAAGGACACCATTCCCGAGGCCGTTGAAGCGGAAAAGCCCTCTCGCCATGCGCGCAGACACCTCCACCACCGCCACCCTCATCATATCTAAAGCCACTTTGGATAGCTGAAGCCAGGTGTGCAAAGCACGCAGGGCGTCTTTTTGCATGTCTTGCCATGGATGTTGCTGATGGTTTGAGCTGTGCATTCGCTGACCTGCCTCGGTCTCTTCTTTCATATATGTATATTTTCTCCACTATCGGCCATCTTCCTGTCAGACGGGGAGGATGTGCATTGACTATATTGTATTCTCGTGATAGAAATTTGATTACGTCCTGGCTGGTACACCATTGAATCGCATTATTTGAGCAGAAGAAAGATTCCGTACATTGAATGTTGTCTCAGATGCAATCCTGCTTTTTCTTCGCCCTGCATTCCTGCATTGTCTTTTCGCCACTCGGCCCTTCCAGCCCTCAGCCAAAATTCATCTCTTTTGGCATGTTTGCTGATGTCACAGAGAAGAGGACACCATCGCCCAATGTCTCAGAGGCACTGGAAGCCTGGCATACTGGAAATCAATCTAGAGCATTCATCAGCTGTGGTCTCGGAATCTCCACGAAGCACTGTCCATTCTACATTGGCTTTGTCGGTAACGAAAATGCTGTACATTCACCCGTGTGACCGTCATGTAGGACTGATGGGACCTCAACTCGGCTTGATATTGGGGAGTGGCTCCCAGCCTGAGACAAAGCCAGTGAGCAAGCGAAATATACGGCAATGTCTAAGATGATTCAAGATTTTCCGCCACGGACAATCAACCAGGGATGTAAAGAATTGTCCGCTGGAGTCAGGGTTGCAACGAACTGGGTCGATATACGACAGCTCCCGTACGTCGAGCTACATATCCGCGTAAGACGCCGAATTGTACAACGGTCGGTTCAATTTCTGTCCACTCTAATTCAACTCTTGGGGGGTTATGCAGAGTTCAGTAGCCCTGCAGTGCTGCTATCTCGAGAAAGCTGGCTTAACAATCGGAATCCTAATTTTAGAATCTTTCACCTCACCGCGAGAAGACTTAATCAGTGCTGTTGTTGCACTGCGGCTCAGTCTCGAGAATACAAGTACAACGGCTTCCTTTTTGGACAATATACTCTGGCCCAACAGTACAATGAAGAGGTTGCATGCAGCATTCACTACAGGGTGGTATGTGCTGAACCATTGTGACTCTAATATGACGGCGAGATGGTTGATTTTGGTTTACTCAAACGGACATACCCAATTGAGCTTGTCAAAGCCTTCTTTTTTGAAGATATTCCAAATTCTTTTGAGCCTGGGTGGCACCCAGTTGGAACCCCAGCGATATAAGAGAAGTGCGTCAATCGATCGAACATCGAGATGGTTGATCTTCGAACTGGTCCAAAGATTGAAGACCACTGAGCTCATTGGTCATATACTAGTGTCTTTCAGAAGGCTCAGTACTTACGACAATCACAATGAATTGTCTACGCGACTTCTTCTCTTTTCTCGCGATCTATCTCGCAACCGTGATGGCTTTTCCACAGCAAACCATCACAGTCACCACGGCTACTTCACCGGCACAGATCACCCAAGGTCCCGAGCTCGTGTGTTTAGAGGGCCAAACAGCTGTCTACACAACGGATTGCACTCTAGGAACCCCAATGTCATACTGCTTCAGCCCGGAGCCTCCAATCCGTTGCTCGCGTGGGTTTTTCCCATCGGTCTGGCATCCAGACCACTGTATGGAGCGATCCACCTGCTTCCCTATCAGTGCGCCCTGGATCACGACTACGTGCACCCACGGAGCCCTAGCATATTCAACAAGCACCTTTTACGAGGGTACTGTTGCCGACGGGCATTTCACCGTTATTAAAGGTGAGATAAATATCCAAAGCTTTTACATCCCAACACGTCAAACTCGAGCCCCTGATTGACTATTTGACCTCTACTGAACGACAGGCGTTTCCTGCTCCTGTGCCCAGAACCAGTGGACTAGCACTAGATCGCTGGATTCTTTCAAAGAGGAAAAGTTTTGCATGCCGTATGACCGGTGTCCGCCAGGCATGATAACGACCTCCATCAACAGTAACGAATGCTTGATGGAGGGTCAAAAGGAGTGCCCCCTCTCTGCGAAAGAGATCGATCTCTGTGTCTGCGCTATTGAGCCGCAGACACCGGTGTATCCCGACTGGTCTGGTGCGGAGCCGACTGGGTGTGCATTTTGATTGAGATTATAACCAACAGAGTGGATAGTTTGCATGTCCCGAATGTTTTATTTGCTGACTTTACTCTATCGAGAAACCCCGAACAATCAAAAAGTGGCGCTAAAGTGGCCTTGGAAGGAGGCTTAGGATAGGATTTGGTGTTTTGCTATCCCGTGTATCTGTGGAGTGTTGCAACCGAGTGCTTTCCCGGTTCATACAATTGCTTGGCACTTCACCATTTGCCTAATTTAGCCGGTCACTGTCTGTGGGTCTGAGCATTAGTGTCAATAAACCCGATTCGTTGTAAAGCCCCATTCAAGGCGAGATTTGGCAGCTGTAGGCTTATTTCACTACTACTATTAGTTGCTCTCGTGGAGTCAGACGAGACCCACCTCACAGGAGAAATCGAGAAGCCAAAGTAGAAAACACGAGTCTCGAATGAGAACTTCATTCGAGTCACTCCAACAAGCTCCAGAATTGTTCGAGCCAGTATGGCATACCCAGCTGAAAGCGATTACCTTCCGGTGTCAATGTGAAGGTCTGAAAGAATTTGATGGCGTCTTTGAGCTCCGATATAGCGTGAGCGAGAACGGCGGAATCATATTTCGACCACTAGGACCTCGGGAAGTTGTGGTTATCAGACTGGCTGTTATTGGTAATTGTTTGAGGTGCTGGCTCTCTGCAATGCGTTTGTGGTGAGTAGAAGATGGAGGCACATAATGGCACCGATTCAAGCGAGACCGAGTAGTATTCAAATGAAGTGGAATTGATAGCCAAACCCCGCGGTGGAGTCTGACCAAGGCTTGCTGCGATATTGCGAAAATGACGACAGCGTTTCACTTACTTCTTTGCGTGATATCGTCAAAGGCCAGTTTTTTGACTGTCAAACGTAAATTTTCATGCCAATCTGCCCAGGTGAGCCCGTCTGAGTAAAAGCAATAACAGTCTTCACCGTGAAAGGAAAGGATAGACCCAGTGTAACATCAAAGTGCTTAGCCTAAACGACCTGCGCCACCCCATGTTCGGCGTCCCAATCGGGGCAACAGGGGAGCAGAGACCCGCCACGGATGCCGCGTCTTAACCCCGCGTCGGCCCGTGTCTGTCCCTACTATAAGGGTCTCCCCCCGTGCCTTGAGCTCAATCACTTCAATCGACTTGAAAATGTCTGACACTCTCCCTGAAATGCAATACCGGTTCCTCGGCCGGACCGGATTGAAGGTTTCCGTGATCTCACTCGGAAGCTGGCTCACATACGGTGGACACGTCGGCAATGGTGAGTCAAACGGCATGGCGGCATTGATCAACACTGACCAACCCACAGAGACGGCCCTGGAATGCATGAAGGTTGCATACGATGCCGGTGTCAACTTCTTCGACACAGCCGAAGTATACTCCGGCGGCCAGTCGGAGATTGTACTCGGAGAAGCTATCAAAAAGTTCGGCTGGAAACAAAATGACCTGGTCATCTCCACCAAGGTAGGTTAAGCAGGGCTCCATAGAGCTCCTTTTCTAACCTATCATACAGATCTACTGGGGCAAGGCCAACAGCGCCAACCCGAACAAACCACTCAACAACAATGGACTCTCCCGCAAGCACATCATCGAAGGCATGAACCTTTCTCTCCAACGCCTGGACCTGCCATACGTGGACATTGTCTACGCCCACCGACCAGACCGCGACACCCCAATGGAAGAGATCGTCCGCGGCTTCAACTACCTCCTAGACCACGGCAAGGCCTTCTACTGGGGAACCTCCGAGTGGTCCGCAAGCGAGATCTCCGACGCCTGGCGCATCGCCGACAAGCTAGGCTTGGTGGGCCCTGTCGTCGAACAGCCCCAGTACAACCTTCTCGTGCGCGAGCGAGTCGAGCGTGAATACCGCTGGCTCTATGACGCCCACGGGCTCGGCCTGACCGTCTTCTCCCCGTTGAAGGGTGGCGTGCTGACGGGCAAGTATAATGATGCTTCTGCTCCGCCTTCCGGCTCGAGACTGGCAGAGTCAAATGATGGGTATGTGCAGAATCTGCGCAAGACTGTTGGCGACGATACGTGGCAGAGACAGTTGGATCAGGTTGCGGCTTTGAAGCCGGTTGCTGAGGAGTTGGGGGTTCCTACTGCGCAGTTGGCTCTTGCGTGGATTTTGAAGAACCCGAATATCTCGTCTATGATTACTGGTGCTTCGCGGCCGCAACAGGTTTTGGATAACATCCGCGCTTTGGAACTCGTGGACAAGTTGACGGATGAGGTTATTGAGAAGATTGAGGCTGCTGTTGGAAACCAGCCTGCTGTTGAGAATAGACGGTTTTAGATTTGGAGCATAGAAATAAAAACAACCTTGAAGGTTGCTCCCTGACTTGATGCGAAAAGACTATGCAGCCGGTCCTCAGTTCATCGGCATTTGTTAATCAAGGCTGGCAGCCCTGGAGATTGTCACGAACTGAATTGATATTGAACACGCAGGGTGTTTAGATACATTTTCCACCATCGACAACCATCTCAGTGCCGTTGATGAATCGACCTTCATCACTAGCCAGGTAAAGGCACATATTGGCGATATCATCTGCCTCGGTGAGACGGCCTAGCGGGACATTTCCAATGAACTTCTCTCTGTTCTCGGGGGTGTCTTCCATGCCGGTAAACATTGAGAAAAGCCCAGTCCCAGAGAGGAGGGGAGCAACGCTGTTGACTCGGATATTGTGAGGACCGTACTCAGCAGCAAGACCCTTAGTAGCCTGTATCAACCGTCAGTAAACCCTTTCTTGCTCAGGATATTCCCACTCACGTTCGTCACTGCACCCTTGGAAGCATTGTACCAAACCAACCCAGGCCGTGGCCGACTAGCTCCCGTCGAGGAGATGTTGACGACCGACCCACCCTGGCCTTGATCAATGAAGCGCGGCATAACTGTCTTTGCAGCTAAGTATATACTCTTCACATTGACCTTGAAGACCCTCTCCCACTCATCCTCGGTGACTTCAGCCGTGGGCTATTCGCAGACTAAGCATTAGTGCAAGACTTCAATCGCAGTTTAACGACCCACCTTATTGCGATAAGTAGTCCCAGCATTATTCACCAACACATCCACTCGCCCGAATTTGGCGAATGCCAGATCCAGAATCTCATTCCAGTCTGCCTCCTGAGTGACGTCCATGCGCTGGAAGATCAAGTTGCTGGCGTTCTGGGCGGCGACCTTTTCCCCGCCTTCGACATTGATATCCGTAACAATGACCTTTGCGCCTTCTTCGCCGAAACGCTTCGCGATGGCTGCTCCAAAGCCAGATCCGCCTCCTAGAAGATGAAGGTCAGTTAGAGCGCGGCGCCCAAGTTTCGCTTTCGGGGACATCTTTCCTACCTGTGACGATGGCAACTTTGCCTTGAAGTCTTGAGCCTTGAGACATGTTCGAGCTGAGTTAGTCTGAGATGAGTGATGTATCGTCAATGGGGAAATGGTCTCTTATACGTAGAGTCAACCAAAGAGGGGTTTCGGTAGACAACAATCGGAGTGAAATCCGAGGTGTTTCCCCGCATCAGCATGTCAATGGAAGTACACAGCCTTTATATTTGTGAGTTCACTGTTCGTGAGGAATTATCAATCTCAGCAAGATCATCGAGTCTTGAATCTGGAATATTGGTTCCTAGTATGTGGTTGTTCGGTTCCGTGGCTACTCTATGAGACTCGAAGTATACGAAAAGACCATGGGATATTTCCTGTGCCTCTCAAGGAACCAATTACTTAGGCTCACGTACAACTAAATACATACCTAGGTAATACAATGCTCCCACTCGCAGGAGACTGCGCCCTTCGTCATGGCTGATCATTGCACCTTTTGGGAAAAAGCAAAAAACATCAAACTAGGGGTTTAGTCTCAACTCTTGTGACATTGTGTTCTCTGTGCATCTTGGACTTCATTATGCAGCTCTTAACAATCCTGACGCCACTAGTACTTCCAGTAGCTGTTTCGGCAACTCTCGACCCCTGCTATGGCCCAAGTGTAAATTCCACTCCTTCAACCGATCAGCGCAACGCCCCATGGGGTTCCCCTAGTGTCCACTTCTCGTCGCTGAACGGCACTACAACCACATGCTGTGACTCTTTGGACGAGATCCGCAATGCACTAGACGAAATCGATGACAAGCTCCTGGAACTTCTCAATCGCAGGTAAGTACTCACTTATCATTTGCCCCTGGTTTCGGTCCCAATCCTGGTGAAAGTTCGAAAATCATGCCCGAGTAGCAACAATATCTATAGCCATATCCTTGGATGATGATACTTACATCTGTCTTCTTGACTAGAGCTGCGTATGTTCGGGAGGCAACTCGATTCAAATCGACACGGGCTGCTGTCAACGCTCCCTCACGAAACGAGGCTGTCTTGAAACAAGCAGATCAACAGGCTGTGCATATTGGATTGCCGGTCACGATTGCGCAAGCTGCTATGGGCGCTATTCTGAATTCTAGTGTGGCTTTTGAGGAATGCATTGTGAGTTGTATACTGCTAGAGGCCGATGACGACTAACAGATATTATAGTTCGATACTTATGATGATCAATAATATGATAGTTTCTGCTTGTGATAGAAACCTTGTAGACCTCCAAATTGAGCATCCAACTTCCTCAGGTCATGAAGGATCGCGCTAGCAGACTTGTAGCGCAGCAGCCTGAGAGTGAGCAAGGGCTTTGAAACATGTAGACATGTACGTTCCCGTTTAATTCCAAGGTTGTAATACGGCAACTATACTATGATTTTGATCACAGTGAGATTTCTCATATTGCAACGATGTTCGTGGAGTCTAGATGAGGTTCCTGGGGTGAACGAAGGACGTGCCACATCTCGCCCCAAGCGCCGGTGTATGGCTAAATGAGCGGAAAACAAATGAACTAGGGTCTCTCAAGCATGACTATGCACAGAATCAGAACACTCAGACCAAAATGGTCACTGATTTCGTATGTGTTGTAAGGCGCGCCTGCGCCTACTCTTTTTCCCGCTTAGCGCCCCATTCCCGCGAGCCTTGTGAGTTTTCCGCATGAACCACATTTTATACCCTCTCGTCGATGCATGAACACCACCTCCCCCCTCTCGCCCGATGGAGAGACGAACGGGCGCACCCGTAACGGACACGTCGGATACACAATCAGTTGAACGCAAACGCACTCGCCGCTGGCACCACCGCGGCTTCACGGGCTGCTCGACCTGTCGCCGCCGCCATGTCCGCTGCGACGAGGCCTCCCCCGCCTGCAATAACTGTGTGCGACTCGGTCGCGAATGCGATGGAGCGCAGGGTCAAATGACATTCAAAGTCTACGGGCCTTCACAGACACCCGATTTTGCGCCCGAGTCCTCGAAGGCACCGAAGAGACGGCAGAGAAAAGCGGCGTCGAATCCAGATTCCACAGAGACAGCGGTAGTCCCGGCCGTTCAAAAGGAAGAAGTGGGAGAGCGCACGCAGGCCGTGTCCCCCACTGCGTTGGTACAGCCGGCACTTCAATTTCGTTTCCAGGACCCTGTTACGCCGGCCAGTGTGGCGAGGTCGATCCAGCGCACCGACGAGCGTTACTTTGCGCACTTCATTGATCAGGTCTCGACACTTCTGATTATCTACGACAGTCCCGATAATGCCAATCCCTACCGCACATTATTTCCGGAATTCGCCAAGTCCTCCCCGACAATGGTGAATGCGATGCAGGCGTTGGGCGCGTTACATCTAGCGAATACGTCGGATGGGTCACAACGCGATAAGCATTCCCAGACAGCGATGGGAAAATACGGTCTGGTGGTCAGGGGATTTCGCGCACGATATGCAGATCCCAGCCAACAACTCGGGTTGACGGATTTCGCAACTTGTCTGCTGCTATGTCTCTTCGAGGTTTGTTCTGATTCCGACAACGGTGGATTGAAGCTTTACTAACAATTTGCAGATGATGGATTCCCAGCATCAAAATTGGGCAGTACATCTCAAAGGCGCTCGCGAAATCTACAACACTCTCTTCTACCCTCATACCGGAAACTCGGCACGGGAAGTGCAACGCTGTGCTGAAACAAATCACCCGCTCCGGCCATTCCTCGTATCTTTGCTCTCCTATCTCGATGTGGCCGGTGCATGCGCGACCCCGGGAGGCACTGTCGTGGAGGGCAGTTACTGGAAGACCATGGGTGGGGGATGGGAGTATAATCTTGGGACTCCAAGCTTATCCACTACCCCCGACAATCCACTCTTAATCGAGCTGCGTGAAGCATGGTCCAGCTTGATGGAAGTCCAAACGACAATCAGCACTTTCGCATCCGATAAAAAGACGTGGATGACCATGGACCAGTCAGACATGACTTACAAGGAGATTTTCAACCAACTGGTCGTGTGGCGTGCAATGGCTCCGCCTAGCTTGCAGCTGCTCTCGGATCTGGACGACGAGAGCCTCGCTCATTACCCCTACCCCGAAGTTCTCGAATATGCGGGCTGTATTGAGGCATACGAGAAGGCGACCTTCGTTCACTTGCTTCAGGTCGCTGGAGCCGGGCGTGTCGGCTGGATAACTGACTGGACATACATGGACATGCTTGTCAGTCGGATTCTCTTGTTGATTTGTAACTTGTCCAAGGGGATCGGCCAGCTGGCTGTCCTGTGGCCGCTTTTCATCGCTGGGCAAGAAACGCGAAGTGAAACCGAACAAAAATACATTCGCCAGACCATGGAGGAGTTGAAACGATTTGGCTTCAAGGTATGCTGAAGTCCCGTCAAGTTTTGCAATCAGATGCTAACCATCGACCTAGAATGTTGATAAAGCACTAGAGCTTTTAGAAGGCGTCTGGTTCAAGCGACGCTCTTTCCCTGGTGGATGGATTCAGACATTGGAAGAAGTCCAAACAAACATCTTGCTTCCCTGAGAGCAAACTACTGCATTCGACCTCGACTCTGATCGAGGTCCTGCATCTGCATCATACCCCTGCTGGCGTTACTCATGCCCCAAGCCCACTCTGACGATCTTAACGATCACCATGATCTTCAGACTCATCCCTTGTCCTCTATTTATGATACCCCCCACTAACTCACGAGGCCCCAGATTGCCTCCCTATTAGATTACTGGCCCTGTGCCATGTATAAAAAGACATGTACGATATGACTCTGTTGCTATGCACATCAAATACACGAATAATTGAATTCTTTTTGGAACTGCCATGAATATCACTACTGACCTTCCTTGATCTTTTTACTCAGATTGTCGGTTCGGTATCAACGGGTCTACAAGTATACTAGCTAGCCAAAGTGGAGCCTAAACAATACAATTCGCTCATCTGGGAAAGCCCCGAGACATCGCCTTGGGTCCACTATGGAGCACTATTTACTCCGTAGTGACATCGGAGACTCCGGGTAGCCCCCACAAGATGCCCATCTCCATTTTCTCTACGAGGATATCAGGGCCAGGGTTCACGCTGTGATATTTCCCTGGCCTCGCTTCTTTTTGAGCAGGAATGACGCAAGATCCCTATCCGATAGCATTGTCTGTCCTGCTCCAAGCATTGGTCTTATCACGACACCAGGGGTATGAGGTTCTAGTCCCACCTTGGCACAAGCAACCGTTAGCAAATGTTTCAACCAATCGATGAGGCCGCAAAACCCCCAACTAGGGCTCCTGTCCCTAGGCTTGGGGGCTAAAACAAATTGCACGATGGATTAAAAATCAATATTCCCAAATCATTGTACTAGTATTCCGTAGCAGGTGCCCTATTTAACTAGAGCTGCCGTTCTGTCATTTCCCGCCCGGTTCGGATCTACTCTATCATCAAACGGGGTACATTTTTGTTTCCAATTTCTCACAGTAAAATGGCCCCTACCGTCGTTTTCATCACCGGTGCCAATCGCGGCTTAGGCTTTGGAATCGCGAAGAAGTTCGTCGCCAGACCAAACTACGTGAGTTGTTTCCTTATAAACTCAAATGCTTAAGATGCCAGTCAGGCACTAACGCAGGGCATATGTAGGTTGTTGTCGGGGCCGTACGGGACCCCACGCACGACTCTGCTCAGCAACTATCTTCGCTGCCAACTGGCGAGGGCAGTCGCATCATCCTGGTCAAGTACGACGCAAGCATTGAGCAGTCCGCTTTTGATGCTGTCCAGGAAGCCACTGAGCAAGGCATTGATCATTTCGACTATGTCGTAGCAAATGCCGGCATTGCCAAGACGTTCCCTCTTGTCAAGGATGCGAAGAGGGCTGATCTCGTTGAGCATCATCAAGTGAACGTTCTCAGCGTTTTGTCACTCTACCAAGCTGTTCGTGATCTGCTGCAGAAGTCTACTCTCAGCTCGCCCGTGTTTGCTATTATGGGTTCTGGGACTGGGGCTCTAGGGTATGTCTATGGGATGATTGGTGATTTTTGTTAGCGAGGTCGATAAAGATACTAATGTGCATTTTAGAAACCAGCCCAACATCCCAAATGCAGTGTATGGCGCTTCCAAGTCCATTCTTCTCTGGTATGGTATTCGCATTAACGCGGAGGATGAGTGGCTCAACACGTTCATCATTGATCCCGGCTGGGTTCAGACTGATATGGGCAACTACACTGCCGCGACCTGGGGATATGGTACTGCACCTACCACTGTGGAAGAATCGACTGGCGGTATGGTCAATGTGATTAGTACAGCAACTAAAGAGAAGCATGGTGGCAAGTTTGTGCTTTACAATGGTGAGATCCAGGGCTGGTAGGTTTATTCCAGGTATGAAGGTCATTTATCAATGGCCTCGGGGATACCCAGCCTTGTGTAAATATTTTTAAAAAACAAAAATACAAATATTCAACGGCTTAGATATAGAAAATATCCCATACAGCTGAACGATCAAACAGAATCAAAGCATTGTACCTGTAGTATACGGGAGTGGGTCTATAACCGGTTTCGGCCATCTGCACAGACCGCGTCAAGAGCGGCTTCTTTAGGAACTGCAACGCGCGTGATATGTGACATCGAACACCCCAGGGCTGGGATAGATATGAGTTTTCAATACGGAGTAAAATGAATATAAAGGAAAAGTCTGCCGGAACAGACAGCTCCGAGGCCACGAGAAATCCAGAACATCTGATTTAATGTTAGCTTGCGATTAGCTTCAAGATTTTCCTTTTCATTTCTTTTCCGCTTTCTCGTTTTGCTCGTTTTTCCCAAGGTTCTCACCGTGCAGGCCCGTGGTGGTTCTGTAATTCTTACCCGCACGATCTGATAACCTCACTGAACTTCACCAACTACCAACTCAGCCCTGAAGGCGAAACCAGTTTCAAAGTGAAGCGGGACTCCCGGGTGGGTCAACACAGTCAAGTTTGACCGGGGGCGGAAACCGGCGTGATCGGAGCAAAAGTCTATCCTAAATTTTTTAACAACACTTTACGATCAAGAAAAAACAACTCGTGAACATTCACTGAAGCGTCAACTCCCTTCTCTGTGTTGGCTTCTCTGTGTTGGCTGATCGCTCCGGATTGAGACATGGCTCCGCAAGACGTCAGCGGCCACGCCGACCTCCTCGACAATGGCAGCCAAGTCGGCGAGGGCGAAGGCGATCGAGCAGAGACAAAGGCTCAGGATGATGCGGCCTTGTTGGTAAGACCCAGATGGATCATAACTGCACGCAGCATACAAGCAACTTGCTAACCATGACATTGTAGCGAACCATGGGCTATAAGCCGGTATGCTGACCCCTGTAGATGGGAATAATCGGCGATGACTGACTGTTCGGATAGGTTTTGCACCGAACGTACACTTTGTTTGAGAACTTTGCGACCACATTTGGTATGTTCTCTGCGCCCGTGGAATTCCATGTGCAATACTGACAAGGCCTAGCTGCGCTGTACTTTGTCGGTGGTGTACGCGTCACCTTTAGCACGGGTATTGCGGCCGGTGGTAACCTGGCCTACTGGACCAGTTACTTGGTGACTATGGTGTTCACCTTTATCACTGCGGCGGTCATTGCGGAGGTCTGCTCGGCCTCCCCGTCGGCGGGTTCCATCTACCTGTGGGCCGCCGAGGCTGGTGGGCCTCGATTTGGTCGACTATTAGGTTTCATCGTCGCTTGGTGGAGCACAACTGCTTGGACGACCTTCTGTGCCAGTAGGTTGCAATCGGAGAGTTGACTGGAGTATCATATTGACCATGCATCAGGCAACACCCAGGCTGCTGCGAATTACATGCTTTCGGTATGCGTTGGTTTCTGTTTTCTGTGCTTGTGGGTTAACATGTGCGTTTAGGAAATCACGGTCTTCAAGCTCGATTTCCCGTCTGACACCGACGATGTCAAGTTCCGCGCCGTGCAGTGGATCTGCACTGAGGTTTTGCTTGCGCTGGCGGCCTTGCTGAACTTCATGCCTCGTATGTTTTATCTCCTTCTGTGCACCGGCCAACATTAACCACTCTGCAGCTCGATACTTCAAGTATGTCTTCTGGTTTTCTGCGGCGGTTGTCATGCTCGACTTCTTCCTGAACCTGATTTGGTTGCCCATTGGTGTCGCACAGACATGGGGGTTCCGTACCACCCATGAGGCTTTCATGACCACCTACAATGGAACCGGAGCCCCAGATGGCTGGAACTGGTGTCTCTCGTACTTGGCTACTGCCGGTATCCTCATTGGTTTCGATGCCTCGGGTCACGTTGCGGAAGAAACCAAGAATGCTTCGGTCACTGCTGCCCGTGGTATCTTCTGGAGTACCGTTGCCAGTGGATTCGGCGGTCTTGCTACCATCATTCTCTTCTTGTTCTGCGCGGTTCGTGTCTATCTCCAGTCTCTCCGAAGTGACCTACTGACGTTTCCATCCTAGCCTGATACAGAGACCCTGATGAGCTTCGGCTCCCCTCAGCCCTTCGTGCCTCTTTATGCTGCCGTTCTCGGCGAGGGAGGTCACATCTTCATGAACTTCATTTGCATTTTCGCCCTGTGGCTTGTAAGCTGTCCGATCATCTCTGATTTCCCACGTACTGACCACGACCAGAACACCGCCATCGCGATTATCGCCGCCTCGCGTCTCGTCTTCGCCGTCGCGCGTGACGGTGTGCTCCCCTTCTCCGGCTGGGTCTCCCGCGTCAACAACGGCCAGCCTCGCAACGCCGTCATCGTCGTCTGGGGTGTCGCTTCCCTGGTGACCTGCACCATCCTCCCCTCCAACGTCGCCTTCACCTCCCTAGTCTCAGCCGCTGGTGTGCCCAGTGCCGCCGCCTACGGTCTGATCTGCCTTGGTCGTCTGTTCTGCACCCCGAGTCGCTTCCCCAAGCCGCAGTGGAGTCTTGGTCGGTGGAGCAAGCCGTTCCAGCTCATTGGAGTCTTCTGGAATGGCTGGGTGGTTGCCATTCTGTTCTCGCCCTATGCTTGGCCTGTCACTGGCGAGAATTTGAACTGTATGTCCTGCTCCGCTTGTCGTTGTAATCTTGCTAATTATTTTCCCAGACGCCCCTATCATTATGGCTGGAGTTACTATCCTGGCTTTGATTTCGTACTTCATGATGCCGGAGAGTGCTTGGCTTCCTCGCGACCGTATCAGCCACTTCATTGATAGCAAGGGAGCTGTTGAGACGGTGGAGGAAGTTAACTCGGAGCACGGGGGCCCTGCTCACCAATGAGCCATTTGAAAAGTATTTCGATAGATCTATTTGCTCTAATTTATTTTTAAGTTGGAAGTGTATGTTTCTATACTCTGTACTCCGTAAAGCAGGTCAGCCGAACCGGAGTGTGGGGAAAGCTCCCCGCAAACAGAATAAGGAACAAGGCACAAGGATTGTGATTAGTCGACTGTACATTCCTGCCCAGGTGTCAATGTAGTTCCGGCTTCCCCTCCTTTGCCGAGAATCGGTGCTTTATATTTCCCCTCCTTTCTGTCTTTCTGCTTTTCACATACTCTCCTTTAAAAAGAGAGAAAACAGTACAGCTGTGGAGAACAGTGGCGTGGTTGCGTTCCGGACCGGATGCGGTACGGGTTGACATTTTAAACTCCCCCAACCTTCTAAGGTTGTGCACTCAAAATGAGTTCTATGCGCTCGGTTCTGAGGCCCTTTCTGGGTGCCATTGCGCATAGATCTTTTGTGTCTGGTAAGTTCTCCTTGAAGCTCTCTACGGAGTAGGGCTGCCCCGGATACTGACGTACGAATAGTCCCGGCTCGGCATGCGGGTTTCCTCGGACAAAGCAAACGCGTCTGCGTGCCCCAGCGATGGTTTTCCTCTTCCAAGCAGTTCGCAGAAGCCTCGGAGTCACCCGTCGAGCTTGCATCCACTCCATACTCCGCATTGACCGTCGGTGTTCCTCTGGAGATATATCCGGGGGAACGTCGGGTCGCTATCACCCCACAGAATGTGGCTCTCTTGCTGAAGAAGGGAGTCTCGCGCGTCCTTATTGAGCGTGGTGCAGGCGAGGGTGCTCAACTGCTAGACCATGCCTACGAACAAGCCGGCGCGACAATGGTCGACCGAGATGCTATCTGGTCTCAGAGTGATATTGTCTTGAAGGTCCGCAGTCCGCAGTCCGAAGGACCCTTCAATGAGATCCAGGCTCTGCGCAAAGGTTCAACTATCATCTCCTTCGTCTATCCCCTCCAGAACAAGCCCCTCGTCGAAGCGTTCGCGGCTCGTGGTGTTACCTCTTTCGCCATGGATCGCGTCCCCCGGATTTCCCGTGCACAGGTGTTCGATGCCCTCAGCTCCATGGCCAACATTGCTGGATACAAGGCAGTGCTGGAGGCGTCTAATCACTTCGGTCGTTTCTTAACTGGTCAGGTCACTGCTGCTGGAAAGATTCCCCCCAGCAAGGTTCTCGTCATTGGTGCCGGCGTAGCTGGTTTAAGTGCAATTGCTTCCGCGCGCCGTATGGGTGCTATCGTTCGTGGTTTTGATACTCGCCCTGCCGTCCGTGAGCAAGTTCAATCTCTGGGTGCTGAATTCATCGAGGTGGATTTCCAAGAAGATGGTGCTGGTCAGGGCGGCTATGCCAAGGAAATGTCTAAGGAGTTCATCGAGGCAGAAATGAAGCTCTTCATGGAACAAGCCAAGGACGTTGATATCATCATCACTACCGCTTTGATTCCCGGAAAGCCTGCTCCTAAGCTCATTACCAAGGAAATGGTCGAGGCCATGAAACCAGGCTCTGTGATTGTTGATCTTGCCGCTGAGGCAGGCGGCAATTGCGAAGCTACAGTCCCTGGTGAATTGAGTCGCTACAAGGACGTCACTATCATCGGCTACACGGATCTTCCCTCTCGTCTCCCTACCCAGTCTTCGACACTGTACTCGAACAACATCACCAAGTACCTTCTCTCCATGGCTCCCCAGGAGAAGTCCTTTGGCATCGACTTCAAAGATGAAGTTGTGCGAGGATCAATCGTGACGCTCAACGGTGAAATCATTCCACCTGCCGCCCCGCCTGCTCCCCCTCCAGCTCCAAAGCCCGAAGCTCAAGCTGCAGCCAAGAAGGAGGAAGTGGCCTTGACACCCTGGCAACAGACAACCCGTGATGTGACCGCCGTCACCGGTGCTATGGGTACAACCCTCGCATTGGGCAAAGCCACCGGTCCAATCTTCATGGGCAACATGATGACCTTCGGTCTTGCCGGTCTGGTGGGCTACCGTGCAGTCTGGGGCGTCGCCCCTGCACTCCACTCTCCCCTGATGAGTGTCACTAATGCGATCTCTGGTATGGTTGGAATTGGTGGACTGTTCATTATGGGTGGTGGCTACACACCCACTACAATTCCCGAGTATCTTGGTGCTGCTTCGGTGCTTCTGGCTTTCGTGAATGTTTCCGGTGGCTTTGTTGTCACGAAGCGCATGCTGGATATGTTCAAACGCCCAACCGATCCCCCTGAGTACCCCTGGTTGTACGCTGTTCCTGCCGTTGTCTTCGGCGGTGGCTTCATCGCCGCCGCTAGCACCGGCATGGCTGGTTTGGTGCAAGCCGGCTACCTGGTCAGCTCACTTCTTTGCATGGGCTCAATCTCAAGCTTGGCCTCCCAGCAAACTGCTCGTCGGGGTAACATTTTCGGGATTCTCGGTGTTATCTCTGGTATCCTGGCTTCCTTGGCTGCGGTGGGCTTCACACCCGAAACCCTCACGCAATTCTCGGCTGTTGCTGGCACCGGTGCCATCGTTGGTGGTTTGATCGGTCGTCGAATCACACCCACTGGTCTTCCCCAGACTGTCGCCGCTCTCCACTCCGTGGTCGGACTGGCTGCCGTCCTCACTAGCGCTGGCAGTGTGATGGCTGACATCGGCGATATCACAACCCTTCACCTGACGACAGCATACCTGGGTGTTCTCATCGGTGGTGTCACATTTACCGGCTCAATCGTTGCATTCATGAAACTGGCAGGCCGTATGTCCTCCAAGCCAACAATCTTACCCGGACGCCATGTCATCAACTCCACTCTATTGGGTGGAAATGTTGCAACCATGGGCGCATTCCTCACCATGGCACCGGGAAGCCCTGCTATCGCGGCCGCCTGTCTGGGTACCAGTACTGTCCTCAGTTTCCTCAAAGGATATACCACAACAGCCGCCATCGGTGGTGCCGACATGCCAGTCGTCATCACCGTATTGAACGCTTACTCCGGATTTGCCCTGGTGGCAGAAGGCCTAATGCTCGATAATCCCCTTTTAACCAGTGTTGGATCCCTAATTGGAGTCAGCGGCTCTATTCTTTCCTACATCATGTGTGTCAACATGAACAGATCTCTCACCAACGTTCTTTTTGGTGGTATCTCGAGCCCAGCAGCCGAGAACCAAAAGAAAATCGAGGGCGAAATCACGCAGACCAGTATTGATGACACCGTGGAATCACTCTCCAGTGCCGAGAACGTCATCATCGTCGTCGGTTATGGTATGGCCGTTGCGAAGGCTCAATATGCTCTATCTGAGATTGTTGGGCTTTTGCGGGCCCGTGGTGTCAATGTGAGATTCGCCATTCACCCAGTTGCTGGCAGAATGCCTGGTCAATGTAATGTTCTGCTTGCCGAGGCTTCAGTGCCATACGATAGTAAGTTGCATGCTTTTCTCGGTCATTGTATACAAATGCTGACAAGATATCAGTCGTTTTGGAGATGGAGGAAATCAATGAAGACTTCTCTGACACCGATGTCACGCTCGTCATTGGCGCCAACGATACTGTCAACCCTATCGCTATGGAGCCTGATTCCGCCATCTCCGGTATGCCTGTGCTCCACGCCTGGAAGAGTAAGGAGGTTATAGTGATGAAGCGCGGCATGTCCAGTGGATACGGTATGTTCTCTCATCTTGTCTTGATTGCTGTTCTAACATTTTCTAGCGGACGTGCCAAACCCGATGTTCTTCATGCCTGGTACACGGATGCTGTTCGGAGATGCTAAGACTTCTTGCGATGGTATGATTTATTCCCCGGTATTGAATATGGCGTGCACTAACATGAATCCCCAGCTATAAAATCCGCCCTGGAGGCACGCAAGTAAGACTTCGTCGGATAATACCTGTGTTGTTGGATTCTGCATGCTTTTTTTGTTTATTGTGAGATCTTGCCGACGCCCCGATGGCTAGCTATTCCCCTTGTGCTTGATCACTTCCTATTTTCCAGCTGTTCCTACTGTAGTGTTGACTTCGATGCATCTCCCTCCTGAGACGCTACCACTATCCTAGAGAATATGACCGTTCTACACCGAATTACGACCAAAAGGCCTAGACAGATCCCAGTATCACTTGAAGCAAAACAAGGAGACTTTCATTGTTCTCTCTGCCTCCATTCAAGTCTATCAGCAAGAATATCCCAGCTAGGAGGCCCATCCGCGCGAGTCAGACCTTTCAAGCTATTCGTGACAAAAGTCGTAAGATGATCAAATTTAAATTTCACCTTCCTCGCCTGCTGGCTGTAGCTCAAATCCAGGAACGAGGCCGTGAGTGTGTGTTCATGGCCCTGTTCATCATGGTCGTAATCATCCTCGTCGGAATCCAAGTCATCATCAGCAGTCACATTCGCATGCGGCGTTGTATGCGCATGCAGGCCGTGATCCTCACTAATAATCAAGTGGGCGCTTTGTAGATCCGCGAAATGAACGCAGAGATCCAAAATACCCAGGATTGCTTCGTGGAGTTGTGACAATTCTGGAGATAGCAAACACTGCACTTCCACTGACTTCATGAAATCTTGGTGCGCGCAAATCATAGCATCAACGTCCTGCGCGTTTGACATGAATTTGTGGAGGGCTTGGCTGGAAGTTGAAATAACCAAGTAGGTGAAGTGGCCGTAGAGGAAATCCAAGAACCAGAGCATGTTATGGTGGAGAATGTTCACCAGGGTTTCGCTGTTTTCGGATATTGAGCGGGCATCAAGGAGACGCTGTTTGACAATGGAATATTTCGCGCGTCTGATTTGCATCAGGAAGGTAGATATGCGCTGGTAAGAGTGGAGTGCATCTTCAGTGATGATATTTGCGACTGGCCATGGTAGACCGTAGTCGATTGAGATTTTCTCAAGGAGTCGCACAGATCGTGATTGTGTTTCAGGGCTGCGTGTGTTTAATGGCTTCACAAGGAGTTTCGATACATCGATCACCGGGACCGGGAGGAAGGCTGTTCGTGCTATTTCCGTGAGCAAGAATCTATCCCATGGTCTACCCCGATCCATGATATCAAATACTTTTGCATCAATGGTGCTGGTGGCACTCATGTCTTTGCCAAAGTAGACGTGGTGGAGAGCATCGAGTGATGTCCACAGTCCGCATTGCTGGTCGAGTTCCATTCGCAAGAGGCCAGCACTTAGCGAATGGTCTGCATCGACGATCTTTTCAAATGCGGACTCTACCAATGCAGAGAACGGAAGTGGGAGTGAAGATTCTGGAGGAGAATCATCTTCGTGGGACTCTGCAGTTTCTGGCAAGGCGTTCAGGTGGCGTAGAAATACCATGCTTTTCCCGGCCGTGAAGACTTTCTGCACGCTGGTTGCGAGGAATTGAGGGATCTTCTGCCCCTGGTCACCTGTGTCAAGCATGAACCAGTCATGCCATAAAGTCCGCAGGTCGCCGTTCTCCCGAAGAGTCCGCACGAAGAACGTGCTGTCCAGAGCATCAACCTGGCCTGTTTCCATCCATAGTCGGGTTGACCTGGTATAGGTTCTGAAACACTGGAAAAACAACTTTATCAGGCTTTGGGATGAAGTTTCATCGCCCAGTGCTTCAAGCATGCATATTAAATCGTAAAGCAAGTCAAGACAGCGCATGGGCTGATTGATCGAGTCATCCCATAGTTTGCCGATCATATCTGATAGTAAATTTAGTTCATGAGAGTGGTCACGAACATCAGCGAGGAGTTGGAGAAGACTAATGGTGGATCCGGGCGAGAGGTATTTGCACTGGATGTGGGAAAGAAACTTGTCGAAATCAAGGATCCGTTGTTCGATTCCTCGGCAGAAAGTCTGCATGTACGGTATCTCTTGAGGGATTTTGGTGAAACGCCGGATGCCGTCAATTCTGGTGCCGATTTCACTGAAACACTGCAACAGTGACGCCAGGGCCTCGTTGGATGAATGTGCGAGTGTATATCTGTGGTCCACATTGATTCTGTCTTCAAGATGGCGAAATATAGATGTAGGAAGCCCTTGAAGCATGAAGATGGTTTCTCGGGCTAGTTGAGATTCTGTGATAGATCGTGACGCGCTCGCTTTTCCCGGTGGTACTACAGAATGATTCTGTGGCTTCCAGAATTGAGCCTTCTCTATAGAGGCAACAAGATCACCGTCTTCTGCTGGAAGAAAGATATCATTCGGGACCACATATCCTTCTTCCACTGTGGTGGATGACTGGGGCCTACGTCTCGGGAAGGATGCATCACTAGCAACAGACGAAAAGTCATCGTCTGATGAATCGGCAGCAAAGTCAACTTCTTCCCAAATTTCCTCGTCGTTGAAAGCAGTTCCTTCCTCTTTGATGTCTGACCACGAGAGAGATTCTTTCGCTTGTGGTACCTTAGTATTTTCCCCTGGAGGTTGAACCGTGGACAATAGAGCTGGACGATCTGAGAGCTGAAGTAGCAAGCTTAGGATCTCTGGAAGCCAGGAATTGCGCTGAGTTTCAAGCTCTGACAGACGACCTTGCAGCGCTTCCGCAAGTTCATCGCGATTCAAGACTTGGAACTTCTCTTGTAGACCTTCTAGTTGCTTTGCGACGGCAAATTGGTCGGTACGGGTGTGCGCGCCAGTTCGGAGAGCCCCTGTTACCCGACGCTTCAAGCTCTGAGTGCGCGCTGAGCCCTAAGCTATTATCAGCATTAATATCTCAAGATGAGGCGATATCAAGGACTATGCACCTTCTGTGCTGGTGATATCCTAGCAACCGAGGTGATCAAGGCATCGGTAAGCGTACTGAGATCAGCCGCAAAGGCCATGTTGAGACATATGTCAAGGAAAAGACAAGCCCTGGAGATTCGAGTCTCACATGGATGGGTATGTTCGACGTCACGAGTGAAGACGCTGAGATACCGGGATGTTTTGCCTGGATGGCACTAGTCCCGATGAGGTAAGATGGCGACCGTGATATGCGCGGTCTCTCTCCCTCCCATCTTCCCCCTTTCAGCACACACCACCATCATGGCTATTGCGCGACCGATTCGCATGCTGGGTGCAGCATGCATCCTTCTTTGTCTATTTCTTGTCTTCCAATTAAATCAGAGCTCCTCTGAGGAAGGGACGAAATTGACCCATGGCATGAAAAAGGATCCTCTTGTAGATCGTGGGTATCCCCGGCGCTCGTATCGCGATCGCCATCTCTCCAGCGCCATGCTAACAATTCCTGATAGCGACCGGAGAGCCTGCTGGAAATTTATGGCGAGCCGACGAGCATGACTACTCTCCCGACAGCGAGAACTCGGCCCGCACCAACGCCGCCCTTATCACCCTTGTCCGCAACGAAGAACTGGACCAGCTCCTGCAGACCATGAACGATCTGGAGCGCACCTGGAACGGCAAATTCAACTACCCTTACATCTTCTTCAATGATGTCGAGTTCACCGCCGAGTTCAAGCAGAAGACCCAAGCCGCCACCAAGGCAAAGTGTCAATACGGTTCGGAGACCCGATCTATCACCTCCCGCGGGCATATGGCTAACTTGATATAGAACTCGTTCCCAAGGAGCACTGGGAAGTGCCCAGCTGGATCAACATGGAGCTCTTCTACGAATCTGCCAAGGTTTTGGAAGAGCAGGACATTCAGTACAGCTCCAAGATCTCCTACCACCAGATGTGTCGCTGGAACAGCGGCATGTTCTACAAGCACCCCGCTCTCGCCGGCTACCGCTACTACTGGCGCATTGAGCCCAACGTCAAGTTCTTCTGCGACGTCGACTACGATGTGTTCCGCTACATGGAAGACGGCAACAAGACATACGGCTTCACCATCAACCTCTACGATGCGCCTCAGAGTATCCCATCCCTCTGGCCTGAGACGCAACGATTCCTTGCCGCCAACCCGTCGTACCTCAGCGACAACAACATGTGGGAGTGGCTTACAGATGACGTCGCTCGTCCTGAGCACACCAAGGGTGGCAACGGATATTCCACTTGTCACTTCTGGTCTAACTTCGAGATCGGTGATCTTGACTTCTTCCGCGGCGAGCAGTACGAGGCGTACTTCCAACATCTCGATCGCGCGGGTGGATTCTTCTACGAACGCTGGGGTGACGCTCCTGTCCACTCACTCGGCATCGGTCTGTTTGCCGATGCCGCCAATGTACACTGGTATGTAATTTCCGGGCAGACGATCAAGAAACTTTACTTACGTGAACTCCTAGGTTCCGTGATATTGGATATAACCACATTCCTTATCTCAATTGCCCCAACTCCCCCAAGTGCTCCGGCTGCAAGGCTGGCCAGTTCTACCAAGGCGCAGACTGGCTCTCGAAGGAGGATTGTCGCCCGACATACTTCAAGTACGTCGGAACACACTAAGTGACAGGTCTCCTTGATCTGTTCCCTTATGCCTTATCATTCTGGAGAGTGCCTTACTCACGACTTGATCCCTTGCATCACTTTGCATACCCCTACGACTATATCCCACAAAAATCAGTGGCTTGGTACCCGGCGTTTGAGCGGACACATACCTGTGTATTGATGATTTTGAGTTCCATTTCTGTCTTCTCATGTTTGCTTTAATTCCCAATTCCCTGTCACAAATACGTTCTTGGCTGTGTCGCTGTCTCCGTGATAAACGCAGGGGCCTTGTCTTCATTGTACTTATATCGATTGCGCATGATCACGTTCGGAGGTTCTGGTTGTTTAGTTCTCTTCGTTGACTGTTTCGTCGCGGTCCAACCATTTGTGATATATCGACTACTTAGACACAAAATTGTGAATTGGTCTGTCTCTCAATATAGTTTGCGAATCCATAAATCTACAGACGAAGAGTTGATGGTTGATGATTCAGGACTGAAAGTTCAACGGTGCGCCTGGGCAGCTCCAAGACAATTGAACAAGATGGAATCAAGATAGATTAAGCATCAACCAAGTAGGTACAAAGGACCTTCTAAACAACAGTGGCAAAAACACAGATCTCAGAAGTATGTATACAGTTTTCTCTTCTACCCGGCCTGATCCTCAACCAGTCGAGCAGTGCTGGGTAAACAACGTGCAAGGGGGGGTACTGTTTGTTTAAGAGAAAATTGACGTGCAAGAAGAAATTTATGATGCGATCTACTCCTGGGGGTAGAGCTCCTCACGGAGGGCGACGCCAAGCTCCTGGCGCAGACCCTCGAGGGACTCGAGGTATTGCTTGTACTGCTCGGGGTTCTCGACCTTGGCCTTGATACCTGTTGACGGGGACGTTAGCCTGAATCCAGCAGTATGCACAATGGCAAAGGGATATGTTCTGGTGGGATCGTACCCTCGAAGACGCGGACAGCGGTAGGGAAGTCGTTCACGCGGCGGGCAGCCTTGAGAGCGGCAGTGAGGACCTCGACGGAGGGGACGAGATCGTAAGCGAAGCAGTTGTTCAGGTTGCGCTGCGGAAATACAGATTAGCCTCTGATGATTCGGTAGAAGTTCGTATGTGGTGTGACGGGTGTGGCTGGTGCCATGGAATCGCATGTCGATCGCGTATGCCTCGGGTGAAGTAGAGGTGATCATACCTGGAGCTCGAAAACGTCCTGGACACCCTCGAATTCCTTCTCGAATCTATTATCGGAATGCCAGTCAGCACGACATGTCCCAATTGTATATCTCATTGATTGCCGATGTTCGTTCCGGGTAGCGCCTATGTGCGACGCTTGTTCCCCCGCTCCGGCGTCAATGGCTTGCGATTGGGGTCGTACCTGGCAGAGAACTCTTCGAATGTCTCATCCTCATGGCCGGAGAGGAGCTTGGAGGTGGTACCGAAGTTGGAGGCGCGGACGGCGGCCAGAGTCACCGGGGACTGCATCCGGGAGCGGGTGATTTGAGGAGCTCTGCAGAGGCCGTTGGGGCGGATGGCGCGGGTCGCCAGGCGGAAGACGGAGAAGGCGGACATTGTGAGGAGAGGACCACGTTTGGACCGGGCGGGAACAATGGTGAGGGGAGAGGTATGGATGGAGACGGGAAGGGAGGTGAGAAGTGCTCTAGGATTTTGCGGGTGGTGTGGTGTTGGCGCCTGAGGCAGCTGCACGGGTGCTGAGTCAGGCATCCGGTTGGGCCCGCGCCATCGCTGGATCTCAAATGCGGGCGTTTGATTGGTGGGACAGCTGTGACATTCAAGACAGCCTCCATTGGCCCATGGCTGGTTTCTAGAATATATCCTGCTTGGGATGTCGAGTATTTTGAAAAGTGCTTAGTTGCAATATAGGGTTTGGAATAGTGTACCATTGAGCAGCTTTGTATAATTCCAGGTTGTTTCAATGGTCTTCAAAGCCGTGAGTGATTCGAGGTTTATATATCCAATGTGGCCGTCATACATCGAGATACAATTGGAAGATTGATATGCCAAGACGATACCAACTATGTCTACTCCGTACTAGGAAGTTTAGTACAGCCTTGGAAGGAAGGCCACAGAAATAGCATGGCGATGTGCTTATTTTACGCGCAATCTTCCAAGTTGGAAATAGGGCAATTTGTATGTAGAGATCGGCCAAATACATAGGTAGATCTTGTAATAAGGACCAAAGATTTTGGCCTTCCAAGGTTGGAGCTATGGACCTGGAAGATATCATATCAATAGCCTACTGGTACTTCGTACATTTTACATACCCAGTTAGTTGGCCTCAATGCATGTAGAAAGCCTGCAATTTCAGCTATGAGACACCAAAGGAACAAAATCTCCGAAGCTTAAACCCCGAAAGAGGGTCTTAGACGATCCTCGGAGCCCCAAAAGTATGTGGCCGAGAGTGATTGATAGAGACCCAGTCTGTTCCAATAATATGGCATGACAATGGAGTCGAGAATGCCCAGGTGGATTCCATCACTGAATCTTGGAAGATAGTCCCATGCCATTGAGGTGAGAACCATGGACCAGGCTGGTAGATACAGCCCTGTCGTTCTCCAAGCTACCGTTTTTGGGATGTGGAGATGAAACAACGGCGAAGGTCCAATTTAAAGAGGCATGAAGATCAGCCTGAGATCTTAGAAGCTCAATTGTTGGAGGGCCCTCGGCTAAGACTGATTAATTAGACTATAGAGTGATCACAGTTTTGCATGTGATAGCTCATTCGACCAGATGCGTGAATACTTTGTACTCACGTCCTGAGATCTATACATGTATATAGTATATAACTATATAACTACTGTAGTGTAACTACGAATAAGTGAAGAAGTATACGGACGTCAGGGTGTCTGCGATCGGAAGGACAGTGTGGATGTTTCCCCTTTTTATGCCCACGCTAAGCCTATTCGGGACCTCAACGGACGCGCCGGACGCAAAAAGTAGGATAATCTCCTGTCTTCTCCAGCATTTCTCCTTCTTTTAATTCTCACGCCTCCCACACTTTCCTTATTCCTTTCCATTCTCATTGTTTTCTTTTTTCTTTCCTTTGAGAGTCGCATACACTGGGTGGCCATTACCTTCATTGGAACCCAACCCTCGTCACAATGGCGTCCGAACTCCTAAAACATGTGTCCGCCCCGTCCCTCGACCGGCCCTTCGGTGTCCACCTATGGCCTCTGTTCGATCTGGGCTTCAAAAAGGTCATGGGATACCCCGCGAGCGAGTTCAACTTCGCCGAGGGTGTGACTCCCTTGTCCACCCTCAAGGAGACCACCATGATGCTGGTCACCTACTACGTGATCATCTTCGGAGGTCGCGAGGTCATGAAGAAGCTGCCCGCGTTCAAGCTCAACACCCTGTTCATGATCCACAACCTGGTCTTGACCCTCGTCAGTGGCATCCTCCTGGTGCTCTTCATTGAGCAGCTCCTGCCTACCATCGTTCGACACGGCGTGTTCTACGCTATCTGCGACCACAGCGGTGGCTGGACTCAGCCTCTCATCATTCTTTACTACGTAAGTACCTGCTGGTTGAAAGCTTGACCGAAAGGTCCTAACGATTGCGCGCAGCTCAACTACCTGAACAAATACGTCGAATTCATTGACACCATCTTCTTGGTCCTCAAGAAGAAGCCCTTGACCTTCCTCCACACCTACCACCACGGTGCCACCGCTCTCCTGTGCTACACCCAGCTCATCGGTGTTACTGCTGTGCAATGGGTGCCCATCACCATTAACCTGCTGGTCCACGTCGTCATGTACTGGTACTACTTCCAGAGTGCCCGTGGCGTGCGCATTTGGTGGAAGAAGTACATCACCATGCTGCAGATCCTCCAGTTCGTCATTGACGTCGGTAAGTGGCTCGGGTGCAACATCCGCAGGGGACCAACATGCTGACTATCTCCAGGCTTCATCTACTTCGCCTCTTACACCTACTTCACCTCCGCCTACTTCCCCTGGATGCCTAACATGGGCAAGTGCGCCGGTGAGGAATTCGCTGCCATGGCTGGTATTGGAATCATCAGCTCCTACCTGGTTCTCTTCATCTCCTTCTACATCGCCACCTACAACAAGGCCGTCAAGTCCGGACGTCCCCGCCGCAACACTGGCCAGAAGAGTCTGGTTGACATGAGGAACTTTGAGATCCCTCCCACCACCCCTCAGGGTGGTAACGCCAACGGCGCTGCCACCGGCCGCTCCAACGGCCCCGTCACCCGCTCCCGCAAGGCCTAGATCCATTGCGGATCTTAGACCCTTTGCAATGTCTTCCGTGGGCGAGCACACAGCTTCATAGGCCACCTGTCTAGCTCCTGTGCTTGTTCGAAGCGCGCCATTGGATCGCACGCCCACATTCGGCCCGCGGAGAAACACAGTATGCAGAACGAGTGGCTGCTCTTGGGTGATGCGTCTCTATATTTGTTTAATGAATGACCACCTCATGATGCCCGGTCCACTACCCGGACATGGGGTATGTGCCTCGGAGTTCTCGGAATGCACGCACCGAAACGTTTGGAAACCAGCAGGGCCCATGCCCACAGGCAATCATCCCGACCTCACCGGCAAGGGGTGTTCGCTTTGGCCCCGCCTTGATCTGGTTGTATTTTATAATGTCATCTTCTTCTCCTGTTCATGTTTGTCGTTATCACCCTGTTGGAAGGCCATTCGATTGTCCCCTTTCTTGTTGTCATTAGTACAGTGCCCATGGATAGACGTGCGGCCAAAACCGAAATAAATGTAATCATGCCTGCGAATTGTGAGACTCGATGTTGTGATAAGCGAGAGAGGCCTTGGGGGTGCTGGGGCCCAGTTGGCAATATGTGGTCCGTGTCACAATGCAACCGGGGATGTTTTCCAGGTTCAGCGAAATGTTTGATTGCCACGCGTTTGGCATTGTCCAGGAGATGCAAGAGCGTCACAACCACTTCCGGGTTGATATGGCAACAAGAAGCTTGTCGATTCGAGCAAGTATGTGTGGTATCACAACGTCTGTGCAAGCTGCAAGCCTGGAAGATCCGTGGAGTAGATCGCATGGCCTGTGCGAAGCGCAAACGCCACAAAGTGACAGATCTCATGGCCAAGTTCGTAATGTTTGGCAAAGATAGGGGAAGAGCCTCGGATGCGAACCATTGGCATCCAGCCTCGAAGCCAGCCTTCCAAGCCCCCCACCTGGGGCACTCCCAACCTCAATTGTTGAACCTAACACTGGAAGATGGCCCAGCCATCTGTGGTATATGAGGCTGGGCAGCTCATTAGCATTCAATAACAGCAACGAATATGCATGAGGTGGCTTGCAGCGAACAAGCCCCCAAAACGCCTTGCTTAGCTGCCATGCGGAATATTCTGGAGACTGGGCATGGATATGCAGGCTGCACAGACGCAAAGGCAATAGGACCAAGAACAGGAATTGGCAGGAAAAAAGGAAGAAGCAATGATGGCATGATGCATATGGGGACTCGTACGAGTGTCTACTAACAGCTACTACACATACTGTACGTGTGGAGCAATTCTCCGTTCGGTTGGACGTTATTAGCCCGATGATCGCCGCTATGGAGACTGCTACACCGTCATTTGGACTTTTTCCACCGTTGGATCATAAGGTATTTCTCCGTTTTCCGTACTTCTCACTCCGGACGAAGTACTAGTATGTACCCAGAATGGAGAACGGAGAAGTGCACGGGAGAGTAGCGGGAGGTTAGACCCACTGGAGGATTTCCCAATTGTCAAGACTTTGCGGGTTAATATGGCCCATCGATGCGATTCGTCGACTCTCTTCCGTCAACCGCGTACCTGCAGCCAACCTCAGAGTGCATGAGGCCGGAGTCCTTGCCGGATACGGCCTGCAAGAAGCAAATGGTTTGGCAATAGCGTAGGATAAAAATATTCTGTGGAGAGAATTCGCCGGTGACAGGCGGGTTCGAGGCAAGGAGGTTTTAGGTAAGAGGATCTCCCAGGAACAAGTTTTTCAACAGAGTTGCAGCTTCCAAGTTGCACTTGAAGTTCACCTGGGCATACATGGCATACGCAACCCAGGTCCTGAAGGTTTACAGGCCTAACAATGTAGGACTGTGCCTATACAAGGATAAGGATGTTGGAATGACATCCTTGTCAGGGCGTTCCCCTGAAGAATATCCCTTCCGAGCAAGGACGGGGCATTTCGGTTCCTGGATACCGAGAGTCGACACTACGGTTTGAAGCTAAGAGAGGGCAGGGAGTTCGTCGTAGCGTGTTTGAGCTATACATGCCCCACCGCTCTCCGGCGGCGGCTAAACTTGGCGTCGTCAATCGTTGCTGAGGTCTTATTTTTGGGCAATTTATCTGCAAATGCTGGTCCATGGTTATTGTAATTATTGGGAGTGAATATGGGAATGAAAATCCAAGTTTTCCCAGATTCATATGTATGTACTGTACACTATGTACGGAGTATGGAGTGCTACAGTCAAAGAAGCACACTCCATCTGGGGACAGTGTCCACCCCGAGGCAGACGGAGTAAAGAGGGTCTCTGCATAGACCCGACAGCTCACGTTGATACATTCGATTTGAACCTTTTAGTCTTTTAGTCTTTTTGATTTGATTTAGATTAAGAATACGCTGAAACGGGCCCCAACCCGCCCTATTTAGTTCCTATTTACTCCCCATGCAAGGGTGAGACCAAATCACATCACTTTCTCTTGCTCTCTGTCTACACGTGCCCAGGGATCATGGCTGTCTTCACTATTTTCCCTTTTTTCTGATTCGATTTTTCCTATATGATTTATGCATCCCCCTGCTCCTGAGTTCCACTCCCTTTAAAACTGCCTGTACACCATTTTTAGGCGCCCTGCTCTCCTTTGCATTTTTCGCTTGAGAGGAGTATCGTGTCTCCTTGAGCTGGTCTCCTATATACCCTTTAGTGGAGGACTGGCTTCTCTTTTCTAGTTCGGTCGAACTGCCTGCACTCGCTATAACACTCGTCCTTCGCTTCCGTGGACTTCTATCTCTATTCTTTAATATCGCCGAACATGTATGAACCGGCCACTCTCACTCTGCATCGCTTGAGTCGTCACAGTCTCCAAGATCGATATGAATCAGACGAAGAGACTGTATCAGAATCCGATGCCGGAGCTCAAGACCTACTCTCCTCGCCCGTCGAGTCCCAGCGTGAAACCTTCGACTCGGACATCAGCACGGACGACGCCTCACACATGGGCCATGACTCGGATCGGGACGAGCGTCTCTTGTCGCCGCCGGCTGCCAAACGGGCCAGGCCCATCTCTACCGACACCATCAAGAGAAATGGTAACACCGTCTTTGGCGAAGACGCCTACGTACTGAGTCCTGAAGAAGATATGGTCCTGGAACTACCTTCACCAGACTCCCCGATCCAACTGGCATCCAGTCTTTTCCTGCAGCCATCCATCTATGCCGCCCCCAAGCCACGACCCGTCAAGACTAGATCACGATCCCCTTCACCATCCTCCGTCTTCTCAGTCGAAGAGGCAGACATTCAAGTGGCCCAGAAAGTCACCTTCATGGAGCCCCGAACCCGTCCCACAGTCGTTTTGATCAACGCCCTGGGCTCACGGTCCAAGAGCTCCAAGTCTCGCCCGAGCCCTCGCTCCCGGGACAGCAGTCGACCCCGTCCTGCCATGAGATCAGACAGTCGCCAATCCCTCCGACCAGACTCAATGCTCAAAGCCCGAGTCCCTCTCCAGGAAATCACCAACCCCCCATCCAACGAGGACCTCTCCCCAACAGCAACCATCAGCCGCGTCACCGACATCCCTCCAGTCCCTTACCTCCCAACGCCTCGCACCATCCCAGCCGGACCACGCCCTCACCGGCCCCGGACCTCCAGCTCAGAAATCGCCATGCCTCCTCCCCTCAACGTGCGCACTCGCCGTCTAACAGAAACCCGCCCACCACCATCAATGCGCACCCCCAGCTCGGCCAGCATCTCCCGCCCAACAACCCCATTCTCCCCCGAGGAATCCCTCTCCACGATTTACGATCACGAAAGTCTCCCCAGTCTCACTCGCACTTGCAGCCCTGTCTCCATCGCTTCTTCACCAGCCAAACGCTCAACAAGCACCTACAGCGTCTCGAACATCCTCTCCAACCGCTCACCACTCATGCCCCGCCGCATGACAAGGCAGCATTCCTCCTCCAGCGTCGTCTCACTAAGCAGTCTGCGTTCGGAGTTCGATCCCCGTGGTCCTGCGTCCTCGCAGATCTCTGTCGTTTCCCAGCCTCCGCGTGCGGATTCGACCCCGGTGCGCAAGTCGAGTCAGCGTCGCCATCTGCGCCATAATAGCTTTGCGCCGAGTGGTCGTGGGTTCTTGGGGTTGAAGCTTGGCAGGAAAAACAAGTCTTGATCTGTTCTATCTTTATTCTTTCTTGCCTTCTTGCCTTCTTCTTTCTTGCTTTCTTCCTCTCGTTTGGTTTTGTTTTGGAGCTACTTTTACTCCGTTTATTTTTGTTTTGGTTTGCCCTTTGGGTATCTCTAATCTGTAATTTTTATGGGTCTCGCAATATTTCCTGGCGTTGGGATCCCTTGGACAGGGAGTGTTTCGGGATGTTTTAATGTCTATCCTTACTGTTTGGGGGCAAAATATTGGGCTGGCTATCGTGTTTTTTGTCTTCACTTATCCCTGCTTTTTTTCTATTTCTATATTCCAAGCTTGGTTTCAGCGACTTGAACAGCGCCTTAACGACCAGCCACGCAGTTCAATAATAGAAAATTACACTATTGTGATAAACTCCACCCCGTCGCAGTCCATAGTCGATCATGTTTGAGAACCATCTCCGTGTTTCATCGGATCGAAACATCGGGAACGGATCGAGGTGAGATCCAGATCGAACTCGTTTCAGATGTGTCTCTCGCTCTATTTCTGGCTCGTCCTCGATCCTTCGGACTTCGTACTTCGTACCCAGATCTTTGGACGCCGTATTCGCTTTTACTCCGGCAAAACACACGCGATGTTGCTGGTCTTTTCCAATTCAGTCACCAGCTGCCGAGAGTTAATACAGGTCCTTTCAATCAAGTGGCTAGAGGGGTAAAAGGCTACTCCGTACAGAGCTAGCCAAGAAGCCTTACCGGATCACAGCACGCAGGCTTTTGACCGACATCGCACGGATCATACGTCGTCGTGCCGTTCGCAGCTTCGTCGATCTTAACAGCCCGTGTACCTTTGTTTGTCAGATCCAAGGCCACTATAAACTAGAAAGATACAAGAACCAGCGACATGAACACTTACATGTCTTGCCGGTGTACACAGAGCTCAACAAGGGATATGCGACCAGTTCCTGGCAGCACAGCCCCGGGGGTCCGGCAGGGATAGGGTTAACTGGCTTGATGCAGGAGAATTGGCTCGCAGCACTGGCCAGGGTAGCCGTGGCCAAGAACGCAAATGTCTTCATTGTGTTGTGGAAGAGAAAAATGGGCGATCTGCGATCTGCGATCGGAATGTGACGTAGTAGTTCGCAGATCCACTTTGTGATGCGACGAGTTACAGTGTGCGCTGCGTATTGTGCTTGGCGCGATGGCAGAGCTGAGATGTGGACAATTGATGTTAACGGATGAAGCGTTTTAGTTGCTATTTAGATATGGGGAGAGCGTAAATTCATAGATGTAAGGCTGCATGGGCAGGGACTCGGCGTCCAAGAGCAGCTGGACATGCGTGGTATAGTGCTATCTGGGTACGAGTACAGTACATGGCAGACTCTGACTCCTCAGGTCTAGATTGCGGTGTGCCGGTGAATGCAATACCAGACCATGGTCGTCACCGTGAGCTGGCTGCTAAGTGGCCCATCAGAACTCCATTCTATGTACTTCACATGTAAACTGCAGGTTGTTCAATATACGGAGGCGCGGCTTAGATGCTGGTTTGCGCAAGCCGCTCGGAGGGAGCATCTTCTGAAGGCTTGGGCTGCTCTTCCTTGGGCTGCTCCTGCTTGGCACCGGGGAAGCGAGAGCCTCTGTCCTTGACCTTCTTGACCTTCTTGTGCACGACAGGAGGCGGGTAGGCCTTCAGTGTGATCTCCTGCCATTCGGCGGAGGCCTCGTACGCTGCCTGGATGGGGGCCATCAGGCTGACCATGGCGGCCGAGACTGCAGGCTTCAGGATTTGAGGAGTCAGGATATCCTGGGCGTAATCCTCCTTCACCTGAGCGATGGAGGTGTAGACCAGAGGCTCGCCTTCCCGGCGCTCAACGCGGAACTCGCCATGGCCGTTGAGGACGGCAGCGGGGAGCAGGATGTTCTCGACAATTGAGAGCACACCGTTCTCCTCAACGATCTTGGGGAAGCACTCCGCCTTCTTGATCTTCTTTGCAACGCTGTCCGCATTGTCAAGGAGGTCAATCTTGGCATCTGGTAAAGTGTTAGTGTTCAATTCTCCCCTGTCTCTCAGACTACCAAGTTGAGAGAGTTATGTACGACACGATCGGGGTGGGGAAGATACCTGCGCCGTCAGAAGAACTCATCTTTTGTCCTCCCAGGCCTGCCATCATCTGGACTAGTGTCAGAATAATAAGCCCACAAGAACATAGGCAGCGTACGAACCGGGTTCATAATGTGTGCTCGTACACGGTATCCGAGCTTAGGAAGCCATTCCGTCGCAGCAGTGAAGAGCTTTCTTTGGTCACTATTTGTCGAGATTAGTTCTGCTCCATCGAGTTTCAATCATCAACATACACTACAACGGTTAGCTTCAGTACAAAAAACGTGATTTTGGACAAACTTACCTCCGCCCAACTGGCAATCAGCGTTCAAGTGCTGCTCATCAAGGACCTGGAGAATGGGGTAAAGCAGACCAGACAATGGCGCATTGCCTGTTTGCTTGACAACCTATTAAATGGGTTAACAAGGGCCATACATACGCCCGTGGACAGCGAATATGATTACCTCCGCGCCGGCCTTCTTGGCAGCGCTCTCAGAGACCATGGAGGCCATGCGGTACACGTCCATGACATACTCGGGGGACTTTTGGTAGCTGCTTCCGAGGACGAAGTTCAGCTTGGAGGTATCGACTCCAACGGACTGAACGAGGGCTGTGACAACATTTCGGTCTTGGGTCGTTAGTCATTGCATGGCAAGCTCCAGGGAAGGACACAAACAGTAAATGGCGCGGTTATCGACTAATTCCAGGGGAGCTTTCAACTGTTTTCGGTTCTCGTTAGTCTGGTGTCTCAGCGAAGGAAGCGCATTCGTACGTTATCGAGGAACCCGTGCTATAGTGCGGTTAGTATTAAGGCTCAGAGTTGGGCATGCACGATGACTCACAATATCTGCGAGCAGAACGGTGACTTCGCAGTCGGCCTTGAGGAGCTCTTGAAGAATAACGTTAGCATTTTCCCGGATCTACATCTCATGTTGACGCACGTGCGATCTTAAGAGCGGGCAGGAAGTATCCAATGTGGGGTCGACTGCGCGAAGAGGTTAGAGAAGCGCTTGTGGTTGTGTGTTTGTGCCATTCTAACGCACCCTGTTGTCGCTGTTCCCCAGTAAACACGCGGCGAACGACCTTCAATCAGGATCTTCTCAATAATCTCGGGGTTCAGGAATTCCTGAAGGTTCGAGGCGATAAGATCGAAACGGGACTGGGCTGCGGAGTCCATTGCGCTGGGAGGGACGGGGTTCCTAGGTAGCTGATATGTGTCAATTTCAAGATTACCGCGCAAATGCTGAGAGGGAAATTGGCATACCAGCGTAGAGAGGGCGAGGTTGAGCGTAGGAGGAAGGAAAATTGTTTGAATAGAGTCACCCCGCCAAGAGCGATACACGGCCCTTATCGTAAGACCCGTAATGCCGTACGCCCGTAAAACCGCACAGCCCTGGAGAGCAGTACGACTTACAACTTGTGTCAACATTGAGATAAAAATTTGATTTTGGTATATACTGTTTAGAGGCCATTCTGGTATATGTCACCCTACGGACCGACTATGGACAAAAAAGAACATGAAAGAAAAAGGAAATAGCTTCGTAAATACATCGGACTACACATTTTAACCGACCCAGCGTCTGGCGCTGTAGAAGACACGGCCCCAAGGACCAATGTCGCCCCAGGTCTCGGCATTGGGAGGCAGCCAGCTGGCAATGCCGTTCATGACTGTACGCTCGGGGTGAGGCATAATGGCCAGGACACGGCCGTCGGGGCTGCGAACACCGGCAATACCCTCGGGACTACCGTTAGGGTTGTAAGGGTACTTCATGGTGGGCTTCAGGGAAGCATTGTCGACGAAGCGAACGGGAGCAAGGCCCTCGCGAACAAAGTCTGAAGCCGAGATACCCTGAGAGTTGGCGAACGAGGCACGACCCTCACCGTGGGCAACGGCAATGGGCAGAGAGGTGCCGTCCATACCGTGGAAGAAGACGCTAGGGTTAGATGGGTCGGGGTCGGAGATGCGGGCCATGCAGACACGGCCTTCGTACTGCTCGCTGGTGTTGCGCTCGAAGCTGGGCCAGTAACCGGCGCCGGGGATGAGGTCCTTCACGCGAGACAAGAACTGACAACCGTTGCAGACACCAAGAGCGAAGGTGTCGGGGCGCTCGAAGAAGTCCTGGAACTCCTTGCGAGTGTTCTCGTGCAGCAGGACGGACTTGGCCCAACCTTGACCGGCGCCGAGGACATCACCGTAGGAGAAGCCACCGCAAGCGGCGAGACCGGCGAAGCTGGCGAGAGAGACACGACCAGAGATGATGTCGGTCATGTGAACGTCGACAGCAGAGAAGCCGGCGGTGTTGAAGGCGAACGCCATCTCGGCTTGACTGTTGACACCTTGCTCACGAAGGATAGCAACGCGGGGCTTGTTGGCGAAGGGAGAGTATTGAGAAAGGCTGGTCATCATAGGGAGACCCTTGTCCTTGGGATCGAAGGTAGGGTTCCAGGAAAGACCGGGGTTGGCGTCATCGAGGATGTTGGCATACTCCTGCTCAGCACAATCCGCGTTGTCACGGATCTTCTGCATGCTGTATGAGGTCTTGGCCCAGGTCTGCTGGAGGCTGGAACGGGTGTTGCGGTAGATCAGAGAGGCCTTGTGGTAGATGGCAAGGTTCTGCTGGGGCTTCTCCGAGACACGTCCAATCTTGTGGATCAGACCAGGAGGAGGACCGCAGGTGGCGAAGCATGATCGGAACTGGATCTCGTGCTCCTTGCGAACCTGGAACACCGCACCGAGCTCTTCGGTGAAGAGGGACTCGATGACATCCTTGACGTTGAATGAAGAGCAGATGGTGTCAAGCGAGATATCAACACCGCAACGACCAGCAAACATCATCTCAGTCAGGGTAGTCAAAAGACCACCATCAGAACGATCGTGGTAAGCCAGAACGATACCAGCTTCCTGAAGCTGCTGGGTGGCATCGAAGAAGTCACGGAAGAGATCAACATCGTGGACGTCAGGGCACTCAGAGCCAACTTCGTTGAAGACCTGGGCGAGGGCTGATCCACCGAGAGTCTTGCGGCCGAAGGAAAGGTCGACAAACATAAGAACAGTCTCGCCGACATCCTCGACGCGACGAAGAGCCGGAGTCCAGGTCTTGGTGATATCGCCGACCGGAGCGAAGGCAGAGATGACACAGGACATAGGAGCAGTGACCTCCTTGGCCTCGTTCGAGGACTCATCCTTCCACTTCATCTTCATGGACATGGAATCCTTGCCAACGGGAATGCTGATGCCAAGCTTGGGGCAAAGGTCCATGCCGATAGCCTCAACGGCTTCGTAGATAGCAGCACCCTCACCGGGGTGGCTACCAGCGCACATCCAGTTGGCAGACAGCTTGACCTGGCTCAGGCGATCGACAAGGTCGGAAGCGGCAAGGTTCATCAGCGACTCGGCAACAGCCATGCGGGCAGATGAGCCAGCAGAGATGAGAGCCAGGGTGGGCTTCTCGCCCATGGCGAAAGCTTCACCAGTCTTGGTGCCTTGAGCCAGGGAAGTAGCAGTGACCGAGACATCGGACACGGGTGTCTGCCACTTGCCAACCATTTGGTCACGCGCTGTCAGACCGCCAACAGTACGATCACCGATAGTGATTAAGAAGGACTTGGAGCCGACTGCGGGCAGCGACAAAACTCTCTTGACAGCCTCATCAACAATGTCCATCTTGACGGACAAGTCTGGGAGGTACTTGGCAAGGCTAGAGTCAACAACGGGAAGCTTAAGCTTGCGCGAGTCGACGGTGCGTGTCATGCGAGGGGTCTTTCCGAAAAGAACAGACAAAGGCAGGTCGATAGGAGCGGGGTACTCCTTGGACTCTCGGTCAAGGAGAATGAGTCTCTTCTCCTCCTCGGACGAACCACCTCCACGACCGACAACGGAGAAGCCACAGCGTTCACGGTTGGCAATGGCAGTGAACTTGTTCATGCTCTCCTCACCAACGGCCATGACGTAACGCTCTTGGGCTTCACAGCACCAGATCTGCATGGGGCTCATGCTACGGTCGGTGTTGTCAATCTCACGCAGCTCGAATGTGGCACCAAGGCCGGAGTCGTGAATGAGCTCGGGGAGGGCGTTGGACAGACCACCGGCACCAACGTCGTGAATGAACTTGATGGGGTTGTTGTCGCCCATGGCGACACAGGCGTTGATGACTTCCTGGGCTCTGCGCTGAACTTCGGCGTTTCCACGCTGCACACTGGCGAAGTCAAGTTCGGCGGATCCTTCACCGGAAGCGATACTGGAAGCAGCACCTCCACCAAGACCAATAAGCATAGCGGGGCCACCAAGGACAACGAGGAAAGCACCGGGCTTCACAACGTCCGGGTGCTTGATGGCGTGTTGGGGACGAACAGTTCCGACACCACCAGCAATCATGATGGGCTTGTGGTATCCTCTGACTTCCTTCTCGCCATTGCCGACGTCAATCTCGGTGAGCAAGGTTCGGAAGTATCCACCAATGCAGGGACGACCGAACTCGTTGTTGAATGCAGCACTACCAATGGGGGCCTCCAGCATGATGTCCAAACTGCTGGCAATGTGGTTGGGCTTGCCAATATCAAGTTCCCAGGGCTGCTTGTTGTCGGGGATCAACAGATCCGACACACAGTAACCGGCGAGACCAGCCTTGGGGCGGGAGCCACGACCGACGGCGCCCTCATCACGAATCTCACCACCGGAACCGGTGGCGGCACCGGGGTAAGGTGAGACTGCGGTGGGGTGGTTGTGAGTCTCGACCTTGGCCAAGAAGTGGACAACTTCCTTGGTGTGCATCCACTGTCCGGTAGTGGGATCGGGGGCCCAGAATGCGGACTCGGCGCCCTCCAGCACAGCGGCGTTGTCACTGTACGCACTGACGGTGTGTTCTGGGTGCTTCTTGTGCGTGTTGCGGATCATGGCGAAAAGGCTGTTGGGCATGGGCTTGCCGTCAATGACCCAAGAGGCATTGAACTGCTTGTGTCGGCAGTGCTCCGAGTTAACCTGAGCGAACATGAAGAGCTCAACGTCGGTGGGGTCACGGGCAATAGCACCATTCGGACCATATGCCTCGGCGAGGTAGTCAATCTCTGACTCCTCCAGCGCCAGGCCGAGCTCCTTGTTGGCCTCCTGGAGGATCTCCTTTGGTGACTTGGTGCTGTCCTTGAGGGAGATGGTCTTGAGCGGCTGTGGAGCATGCTCGGAGAACATAAGGCTCAACTCGGGCTCATCCTGGCCAATGATCTGAGTCATACGGTCATGGAGAGTGTCCAAGTACGCGGGCTTGTAGTCCTCTGCGCTGCTGCGAAGGCATGAAACCTTCATACCCCGCTCAATCCGCTTGACGTACTTCTGCAGACCACAGACGTGGGAGATGCCGGTTGCCTGCGAGCTCCAAGGAGAGACGGTACCATTTCGGGGGTAAATGTAGAAGGTGTCGTATTCACCGTCGGTCGATTCGAAGGAGGCAGGGACGTCGGTGATATCGCCGTAACGGAGCAGCTGCTCAAGGACAGCTCGCTGGGGCTCGTCCAAAGGCTGCGTGGTGTGCACGTAGTGGATCCATTGAGCCCGAACGTCCTGAACTCCAATGCTAGTGGCAATCGCGTGGCCCCGAGAACGGGAGAAGGCCACGGAGCCGGAGATAGCCAAAAAGGTATCGGTTGAAGTCATTGTGAATGAAGGTGGGGGGTTTTTTCTCCCGAGTCAAAATGACACAGAGAGGGAATTGGATCTCCTGGTATCGAGGGAGATTGAGTGGCTGGAGTGCCTCTCTCAAGTGGACTTGAGATAGATCTCTAGAGTAGACCGATGACTCTATCGCTTTTTTTGTTAAAAAATTGCCCGCCCCCGCCCTAAGCCCAATGCGGCTTATCGAAGTGGATCACGTGCCGATACCGGCCGATTTGCGGCCAAATAAACTTTTCCATACAAATTTCCTCGTTGGCAATGGGTTTGTTTTTCACCGGTGTCTAGTTCATTGGATTTAGCTGTTAATTTTGATTCCTGTATACTGTAGTCTCATTTGAGATAAACTGCGTGGGTGAGTATCCATGCTTCACTCACATTCCAAAAGTGCGGGGAGAGTTCTTGGCATTTGTGTCACTTTAATGTATGCACTGGGGTCACCTACAAGGCTACTAGTACTCTAGCCAACTCCCAATAGTTTACCCTAGGGGAAGTCCCTACACCACAGAATCAATTACAGCATCAGATAACATTATACAAAGAAAAGTTTCGAATGCGCTTGGAAGAAATATTTTGGGACTTGCTTCAGCAGAAGGCATGTTTATACCAAGTATTTATCTAGAACTTTTCTTGATAAACTGATTTCCAAGATTCCAGAAAGGAGATTTTTCGTGTCACGGCATGAATTTTGTAAACTACCAGAGCAAAACTGCGTCATGGATGAAAGGCCCATTGGGACCTACACTGTATAGTGAACAATGCTCTGTAAAAATTCCCGCCAAGCATACATTTGACAATTGTTTAGAGGGTAATCTAAATCCCAAGGTCTTTAGTGACTGGGCAACTTGGAAGAGCCTTCCAAGGGTAGAATGTGTTAACATACATAGCATGATAGGTTTACCAAGTACTTAGGGTATATCAACATATCCTAGACCTCAGCCCCAGAGGATAAGCCTGCCTACCCAAGCTGTCATCGATAGGTTTCGAAAATAGAGCTTTCCAGTCAGCCTTGGAACTATGCACAGGCAGACCTATGACGAGGTAGGCAGTTAGGTAAGAGCACATACTCGCCTGTCCATGTGGTCCTTGGTCAACCCCTGGAAGATACCATCACTTGACATAATGCGATATTTGCACCGCCAATCATCTTGTTGAATTTTCGCCCAGGGCCCTAAATGTGGAATTCTAGGCCAGGAGGTTGCGAGAATCCTGTCCCGTTTTGCCAGAGATGTGTTCCCAAAGAGGCAATTCTCAACCCTTCCTAATACAGTAATATGCTCCGACATCTAGGACCAAATCCAAAGCTAAGACCACGACATTGCTCTACCGTGGGGCAAAACCTGAGTTTCTTCGAACTAAGGTTCTCTAGGTGGGTTTTCATGCGGGTACACTGTTCGAAGGTTTGGCACAGCAATTTACTCTATTGAAGCCGTCAAATTGCTTGTCGGGGGTTGAATACCTCCAGGGCTGGAGCCGTGGACATCTAAGTTAACACTTTGCACTCTTGAAGTCTGCATGCCGCTCAGTATATTGAAAGACTGGTAGAAGTGTAAAGTCTCAACCTTTACCTCCAGGGCTTACTCGGCTAAAATTGCAACCGTGATCAGTTATCGCATGATCCCAGGGCAGCTCGCCCGCTCCGCCAAGAAGGAACATCGGGAAAGTCGCCATGGGTCCTCATAGATGAGACTGTAGATCACCTAATTTTTCCAAGGATGCTGCTCGCCAGCAATCTAAATTTTGTAAATGACCCATCTGGGTTAGAGCATTATGTTGCTAATTGCCATCACCTGGGCATATACCTGACTCTACTGATAGACATCACGAATAATCCTATAAGAGACTGATAGCTCGAGGAGTAATACTATACTCTTCCAGTAATAAGTCCAAGTTCAATGATATAGCATGTATGTAGGGAGTAGAGATTGAGCTCAGGTCAACATAAGCTCCGGCGTCATCGTAGCATATTCCCTAATCCGGCTAGTGCCACCATTCCCAATGAGGCAATTGAGGTTATCAGGCAAGGGCATTCAGGAACGGCGCCACTGGTTGACACAATGTCTGTTTCCGTGAATTGTCCGTTCGTCAAATTCTCGGACAAGGCTTTAAATGCAATATAAAAGGATGATGTCCCACCGGGGGTTTCAGGCACTCCACAGACCATTACACTCTATACTTCTATCCGGGTTGGACCCTCATACCCACTAGTCTAATACGACTGCCTAAGATGGATAAACCCCGCTCAGAAAATACCTTCACCAATGGGACCAGCCGGACCACCTCGATTGGGTCCGGGGAACGCCCAGACTACCTCAACCTGCCTGTCCGCGAGGTCAGCGATGGCGCCGACCTCCGTGAATATACCACCGAAACGAGAACGGGCGAAATCATCAAGCCTGTGAAGTCAAATGCCACAGGAAAAACGGAAGACTGGAAGCTGGTGACCTTCACTCTCGATGATCCGGAAAATCCCAAGAACTGGTCGAAGGCATACAAATGGTACTGCACCATGGTGGTGGCTTTCACCTGCTTCGTCGTCGCCTTTGCCAGCAGTGTCATCACAGCCGACTTGGAAGGACCTATGGAGGACTTTGGTGTCTCGCGCGAAGTAAGCTTGGTTGTTGTCACTGTGTTCGTTGTCGGGTTCGGCGTTGGTAAGTACCCTCACGCTATAGTCCATAGCTGTTTTCTTTCTCGCACATTACTAACTCCGCTTCAGGGCCTATGGTCTTCGCTCCCATGTCAGAAATGTTTGGACGCCGACCTCTATATGCCATTACCCTTCTGGTTGCCGTCATCTTTATCATCCCATGTGCTGTCGCCAAGAACATCGGAACCCTCATCGTTTGCCGTATGATCGATGGAATTGCTTTCAGTGCGCCCATGACTCTGGTTGGCGGCACTTTGGCCGATCTATGGAGAAGCGAGGAACGTGGTGTTCCTATGGCAGCTTTCAGTGCGGCTCCTTTCATTGGTCCGGCCATCGGTCCCCTTGCCGGTGGCTTCTTGGGTGATAACTGTGGCTGGCGTTGGCTATACTGGCTCCAGTTGATCCTGGGTTTCGTCGCTTGGGTCTTGATCACTTTCACCGTTCCCGAGACCTACGCACCCATTTTGCTAAAGAAGCGGGCCCAGAAGCTTCGCAAAATTGAGAACGACGACAAGTATACCACCGAAGGTGAACTTGACCCTCGACCTATGGGCGAGAAGCTGCGTATTTTCCTCTTCCGTCCTTTCCAGCTCCTCTTCCTCGAGCCTATCGTCTTTTTCCTGGCTCTCTACATGTCAGTCTTGTACGGTCTACTGTACATGTTCTTTGTTGCGTGAGTCTCCAAGCTTATTTTCAATGCGACTTACAAGCTAACTCTGAAACCCAGGTATCCGATTGTGTATCAATCCGGCAAGGGATGGAGTGCTTCTATGACTGGACTGATGTTCATTCCTTTGGCCATCGGTGTCGTCATGAGTGCAGCCTGTGCTCCTCTCGTCAACAAGCACTACCTCAAGGTTTCGGAACAATGCGGCGGAAAGCCCCCAGCCGAGAAGCGCCTGATCCCAATGATGTGGTCTTGTTGGTTTGTTCCCATCGGGCTATTCATCTTCGCTTGGACTTCCTATTCTGAGATTCACTGGATGGGACCGGCAATGGGAGGATGGCCTGTTGGTTTCGGCTTCATCTTCTTGTATAACTCAGCTAATAACTACCTTGGTATGTACGCACTTTTTGGGCTTGAAACTGGGGCATCGCTAACACCAGCCTAGTGGATACCTATCAACATCAAGCAGCCTCTGCACTTGCAGCTAAGACTTTCCTCCGCTCCATGTGGGGAGCTTCAACCGTCCTGTTCACAGAGCAGATGTACAACCGACTGGGCTACCAGTGGGCCAGTTCCCTTCTCGCTTTCCTTGCCTTGGCTTGCTGTGCCATTCCCTATGTGTTTTACTTCAAGGGAGAGGCTATTCGTCGCTTCTCGAAGTATGCTTTCAGCGATGATGAAGAGCAAGCTATCAAAGCATGAGATCTCGATTCTTGACACACTTGAGGGTGACTGTGGTAATGTGATGGTGGCTGCTGGGAAACCTTTCCAAGGTTTGAGTCCTACAGCATGGTGATATGCTCCAATTCTGCTGGCATGATTGACGTGGAAAAAGACTTGACATTCAAAACGGCGTTTATGATCTTCAAATCTATATAGACAAACCTTATATATGTTCACATATTTTCTAATGCAAATGAATTAATATACCAAATAAAGGCTACCAGTAACGATTTGAATCATAAAAAGAGAGCATACAGCCCTGGAGCTCAAATACCTTCACCATATCATCATATCAAGTGAAAGTTCACAAAGTACTCGCTGCAGTTGCAGGTGGCCCCCCGGTGTGGGGCCACCAGACCTGCTGACGTAACGCACATGCACCGCGGGCGCCAAGCCCGCTCATCGGATCGCATCAACTTGGACAGTCGCGGTGAACCCTCTCCCAGCTCTTATTGAATATCCAGGGCCAGCAACGCGGATATCTCAAGGAATAATCACCCACGTTAATATACTACCTCCAAATCTACACCATGGCCTCCGACGCCTCATCGGTCTCTCCCGACGAGCTCTACGACTCTACCATGACGGTCCCTTCCGACTCGGAAAACTACTCTGCCAACCACGAGATGTCATCCTCGACACATTCAAATGAGAGCTCCCCCATAATTCTCTACCAGCCCCCTAGCGTTTGGGGACTCCTGCGCGGTGCGGCTATCAACCTGTTCCTCCCCTTTGTCAACGGTCTGATGCTTGGCTTCGGCGAGTTGTTTGCGCATGAGGCTGCTTTCCGACTTGGCTGGTCTAATACCAAGGTATGCCGGAAATCGAACAAGCAGTTCCCTTATAAATGCTGACCTATCTTGTTTAGATTTTCCCCAACTACCGCCGGTCACACCCCGTGGGCCCTGGTGTCGAGATGCGGGAGCTTCCCTCGGAGCGCAGACGGCCTGGATTGAGGGACACTGCCTCGTTGGAATGAATGTCTGAAGTTTTATCTGGTCGTTCAAAATGACTGCATCTATGCGGGACATCGAACCGAAGCATTTGTGATTTGGGATCCATACCTGGCTACTGTACACACCTTTAGTGATTGTACATAGGCCCGTAGAATCGGGAGGCGTTTGGCGAACTAGAATTTGCATCAAGCCACTTATTGTTTTCATGAATATCTTACAACTTTTCCATTCTCCCAAGTTCACTGTTTTGGTTCCTGATATCCCCGTAGCCCGTGATCCGGGGGTGTTTCCCGCCCGGCAGAAAAAAGCCGCGCCGAGAGGCAGGAGACACTCTTCCGCATTGTCTTACCACCACTTGTTCTTAATTCAAACACAATGCTGGGATCTCAAGGCCTCAAAGGCCCCAGTGCGGCAGCTGCGCTTGCCCGTCAGCGTATGACTGCCACCGCCCGGTCTTCTCGGTCGGTTCGTTTTCCCATTCGGATATGTAGAAAACATTGAAATTGACCGGACTCCAGATTTCCACCTTCCGCTCCCAAACCCTGCGCGGATCTAGTCAACGAGTCCAATTGAAGTCACCGCTGTCTGGCACTGCCTCATGGCGCATCGCACCTGCTGTTGCCGGTCCGGCCGCGATCCGATTCAATTCCACTTCCTCGAACCCAACACCCGCCGAAGTTACCCCCGAGGTCTCCGCAACCGACCCATTGGCTGATCTGACGGACGTCCATGATATTACCGCTATTCCAGAGCGCATTGGATACCTGAAAGAGCTTGGATTGGACTACGGCTGGGGACCCTCATCGCTCATGCAATGGCTAATCGAGCACGTCCACATCTACTCTGATTTGCCTTGGTGGGCCAGTATCGTGGCCGTCAGCGTCCTGAGTCGTGTGATTCTATTCAAGCCTGTTATGGATGCCTCCGAAAACGCCGCGAAAATGACCAACGCCAAGCCCAAAATTGACCCAATTCGAACCAAGATGATGGCTTTGATGCGCGATGGAAAGCAGCACGAGGCACAGATGGCCAAGGCCCAGTTGTCTCAAATCCACGCGGACGAGGGAATCACCTCGTGGAAGTCGTTCGTCCCCATGTTGCAGATTCCACTCGGTTACGGATGTTTCCGTACCGTGCGCGGCATGACCTCTCTGCCAGTGCCTGGCATCGCGTCAGAGCAGGTGGCCTGGATCAATGATCTCACTGTTGCTGACCCAGTCTTCATTCTGCCTGCAATTGCCGCTGGAATGCTGGTTCTTACTCTCAAGGTGAGTCGGTGATGTCGCATTTTCTGATCTTAACAGACTGCTAACTCGATTTAACAGAGAGGTGGTGAAACCGGTGCCATGCCCATGATGGACTCTTCTATGGGTAAATCCATCATGTATGGTCTTCCTGCCATTTCCTTCACTTTCATGTCCTTCATGCCTGCCGCGCTTCAGCTTTACTTCGTGGCCTCCGGTGTATTCGGTCTGACCCAAACCCACATCATTAACTCGCCTGCATTCCGAAACTGGGCGGGCATGACCATTCCCAAAAAGGTGGTTCCTGCTGATGGGCCATCTGAATCCGTCAAGAACATCCAAAGCAAGGCCCTTCGTGTCACTTTGGAGCGGATTGAGAGAGAGAAGGCTGCGGCAAAGAAAGCATATGAGCAAAGCCTCGCAAAACCGAAGGAAGAACCCCCAAAGGTCAGCTTCATTGACCGCATTCTGAGCCAAGGCAAGGACATGGGCAAGAATGTGTCCAAGGAAATTGCCGAGAAGTTCGGAACCTCAAGCATCGAGGAGCGAGAGCTCAAGGAGCAGAAGCGACGTGCGGGTGAATATGAATCAGAGCGCAGGAACGAGGACGAGGCTTTGCGGGCGCAGCGCAACGAGGCCCGCCGACTGGAGCACATGAAGATCCTTGAGAATGAGAAGAACAAGGCGAGCCAGTCTTGGAAGGCCAGCAGAGAAGGCTCTCGACGAGGATGATTGTACTCATATATATTGTAAATTATGGCGCACTGGCATTTGCATGTTTGTGATTTGAATATTAGAACCCACCTCTCGAGGTTTACCAACCTACTCTGGCCATGTATACTCGTTTCACCTGGGCAGTCTTGGAGTGAGGACTTTACCCGATCTCCTGCCCAGGTGATGTTTGAGATGTATAGGTAGCGCAAAACATACTAATCTGAACAAGGCCTATGTACATGTAGATGCGCACCGCCCAATCTTGAACCTCCAGGTCTTGGAGGGTAGCCTCGAGCCAAACAAGTTGCCTTTATGTGGTCTGCATGGGAATCGACGTCGCAGGCAATGGCAACGGTGTCTTCTCATCCGCGACAAACATGGCCCGCTCTAATTTCTGCGTCAGGGAAGCACAGAAGCTATCAACATACCCCGTCCACAGCGCCGCAAGAAGATATACCAATCCAATCCAAACTGGAATGCTGATCCCAACTACCCATGGAGACCGAAGAGGAATCCAGTCCCGTTGGTCATCTGTCAGAGCTTCAGGGCCCTCCCAAGGCTGTCCACTAACTCCATACAGCATCCAGCAAAGCACGACTCGGAGCATAGTCCCATGAATCAGGTAGACGGCGAAGCTCTGCTTGCCGAGCCAGAGAAGCAATCGATTGGAGAGGAAGTCTTTGGCAGAGGGCGAGAAGAATATTGCGAGGATAATGAGATCAATCGCAAGTGCAGTGTATCGTTTCCCAAGGTTGACTTCTGGTGGGAAGATATAGTGGCCTGTTTTCAACATGAAGTTAGACCAGCCCGCCCATTCGGGGTGCTCGCCTGGGTATGAGGCGATCAACAAGCCGACGATGGTGAGTGGGATTGTAAGCATTTTGCGGCCCCGGGGATGGTCTTCTATCCATGCTTTCAGAGCTTTGTTGTATGAGAAATCACTCAATAACATTCCATACACGGCTTGTAGCTGGAATGTTTCTGGTAGAGATTAGTAGATGGCTTTCAACAACACGAGATATTCAAGCATTTTGCGTTCAATCAGGGGAGGATCTAACCTGTGTTTTTCGATGCATCTTGATGAAAATAGAGCATCATGCCAATGTAAATCAACACTCTGTATCCAGACTTGACAAACATAGTCGCGGAAAGAGTGATGTACACCAACATTGATGACAGAAGCAGAGGCAAGAGTGCCCACTGATGGTCATCGTATGCCATGTAGCCCGTCGTCCAAGTCGACAAGAAATTCTTTGGCAGACGAATGAGTTCTTTCCAGAAGGAATCCTCTAGATCCGGCGCCGCATATCGACACCACCAGCAGTCTGATCTGTTCGCAACGATGAATCCACCAAGCTGCGCAACGATCCATGATATCACGAGGGCAATCGTTGCTGGAAATATCAGGCGTGGGGGTCGCCGGAATGCGCTCTTCGCTATCGTGACGAATGCACCGGTCGTGTCGCCTGCTCGTGATAGCTTCAGAGGTTTGAGCGCGCAGACATAGCCAGTGAGGAAGGCAAAGATGGTCACGCCAATTCGACCTTGCCAGGGTATGCGGAGGATTGGCCATTGGAGAATTCGCGGGGTTGCATTTTCATCATCGCGAGGTGAGAATAGTTCGTAGTCCCATGCTCGCGCGAGATGGGTTAAGACAACTAAGAATGAAGCAATGCCCCGGAGGCCCTATTTACATCAGGTTGAGGTCAGGAGTTATTGGCTATGAGTTTTATTGGCGAACTTACATCGATCCATTTAACGCTCTTTCTAGGGTCTCCTTTCACTGACGGGTCACTGGATGACCAGGGTAGGGTTGTCGGCACGGTGTCTATCAAACGAGTGTATAATTGCGACGACCGAAAGTACTGCATGATACCTAGTACTCCGTAGATATCAAACCGCAAAAGTAAGTCATATACTTGGATATATCCAGACTACGGGATAGACACGGTATCGAGTCGCCCAAGCCAGAAGTGAAGGTATAAATGAAGAGCTATTCCGACAAAGAAACCCTGGAACAAATCTGCATCAGAGCAGCCCGGACATGAATTCAATTATCATTACCCCCCTCGGGAATCGTAGCTAGAAAGGCCTGCCAAGAAAGAAGGGGGTTGAAGCTGAGGTCCTTGACGCGGCCTAGAAGGAACCTGGAGACTCCTAGAATTTCCACATCCAATGACACTTCCCCAGTCCTACCACGCCTTTGACTGAGGAATTGTTCGTCGTGGGTCTATCCCACATAATATCACCTGTTTATGGAGATGATCATCCACGGCCGTAATGGAAGCGCCACTCGGACACTGACCCTTGCAGCCCTGCGCCTGGGCGTTCTGCAGGAGAGATCTCCCTCATTCCTATTCCTGGACGATGGCTTGCGGCTGGAACGTTGGGTATCCCACTATATTGAGCCGTGGCGTGCAGGCAGACTTTTGATCGTCCACGAGTGGTTTATTGAATGACCGAGAATTCATCACAAAATCCCTCATTTGACTCGTAACTCATAAGCAAAGACAAGGCAGCAAGATAGAAGTTATCAAACCCACCAGCCCTTCGGATCCAGCGCCATCTAGGAGGGCACTGACGTGCTCCGAAGCATGGGAGTCTGTTACACCGGGGTCGACTTAGGTTGGAACTACAATCATGGCCTGCTGGCTTGGATATGAAGTTATGAAGTGTGCCCGTGCAATGCTATGTATGGTTTGCCAGGCGTAATAAAGAGCAAGACCAGGCGGTACATCTCAACTTCAGGCTGTCAAACAGGGCACATTGGGGCCTTGTTCCATTCCTCGGCAGCGATGCATCGGATAGATGCACCATTGCCAAGATCGGGCGCCGACTCCTGGTCTCGAAAGTTTGGCTGCAGGGAATGCAGGTTGAAGACGGGGCCCAGAATTCACAAGCGAGTTCAGGACCTGCCTACAAGGATCGTGGGGTTGCTGATTTAGACCTAATAGTGTATCCTGACCGAGCTGGATGTACTCCATATGTTCCAGATAATTGTGATATCAAACAAGTTTCGGACACAGTCTGTCCTAAAGATCCCGCAAAACCCCCATTGCCGTTGGTATTAAAGATGAAAGATAGAATGAGACCCACGCGCTAAGATGCAATAAATTCGCCGGGGAAGTTTACCGGAACAGCCTGCGTCCACCGGCAGTTCCCGAGTTCCAGGTGTAAGATCCTCGGACCCCCATATTCTCCAGACTCAATCCCGAGTAACCAACTCCACCACCTTCGCCATTGCGCTTTGTGCGTCTCACAGCCTCGCGCAGATGAGCGGGCAGAAGTTGACCTCGGTGGGGGTTTGGGGGAGGGCGGAACTCCCGTTTTGGACGGAGAGGAGTTGCGGATGGATTTAGAGATGCTTTCGAGATGCTATGGGGAGGGAGGGAGGAATTAGGCGTCTGATCGGAGTCATTGGGCTCGGCCTTCACTCCATTGGCGCCTGGACCGGGACCTGGTGTGCCGGCTGGGGTTGGTGTTGAGGGTTTTGAGTTCGTAGCACTGGCGGCTTCAGCCGCGGCTTCTTCGGCCTCGAATGCGTCCCGTGCAGCGAGATCGTGCGCATCGGCCCACTGGGCCTGAACTGTACGGGCCATTTCGATCATTTCACCAGCGAAGACCTTGGTGAAACCGTTGACGGTTGTGACAACACTTGCTGGGACGGACTGTGAGAGGGCATGGTTGACGATACGGCGAAGTGTCTCCTTGCGCAGCTTCGCCCGCTTGAAAAGATCGTATCTTTCAGATTGCATGGGATTGAAGGCATCAACCAGAATCCTGCTCAAATGTCAGCTTAATGCAAATTGACCCAAAGAAATTGGACGTACGCAAGATTCTTCTTCTCAGCTTCTGTATCTGTAGCCCCGTCCTGTTGTCCAAATAACTCGGCCTCATCTTCCTCGTCGTCATCCTCCGCATCATCTGCTCCTCCACCGCCACCACCTGAAGGACCCCCTCTCACAGAACCTTCATTATCAACGGATCCGAAGCGTGTAGATTCGCCTCCCCTGGCACTGAGGGCATCCTGCTCGCGCTCGCGCTCCTTCTCAACCTTGCTCTTGCGTCCGCGCTTCTTGCCCCGGGCAGCCCCAGCGAAGACTCCATCTGCGCTTGCTCCTCCGAGACTCCCAGTGTAACTTCCGGTCACACTTCCCGCATCACTTGTACCACCAAAGCTGCGCTCAGGTTCAAGACCGTTTGGGAATGAGGTCTGACGAAGTGGGTGCATGCGCTGCTTTTTGCCTATCGGTAGCGACGAGGCAGATGAGATAGAGGGTCGTTTGAGAGGATTAGAAGACGATTGGTATGGCGGAGGTGAAGACATTTTGAGATGGATGTGATATTAAGTGTAGGGCTTGGGCGCAAGATGGACCTCTGGGTACTGTTGTCGCCCGCGCGGATGCGCCTGACGAAGAGAAGAGCAATTCGGCGAAGGACTGGGTAGCAGAAGACTGGGTCGACAGGAGCACCTCTCGAACCTTGGAACAGGGTTGTTGATACAATTGCGACAGGGGATGAGTGACAACAGCTATGATGAATCCGAAGTTTGATAGACAAAAGATAAGGTCGTATCTCACCGCCTTCTGCATTTGGCCCCACTAGGAATGACGAACTTGGGATTGACCTTAGGAGAATTACGATGGAGCCTCGAGTCAGGTTTGGAATCAAATCAACGCGCCAACGCGCAGTTGTTTTTTGATACCCCTTCAGAGTTATTCATCAGATAATACCCAGGCTTATTGAGAGTAGAATAGGAAATGTAACAATGTAATAAATAGGCGATGAAAGCTCGATATACGTAAAAGATCAATGTAAATATTTCCGAGCTACCCCGTAGATAGAACAATGATCCAAACTTTCAAAAGAGAGAAAAGAATGAGTTAATCGCTCAGCGTGATCATGCAGTGCTGTGCAATATGGATGCTCAGAAATCGACATTCAAAACAGAAAAGAAAGTGAAAGTGCGCAAAACACTGCAAAGCTAACAAGAATCCGAACGGGTAGAAAGGCCGCAGCCGCGACGAGAAGAGTGTCATCCGGGAACTTCGTCTAACGATGCTCCTAGAATCCTGCCTCTCCAAGTCGAGGTGCCCCCCCTTTCCAGTCATTGCGTTCGTAGTAGCGGAACACAAGATCATAACCGTTCAAATCATGAACAATGCGGTCGACACGGCGGTAACCTTCGACATGCTCCATCTTGTTGCTGCGGCGAGCAGCGTGACGCTGGGCATGCTCGGGGTCATGTGTGCCGTTGGCCTCTTCAGCCTCATCAAGAGAAGGCTTAGTCTCAAAGAGAGTGATGCTAAATCGCCCGGGCTTGAAAATATCCACAACCTGCTTGATGATATCGGCGGTAGCCTTGCCGTTCTGGCTGTGCGGAACGTTGGTCTCGAAGGACGCGTAGGAGCACTGGGGCTCCGGCGTAACGTGCACAGTGAAGTAGTGGATGGGACCCTTGTCATCAGGAGCTGGCACGACACCATTGGCAGAGAATCCGCAGGGAGTGAAGAGGTATGCATCGATGCGAGCGTCGGGGAACTTGCTCTTAGGGTACACATCAGACAAGCCGCACGAATCAGACACCACAGTGCCCAAGGCGTGACCCTCGGTGGTCAGCTCGGGTGGCAGAATGCCACCAGTCTCCTCGTCCATGTCAGAGGTGTTGCTGAAGACGTCAACGTGATCGTCGCTTCCTTCCTTTTCACGGTGACGCTTTTCCGCCACGGCAGAGGCGTTATCCAAATAGAACTGCTTCGCGTTTTCCTCGTCAAGATCGGTCATCAGGACCTCAAGTGTCTCATCGTGTTCATTGCAGTCGGTGCGCGGGTTGTCAGGGAAGTTCAGGACCTTGGTTTCGGTCTCTTGGAAGGTCACTTCCTCCTTGGGACTCGCCGGTGGGGTGAGCATGGTACCTGGCTCAGTGAGGTAGAGGTACCAGTGCTCCCCATTCATTTTACCGATCATGTAGGCACTGCCGTTGACGAACAATTTGTCCATGGTGCGGACCTCGTCCCGCCAACTGCGGTGAGGACCACGCTGACGATCGGGGAACAAGAAGTTCTTTCTGCTGTAGAATACCCGGTAAGGGGCCGCAGCCACCGTGATACCCCGGGATGGAGGAGCCGTGGCGCGGGGGAACCCTGCAAACATGGCAGCGATTTCCAGGATGCGAGGAAGACCTGACAGCAGTGTGGTGGTTCCGCAAGTCTTGAGGATCAACTTGTGCGGCCAGACAAACATGCTGGACTCGGACAGAAGGTAGGCATCCATCTCCTCCGAGGAGATGACAGATAGCACTTGGCAGTTGACCAGGTCTAGCATGTCCTTCCAAATTTCACCGGGGACCTTCTTGAGGCCCTCGGGGCCGGCAGCACCAAGCTCGGTGGCAGATGGCGCAAACCAAACCTCGAGAAGCTTCTCAGGACCCTCGAAAGCATTGGTCGAGTCAAGATCCTGGGTGGCCTCATAATTGATCGTCAGAGACGGCGTCCCGGTGAAGGAAGACGGCGAGGTGGTATAGTTCTGTGGAATACCGACGTAAACCATGATGGATGATGCAGCTTGAGCTGTTGTACTTGTGTGGAACGAAGTAGAAACAGTGACGTCGGACCGCCCTATGTACTTCGATGAAGAAGGCTGTAGAAGCACTGTCTACTTACCCAGACGAACAAGGGGGCGATGCCCGTCTGAGAAGAGAAGGCCCTTAAAAAACTTTGTAACTGGTCAGACCAGGTAGATACTCTCCAAACAGACCGAAGGGCTGCTAGGGAGGGCGGAAAGCGAAAGCGAGGAAGAAGCTGCTAAGAGAAATGGTGACTTGCAGTCGGTACCCTCGTTCTGGAAGATACCGATACCGGTCAAAGTATCGGGTCTAGCAGACGAGAATGCTGCTGTTTAAAAAAGAAAAGTATTGGGAAACGGGAGGAAGAGTGACGACGGGAGTCGTGCTATCGAGGCCTGAGGACAATAGGTGGGTTAGCTACCATGTCCGAGAGGGTATCGCGAGCAAAGGAAGAAGACCATGAGCAGGGCAGATTTCAAGGTCTGTGACAGGGTTTATAGATAAACGAAGCATTGACCATGTAACCGGATCCAATCATAGCACCTCAATTGAGGTATTTTGTGTTTGCGCCGGGAGGCAGGTTGAACGAACGAGTAGAGGTATTGTACTCACTTCGCGGGCTTAGACAAGAATCGCAGAAGGTCCTTTGGGCTCATAGAAGGCGAAAATAAATTTCGACTTAAATTTGCACGAGGTAGCGTGAGGCCACAGTCGTGTACATCGGCGGGGGTTTTAGGAAGAAGTCTCGGACAATCTGACCCAGAAGCCCAATGTGTGCCCGAGATCAATAATTGATTGCTCGGGTTTAGCGGAGAGAACAATGCAGGTCTCTCGCTAAGAGTTGCGGATGCAAATGTGTTTAGGGTCTGGGGGGAGGGACCTCAAGGTGAGGGGGAAAAACTGCAAAAAAATGTTTGCTCCGGCAGTTTGGTTGGTAATGAGTGATTTTCTCTGTGGGCCCGCGATGGAGTGGGGCGCGGGTCAAGTCTCTGACATCAGGGATAATCTGTCAGCCCTGGGGTAGAAAGCGAGATACAGTACACAGTATCACACACCGAATTGAGTCAAGAGCTGCAGTTCAAGGACAGATGTTGCACCGATATGCAGTGAGCAATGCAGCACTCGGAGAAAAAGAAAAGATGAGCGAGGCGAGGCGGGGACTTGGCGCTCTCACGCGAGCGGTAATGCCCGGCAGAATAGACTTCCCGGGTGCCTGAGTTAGGGTCCAGAGGCGGTGTGATTTGTATATCACGGCTGTCTAGACCCAAGCGAAGGACATATAAACAACCGTGGAAGTGGTACCTTCTTGATTATCCGATTTCAATTGAATAAAATACACTTGGTAAGCAGACCCTGTCTTGTTCAAAAGGGCCTGACATGGTTGCCAATGGAGAAATTGAAATATCAAACTCGACTCTTGGTCCTAGCCCCTCCCAACCAACGCCCGAAACAAACGCCGTATCGCATGAACACAGTATGCTGAAAATGCAGTCACCTGTTATGACTCCAGAATGACATGAGCCAGCTGTACCTCGCCAGCCTCCACAATCTTAGCTGCAAAGAGCTCGCCGACCTTCTCGATCAGCTGGGAACGCACATCCTCTGTCACATGGTGACCATTGGTCAAGGTGTTCTTATTACCACGGAGAGATGCCAGCATAGCTAGAAGTGCATTCATCACCCGTTCAGCAGCTGGGCGACGGGAAGAATCGTCGAGACCATCGCTGAGCAGCTTGGAGTATTCACTCAAGTTGGGCAGTACAAGAATACGGACCACATCCGCGCCTCCGATGGATTGTAGCCCAATGACAGCACCATAGTGCGCGCCAAACGGCTTGGATGGATCGAGGAAGGACTTGAGACAGCTGCGGACGAGTCGAGGCTTGAGCATGTGAGAGGAATGAGAGTACTTTTGGGCAATGAGGCTGAGGAGAGAGGATGCCATATCGCGCAGGGCAAATTGTTCCTCAAAATCGGAGTTTCCTCCGAGTTGCCGGCCAATGAGACAGGTAAGAATGGATGGAACGAGGGATGCAACCTGGATCAATTAGCCTTGGAATCTCAGCAAGTCAACAATTACTCACGTAGGGATCGACATAGAGCGACTTGTTTTGAACCAATGCCTCGGCCATGTGCATGACCTGAGTGAGAACAAACACATTCTTGAGACTGTGAGTGACCTTCTCGGCAATGAATTGCACAAAGTATGGCACCAGCTGGTGCAAGCCGGGATCTTCCCGAAGACTGGAATATCCAGAGGTGCGGTAGTCTTCACTAGTTTCGTCGAGGAAAGCGCTGCAGACTTTCTCGAAGTAAAGCTGGAGCTCTCGGGAAAGTACATGCTTGACCAGAGGCTTGACGGCGACATCCCCTGAGCCGCTCATAGCAGCCAGTGTCGAATTGGCATTGGGGCCCTTGGAGACCAGTTCCAGGTTGCGCGAGTCTGCGGCGGTGGGATTCTGAGGGATCGAGGGCTGCACGCCTTCCACGGCTAGCCAGTGGGCTATGAGGGGAATTAATACTCGTCCGAACCCTTTCAGTTTGATGGCAAATGTACATACCGGTGAATGAAACCTCACGGGGAACCTTTGGCAAAGGCGCATTGATCAACTTTTCGAAATCAACCTCCTCATCTTCAACGTAAAACAGTGGTTGACCGGGCCCGAGCGAGGCCTCGCCGAATCTCAACGGCCGGGTTGAGTCGTAGCCGTACAGTGGCTCGACATCCAGGTTCCGTAATGCAAGTGCAATGTCTTGAGTAGTGAGAACTGTGCGCTTGCCATGGCGCATGGACTTTAGCGCTTCCTCAAGTACTTGCGCAACTCGGTATTCAACGTCCCGGGCGAGGTTCTCTGTGACATCGTGGTTGAGATTGAGGATACCGACAGACTCAGCGACGTCGCGAATATTATCGGGGTTCCAGACAGACATGACTGGGGAGGCGATTTTAAGCCGAACCCGAGAAATGGAATAGCAGTTGGGGGTGGTTGTCGCAAAGGCGAGGTTGTGTCGGAGAGCTCGAAGATGGGAGGTTTAAAACCCGAATCGCATTCTGAGGCAACCGCCAGCGGATCTCCAGAAGTTGCCGAAAGAGAATGATCTCTTTTGATCCCTCTATCAAATTGGGATCAATGAGATATTGAAGGATGGACGTAACGCGGTCAGTCTGATGGCCAGGGAGAAAGCTTGTCGATAAGAGCTGCGCGAATGGCGCAATGGTCAACCGTACGAGCTGTGTATTGTCTGAGAGGGGCATTCAACCTCGGGTTATTCAACGGAGATTCTGCAAACTAAACAGTTCCATTTATTCTGAACCTAGTATTCTCATACATGGAGCCTTTGCCGCGATTATGGCAACCTGCCCAACCAGTACATGAAGTGATCCCCACATCCCCCCAACTATGGCAGCCAGTCCATACTATTCCCAAGAAGGCTATCCAAACATGGAAACCTCTTCAGAGAACATTTCCCATTCGGCTTTCTCCAGTACGGAAACCGGATCATAACTTCAGACAAACGCCTGCCCAACAGACCCCAGACGCTATGGTTGAGGTTGCTGGGGCCGAGGCCAATGCTCAGGTCTACAACCCAGTTCACGAGACCGTCCCCCCCTATTCCTACTTCTCATCTGCCGAGGAAGGCAAGCAATATCTGGAAGTGTGGGCCCTTACGCAAGGATTTGAAATAATCCACTCTGGCTCGAGAGATGACTGCTTTAAAATGATCTGCCATCGTGGGTATACCAAGAGCAATAAGGCACGGGAGAACAAGCGACAGCGAGAAGCGAAATGTTGCGGATGCAAATTCAAATGCTACCTTCGGCTCCAGCCCCCTGGATGGAGCCTTCGGGTTTCGGGCGCTACGCATAACCATGCGCGCAGTGACCCTTCGAGCATGGCTTTAACACGCAAAAGGGAGATGGATCGGGCGCTCCCAATCATTGAGTCGCAGTTAAAGCTATCGCCCCGTGAGATCCTTGAAATCATTCACTGCAGGGCTGCCGATGTAGGCCTGGAATCAAGTCTTCGGATCAAGGATGTTAGCAATGTGCGCACGGGAATATCAAGGGAACGCAGAAAGCGGCATATATGATTATGATAAGATGAATCGATGAATTATGAATGGCTAAGAATAACAAAATAACAAAATGGCCCACAGTTGGTTCCAAAGACTAGACCAGGGGCTAGAAAAGAGACCAAGTAAACAAGAGCGGGGAGTGTTCTTCACTGCTCCTCCGGGTATCATGAGAAACAGTACCAGTCAAAGACAAATTTACTGGGCTCCATCCTTCGCAGGTTCCTCCTTTGCAGAATCCTTGGTAGACTCCTCCTTGGCAGGCTCCGCCTTGGGTGTCTCTTCCTGAACGGGCTCCTTGGCAGCCTCTTCCTTCGCGGCCTCCTGAACAGGCTCCTCCTTAGCCGCCTCCTTGGGACTCTCCTGGACGGGCTCCTTGGGGGTCTCTTCCTTGGCGGCCACGGGCTCCTCAGTCAATGGAACGATTCTGGCGTTCTCCTTCAGCTCCGGGCCCTTACCACCGTAGACCTTGGGGAGTTTCTCCACAAGCGCTGGGGGGAATTCCCGTGCCAGGTTGGCACCATTGCTGATTGGGTGGAACTTGCGGGTGGTGTTGCGGCTCAGGAAGAGTTTCATGGCGCTGAACATCCATCCCATGATGGCAGGAACATTGACAAAGTACTTCTCGCGCAAGAGCTCTGGGTATGAGGTGGCAAACACATCAATGACCTTCTTCGTGGCGGTGCGGACGGCAGGGTCCATGCGCATGAACTTGACATTGAGGTAGTCGTGCACCTGGATCATCTGGTATGGATCCTCGCCATCGTAATCGATGACCTCGGTAGCATCCTTCATCTTCAAATCTTGCACAGCAAGCTCCATGAGAGCGGCGCGCCATTGCACAAACCTGTGGACGGTTCCATTAGCTTCGCTTGTGCCTTTGGCGACCGCAGTCTGTTTCTCTACTTACTCGTCTGCGTTCGCGAACGTCGCATTGGCATCCTTCACAGCCCCGTAGATGTTCCAGGTGAACACCAAGGGCCGTCCATTCTCCTCGTATGTAGTCAGGTACCCCAGACCTCCATATTTGGCTGCGCTGTATTTGCCTGACTCGGCCAAGGCCTGGGGGTTCACGTCCTTGCGCCACTTGAGGGCCTTGCTGAGCTGATCCTCGGCGGCCTTGACGTTGCCCTCGTTTGCGCGCAGGAATTTGATCAGGACATTGACGGTGGGGACATCGTTGTAGTCCTTGAGGGAGACGCCCCACATTTCATTGTGTCCAACGGTGGTGAGAATGGACGGGAGGCGGTCGAAGAACTCGCCCAGGGCAGGGGTCTTGGTCAGGTACGCGGGTTTCTCAACCTTTTCCTCGGTCTTGGGTGCTTCTGGCTGAACAGGGGCTGTAGCTGCGACATCATTCTTTGGCTCTTCAACCTGTTCCTGCGTCGGGTTCGTGTCGGGTGCAATCGGAGTTTCCGTAGGCTTCTCCTCCGCGGTTCCCTCGCGCTTCTCGGTTTGTTCAACAGGGTCTGACATATTTTGGCAAAGTGGTGTCGAAAAGGTAAAGGGGAAAGGGGGTTTTAAAAACCCACAGGTTAGTTGCCTTGTCAATAATCAACGACCCACCCAACTGTCAGGCTAGTTGACTGTTTCATGATCGACACCTCACATCTTCCGAATCTAGACTTTTCTGGAAATGAGGGTCCTTTCTCAAATTATGCTAAAATTATTGTAATCTTAACATAGTGCCCATTGATTGTAGCCCCACAGAGGTTTCGCCCTAAGTGTATGGTAGATAATTCCAACATTCCAGCCTCTGCATTTTGCATCAGTATAGTGTATGAATTCCGTCCATGCCAGGTATAGCCAATGTCTCTACCTATGTAGAGCATGGCCATGGGCGAAAAAAGCTAAGACAATATATCTATCTTGAAGAAAACTTGCCCCCAACTTGGAAGTGCGCGGGGGAAACGACCGTGGCATCGCATTCCCGTATGAGAGGGTGCATAAGCTGGATGATCTATTCTTAATCTACCGTGGACGTAGGTAATCCCGTCGATAATATGTGGAATCCACTCTACAGATAATGCCCAGGTGGTCGACCCCCCCCTGAGGCTGTCGAATATCATGGGAGCACCTTCGTACCATCCTGCAAAGTCCTGGGCCGTGAGGACAAGTTCCTTTTGGAGATCGTAGTGTCGAGTGACTCGTAAGTCGATCTCTCCGTCTGCACAAAAGTCTTCAATTAAGCGGGCACGATCTTTAAGGAGCGAAATCACCACCTGTCGAGAAACAATCAGTTATTTGGAGAGGATCAAGGAACGGAAACCTCGTACCGACATTTTCATTTGTGGAATCAAGGACTTTTGACGCATCTGGTGGATAATCAAACGAAGAATAGACATGATTTCTGCACGTCAGAACTCCCCTTCTTTAGCCCGGGCAGTGACGACTACCATTGCTTTTATATGCGGCATGAACCGATCAGCGCAACGCTGAATATCCAATGAGTCCGATTATAGTTCGCGATGGTCATTTTGTGGGATGCCATCGCAACGAAGAGCATTTGATATGAGCATTCTCTTGTTTCAGCGAGCGTAGCCAATGAGACCAAGCCCTCATGGGGAGCTTAAGGAGCTGTCCAAATAGAGAGACGTATCTGGACTTAACCCTGGGCCAATCCTGCCCAGGTGGTGGTCAATTATCATGCTCTAGTCGGTCCAAGGCCCGAAGGCATAATAAAAGTTGTACCTAGGTAGGAAAACCCCAATTTGTCAAATTATTCGCTATCACCGTCTTCGTAAATCCATGGTTCTTTTCCGGCGCCCACGAGGATTCTTTCGTCAACAGGCGGTACATTGGCATACGGCGCGAAGAAGTAGGGGGTATCAGCTGAGCCCTCCTCAAGGGTAAGGGGTTGGACATGGATGTTGTGCTGCTCGAGCAGTGGAAAGTCAAATCGTTGTTGCATAGGGTTTGCATCGAGGCTCCGGTTCAACATGACCAATGACTTATGGAGCTCATACAATATCCCTCTGTAGGCTCGTCAGTCATGATTGCCCAGGTGGAAATGCTGAGGGGGAATGAAGGTATTGTAGCAAGATGCAAAGCAGAGAAACTAAGGGACATATGGATAGGTGATGGGAAGCCCCACAAATAGTAAACGGTTAAGTGGAGAGACAGTTGATCCGCGTGAAGGATGTTCCTGCGACCCACACCAATTTGGGTTCTATACTACTACGTAGTACTAGCAATGGATTATTTGAAAATGACCTTTGTAGAGCTATGTTGTATGTAGATACCTAGGTATTGACCTAATCCTTCTCGAACCCACGGGCTGGAGATTCTTGTATGGACCTCGGGGAGCCTCCAAAACAGAACTATATATGACTGTTCCAAGGTTGCTCCCGAAAGAAATTCGCGTTTTTTTGATTCATTTTGAACAAATGAGTAGAATAACTACCTAGGTAGGTATCCTAGGGTACCCGAGGAGCATCCCTGTGCTCTTTTTCAGAGCCCTGCTACTCCTAGTGGCTGGCTCCTAGATGGGAACGCGACATAAATGAGCACAGTTTATAGCGTTCAGATGTGTCCATTGGGCGACTCTCGACCTCATCCGAAATGTCAAACAAGGAAATGCAATTTAAAAACAACCTTGGAAGTATCTATGCGTGTAGTCACCCCGGGGTAGAAAGTACTTACATGGTCTAAAAGTATCATGCAGGATCTAGCGATTCGTTCGCTTATTTTAATCTTGGACTACGTATGGAGTACGGAGTACGGAGTAGTCTGACTGGTAACTAATTGGTCCAAAGTCCCTAGCTGATACTCTGTACGGAGTACTTATTACTCGTATTCCGGATCGAAATCAGCTAGACTGGGAATGCACGTCGGGAACAGTGTTTGTAGTGTGACGAGCACGAAAAAGCAAAGATATGGGAACACAGCTGAGGGTGCGAAGGGGCATAGCAGCCAGTGGTTGAGTATTGATGGCCCACTAATTCCCTAATTAGGGGATGGCTGCTATGCCCCTTTGCATACCCTGGGCAGTGAGAGCTTGGCAGTTCCATTGCTTTTTCTATATACTCAGCTATGCCTGACCCATGAACCCTGTGGGTTCCTGTTTACCTAGGTACTCCCTTTCCTTGTTTCCATGTCCACCTTGTTGTCTATGTCCACCTTTGTATGAAGTTTCGAGCAACTGAGCCAAAGGATATCGACATTCCAAATGTTTCGCTCGCCGCTGTCAACATGGGGCTATCGCTGGCGCTCATCCGACACGTTCATTCTGAGCAGCATGTCAATGGCCTTATTTACGGGTTAGTGATTGGGTTCTCCTGGCTGAAGACTCTAGCAAATGTTCAACATATACAGACGACATGCTCTTTGCCTTCATGGTTCCGCTACTTCCTCACATATTCGAAAATCGCCTAGGATTGGACGCAACACTCACTCAGAAGTATACCTCTATCTTCCTCGTTGAAGGGGCTTTGATATCAATCGTCTCAAGTCCTTTGATCGGAAGTATAGCCGACCGAGCCAGCTCCAAGAAAATGCTGCTGCTAGTACTGCTAGCACTCACACTCGTCAGCGTTTTATGTCTGTCAATGACTCTTTCTCGTAAGTCAATGAGAGCTGCTTTACACAATCCTTCATACTAACCAACGCAGTAACTTGGCTTTTTATCGGTCGATTCTTCCAGTGCATCGTGACCAACGCATTATTTATCGTGGGCATCGCAACCATGGCAGAAAACCTCGGATCGGAAAATATGGGCAAGATAGCGGGACTGAGCTCAACTCTAGCTTCTGCCGGAACATGCTCTGGCCCTGTCATCGCTGGGTTCCTATTTGGCATCGGTGGTTACTGGACAGCATGGGCTGGCGCCGCTCTATTTCTCGTTGTGGACATCATCATGCGCCTTCTGATGATTGAGAAGCCACGGCATAAACAAAACGGAGCATCGAATACAGAATCGCCTTGTGCAGAACAAACGGGGTGCTCAGAGCAAGAGCCTCTTTTGAATGAGGCCCAAAATCCGAAAGAAATCGGGGGCTGGAGATTCTACCTATATCTATTCCGCCAACCGCCATTTACAGCGGGAATCATCAGCTACTTTGTTTTTGCTCTTTTCATAGCGAGCTTCGAGTCCACCCTTGCGACACATGTATGGCATACGTTTGGCTGGGGAGTGTTTCCAGTCGGGCTTCTGTTTGCATCTATCCAGGGGCCGGGTATGATTTTATCACCTTTGGTGGGTTGGCTGAAAGATCGAGTAGGGTCTTGCATCCCTACCACGATTGGGTTTGTTTCAGTTGCGCCCTTTCTGTGGCTACTTGGGGCGGCAGGTGACGAGCGATTTCCTTGGGCAACAAAGGGGAACACTGGAGAGGTGATCTATGCAGTCTGTACCACCACGTTCGGATGTCTCATGTGTTTACTCAACGGAGCCGGGATGATGGAGGCGACAGGTAAGCCTTTGAAGACCGTGTCTGTATGGGTTTTATATTAACGTCGCGATAGAAACTGTCGACGAGCTGGAAGAGCAGAGCCCCGGGATATTCGGACCCTATGGAGGGTATTCACGCGCTGTTGCTATCACAAACATGAGTTGGATGTCAGGCCTACTAGTTGGGCCTATATTGGCCGGACTAATAGTAGACAAAGTCGGGTATTTCGAACTGCAGTGCGTTCTTGGTAAGCTTACCCATTCGACATCTGGACAAGCTCGGAACTCCAAGATTGCTCCGTCGTTATATCGATGTTAACTGTTTCCAGTCGGCATATCTCTACTGGCTGCTTTCAACGCTGCTCTCAACCTCAGCCCCAAGCACCCCAAAACAGATTCCGATGCGGGCTCTATTTCATGATCTTTGCTGTACCCAATACAAATTACAGTACGAGTGTCAAGGCAAATCGGCCACGAACACGATCAGCATGCATATGAACTTAATTAATATATGCCCGAGGATTGGCAATTTTGAACAACACCTGGCACACGCAACTCACACTGATTGGTGGTCTTTTTGTTGGCATGCGCGCCTTGTTGGGTTTGGATATCCCATTGACCAATCTGACCGCTGGGCCCTGCATTTGCAGGACCAAAAGTCCCGTCACACCCGTCTGGACATATTCAAGAGCACGTGGCTGGGCTGGATTGGGAGCCGTGCTCTTTGATCTCGCCCAGTATAGGAATGTCTGGCTGGAAGAATCCCGGAGTACCCAGCTCTACCTTGGACAGGGTAAGGCGACTGACGGGACTTACAACAATGGGATTTGCGGAGTAAATACCAAACAGACCTCTTGGGCCCCGGGATTTGCTCCTCGCGCACTCTGACTTATGTTGCAAGTTCGAGCCCTTTGGGCCTCTCCTCTAGTGTCAGACAGTACAATAGTCTCAGCCCTGAAAGAGTAGAGACAAATACTCGAGATACGAAACGGATACGCTGTTGGTTTCAGGTTCTTTACATCCAGAATTTCAAAAAGAGAACCAGAAAGTGAAGCCCTCTCAAGGGTAATTTCGCTGGGGGAATATACACAAAAGGATAAAAACACAGGATGAGGCAAAAGCAACAAGAAAGAGACTAGGCCACCATGAAAGATAGTAAAGTCAAGATACAAAAACAAAAGCATGCAGAACCAGAGCCACTAAGCTCTTCTATTGCTCACTACTGCGGAAACGCCCAGGCACAGCGGGCATAGGCGGAGGGGGACCTTGCTCAGATGCATCGTCACCTTCCATTTCCTCGTCCAGGTCTTCAGGGTGTCTAATAGAGCGTTAGCAATGCACACAGACTGAGACGGCAAAAAAGGCACCGGAAAGAAAGATGATACTCACGCAAGCAGTTCCTTAATATTCCTCATCTCGTAATGTCTCTTGCGCTGCTGCTCGAAATGCGCATGCTTTGCGCGAGCTTCCTCAGTCGACAAGAGCGGATCATCGGCGGGTGCGTCGGCACCATTCGCACCTTCAACGCCCACATGAACGTGTTTCTCGCTCTTATGCGAGTCCGTGCTCATACTGCGATCGCGGAAGACACGAGGATCAGACGAAACGCCCTGCATGTTATCCTCAGGCTCGCCGAGTTCCAGGTCGGGAATTTCGTCCTCGGAAAAGGCCTTGCGGTGAGAGGGTTTGGCCGACTCGAGCTCATCGACGACAATATCCTGCGCGTCGATCAGGCTTTCTTGGGCTTCGTCTAGGCGGATCTGCTCATCGTCTGCGCTGGGGTCGTAATGAGGAGCGTAGGGAGTTTTAGGCTCGTCGATCTTCATCTTGGCTGTCTTTTCTTGCTCGGTGAGGTAGAGATTTGCCTCGTCCCACTTTAGGCGGGGCTCGTTCTCGTCGTGGGCGCTGACGGTCGACTGGCGGCGGGAGTTGGAGCCTGGGCGGGTTGTTGAGGAGGATCTCCGACGGCCTGCATTTTGCAGGGTGTTTTGGAGAGTGATTTCCTTGGTCTCTTCTGGTTCGGAGATGGTTGGGACGGAAGGTGGGGAGGTGGCTGTCATCGGAGCGGAGGCGCCTTGGAATGAGTTGGAGTTCTTGAGGATACCTGTATCGCGGATTAGTTAAATGACTGCTCGTTTATGAGCCGTGGGTTACTTGCCTCTGGGCCGATGGTGCACATCTTCGGAGCTGTGCGCCTTGGCCGGCATGTGTGGTGCGGTTGTCATGGTGGGATGATAGAGGGTAAAGTCGAGTCGTCCAATTTGCAAGTGGGCGGCGGATGTAATAAGAAGTCTGATTTCCAAGCGAAAACAGGGAAACAGAGAGCTAGTGATTTATTTTAATTCTATCACAAGTCTCAAATTGTTCAGCTGCAGAAACCGTAAGAGGCTGAGCACCGGTTGTGGTAGGATAGAAGCGGGTAAGTCCGAATACCAGTCTGACTCATATAAAGTCAGCTCCTAGCAGTTGTAATAGTCACAAGAGAGAGAGAGAGAGAGAGAAAATGAGAAAGACAGGAACAGTATGATATGGTCAAGTGAACGTGGGGTCCTCTATGACGTCGGCCCGATCATCTACCCGAAGCAGCCAGCTTAGGTAAGGATGCACTCTCTCGATGTTGGACATCAGTGCAGGTCCTACATACGTAGGTACTATCTGGCATATTCTCATACGTGGGGTAAAAAGTCCTTACAGTCTCGCGGAATTTCAACTCCAATGAGTTCAAGCAAGAGACCTCATTGGGAAATGATATACACATGGTATTAGAACTAAGATCAAGACAACCGCCCAGTCTTTCAATGTATTCAAGAACGCCAGTCATGTTCAAGAGGCAAACTCAGACAACAGAGTAGGGTTTCTCAGTCCATAAATGGCTTCAAACCACTAGCTCGATTGCCCAAACGGGGGTATATCGATGTGTATGCAAAAGCAAAGAAAAATATAGGTCAAAAGTCTCGAACCAGCGAAAGAAAATCGAAAAGAAGAGAGAAAAAGAAGAAGGAGAAGAAAAAAGAAAAAAAAGTGGAAAGAATCAAGGTAGATCGCTTCATGCGATAGAGTCAAACTCTTCTCGCTCACGAAGCCGATTCCGAGCAAGAGTATCACCCCCACTAGCCGACAACTGCATCCAGTGCAGTGCCAAACACATACTCTGCGGGTCTGATTTAGAGTCCTTATCTCGCCGGTACATCATCTCCGCCTTGAAAGTATCCCGTGGAAGTGTCAGAGGGAGGGTCACGCGAGGAAGAAGTTCAGGGTGAGTCAGGTAGAGAATAGCGAGTTCACGCTGCGCGACTGGGTTGCCCTCTTTGGCGGTAATAATCCACATACCAGCCGCATCTTGAATGGCACGACCGGGTTGGGAATGGAAGTCAGAAGCGAACGGGGGATGTCGACGAGAAAGCTCCTGAGAGACGATTCGATCGGCGATCTCAACCATGCTGTGGCAGATCTCTTCTTTGAGGCTGAGTGCGGCTAGGCCAAATTGGAGGAATGCTGTTCCTCGATCGATCTTGTTGAGCTGGTCTCCTGGAACAAAGGCAGAGATGAACTGTAGATCCCTGAAGAGAGTCTTTGGCTTGACTTCTAATATCAGATCGCGCAGAGCAGCCACGATTTGTGACTCGGATGGCGTGGAGTAGTCAGAGTGTCGAGAACCACATGTGACCGACTCTGGCACGGAAGGTACTGCATCCATTTGAGGAAGATCGCAGGGTCGCACCTCAGAGAAGCTGTGGCGAGGAGCACGATGATGCTGAGATGCGTTTCGCATCAGATCGGGGTCACCAGATGGAGAGCCATTTGCGGACGTAGAGCTTGCATCTTGCGACGAGGTAAGCGATGCAATGACCAATGATCTGAGATCTCGCAAGGCGTTGAGTTTCACGAACGGGTTTCCATGGCGCGAGAACACCTCGATCAACCGATGGAAGACCATCTTATACGAGAAGGCCGCTTCCCCATCCGACTCTGAAGGTAAATGTGGCATGTTCGAAGAAGCTTCTGCATCGGAAGATTTCGCAGACGCACGGAGGTTGTCTAGAGACCTGCTCCGGCGACCTAGTAGCGCACCACGCTGCTGAGTACGATTTTGAGAGCGTTGCTCGTAGTCAGCGTAGAACCTTTGGACTGCAGCTCGCCTGCGCATTTCCATCTGGATTCGCTTCTGGTCAAGGGCGTTGGTGAACCATGCGTCAGTCTCACTGCCGCAGCTCCAAACCGGAGAGCCCAAGTCACTAAGGAGCAGGCTGGTCAACGTCTGCCTCAAGCCGTCCATGAAAGCTGTCTTGCCGTGGGTTTTGCGCTCTACATGACGAGGTTGACGGGTTGCTGTCTCGCTGAACATGGAAGGTGGCCTGGAATACACGCTCGAAACACTCGCGGCATACGTAGGATGCCGTTGTGGCGCAGACCAAAATGTACTGCACGTGTCGCCGGTGGACGTTGAGGCAGCACGGCCAGGGGAGCCACCAATCGACGCCATATCAATCGAAGGCATGTCTCGTTGAGGTCGCCATTTATCGGAAATTATGCTCTGGATAGAGGGCTTGTGATCCAAAGTAGGTGTGTCTTGAGCAAGACGAGATATCGAGTCTGGCATCGGGAATTTAGCCCCATAAAAGTGAGAGGCATGATTTGTGTCCTCGCTGGTGGTGGTTGAGGGCCGAGGAGTGCTTGGCATGGACAGGCCTGGGAAACCGCGAGAGCCATAGCCCTCGAATCTCGAGCGTTCTTTTTGGAAGAGCTCGCTTGACCACAAGACAGGGGCATCGGTCATCGTTTCACCTACGAGTTTGTTGATGCTCATGCGCACTTCGTAGCAGAATCGGTGAATCCGCTCTTCGCCTTTGCAGAAGTTTTCGATGCCGTTGTGCGACAACCACTTGCGTGTCAACTCGACTTGCTCATCTGAAAGCTTGTTAGGCCCACCCTGGCTACTTGATGCCTTCATCATGTTCATGATTTGCACTTCTGGTTTCTGGAACAGGGAGCCACTCAGAGACCTTGGCCCATAACGAGATCGCTGTTCCTCTGGATATTGGCTGAACAGACGAGCCGAGTATATCATCGTTTTCAGAGCCATGGCGACATGCTTAGCTTCTTCGTACTTCACAGAGTTTTTGACGTCGGTCATATACCACATCTTGTTCCGGATCTTGGAAAATGTGCCAGAGAGGTCTTTCACTTGTGCTTGGAGTCGGCGCAGGCTGTGATCAAGAGATACAAAGTCGCTCTCACAACGCTCAATGACGACTCGAGATTGATTCAACGATCGACTGTAAGAATCGTGCATTGGTCCCAGAATCCATGAGTCGTCCGTGGTCTTCGATGAGCTAGGCGCTACCCTTTGACCGAGCTGCCTGGAAGCGTTCCACCAGTAATGCGCGCCAACGAAATCAGAGTCATGATGGCAGCAAAACATGGCTTCGTTGAATCGCTGCTTCAGAGACATGGCAGGTCCCTGCTGAGTGTGAGATGGAAGGTAGACATCATATTCCCCTGAGCCTTGAACCCGGTTTTCCTTAACAAGCCTGACGATGGCGGTTTGCAACGCCTCGTGGTTGTCCTCCAGTCCCAAAGTGGTGGAATGCATATCTTCATCGCTATCCAAAATGGAATTCTTGGGAGGATCAAATCTGCTCTGCGGAAGAAGGCTCCAAGTTAAGCCATGGCCGTCGGTTGCGAGGGAGAAGATTGTCCAGTGTTCATCCGAAGGGTGCTCTAAGCTCAGACGGTCATTAGGGTGGTCCAAATCGGTCATCTCAAAACGGATACGAGCAGCCTTTTCAGACAAGCTCTCCAAAGCCGAGGGCAAGGGCGCTTCCACAGAGAAAATGGAACCATTGTTTGACGTAGGCCTCGAGTTAGTGTCGTGCTTAAAGCGAGCGAATCCAGTTTCCATATGGAAGTCAGGACGCAGGTTGATGGATGAAGGACTAGTTGGCCAAGTGGGTGCTCCTGTGGATGCTGGTGAGGATTGGAATGGGGTATGAGTATGTTGAAAAAGAGCGTCTAGAAGTGTGACAGCATCCAAAGAAGACATCATAAGGAAGGTCGAGAGTGAATTTCGCCGTGGGGGTTGTGGAGTCTGCAAAGAAGGAAAGTAATCTACCGGTGGCTCGGGGGGTATTGTGGGTTGGAATCGAGATATCATGTTCTCAACATGTTCTCTGACGATTGGACGGGAGATGGAGTAATTGTGCCTTGAAAACATGATTTCAGCACCAACATCGGTAAGGTCAGGTAGAATGCGAGTGTCGAGACATACATTGAACGCAAAACAGCAAAAACTTGAGAGTATGCGCGGTGCCCGACCTGGTTCAGCAATTTCTCTCGAGCATCTTTTCTGATATGGAAGTCAAGCAGGAGGCCATGTGTCTGGAGATGGTAGAATCGAGTCAGTTCTGCGGATCACCCGACCTCAGTCTCGGGAGCTCATGTTACCTCCGGATATGTTAATGCGCCGTAGAGGAACTTCGAGAAGAACCACTGGACGAACAAGAATTCCAAGAAGCGACTGCGGCTTTCAGGGCTGTCGATCTTTTGCAACACTGCCTTGGCGAACTGCAGTACAGCGTGAGGGAATCCACCGTCCGGATCATCAAGCACATGGAACAAGTCATCCACGGCAGAAGCGAAGAACTCTTCTGCAACGTCCGTCCGCATCGGATCCAAGGCATCCATGGAAAATTCTAACCCCGGTGGAGTGGCTATAGGCTCCAAAAGAAATGCACCGGTTTGCAAGATGTCCATGAGGTAGAGTTCAAACTTGGAACGGGCTTTCCAGTTGCTCCCAGTGGCCCAGGAGGATAGTACCTGACCGATCAGAGGGTAGTATCTACTACTATCGTTGGAGATTAGTTGGGCGCAGACGGAAGACCACACATCCATGCGCAAACGGGACTCGGGGGTCTCTGGGTCCAGCGGGGCGGCAAAAACGTTAAAGAGAAGTATAGATAGCGGGTCAGTCCTCTCAAAGGCATACGCGTGGTCCTTGAAAGCGGCCGACTGAGCCTGGGTTCGGCTCAGGAAGGACTGGCCCCTGGACCGGGAGGTTGAAGGAAAAGCGGGATCATTAGAGTCCAAAACAGAGGCAGGAGAAGTAAATGCGGCCAATTGGGAAGAAGATAGGCTTCGTAAGCGACTGACCAGGAACTGGGGATCAGAGCGAACCAGCCGCAAGATTTCCAGAAAGTCCGTCCGGGATTGAGGGCTTAACTGATGCAAGAAATCCGGGAAACGGTCCATGTCAGCTCCGGACGATGGCTCACTATCCGTGGAGTCTGAGCCATCGCTTGTGGGCGAGCGACATGATTCCTGGAGATCATGAAGCGTCTGGTAGAGAGCCACGAAACTGGGTTTGTCCTCGTTCTTGAGAGCCTCGACCAGACCCCGCTGTGCCGTGAGTCCGACCCGAACCATGCGGGCTGAAACGCCGATGGAGACCTTGGTGGCCCGCAGGCGCTTCTCCAGTCGCTTCCTCTGGGCCTGCTTGCGCTGGTTCTGGTGGTAGCGGGTCGCAAAGTCCTCAAAGGTCACCCGGGGAGCCTCCAGGGCGGGCACGGCCGCGGGAATGTGTCCATTGGCGATGGGGGTGGTCTCCTCCTTGGGGCTGGATCGGCCCGAGCCACCCAACTCACCTGGTCCCGCGATTTCGGATTCAAGGGACATGGGTGGCGGTGACGGAGGGAGAGGCACCGATGCAGGATCTTGCGCGCGATGCGACAAGTCACAGGGAATATCCTTGGGGGACGTCGGTCTTTGCACGGCTGGAGCAGATTAGAGTGTTAGATTCGCAATCAGGGGCGCTGAGCAGCAGAGGGTCCCGGTAGCGCTTCCACAACTCACTAGACATAGACGCCAAAAAGGTCAAAGAATGACCGTGGTAGTCAACCATCTCGCCGACAGTCGCAAACCCCCCCTAAGCGATCCTTATCGCATTCTATCGAGAAACACACAGAGAGTGACGAGGCACTCGAAGAGTCGAGGAGAACAAAAGGAGGGTTAATTCAGAAAGGTAAAAATAACTATTCAAAGGTTGAAATACACTGAAAGTCACAATGACCTGGCTGCGATGATTTGACAGGGAGCGGACACTAACAGCGCAGTGTAGCGAAGGTACTCGGTACAACGGAGACGATGCGTTGGCAGTGCAGGTGTGAGGTGTCCCATCATGCGCCCCTCATTCGCCCCTCCGTCTTTTGCGTATCTGTCAGTCTGTACTTACGGAGTGAGAATTACGGGATTTTGGTATATTTACTGTCCTTACGAGTGCTGAGTGCTGAGTGCTACAGTCCAACAGTTGACACAAAATGGCCTGTAGATCTGGTGGCAAGATTCCCATATTCTCACTCTCACATGTAATGATAGTCACGGTACTGCTCCGTACACTCTGCATGTCTTCATTTCATGCAGCTGGCCCGGGACACCCCGACCCCCTGGAGAAAAGATCAAGAATTGGTATTCATAATGACAAATGCTTTTTCCGGAACTCCATACACATGCTACGCTCACCGACAGACCCATTTCTTATCAACTTCCTTCTGGCCTACACGAACAGCAACTTGATCAAGTGTCGCTTTGAGGGTTTCCTTCGACACCTTGGGGAATCTGCGCACGGATCAGAATTAGCGTATGCGGTAGAGCCAAAGCGGGTGGAACTAACCGTTTCTTCAAGATCTCCACCAACCCGATCTTGCTGAGATCACTACCCTCCACCGCTTCTTTAAACTCCGACAGTTGCTCCGGTGGGAATGGTCGCTTGGCTTTGTAGGGGAGTAGAGGACCGGAGCCGGGGGGCGCGCCAGGCAGGGCAGGGATAATAAACACGGAGCCCGGCGGACCTCGTGGTTTCGAGAGCTGATCGGACGACTTGGGCTTCTCCCAGTAGGCGGTGGAAAAAGGATCAATAGGGAACTGGACCGTATCGGAAATGGTTTGGATCTGGTAGATTTGGGTTTCGGGGGCCACTCCGTCGGCAGCCCAGCGGATGCCAGTCGTGACAGGCTCGAGGTCACCAACAATGGGGCGCCGTTTGCTCCCGGCAAGAGCGTCATCCTCGTCATCTAAGAAGCCATCCAGATCATCTTCGCCGTCGTCACTGCCCTCGTCTTCCTCTTCAGAGTCCAGCTCCTCGCCCTCCTCGGGCTCTTCCCATTCCGCTTCGGAGTCATAGTCATAATTGGTTTCTGGCAACGCCCGGCTGTAGGGGTTTCGTGAAATCTTCTTCGCAGTTGACGCGGACACATGACGGGAAAACGTTCCTTGGTAGGGAGGGCGGATATCTTCACCGAATTTCAAGGACTTCATTTTCACTTTGCGCAACAAGTCCTGGGGCCGCGAAGTTGGATCGGTGCTCAGATCCTCACTTGGCTGCACGGGATCCACGGTTTTTTGTAGTTGCGCGACGATGTCCCTGACCATCGGTGTTGACTCGCCCCGCGAACGGTGGAAGGGAATAAATTGGAACAGCTCCGATGGCCGGAATGGGAGAACCTCGTCTGCGGGGTCTTTACTCATTGATGAATCGATGATTTGACGAACGTGTGCGAGTGCTTGAGGATCACGCTCAAAGCGATGGGCAGGTGCCACAAGAGTATGTGACTTGAGGAAGAAGGGGGGGAACTCTCGCTCGTAATCCGACTTGGAGCCACCGGGGGAAGTCTTCGGGGCCTCCACTATAGATGACTTTATAGGGGAGGAAGGTACCGCGGCCGCTTGTGCATCAGAAGCGGAAGGAAAGGTGGGCTTGGTGAAGAAATTGAGCTTGGTTTGCGACTGGGTTCGTCAGTATGCCTCGTACTCGCGGGTTGAGATGGCGGCGAATTCTACTCACGCGAGACTTCTTTTCCTTCTCCTCGTCCTTCTTGCGCTTCTCCTCTTCTTTGGCGGCCTTCTCGTCTTCCTTTGCTTTCTTCTTCTCGTCTCGCTGGGCTTCCTTCTTCCGCTTTTCTTCTTCGCGTTCCATTTCACGCTTCTTCTTCTCCTCTGCCTTTTCTTCCGCCTTCAAGCGCTTCTCTTCCTCGCGCTTTGCCTTCTCCTCTTCTTTCTTCAATCTCTCCTCTTCCTTTCTTGTCTTCTCCTCTGCCCTCTGGCGCTCTTTGGCCTCCTTTTCTTGTTGCTTGGCATCTCTGCTGCCCGATGCGACTTTGCGCTTCTTCGAGGCCGGAGTATCAGGTTCAGGGTTTGAAGCCTTAATTGACGGAGAGGTTAGTTCGCCATCACCATTCTTGTGATTCTCCCAGAGCCTTGGAGAGCTTCTCACCACAACTTCAACCGAGTGACGGGGTGTCATCGTAGGCTTCGAAGAGAGAGATGTGGAGCCCACATCATCCACAGGCGGGGGAAGAGAAGGATCGCGGTTCTCTTGGTTTTCACCGGTATTTTCCGTTCCCAACGACTTCCCATTTGGCGGTGGTAAGTTATCACTATCAACCTCATGGATCGAGCGCTTGCGGGTCCCCGAGGGCGACGCTTGGAATGGTGGGACAGGTGTCATCGGCGAAAGACTTGTTTGGGACTCCATGAAGAACAAGGGTCTTGAAGAGGATTTCGAGAACCCGAGTGCTGGGACAGGCGGGCTTGTAAGATAGAAAGAGGGACGAGTTGTCGCGTGACAAGTCGCGACTTCAGTCCATGTACGGAGTACCGACGCAGGAAAGGGTGACCCAGACAGTCGGAAACCAGTCAAACTTGAGCCGCAGGAATCAATTGATAATCAAACAGGTAGTGTGTTTGCTCTGCTGGAATAATACGCAGTTATCGTCCATTCCACCAAAGGAGTTGATCTCAACGAGGAGACGCGTTAATTGTGTCGCGCTCGCGATAAGCACGTGTGGCTTAGGTAAACTCAACTAGGCGCCCGGGTGCCCAGCCCTACTCCGTAGAGGTGCCCAAGTGGGCTACGGTAGTATATTCTCATCTATGTACATTTTCACCATAATGGTGCTGGCAGGGCCCTCAATAGTTGAATTGACCGCATACAGAGTATAGAGGTGTTTATACCCGGACGTTCGTCTAGTGTACACCTGGGCACTGTTTAGGCTGACATCCACGATATTTAAGTATTTGGTGTGCAAACAAGAGACTCTAGATGATCGATTATGCAAGTGATGCCAAGGAAGTCTTTGGGTAATTATTACCATCTCTAGATGAAGAGAAGCTATGCTAGGTGAGAATAAAGCAAATGTTTGCCAACCCAGTTTGATGCAGTCGCAAAGGCACCGAGACAGACCAGAAAGCCGTGTGAAAGTCACAGCGAGGCAACCCCGGGAAAAGAATGCGGCGCTTTGAAACACAGAAGACAGGTTGGAAAGATGTGAATTTATAAACAAGACGATGAGGCCCGTAGGCTGAAACCATCAAGGTTTCGCGAACGTGACTCAAGGGGAGTTGCAACGAGATAGGTATTATGTGCAATGGACGAGGCGGGAGGGTAAGTCATATAGAGATCCTGAGGGAATAAAGCGGTATGTGGAGAAGGAAATAAAAGGCCCAAGAAAATGGAGGCGAGCAGGTAGTGGGAGGGTGAATTAATCGCTGTCGGAGTCAGGGTTTGCAACAAAGAGCCGAACGTTGGTCATGGACGTCGTTCGTTCGTCCACACTTCCTCGTCGTCGCAGATCGGCAGCCTTCTTAGCCTTCTCGGCGGCGGCGGCAGCAGCGCTTGGTGCCTGCATGTCACCCAGCGCATCTTCCTGCTCTTGTTCGCTGCTGTGCGTTGTTGCAGTGTCATCCTTGATGAGAGATGACAACCGGCTCTTCTCTTCTTCCTGGATCTCTGCCGTTGTATTTTCAGACACCTCTGGTAGATCGGTTTTCTCGTTTGGTGGGGTACTGTTGCTGCCCATGGTGCCCTGGGGTCTCGAATATCCACTCGGGTAACGGTGAGCACTCCCCAGGGAGCTGCGCCCGCTGCCGGTCCGCCGGTGCATTGCGCCACCATCAGTGCTAAGAGCGTCATCGTCACCGTCGCCGACCTCGTTCGCACTCAACCGCACCGGGACCTTCGCACCGACAAGGTTTGAAGGCGAGAATTCAGCCACACCCTTGGGGCCATGTCGAATCTTTCCACTATTGAGAGTTCCAGACCGTGCGCCTGATCCATGAACTTCCAAATAGGCTCGCTTCTTGGCCCGCATGGCTTGCTCGCGCATCCTAGCGTCTTCGGGTTGAGCACGGTCACACCAAACAGTAGCTTTTTGCCGGCGCATCAGGGCTACGTAACCAAGTTGGGAGTTGGCGGAGCGGGATGAGGCAGTCCGTCGGATGTCGGACACTCCTTGCCCCGCGTGTGCCATTGGGTGGTTGCTGGTGGAGGAGGTTGAAGTCGTAGTGCTGGACATGCGTCGAGAAGGGGGGTGGTGAGGGAGGGTCATTGTTTGCGGGATGGGGGGCGGTGGGGGAGCGCCGTAGTACTGCTGAGAACCTTGGGAGGGGAAAACGCTGGAGGATGTTGTGCGAGTCCGACTGTGAGTAGTTTGGGGGCCGGCCAGATGAGGGGCCAGTTGCCCTCGAGGGGCATCGTAATGTTGATATCCGTATGCATGCTGGGCACCGCCGATGGGCTTCCGGACAGGAGGTCCCTGGTGGGGGGGCATTCGAAACTCAGTCATGTTGGGCGGAGATTAGGGCACCGGGCTGAAGATTCCACCACGCGCAAATGTTGTTTCAGCGATCCAGGCGGTGCACGAGTACGTAGGCGGGGACTGGAAGGCGAGATCCCAAGGTGATGATTTGGTTCGATGCGCGCGGCTGACGGGTAGGGAGACAATGCGGTTTCAGCGCCCACTTGCAGTATGCAGCCGCAAATTCCGCTTCAAAGGTTCTTAAGCGGATGGTCGAGTTTTTACACCTGGGACACGTCGCTGCGCCAACGGGTGGAAATGGTGCAATTGGCCGATTCTTCTCGGGGTACTTTGAGGCGAGGGTATAGGGTGAGAGAGTGCACGAAAGTCTGTTCGAACTCAATCGGGACACGAGCTCGGAGGGTGCTGACTCTGTGATATAAGCGAAGTCGAACAGAGAGCCAAATGAGCGGCTGCTAAAATTTGCAGATAGGAAAAGGGTATAGGCAAAGGGGAGGGTAGATCGGGGGAAGAGGACTTTGACCGGCGGTTCTTTGGTTGGGGGTGCTGATTGGCCGGATACGGAACACGGCGGACCAAGTACTTTCCCACTCAGTTTGGCGGGTGGAGTACATCGCAAAGCCACACTGAGGCTGGGTGAAACTTACGGTTACATTTCAAGGTTTCAAATGTTTCACTTGTCTCTCTCCAGCTCGCCTCTTTGAATGTCCTCATTTTTCAAGCTTCAATGCTACACTAACATGGCTATGACCGCCTGATCACAGGATTCAAATGCGGTATCATCCCTGCTTATGCCCATGATTACGGATGAAAATTGCTGGGGGCCAAACTAGGTACGCGTCGGGGTCTTCATAAGCTTTCTCAGCCGAGATGTCTACTATATCGCACACGATCAAGAGTTACAGCTCGTAAGAAGCTCCACCATCTACCCACTCGGTCACTGCATTCTACCACACTACTGGTCCACGAGAACCCGTGTTCTCTCAGCCCCGGGACCAGCAAGGTATCCGACATTACCGGTACGAGGCGCCCTGCCCCAAGCTTCTCGGGTCAGTGATTGTCCCGAAACCGCAGTGGCCGATGGTGAATGAACCAGCACCCGAAACTTGGAATCCCGGATACCGTTAGGCCATCCCCCCACGTCAATAACTGCGCATTGTGCTGGCACAAAATCCAATACGGAATACTTCAGTGAAGGTTGCGTCGATGTCTGCCCCAGCTACAGCGACAGCATTCGTATTCCTTACGAGCGTGCACTAGCTTGTTATTACCTGTCAGCCGGGTCGGTCTTTGTCAATGTCGCCCACAACCTTGGAACGCAAGCGACGAAAATGTAGCCCAAGAGCCAGAACTTTAACCATCTATGGTTAGAACCATTCTTCGCCCGTGAACGACACTTCGACCTGCAGATTCCCTTTGATAGGCAGAAGCTATCAGGGTGGAGACCGCCGCGTATACTTTGGCTCGAACGCTGGTGTTCTGGTCCAGAATCAAGTCAACTATAGTTCGAGGAACATTCATCTGTTCAGGCCATGGTCTCGCCTGCGTGTTTTTTCCTCCAAGATCCAGGTACCGGTGTTGATCCTCTAGGTAGGGCCGGGGATCCATGGCGGGCTGATCACTGGATTCCATTGACCATCCACAATGCGGGGTACACATCCCGGTCAAAGAGCTTCGGGGATACTATACTGCAGAGACTTGCCGGTATTCCGGGAATAAGAACCCAAACCACACGACTCGTCACCGGGCGATACTCCTGGATGCAAGCATACTTGGAGCCAGGCGGTGGCGATATGCCCCTTCGCTTAGAGTCAAAATTCCACATGAAAGAAAACACGCCCGATCTGGTATCTCCAATACCAAACACCACTGCGCCACACTTTGACGGGAAGTGGGCTGATATTAGATCATCAGCCCAGTGGCCCAGTGGAGCTGCATTGGGAAAAATGTATAAGTCATGACGTCAATATGTTTCACTCGCACAAAGAGACAATGCAAACGTACCTGTTCCTGATGACACATTGACATTCAGAACCAGGGACACCCCGGACACGGAAACCAGGTTGACACTCGCAAAGTTTTGATTTCCTGTGGGAGACCCGACACTAGCGTCCTTGGCGGATCTCTGAGATTCACTTCTTTGAATCCCCATTCGCCAGGGTAGAACAATAGCCTCAGTGTGCCAGGGTTGGCCTGGCAAATGTCCTTGTTTTGCTGGCCTCTCCGCGCCGTTAGCGGGCACAGAGCCTGCTGGTGCTCCACTCGGCTCTCATGGCGCGTTGTCGCCGAATGATCATGGCACGTTGCGTGCATTGGCAGGCGCCTACATACTAGCGTGGGTGCACGCACTGACGTTGATCCATCTAGGTATAAAGGGCCGAGGATGGAGATACGAAATGCAACCTGATATCTGTATCAAATCCAGATAGCAAAGCCGATATCAATCATTCCACCGAAGATGAGATTTTGAATCTCGGTTAAATGCCCGTGACTTAATCAGGGAAACATCAGCGAAATACACGTTGACTACGACTGGCTTACAGAGAGCCAGTCTTACAAAACCTCAAGTGGGACCGAGGAAGGTTTTATGGACGTGTATCATTAGAAAAAAATGCCTCTTCTCTAAATGGAACCCATGAATGGTATTTGTAGTAAAGATTGAGACAAAATCCGAAAGAAAAAAACCCCCCGTAAACCAATAAGTACAAAAAAGAAAGGGTATTGTAGAGCTCATCACTCAGATCACCTATAATAATTGTCGGACAAAAGCTCACTGCAGTGAGTGGGTCTGTTCTGTCGGGTGCTCCTCCACTGGAGAGTCTTTCGCATCATCCACGGCTTTCCCCCAAGCCTGCTCAAATGCAGAATCAGCCAGAGCCTCCGCGGAAGCTGGAGCCTCGGGCTTGGCAGGGGAATATTCTGCCGGCTCAAGATAGGATGACTCGACAGCAACAACAGGTTCCTCGGCAGGCTCAACAATAGAAGTTTCGACATGCTCAATAACAGATGGCTCGAGAGCCTCGGGAGATGATTCGATGGGTTGGATGACGGAGGACTCGACATGCTCAACAATTGATGGCTTGGTAGGCTCATTCTCATCCAGGTTCAATTCAACGTCCACTTCCCTCTCTACCATTACATGGGAAACGGATGGTGAGGCGGGCGAAGCATCTGTGAAGTCTGTCTCCCTAGCCGTTGCCGCTTGCTCCTTGGCGCCCAGGAGCTCGAGATCGAAATTCGAGCTGTAGACCACGGCGGAGAAAGCCTCGAGCTCACGAACGTTCTGATCCATCGCAACTAGGTACTCATTGGGTGAATGTGTGCCATTTCCAATTATATGAGCCTGGCGAGCCATGACAGCCAGAAGGTTAGCCAGCTTGGTCTTCCGCTCGGCATTGGCAGCCAAGGGAATCACAGTGGCTATGGAATCGAAGGATTGAGGTGCAGTCTCCGGGGTAGAGGTTGGTGCCTTGAAAGCATCAGCGGCGCAGCGCTGGTCAACCAGCGTTGAGAATCCTTCGTTATTGAGCAGGGTCAAGACATAAGAGAAGGAGGGAGAGTCGATTAAATCCGCTGTCTCGTCCAGGAGGTGACGCAGCTTCAGGGCCGTCTGGGAAGAGGACGGGTCTGCCACGCCTTCCACGCCTGACTCCCGCAGAACGTATTCTTCCTCCTCGGCCGGGGGCAATAGGCAAGACAGCCATTTTTGGGATCGTCTTTCGTCTTCTGTTCTGCCTTCGACCTTTCTGCGGATCTCCAGAGTCAATTCCGAGAGCTTGGCCAGACTAATGTCCTCGCGGGGGTTGAGAGGACCGAAGACTTCTTCTACTGCAGTCTGGACTCTTTCGACGAGCTCTTTCCATCCACGGTGGAGCAACCACCAGCTGAAAGCGAGATAGCGTCGATTGGTCTCAAAGTCGTCGCCCAATGTTTGGGTAAGTTCGTCATCGTGGTCTTCAAGACTGATAGTGGAGGCATTGGCAGGGGGTGTAGCGAGAGAAATCACACTAGAGAGATAGTTTCGGCGACCGAGGAGGTTGAGTTGGATGCGGGTAAAGATGGTGAGCAAGGAGAGCGTGTAGATCAAGGTGAAAGAACGAGTAATGGCTGCCAAGTTTTAGCATCTGTTTATCAAATTCCCAAAGGCGAACACCTCGCCAACAAAAACTTACAGGTAATCTTCACTTCGTTCCACAGCTGGGTCTTGTTGCGTTTGGGCCGAGGTTGACCCTCCGCATCCACAACCTGACTCGTGTGCACAAAACCCTCACTCTGGAAACTGGCGTCATCCGGAAGACTAGGTGACACCGAACTGAAATCCGAGCCCGTGGCCTCACCGGTATTCAGCCGGGCCAATCTCTCCGCACGCTTCTGCTGAAGCTCCTTCGTCAGCTCTTCAACCGGAAGAGCCTCGATTATATTCTCAGTTGCGGTCGGCAGCAGGGCTAGGACGGTGTATGTGCAATCGGTCTGGTTCTGTTCGAATCTTCGGCGTAGACTGTCATCCTGGTCAATGATTCTGGTTCGGCAAGTTCGAGTCCGACTGCCGTGTTCTCTTCGCCACGAGCTCGCGTGCTGAGGCGCGGAGAATCACAGGTCCATCGAGCATGGGGTCACTGACTTTTCGCGGGCAATCCGATCACTGCTCATGCGTTCCCTGGCCTCGGAGATCTTGGATAACAGGTACTGGCCGGCCATATAACCAGCTCCTATTACCCCGGCCCCGATCGCAAGGCCCTTGCGATTGCGCTGGAACCAGCGCCTTGTGGCACCGATCATGTCGATTGTGTATGGTTGATAATTAACGTTGGGGGAGGATCAGATCATGATATGATGATGGTTCGATGTTCGATGTGGAGGAAAGTCTTCGGGCGCTGATCGCGTAGTTCAGGCGGCCTCGGCTACAGCTCTCATTGTGAAATCACATAAAAGCACCGGATGGGCCCTGTTCAGTGGTTTTATTTCCTCTCAGCTGGTAACTATAAATGCACAGAATAAACCACGATCTATCTTTTATCTACCAATCCTTTCCCCGTATACTCCACGCTGGAGCTTCCCCCGGATTCGGCGAGGCCATCCCGCAACAACCCGCTTTTAGTTAGCATCTCATCTTCTGATGTTTGAAGTCCGAGGTTGTTTTCTTTTTAGTGAGTACTTCATGTCTTTACCTAACTACAGTATCCGCACGGTCACCGGGACATTCGAGAGCGGAACCGATAAGATCAGGGCCGATACAGGCCGCCCCCTCTCCATATCACTCCACCCTACGTCAACCCCTCCATGCAACATCCAGTCCTGAAGTCTCGGTGTTCGTGAAATCTCACAAATCGTCACGCCCTATCTTGGTTGCGCGCTGCGTCATGGCGGGGATGGAGCCCCGCAAAACCCCTCCAGAGTACTTTCTGGAGATCTTCGCGGATACCACCCATGTGCGAGATGTACTGAAAGGTAACTGGTCTTGGTATATCGCAGGCTTCGGGGACTAACATGTACGGTATAGGTGTCCTCAACCTCATCTTCTTCCACCGTTACTTCCCTTGCATCCGGCCGGTCACATTCGATGTGCTCGACTTCACCCTTCCAGCGATCAATGACGCAGATCTAGAGACACTGATCGACTCGCGCGTGTCTGCTCTTGTTCGCCAACACCTTTCTTCCGCGGCTGGGGGCCAAGACGGCCTCAAGGGCGGAGGGGGTGGCGTTCGAGGGCGCATCGCAGTCGAGTTCTACGAGAAGAAACGTCGTCGCTCGGGAAATTGGTTCGGAGGGCTGACCGGGAAAGGAGAGGAAGAGGTCTGCTGGGAGGTTTGGACACTGGATGTCACGATTGCGACACCACGCACCGAGTCAGGTATGTTGACTACTTCATCTTGGGCTCGTCCTGCTAATACCCTACAGAAAGAGCCAAGGTTCGCAAAGCCATGGGCAATATGCTGCAGAAGGCGGCCTTGAAGATTCTCAGTGTGGTAAATCGCGACAAGGACCATATCCCTCCCATCACCACCAGTGACTCCAATCCATTCCCTTACCGCATTGTCGTCAACCCCCGCGCTGATGGTTGGGGAAACCGCATGGGGCTTTATTGAGCCAACAGGCGACACAGGATGCCGAAAACCTGGACCATCAGACTCTGAGTGTTCTCGAAAATGGTTCAACCCATTGCATACTTATGTTCCCACTGTGGAAGAGACGGTGAAAGCTCACACATCATGCCGATACGATTTATGAATTTGCCATATTACAAAAACATTGTTACCCTGGCATACTGCCACGATGCGCTGGCTTAAACTCGGGGCCACGTATACCTGGTTTTCCAATGCCCAGGCCTTCTGGAGGTTGTTTAAAGAATGTTTGGTGGTTTGGGTTAGATCAAGGCCCGGTATTGGGGTTAGGCGCACGCGTTCGTTTTATTCTGTTTTAACATGCTCACATCCATACTTCCTACACATCTGCAGCGATACTAAGATAACTTGAAAAAACAACCATCATACTTTCGCACAGTCCGGGAAAAAACAACCCAGAAATCCCTGTTCCTTGCCTAGTCGCCAATATGCGCAAGGTATTCGGACTGGGCCCTGCATAGAATATGCATATGATGAGCAACAGGGGCTTAATAAACCAATGATACCCCGTCGTCTCTGCTCGAGTCGAGATTTACATGCAAGTACCCCTCCTGCAACGCATGGCTGAGCATAAACCGATTTTGGCAGAAGATCGGTATACGATCAGTTGGGACCATGATCGACCTCGAATATCACAGCTTCCGACACCAAGCCACCTCACACCATGAGCTGACGGAACTATTCATGGGTAGATGTAGGCCAAAGAGCAAGTGATCAATGAAGGACAGATGGATTGGTACGAGGCAACCTTCCAAGGTTGGAGGCCAATGCGCGATCAGAGAAAGTGTGATATGACATGGAATATTACCTGGAAGCTTGTGATTGAGGCTCCAAGGACCAATTCAACATACCTAATAAGACACCTACACCTAACAAGACCTGAGCGCAAGCATGAGAACCTTGGAAGTATACACCAGAAACCTGAGGTGTTCGGCGCGAAACCAACGGCCCTGGCGCCAACTCGATACTCCGTACAGGCTACCCAGACATGGTACCATTCTACAGGTTGAGCAGATATAGAAAAAGATGTAAACATGACTTCATGGTTCGTTTGTAACATTGACACATGGACCAAAGGACTAAATCACTGGCATGAGACAAAACTGCAAGAACTAAATAAACGTCATATTCCAATCAACCCCGGGCCCGTCTCAACGTTTCACGGACCCTCTCTATTCCATCGAGCTACTTTTGTGCTCCAATTTGACCGACTAAGCTTCAAACCACCATTCATCCTGCGAATGGCGCAGAGCATTGAGAATCGAGCCCTCCGAGCCTACTCACGAGAGTTTTCACGGAGGTAATATTGTCGATGCGATTCCATGCTAGGGCGGAAGAAAAGCCGCTTAGGTGGAGTGGGGCTTGCTGGCGGCCTCGGCCTGAGCGCGGAGGTTGGAGGAGGTGCCAGAGCTGGAGAAGAAGCGGCCAACGACGGGCTGCAGGAAAGAGTGGAAGACAATTTGAGCACCGCTGGGAAATAGGTTAGTTTATGTCCTGGATTGTGCAGGTGGGAGGTTGACATACTTGGTCTGGGGGAGGGCCATCCACATGATCAGGACGAACTTGAAGATGTAGTAGAAGGCTGAAATAAAGTCAGTTGATGTATACTCGAATTCGCGGCTTGCGACAACTCACGGAACCAGTAGGCAGCGCTGATGGCGCTCTCAACGACAGTCAGGAAGGCGAAGACAACCCAGTACTAGATCATAGGTCAGTATTGGTTGCTATCATGGTGTCACGTGTGTGCATGATGAGACGCGGGTGCGCCGGTCATTTCATAAACCCGCGAAATTGCGACAGAGAGGGTGATAGGATCATGTGAACTTACAGTGAGCCACTGTGGTAAGAACGAGTTAGCGAATTTTGTACATAGCCAAAAGAGGGGTATCTGAGTAAAATCTTACCTGAGTGTCATCTTGAGTGCTGGAGGTGAAGAGGGCCTGGAGGGAGTAGTAACCGGGGAGGAGGAAACCGGCGAAGTTGACAAGGAACTCTCCGGCGATGTTGAAGAAGACAAGGAAGAAGTAAATTCCAACGAGGCCAAGGATGACATAGACCTTGGGGACGTTGGTCTGACGCTCAAGGTTGGCAAGGACAGGGTACTTGGAAAGCTGCGATGCGAACGAGATTAGCTTCAGTGTATAACTTTGGGACCAAATAGATCATCATCTCGATGGGCACCAAATAATGCGATCGCGATGCTGGTGTGCTGGGGCACGGCATAGCCGGGTGAGGGCTAGACCTGAGGCCCCAGCGAAACACACAACAGAAACGTACCTCCTTGTCGAGCTGAGCTATGGTGTGCTGGGCACGGTCCTGGAAAGAGGCCATTTTTGGTGATTTATGTTTTGTTTTGAGAGAACAAGACGTGCTGTTTGGATGACAATGGGAGCGAGGGATGAGAATATGAGAATGCAAGAGAGCTGGCAAGCTGAGACAAGCGGCTAGCCTGGTCACGTGTTTTCATGACGTATCGGGCAAAGTTATCCATGTGAAGCACGCCTTTCTTTTAGATATTGTTCTCGAACTGCCCAAGTTCATCTGCCTTCTAATTGGAGCCCATTGCCCATCTGGGTATACTCACTTCCTTGGACCGAGGTCCCATAAGCACCTTGTTTGATACGATAACTATGAAACTGGCCTCGAACCAAATTACAAGCGTAACGCTTTTCTTTGTTTTAGATAGGTTCCATGTAGTTTGGCGAGTGTACTTTGTACCTTGGAGTAACCCGTGGACGCTTTGCCAGATGTGGTAGTTCATGACTACCTAGGTGGTAAATTCCAAGGGAGATAACCCCCATATAAAAACATGGATACCGTTTCTTCAAGGACAATCATGTTTGGTTCATGCTCCATCATGAAACCGGAAGTAGTTCTTGGTGGGCCTCACCCCTGCAGCACTTGGTCCGTTCTCCAGGTTTGATGCATCATCTCTTCTCAGCCTATGCTTATTGACCCATTAGTCAATGTGATAGGTGCCAGTGGACTGATGGTCATGGTGCCCGTCAACCCCTCTGGGCAGAGATGTACGGAGTACTTGTAGGCACCACGGGAGTGACACACACGTGACTAAACACCACGTGATACTTTGTGTACATAGGGAGCTTGTTTGCTGGCAATTGGCAGACAATTGCCAAATTGAAGAAGTGACGGGATTACCGCAGGTTTTGTTGCAGACCTCACCGCTTCAACTCGGATGATGTGACTGGGAAGAAGGTGAGGAGGGTTTCGCAACCTAAAGGTTTAGGCTAACTCCCGTTATCAGACCATTCTCCTCTCTCCTCCACAAAAATCCCATGCAGAAACGCCTAAGCTTGTTTGGGCCCGCAGACTCTTCACTCCATCATCTGTGAGCCTCAGAGTCTCCAACAGTCCTCGGTGGACCCTCGAATCGCTGCGATCGGGATATCCGTGCATACAGAAGGCGGGCCAGTGACCGATGTACCCGATCCGCGTCCCTCCTTTACTTCTCGGTATAAAGACACCCGTGCTCTACGGACTTTGTGAGCTTTAGATTTGCGAGACTCTTACGACATTGTCATCTATATACCACGCGTGGGACGATCGTTCAATACTCGACCCCAATCCCCGATTGTTATTTCGACTCCCGAGGACTAAATAACACACCCACATACCTTCTCAATGCGGCCTCAGTAAGTCAAATTGCTACTCCTTTACAGCCAATGCTTGATTCTAATGGTGTTTCTCTTTCCTTAGACGCGAATATCACATTGTGGTGCTGGGAGCTGGTATGCATAGGCCTTGGTCCGGACAAGTTGGCATGGGGCATGGGCTGACCGCAGGTTCTCGTATGCGCTATAACAGGCGGTGTTGGAAAAAGTTGCTTAACAGGTTCGTTCGAAACACCCTATTCCCAGGAATTGAAATCTGAGAGCTAATGGAACTTCGTGATCTCCAGCCCAATTCGTCCAAAATGTTTGGATCGAAAGCTACGACCCCACGATCGAGGATTCATATCGGAAACAAATCGAGGTAGACGTAAGTGGTCTAGCTCATGCTGGGATTCACGGCCATTAATCAAGCTTTGCAGGGGCGACAATGTATACTGGAGATGTGAGTGCATCAGTGGCTTGGGTACGGCCTGATTTTAACCATCCGCAGTCTTGATACCGCAGGCACGGAACAGTTCAGTAAGTAGGACACTTGAAAATGACGGGAACAATCAAGCTTACAATCTCTCAGCGGCAATGAGGTAAATCTAGATCCGAACCCACGATCCAGCCCACCTTCCCACGAGCCATCATAACTAACAACACCGCAGAGAGCTCTACATGAAACAAGGCCAAGGCTTTCTACTTGTCTTCTCGATCACCAGCATGTCCTCCCTAAACGAACTTTCCGAGCTCCGTGAACAAATCATACGCATCAAAGACGACGAAAATGTCCCAATCGTGATTGTAGGCAACAAGTCCGATCTGGAAGAAGACCGGGCTGTTCCCCGCGCTCGTGCATTTGGTCTATCGCAAAACTGGGGCAACGCACCATACTACGAGACGTCAGCGCGACGTCGCGCAAACGTGAACGAGGTCTTCATCGACCTGTGCCGTCAGATCATTCGCAAAGACTCCGAGGGATCAAGGAGCAGCAGCGACCCAAGCCGCAAGCGAGAAGGCCCCAACCGTCATGACCGGAAGAGAGACAACCGTCGCCCGAGGAAGCGTGGGCCATGCGTCATTCTCTGAAGATCTTCGGACTTTTGTTTCATGCGATACGAACCCCTGCTCCCTAACGTCTCCGATGTTTTTTATTTATTTTTTGACATGTCATATATGACTGATGTTCTTTCTTGCCGATATGTCTCTCATAGAATCATGCTTTGTTGTCACAAATCATGTACCATTTCGTTTATTTGGACTGTGCTTTGAGGTCATATCTTACTTCCCTTGTTTGGCATACATGAGATTTGGTTGATCTGGACTCTGGAAAACAAAAATATTTTCACGAATTGGACAAAAGTGCTTTCTTCATTTGGATTTTGTTGTTACCATTGCATATTGCCGCTTTCCCCTCTGCATTTCCTCGAGATACGAAGATCAAAATCAACCACAGGCAAGCCATTTTTGCATTTCACACTGTCTAAGCAGACCCGAGGCCCGCGGGTATTGATTTATGAGTCCGTGTTCCACGTGTCAGGGTCTTACATTCGGAAGACACCAAATCTGGTTTGTACATCTGGCTCTGACTTGCCGCTGAGTGCAGCTGTCAAACCAAGACCTAGCATCTTCCTCGTCTGCGATGGTGGAATGACACCGTCGTCCCACAATCGAGCCGAGGAGAAAGTGGCTTCTGATTCACGGTCAATGCGTTCCTTCAATGCTGGATCAGCGGATCGCCCAACAGCCTCCATGACAGCAGAGAGTTGCTCAGAACCCATAACGCCAATCTTAGCATTGGGCCACATGAAAAGAAGGCGAGGTGAATAGGCACGTCCACTTGAACACACGTTAGTCTAACTATTTCAATATAAAGCAGGACGCTGCATGCTGCATCGAGGACTTACCACATTCCATAATTACCCGCACCGGCACTAGACCCAAATACAACAGTAAACTTGGGGACATCTGCACATGCAACAGCTGTGACGAGCTTCGCGCCATTCTTCGCAATGCCGCCTTTCTCTGCATCAGCACCAACCATGAACCCAGAGATGTTCTGCAAGAAGACAAGAGGAATACGACGCTGAGCACAGAGCTCAATGAAGTGAGCTCCCTTCAGCGAGGATTCAGAGAATAGGATTCCATTGTTAGCAACAATGCCAACACGGTGGCCGTGAATGCGCGCAAAGCCCGTCACCAGTGTCGAGCCATAGTCACGCTTGAACTCGGCAAACTCGCTCCCATCGACAATGCGCGCAATGACCTCGTGCACAGGGATTTGCCGACGTAGATTCGTGCCAACAATACCGTTCAGCTCATTCGGATCATATAGTGGCTCTTTGACGACGAGCGAATCACCTTTTCCATTCTCGAGCTGAAGCGGCGTCGTAGTAGGGGGGTAGTTGAGGTTTGCCACGGAGCGGCGCGCAAGCACAAGGGCATGAGCATCATCAACGGCCAAGTAATCTGTAACACCGGAGATGCTGGAATGTAATTGGCCACCGCCCAGGTCCTCGGCTGAAACCTCCTCACCCGTTGCGGCCTTGACGAGAGGTGGCCCGGCCAGGAAAATGGTGCCCTGGTTCTCGACGATGATGGTCTCATCGCTCATTGCAGGTACGTATGCACCACCCGCTGTGCATGGGCCCATGACCACAGACAGTTGTGGGATGCCCAGGGAACTCATGCGGGCTTGGTTGAAGAAGATGCGGCCGAAATGATCACGATCAGGGAAGACATCTGCCTGATGGGGTAGGTTTGCACCACCCGAGTCTACCAAGTAGATACAAGGTAGACGATTTTCTTGGGCAATTGCCTGCGCGCGAAGGTGCTTCTTGACGGTAATGGGGAAGTAGGTACCGCCCTTGACAGTGCTGTCGTTTGCGACAATCATGCAGTTGACTCCCTCGACCGTTCCAATACCAGTGATGATTCCACCGGCTGGAACATCCTCGCCGTCGTAGACACCATGCCCTGCTAGTGCCGAGAGCTCCATGAAGGACGTGCCAGGGTCAACGAGGGCAGAGATACGGTCTCGCGGCAGCATTTTGCCGCGGGCAATGTGTTTCTCGCGGGCTTTGTCATTCCCTCCTCGTGCAATTTTTGTATGAAGCTGATTCATACGGTCTAGGAGCTCTTGCATCTGTTGATTGTTTTCCTGGTACTCTGGTGAGGATGTGTCGACTGCTGTAGGGAGAACTGAAAGGGCGGAGGCATGGTGAGGGTGTGTGTAGCTCGCCACTGTTCTGCACGCCAGGCGAGGAAGATTTAAGGACAATGGAGCGTTTCTGCGTGGTGCCAGTCGTGATCCCCAGGCCCGAAGGGCGAGCGGGGAAGGGGCGCGCATTGCGGGGTGAGTGTGGAGTCTAGCTGCGATACGGAGGTTGCGGTGAAGTGTAGATATAGAGGCACTGTGGCCGTACCAAATGGTGCATGTACTGTCTCCCTGGGGTTCGGACGACTTTATGAAGAAGTGAAGACCCCAAAGCTGGAGTTTCCCCAGATGCGGAGGTGCGACGATTGCCGCGTCTACCCGCCCCCATCGTCATTACACCGAAATGCACAATTGCAAAGCGACAGTAGATCAGAGTAAATAGACGGATTCTGTGTGTAAATAACAGGTGCTGGTGATCTGTAATATCAAAATAAGATAGATAATACAGCTTCGGTGGAAGTGAAAACTCGCAGTGTACAGCGTTGTATAGTCGCAACGTTGTATACCCGCGGATCTTGACTGATCGCCGACAGCTGCCGCTCCTGCATAATGTGGGACATTGACAGTACTTAAAGGGCATCTTCTTCCTCTACCATTGCTTTTGGCTCTGTAACATCCTACCACGCAGCTCTCACCATGGCCTCCTTAAAGCTACCTACTCTTCTTCGCACCTCTACGCGCGCGCTGAGATGGAATGGCATCCCCGCACTCACCCCCGGATTCCGCTCAGTCTCAACGAAACACCCCAAGGACTTCGTGCCGCCATCAGAAGATGACTTGCTCGAACTTCGCGAACGTGTTCAAGATTTCACAAGTATGTAATACTCGTTTATATCTGTTTCTGCCTCTAATGCTGGCGCAGGACGCGAGATCTCGGCCGAGGTTGCTCAGCGAACAGACGAGCTGAATGAGTTCCCTGCCGATATGTGGCAAAAAATGGGTGATGCTGGGTGAGAACTATTCCAATTCCACGATGCCATTTCGCGTCGGGGGACGATTGCATGTCTGGCTCATGCTGACGGACTCAGATTCCTCGGTGTTACCGCTGACGAAGATTACGGCGGTTTGGGGATGGGATATCAAGCGCACTGTGTTGTGATGGAAGAGATCAGTCGTGCATCAGGTATGCAAACACATCTATTATCCCTCTCGGGAAGCAACTCTGACCTTGGGAATAGGAAGCATTGGTCTCTCTTATGCGGCCCACTCCCAACTTTGCGTGAACCAGCTTTCTCTGAATGGATCATCAGAACAAAAGGAGCGCATCCTTCCAGGCTTGCTATCTGGTGAGAAGGTCGGCGCCCTGGCAATGTCAGAACATTCAGCGGGCTCCGACGTCGTTAGCATGAAAACCACAGCGAAGGAGGTGGATGGAGGCTGGCTGTTAAACGGCACCAAGATGTGGATCACCAATGTAAGTGCTTTGAAGGCGAAAAGGAGAGACATTTGGTTAACCAATCCTTTGCTTGCAGGGCCCTGATGCCGACTACGTTGTTGTCTACGCTAAAACAGAGCCAGAGCTGGGGTCCAAGGGTATCACAGCTTTCATAGTTGAGAAGTCCTTCAAGGGCTTCTCATGCGCACGCAAATTGGACAAGCTCGGCATGCGCGGCTCAAACACAGGAGAACTCATATTCGAGGACGTCTTCGTTCCCCGGGAGAACCTTCTAGGAGAGGTGAACCGTGGAGTCCGAGTCTTGATGGAAGGTCTCGACCTGGAGCGATTAGTTCTGAGTGCCGGACCGCTTGGGTATGTCACAATGTGAGCCGGTATATTGTCATACGCTAACATTTTCCAGAATCATGCAGGCGGCCCTTGATCTAGTCCTGCCCTACACCCACGTCCGCAAGCAGTTTGGCTCTCCAATCGCTCACAACCAACTGGTTCAGGGCAAACTTGCAGATATGTACACTAAACTGGCTGCCTCGCGCGCCTTCACATACAGCACAGCACGGCAAGTAGACAACGCAGCCGTGAGACCCGGCGAGATGGCCGTCCGTACTCACGACTGCGCCGGCGCAATCCTATATGCCGCCGAGCGAGCAACTGAATGCACTCTCGATGCTATCCAGTTGATGGGTGGAAGTGGATACATCAATGAGATTCCAGCGGGACGACTTCTGCGCGATGCCAAGCTGTACGAAATTGGAGCTGGTACCAGCGAGATCCGCAGGATGGTTATTGGTCGTGCCTTTAACAAAGAGTACGCTTAGTGTATAGTGAAAAATGTCATTTTATTAGAAACACGCCGTCTCCAGGGCTCGTTCCGAGCAGATGCTGTGTGTTCATTTCAATCATTCGAGGTTTATACAATGCCTTAAGTATAGAGAGGAGAACGCGTTTACTTCTTTTGCCTGGCAGACCTGCGCACTGGCGCAGGCGAATCAGTCCGCTCACCACCTCCTTTGCGCGACTCGATCCTCTTAGAGCGGGGCTCCGACTCCTCAATGGAGTCATCTTGTGGCACGGCCTTCCGCTTGCGCCCCCTCTTCGCGCCCTTTGTGGGAGCCGAAGGAGTGCTGGGAGTGTCATTGTCCATAGATATAAGAGGAATCACAACCTTGGGTGGTGACGCCAGCTTGGGGACACGAGCATCCGGCTCCGGGTCGGGTGTCGTGTTGGAAGCATCACCAGTGTCGACCGCCGAAGGCAGTGATTCCCCATCAGATACTTCGTCCGAAGTATCAGGCTCATCGAGATCCTCGTCATCAGAGCCACGATCCCCGGACTCGTCCTCCGACATCTCATTGTCAGCCTCCTCATCGAGTCTATTTTCCACCGGTCGTCTTTTCAGTTTCGATTTATCCAGCGCAGGCTGTGCAGATTTAAAGACTTCGCGCCAGTTCGCTAGGAGCGCAACCTTCTCTCCCGAATCAGGCTCGTAGAGAATGGCAACATCCTGATCGCGATCTAGGGCGGAGGTTTTCCACAACACGCCTTGAAATGTGGCCGGGTCAGGACACAGAGGAGATTTCGTGGGGAAGGTGGTTGTCTTGCGCGAGGGTCCCTTTGTTCTTCGTTTCGCGGTGGCCGCTAAATCAGTTCGTTTCTTTCGTTCTGCGCTCCGTTCGGCGGTTGGGTCGTCGTCATAGTGATCGTCTGAATAATAGTCCCAGTCGCTGAAGTAGTCTTCGACATCGATTCCTGGGTCTTCGTATAAGGCGGCTTCGTAGTATGAGGAGGCGGCGAGGTCATCCTAGATGATGTTAGGGGTTGAACGGCAACGCGAAACTTGCGCAAGTCGCAGGCTACATGAGACTGAGGTTGCTTACCACCATGTCTGGGACTAAATCCTCGTACATGAAATCCTCCTCGTACTCGTAGTATTCCTCATCGTCCGACATGCTGACAGATGAGATGCAAGTGGTAAAGACAGAACAGACAAGAGCAAAGAGACAAAGACAACGAGAATATGCACAGAGTAAATGGTGTACAACGTGAAGAACATTGAACTCGAAGATTGCTAACATAAGCCTCACGAGCGGAGACCAATCACATCGCGGTGGATCTCTTCGTATTTTCACTTCTTTTTGTTCATCTTGTTCATCTCTGGACATTATTGTCCATGTAAATAATTTCAAGTGCAAGGGGTATGTCAGGTCCCTTCAAGGCATAGGCCGGTGCAAATGGTTCTCCTTACTCTGTACCTAGTAGGGCCTACCACTTCAAAATGTTCAAAACGTTCAAAATGTTCAAAATGTTCAAAATGTGACTATGGACACTTCTAACCTTGGAAGTTTCTTTGTAAATTAATCCAAGGTTATTTCCATGGCTCTCTCCAGGGCTTGAGGAGAAACCTTCTAGCCTGTGCCGGGCAAAGGCAACTCGCAACTACCTAGGTAGTTCTATCTATGTTTTATGCTAAGCCCCCGATCACATTTAAGGGTTATATGTAGAAGCCAGAAGAATTTCCCTGGTACTGATCCCGCCGTCATTTGCATACGTTCACCCGTCTGTAGGTAATGCCTATAATTTCCAAATCCCAAAAGGTCGTCGGCGCAGTTCTATACCTAGAGTCCCCTCGCTTTCCTCTCAATGCATTCGCATATCTTCCAAGGTTCTTACTAGGTACATTTTTCAACTTTTCTCTAACAAAATGCCTTCCCACACAACAAATCGAAGAAGGGCTTATCGCAGCATTCCCTATCGTGACAGGTACTCGTACTTTGTCGTCAAGTTCTACCCTCGGCGTGGCGACGATGCCTATGTTTGGTTGCATCTCCCAGGACTTCGTGTTGACGAAACAATTCGTCACCTGGTGCGTAGGTATCGTCTTGCGGTATGAAACTTGTCTTTCTGGCATGCAAATGCGATAGGTAGTTGAAGCTTCATGTCACGCAACTGGTGTTTTGAACGCTGCCTTTGGGATTTTCATTCAGTTTGCGACTCATATAGTCACCTCGCGGAAGCACGCCCTTGCCCTATCACTCCAAAATTGACGGCCAGTCACATTCGAAGCACTATCAACTATAGTTTTTGAATTCCAGGTTTTTTTTGCGGTTTTTCCAGCTTGAGGGATAGAAACTTTGAAAAATTCTGAAGCCCTTTGTTGTTTGAGCTTGACTTGATCTTATCGGACCTCGATGTTTTGTTCTTCTCTTATGGCCTCTCCACAGGGACATCAATTCAAAAGTCACTTTCTCCATTCTTCTTGCCAATAGCAACGTCGTAGTTTTGAGAAATACTGGAGATGATGGATGTCCACTTTCACGATTTTGAGTAGTAGAATTCGGGCGACGAATTAAGGTAAAATTGAGCTACCCTGCCATATTGCAGTATACTTCCCAGAGGCCAGAGTTGCCGAGCCAATCTAAAAACATCTCATTAAGACCTTGACGCAAAAGCTCGTCACCCATGTACCAGGCCCTTGTCTTGTCCAACACTGCCGTTCCGAGTGCGCTCTGAAGTGGGCTTCCTAGTCTGATGGTCTCAATGGACCCCTGTAGATCCATCCAATAGGGACTTCCAGGCATCCACTGCCGCTTTGAGTCTGCCCTCGATGCAATGATCTCAAAGTCTGGTGCCGATTGAACCACTTTCCAGATTTTCGGTGAATCGTAGTATGCCGGCTTGCCGTATTTCTCTACAATCTGCTTGGTGTATTCGGGATCAACCATTTGCCGAGATGTTCGCTTCAAGTATTCGATCTGTTGGTTGACAAGGGTGTGTATGTCTGTTTTCTCCCGGGCCGGACCGTTCGATGTCTCGTCAAGGAAATGGGTAATCTCGTCTCTCAGTTTTTGCAGGCGATATCTTTCCCATTCAGGGTAAAGAGATTTTGTATCTGCGTAGGGCCGTACATTCGTAATGTAGCTTGAGTCGTATATGCCTGGTACCTTCGAACGATAAGAGGTAATAGTAGAGATTCGCTCTTTGACTCCTTTGGCACGAGCAGCGAGGTGGCAGACTTCTCCACCCTGAAGCATCACTGCATAACCCAGCTGCGGTCCTTCAACCTGGATATCACTGTTTAGCTCTAATCAGAGTAGCTTGATAAAAATTGGGGAGAATTTCCACCTTTTGAGCTTCTCCATTTCCTTTCTTGATGTAGGTCTCCCCGCCAATCATGTCTTCAGTATCACTCAACATCAGTACACACACGTAAGGGTATGAGTCATAGCTATTTCATGTCAAAGATTTATTCTCGGAGGTGCGAAGAGGTGGAATCAACGTACTGCCAGGGTATGATTGAACTTGTGTCTTTCAATGGGTCGTAAGCTTGGTCTTCAGAGCTGAGAGCAAGCTTCTCAACTGATGGTTCTGTCTTCAGGTTGCTTGCCATGTCACTAATAGTAGTGCCTTGGACTTGAATATTCGTGTGGCCTATCTCTGTCGGCATTACCACCTCTAGAGGTACACCGACTGCCTCGGATACGATTGCCATTGTCTTGGGGTGTGTCCAGAAATCCTTGATGAAATCCGATCTCTTCGCTGCGTCGCGCAGTATCAATGCTCCTGGGAATGGGGAACTGGCGCAGTTGTCTATCACCTCTTTCCGGAAAAGAGCTCTTCGGTAAGCTCTAACACCTTCGGCCGACAGCAGAGAAAATGGGACTGTCCCCGCGACAGGAGATGCGGCAGTACTAGGCTCCAGAAGTAGATCCTTCATCGTGAACTTCTTTGATGGTGGAATGTAGTTTAGATGCACCTATTAATAATGTCTTAGGCATTGTTTGCCGAGAAGCGTGGTGTTGATATCTCGAATGAATGAGATGGCAATTCCTGTGTACATACCTTTGGATCAAACACATCTTCCTCGAGGGTAGTTGCTGAGCGCCATCTTGACAGGAGACTCAGGGGATTCATAGTAGACAAAACAGTTCAATGCTGTAGGTATACTCAGCAATGAGCTGACTAAAAACAAATTTGAGCTTAATGGGTCTCGCAGGCTATGAAAGAGAATAGAGTATTTAAATCTAGAACACAACAGGATTCAAGGCCAATCCTCGAGGTTACTCAGATAACATTGACTCAGTCTACCTCGAGAGCAGGCCATTCCTATTCAGGCAACTATGTCCCGCCCCAAAGCTTCATCGACATACCAGAGAGGATCGCATCTCCACTTTCAGCTTCGCGCAACTTATCACACTGCTTCTACTTTCAACTAGAACAATCTTTGTTTGACAGTCCCTTGAGCCTTACTCCGCAGATACCTGTAGGTCGGGCACCGATATCTCTTTGCGAATGGATCAACTGCATGCCGTATCTTCCAGATGCAACGTAAATACGACTCTCCATATTCTATCCCGCATTTGATAAGAATTCTAACTAGGATTCGTCAGTTGGTCTTCAGGTCCTACGCCTGAGGGGTCTCTATTCACCACCCGGGCATCTCATGCCGAACACTCCTCGGGTGGTATTCCGAATGAATGGAATATCTCACCCAATATTATCATTGAACTCATCCATCTTCGTTTGAACCATTGGGGCGCTCTGCCAAAGACACAACAGCGCTTTCCAAACAACTTGTCTGGTAGAGGGAGACGGGCCTGGACAGGGAATCAAAAAAGATAAAGCAAAAACACAATCTTTGATGGTAAACCCTGCTTTTCGCACCTGGTAAAGGTACTAATTCAAGATGAAAGAAAGACAGGCGTAAAAGATGTCAATTTCTTCGAAGGTTTTGACGACTCTGCGTCGCATAATTCTGCTTTCCAGGGCTCACATTCACAACTGTCGTCCCGCATTTTATATTCGCTGTTCGGCCCTTCCCCTTCATCATACGTAGGACAAGACAAAAACAACCTCGATAGTATCTGAATCGAGGCCCATTCTAGGAAAGGAGGGTAAATGTGCTACTAGGTAGATACTTCAATTGTCTTCGTGTCAAAAAATTCGAAGATTTGTTCATGCGCTTTCGCTCATTTCAGTGCAAGGCCAATGTACAATCTTGATATGAGATGTTTCAACAGTGTTGTGTTTCCATATTTATTAGGTACTCCGAGGTCTGTAGTCCAGCAAACTTAACATATGTAGTTCAAAATGTACATGCATTTATAAATAGATCGTCATATCAAAATATCCTCATGCGCCTTTGATCATCCAAGAAACAGCCCCACCCCAAATTATTATGAATATAGCAGTCAAAACGCCAGCCCCAGCCTTGTCACCTGTCGTGATAGGCTCAGGTCCCACTGACCCCTTGGTGTTGGTACCACCATGAGGATTACTTTCAGACTTGCCGCCATTGTCGGAATTGTAGGGACCCTTGGCCTTGAATGGAACCATGACAGCATTCAAAACACCCAATACAGACATCTGCTGCTCCAGTCCCGAAGTTCCATCCCATTCTGTCTTTTTAGTCCAACGAATTCCACAATGCTTTCCATCGCTGCCCCCAGAGCATTGCTGGCCGGCGGCGACAGCGGAGACTTTGAATCTCCCCATCATATCCGCCATGACTTCGGTCGGTACAATCAACGACATGAAACCAAGCCATGAAGTGAAGTAAGCCCTGAATGTTTTCTGATTGCGATCGCACTTGTTGATTGGTTCGCAAGTGATGTCGGAGATGATTTGTTTTCCACCAGATTCAGGGAAAAACTGATCAGACGTCTTGATCAAGCCGTTCACACCTTCCAGCCATTTGCTTTCCTCGCCGTTGGTCTATATACCAGTTAGTTCGAGTAATAGATAAAGTGAATCTGTTCAGGACGGAAAGCCATACATAATTGTGCATATAGCCCGCTCCGGTGATATATGTGGCGTAGTTATAGGTCCATTGGTGATCGCCATGGTCCTTGCAGTTTGCAGCCGTGGAAGTGGTATCAGCAATGACCCAAGTCTTTCTCAAGAGCGGCGTTGATGCGCTCCAGTCCCAAATCTTCTCAGCCCAGTCGGCATAGGTGCTGTTCTTGGTGTATAGCGCCAGCCGAGCTGACAGTTGGAACAAACCTCCGTTCGAGATGGCGTTCTTCAACCCATATCCATTTTGGTACGGCCAGATTTGCCAACGCAAGCCTCCACTGCAACTTGACATATCCCAGCGAGGGATCTGTCCATTGAAAACACCCTCGGCGAGGGAAACCCATGAGGGCTCGTTATCTCTCTCGGGGAAGTTTAATTCAGCGGCGGTGATTGCAGCCAATCCCCAGAACACTTGGTCGTCATTTCCGAGGTATTGGGAGTAGTTGCTGGGGAAGAAGTCGTCCTCGCCCTTCTGCCAGTACATTCCTTCCTGGATCGCATCGTTGAACTGGTCGTCGCCGGTCAAGTACCAGTATTGAATGAGGGTCATAAACATCGAACCACCCTCCCACCATGTATCATCCATCTTACCCGGAATGTTTTTGGAGTCGCGGTCCTCGTAGAACTTCATCATGGCCTCGGCCACGGTCTTGGCAGCATTTTCAAGGGAAGCTGTCGGAAAGGCACATGTAAGTCATTTGCGGGTCCCAGATCATGTATGAACTACCCACTCTCATCCTCAGGGTTGACTTCGATCGCGAGGACATTTTGTACGAGCAGGAAGACCGAAAGGGCGGTCAAGCACCTAGAAAGAATCACAGACTTCATTTGACACGAGCGGACGGCTGACCGACATCGGAGAAAATATATAGAACGAAGAGAGTGCAAGAGGAGAGTGCATTGAGACGAAGGGAAAGCGCCTGCTCTAGAACAAAAGAGCAAGCATAATGGAACCCATCAGATCGTACCGAAACCATCACTTTGAAACAAAAGACTTGGCAAAGAGGCGCCTCGTGAGCGGAAACACAAAGGCAAAGGGACCCTATTGAAGTTCCAAGACATTGGCGCTCCAAATCCTGCTGCCTGACCTCATTTTCAGTACCCAGGTTGGCTCAGCACAGCCCAGTTTCCAGGCGCTTGGCGACCAGCCTTCCTTTGGACAGGAAATGAAGGTGAAGTAATGCCAAGTGCCAATGGCGCTTTTTACCCCGCCCCCCTTCCCGGCCTAGCCGGGGTAGGCGGTTAGGAGAGACAGGGACACCTTGAGAAGGTGGCGTCTGCCGTGAATAGTTACTACCCATTAAGCGAGATTGACTAGAGTTGAACATGGTCAGTACGAGTACGTAGATCTTCAAAGCTTAGATAACCTCATCGGACTCGATCCTTGCTCACGACCAATCACATTGCAGGCAACCCGATTTGACTCGACATGCCCAAGTGGCGTTGTTCAGTAAGCTCTGCTGCTACCCGTGAACGGTCAAAGGTCCAAGGAGCCCCTGAATCAAACAAAGTGCTCCCATATCCCGTGATCTCCGTGGTATTTTCAGGGTCAAATGGCCCGACAGAGATCCTGACTATTGAAAGTGGCAAAGCGCGTAGGTGATTCCACAAACAGGGGGCAAGACGCCAAGGAATTTCCGCCGCGCGGAAGTGCCGGCGTTAAATTTGCTCTTGGCGCTACCGTGGAAACTCAAGGGGAAAGAAAGTATTTTTAGCGGTGCCAAGAATCAGGGCATTCTCCTTTTCGAACTCTCAATGGATCTTCAGACATGGCGCCACATGAACGGGTGTGCTCCCACCTAGTGATTTTGTAGCAGTTCATGCAGTATATGGACTCATGTAAACATTCACGTTTCGACGATTCCGGGTTTACACACGTGGTGCGAATTTGAAAGGGAATGCTCTCTTCTCAACAAAATTACATGTCATCAAATGCTCGAGGTGATTTTCCTCTTTGACGTGGTTCACAAAACAGACAATGCGGACTCCGTATTGAAATATCCAAATCCGGAAGCAGCTCAAATATGCACAGGTCCACGAGTGTATGCAACCTCCACGGAGAACGGAGTATTCAACATGTTGCCGGAAGCCCGTGCCTAACCTATTCCGGCTTGCCGGTCTTTCGCTACCGGATCCCTCGGACCGTTTCATTTTGTGCAGAAGCCGTGGAATGCTTAACCTCTAACCCCCCAGCATAATCATTAACAAGTCTTCGACGACGGAGTGCTTGGCACAGTAAAAGCTTCGCATATCCGCTCATTGTGGTCTGTACCCGACAGATATCATGGACAAAATCTTGAAAAAGAATACATTAAGGTCCTGAAGTCGTCAGTGGACTCTCTCGGGGGATGCCTTGCCTATCTGGCATGAGCTTTCTCCGACTTCTCACGTCATTGCATATATGGAAGACAGATCCAAGAGAATGAGAGAGTCAGAGAAGGTTGAAAGAGACTCATGTATGGCATTGACTCGACAGAACCCCTGTGGCATGGTCTAAATCTACCTCTCGCTACGTGAGCCCATGGGACTTGGGGCTCGGAATCTTTCACTTGAGCTGAACAACCGGAAAAGCATTGCTCCCTCATACCTATGTACTCTGGCTTTCAAATCCATCGTAGGTTTCGTGAAGAAGTGTCTGTGGGGGGGCTTGTTTCCTATGGTTCTTCTTGCTCCTGCTCTCCAATTTCCATGCCTCCATAGCCCCCAGCTATCCGCCAATGACACCCGAGATCATTTCATGCATAAAATAAGCTACGCGTGGACCAAGTCGAGCAAGCATATTCTAAATACCATTCCCTTGTGCTCGAGGACGCCATCTATGCGACTATGTCTCTTTGAACGCAAAAACATTAAGCCCCTTGAATGATGCAGCTCTTATCACTCTACACTCAGAGCCGTAAAAAATATGGCCATCCATAACTAGAGTGCTGTGTACAATTCAAACTCACGGGATCTGTCCAGCCTGAAAGAGTACATGCATGATGCTGGACACCTTCCCAGGTGGGCGATATTGAGCAACCCATTTTTTCGGTCTTGTAAACTACTCTCGAGATCCAATATCCGGCTAGCTCCAGAGCTCCAAGATTGACGTATAAGACTTTTACCACCCCATCAAGCAGAAAATGAAGGCAAAATCCAGTGCATGTCCGGGGTCCCCAAAGCGGCAGATTATGTCATGTCTCGGCTTTCCCCGCAATCTCGCTTTGCGTCGGCTCAACCAAAAGCTCCCGAGCGACAGTGCTATTTTATCCCTTCGAAAGAACCTGATCATGCTTTTTCTGTGATTCTCTGACCACCTGCGAAACAAACTCACTACAGCTGCGCAGCTGGCTGTCGTCATGACTCTCTCATCCCTTCTCCGCATTACTCCCCGCTTAGCCCCAGCGGCCCGCAGAACACGAGCTGCATCAACAGTGAATACATCAACAGTCAAGCCATTAGACTCCATACTTATTGCCAATCGAGGAGAAATTGCTTTGTATGTCCTGATCTCATTCCGTTGGGCTTCTTGCTGATTTTCCAGGCGCGTTGGACGCACAGCTGCGGATCGCGGGATCCGCGTGACAACACTCTACACTGACCCGGATAGCCGAGCTCAACATGCCTTGAGTTCGCCCTTTGCTTTCAACTTGGGCTCTGTGTCGGCATACTTGGATGGTGATAGGATTATTGAGATTGCAAAGAAAGAAGGGTGTCAGGCGATACACCCTGGATATGGTTTCGTAAGTTGATTGTCGGCTTAGAATTGAATCCTAGCGCTGACAGACACTATTTAACAGTTGAGTGAGAACTCCGCATTTGCGCGAAAATGTACGGAAGCAGGACTTGTCTTCATTGGTCCACCATACACAGCGATTGAAGATATGGGTGATAAGAGGTATGTACATCATATTGCTGGAGATTGGAAGCGTGCTAATAGGGGATATCTGAAAGCCGGTCAAAGGAGATCATGACAGCTGCCGGTGTGCCATGTGTCCCGGGATACCATGGAGCAAACCAGGACCCCGCATTTCTGGAAGAGCAGGCGGATAAAATTGAATACCCGGTGCTCATTAAAGCCGTCAAGGGAGGTGGCGGTAAGGGTATGCGCATTGCGAGCTCCAAGTCCGAGTTCCAAGCGCAGCTTGAGTCGGCTAAGTCAGAGGCCATGAGTTCGTTCGGCGATGATAATGTGCTCGTGGAAAAGTACATCACCACACCGCGACACATTGAAGTCCAAGTATTTGCAGACAAGCATGGGAACTCCGTGGCTCTTGGAGAGCGAGACTGCAGTATCCAACGACGACACCAAAAGGTTTTGGAGGAGTCTCCAGCGCCCCATCTTCCCGATGTAACCAGAAAGGAACTCTGGGACAAGGCTCGGGCGGCCGCATTGGCTGTTGGCTATGAAGGCGCTGGGACAGTCGAGTTCATCTTTGACAATGACTCCGGCAAGTTTTACTTCATGGAAATGAATACCCGTCTACAGGTTGAACATCCCGTGACCGAGATGGTCACCGGCCAGGACCTTGTGCATTGGCAGATCCTGGTAGCCGAAGGAGCCAAGCTACCCCTTACGCAAGAGGAAGTGGAAGAGCGCATTTCTCAGAGCGGCCACGGCATCGAAGCTCGTATCTACGCAGAGAACCCCGAGCAAGGATTCATCCCCGACTCGGGTCGTCTACTCCATGTGCGCACACCGGCTACTTCAGACGACATTCGCATTGATGCCGGATTCGTGGAAGGAGACGATGTCTCGGCACACTACGACCCCATGATTTCGAAGTTGATTGTACGCGGTTCAAATCGCGAGGAAGCCCTCCGGAAGCTGGCGGTTGCTCTGGAAGAATACGAAGTTGCAGGCCCCGTGACAAACATTGAGTTCTTGAAGACCATCTGCAAGAGCCCAGACTTTATTGCAGGCGAGCTTGAAACAGGCTACATCGAGAAGCATCGCACAGAACTGTTCGCGAAAAAGACCATTAAAGATGAAGTTCTGGCCCAGGTCGCATTGGCATGCCTACAGCGTGACACCATCTCCGGAGCGCACACTGCAGGCGTCGCGGGGTCAACTATCGGTTTCACACCCAGCTACCAAGAGCGACAGCTCACCTTTACCGAGTCCACAGGCCCAGGCTCAACGGAAGGATCTACGTTCAGCGTGCGTGTGCAACAAACAGCCGACGATACGTTCAATGTAGAGGTCGGCGGACGGGTCTTTGAGCAAGTGGTCAGCAAGCTAGATCCCAATTCGCACATTGTCACCTCGTTCTTCCCACACACCCGACTTGACACGACAGTGATTCGAGATGAAGACACCGTCATCGCTTTCCAGCGCGGAACCCAGTACCGACTCACACTCCCTCGAGCCAAGTGGATGGAGAAGGCACTTGGCCTGAAGGATGTGACGAACAGTGTCCTGGCCCCGATGCCGTGCAAGGTCCTGCGGGTGGAAGTTCAGGCAGGTGACGTCGTGGAAAAGGATCAGCCTCTGGTGGTTATCGAAAGTATGAAGATGGAGACTGTGATTCGGAGCCCCCAGCGCGGGACTATTGCGCGGGTTGTCCATCGCCAAGGAGTAAGTCACGCGTCTTTCCCCCTGGCGAGAATTCCAGACCCCGTGATCCAGTTCTTTATTGCATGTTTGCTTCGTATTGTTTTGTATGGCTGTATCGAGATCGTCACTTTGCTCCTGACTCTGGATTTCGCGATTTCCATCATCCGATTCATGTTCATGGCTAACGTACCTTGCAGGATCAATGTAAAAGCGGGACACCGCTGGTGGAATTCGCAGAGACAGAATAGTTATGAGTCTACTCTAGAAAGGAAAATAAACATAATCTCGATGTCATTGATCTACAAAAAAAAAAAAAAAAAAGCCGGGGTTCCCCACTGCGGATCTGTCACAATTGACGTTTCTGTATTGGGTACGGTACCTAGTACACCGTGGCGTCTGACACAACAATGAATAGGCGGCAAATATCCACGCTCAAGAGAACTTGAGAGTATCATCTAGAGGATACAATGAGGGTATTAGGAGTATCTGCACTTTGGTACTAGGAAAACACTGGACATTGTCCATATAAGAGACAGGACAAAAGCATCTCGAGTACTGCGTACATCGTAGCCAGGTACCCGGTACGAGGTATTGATCTGACATCACGGAGGCAATCAGAGCTCTCTCTTTCTGCACAGCGTGAAACAGGAGATAATCCTGCATTGTACTCCGCTCACCGCAATTGTCACATTCCCCTTGAAGGCAAAAATAGCTGATGGCTTTTCAATTGCCCCTGCCCCCGATCCTCGATTCAACCTCGATCTACCCTTGATCGCATCTTCCACGCTGTGATACTCCCAACACTTTTAGCCCACCATGTTCAAGCCCATTGCACGAACAGCTACCAGGGCTTTGACCTTGCGCTCTGTAGCAGCCACCCGAACCACGAGCTTCGTCCGGCCACTTTCGCACACGGCCGCGCTCAGCAAGAAGGATGATCCTACAAAGGATCCGCTCCTAGCGGCCACCAATAAAGCTCCTGAGGGAGCTTCTGGTGAGCATGAAGGTCAATTCGCTCGTACTGACCAGAGCGTGCACATTGAATATCCTCCCGATCATGAAATGCCTGCACAACCCGTGGCCCAAGGCCGAGGTGGCATGCATTTTAAGCGTACTCTCGCTCAATTCTCCCTCGAAAAGAAAGTGAGCATAGTGACTGGCGGAGCTCGTGGACTGGGTCTCGTTATGGGCCAGGGACTCGTTGCATCAGGCTCCGATCTAGCAATCATCGATCTAAACAGTACGTATACCCAGCACCTAGTGGGATCTTTACTCAACCCAGCATAGAGGATGAAGCCGATACCGCAGCCGCCTCGCTAGTCGAGCAATTCCGAAAAGAGAATCCCGGGCTCGAGGAGTATGTTCATCACCCGCAGATGATACCTAGCTAACACAGCCCTAGCATGCCAAACGTAACAGCGCACTATGCCGATGTCGCGAACCCAGACTCCGTGAACAATGCCCTCGCGGAAGTCCTCTCCAAACACGGCCAGATCGACAACCTAGTGACCTCCGCCGGATTCACGGAGAACTTCGACGCAATCAACTACCCATTCGAACGTATGCAGAAGCTCTGGGGCGTGAACGTCGACGGCACATACCTTTTCGCGACAGGCGTCGCCAAACACCTCATGGAGCGCAAAGCCTCCGGCAGCATTGTCATGATCGGTTCCATGTCCGGTGCTATCGTCAATGTCCCTCAACCCCAGGCTCCGTACAACGCAGCCAAGGCTGCAGTGCGCCATCTTGCTGCGTCTCTGGCCGTCGAGTGGGCAGGTCACGATATCCGCGTCAACTGCATCAGTCCAGGATATATGCTAACTGCACTGTGAGTCAAGCCGAGCTCTCAATTGAATCTGTCGCTGATAATTGCAGAACTCGCAAAATCCTCGATGAGAACCCCCAGTTGCGGGATCACTGGACTTCGCTTATCCCCGCCGGCAAAATGGGTACGCCGGAGGATTTGATGGGCGCTGTTACTTTCTTGCTTAGTGATGCTTCCAAATATATCACTGGGGCGGATCTCCGGGTCGATGGTGGCTATACTGTGACCTGATCTGATTTGAGTTGTCAATCTTTTGTTCGGTTTCACTAATGCATCATCTTTTGTGTACGCAACTGCAATCTGAAGCGATGATATTCTATGCGACACCATTCTGGGTCATTGCCGTGCAATCGCCACCAAATCTCTAGGCCGCCATCGAACTCCAAACTCACCTTGGTCCCTATTATCATGGAAAAGAAGGTCATATCGCCCTACGTACTTGGCGTGCTCTTTCAATAGGTGATCGGAGTAGGTCATGTGCAGAGTTGTGGGCCCCGGGGGTAAGGCTGAGTGCCGTAAAATTTCTCCTGCCAAGCATTTCTCCGCGGAAATCCCAGGCCTCCGTCCGTTGATGAATTTTGAAATTCTTATGCCCCAAATCATTGTATGCTGCATGTCTCAGCAACATGCAGCTGAGAATCCCCATCGTGGTCATTCTCTCCACTCTTAATGTCTTAGCCTGTCAAGCCGCATGGGTCAGCAAGTTCCCGTGTTCATCCGTCGATTACGATCCACTGGAGGGCCCATTTCGAATCGACAGCATCCGCGGCACTTTGGAAACATCGAATGGATCGACAGTATTGTCATTGTCCATACTGGCAATCCACGACATAGCACGGTTCGATTGCAACGATCTCGATCTGCCACGGCTGGAGGATTCCATACGTTTTCATGCGCTGGGCGTTCCATTCGGTGCGGTAACGAGTCTCAGCAGCAATTGCCCACTGCAGATTGCCAACACCCTGAGGCCGTAAGTTTTGTCCATTGTCCATTTGTCTGCCTCGCGGCTAACACCATTTTGCAGTCCCGATGGTTTTCTCTTCTCGAGATTTGAGCTCTCGTATTCCTTTAACCATCCTCATCGGCTTCAAACTGCCGTTGCAGATCTAAGCTTTCGTACTCATGATGGCCATGAACTTGATTGCGTGGTGCCCAGGATCACCCCGGACATCGGCACACCAGCTTCGGTGGTATTTACGTATTTCCCGGCTGCTGTCATGGTCCTGGTTGGCATCGCATCATGGACGAAAAACCGGAATGATGAATCGGCATGGTCGACGCTGTTTGGGAGTCGAGTGGCCCAGTCTGTTCTTAGCTCGGCGTGGAAAGTCATTCTCGAGCTAGCTGACTACCTTCGGTATCTGCAGTTCATGTTACTGGCTGGCTCACTCACACTGGATTATCCTGGGTTCTATCAGCCGGTCATCAGCCAAACGGCCTGGTCATCTCTTCTTTACTGGACAGGCCCTGTCGACCATGGCTTTACTTACACGGGGGTCGAGGACGGGCTGTACGTCAGTAACAGATCATACGGGCTTGACTATATGTCGCAAATGATTGGCTTTCCCACGATGCCGGATATCATGATTGATGCGTTTATCAACCTGGTCATCCTCGTCTTCGCGGTCTTTGTCTTATCCTTTACGCTCTATCTGGCAATGTCGCAGTTCGGTCGGAGCTTTCACCTGAGCCTTGTCACCTGGGACGCAGGGTTCATTTTCTTTGGCATGATATTGTCGTTCTTCAGCCTGCCTCTGCTGGCTTTCATGTCCTATGAGTTGATTCTCATTGGGTATCTGCCCAATTACCGTATCTTTTTAGTTGCGGTGTCCATGGCAATCATTGTCTATGCGAATTTCCTCATCACCCGCCACGTGAACATTCGGAGGGAGCCTACCGATATTTCATCCCCGGATGCCGCTTTACCAAGCAGCAGGTCGGCCAGGTATCTACAGATTGCCCACAAGTATTTGGGGCAATATTTGCCGGCCTCGATTCCACTATTGCAGGGTATCATCATTGGTGGGGTACAGGACTGGGGGCTATCTCAGGCTCTTTTGTTGATGGGAATCGAGATTATCCTTCTTCTTCATTTGACGATCTCGCTTCGTGTGAGGATTTTTGTATCGATTCCTGCTTGGTGCAGTATTGCTCGACTTTTCATTGTTTGCCTGACTCTCACCTTTGCAATCTCGAAAAACGAGGTGGCAAAGGAATGGGTGGGATATGTATTGCTATGTTTCCATGGCATTGTGATCATCTTTGGCTTTCTCTGCGTTGCGGTTTGGCGCCTCACCCAAGCCATCTCAAAGAGAGCTCGGCCCAGTAGCCGAGTACAGTCTTCTGGAAGAAGCGATTCCAATTCCTTCACGGTGAGTAATTTTCCAGCTTCCATCTATCAATCAGAATGTCTAACTGGCTGTAGCTTTCATACCAAGGCCAACACCCACCCAGTATCCGAAGCGAAGGCTCAGGATTTCCATTAAACCGGATTAAGCGAAACCGGCATAAACCCGGCTTTTCAACATCAGAAGAGCCAGAGAATCCTGAGATCCTTGGGAAATCGTCTTCATCCTCGAATGGCCCCGGAAGCTCAGCGGACCAGTTCCCTACACCACACCACCCAAAACACTACGTCACGGACTTCTCTGCCTTCTATAGACAGCCACGACAATCAAGTCTTCCTCCTTCCCACAAAGAGACACCAAGCTCATCAGGTGCCTCCAAGATATCCTACGACGGGGTCGGTGAAAATTCATGCAGTGATACAAGTTCATCAGAGCCTCGAGATTCATTCGACGAACTTATGGAAGTTCCAATCAGACCTGAAGTTGACTATTCTGTGAGAGAGTCAGATGCTTACTATAGGGTATCGGCCAATGGGCTGGTCTCGCCTACCCCTAATCCAGCCGAATCGGCAGAAGAAACTCAAAAGGATCGGGGTAGCATGCGTGGATGGGCAGCAAGGACTGCAGAGATGTGGAATCCTCCGAAGAAGGAAAAGGGATTCCAAGTGATGAGACCACCACGGCCAGATTGAAAGCGCTGAATGCGAACCTGGAACCTTGAATCAATTTCTCACATGGTCGATGAGACTTTGAGCTCTTTGTTAGACTTGTAGCATCATGATGTTGTTAATGTGAAATCTGTATAGTTTTCTTCCAAGGTTTGGAGAAGGTTTGTTGAGACAGCCCTGGAGGTCAGCATAAAAATTACCAAGCTACGGAGTAGATCTGGTTTATGTGGATCCCTGGTGGGTACGACTTCCCCGGATTTGCTCAGGGAATCAGCTCCACTCAATTAGGTTGTCTCTGGTGGAATTTTTCAAGGGTACAACGGATCAAGGACGCGTCAGCCCTGGAGGTTCCATAGAATAACACTGCTAAGTTTAGAAATAGTTCCGTTCTTAGAACTTCAACTTGGAAGGTTATGGAGAGCCCGACGTTGGCCACCCTAGGGTTGTATTCAGAAAATTCTGTACTATTTTGTTGCAGAAGTACCTAGGTAGGTACCGAGGTATTGTATCGGTTCTATCTTCCAAGGTTCTATCCTCTTCCAAAACCTGGAATTTTCAAGGTTTTCAAGAGTTGGTTGTTGCAGTACTATTCTGGGATCCATGACACATAGACCTGGTCATTTGAAAGACCTCCAGCTCCATGTATTTGTGACTGAATGAAGATTGTATGCCAACTCCATGCTGAGAAGATACATTGAGAGACACGGCGAGATCAGAGAACAAACTAGGCTTATTGCCACCAAACCACAGACCTGTGGACTAAGGTATATATATTGAACAAGTCAAAGACAGTAACTTCGACCAAACCATGGATTAGGACTTTGGAACAGGTCCGGTGCGCGATACCTGCTTCATTCACCAAAATAACAATTCAAGATCCGGAGATGGCTATTCTATCGTTTGCGGTGTGCACGGGAAGCGTGGGGAAGATCCAATCACGACTACCCCCAGCTTTTCTCCGCATACCACATACCTGAGGGGGAATCAAGGGGTGTGGAGTGTGAATGTCACCTCGGCAGAACTTCTCGAATGGAGAGCGTGAGCTTGATAGGGCTGTCTTATATTGGACCCTTGCGAGGGACGCGCAATCGAGAATGTGAAGGGGTTTGCCACATCTGATCTCCGATCTCTGATAGTGCTTTTGCTTTTTTGCTTTTTCTGTACATATGTGCTCTTTCGCCTCCTCTTGTATATTCAACGGTGAAGCCCAATCCCGGCCCGTCCCGGCGATCCCGAAGGCGATGACAGGAGTTTGACGACGTTCAGTTGACATATAGCCGACATATAGCCCTGGAGGTGAGATCGTAATTCTTGTTCTCTTTGTGTTGGACTGACGCAATCGTGATACCTTACAGAGTTAGGAAAGGATGCCCCCAGCCTCAACCTCAAGTCCACGCGGCTCTCTCTTTCTACACCTGCGTCGCTTCGCGTGTCATCGCGCACAACATGGAGCCAAAGATCCCAGGTCTGGTCTCCGTGTCAAGCATCCCCTCGGAGATTCTACAACATAAGACACTGAGTGCGACTGTCTACAAGAATCTGTGGAGAGGTATTTCCATCCACCTCGCGCATGGGGACATAAAACTGACGACATAGCGTACTACACGTCACGTCGGGCCAGCAAAGACGAGACCGAACACCGCTTGGAGCATTTGTTCTGGAGGATATGGAGCGATCAGAGTCTCTCCAAGCACATGAGTCCTCGCACCTTGGACCGTCTGATCCTGCGAATCAAATCACCCGAAGTACTGGTGGGACAAGCGGTGACCGAGATGTCTGAGGACAACAAAGAAAAGGTGACGGCGCATGTCCTTTGATCTAGATCCCTGCTAATGGCAACTCAAAGCCACCCTACCAGGCTCAGCGCTGTGATTCTGGCTCTTGCGCCATTCACCCAATTCTGAAGAAGCCAGATACAGCCCACAAAGCCCACCCTGTGGAAAGCGAGTCCCATAAAAGCGCTCGTCTCCTTCTCGACACGCCCATCGGCACAAAGATCATGCTTGAGCCATCCAACTCACCAACCAGAATGGCATCGCCAACCCCCATCCCCGATCCACGCCCGACTCCCAAAAAGACATACCTCACCGCGACTCGAACTGGTCGAGGCCCACGCCGCCGTCCTGTCTTCAACCGTCGCAGATCCTCCCAGACCTCTATTCCCAAGTCGCCTTCCACCGCAGCTGCTGCTGCTGCTCCGCGCCGACGCTCCGAGCCAGCCGTGAAACCCGATAGATCTGACGCCATGTACGAAGACAGCTACGTGGAACTGGGACTTCTACAGCACCTCAGTTTCCGCGACGAAGAAGATCAGATCGCACGGGACCTTGGACGGGAAATTGCGCCTGAGCCGAAGCCTGAAAAGCCATCTGTCCCGCTGTTCGATGAAGTCGATGACGATATTCCCCTGCCTGACCCGAACGCAAAGATATCCGCTGTGCCATTTCCTCGCGCTGCTTCACTGAAGCATCCAATTTTGAGCTCTGAGGATCTGGGCCGCGTCAAGCAGTCTTTCGACGTTCAAGATCTTGGTTCGCCCGGTCCCAAGTTCGAAATTGATGATATTGACGGAGATTGGACGGATGTCGACGCTCTTGACTCCACACTTCCCATCTCTCAGCCATTCAAGAATCTAGTCGAGCACCATGAGATTGTTGCTGACAAGACTTGCTCGGCTATGAACTCTGATATTGTCCCGGCTGTGGTGTCTGTCGACAAGAGCACTTTGATGCCACCCACTATGGAGAGCGTCAAGCTTTGACCCCGACTCGATGCCGAGGCCCTGGGTGACAATCCCGGCAGCTCGCTATGTACAACACTATTCTTTGATGCATGCCCGAGATCCAGACGAGTGTGTCAGATCTCGCTATCATCGCAAATGCGCGTTATGCGACAGCAATAGGTGCCCTGAGCTTCAAAGCAAAACCTTTATGTAACAACCTTGAAATGATGGGTGCGGAAGAAAGATTGCATGTCTATTCCTACGAAGACGATTGTGAACATGTCGAATCCCGGCCACAAGTATTCTAAAGCAACAATAATATTAAATTCAACGAATATAGCTGATAACTGGCTTACTTCTACACATTGGAACAAATGCAGCAGAAGTTTTTGAGCTATTCATCTAACCGCAGTGATATGAACCAACTCCACGTATTGAAGAACGAAATATTTTGAAACAAGAGAACGCCGGCCATGAAAACCGCAAAGCCAGGCACCGACTCCAGAGCCAAGGTGTCAAACAAGATAAGAAATGCAGCATCCACCTATCAACACAAGCACCAGACCATCAAGCCGACCATCAAAGCCACCCGTGGACGAAATCTAAATCTGACCCTTCTCAGCATCCGCAACATCACCCTTCCGACTCTTCAACCACCGCAACAGAATCCAAGAAGCAGACATAACCCAGAATCCCAAATTAATGATATCGACCCAAACCGCATGCCGCATCCGATCAACCCTAGAAGCATCACTAGCATCCTCCTTAGGATAAACACCAATATACAACTTCCCAAAGACGCCAAAAAGCGCCAACCAAAGCACACAGAGAACGAACTCCCAAACAAAGTGCGACAGTATCATAATCGGATTCGGAGCAGAAGTGGCCCCCAGCTTGCGCATAATGAATGGCTTAACCAGACAAACGAGCGCAGTCACTGTAGCCAGGAACGAAGCCACGAGAGCGTATACCCATTGCGAATGCCAGGTGTGATTGTATTTATGGTCGTGGCGGACTTCTCGACCGTAGAGGCCGATGACGGTGAGACCGAAGACGAATTGGAGGAAGCGGAGAGCTGCATTCAGCATGAAGCGGAGCTTGGCTCGTTTGCTTTCTGGGGTATAGTCGATTGTTGTGCCTGGGGCTGCGCCGGGTGGGTAGCCGCTTAGAGGGTAGTTGTCTTCGAAGGTTGGGTAGACGCCTGCGTCTTGTTGTTTTTTGATGTCGCGCTTGTTCTTGTATTTTTTGGCTTGGGAGAAGCCCAGCTTCAGGAGGGGGACTGCGAGGAAGGACATGGTTGGAAAGAGAGGATCGAGAGCTGATGCTCAGGTGAGTGGAATTATGTCAAGTATTTATGGCAGACCAGATGCCAAACAACTTATTGTCGAGAGAGTGAATAGAAAGAGAACAAAGGAGAGTATCAGAATAGAAATAGAAGCCGAGTCTGGTTTCATGAATGATACAGCGCAGCCCATTCTTTATAGTCCAGCCCTATGCCCTCATGTTCTTCAGGTCTTGTAAACAATGAATATTCAATGCTGCTATTTTCTGCAGAGACGAAACAGGGCTTGCTTCTTTCAGGGCTGCGCGGCTCGCCTGGCACTCCATCGTGTCAGGTACACCTGTCGTTGACCCAAAGATGACTGACAGGTATGCCCAGATGAAACACGCATGGATCAAAATAGAATGCCCGGTCTTGACATGGGTTCTACAGAGTCTAAGGTGCAGGATCTACGGAGTACTTCTTCGCGCGCGCCAAGTCGGGTTTGATGTCGTTTCAGCGCGGCGCTTGCTGGAAGCTTGAGGTCCAATCAGCACACATGTGTCTTCTATTTTAGATCGACAGCTAGAAAACATCAACTCTGTTGAGTGCTACCTAGGTGCTGGGCTGCGGTACATGCCATCCCAGATCTGATTGTAATTCGCACACCTACAGAGGTAGTTCATCCGCATTCTACGAGGCTCATCATTTGATCATTTCACATTGATTCGGGGTATGCACATCGCTCACGGATATTACAATTACACGGATAAACCAACAGTCTCATGAAAATGCTCGCCAGTCCAATATGCTTGAGGGGGGATGTGAGGGGACTTCCAAGTTCCTTCATGCAAAACTCAACGCCGAAAACACAAAAACAACCAACGCCCCATCCGGAATAGAAATGCAATGACAAAACTTGAAAACTTGAAGAACAGAATTTGTTTAATAAGCCACCGCGCCCGTCACGCCGGTCGACCTGCCCCAGCATCCGCAGCTCCCTTGATGCCAGGGACCGAAGCCGCTATCTTGGGATGATTGCTGGCCGGAAGCGGGGGTTTGAGATCGGTAGGCGAGGCGGGCGCGGACGGTGGTATTGGAGAATGTTCGTCATCATACTCGTGGCCGTTGTATTCGTCGTCGGGGAGACCTGAGCCGCCAGCGGAGGAGTGGTCAACCGAAGCGCGGTCGTATCCCTGGTGGTAGGGCTGCGTATTCTTCGATGCGCTTTTGGGGGCCTTCTTGGTCTTGCGGCCTTTCATTTTGGCCTTTTCAAGAAGCCTTTTCTTTTCCGCCAATCGCTTGCGCTCTTTGCGGTCTTTCATCTCATATTGTCGAATGAGGGCTTCAGGCGGGCGCCCAAAGATGCTCTCATATTCGCAAAACTCACATATCCAAATGTCCTCCAAGCTTGGAGGATGGTGCAAATTCGTGTATTGTTGCTGGATCTTGCGCTGCCGTGCAGACATTGCATAGATGGTGGCTGGGGAGCGCTTCTTCTTGGGAACCACAGGTGGCTCTCCCGCCTGGGCGGGGGGTTGCGCACCTGGTGGGCCATGTTGGCTCATAGACGCACCCATATTGGGACTTGTTTGTGTTCCTTGGGCGGAGAATCCTCCCTGTTTCTGACTTGCAGGGTCGAGGGGCGAAGTTGGCGAGCGCTGAGGTATCGTGTAATTCCTTTGCATTGCCATTCCCTTCGAAGAGTCTGACTCGCAAGTGAATGTGAATTGAGTCTTCGTCGGCGTGGCATTCTCTTGTTCGAGCAGACTGACGTTGCTAGGACCCCGCGGTGGGGATGAAAGTGTTGCGTTGGCAATCGCAGTTGAAATGATTCCTTGATCCGACGATTCGGCTTCACAAAGTCAGTACGGGGCACAGAAATGGAAGGCGCATCCAAGGAGGGTATTTACCGGAAGGATCAGGAGATGACATCAGCGCATCGCGCCGACTTGGAGCTCGAGTGTGCATCCATCCATTCTGAGCGTTGGCAGATAACGCGGTTCGGCTGCTGCTGCGCACGATAGGCCTCCCAAGACGGCCTCTACCTGAGCCAGAGATCCCACTTGCCAAAGGGGACGCGGGGTTTCCATTGCCGTAGTACGTGCCGGTTGGGTCCGCTGGGGCTGATGGCACCGGCGGAGGGGCGGGGGTTGAGCTCCCACAGCCCATGCTGGCGAATTCGGCTGAGAGCGTGGAGTGGTGTCCTCCCAGACTCCCCGGTGTGGGAATTTTTCGTTTCTTCTTGTTATTCGTGTTCTCGAAGGCGTCGTAGCCGTCAGGGCCAGATGAAGAGGATTTGGCGGGGGGAGTGTCAACGGGGAACTTGGGATGGCTGCTGGAGGTGGAGGGGGAGAGAGAAGATCTCCGGACACCACTTCTGCGGACCACTACAGGGCCGTCCTCATCCCCGCTCTCCAACTCTACAGCCGTCTCAAAATTATGTGCGTCCACTTCCGGGGACAGCTCCGTCTCAATGGTCTGTTGTACGTAGACCTTAGATTCATTCACCGCCTCTTCCGAGTCTCCAGACACACCGTAGAAGATCTGGGATGCAGGTGGTGTGGGGGGATAGTAGATTGTATCCGCGGCGTCCGACGAGAGACGAGAGCGCAGGGTCCGTCTTGGGAGAGGGCGGATCAAACGATCGGGATAAATGGTAGAGGGTGTGTCAGGGGCTGAGTTGAGCGCCCCGTCTACATGAGTGCACTCCACGTCAGTAATTGAATGACTAGCAGACCTGTTTCCCGGGGAAACGCAACGGTCCGGGCTATGTGTCCCTGAGCAGACGTACTCAGTGTAGCTGCCATCATGCAAGTCTCCACGCTCGCCCTCAACCACCGGCGATGCTATTTGGGTGATATTCCAGCCTTTTGGCTCTTTCCTGATTGTTCCCGCCACTGTTCCTGCTCCGCGAGGGCCAAAAATTGAAGGTGGATGTTCGGTATCGGGATTTCGGCCAGATTGAGGGGGGATTGCAGTCCAATGTCTGTAACCCGCCGTCAGCATTTATGTTGCTCTCCAATGATTATCCGGAAGATAGGCCGGGACAGCGTTCGATCTGGATCATGAAACTCCGGTTCAATCCCCGCCTTTCGTCTAGTTGTCCACAATCCGGAGGTGAATATCAACCTACCCACAAAATCGTGCTATTACTCAGCACGTGAGATATCGAGGGTCGGAGGGACTCGGGAGGAATTAAGGTAACAATATGGGATTGGAATTGATTCCAGGGCCAGAGTCAAGCCAAATGGACAAATCAGAGAGGATCAATAAGAGGGGTTGAGGATGTGAAGAGAACGAGACGAGTCACGGGAATTCGGAACACGATACGCTAATCTCCTTTGGGTAATGCTTCTAAATGGCCTCGGGGCTATTGCATAACGCATCCTGGATGTATCCCAAAGGTACTATGTACCTTGGAAGTACTTCCACGTATCCCATCCCAGGTACCACTTGGCCTGTGGTCTACATGTGCTGCCGACTCTGATCGGATAAACCCCACCTACCTGAGAGCTACCGGTACCTGCATTCGCAGTGAACCCTCCCGTGGGCACCAACATAACTTGGAATGTTGCCTGTGAATCCACAGACTATAAATAAGGGTTTCCTCGCAAGGCAAACACTAGACTTGTGCAACAATCCTGTATCGACGATGCGGCCCTGTCGAATCCTCTCAGCCCGCTGAGCCCCGCGATACACATCCACCACGTCAAGGCGCTTCGGAGGGGACCATCATGTCGAGGATGGGAACAATCGGGGTTATAATCGCACAGTCGGACCCAAGGCGCATTTTCCCGCGCGGGCTTGGGACGTAGGATCAGCTCGTCGCAATGTGCACATTCCTTTGCGAATGGCCCCGGATTTGCCTAGTTCAAAGGCATACCCCGAAAGCCGCTTTATAGATATAGTACAAGTAAAAGAGAAAGGAAAAGGCAAGGTCCGGGGTGTGGGTTCGCGACTCCGGCATCCTCAGGTCATTTAGCCGTCCACGGATTTCTCGTTGGATGCCGTCGCTCTGGGTTCGGTCTGCGCTGCGCAATTTCAAGGGGTGTCTCATAACGCGAAGAGTGTTCCCAGCGCTAGGAATTGCATAAGTAATTGGTTGTGCTGCTGCTCACTGGTTAGCTCCGTTTCACTTGCAGGCTCTGTCATTCCTGTCCCGCTGTGCTGCCGCACGGGACAGCGACTTGAGAGTCGGACCTAAAAGGCCGGCCAAAAGACATCTTAAAGGCTCATGAAACCCTTCTAGGTAAGTAGAGAAGATAATAAGTTGCCCAAGAGGAGGAAAACACGAAGGGAAGTGGGAGAAAAAAGTCTCGCGTCGAGAGGCGTCGAGAGCGGGGAAACCGGCGATTGGATCTTTTGGAGTCCCTTTCCGGCACCGGTGCTTTTCCTCTCTTCTTCCTCCCCGCCATTACACGGATTTGCTTCTCGGACTATGTAGTCATCGGGCTCTTTATCGAGCCTTGTGATGCCTTGATACAGATACTGTGATTGCCAATTGTCCTGATACTTTTATCTGAGAGCTTCCAATCGCGCGCGACAGCTCCCTCGCAACCGGCTTTTCTCGAGGTTTTTCCTGAGAACAAACCCAGCCATCGTCTCAAATCCTACTCCTTTGCCTTTGACTTGGCCTTCCAGGATATCTCTTCACCTTCTTTTCATTCACGATCCTCCCGTTGACCATGTCACCCCGTCGTTCCTCTCGGGCTCGCACGTCCCAGCCGTCTCCTGCTCTGCCACAGCACACCAACTCCTCCTCTAGCTCCTCGAATTCCCATACTAGGGAAAGAAGCACACGATCGAACCATAAAAATCCCTCTCCTCACACATCTTCCGGTCACCGGTCTCAGTCTATCGATGATGCTGAGACCGGATCAAAAGACCTCCCACAAACGCGGCAGCGCCAGCGCGCCCACGAAGACGAGGATGATGAACCCCAAGATGATGACGATGATGACCTCGATGATGATGAGGAGGAAATCACTCGGTGTCTCTGTGCCCAGCAAGAGTATCCGGGTTTGCCTCATTCCCGTCGCGAGGCGCTCGGTCGGGGCGCCATCAAGCTAGAGGCAGTTCAGGGCCCTCTTGACCCATCAGACCCTTTGTCGGACGAGATCGGCAGCATGTTCATTCAGTGTGATCTCTGCAAAGTCTGGCAGCATGGTGGCTGCGTGGGCATCATGGACGAGGCAACGAGTCCCGACGAATATTTCTGCGAGGAGTGCCGCAAAGATTTGCACAAGATCAAAGACGAACCTAATGGGTAAGTGCACACAGTTGTTCTTTTGTATTTGATCATCCCTGGCAGACCTTGTATTCCAACTCAAGATCTCAATGGTGATGGTTTGCTCTCTCGCTGCGTGGAGGGGCTGCTGCTCGGCCCAGCTTCAGAGCTGCCTTCCACAGCAGAGCTGCAATCAATCGATCATACATGATGCATTCATGCATCCAATATTCCAGGGACAAGCTGCTAACAATGATACAGTGCACGCTCGTCAACTTACCTCCCTGTCGCACCGGCACCCGCAGCAGCCGCTCCGCCTCCACCGCCTCCTCCTCCACCTCCCCCTCCGCCGCCGCCAGCGGTGACCCCAGTCGTGCCAGTCGTGGCGCCGTCTCCCGCGCCGTCTTCCCGAGCTTCTTCGAGGGATCTTTCCAGAGAAACCTCGCGCAGGTCCAAAGATCCCAAATCACGGAATAGTGACAGAGCCAGTGAAAGTGCTGCTGCTCACGCCAAACGGCGGTCAACTATGAACAGCAGGGATGCCGCATATGACGAAGAAGAATTGATCCGACGCGCCATTGAGGAGAGCAAGGCCGACACGAAAAGCAGCCCAGGCGAAACAGAAACTCGCCTTGGAAAGCGAAGTCGAAGTGACAGTGTAACGTGCGTTGTCTTGATATCCTGCATTATGGACATGAAATTGGTTTACTGACAACTTTGCCAGCAACAGAGATGGAGCCAAACGCCCTCGAACTGCGTCACCGTCACCCGGCGCTGTCTCAAAACGGAGTAATTCCGCTTCTCATGTACCCTCCGACGACGAGGCGAAACAAAAGCCCACAGTCAATGGAAATGGGACTCGCAGGCAGCGAGCTCCTTCTCGAAGCCAGCTCGATAAAGAGGCGGCGAAAGAGGCGGACGAGGTCGACACGGAGGCCCCGGAGGCCTCGAATCGTCGCAAGGAAAGAACAAACCGGCGCAAGGGAGATGGTCAGTGGCCTCATCACCCCGCTAATAGCTGCCAATTACTCACAACTCAAGCAGAATCCGATCATGAAACTGGATCTCCGACCAAGACTGCCCCGCCCGAACCCGAGCCTTCACAGGCAAGCCCTAATACCCCCACACCCCAAGAACCTACTCCTGCACGACCATCAACTCGTAAGTCTGGCCGACCTCCTGCTCGACGTGGTCGCGTTGGTCGAAACCAATATACCAAAGACCGAGACACGAACGGCAATGGGGATGTTGGTTATATGGCAAACTCACCGCGCCGAGGCCACTCGCACGAGATTGGCGGAGATTCCCCCCGTATTGGACACGGGGTGAATGGCACCCATATTAACGGTGGGGAGTCCGGGCGACCCAGCAAGCCCCGCCACATGCACCCGCAGCGAACGACCATGAACGAAATGAAGCGCCGAGTCGCCGCAATTCTGGAATTCATCTCCCGCATGCAGGTCGAGATGGCAGTCGCGAGTGAGAACTCCTCGTCGCCAACAGGCAACGGTGACCGAGCGCAAGGTCTACTTTTGAAAAGCATGGTCGATCAAATCGACAGCGCCATGCCGTCAGCCGGCAGTGACGGCGGCGAGTCTGCTCCTGCGACCACCGATGGCGGATATGGCGAGTCCACTCACGAAAAAGATTTCAAGGAACTCAGCAGCGTCGAGATGATGGACGTGCTGACTCGCCATCTGCTCAAGTGGCAGCAGGAGTATGGCAAGTTTGGAGAACGGTAGTCTCCCCGGTTCCATTCGTTTGAGCTTGCTTCGCATCACGATACCCCTCTCAATTGCTTTACCGATGTATACTAGAACTGATTCCACTACCTTTTTTTTTCTTCGTTTTCTCTTTTGTCTTCTATCTCACTCCATACTGGCCGGCGTCAATTTGGGTAACAAGGTGAAATGGTCACTCCATTACCCTTTGTTCTGTTGTTTTTTTGCCTGGGTTTATATGCTTTACTCTAACTCTCCTTGTCGGTATATTCCCGAGGTTGTTCTGAGATCCTCTTGAGTTGCTGTCTTTCGTCTTTCCTTTCGGCGAATGGTTTCTCGGTGTTGGAAAAGTCACGTCCTATATAGGGTGTCTTGCTGTGTAGGAATTCTTCATTCTGAGAATAATATCACTGCTCCTTTGTCTATTCACAGCTCATACCTAAATGCTGAACCTTCCAAGGTTGGAACCTTGAAGTAAATAGTCAACGCTGTACGACATTAGGTTGACTTCCAGGGTTATTCACTGTTCATCGCCAATTTCAAGGTTTTCAAGGTCTATGTGACCTCGGGAATGACCACCTCCATATATCCATACCTAGTAAATCCATTGAGGCAGCTCTTTCCAAGTTGAAGCTCGAGTTAATGATCAACTTGTCAAATTCGACCGTTCCCCGCGGCCATGCAACCTTCCAAGGTTGAAATGCTTCTTGTCTCTGCCACCTGGGCGTGCAATACCTAGGTACCTAGGTATGCCAATGGGTTCCAAAGGATGTTCATCCCCGTCGCTAGAATACGAGAAGCCGACTTGTACTACCTAGACCCTCGTGGCCAGTCTTTTTCGATATCAAATCGTGGTCGTCTTCTCTCAAATATAGCTCGGGCCTCGGAGATCAGTTGCGCTCACCATTGCTACCTACTGAAGCAGCGTTCACAAGCACCCGAAGCGTACGATTTTGCACGGATAAGTCAGGCTCCACGCTCAAGGTCCACGGGTAAGGCCAGCTTTGCGGGGAGTCAGAGACATGCGGACACAGGCCTTGGGTTGGGCCTTCCAGAGTTGGGCATGGCAACAGACTGAATACCATGCGGATTGGGACCTTGGGGGCCCAGTCCAGAACTAGATGAAACTTCCAAGGGTGCCAGGGTGGGATTGTGCCCTGTTGTGACTGCTGGGTCGACGTGGCGATCAATCTGCTGTCGTACTTCCCACGTTCCAAAGGTGGTGACTAGGAATATCTAGCCTGGAGGTAGTCCTGACGTTGTACAGATTCACGGCCTTCCAAGGTCGAAATGATTGTGTTGCGATCATTTCCATTTTGGGCATTGTTGAAGGGTGGCCTGGGTATGTAAGGCAAAGCCAACCTTGGAAATTAACTTGGAAGTACAAAGCCGATGAAATCAACATATACTATGTACAAGATCTTCCAAGGTTGGTGGACTCTATGATGAGGCTTCAAGGTCGGAATGTTCTTCAAACTCATCTGGGGAGGTATATATATGTTCACCATATGGAAAACAAGGAACTCGGACACTCTACGGAATACAGTATGGAGTCATGTCGAGTGCAATGCACTCTTCCAATCTTTCAAGGTTCTATTGACATACTAGCCAGGTAGTAGGTATAATATGCCAACGCCGAGGGACCAAAGCATGTACGGAGTAGTTGATAGCAGAGTACGAAGTACAAGAACTTCGTAGGTTGAATCTCACTCAAGAACTCCAGGGTGGCGCAAAATACAGTATTACATAGTGATCCGTCCTCCCAAGTTGACGTTTGAAGCTGTTCACCTCGCACTTAGATACTGGTACTCTCAGTCTGTATTCCGTACGGAGTACTCCACCATGAATATCCCTACCATGCATGGATCGGTAGACCAATTACATAGTACGGGGTAGACCGCAAGAGCCTGGGCCACTTTGTGAAAGGTGTTATGTACAGTTCAATGAAGTTGACCCTCATACTCCGTAGTGTACTCCGTACTCCGTACAGTACGAAGTAGTGTTCCGTACGTAGAGCCGAGAGGCAAATTATTGTCTGCTCGGGGGTGCAGGCTAATTTTAGCCGGTCGATTATTGATTCGCCATTTGCACATGCTACGAGTACATCTTACGAGTTACATGCAGCCGACAGGCGGTACTGACCGGGCAACCAATGGGAAGCTCACACTTGGGAGCTTGACGAAAAGTCGGAGGCTGGATCAGCAATTGAACGTCACCATTGGTGTCCCCCGGATGATATCAACAACGGGCGAGGCCAAAGTACGAAAAATACCCTCACGTCTCCCAGCCTCGTTGCGGTAAGAGGGTCTAGACGCATGCGCTGGCGCCTTGGGGTGGTTGGGCCGGGGCTGGGGACCCAAAAGAGGGTCTTGGGGCAGCAACTGGAGCTTGATGAATCACTTTGCGGTGGAGCAGTTGCATGTGTACCGTGCAGTATTGCAGTATTGAAAGCGCTGCGTTGTCCGTTCATGACGGTGGGTCAATCGCATCGGTCTGTACGGAGGACTCGTGGTCACCGTCAGGTACAATTCGATTTCCACCATCAGGAAGCGCCAGGAAGATCCGAGAGCGACCCCCTGAATCCTGGGTTTCCCTCCTTCTCCGCAATCATTGAATCCGTACGGAGACAAACACGATCGGCAAGGAGATCCAGATTTCCGATTCGACCCGTCATGTTGCTATGGAGATGGGTGGCGCGGTGATACGCGCAGGACCAGCCCCATGTGAAGATACCCTATTGTATGTATTGTTAGTGGAATCCATACACCGTAACAAAGCACCAACAACGAAGAAAGACGGGTGTCTCAATTGACGGAGACAAAGAAGAGCAAATGGAGGATAGAATAGAGGAAAACAGAGAATATTGCAGAGAAACAGAAAAGAGGGAAACCTCGGTGATCAGCGGGACCCAAACCGGCAAGGCGGCGTAAACAAACCTCCTGTTACCATAAATAATCGTGACCATCGCACTCTCTTCCTTTCTTCCTCTTCCATTCCGATCTTACATTCCAAGCTTAATTGCACTACCTTTCTACCTCTTCGAGAAAGACTTCCCCCCTAAAGTCTTTTCTTGAGTCTTTCGAGTTGTTTAACGACAGTTCGAAAGGCATAGAAAAGACCATCCGTCCGGCAATCTGGACTTTGACGCCCGTGTCCCCATCCCCTTCAGTGTCTTCCCGTCGTCGTACCGGAGTGACGCTGTTCCTGAAACTACTCAAGAGCGAGTAGAGGGAGAAGTCAAGGTCGATCGTCCTTCGCACGTCGAACGGGAAGATACTCGGGTTCCTGCTCCCCTTCCCGCGCCTCAAGCCAAGGAAGAGATCGAATTCCGCGTGACTCAAGAGCAAAAGCGCCCGCACGTTCAGGAAGAGCACCCTCAGCACCAGGCCTACAAGCAGCCCCAGTTCGCGCAGCAGTACCAGCCCGAGCAGCAGTTCGAGCAGCAGTACCAGCAGCAGTACGAGCAGTCCCCGGACCAGCAGTACCCCCAGTACCAGCGCAACCAGCGATCCTACGACCAGGCCTACGCCCCGGAAGTTGAGCTCACCCGTGAACGGTATGTATTTGGGGATTACCCGGTTTCCACTTTTCTCTCGTTCTGCCTTGTTTTGGTTTTGGGCGCCCAAAACCAGCTCGTACGGTTTCTTACCGGTGGCTGGTGAGATGTGCATTGTTTTGTTTTGATCAAACGCCTCGGAAGCAGTGAATTGGCCCCACAATTCAGCTGGCGAGTGGAGTCCGCAGCGAACTATCAGCCCGCGGACTCCAGCGATTCGGCCCTATTTGTTGTGAGATCTCCTTTCTGGGCCTAGAGCGTTACGGATTTAGTCGCGGACTAAAATTACGTGTCACTAAAACCTGCTCCACTCCCAATTAGCGGTGACCCGGTTGTTTTGTTTATATGTTTATGGTACCCGTGGATCCTGGGCTGACATCTTTACCCTTAGCTACCCCAGTCAACCTCAACCTCAGTCTACTTACGAGGATCACTCTCAAGTCTACGATAAGGTTGTCGAGAATCAAATCGACATCACTGAACGAGACTACCGTCACAAGACCTCACCTCCTCTCGACCTCGACGTCTCTTACGACCGTCGTTATCGCCAACCCGTAGACTCCGCCTACGGTTACCAGCCTGAGTCTTCGGAAGTCTCGTACAACCGGACTCCCCAAGCTCCCGCCGACTCTTACAGAGACGACGACGCGTACCTTCGTGAGGTCCAACCCACTCGTACTCGTTACGCTTCCAAGGCCCCCTCCAAGGCCCCCACTCAAGTCAAGGTCTCCAAGTCTATCGTCCGAGACACCACCCCTTCTCGCAAGATGGGTTACTACGACGACGAAGGTGAATACCACTCTTTCCGCCGTGGCGTTGGCCGCGCTGTCGACCGCGTCGCCCACCCCTTCTCCCACTCCCACTCTCACTCTCACTCCTCCCACTCCTCCCACGCTGGTGCTGACGACCATGAAGAGGTCGCCCCTGCCGCCGCCAACGTCCGCGTTGTTGAGCCCCGCAACCGTGGTTCTTCCTCCGGCGAGAACGTCCCCATCCCGTGCCACTTCATCCGCATTGGCGACATCCTGATCCTGCAGGGTCGCCCCTGCCAGGTCATCCGCATCTCGGTCTCCCCCCAGACCGGCCAGCACCGCTACCTCGGTGTCGACCTCTTCACCCGCAAGCTCCAGGAGGAGTCCAGCTTCGTCGCCAACCCCTCCCCCTCCGTTGTGGTGCAGACCATGCTCGGCCCCGTCTTCAAGACCTACCGCATCCTGGACATCCGTGATGACAACCGTCTCGTTGCCATGACCGAGTCCGGTGATGTCAAGCAGGGCCTCCAGGTTATCTCCCAGGGTAACCTCCACAAGCGCATCTCCGAGGCCTTCTCCGACGGCCGCGGTTCCGTCCGCGCCCTTGTCATCAACGACGGTGGCCGTGAGCTCGTCGTCGACTACAAGGTCATCCACGGCTCCCGCCTGTAAATGTTTGGAAAGAGGTCTGGATACGCTTGTACCTCATCCATGTGATGAAATAGTGCTTAGCTTGTGTGATTTAATTTTCCTTTGTATGACGATTTCCTTCAATGATGTATGCAGATTGTGTGAAAACCCGAATTGATTTATTCCTGTATACAAACCTTCCATACCACGTAAACCCATCTCCAGCTCGAATCGCCTTACCAAGTCGGGTAATCATGAAGTTGGGCCGAGACCCCTTCCGCACACGTTGGGTAGGCTTGGCAGGATGACTCGAGCCTGTACCTCCGACTTGCCAACTTTCTGGTTTTTTCCCAAGTTGCCATTGGTCTGATTCCCATTGGTGTTCATATTTCAGATTCTCCATGTAACCGTTCGCATTACCGAGGTTTCCCATTTGCCATGTTCTGTGTTTCCAGACCCCCATTTCTGCCCGGTGAACCACCTTACGGCCTACTTATGCATTGGACCTCGGTCATTGCCTAGGTGTTTCAGAAAATCCCTATCATGCGATTGATCAGATGCACTGTGCCTCGGTTTCATTATTGTATACCCTACTTCTAGGCTCCGACAATCGCCTTGGAATACATGCAATACTAGGTATGCAGAGAGGTACCCCCTGTCGGACGCGATGGCAATGTGACCCGGAAATATACCTAGTATTTAGCATGTACATGTAATGTAGGTGAAAGTCCAACCATGCAATTGAGTTACATGCACCTTTTCATTGGACAATCGAGTGTATATCGCCTCAGCCATGTCATCGAGTGTAACTTGCAGCATTTCCAACTTGGAAGTTCTCGACACCGTATCCCCGGTGGATCCAGAGGTCGCATATGAACCTTGGAAGCATCGCAGGCCTCCGCTTGAGTGGGGACTCGTGGATACTTCCTAGGTTCCCAGGTTCCAAGGTTGACCTTCGGATACACCCGTGGACCAGGATACTGTAAAGTCAAGGCCAAGGAGCCATGGATAGAAGCATGTGGCGCTTACAATTATGCTGAACAGAGACCACGGAAAGACTGGATTTTGTCAAGGATCCACGGATAGATCAATTCCAACCTTGGAAGGGTTGTTCCTAGTTACCATCTATCAAAACAGTCTAGAAACCAGTCTCAGAAAAATCAAAACGAAGGACAATAATACAAGGTGTGAAGAAGAAAACGAGGGTATCATGGAACAATTCCAATGGGCCACACCAGATGGAAGGAAAGAAAAGAGAAAGTAAAAGGCGGCCAGGTCAGATATTAAATCTATAGCAAGCCCCGAAGGACGACCGTGGTCAAAAGCAAAACCAAAGGGCGTATATCAGTCATTAAAGATTAGATATCGGCGAACATGGCAGATTGTCGAGAAGAGAACCGAGTCGCGGGGAACTTCCCAAGAATGGACAAAGAAGTAAAAGAGAGAAAAGAAGGAATTGAACACGGGCATTAAGACGTCCGACTGGACTATACAAGTCCAGGCAGTAAATCAACCAAGAGTGTGGTGAGTTAGCCCGCCGATTCGCACATCAAGAGCGCAAGCCAAAGGCTTTGCGAAGGAGCGGGAATCGTTTCTTCCGCCCAGAACCGGCGATGACTACGTCGCGCGCCGAAACTCCCTGGTCTTCAGGATTCGTGACCTCGGACGCACTGTCATTGTTTGGATCTGGGCTGCGGGGCTCATCGGACTTATTTTTAATGGGTGCTGCAGCGGAAGAATCCCCATTGACGAGGACACTACCATTGTGCGCTGGAATGGTATGCTCGGGGCTCTGTGGCGGAGGAGGAACGTCCAGAGGCTGTTCTGCAACTGGTTGCAGAGGCTCTTCCCTGACACCCAAGCCCAAGGGCCAAGAATCCGAACTGGTTGGTTGATGTTTGGAGTTCCTCTTCACCAGCTTGGAGTGTGTTGGTGGGCTAGCGGCAGATGTGATTGTAGTGTGGTTTCCATTTGCCATACTGTCGCGCACTTGATCAAGTTCCATGCGCGAGCGCTCTAATGGCGTGTCTCTCCGCGAAGGACTTTCAGCATCAGACTTGCGGATTCGGTGGTCGGAATTTTTGGATTTCTTGATTCCGAGCCGTGTCAGCAGGCCGGGCTTTCGACTGCTCGGAGGCGCCATGATGAACTCTTCCAAGTCTCTTTGCGTCATGCCTCGTTGTTTGGCTACAGCTGCCATCCCAGACATGCTCTGCGGTGCGTTTTTGCCGCGAGAGCGAGGCGGAGAGCCGATGGCAGCAGCGGCGGTCCCTCTCTGTGCATGTTGGCGGGGGCTTTCCTCAGAGCTGTCGTCTAGCTCCGTAGAGTCGCCATCATCAGCACCTTGGCGACGAGGAATGCCACGGACAGGCCGAAGAGCACTGCTGTATGGCTCTTCCTCATCACTAGAATCGGCGAAGCGACTGGCAAAGGCCTGAGGCCGGGGCTCATCCTCATTTTCCCCATCCGAATTGGCGAACCGGGTTGCACGGCCAGACTTGGGAGGTGACTTCGTGAATTTCGCTCTTGGAGGCGCCTTCTTATTTGTCGAGAAGAACGAATACCGCTCGCCTCCGGCAGGCCCGCGGAGTGTTTTGCGCATGGTGCCATTTGAAGAGCCAGCTGACATGGGTCGATGGTCGAGTGGAGATTCATTGCGTTCCATTGGGGGCGGACTTCTGATGTTCGCACCAGCGCCGGCTCGCATGGTCCGCCGCATCGAGACTGCGTCGCCGCGTGGGGAGGAGCGCTTGAAGCTGCTCGAAGAATCGCTTCCGTTGGAGGTTGTCCGACGAAGACTCTGGGGAAAACCGGGTGATCCTCCCGTTTTGTGTAAAGCTGGACCGACCGAAATGGGGCGCGGTTTTCCTTTGGCACTTTGGGGAGAAGCCTCATTGCTGGACCACAGGGGGGCTTGTGTATCCGCAGCTACCGACATTGGACGCGCTTGAGCTTCCCGCTGGGTCTGAGCAACGCCATTTTGAATTGGAGAGGTGCGAGCATTAGCCCTGGCCTGTGGTGGTGGGGCTGCAGGTTCGTATGCATAGCCCACTGAGGATGCAGGGGATTCCTCTACATGACTATCGCCTGGCTCTTGGATGGGAGTGCTGGTGCGAGGGTTGGGTACCGAATTGGTGGCATCGTCCGTACGTTGATTGCCAAGCGATTCACGGTTCACCGGCTTGGGAGTTGCATCCCGAGATTCGGGTACAGACTCTAGGGGTTGTGCCGGTGCCGACCTTGGAGCCGATCGACTGTCAACGATGGCATTGATCGATCCATAGCCATCGCCGTCGATGTCGATATCTTCAGCAGCATCACTGTAGATGCTATCGCTATAATCATCATCGGTATCACCACCGTCCAATTTGGGAATGGCACTTGCCACCACTTTAGATTGGGGCTGTTTCTGTGCTGATTTCAGGCTGCGCTCAGAGCCAGAGGCTGGGAACCCGCCTGGGATACTATATTGATCCATACTGGATCTCTTAGATTCAAGGCTCTGCTTGGGTTCTTCTGCTGGTGGCGTCGCAGGTTCGACTGCAATCGCAGGCACGGTAAGATCCGATTCCATACCGGTATGAGGCTGATGGACATTGGTCTCACCGGTGACTTGAGTTTCTTTGGCCGAGTCACTAGACGGAACAGCGGGTTGCGCAGAGCCGAAAACAGACAACTGCTCCAGGTTCTTGCCATCGTTGGGCGGGAAGTACCCATGCTGTTGAGATTGGGGAAGAATTCCTCCAATAGCGTGATCATTTGAGAAGGAAGTCTCTTGCTTGGGTGCTACCTCAGACTCGGACGAAGAGCTAGACTCATTGTCACTAAAGTCTGGAATAGGCGAGCGTTTCAGACCACCACCTCGATTTCCCCTGATGCTTCCAAACGAGGGGAGCTCCTGGCGCGGTTTCATGACAACATCCCAATCGTCGTCGCTAGCAAGATCCGTCGGGGACTTTTTCTTGCCAACACCAAGCCAGCTCATGCGAGACTTGGTTTTGTTACTAGGGGGTGACTCGGGAGTATATTCTTCAGGGGAGGTGGGAGGACTGGCTGCGACGCCCACAACCTCGGCCTCGTCGTCGAAACTGACTTTGGCAGACTTCTTCTTAGCACCGGTTCGTAGCCCGTCGTCTGAAGCCACTGAAGTGCCGTCTGATAGCTCACCCGACGGGTGAGCCCGACCCGCCACTGAAAGCCTTCTATCAGGAGACAAAGAACTGCCTCTTGAGTGTTTGAGGGCTGATTTGACAGGAGAAACAGATCTCGGGGGAGGCTGGTGAACCTGATCTCCGGTCCCAGTCACTTCAAGCAACTTGGCAAATCGAGCGGACCTACCAGGGCTGCTTGATTCACGAACATGCGCCTGTTGATCAGGCGAAAGCCCCGATGATGGAGAAGGTGGCACTGCCGCTGCCTGTGCATGATCGGCTGTTGGAGACGCGGTCGGCATCCGGTTCCTGCCTTGTCGCGTTGGAATGTCCTCGACATCACGACCGGAGTCCTCGGGCTCCTCTTGTTCTTTTACAGTCGAGGGCCATCGTTCGGGAAGCGCCCGAGAGGAAGGGTGCTCGCGCTCCGGGATAGCCACCACGGGCTTTGCGGTACGAGCAGTTTGAGGCGAACTATCGACTGGTGCAGGTACGTTCCGGGGTTGATCAGAAGCGGCAATTGCCTTCGCGCTTTCCTTTTGCGCACTCACTGCAAGAGCTGCGGCCGCTGCACTACCAGCCAGACGGCCGGGCTTGCTTGCAACAGGGCTTCCTTCAACACTGTCCGGTGCACGTCCTTTTGATTTGTTCGGAGATTTTTCTTGCAGAGGCTTCTGGACAGGTTCCTCAGGAATGGATTCTTCAATCGTCCCATGGAGACTCAAGGGGGTATTCTCGGTTGCAATAGGCGAGGTTGGCCTTGAGCCCGTAGGGTATGAGAAGTTCACCGAATTGCGACTCCCCGATCGTTCCAGTTCGGGCAGCATGCCGAGACTGGTCACTCGCTGGTGCGTAGCCATGTGGATCGGGGATCCTCTGCCTTGCTCCCGGGCTCCCGACCGCGGTGGCGACGCCGGAGGTGATCGCATAGTTGGCTCCATGCTCAACGTCCGGCGAGTCTGCTGCTTCCTCGGCGCATACTGGGTTGGGAGCGAAGGCAATGGGGGTACGTCCCTGGGCGGGGATGCCGGACCAGAGCTTGTCGCTGGGCGACCGGGGGACTGGTCGCGAAATGTGCGGGCCGTCATTGAGCTGTTGCTGGCCGAGCGACGTAGCGTAGCACTTGCGCTGGCCGAGCGCCGACCGTTCGGGGCTTGGGACTGGGTCGAGGCGCGGCGTTCGACCATCCGCTTTGTCTGCACATTTTCGATTTGGGTCGGCGTAGGTGTGAGATTGCGGAGGGCTGCCGCGGCAGCGGCGGACGATAGACTCGCATTGGAGGTTTGTGATTTTAGGAAGGCATGGCTTGCGGCGGACTGGGCGGATTGCGCAGCGGGTGAAGAGAGCGGCTTGATAATGGAGGGAGCTGTCAGTTTTATGCAGTGCAGCTACCCGGCAGATTGCATCGCACAGTTTGCGACTGATCTGATCGAGCAGTGAAGGAAACCAATCGGGTTCGCCGCGTTTCACATACCTGATGATGAGCAGAAGCGCTTCTTTTGCGACGGCCGAAGGCCATTGTTCCCAGGCTTGCGGAGCAGGCGGCGCGTTCGCGTGGTCAAAAAGTTGGAAAGCCAGCCGAACACTGCTTCATGCAGCGCCGGGGATCCGAAAAATGAAGTAGATGAGATGGGGTGGAGCTACACGATCTGACGATGATATAGGAGGTGGAAACCGGGAACCGGGAAGCTGGGAAGGGAAGCTGGAGGGGGGAAGAAAGGATCGACAGGACCAGTCAGAATCCAGGAAATACCTAGTACAGGGAGAGGTAAGGCACCGAGTAAAAAAATGAAAAACGCCCCCAGTTGGTAAAAGGGCGAAAGCTCAGTAGATGGCACTTGCGTCATGACTTTTTTTTGGTCGCTCGTATTGCGGGTCTCGTATACTTAGCCACTCTGCCCAGGTGCTCTGCAACATTTGCAAAGCTTGGCCTGGGACCTGTATCTTCGATCTATATTTTATGTACTGTAATCCATTGGAGCTCTGTATTCTTGTCTGGACCTGTACTGCAGCGATACTAGGTATGTATGTATAGAGTACTGTGTACCTAGTAGTAACCTTGGGAGATATGCCATTATAGTGTGTGAAATACCTACCAAGTAGTATATACTGGATGATATAGTAGATATCTACCCCCATTTGACCATTGCCAGAACATAAACACTTAGTTCCTGGCCATTGAAACCCTGGAACCACAGTTCAGGCTGATCGTTCTCCCCCACGTTGCAGATCTATAAGCACATGCGCCTATTTAACATCGGTCCTACAGAGAACAAGCTACCCCAATCTTCTCCTCTCATCAATCAAAGAACAAACAGCAACATTCACCATGAATCTTCCACCCCTCCTCCTCCCCCAAGGCGTAACAAGCCGCTACATCCCAACCCGCGACCTAACCTTCCACATCCTGGAATCCGGCCAAGACAGCAAAACCACCAAACCCCTCATAATCCTCCTCCACGGATTCCCCGAAATCGCCTATTCCTGGCGCCGGGTACTTCCCCAACTCGCCCAAGCCGGCTACCACGTCGTAGCCCCAGACCAGCGAGGCTTCGGCCGCACCACAGGCTGGGACAACCGGAGCTACGAACAAGTGGATCTAGCGACATTCTCACTCTCGTCACTAGTGCGCGACATTGTGCTCCTCGTCCACGCCCTCGGATACCAGAGCGTTGCCTGTGTCGCGGGCCATGATTGCGGTGCCGTTTCGGCAGCTATGTGTGCGCTCATGAGGCCGGATTTCTTTCGCTCTGTCGCCCTCATGAGCCATCCGTTCAATGGGAGCCCGGAAATACCGCTTGGTGTGGGCGGTGCGGTGGGCGGAGGCACAGAGGGCTCTGCGGGGGATGTCCATGCGGCGCTGGAGGCGTTGGGCCGTAAGCACTATAAATGGTATTATTCTACGGCGGCAGCGGGGCCGGAGATGTCGAATCTGACGCCGGAGGAGATGCGGCGGTTTCTGCGTGGATACTTCCATTTGAAGAGTGGGTCGTGGGCTGGGAATCGGCCTCATGCGTTGGGGGAATGGGCGGCGGAGGACCTGGTGAAGTTACCCGGGTATTATATCATGCCGATTGGAGAGACGATGCCGGCGACGGTGGCGATTGATATGGCGACGGAGTCGTCGGGGGAGGCATCGAAGTCGTGGTTACCGGATGATGAGCTCGCCGTTTACGCTGGGGAGTATGGACGGACTGGGTTCCAGGGCGGATTGAACTGGTATCGTGTTCGTACGGCTGCTGGTGGAAAATATACACGAGACTTTGAAGTTTTTGCAGGAAAAAAGCTTGAGCCACCTTGTGCCTTTGTTTCTGGGAAGTTGGACTGGGGGAACTACCAGGAGCCTGGTGCGATTGAGAAGATGAAGAACGGGGTGTCGTGTGCTGACCTTCGAATTCTACGTTTGGTGGACGGAGTTGGACACTGGACACCACAGGAAAGCCCAAATGAGGTCTCGCGGGCTATTCTGGATTTAATCGGAGGTCTGCGCGAGGAAATTGTAATTTAGTTCCAAGGTTAGGACCAAACATCCTACGAGGTCATGATAATTGAACAACAGCATCCTTGAGCATACTGCCAAATGATTGACAGGTCTTGAGTTTTGGAACAGTAGATATAAATTCCGGACGCCAGGCAACGCCGGAGATCATAAGATCAATTGGACAACTTCTCCACTTGGGAGCACATGCAGTATCGTGGCGGTGATTTTGAGGTGTTATAAATTAACAAAACCAGGGGTATGGCGCAAGAGAAAAACAAAATAGGCGCATGTAAATGCAAGCAAGAGAATCAGACATATCTACATGTACAAGCCCAATGTACCCGCCACCAAGAGCGGGAAGAAGGCAGCAGCTGATAGCGTTGGATGTAGCATGGCTGCACCAGACCCAATGGCCGATGTCGTGTACATGTATTCGAAGGATATGTCAGACGAGTTGAAGCAGTTATCACGAGTCACAGTCTCGATGGACGCATCGCCGTCTTCTGCGAATTCAATGTCCACGCACTAAAAAGTATTAGCATGATTGGAAGTTTTCCTACGGCGGAGGTGGAACATACGTTGTACAAGGCAGCGCCATGTTTGGCCGTCTCGACTACTTGGATAGTAGCGTAATCACCAGGGCTGACACTAATGTTGGCCGGCAGGGGCACCTGCGGCAGACAGACAGTACCCGGGTAAGGGTTGTTGGTAGGACCGACGATCTGGAAGGGGGAGACGACAGGGTGGCTCATGTTTTCCGGAATCTCGCCGAATCCCAGGTTGACGTAGATCAAGGCAGTGGCATGACCTGGGAACCAGCCCGGCTGGAAGGCGAGAGCACCACCGCTGACGGGCCATTTGGTTCGGTTGGTCGACCTGGGCATTCCACCACCTGGGAACGGTCAGATTGTGATGCCAGGACACGATTGAAGATATCTTGCTTACAGGGATAGATCCACTCCATTCCATATGGGAAGATATATGAGCCGTTCTTCACATCATATGCGACACCGAGACCGTTGGCTTGCGCGACTGTGCCGTTGGTGTGGAGGTTGTTTCCTCGGTAGCCGGGGTATGTGATGACAGTGTGAGCCTGTGCAAGACCCAAGCACAGCATGAGAAGGACGGAGGCCCATCGCGGTATAGATAGTGAGAAGCCCATGATGTGATGTGGGACGAAACACAATTCAGAAGAGCGCAGTGAGGCAGTATTAGCACTTGGAGGCTTGATCCTGTCGAGCGCGGCTCAGACTTGACTTCTCCGGTCGGACACACGAAGCATGTAAGAAATAGGGACCAGAATCAAAGAAGCTCCGAGACCAAGACCAAGCCTCTATTTTTGAGGGCTGATCGGTCTTTTTGAGGGGTACTGGCCATCACTAGAGACGGACGAGTCAAAAGCCCGGAACGCTGATGTGACCGAGACTGCAGGGCCAGCCATGCGTGACTGGCTCTAGGTAGTGATGGATAGCAGGGGTGGCCCGGGATCATCACAAGCAGCTGCAAGTGCCATCACTTGAAGGCTGACGGCGCACGATGATTTGCTGAGCGAGTCGATGTGGAAGCGCCGGGGGGAAGACGCTAACGTTAGGGGAACCCAGGGCGCTTACACGAAGTCGATTCCAAGGTTCTTGTAGATGCCCGCAGTGGGACTACAGTAAAGTGAATGCCCTAGGTAAATATGTGGTATTCCTCTAATGCCAGTCTGGTACCTTTGTCTTGCATCGAGTCCGAGTAAAGTGTAGTTACAAAACTCCGTCGCTCGGATGCCAAGCCTTTGGCTCCCCGCATCATGAAAAAAAAAGGCTTCATGTCACCCATTACATATATTCAACGGAATTGCCTTATAATTCTAGGTATAACATCTATAATATGCCCCACAGCTCGCGTACCAAGCGACCAAAAACCACCAAACGCACCTCTGTGACCGACACCGACGGCTGGACCCATGTCACGAACGGCGGCAACGTGCGGCGCGTAATGCGCCGCCAGAAAAGCGAGCTCGAGCCTGTCCTTGCCCCTGCCGAAGCTCCCGGTCGGCTCACACTGTCCGATCTCCAGACACAATTTCAGACCCATCACGCAAGATGGGAGGGATCGGAGAGCTGGAACAAAGTGACCGAGGTCATGTCGGAGAGACTCAAGCAAAGATCGCAGACTGCCCCCGTGGATGCCATCGTCTGTATTGGACTTGGAAGCCCTAGCGGGTTCCTGCGTGATGGGTGGGTCGACCGTCGGGCTGTTTCGCTGTATCAGCTTGCTGCGTTGGTTAGCATTAAAGACCAAGTCGAATGTTCGTATTCCCTGCGTTAGTTTCATGTTGTATTGCGCTTTTGGACACACATCCTCCCAAATATGGGGTCTGTTTCATGCAGCCTTGGCTGTGAAGCTTGCCTTAAATCCCGGCATGCATATGTGTTTGGAAACTGACTCTTGAACAGCTCATTCGACTGCGCCGATCAAAGTATACGCGCAAGACCCTGTCTTCAATACTTTGGATGAATCCCTTCTGAAAGGTATGAACATCACGGTCGTCAACCACCCAGAAGGGTTCTCGCATATCACAGAGAACTCGATGCTCTTCTGCCCCGGCGCGGAACGTCAGCACCTCGAGCTCCTACTTCCCTCGAAGCCATGGCTACTTTTTGGTGGACCGCTAGAGCATGCAGACGCCGACAGTGTGTTGCAGAGTTACGTACAAGACACCGAGTCATATTGCGTGCCGCCTTTTGAGGCCCTCGAGCATGCGTTTTGGAACATGAGGCTATATTGGATCGGCGAGAAGGATGTTGACGAGTAATGCCGGAATGCGTTTTGGAAAGTTTATATAGTATGCATATAGCGCGTGGGATTGTTTGTTTCTTATATACAGCATTTGTTGATCGGCGTGGGGACACATGGGCACCTTCAAGGTTGACACAGGCTATGTTTTGACCTTAGGAGACTCTACACAAATAGTGGACTCTTGAAGGGTGTAGAACTTTGCACTTACATAGCGAGAATAAAACTTTGATATTAAGGACTCAGAGTGATAGTTTGAGATTGACCGAAACAAGAGCGGATTGAGCCATTTGATATGTACAGCCCGGAGCGCAAGGCGTAACCAAGCGCAAATAATGAATATCCATGCAAGCAAAATCCCCCCCAAATGGGAAGAAGATCAGTGAATAGCGACTTGGCTCATGATGACAAAAAAAGGTAAGACAGGTGCTAATATTGAAGAGACAGGACGCCAGACCGAGAAACCCTTGGGGAAAAGAGAAGGGTTCCGCCGTTATGAACAAGATGAAAACGCCGAAAAAGAATTAAAAGATACTTATGCACAAATGATAGCTTTCATGATCATGTCCCATAAACCACCCATAGCCGAGTGGACCAGTGGCCACAGGACTAGGAGGCAGTCTCGCCCCCACAGTCTGGGATCTTGAGACCCTTTTTGATGTTGCGGCCAGGGTCCATCAGACCCCATTTATCTTCCCATTCTTTGTCTTTCTCGTTGAACTGGATCTTCCATGGTTCATCGAAGGCCTCGAACCTAAGATGTGTTAGTGATTTGATGAGAAAATAGTATCATGTAGTATAACATACCAGAAGTAATCTGTTCCATTCTTCAATGCCTGGCAGACCCAGTCATCCATGAATGTGTTCATGTTCTCGACGCTGGCAACAGATCCAGGCGTATCAGAGTCACAGACTTTGCTATCACCACAGTCCTTGCCACCACCGCTCGGCCAGCCGACTTCGGAAATGATTTGCTTCTTGTCTGTGCCCTTGGTGAGTGTCACGTCGTGATTCTGCCAGAAGTCCCATGTCCAGGCTGCAGCAACATCGACATTGACACCCGCGAAGAAGGGATGCACGTTCGACATGACAACGTCGACCTCATCGACCAGCTCGGAAGTCCAGTTGTCACCTAGGTCGGATGTGGCAATGAGGACGTCGATGCTCCGTTTTTTCACTTCGCTCTTCACGTCTTTGATGTATGAAATAAGCGACTTCATAGCGCTTGCTTTGGTGTCACCGGCGCGGTACAGGGCTTCGTTGCCAACGATGATTCCCTTGAAGATGGAAGTATCTTTCGTCTCATCAAGAACCTTGTAGAGCTTATCCAATTGGCGATTAGTGGAAGTGGTGTTTGAATCAATCCACACACCCAACCAGAGCTTCATATCCTTCAGCTCAAGGCGATCAATCGCATGGAGGACCATCTCCGTTTGATTACAGTCAGTGCCGTACAAACGCACGGTATTGGTCAATTGCGAGAGAACCGCCATATCACGAGTGACATTGTTCTGCGAGGGAGGCCACTTGAGACAATCGGGGTACTGGACACCCCAGGGCGTATAGTCCATACCAGGGAAGACCTTGTGGAGATCCTTGTTGTTCAAGAGAGCCTTGATCTCCGAGGAGTCCTTATCGAGGTCTCCATTGCTCTTCGTATCGCCATCTGCCGTCTCGTCGGAACCTGCACTGGAAGAGGATTTATCCTTATTGTGTTGGTTTCCAATCGTGCCACCGACAGCACCACCGACGATCGCACCAAGAATGATGAACCCCAGAACGAGGCCGACGATCCAGCCCATCTTCTTGCGGCTATCCATTCCTTTCCCGGCCTTTTCTGCCACACCGGTCCCTGCCCCAGCCCCTCCATTACCAGCCTCCAATCCACCGCCCGGCACCGAGTTGTACGCCACATCGGCATTTTTCTCTTTCCCAAAAAAGCCCGTGAAAAGACCCCCCGCAGCCCCGGCAGCAGCACCCCCACCGGCGGCAGCGACACCGCGCGAACGTGGGAAGTCCTCATCGCCATCGTCGGCGATCTCGTCCGGATTGATCATGTCCCCATTACTGTAAGCGGTGGAATGGCGCTGATACGGGCCATCACTGACACCAGCGTACGGCGCCGGGTACTGATTCTGGCCCGAGTCGAGATGCAGCGAGGACTGGCCGGGGGTATGGAAGCCCGGGGAAGCGGCGGCAGCGCCGAGTCCCATGTTGGAGCTGGAGCCATAGGAATGGCCGCGCAGGGACTCGGCGCTGACGAAGCCCGGTGAGGGTATGTAGGGTGTGTCGGAGCCGACGGTGTTGTAGTCGCGCTCTGCGGGACCGTTGTAGTCGATGCCGCGGGATGCATCGATGCCACTCTGGCGATCGTGTGTGTTTGCTATGCCTAGGGCGATGCCGCTGATTCCGCCGCCTGGTGAGCCTGGGCCGAGGTTGTCGACGCCTGGTGTCACGGTGTGGTTCTCGCGGGTCAGCGAATAGCGACGGGAAGGCGCAGGAATGTTGGTTGGGTCTGCCATGGTTATTTGTGGAAGGTCCAGTTGGACCACTTGACGATGGTTTTGCAGAGTTCAGTTGAAAGGAAAGGAATCGAATTTGAGGTAGAATTGCCAAACACTGGAACCACGGTTCTGAAAACAATGAAAGGCAGGTGAGACAAGCCGAATTTCTTTCCGTCGCAGGCGTCTTTCGGCTGAAACCGATTGAATCAGAGGACAAAAATCATTTGAGCAGAGTGGCAGATGCGGCTAACGCAAGCGGAGTATCAACACGGCGTGGCCGGGCAACGCTTATTCTGGCGATTTTGGATGTGTCTAGACGGCACAAAAACTAGTTGGAATATACTTTCAATTATTACCTGCACTTGAATTCTTATATTTTGTAATTGATCAGAAAGTGCAAACAGCGCCCTGGAGTCGAGTAGTCGAGTAGGTAGAGAGTACATACTGTAGACGGGGAAGAAAGAGCGTGGGCCGCATGCGGGGCTGCTAGGCCCTGACGGCTCCGTGGTTCAAAGTCGTGAGACCCTTGGACCCTCGGCCTATTTTTATCTCAAGTCTCATGTCCTTCCACGGTTCGGTTCTACAAGTATTTATACTCGACACTCTACGTTTGAGATTCTATCTTCTATGTCCTACATGCTACGTTTGAGATACCCCCTATATTTTGTATTCTACAATTGACTTCCCTGTCTCTGTAGTACTCAATTCACGCATATCTCATGGTATCATCTCTGTACTCGTGTCCCGTCTCATTCCCAATCCCTTGTGGCATATTCCCACAAGGCATGTAGATCGAGATCCACTAAATCATAACTCATATATCAATCACATCATAAACAAAAGCAAGAAAAAACACCACAAATCACAAATCTAACACTCCACCTCTTCCGCACTGCGCTGTGCGACCGTCTCAGACCCGCGACGCCCACGCTCCAAAAACCGTCTCTTCCCGCGCCGAGTATCAAAATGCTCAGGGATATTCGCCGCATCTTGACCCGCAGCAAGCATACTGCTGCGCATTTTATTACGGTAGGCATCCACTATCCGTAAACGGTCAGCCCACTCGCATTCCCGCACGTGCCTCCGGCAAGCCATAACATCGGATTAAGGTTTGAGACACTTACACGACCGCTGCAAAAAGAGCATACGTCCTGAAAACACCCGGCTCTGACTCCAGCTCATGCGGTACCCGAGGTCGTTGAGCAGGAGCTCCTTGTGGTGTCTCTTGCGCGAGAGCTTGGGCACCGCGATGGCAGTGTTTATGTCTGCATCGAGAGAGGGCGCTGGGACGGTGGTTCGTCCCGTTGTCGCTGCGTCGACGTCGCCGGGCTCGGTGTCGTCGCGGAAGAATCGCTTGCTGGGGACCACGCGGTTTTCGTCGGGCATCTGGATAGGGAAGTAGGTGCGTGGGTAGACGGCGGTGGACTCCCGGTATTTGTCGGGAATTTCATCCATGTTGACTTTGTCGAGGACGACTTTGACGCGCACGCGGCAGCTGCGTTGGGGATCGTCGACGAGGATGAATTTGCGCCGCTTGCCGTCGGGAAGCTGGCTGAACAGGTCGTCGTTGGTTGGGCCTTGGGTGTCGATGTCGTGGTCCATGGCAGTGGCGATGGTGGGGTGTCGGGCTAGAGTGGAGAGGGAGTTATCGCGGAGGGGTGGCATGGAGGGACCATTGCTGGGAGTCAGGGAGGTCGGGACCTCGTGGAAGATGTGTGCGGGTCGAAGGTCAGGTTGTGGAAGACGATCTGGTCTGCCTGGGTATTCGGTGCCTATGGACAACAACAAAAAAGAAACAGGAAATTAGCCTACGCAGGATGCCATGGGAGAGAAGAGGTAGTTCCAGTTCCAAGGAAAGAGTCAAAAAGCAATCAAGGTAGTAAACAGGTAAAAACGAACAGGGTATGGAATAAGCAAGTAAAACAAACGGGGTGCGGACCACACAGGGATACAGGAAAGTGAGAGTACACGATCTCATATAGCCATTGCACACATCCTCATACACTCGTACACTCGAAGGCGAGACATAAACGGCTTCCAAAAATACACATACAAAACAAACCAGGGCAACAAAAGTAAAATACCAAAGGGAATACACGAAGGGAAGAGGGAGACCTGCTGCGTGGCAAAACAGCACGGAGGACTCAGATCAGATCACATGTGGTGAAACATACCGCTAACTTCCTCATTAGGAATCCCATCAGGCTGATGGTGGTGATGCATCTGCGGCGGACCCATCGACATGAGTCCCAAATTAGGACGGGGAGCTGATCCCGGCATGGGCATAGCACCCAGGGTGGGACCGGGGCCAGGACCAGGCTCCGGCAGCGACACACCAGGTGGAATATGCGACTGAGCGGGAACCGACTGTCTGCGAGTCATCTTCGCCTGGCGACGAACACGTCTGCTGCGAAGTCTCGGGTCCTGGTTACTGTTGCGCCAACTATCGACCGCGCGCTGAATCAGACCCCGCTTCCCCCTCAGGGCAGGATTCAGGTCTGCCAGTGCCCAGCCGACGGCGTTGCATTCTGTCTCATAGACCAGTCGGTTCCCGCGGTATTGGTCCTTACTGCAACAGGCGCGCGGGTACACGCAGTTCTCGGTCTTGAAGTCTTGCGAGAGTGTGTCCACCACCACAGATTCCACATCGCAGCGGATCGTGTACTCCATCTTCACGCGGTCTCGAGAGTACTCAAATGCTATCCACTGCACGCCGCTGGCATCCTGTCGGACCACTAGGGGTGTCGTGGCGGGGATGGGCCCTGGGGCGGCGTTGGAACTGGAACCTTGCGTTGGGCTAGCCAGGGGATTGTTGGCGGTCATTCCGTGATTGCTAGTTGCTGACGGAGGGTTCAACATTTGTTGCTGTGGTTGGGGATGTTGGGAGGTGTCGAGTTTCATGATCGGGCTGGCGGACATGGCGGTGGTGGGGATATGAGGGGATTGATGTTGTGACATCTGAACCGGGGCTTTGTGAGGGGGCATCATCAATGGCTGAGTCGTGAGAGGATGTTGCTGGGGAGAGTGATGAGTGGCATATGGTGATGGCTGCACCGGATTCATAGGCGAGTAAGGGTGGTAGTTGAACATCTGGGGTGGCACCTGGGGTGAATGTCCGTAGAGAGGGCGCCCATGTTGGTCCTGAGGTTGAGAAGCTACCGATGCCGGTGAGCTTGACTGAGGGGTGTGGTACATGGGGGGATAGGGTCTCTGCATTTGGGCGGTGGATGCCATGAGGTCAGGCGGCCCTTTTCACGAGGATCAGTCCATGCCGGTATCAGCGGAGTAGAATGCAAACCCATGAAAGCGAGAAACATCATACACCTTGGCGCATTGATGCAACACACTCCCAGGAGATCTGACTGAACACAAAAGATAGCTTACCGCTGGAGGCGTAATGTGCCGAAGCTGGGGTTGTATATGACGGGTGGGTGGTGTAGAACGGAGCCTCCTGGGATGGCCCGTAGAGATTACGATGTAAAACTCCGTTTGTTAATGGGTGCGATGGCGGGTATGTGGCGGGGGGATATGAGGATGCAGGCTGAACAGGCGAGGCAGAGCCCTGTTCCTGTAGACTTGTTCGCTGTAGATTCTGAGAGCTCTGAGAGCCCGGACGTCCAGAGTTGGCGTGTCGAATCTGCAGCGGAAGCACATGTCAGTGATTGAGACCCCCCATAGCCAACATCAAAAGTCACCAGAATACGAAACTCGAAGCCAAACGGTGTTACAAGAGAACGTGGGCGAACAGATGGGAAATGAGACTTGCGAACACAGCCAGAAGTGTCCGGAGTGACATCAGCGTATGACACCGGTCAAGCGTGAGCATTGAAATCCGCGCAGGCTGGTGGCAGGTTGGATTGGACTAGCGATTGACGACTCGAGCAGGGATGGCCTGAGATACGCAGAAAATGGTCCGGTTCGAGCGAAGACGGTCCACACAGGGTGCAAAAGAAGCATGGATCTGTGTAGCGCTGATGGTTGACATTGCTGTGCTTTTCTTCCGAGAAGTACCCAGCTCCGCCGAATCTCGCAAGCCGTATCATGGGTTTTCGCTTTGCCATCCGTTGGCCCATTGTTGCTCTCTCGTCTTCGCTGATTTGATCATTTGCCTGGAGTCGTTCGCCGCAAGCCACCAGGAGGTGCATAGAGTCGAGAAAAAGTTCCATAGATCGATTTCCAGGCAGAGGATGAATTAATTCGGGATTCCCCCGAGGATCAATTTGCATTGGTGGTGATGTGGGCTGTGCGGCCAGGCTGTTTCAAGGCTTCATGCTGCGTGGGCCGGAAATCAATCGCAGAGGGTCGAAGTCGATTCCCCAGACGTGGACCAGCAGAGCTCTCGCATTGAGCCGCATATGAAAGGAATCAAGAAAGATAGGAATAATATTCAAGTTGGAAACATCTCACAGACTCTATTGCGCAGGCATTCACGGAGCAGACACGAAAGGAAGCATATACTCACATCGTCAATATCTTCCTTGTATTTTGGAAGGTCAGGCTGTACCATGCCGGTCATGAACGACCTCTCTCACGGCCCAGGATAGAATCGAGTTGACGTCTGACAAGGAAAGAACTGGGGTTGTTGCAAATAATTAAGAGATCCACGCTATCTCGTGAGGCTAAACCGCGACTCTCGAGATGGGCCGTGAAGGCAAGTGGAGGGTCCAGGGTCGTTATTTAGCTGCACCCATCAGACCCCCATTTCGAAATTCTCGGAGGCAAACCTCTGGATGTCAAAAATGGGAAAATAAAAGAGAAAAATAAATGGCGATTTTTTAAAAAAAAGAGGAAAAAGAAAAAAGAATACGAAAATCCAAAAAAGAGAAGATAATACAAAGAGAAAGAGAGGAAGCCAGAGAAAAGAAAGAAAAGCAAATAAACCGAATGCAGAAAACACCAGAAATCCCCAAAAGGACGGACTCCCAAGCTAATCATGTCGGAAATCAAAAATCAAAAAGGGAAAAAAAAGAAAGAAAAAAAAAAGCGAGTCAGAAACGCCCAACGAGGAATAGAAAATAACGCGTATCAGGAGTAGGATCTTGTAACTAGCGGGAAAGTGGTGTAATATTGACCAGGATGAGTGCAGGTGCAGTCCGGTAAACATCCGAGCTTTAAAATTAAATGTGTCAATGATGTGCAGACAAAGAGAGGTGGGGAGACTCGATGGCTAGTGGGGGTCAGCATCTCTAATCCCAACGGCGATATCAAAGACCCAATTAAGGACTTCTCGGAGCCGGTGGAGGGGTCGTGATACGTCAAATGCCTAATGGTTTAGCGTCCTGGGAGACGCTGGCCCTGAGACCCAATTTTCTACTCAAAGTAAAAGGGAAAAAAAAATAGAGATCATTCAGAGCAAATCATAAGTGACCAATCTACAGGATAAAATGGGGGCCGAAAGGAACACCTTGAGACGCGATATGTACAGCATACTGTAGACCTATGCAACGTTCCGTTTGCTCATGACGTTCCCCAAAGTCCACCTTCGAGTCTAGAATCACCGATAATGAAGATTGCCGTGTGGACCTCGGGATGGACTCGAGGCTAAAAAGAAAGCTAGTTGACGTTGTCCTCGGATCGTGCAGAGGCCAGTTTCAGGTACGGCTTGGGCTGAAAGGAAACCACCCCCCCCCCCCCCCCCCCCCCCCCCCCCCCCCGCCCCCCCCCCCGCCGGCCCCCCCCCCCCCCCCACAAAACAAACAAAACAAAACCATCACCAACCCGCAGCGACCTCGCTC